CAACACCGGAACAGAGGAAGAACCGCCACCGCACAAAGACTCTTTCCCTCCCCTCGCCAGAGAAAACCACAACACCGGAACAGAGGAAGAACCGCGCTTGAGACTCGCTTTGTAGATGGCTTGCGTTCCATGCGGGGCCCCAGGCGATTCATGCGCTCCGCCTTGCCTCCACAGCTGAAAGCGTGGCTGGGGATTTCACCATATTTGCTTTCACCATATTCGCATTTACTATATCCGCTTTCACCATATTCGCTACTTTACCTGCATTCACGGACCGCCTCTGGATCTAGGCCATCCGCTCATTGACGCAGCCGCGGAGTATAACATGCTGTCTCTCTACGATGCGAGTGTTCCGTCGATGATCGGCTACCTAGGCAGCCTCAAGAAGATTCTGCGCAAAGGCGAAGACTTCTGCAAGGCGCGTGGTTCGAGTCCTGACTACATGCTAGCCACGCGGATGCACTGTACCATGTTCCCGTGAGTACGATCGACACTGACTGTTGCTTGCCCGGGGCATCCGCGTGAACTTCAACTCATCGCTCCACATCAACGGCAGACTTATCTTCCAGGTGCAAATGTGTTCCAACACCGCTAAGTTGCTGGTTCTGCGGGTCGGTGGGGTGGAGAGCGAGCGCTTAGAAGACAACGAATCGACCTTCGGAGAGCTGTACGCGCGATTGGACAAGACCATCGAGATCCTTGAATCGGTCAAACCAGACTCAATGTCTGGGGACCTTGGGCGCCCTATACACGTCAAGACTCCACTCACTAGCTTCACATTAAGTGCTGCCGATTACGTCACTCAGTATGCTGTGCCCAACTTTCATTTTCATTTGACAACCGCCTACAACATTCTCCGCAGCCAAGGTGTAGAGATCGGCAAGCTTGACTATGCCTTCTTTGAGACCGATCAGGCTGGACGTCTGAAACAATGATAGAACAGACACGCTTGGGTGCTGTAAGGGCACACACCGAACATTAGCGCTTGCGCCCGCATGTTATCATTGCTCGCTTCACCTATACTTTCTGCTGTGTCTTAGTTGAGCGGCCTCTACCGTGCGGACACCAGGCAGCTATGCAAGGTCGCGGCGTTTGCTGCGACCCAAGCTATTGGCTCGCGGTGCAGTTGACAGTGAGCTCGGTGCTCGTCGCCTTCGAATCCTTTCGCCTCTCTGCCTCTTTTTCAATCATGATGATGATCCCACTACTTTGTGCCGGAGCCCATGCAGCAAATTCCACTGGGCGTGTTCTCACCTGGCTAGCGTACATAAAGCCTCGTCCGCCTTAGGGGCCTCAGTCTCCCCGCTGTTTTGCATCGTGCTCACATCACTTTGACGAGGACACTCAGCATTTCGACAAGACGAGACGATCGGATGACACTAGCACTTTTTGCCTGTCTAGCTCTTCCATAGATTTTCCGGTCAAGAGTTGCACTAGCGTCTGTTTGACATTGACATTGGGTATCATGAGAGGTGTACAGCGACGAGCCGAGCGGAGAATTCTTTGCATGGTAATTCGGCCATTGATTTTCCTCTTCTACACTGCCAGCCTGCCTCTATCTACACCCCCTTCTCTTCTCCCTCCGTGACCAGTCTGCTGCTCACCTGCTCCCGGGAACTGGTCAGCGGAGAAGTCCATGACTTCGGTCTTTGCGCCTCCTATCTCTATGCGAGACAGGACATTCGAGAGGGTTTCGATCTGAGCATGCGGAAGGTCAGGTGTCAGTCCTATTTCCCTCTGTCGGGGGCCACTCTGCAAGATTGGCTCAACTCACGTCTTCGACTGTTGCAACGCTCCAGACCTCATACTCTCTTTCAGGCCCCTCTGCCGCGGAACCTCCCATTCTCCTTCTCTTCTCCCTCTCTATCTTGTCCCTATAGCCAAGCTCCTTGCTGAGGAGATGCGCGCATGCCCGGCCGGGACCAAGGCAAACGAAGCGCTCAACGCCCTCTTTGCGAAGGCGATCTACAGAATCAAGCCAGCGAACGGGCTTGTGCAGTGCGCCTCGCAGGTCGCTACGAATGTCTTGTGCAGTAGTCAGCAGAGCTCCATCGACGCTGCTCACCAGCCTCAAGCCTGGGTCCGGATCGCGGAGAGGCAGATTCTCCAGAGCGGGTCCGAGCACGGCTCCTGTCATCAGGGAAGAGTGATAGGGCCCCGATACGGGCAGATTGACAGCTCGAGCGCCCAGGTTCTTCATCCTCAGCCTTTCGCATGCAACAGAAACGCCCACTCGAGTCCCACTGAGGACCACTTGTAGGGCTGAATTGATGTTGGCTACTTCGACTACCTCATCGTTGCTTACGCCAGCTACTCGAGAGGCAGCGATGTCGTTCTGGATCTGGGTGACTTCTTGCAGGACAGCAGGCAGCATGCCCGGCCTGACCATGACTCCTGACATTTGCGTTCGCTTCCATCCCCTCCTCGTAGCCCTGTGTCTATTGTGGGCTTGCTCGTCCCCTTGACTCTTGGATTCTTGCGCTGCCACTTGTCCGTCCGTTGTGGAGCTGGTGGGGGGCACGCCGCCCGCATTCAACGCCAAATCTTCGTCCATCTCGAGGAGCTCGGCTCCTTTTCCACTACCCGCATTGGCAAATGCCCAGGTCTCGTAAATGCTCTCTGGCCGCTTGCAGCCCTCGGGAAATAAGATCGGATGGTTGTACACATGTTGCGAAGAAATGAGGCCGCGATGACGCATAAGTCGTACAGCATCAATCATATCGAGAGCGCCGGATCCGACCAGCGCAGCGTACGTTCCTGAGCCATGTCCAGCTGCGAAGGAGACTTTAGATCGCACGAGGTCGAGAGAAAATTCCTTGCGAAGCACTGCCAAGATCGACAGAGTAGCGACGAGGATCGATGGCTGCGCATTTTCTGCTCGCGTGAGATCCAACTGGTCGCCGAAGAACTAGAGTACGGAAATTGCAGCAGGGCAAAAGCAGTGAGCTGGCTGAACGCAGGCTCAGCTGCGGTGCAGATGGCTCGTCCACTCACCACGGCGTCTCTCAACCATCCTCGTCTGCCTCTTCTCGCCCGTTTCTCGTCCCAGATGTGACTCTTTGCCAATTCTTCCTCGAATATTCTCCTTTGCTCGGGACTTTCTGCACGGTCATGGCCGCTGCCTGGAATGTACCCTAGACTAGAATGCCGCATGGACAACTTGCTGCTCTCATCGAATGAATTGTGGTGGAAATCAGCACTCGGCGAGGTAGAAGGATTGACCGGAGTGATCAGGGCCTCCTCTGCCAGATGCCAGACGGACCGAGCAGAGCGAAAGGAGCGGTAGATGTCTCTACACATGGCCACGTACTGAGATCCCTGACCTGGAAAGATCAGTGCGGTCTTCTTGGGCTTGAGTGTTGCATGGAGATGGCCAGCGCTGGATGTGGATGGGGCGGGGGCAGATGCGGCTGCATTGAAGGACGTCGAGGAGTTGGAGAAGTACGTATGGCGAGGCAGTGCTGCGGGTGATCGGCTACTGGGTGCGTACTGAGACGAGAAGGGGACGCAGATGATCAGCCAAAGGCCCTACAGTTCAGTCTGAGGTACGTGAGATAGGCTACCCACAGTGTGTTCGTAACCTCTAACGATTTCATCGTCCCTCTCCCTCGTGGTGGTTCTGGTGCCGTCTGGCACTCCTGCCCTGCGTTTGCCATAGCCAGGCACCGCACCTTTGCCCGCAGAGCCGCTGATCATCGTAGACTGGGAATGAGTGAACTTGGAAGAGGAGGGGTGGGCACTCGGGGATGGCTGCGGTCTAATGAAGATGTCTGCGTGAGAAATGTCTGCGATGGAAGGGGCAGGGGATGGGCCGCCGCGAGAGGATGCGCCTCCTCCAAAGGCGAGTGCCGAGTCGTTGTCGCCCTCGTCTTGGTCACGTCGAGGTGTGGAGGACGAGGCCTGGTTGCCCTGACCCGAAGCCAGGGCCGCAGCTATGCCACTCTTGGGTTGGTCAGCGTCGCTGCCATCGTACATGGTAGGCGAGGAGTGAAAGGCAGCGGCCGAGGCAGTGACTGCATGTGCGGGCCGTGATGAGCCGGTCTTGCCGGTGAGCCGGTAAGAGGCGGGAGAGGGGCGCTGGGCGAGCCTGGCGGCATTGTGGGCTCTCATTGCGGGATTGGGTTGGCTGTGATGTACTGTGGCTCTGGACAGGATGATGGGAGGTGGTGTGTAGTGTACTGCGGCTGTCCTGTCTGGCCCTCTTGGGTGGGTAGGCGGTGGTGAGGGCGTGGTGGGTGGATGGGTAGAGTGCCGAGGAGGAGCGTCCCCTGTGCCTCTGCTGCTGCTTGTGCTCCACCTGGTCCCCATCTCCGCCTTCCCCGCGTCCGGGCGCCCTGATCGATCGGACACGCCCAGAACTTCTTCCTTTCCGCAAGTCTGCCCTGTTCTTCGGTTGGTCAATCTACGATCAGATAGCACTGGTACGCGACGATGACAGTACCATCGTCACCCTCGCCATACTCTGCCACCTCTACACCTCCACTGCTTCGGCTGCTAAATGATGCTGCTTCTTCCACCTTGATCAAGCAGGGCGCAGAGGCAAAAGTCTACAAGTCTCATCTCTGCCCGCAAGCCCCTACGATGACCCTGCCCTCCGATCCAACAGATGCGACGACCTCGCCGGCGTCTACTTCTTCATCGTCCGCTCTCCCGCCCTTGGAGCCCATACTGGTCAAGTACCGCTTCCCAAAGACGTATCGTCATCCATCTCTCACCGCCTCTCTTACGGCCTCGCGCACCGTAGCCGAGGTGAGGGCCTTGGTACGGTGTACTAGGGGTGGAGTCAATGTGCCCAGGGTGAAGATGGTAGACGAAAAGGTGGGCATAGTAGCCATGGAGTGGATCGACGGAAAGAGCGTAAGGGAGCTTCTGGGAGGTGGAGACGAAGGCGACGAGGTGGCCCAGGTCGAAGTCGGAGCAACAGAGGCAAGGGAGCAGGCCACAGAGGAGGCCAGGCAGGAGGAAGATGAAGTGTGGTCAGACGAAGAACAAAGTGAGTCGAGGGAGCAAGCTGCTGACCAGTTCACAGAGAGTCTCTGACACAGTTCCTGCTGCGTCCGTCGTGGCCTCGCCATGCTGCTAGTATTCCTCATGTCCCTCGTCGCACGCCAATTGGCGCTGATGCACGCAGCAGACGTCATTCATGGAGACCTCACCACCAGCAACATGATGGTCAGAAGGTCTGCCGCGGCGTCGATGCTGGCTTCTAGCGAAGCAGCTGTCGCACCACTTGCGACACAGTCATCGCTACCTGTTCCAGCAAGTGTACATCAAAAAGAAGTGGTGGGTGACCCCTGTCCCGCCCTTGGAGCGTGCCCGCATCTCTTCGCTGAGCTTTGACCCATCTTCTTTTCGTACCTTCAGCTTCTCATCGACTTTGGTCTTTCCCATACTTCCCCTGCCGCGGAAGACAAGGCTGTAGATCTGTACGTCCTGCAGCGTGCCTTCACCTCCACCCATCCGCACTCCACCCACCTCTTTCAAAGGATCCTAGACGTATACGCCACGGAAGTCGAACAAATATGGCGCAATGGCAGGTGGGGCATGGGCGGGGGACTCTCTACCGCTGAGACGAGCGGCAGAACAGCGAAACAACAGCAGAAATCGAAAAAGGGCAGTGGCACTAATGGTATGGCACCGCCCGTGGGATCCCGGTCACGAGAGAACCCCTGGAAGGAGATCTCTAGAAAGTTGGACGATGCCAGGTTGCGGGGACGGAAGAGGAGCATGGTAGGCTGAGACAACGCTGTCATTACTGCTTCGCCAACTTCATTGCACCTTACATGGGTCGTGTCACCGACGAAATCAAGAAATCTACAAGATGATACCCAGAAGTATTTGAACACCTTCCCATCAAACAGGAAAACCCCTCCATTCCCGCCGCATCTACTGTGTCACCTGCCGCTTCTCTAGGCATCTTCACCTCGCAACCTTCTTAGTCTATACTCTACTTTGGGCTCGCTTCCTGGGCCCTTCCAGTAAAACCTCGCTACCTGAGCCAACGTCGTGTCCGGATGTAGTACTACACCGTTGCAGAGCAGCTCTATCTCCTCTGGCACTGGAGGTTGAACGGTGGATGCGTGGGACCCCTCAGGTCCTCGGAAGGGGCTCTCAGTCTGTGCGACGAACTCAGCTCGTGTAGAAGGCGAGCCAGGGGGTGGACTGAGAGCCGATTCTAGCTTCGTCATACTTAAAGCCGATCCGTGCCCTCTGCTGAAGGGTGCACCTCCGGCGCCTGCTGAGGGCGTGGCTGCGCCCGAAGCGTCAGTGCTCGGCCTCCTAGATCCTCCAAAGATGCTGCCCTGCCTGAAATGGGTCTTGCCTTGCTGATCGACGTAACCCAACTTCTCGCACAGATATATCGCCGCTCTACTCACTCGCAGCATCTTCGTCGCTGTCAACTTTGCATCGCCGCTCGGCAAAGCGGGAAGTATCTCCCAAGAGTCGTCATCTTCTTGAAGCTCCCCCACAGGTCGAGGCAAAGTGTGGCCCCCATCGAGAGTAGCAGGTTTGACAGCAGGCCAAAGGAGGAAAGACATCTTGCCTCCTGGCGCGCCTGGTCTACTCACAGTCTGACTGCTGCTGGCATCCACTCTGTTGGCTAGCAAAAAGTCCAGCAGCCAAGCCGGAGAGGCCATTTCCAGAGTGGGCAGATCGTCAGCCGTCGAAGAGAGCAAACCCCTGTACAGCGTCTCCCACTGAGCCGCATCACTGGAAGCGGCAGAGATGATGACTGCGGTGTCCGTTGGAGGAATTGAACCACCTGATTGAGAGGTCTCGTCATCGAGCCTCATCAGGGGTGACTCAAGCACAGACATTGGCTCTAGCGGGACCTTTGCCAAGATGGACCGGTTCAGAGCCACTGCGGGAGGGTCGCTCTTACCGAGCAGATCTGGTCCCCCGTTGGGCCCTGATGTACTCGTCATGTTCAAGGTATCGCTTGCAAGGCCGCCCTTGGTCTGAGCTGAGTTTGCCTTGTCGTTGGGAGGTTGGGAACCTTTCACTCGCAGCTTAGCTCCCCACCGACCAATGAGACCACCACCTGGAGTGGAAGCGCCCCCGCCTGGAGTGGTACTACCTGCGCCCACAAGGCTGCTGCTGTCGATGTTTGGCGGAGTCGCGGGCCGTGAGGGTGTCGCGGTGCGGCGGCCATCACCCGTCATCGAAAAGTAGTCTGATGGGCTCGCAGGTGATCTGGCGCTTCCTGTGCCTCCTGGCGTCGCTGCAAGCGATCCAGCAAGACCGACCATCGATGGGAAGGAGGCACTGAGACTCGGCGTGAGCGGGGAAGTTCCAGCGGGTCCGACAGCTGGGGTACTGGGAGCGACGGCAATGGAGAGCGTGTTTCCCGGTGTGCGAGGAGATCGGAGATTTGACGACAAATTTGACCAGCTACCTTCCGCGTGATCGTTGAGATGAGCCGTCTGGATCTTGCTAAGCTTCCCGATGCTGTTGGTGTCAGCCGCTGCCGATGCCGCCTCGTTCGAAGCTCTGCCCCTCTTTGCACCAAGATTGAGCCGGAAAGGTTGCTCTGTCAAAGCTTCGGACTTTTCAAGTGCCAGGACTCCTGTAGGTAAGACAGCAGACGGGGCATTCCGAACTCGCACCTCGCGCTCAATAAAGCCTGAAAAGAGGGATCGCAAGACCCATTTTCCAAGATTGACTGTTCGACGACGAGGATGTGAGACGGGCAGTCAGTATTTCATCACATACGCGTTTTGGCGCGCCTTGGCTGTGACACGCGTTCACCACAACTCACCTCTCTGATCATCCTTGAGATAATCATTTCTCTCTACCCAATCATACTCGTCCAGATAGGACTCAGCTTCGAAGCAGCTAGGCCAATCCAGGTGCACGGCGAGGAACCCATTCTTGGTGTCTGCAGTGCACCAGGAGTTCGTTGCCCCTCGACCTTCAATGCGTTCCTTGACTTTCTCGAGCAAGTCACCAGCGTTGTCTCCCTGTGTGGACAGAGCGAGCACATCTGTACTAGCGAAGCTTCCGAGGCAGATGCAACGGACGATGTCCCAAATCGCAATTTGCGGTCCGTAGTCTTCTTCCCCGTTGCCATTCACGGTCTTGCTTCCAGTGGCAAAGGTCAAAACATGTCTTCTGTCGTTGAGCATGGAGCTGCGAATAAGCCCACGAGTACCCAAGATGATCGACGCAGGCCTGTTCCGAAGGGGCAAGGCCGTACTGACCACCTCCCGGCTTTCGTAGGCTCTGCGAGCCATGGCGGATTCGTCTTCGACATTGTCCTCATCGGACATCTCGGCTGACGCATCCGCATCCATCGTTTCACCGGATGTCGCCTCCATGCTCTGGAGCAGCGACGAATCGGTTCGGCCCGGAGTAAAGCGGGAAGAAGCCTTGCCGGACTTGACCGAAGTAGGCTTCGTTCTAGTCGTCTGATGTCCTGTGCCGCCTATTGTCATACCTTGAGTTTGGGCTTTAACGGTAGACATTCGCGTTTGAGCCAGGCGCGCAACTGCTGCCATTGCTGGCGTCAAGCCCGCGTGGCCATCGTATGCGAATGAATTCCGGCCGCCCAATGAAAACGAAGACCCCCTTCTCCCGCTACCGTCTCGACTGCTGGTCAAATGTAAGGTCGAACCTCTGAGCGAGAGCATGCTATTCATTCCCGGCCTACTCGCAGAATGGGGTAGTCCGGTTCCGACACCAGTACTCAGGGCGGCAAACGCATCGTCATCATCTCCGGAGAGACAAACAAGCGCAGTGAAAGGCACCCCGAATAGTGTCGAGCTGGGCTTGACGCCGGCAACGAGCGGTTGTGGCAACAATGATGATGAAGCAGACATCGCGCTAGATCGACGCACTGAGGTGAAATCGTCCCGCCGCCCTTCTGGCAAAGCTTCGGGCATTGCTGCTGTGGTAGCTTGGACAGAGTCGATCTGCCTGTCCAAGGAGAATGAGACTCGGGAGTGGGTACTGGAGAATGGCGGTGCTTGCAGGCCTGCAGACCCGGGCGGAGGGTTGCCTTGACTCTGGTTGCCCTTCAAGGCAGACTGCAGAGGGGCACGAATCTGATGCGACGCGCCTTCCTGACAGAGCGGCGGAGATGACGGGGCAAGAGCTGAATCAGGCGGACTGCTGCTGAAAGTCGTAGGAGGTGTGCCGACCATGCCTGCCCCTCCGAAGGTCGTCCATCCTCTCCGATGAGTTAGTTGAGCAGGCGCGGCGTCTGCGCTTGTACTAGGCGGCCAGGCCGCCGTGGAGCGCCTCCCTTCATTGGTGGGATACTTTGCTTGCCGCTTGACCCTAGGTGGTACATCTCTCCAGCATTGGACGTCGGATGTGTTGCCAGTGGAGGTGAAGACAAAGGCATGGTCGATGGCAGCAATTTTGCTGATGGTGTCACTGCAGCGAGCTAGCACGACGCATTCCCCTTGGTCGGGCTCTAGACACCCTTCACAGTCCACCTTGCAGAGATAGCCATCGCGATCTGCCGAGTAGAAGACGTCGAGGTCTTCGGCACTTGAGTAGAGAGCAGAGATACTACTCGCATGGTGTGTGTAAGTGTGTACTAGCCGCTGTTCTGCCACATCCCAAAGACGGACAGTGCCATCGCTGGAGCCAGATAGCAGGTGCCGGCCAGAAGCAGAAAGTACCACAGATCGTATCATGTCGGCATGACCTAAGAGCAGGCCAGCTGGACCAGAAGCTTGAGAGTCTGCACGGGGATCATAGAGTCGGATGCCGGCCTCTGGGGTGCCGACTGCAATGATTGCTCCTCTGGAATCGGTACTGAGGCAATAGACGCTGGCAGAGTCGTGGATGTCCACGATGGGATCTCTTCGCGACTCCTTGAGATCCCAAATGCGAACGCGCTGGTCCAAACCTCCCGATGCTATCCATGACGCGCTCTGAGAGGAGTACGATGAGGATGGCGATGGGTAGGCAAGGGCTTTGACGTAGTCTGAGTGCGATCCGAGAACCGACGGCGCGAGACATGTCGAAGGATCGTGGGGGTTCCACACTCGTACAAAGCGATCCGAAGAAGCAGTCACGACTGGGATCGACCAGGGGCAAGGGTGAGTATATGACAGCTACTTCGTCGGTCTCATAGGAACTCCCAAAAGGCCACTAAGCTGACTCACCCGACTGATTCTGGTTGCAAAGGACCATGTCGTTGATCCAATCGGTGTGGGATTGGACACAAGACCGAAAACTCGTGCGGGGCGGCCGTATGTGCTCGTTGTCTTCCGACTCGTCTTGCGACTCTAGCCAGTGCTCATCGACCTGCCACTGCCTCTCAAAGGGTAGCAGGTCCCATCCCCGGGGCGTATCATCGTCATCCTCTGGAATCCCGTCGCCTCTGTGCCGAGTCAGCCTTTCGTCAGCGGCTCTATCTCCGCCGAAGACTCTTTCGTCTTCGCCGTCCTCGTCGTCGTCGTCAGGGTCATTGTAGTCCATCTCATCATCTTGCTCGATGCCTCGATAGCCTCCGGACATTGCAGCGCCAAAGGACCAAGAGCTCCTGCGCGGATGACCGGATCGGGGGTGACGCTTCTTCATTTGGAGCCCCAGCTGCCAGGAAGCGGTGAGACCGTCTCGTCCGGCAGTGTAGAGGATTCCTCTTGGTCTGGAAGAGGAGCCTTCCAGAATGGAAGTGCTCGGGTCGATGGCTAGGCTTGTCACTGGTAGCGCATGGCGGGGATGCTGAGGCCCGTCTCGTGTATCCTGGCCCGTTGTGCGGCTAGGCTGGTCTTGATGACGGACGATGAGGGGCGAAGAGCTCCCCTTGCCCTGCCTTGCTGGGTGCCTACCGGCTCCCACTGTAGAGGGGAGGTATAGCCGAGGTGGAGGGTGGGACGAGGACGGGGGTGGTAGGATGTAGGTGACCCTCTTCTTGGGGATGGCTGCGGCGACGCCATTGCCGCTGGCGCCGGGCAGAGAAGATACCGATGCCTCCATCGCAGTCGCTACCAGGCTGAGCGAGCGCTGAGCAGACGAGATGATGCACGACCAAGAAGGAACCTCGAGGTTGAGTAGAGAGGCCAAGGCGGGAAGGGGCCGCGGGTGGGGCGGAGCGGAGCGGAAGCATGGGGGCCCGCCCGCCTGGCCTCGCCGCTGGTTCCTGCGTGGGAGCGGAGTGCGATATCGCAAGGGGCCTACGGTGATGGACGTCACATGGACCTTCACACCACACACACGACTCAGAGACGCAGACCAGTCATGACCTCAACGTATGCTACAGCCAAGGTGACTCATCCAATTGTAAAGCATACTTTCTCGCCTTCCCATTCATCCATCGTCCTTGACGCAGCAGCGGCAGCATCCTCGGCATTAAGGTCTAGCACGTCGTCGTCAGCCGCAACGGCACCTGATACCTGAGTCTGTGCGCCGAGGTCGCTTCGCCCCTCTCGTCCTCTCACGTTCGCGTCTGCATTGCCATCAGTCCCAGCAGGCTCGACACATCTCCCCCCCTTCTCTGTATGAGGCGAGGCCTCCGTTGCGGTGACTGGCAGGGCAGTATCTCGCACGTTGCCTTGTGCTCTGGTAGTCGCCGAGGATTCTGTGACAGCGCTCTGCTCTGTGTTCTTGCGTCGTTGAGCGGCCCATTCCCTTGCCCTCATGATGCGATCCGAGACTTTTCTCGCTGCTGACCCGTCCAACCGCACCGCTGCTGTCTCAGGTCGGGTCGGCGCTGCCGCAAGGCAAGCGTCTAGACTATCAGACGGGATGTCAACCTGACGAGTCTTCTGAGCGCTGTTGCTCTTCTCATTCGCAGGGAAACCGGCCTGTTCGGTGTGTCGGATCGAGCTGTTTTCCTCGGCCTTGGATTCAGCCGGCACTGCCGTATCCGAATCCGAACCGGAGGAGTCGTACTGTAGCGGGTCCATCGTCAGCGTCAGCAAGTGGACCCATCCGCCCCTGCTGTCACTCACCCCAGAGATCAATCCCGCGAGCCTTTGCTTCTTCACCTCCTGCTGCTTGCCGGTGTGAAGAGCATGATCTCTACGGGTCTTTTCCGTGACAAGATCTGCCCAAGTCACATGCTCGCCTTCGAGCAACCTAGTCCACACGTTTTCCAGCGTCCAGTCATCGTCTCCGGAGGTATCATCGCTCTTGAGAAAAGCAAATCTGGGATCTTGGCCGTGATTGGCGAGGATTTTTGCCGTCAGCTGCAGTGGATTCGTGGCCCTTCGCAGCGCGACAGCAGTGCTTGTCATCAGGTCCATTTGACCCTCTGTGATCTCTGACAAGGCTATCTGGCCATGCTTCTGGCGTACCTTGCCTTCAAGGAGTGCCTCACGTTCCTCCAGCGCTTGAACTCGCTCCAGTCTTCGGGCCGCTAGCTCTTGCGTCCGTGCCATGTTTCTCTCCCTCTCCCTGTTGCTACGACGGGCAGCAATATAAGCAGATCTTTCCTCGCAATCTGAGAAGTCGGAAACTCCTTCTAGCTGAGTGTTTACGAGAGCAGTGAAGCTGATAAGATCATAGAAGACTGGCAAGCGAGCTCAGCAAGGTCCATACTCACGTCAGATGGATGATGATGACCGTCAATTGAGCTAGGTCAGCGACATGGGCAAGAGTGGGGCTCAGTCAGATCGTCCAAGGGATAACGACGCAGCTGCATACCGCTCAGATGCGCCCTGGATATTGCCTGAGCTTCGCCTCCCAGGTTGTGGTCCGATGTGGCACCACCCTAAAAAGTTTGAGGTACGACTCTTGTTGTGCCTCGTTGTCGATCTGGAAGGATGTGACCGCCCATTGATCACACTGCCTACAGTCAATGTCTGGAAGGGCGAGGGTCTGTTCAACGCACCTTTGCATTGCACCGTCATCCGCGTCCTCAATCCGATACAATTGTGCTGCATCCGCCTTGACATTAGTCTTGGTCATCCTAGCCCAGAAGCCCTCTGCATCGCCCGGTGACGGCTGCGTCGCGACCTTTTCATCTACTTGGGCTCTCGCTTGGGCTCGATGTTCTTTCCTTTGCAGCCTCCTCTGCTTCCATGACTTGTCTGTATCGGATTCCGATTGTGCAGGAGTGGGGTGAGGTGGTTTGCTGGGTCCTGGGCGCGCATAGGCTCGCTCACTCTCTCCAGAAGAGTCGGAGTCGTAGCTTCGCACACAGTCGTCGTCGTCGTAGGCAGAGCTGCGACGGTGGCGCTTGTGGACCTCTCGAGCGAAGTGTTCTTCTTTGCCTCGCAGCGCCATGTCTGGAGTCGAGGTGGACCAGAGTCGAGGAGATGGGCGTGTGCGAGGCAGCTGCCCAGACTAGTAAAGGGGGGAGCCGCATCTCCAACGCCTTGAATCGCAGTCGGAGATGCGGAAAGCGGAGTTCAGTGTCACTTTTGGCTCCTTGGCGTGGAGGCAGGGGTGGACTGGCCTGACTCGACACCATCACCATTGACCGATACACCCGCCAAGACCATGGGCGGCTCCTCTTCCACTCCCACTGCCTCGCTCACCAAGTGGACCAACGCAGTGGGCGATGACGCCCTCGACGCGCCCGCATTCAAGGCGCTGCGGGGAAGACGAGTGGTACTGGCCAGCTCATCTCCCAGGCGCAAGGACATACTGGCTTCCGTGGTGAGTCGCCTTGCGTCTGGTGCACTGTTCTGCCTCGACGTTCCACTCTAAGCAATAAGCCTCGGTCCTCTTGCTTCGCGCAGGGTCTCCATGCCGAAGTCGTGCCCTCGACCTTTGAGGAAAACCTTCCCAAGTCTGACTTTGTTGGAGCCGCGGCATACGAATATCCAATCGAGACCGGAGCGCACAAGGCCTTGGAGGTATACAAGCGGCTAATGGTGAGCGACGGAGCAGCAGAACATGACAAGACAAGGCCCTTGAGCTGAATATTCACCTGCACACTACGCTCTCCTCGCACTCAGAGCGAGCACCCAGAGGATCCGCCGGATCTTGTCATCGCCGCAGATACAGTCGTCGTCAAAAGCGAAGAGATCATGGAGAAGCCCAAGGACGCTGCAGACCATGCCAGAATGATTGGAGAGCTCAACGATGGAATGGTGAGCTCCATTCAGCGCCTAGAAAGGGTGTGACGAGCGCGCAGCTACTGCCTTGGTACAATGCTGAATCACACCCTTTCACGCCCCTCACCATATCGGCAGTGCGAAGTCATCACAGGCGTGACAATCATACACCCTATTCTCCATGCACCCGGATACCAGGTGCGCTCCTTATCTGAAATCACAAAGGTACACTTCGCCGACAATCCCGCCGAGGTGTTGCAGGCCTATCTTGAAAATGGCGAGGGCTCTGATCGAGCCGGGGGCGTGGACATTCAAGGCAAGGGCGCAATGCTCGTCAAGAGCATCGAGGGAGACTACAATAACGTCGTAGGATTTCCACTCTTTTCGTGAGTACAGTGCGAGAGGAAGCGCGATGAGACTGTACAGAAGGGCTGAGACATTTTGCCCTTGCTCTGGCCCTTGCTCTGGGCACGCCACCAATGCAGGTTCTGCGCCTTTCTGCACGAATTGGTAGAAACCGAACAGCTCACCTTCGACGGCGTTTGAGTCCCTAGAGATGCATAAGTACCGTCCGCTCAATCGTGTACTGATATTGCATTGCGAAGACCACCGCGTCAGTCGCTGTAGCGACCCAAGATGTGACACACGAACCTGGTGGACCCAACGTCCATCCTTGTAATTTCTCCCAGTTCGGTCAAACGCCCTGTTGCTGTGCACCTGCACGCTGTCAAACCTCTTAATCAATGCTGGTAATGGTGTTGCCCTTACCTGGGAAGCCAAGGGGCAAGAACCCACAGTCCCACCCCAGCTGCTCGAGGGTGAGGCCAAAGACGGTCTTGTCGTCTCCGTTAGCTGCTGCGATATTGAGGCGGGTATACTTCTTGGGGTCCTCCTTGTGAATCCTGTCAATGCGTGAGACCTGCTCCGAAGAGAGCTCGACGAGAGAGATGTTCTGCTTGATCCTCTCGATACGTGAAGACTTTGGGACCACGCTGCGGCCTTTGGCCACGGCCCAGGAGAGGGCCACCTGCGAAGAGGTTGAAGACGTTTGCTTTGCGATTTCGGCGAGCACTTCGTCCTTGAGGACGTCTGTTCGCTTCAGTGGTTGCCCCAGAGGTGAGTAGTACGTGATGTGGATTCCTTTTGCCTTGCAGTAGTCGGCCAGGGCGTCGTCGGGGTGGAAGGGGTGACCCTCTACTTGATTGATGGCCGGTACGACCTTTGCCGTCTTGAGCAGAGTCTCCAAATTCTGAATGGAGAAGTTCGACACCCCGATGGTCTTGACTTTGCCGCTCTCGTAAATCTTCTCCATATCCGCCCACGTCTCACCAAAGGTAGGACCGTCCTGGCCCTCCAGGCCGAAAGCTTTGCCCGTCTTGGACGACACGCCCTGAGGCCAGTGCATGAGCCACTGCGCGAGCGTTGAAGGTGGAAGAGGGTGAGTCAATGAGTCTTCGAAAGAGCGGGTGACGGATGACCTGGTTCATGGCGATGGGCATGACTGAAGCGCCTGGGTACTCACAGCGTCAATGTAGCCGAGACCGAGCTTCTTGAACGAGTCGTCAAAGGCAGCCTGCACAGCCTCGGCGGACTCTCGGCTGCTGTTGCCAAGCTTGGTGGTGACGAAGATTTCTTCGCGTGGCACGCTCGATGTACGGACCACCTCTCCCACCTCGGCTTCGTCTTGATAAAGGGCGGCGGTGTCTACGTGACGATAGCCGGCCTCTTCGATGGCATCTTTCAGCGCTTGCTTCACATTACGCCCGTTGGTGTCGACTGCGCCGGGTTGTCCAAGCCAGCAACCCAGACCCACCGAAGGGATCTTTTGGCCGTTGTTGAGAGTGAAGTGTGGGACTGGCGCTGCCATGGTAGTGATGTCAAGATTGTCCAGGATTGAAGTGGGATCTGAAAAGCTGTTCGATTGGAAGCTGAATGGCAAGTGAAGAAATGCTCGAGGGGGTGGAAAGCGTCGAGGCTATTGCTGTATGAAGGTAAACTCAAGCGGGGGTTGGAGCTGATGTGTAGGCCGGCTCGAGAAGCTTTGACGCACAAGTGGAGGAAGGGTGGCGCCCGATCGGGTTCCCTCCGCCCGGCACGCACACAAGCGGGCCGGCGTCCGTCAGGGCAGAGTCACCGGCTATAAGGATTGCAGATACACGTGTGCATCCAAGAAGTGAGAACAAGCTCCAGGCGACGAGGAGTATGGAAGAACCTCGAGCGTATGCTTGCCGACCATCTAAAGGCGCACGTCTTTGGCTAGCGTGCGACCGAAGAATGCTCGTCCGTGTTACGCAGCCAGCGCGCACGGAACCGCCAAAGACATCGTCGAGAGATGGTGGAAGCGGTGAGGGGAATCGCTATTGCACCCCGTACTGCGTGCATGCGCTCGTACACACTAGTGACTCCTCTCTGAAGAAATGGGTCAGGGTTCAGCGGCAGCGGCAGCCGAGAGGGGGGGGGGGGGGGGGGGGGGGGGGGGGGGGGGGGGGGGGGGGGGGCGTGAAAGGCAGATTGGGAGGGTAGTGTTGTGCACTGATAGCTACCACTGACATGTGTGCTTGTATTCTCTGAAGTAGACTGTGTCTCACATTGCAGCTAGCGGGGATGAGCAGCGGCGGGCGGCGTGGGGAGGTTTGGGTGGAGGAAAGGAGGGCGGGGCGCGGAAGGGTGTGCCTTGTAGCCTTGGTCCGCCCCAAGCGAGAGAACCCGGGGCAGCGGAAGCGAAGGGCGATTGCGATACCGAGGAGAAGGTGCAATGTTCGCTAGGCGTATTCTTCTGAGTCTCATCTTCCTCCCTCGAAGTTTGCTGACTGACGCAGGGCCCCGATACGGATATAGCTCCTCCCCTCTTCTGCTGCACGCTGAGCCGGTCACCTTTACGCTTCCCCTCCTTCACACGCGTTTCAGCTGGCTGAACAAGGCTCCGGTGGGGATGGGCGAGTGCGGGTGAATCGTGTGATTTCCGCACCCTCTGGGGACGAGGGCGAGGGGAGGGGAAGAGGGGAGTGACAGTGGGTCTGCCACATGGAAGCAGGAAGCATCATTGCGCACCACTACCTCGCCAGATGCTGTTAGAGAAGGGGGAAGGGTGCTCTGCCTTTGTGACGGAGAATGTGCGGTACGTCTGAGTTGGATAGGAGAGGAGCAGCAAGTGGTGCCGCCGTCGGGAGTGAGAGGGCGGCCATGATGAAGGTCAATCAATGCCCTTCTGGCCCCGATGCATTATTCATTGGAGCAGATTGAGCCTCGCTGCTGCTGGGACTTTGCCGATCCAACTCGGTGGGATGGAGTCAGGCAGGGGGAAGCGCGCCGAGGGATACCGGCACCCGGGTGCATCAAGGCTGCAGCAATCCGCGTGCACCACCAGACGAAGACCAAGGACGAACGACGAACGACGACTGACGACTGACGACGACGAGGAGGAGGACGAGGAAGAGGAGGACGAGGAGGGTGACTAGTCTCCTCTCTCTCTCTCTCCGCCCGGCTGCTTGGGAATCGGCCCCCAGAGTGAATCCAAAGTCCGACACACCCCCTCGTGCATGAGGACTGGTGTAGTGCGGTACTGCCTGGTAGGGGTGTGTGCGTGGGTGGGTGCCCTGATCCAGAGGCTGGTGTGATGCGCGCGGGGTGAGCCTGCTGCCTGCCTGCCTGCCTGCCTGCCTGCCTCTCCACTGCACCTTTGCTCCTTCGTCATCGCTGCTGCCGCCCTGTCCGTCGAAGCTCCGCGGCGTGAAGCGCTGAGACCAACGCCTGCCTCGTTGCCCTTTCACTCTGTCCCCTTTCCCCCCCTCCGCTCCCTCATTCACCCGGCGACGGCGACGACGACGACGACGACGAAGACGACGACGACGAGGATCTCCAAAGGGGTCAGCACCTTTTCCCTCTCGTCCATCTTCTCCTCCTACTCCTCTTCCTACTCCTTCTCCTACTCCTACTCCTACTCCTACTCCTAACCGCTGCTCAAAAGCTCCCCCTCCATCTTCCCTCCTCTCCTGCATTCCACGGAACCGCATCGCCTACTCGCTCCACTGCTCCCCCTCACTCGCTCCTTCATCTCCACTTGCACCTTGCCCCCGCCTCTCGCTCGGCAATCTTCCGTGATCCGCCTCTCCGCAGCCTTTCCCTTTGCACGCCGACTTCCCTCGTCCTCGCGTCCTGCTGAAGAGGCCAGCCCCTCTTCTCCGCCGATACCCTCCCTGCCGGGCGCATAATCACCCGTCGCCGTACCGGCTCTAGCCAAGATGCAGGGCATACCCATATCTTCCGCTTCCCCTGCCTCTGCTCCCTCCCACTGGGACACCAGGGGATTGGCAGCCATGCCTGCTGATGAGGCCGCTCCAGGAATGGCCCCAAGGTGAGTTACGACAGCGCTACCCTCCCCTGCCTACATGGCTGGACCCAAAGTATCCTTGGCACTCACCCCGATATTTCGCCTCTAACCACAGCACGTATGGCATCGAGTCTGGTTATCAGGCCTCTCAGCCCCAGTATGGTGGGTATACTTGCTATGCAACATCGCCGGACAGATCTTCAAGTCTCTCGAGGCTGACGTTGCTACCTCTCTCTCGCATCCTCCCCTTCGCAGGTGCAAACTCTTTCCCATATGTCCCCAATTCCTCTTCTACTTCCATAGGCACCTCCTCGTCCTATCGACCTCGGTCAGGCGACTACACCTCCGCTCACCGACCCAGCTACGTGTCTGAGATTCCACCTCCCACGTCGGTCCCGCTCCAGTACTCCAGCAGCGGTGGACCAGCGCCTCGTCAAGCCCCGCTGGGTACGTCTCTCAATTCACACGACGACTACACCGCGCCGGCGCCTTGGTCTCAATCTCAGGCCCCTTCCTTGACGGCTTCGCGTAACAACTCCATCTATTCCCTCGATGGTCAAATGGGGAGCATGGCTGTAGGACCCGGCAACGGGGCTGGCGTTGAGGGGCATGCTCCGATCTCTTCATACGGAGGGGCACCCTCTCAACCACAGCAGCACCGGCTGCTTACCCATACCATCCCCAACGTCCACGCCGATCGCCGGTTCTCACTGGATGATCGGCGTGCGCCTTCTGCCCGCAATGGCCCATCCGGCGCCAGCACACCAGGACGAACGTGGCCTTGGGGGGCCTCTCCATCGGCAGCGATGACCTCTTCTACAGGCAATGGGGCCGCAGGGGCAGGACCGACTCCCTCTTCTCTCCCCAGTGCTGCACCTTTCCACTCTCGCGCGTCTTATGACTACGGGTCCATGGGCTCACGCTCTCTCCTTCCCGGCAGCAACGGCGGAAATATGGGACCTCATGACTCTGCCTGGCAGAGTTATGACAGCAGCAACCTTGGAAGTGGAAGCAGAGGCAATCCTCTTGGTCTTGACTCCAATGCGCCCGCTCGAATGCGCGCCATGAGCTCAAGTGCTGGGCCCAGTCGAGGTCACCCATATGCGACGGCCTACGGAGGCGGAGGCGGCGCATCGGTCCTCTTCGGCAGGCCTTCGTCGCCGTCTGGAGAGTTTGATCAGTTTTCCTCTTCGGGCGGCAAATTCAAGCTCCTCCCCCCGAGTCAGTCGCCCTCGGCCTCAGTTCCTTCTACCATTCCTCCCGGTGTCGGGCCAGGAGGCGGTGTGACGCGTAGAACGAAGTTCAAACGATCTCGCACTGGCTGCTTGGTGTGCAGGAAAAGAAAGGTCAAATGCTCCCAGGACGGAACGCCTTGCCGACAATGTAGGATCGGCAAGCGTGACTGCTACTACCAGGAAGAGCCCCGAAAAGGAGGCAAGGGAAAGAAGAAGGGCGCCGAGGGAAGGAGGGAGAGCCTCGTCAGCGTTGATGGTGACGAAGAGGAAAGTGAAGAAGGGAGCGACGAAGAGGAAGGCGAAGGCGAAGGGACGTCTTTCGACGACTCCCTTCTGCCTCGAGGATCTCATCCCGAAGAACAGCTTCACAACTTTGGAGGCGCAGCTCCGATACCGAGATACGAGCCGCTCTACTCCGGCCAAGCGCACAACCACAGCTCTCATGATCAGCATCAACGAGCGACTGGGCCCGTCTATGATTCTGGCGTTAGAGGTGGCGTGGAGTTCAACATGCCCTTTGACGGTCACTCTGCATCTCAACATCCTATTCATCAGTCCCCGCACCAGCATCAACATCAGCAACAGCAGCATCAGCAGCACTATCACCACCCACATCAGACTGCAGCAAGCAGTATTGATACGTCGGTCAGGAGTGTGGGCAGCATCGGCAGCGCCGGTGGCGACAGCAGCTTTGATACAGGAGGCTCCACCGGGCCCACTTCCATTGGGAGCGCGAGCGCAGCCGCAATGCCTGGGGGTCCCATCTCAGGTCCGGTCCCATTGCACAAGGGTGAAGACGAGGGCCGAGGTGGAGGTGTCGCAGGTGGGGGTGGCGGGGGGTGGTACGACCCGGTTGCTGCTGTACTGAGAGGCGAAGACGCTCAGTCGAGGTACTTCTGATGAAAAGATGGCGAGGAAAGTGTCGTACAGGTTGCCAAGCTCGCAAGGGCCCTCGGGAATCGAGTCTGGCGCTCGAGGAACAGACGGTCGAATTATCATGATGGAGTGTTAGAGGAAGATGGCAGATGTTGTTCATGTAGATGTACCAGTAATCTCCTTGTTGTCTCGTCGCCTGTGATCCCTTTGATAATACCAAGGTCCATTGTGCATCCCATTCATGAACGCTGCCCTTGTGTGCTCGATGTTGGCCCCCGGCGGAAAGAGAGGTGGAGGCGGAAGGGCCCAGAGAATAGACAAAGACTACTTTTACAGACGAAAGACCAATGTCTGCTCATCTTTAATATCAGGTATCGCGAACATCATCGTCTTCGGAGCGTCGTTGGGTGACTTCACTCAGGCGCACTTTGATCCGCTGGCCGAAGTCGTGCTGACAAGAGCCTTGCCGCCGCTCTTTGGCCGGCCCGCAACAGCCTCTGCCTTACAGGATGTTTGCCCCTCGCAGCTCTTTCTCGTACCTCGCTCTCTCCCCCCTGCTGCCCACACACGTACCCTTCTTGCTGCGCAATTTCGCTGCCCTCAGATTTGCCCTACTCTCTTCTCTTGCATGGACAATCGTGGTCGTCTACGTACACTGGGGTGCAGGCATAGCCCCGGCGCTTTCGTGCAGAGATGTAACAGGAAAAGAGACAGGCTCAGCAGCGGCAGCGTCAATTTGGCCGACCCGGCAGTCCTCTGGGCTTGCTGCTTCGAGAGGACTTGCTGCTTCGTGGCTGGGGCTCCTGGAAGGCAAAGGTGCCGAAAGAGTCATGGCGAGTCTTGCTGGAGGTGAGTTGGACGGCGCTAGAACCTCTCTGCAACAGACTCTGATCTTTTCATCGCCCTTGCCTCTATGCCTTCCCTTGGTCAAGTGTCCTCACTTCTCCTCGCATTCCGCTCCAACTCGGCTCTGGCCCGCTGGGATGCAGCGGCCAAACATTGGACCGGCGTCAAGAGTGCGAGTAGCAGCTTGCTCCGGATCCTTGCTGGAGGCTTACCAGAGCTAGATATGGAGGAGCTGAGCGAAAACGACGAGCCGGATGCAGACTACAAGCAGCTGGGGGAGTTGCGAGAAGAAACGGATCTACAGTCTCTGCTCCGTCTAGTGCCCTGCTTCTGCCTTGCTCTCTTTCATCAGCTAGAAGGAGCACGCTTAGAGCTCGAAGGCGAGGAGAGGGGTTATGGTGGGCAGGGCCGCCGATCTCATCAAGCAGCGGACGCGAAGCATGTTGGGCGAGTGGACTACGGATCGCCTCAAGAATTGTATGCACTCTTGCCCGAGGGCTTCGTTCATAGAATGTGGCAGCGTCAACGACGTAGGAACCGCAGACGGACATGTTCTCCTGCTGACACGGAAATTGGGAATGGGGGAGCCGATGAGGAGCACGATGCAGTCTCCTTGTCACAGTCGACGGAAGCTAGGCGTGAAGCTCTTCTGAGCCAGAACGTCGACGAAGCACAAGAGCTAGCAGAGAAGGCGCTCCACAAGTCTCGACACAGCCCTGCAGCCCTGACTGCCAGTGGTCAAGGCGAGACGGATGTGCTCAGGCCGGATGACCTCGCTGGGGACATGATGCGGGAAATGCAATGGCTTTTAGGGAGGCTCAATGGGGGACTTCCGGACCTGAAGGATGTCATTGATACACCTAGAGAGCGCACAAGAGGCGACTTGACGCATAGCTCCAGCGCTGGTAGCATTCGGGGCGAGAAAAGAAAGAGGGACCGCGATCGTGTTGTCGGCAACAGTGGCAAAGGTGATTCTGGTAATGCTGCAGAAGAGGAGCAAGATGGTTCGCAGCAGCGCACGTCACTCGACACTGAGCAACAAGGGCTCGAGGGTACTGCTGCTGAAGAGGTCACAGCCATGCACACTGCTGCTGTGTCCGTCAGGAGCTTCGCAGACAGCGGCAAGCCTAAGCTCGCTACGCCGTTGTTTGCGCACTGCGTGGGCCTGCTCAATTCGTTGAGCAGCCATAAGACTGAATTGGAGCAGCTCAGAGATTTACCCATGCCGTAAGTCCGCTAGCAGACAGAACAAAGATGTGAAAGGCGAGAAGCATCAACTCACTGCTGTGCCTTTTTGCACACAAACAGGGCAATCCTTTCCTCACACCTTCACTTGCTCCTCAATCTTCATGTCATCTTCCATCCGCTCCTCATTGTGCCCCTGTTCCTGCCTCTTCCGACCTGCTGCTCTGCAGGAGCTACGCCTGTGGCATCGGGAAGTACTGCAGTGACACTGGCGCTGCTGCTGTCTGTACTGTGCAGCGCGGTGTTGCTGATACTGCATGCCATTGCAGAGGCTCTAGCGCAACCATTTGGAAAAGGCAGAGAGAAATTGCCCATGGTGAGATGGGTGGTCGGGGTGGTACAGGAATGGAGGGAGCTAGGAGAGTGAGCATGGGTCAAGAGAAGTACTCTCTTCACACCAGTGCAACGACATTGCAGTTTCTAACGCGCCATAGCGCCCGGAATTATGTGCTTGCCAGGCGCTGGTGTGACAGTCCAGAGGTGGTGTGTGCCTGCAGATAGCGAACTGCCATCTGTTGTTCCCATTTTAGGGCTGCCGATTATTCTGTCTAAACCCGGCTTAGAACACTGAGATTGGTTCTCAGCGAAAGGGTCGTAGGTTGCACGGTGGGCTTGCTGGCTCAGGCCATGGAGGATGATGCACAACAAGGCCGTATCGCTCTCTGCCTCTTGCTTTCTCGATCACTTGCTCTGGCTCGTATTGAGATGCGTACGCTTCTCTGCTTCCTTGTCCTACTGGCACGCTCACCCTTACGCTCTCCCTCGCCCGCCTCGGTTCCCATGGGCTTCACGGCCTGTTTCCCACGCAGTGGCCTTGCGCCATCTCCGCTCGGTCTGACGCCGCGATGCACGGCGGCCGGGCGGGTATGCGAGGCGCAGGTTGCCTCGGCAAGGCTGAAGTCGAAACATCTGAGACCCTTTTTTAAGACCACCGCCAATCCACTCGGCCAGCCACACACACAGCCAGCCGCCGGCGGGACCGACTCACAGCCTGGTCCACCAAGGGCAGGCGAGGCGAGGCAAGGCAAGGCATGGCGAGGCATGAGGCGGAAGTCCGACGAGGAGATGGGTTGCTTAGTGCGTGTAGCGACTTTTTGGAGTCTTGTTGCTTGTCAGCCATACCCTTGCCTCCATACTCTTACATCCAATCCACCTCATCCACCCCACCCCAGTCGCCCCTCATGTCGAGCGAGGAGGACTTTGACATGCCGCTTCTCGCGGCGGACTCCAGGGCAAGATATGAGTGGGCAAACAGCGAAAAGACCAAGAGGCGGAGGCCCGTTGCTCGGCTGTTCGTCAAGGTAAGCTGAGATCTCTGAACATCGAGGACTGAACGTTGAGCACTGAAAGAGATGCTGACCATCAACCACTGATGGCTTGTAGCTGTCTCTGGCATTGTATGTCATGGTCACTGCTGTTCTACTCATGGGACAAGTGCCCAATCCTTGGTCGCCAGCTGAGCCGAGCCCGCCGCCAGCCGAGAGGCGCTTTGAGGAATCTCTACTCCTCACTCTCAAGACGGGCTCCGCCGTTCTCTACAATCGCAGCCCAGTTCAACTCATGCACCTCTCTGCCAGCCGCAAGGCTCCGGCCAACGAGACCAGATGGCACGAATACATCCCAAATCAGCTCTTCTACTCAGATGCAGAAGAGTGGGTTGGGGATGTTCACATCAGAGACGTTCTTCAGACCGTGGCGAAAGATCCCGCTCGGCCCGGCGATGTCTTCGACGAATACCGACGACTTCATAGCTCTCTGGTAGGTGTCCGGGTGTTGTAGCATTTGGGAGGATAGCGTAGCTGGTCGTTCACCGGAAATATTGACCCTCACACCGACCTCCCATGCGACGTAGTCTAATCATCAGGACCCTTCTGCATCTAGCAAAAGAGGCTCGGAGAGTCGTGGCTGGGAATTGGACAAGTACAAATTCCTTCCTCTTCACGCAGATGCCGCGAGGCGCTTCCCTGATGTCAAGTACACCGTTTCGGTGGAAGCTGATACTTTCCTCTTTTGGAATCAGCTGGTGAAATGGCTGAAAGAGCGTGACAGGGAGGGTAAAGGTGCGGACGAGCTGAAGATGTGGGGTAACGGCAATTTGCTAGCTGTGAGTACAATTCTGCAGCTGCAAGCGAAGCAGCATGAACCCCACGGCAGTGGTCATCACAGGCTAGTCTTGCTGACCTTGAATACATCATGGGTCGTCCGTCCTGGTGGCAGGACATCTCCTTTGCCCATGGAGGTAGTGGCTATGTCATCTCGCGGGGCGTGGTCCAAAGCACCTTCGGGAGCGATGCACAATTCGAGAACAACGCCACTTTTCTCTCCTACTTGGACGACTCGTGCTGTGGTGACGCCGTACTGGCTCAAGCGCTCCAAGAACGCCTCCCAGGGTGGATTCCACCTTATGATGAATCCGAACCTCGCTTCATCGGGGAAAGTCCGGCCCTGTTCAATTTTGTGCCGCATCAATGGTGCGAAGCAGTGTTCACATTGCACGGTATCACTGCGTTCGATTACGTTCGATTGGACCGATTCCGAAGGACTGTGGAACCTTTGCTTGCAGAGGACGACTACATCAGGAGGGCGGATCTGTGGGAAGCTCTCATGCCAATCTTCCTCAGAGATCCGCCGCTGCCGCTAGGCCAAGACCCGAGCGGTGGTCTGTCAATTGTCACGTTGGACGACGAGACTGTGAGAGCGGAGAGTTGGCGGGGAATACCTCTTCATGAAGATCTTATCTATCCGCATGCCAAGACGGCGGAAGAGTGTCATGAGGCGTGTGTGGTGACTCCTACAGACGACGGCGAGTGTCTAATGTGGACATTTGACAATTCGGCAAGCACCTGTGAGTGTCGAGACGATGGCGAGGACAGTATTCCGGGACGTCCCTGAGGCGGTCATACTCACCATTCTGACTCTGTCTTCCTCAATGATCTACGATTGCCTCCTTACTCGACAGGCTACCGCTCGCCCACCGTCTACATTGGACAGGGCAAGGTCGACTTCACGACCGGCTATCACAAGCAGCGTATCGATGCCATGCGCGCGAGTCACGACTGCTCCGGCAGGCTAGGGAATATAGCTTCGCTGATGGCTGAATCTCATGTCGCATGAGAGGATACACCAGCCTACTGCATAGGAATTAACAAGGTCGATTGCTCAAGACGCGGAATCGAGTCACTGCTATAGTCGTCCAGGATTCCCGTATCTGCTAAGGCTGCGAGATCAGTACGCCTTTGCGATACTGAGATACGGCCTGATGCAGAAACTTCGTAGCCTCACGATACGAATGAGCGGTGTCGGCGCCTTTGAGCTTTAGCCTTCAGCCTCGTGAAGGAGCACAACAAGCACTCAAAGTCAATGTCTCGGTTCGTTCCTTCCAGAACCTCCGTCCGAACATCCTCATGTTTGGAGAGACTCTTCACCTGGTAGCGGTGATCAGCTGTCCGGCAAGTGCTTTCAGCCTGCACTGCTGATGACGATAAGCGGACCCGCACGTCTCTCGGATCGGGGTGTCTGTCACGATCGCAGGGTCGCTGAAAGAGGCATGAGTCTTCCAACGGTTCTGAGGGTGGGAACAAGCGCTCTTAAGCTTCGTCTTCCTGGCAGAGGACTGTGTCAGGGCACAATTGGGTTCATGTATCACTTTGCATTGCAACTGGCCAAGTGATCTGGCGCGATCAATTACAGCAACATTCGAGTCCTGCACAACACTCTTCGAACCATCAGATGAGACGGTTACCCAGCTCCTCTCGCCTCGACTGAGAAGCGGGGTCGTAGTACGGCCTCTCGCCGACGGAGACAGCGCGTACTCCAGCACGATCACTTTCATAATCAGGGCTAGCCGCATGGAAGGTAGAGCGATTGTCCCAAACTGCCAGATCATTTTCGCCCCACTTCAGACGCGCTTGCGCCGTGTGATGAGAAGTGACCAGCTCCAGGACATACTGTCTCAGGATCTCTCCTTCCCTCTTGTGCAGGCCCTCAAATCTCTGGAAGTGAGTGCCGACGCCAAAGACCGACTTCCAGCCGGTGACTGGGTTGGTACGGACGAAAGGATGGATGGCATCCAAGGTTTCGCCGACGTTGTCGTCGCTGCCACGGGGTCCGGGGTGGACGCGATACCCACCTCGCTTGGCTGCCTCGATGAAATTGGGTTGTGCATAATAACCTGTCAAGGAATCTGCGAGAGCCTTGAAAGGCGGGCTCAGCAGGTCGTAGATTTCGTACCCACTAGACCAAAGGGTGTCCCCACCTGTCGGGGGCACAGTGTGCACCTTCAGCGATGTGTAGTCTGCCGGAGCTGGCTCAAATGTAATGTCGCTGTGCCACTCCTCGGCATTGCTGACTCTGCTGGTGTACGTTGCGCGCCTGTGCTTGGAAGAGATGACTGAAATAGAATTATCCGTATTGGGGGTGCCCGCTTTGTCTAAGGGGAGGTGTGCTGCTTCTCGCTCGGCATTGATGATCGGATGAATGTGAAGGCCGCTCGAGGCCGGTTTGCCTGCCAGCCGACCGAGCTTATCGGTGAACGCCTTTTGCTCTTGGGGAGTCAGATCTTGTGAACGGAAGAAGACAACACCGCGGCGAGAGACTGTGGACAGTGCAGAAGGACAACGCTCCGTAAGTCTATGACCCAGTCCAGCCACTTCGTCATCTTTCCTCGCAACTCACTGATGATAGCCAGCTCTTTGAGAAGTTCGTCAGCTTGAGGGCTCTCCAAGAGATCCCGAATCTGTACCTTTGGGTATTCTCGTCCGATGACAGGGGTCACTTCAAAGCTCTCGTAAAGATCCAGGATGCCAGTCTGCTGGAGAGGCGGACGAGGGTAGCTGTCCGACGGAGGCTGGGAGTCTGTCTTGGTCGATACAGGGCTCATGGTAGGTGTCACGAAGGTGCAGAAGAGAGACATGATTGTGTCTGCCAGAGGAGTGAGATTTTAAATCTGCCCGACCCGCTCCGCAGGTCATCACATAGCACACATCATGTCTCGCTTCTATGGCGTGGGTCGCATAGACGCTGCCGAGCGTCTCGATCGTCCAACTGCAGGGCGATGCTGGCTCGTGCGCGCCCCACGATGGCGTGATGACGCGGGGACTCGCGTAATCTCGTCTGACGCGATGTCACGACCTGAAGCTCGGCACACGGCGCAAGTGTGCAAGTCAACCCAGAGATCTCGCCATAGATAGCTAAGCACTTTGAATTTGGCGCATATCTGGGTCCGCAATTCGGCTAAGACGCCATAGTGGCCTACCTGCCTACCGAGCAGGCGCGCCATGGCTGCTGAGGTAGTAGCGAGTCTAAGGGCGCTCTGGGGGTCTGCTGCGTTCGATCAGCTCATACGCTGAGGGACGAGAAGGGGAAAGATGTGATCATCGCCTATGCTTGCGGCATCCAGAGGCATGGAGGGAACAGGTCTTGGCACTGCATGGGATGGGTCCTTGGGAGCTCATCGCTTGACGGGCTATAATGAGGCATCACGCACCCGAGAGGGAATGAATGCGCGAGCGTAGCTCGTGCTTTGAGACACTAGCACGTACGTCTGAGGAGGACTTTTCGGCGGACAACATTGGCAATGGGAGCATTCGGCACTGTTATCTCACGTACATCTCGATAAGAAGGCTCGGCGCCATCCCTCGTCCCTTCTACAACCATCCCCTGCGTCACCAGTCTGTTGCACAACGTTATGTCTTCCCCAAGCAAATTGAGCCAACATAGCAACGAGCTGGCTTCGTTGCCTCGAGTCGAAAGCCGCACTGCGCTTGGTCAAAAGGACAGCCTCCACGATTCACCCTCGGAGTCCAAGACAGATCTTAATGACGTCTCTGAACAGGTGATAGCTCCATTGTCCGCTCTTGAACGGCCACCTTCGCACTTGAAGGACTTCTTGCGGCTGACAAGAAAGTCAAAAGCGGTCTTTGATCTCGATACCGTGGCCACGCAGCCTTCAGTTTATGACGATCCCCATCTTGCGAGATTCAGTCAGCCTCATCCTGAATGGGAGAACAAAAGTCGCTTTGACCCGCTGTTCCGTTGGACCTGGAGAGAAGAGAAGAAGCTGATCCGAAAGCTCGACTTTCGGATTGCTCTGTGGGCTTTTGTCAGTACGACGGAGACGCCGAAAGATCGGTCGTGGTTGCGCTTAGCTAAACTCCTATCCAATATTGCGTCCCACAGATCATGTTCTTCGCCCTAGATCTCGACAGGCAGAATATGTGAGTAGTGTCGACACGCCGCCATGCCTGAGACTAGACGCCACAGACTTATGATCATGTCTGTGTTACAACAGCACGCAAGCGAATTCTGACGGTATGCTTGCAGACCTGGGTATCAACACCAATGACTATAATCTTGGCCAGACTTTGTTTCGCATCGCCTTCCTGAGTAAGTATCTGCGGCGTTTCATTGCGAAAGCTCAAAATCAAGTTTATGGGTCACGAAGGTGTTGACGTCCCATCGCCTTTGCGCAAAATCCTCTTCAGCTGCCGAGCTACCATCACAATTGATCAGCAAGCGCGTTGGAGCTGACGTTTGGGTCCCTATCCAGATGGTCTGCTGGTCCATTCTTTCGGCATCGCAATTCTGGATGACCAACCGCTCTCAATTCCTTGCATTCCGCTTTCTCATCGGACTCTTCCAGGGCGGCTTCATCCCGGATGTAGTGCTCTATCTATCTTACTTCTACGTCAAGACGGAACTACCGCTCAGGCTCGCCTTCTTCTGGTGCTCAAATTATACCGTGAAGATCGCGAGCCCCTTCCTCGCGATGGGTGTCCTGCGAATTCATGCTGGCGGAAACTATGGATGGCAGTGGCTGTTCATGATTGATGGACTTTTGACGCTCTCCATCGGTCTTTTGTCGTTCTACAATATGCCTGCCAGCCCCACGGATCTCCACAAGAGAAGGGGGTGGGTCACAGAAAGGGAAGAGTATATCATCGTGAGGAATGGTCGACGTTGTGTTGATTTCACTCCACCGTGCTGATTGCTGATTCATACGTCCGTTGCGGCACCTGGTGTTTCAGGTCAACAGAATCATACGCGACGATCCGACTAAAGGTTCCATGCATAATCGTCAAGGGCTGGACTGGACTACCTTCAAGAAGAGTCTAGCAGACTACGATCTTTGGCCATTGTACTTGATCGGACTGCTTTTCATCATGCCATCTGTCCCTTTGGCCAATTATCTTACGCTTCAGCTCACGGGCCTGGGATTCGACACGCTTACCACAAACGCCCTTGTCGTCCCCTCCCCAGCTTTGGGGATTCTTATGCTTATTTTGGTTACTCTCGTTTCGGAATTGGTGGATAACAGAAGCTTCGTCTGCATGAGCGCCAATGTATGGTTCTTCATTTTTACTCTTGCGCTGTACCTCCTGCCCGCCAACTCGAGCAGGTGGGAGTTTTGGATTGTCGCGACTCTGCAACAAGCTTGGCCATACGTACATGCAGCCCAAGTCGGGTGGCTGTCACGAAACTCCGGATCTGTCAGGACTAGGACCGTCAGTGCTGCCGTATACAATATGTGAGTGTCTTGTGGCGCAGGACACCAGACTTTCGATCAGAAAAACTGCCCGGAGGACAGCATCCGTCGAGCCGTGCTACAGTGCTCAGCCCTTGTTTCTCTTCCGTTCACTCCTAGGCTTGTTCAAGTGAGCACCATTATTGGTGCCAACGTATACCAAGAAAGCGATAAGCCGCTTTACAAGAAGGGCAATCTCGCAATGACCATCTTGGCCGCGTGCAATTGTGCATTGTACGGTAAGTCCGCATATCTGTCAATGATGGATCCACTGTGCCAGGCGATACTGACAACGGCCAATCGACACTGCCAGTGTTCACCTTCTACTACTACCGCTGGAGGAACTCATCGCGTGATAACAAATGGAGTGCCATGACGAAGGTGAGTACCAAAGTCACAAAACACAGCGAAGCTTCAGCTGACCTCAAGGGACCGCCCGGTCTTGTGCATCCTCGCAGGAACAGCAAGTGCGGTATCTACAGACTACCAAGGACGAGGGCAACCGCAGGCTTGACTGGCGCTTTGCTTACTAGAAGGTCGTGAAAGCAATAGAACGGGGCCCTTGAGCGGGCGAGAGTGTTGCAGACCGATGAGGTCTGATCTGGATCGGCTATAGTACGAACGGGTATACTGCAGAGTGCAGTACGGGACACGACCGCAGTACTTGCTCTCTCCAATGTGCTGCACCCCGGCCATATTGTCCAGCAGCTGAGTCTTGGCGTTCTGATCCCGTGAAGTCACTTTGAGGTCGCGGTTGTAGAGACTCGCTCATTTTCAGCAAGTAAGCCCAAGAAAGTCACGTGTGCTTCTCGCCGAAGCTCGCAGACCGCAGAGACTCGCTGGGTGCAATGCTGCCTCTTTTGTCTCTGAGTTGCACTGTGTTACAGTATATCGCACCTTCGTTACAGAGTGCACGACGTGTTCCCTTGACAATGCATTACAGTACTGTACAGTATCGCTCATGGGATCGACCAGAATACTTTGGCCCCGTCAGCCTATTGCAAGCTTCGCGAATTCTGCACGCACTGTGCAATACTGTTGGCACCGCGACTTTCAAGTATACTGTAGTACAGTACAGTACCTCAGTCTCTCACAGTATGCACCTCCATGACTGTAGCTTCCCTCGTATATGGGGGTGATGCCACAGGCACCCCGCTCACACCAACGGTGCACTCAGGCTGGTTATACTTCTTTATACTGTACTGTACCAGACTGCTGGTACAGATGCCGTATGTCACGTTCTCTGGATGATAAACCCTTGGCCACGGTATACAGTAGTACCGTGAAGTACAGCTACAGTACAGTATTGCAATTGGCCCGCCCAAAGAGGATAACCTTTGCGGGGCAATTCTGTACACTCTGCTGTGACTTCACGGGTCAACCTGCCCGCCGCGACACGAAAGCGGATCAGGGTCATTACCGACTGGGTTGCGACACTGCACTCACTGTATTGTACAGCCGAACTCAAGTTTTTGTGACCCTCAACATAGCAATTGAATGGCAAAGCACAGAGATCTGATGTCCCATATGTTACTGACGATACAGTAAGCTGTCATCACAGCATCTACGGACAGGCGTGTATATGTGATGCTACGGTGACGGTGCGCAAAGATACAGAGTCAGTGCAAGCCACACGAGCTCACCCTTCTTGCTAGCAAGCTCGTCCAGGCTTTCGCAGAACCAAGGACTTGCATCAGCGATGAGCGTCTTGGGCACCTTGTACACATGCGACTCCACAGCAGATAGCTGATCCGTCCTACGCCTGTCCTTACTCAACTTTGGCCACGTCAGACTCACTTCAGCAGTCTCTCAAGAAATCGGACAGCCTGATTCAGTCTAAACTGACACTAAAGCAGTAGACAGTGCCAGAAGTGAGCCTGCAGGCTGCAAATGTACTCTTTCTGTCACTCAATTCTAGCAACACGACAGTCAAAGTAGCGGACTGACAGGAGTTGTGGCAACCTGCCTCGCATTGTAGCTAGCTCAGCTGAAGTCAAGCCACAATTGAGCAGGTTTCAAGCACTACAGCTGTATCATGCGGCTACTTTTGAACGTGCATTCTGCCAGGATACTTTGCCTTGGCTGCAATTTGGGCAGAGCGGCTGATCTGACCCCTATTTGGCGAGAATTGAGTGACGAAAAAAACACTCTTGCGCTTGCTGTATTTGTGGCTTACTGTACGTACCATTTTGAAGCGCAAAGATTGTCTTATAAAATGCAGATCCGAGAACTTTCAGAGTACAGTACAGTACCGTGGAGCTTTCGTTGTTGTCAGCCGATTTCCAAGGACGCTCTGGTCAAGACTCGCTGTGGAGCACCAATAAAATGCAGCCAGCTCAACAGCGCATATACAGTACTGTACTGTACCAATGCCGTACAAGGAATTTGGCCCTGGCGTCCGAGAGCAGCCCTAGAACCTGCTCGCAATGAGCGTTTCCCGCGCTACAGTACTCAGACATTGACACGCTCTTGACCTCGACTTTGCAGCGCAACACTGCATACTGTACCGTACGGCAGTCTCCGAGGGCACCCTGCCGGTCAAGCGGGTGGGCAGGTGTTGACTTGCGAGCTTTGAGTGCTGCTGGACAGTGCCAAGCGAGGGAGACATGCATGGCACACGAAAAGGCTTTCACAAGCCGTGCTTGACAAGGCCATCTACTCAATCGCTTGGCATTAGCCACTGCGCCTCGAAACGGCTGCCGCCAGCAGAACGATCGAGGGATGGCAACGAAGAGAATATCCTGCAAATGTTAGCCCGATTTTCACTCTTCCCGCTGAAGAACAGCTCAAAGTGTCTCACACCAATTCCAGCTGAATCTGAGCAATTTGAGCGCAAACCGCACTCAGAGTTGGAGACTCCGCATTATACAGTATTGGCAAGAGTAATGCCTCGATCCACAAGAATTTTGCTCTTGAGGCAGCTGCTTCTTTTGTTATCACAATACTCAATTCTAACCAGCCTGGAGGGGGCCATGTGGCAACGTTGCACCGCTCTGACGTTTGGATCCGTGTCAGTTGAGCTCACTGCCAGGCAAATTGTGCGAAGAAGGCTGTCAGCGGTGAATTGGTATTGCCAAAGCGAAAGATATGGATTTGGGCAACAAAAGACAAGGGCTGAGCAAGCCGTATAGTGTTCTGATGGCATGGCAGCGTGATCATACTGTAAGGCAGTACAGTACAGTATTCGTAGGGGTGCAGCAGCCCACGAATTCTGTTACAAGGGCACCAGCCACAACACGTTGCTTGGTACAGTCATTGCTTGTGGCAGTCATTCGGTGAGGGTTAGAACATAGAAAAGCTCTATTTATACTGTACAGTTGCACCTCTAGGCGATCTGTGCGGAAAAGCACATTATGGTGCCTTTCCTGCGCTGCGAAGTACTGCTTTTGCGCATCGGCCTGCAGCAAACAAGCGCTTCAGGAAAGATTTCGCACTTCAGTGTGATATTGGTAATTGGTCACCTTTTGTGAAACATTCAGGTGCAACGTGAAGTGTGCAGAGCTACGCGATTTCTGCACTCTCCGAGCGAATCGTCGTAATCGCCACTCACTGATGATGCGAAGTCACATACTCTCGCAAAGGTCAGACGAACGGCTGCGACAGGCAGGTTCTTCTTTCACTCATGTCTAGCCACCGACATGATTAGCCGCCGACATGATTGGCCACCGACAGCAAAGTCTCGCCAGATGCTCACGATTCAGCAGGCACAGAACCATACTATATTGACCAAATGTAGGGTCAGTCATGAGGGCGCAAAGGTCCTACAGTAGCTCTGTTCATGACGCAAGTCTCCGTCCGCGCCTTAGCCTCATTGTACAGTAGCTTTCGCTCTGACTCCTCTGGTGGTCAATTGGCGGCACGGTACAGTGGTACTGTACAGTCTTGCGCTGTTAGAGGAGGGAGTCAGCAAAAGAACAAAGCCGTCCAGTGGCATTTGACAGCAGATTGTATAGATTTTGGTGCTACGTATACCAGTCCACGATACGAAAAGATCATCTCAGTCACCATTGTGGCTACTGAAAAGCTGCTCGAGGTTTCCGATGGCGACAACCGCCTCCATCTCTGCCACTGGAGTCTCCTGAACTCTGACGTTGCGCCCCGTAGCCTACGGTACAGAAAACCTGACGTTGCGCATGTCTCAATGTATGTTTTTTGATAGGCGAAAGCCGATAGTAACGGAAGAGGACGGAAGTCCTCATCCTGTCGTGGTTCGATGTAAAGAAGGATCAATTGCGGCGAATCTCCAATGCCAATGTGCATCACCAGATGGCCTCTGCTTGAAACACTCGTGAGCTCCGCCCTCTTGATGCTGATGGTTGCTGTCGCTGCTGAGCGTCTTGAAGAGCCGGGGATCGCTGCTCTTGTTCGACCATGAAGACATTCCCACAGCAGACGACCAGCTGGCCACACCGGGCAGACAGAGTATGGCACGTTCCGGACCCGACGCTATGAGACTGTATTCGTGCGCCCATTGTTCTGGGCGAGGCATGACTGTACTCGTACTGCCAATGACGAATCCAATGGGAGGCACGATGAGTCTCACGACCGACTCATTCACCTTCGTTTGGTGAGTCTGCTGAAGTCTAGACACACTTGCCCTTACTAGATGCATTTCCTTGATACGGCGTGACCATAGGAGATACAGTACTGTACCTGCCCTGTCGCTAGGACTCGATCTTTGACGCTATCTTAGACACAGACAAAACTACAATCCTTGGGCAAAATTCGCCGAGACACGCAGTGAAAAAGGTCCGCCGGTGACGATTGCAATTTGACTCATATGCGGGAACAGGGTGAGGATGTTTTACAAAGGCTGCTGAAGGGGGCTCAACTGTGACACCGATGCCAGCTAACCACGTCAGCATGGGAAGGAGGGCTGCTCAACCGACTCGGCGTGGCCGTGGCGGCCTCACTGTGGCTCACTTCGGCCCGCCTCCGACATTGACAACGAGTATTGTCTTGGATCGCGCCGCCTCTGAAGATTCGTACAGGTCATCGAGCCTGAGCGCTGCCTAAGGGTACTCAGCCTGCTTCTGCTGGCACACCCGCAATTCCCGGTCCACTTCAGCTTGTGGCTTGACGGCAACCAACTTGTCCTCCTCGACGTTGTGCCGAGAGTCCAACTTGTAGTCGGTCATGAAGAAGCTGAGGACAAGTGGCACGAACATGATGATCAGAGCGGGGAGACTGCAATCTCTGTAGCTGGCGTTGAATGCCCTGATGATTTCGGCTCTGGGTTCAGCATCGTGAGCTACGTATTGATCATAGGCGATGTTATAGATGTCGTCGGCGGAGAGGGAAGGAGCGTACTCGGCGAGGTAGATGGGCAGATTCTTACTCCATATGGCACCGACGGCGGCCTGACCAATAGCTCCTCCGATGCTAGTCCAAAGAGAAAGCAGCGCAATGACGAGAGCAAGGTCCTTGTGCTTGACAGAGGCTTGAGAAGCAGTGATGGTAGCAACGGCCGAAATTCCTGCGCCAGCGTACAGGAGGAATTTGCCCATGACGAGAGTTGCCGTGGTGACATCGCCGGAGGCTGCTTGATAGTACGTAATACCACCACCAATGCATCGAACCGCGAGACCGCCGAATTGGAGGTACTTGTATCTGCCCCAAAAGATCTGAATGAGTCCTCCAATGGTACCGAAGAGACAAACGGCAACGTTTTCTGTCTGGAGCAGGTAGCTGTATCCTCGGTCGTTGTAGTCCGTGACGACGTAGACCCAAACGGTCCAATACGTATCGTTCAAGTAGGCACTACAAAAGTACGTGAACTGAATTCCTACGCACATCAGGAAGGTTCTGTTGAGCACTCGCGTCGGCATCAGAGGATACGAGGCACCCTTCCACTCCCAAGCGAGGAACGCCAAGAAGAAGATACCTCCGCACGTCATCATGGCGATCATCGAGGGGTTTGCCCAACCGCCAGTGGCCGTAGCCGCCAAGGTAGGCGGAGACAGCAGCATGGCGAACGAGAATCCTAGTAGGAGTAGACCAAACGCGTCTGTACGCACTACAGCACTCTTGATACGAGCCCACTGCGAGGACATGCGCGTCTCGCCCGCCAAGCCAACTTGGTGGCGCATGGAAGACGCCGTGATGGAGAGGACTGTGGGCGTGCTTGGCAGAAAGGGAAGGGTGTGAGGAGGATCGCCAAAGACAAAACCAATGAAGACGTGTGAGCACTTCTGTACGCACCACCACTCTTTCTAGCCTTGATGTCGGCCCAGAGGATAAGTCCGACGATAGGAGCTAGACAAGCAGGCATCATGATGCAGAACATGCCGTACTGGTGTTTCAATGGAGGAAGTGCGGATGAGAGCGTTCATGAGCATTTTGGCTGAAATGTAGCACATTCGCCCGACTACAGTACTCACTCCCCACCTCCAATTGTTCTCGCCCAAGGCTGAGTAGATCTCGCTGGCCACGAAGGCGAACAAGATGTACGGAAGGGTGATGGCACCGTTGACGAAGCCTCGGTATCGCAAAGAGGTCAGGTCTCCAATGATGAGCGATTGCATGAAGGTGAGTCCAGCGTTTCCGATGGTGTAGATAACTTGTCCAGCTGCCACAGTCTCGACGTTTGAAGAGGCAGCCGTCATCAAATAGCCCAGTACGTAGAGCACGAGAGAGGCAAGGAGGGCCCAGTGTCGAGACCAGAGATCGGCCCACTTGGCCCAAAACGGCTGTGAGACTGCTGAGGCGATGGACGCAACAACTGCAATGGTTGATAGCAGATTGTTGGATACGTACGCAGATGTAGCGAAGGAGAGGTCTGCCGTGCGTTGCGTGAAAATTGGGGGCAGTCAGCGAGAGAGTCTGGAGATAAGCGGCTTCTGAAGCAATCCCTTATTCGAGCTGCACTCACAAAGGTACGTAGTGTCGGAGCTCAGGGCCATGGCAAAGCCCCAGAGGGTGAATGCACCCCAGAAGGACCAGAGCAGCCAAGATTTTCCAAAGATCGAATAGAAGGCTTCGATTCTGTTGATGCCCGCTGGTACGAACTCAGTGTCTTGACCTGCGCTGGGCTGGTTGACTTCGCCTGCGGCGGCATCGCTAAAGGAACCGCTCTTCTCCTTGTCGTCGTCGAAGCCTTCTAATCCCTCGCTGGGAGTGTGGGTACTGTCAACAATCTTTTGAGTTGCGAGCTGATGCAGAGGCGCATTGGCGACGGCACCACTGGCCATTGCGGAGGAGGGTTGAAGAGGGTAGAGAAGAGGTGAAGGATGGGGTATGTGGGAAAATGAATGAGTGCGGGGCTGACTGAGGTGCTCTGATGGTGAACGAGCAAATTACTGTCCGACGAGAACGAACAGAACTTCTTATGTACCCTGCATCGCAGCCCGAGCAAGAGCGTCTCTGGGGGGCCACCTCGCTGATGGACGAGGGCAAAAGAAGACTTGCCATGCTGCTCGTTTGCTGAGGGGGTCAAGTGCGCCACAGCGAACCTTTGAACGTATAGCTCAAAGGAGGTTCCCGGGTAGCTTTGAAGCAGCCACTGCCTGTTCCCACTGGCTTCTGCATGGGCAGCGGCGCTTCAAACTTAGAATCACCTTTAATCAGATGCGCGATAATCCGGCGACTGCTGCAGTGCCAAGTGACTCCGTGCAGAGGCGTCGACGCTACGATCCATTTGGTCCGCTTGTCTCTCCCCCTGCTGTCGGAAAGGGGGCCCTTCGGTGGTCCCGCCGCTCTTCGTGCAAACGCCTCCTTGAACGGTGAGAGCATTGGGCATCCGACCACCCCGGAGCTGTGGGTGTCCTTGCTCAGGTCTTCTTGCCCGCTTCTGTTGCTGTCGGTGCTGGGGAAAGGGAGACTCTGAAGGCTTTGGTCGACGGGTGGCGCAGCCCAAAGCTGCTGCTGCAGGCGTGTCCGACCGGGTCCTCGGCGCAGCCGATATTGGCTCTCCGAAATGATAAGCATGGTCAGGCTTTTCCTTGGCGCCGATATTGATGGCAGACTGTCGGTGTGATGGTTTGACCGGACGGGTTTCGACGGGACTGAACGGGCAGTCGCACCAGCCACACATGCTGCAGCGGCCTACAGAGATGTGGACCTGCAATGAATGGCAATAGTCTCCACACCATCAGGGGGTCCAAAGTACCCGAGCCAGCCCATCAGCGATGCTCGAAAACTTGGATGAAGAACGCTGCAGCGTGCAGCTCAAAGTCTACACTTAGGGAAGTGTCTGCACAGGGCAGGGAAACCTGTTGAAATGACGCGAGCAAGGCAGCAGGACATGCGAGGCAGCCTCGTATCGCTCGTCTTGTATGAGCGGGGAGCCCATTCTGCTCTCTGCCGACCATTGAGTCTGACAGCTACCCAGCTCGGGCTCGCAAATGCCTGTTGCCACACCTCACTGTGAGTCAGGACAAGTTGGTGTCATCAACCAACGTGAAGGAAACTCAGGGAGAGGGGTTGCTGGGCAAAGGTGTCGGGAACGAGGTACGCTAGTCAGGAAGAGGCACAGGTCCGATCGGCGTCTGAGTTTCCGCGTGAGGAATGCCTGCCATTGGCGCGGCGAAGTGTATGTATTCACTTGTATCAGAAAGGAAGACCGGAAAAGTACAGACGGTCTATTGAAAGCGAAAGACTCTGAGCGGACCAGCCGATCAAAGGGGGGGGGGGGGGGGGGAGGCGAACCTTACGAAGACGATTTGAGGGGGTGGACATTCTTCCTGTCAAGCACCGAATGGGGTGGCAAGGGTGGTGTCAGACGGGAGCAGGATCTAGTCTCGCAATTGCGTCGATACTCACTGCAGCAAGGCGTGATCAGAGGTGGCAGGCGGGTAGTATTCGCACACTTCCAGCCATGCACTGCCGCACTTTTGCTTGTAGCATCCCACCTGGGTGGTCAGACTGTCAGCCGCGAGGGACAGAGGGCAGACAGAATACGTAGAGGTCAGTATCGGTGAAGCACTGCTTCAAGAGCCATTATCCTCGCTTCTCCCCCTTGAGCATGGATCAACTCGTACGCACCTGTAGATCATGTTGATGAAGTGTCCGCCCTGGGAGTACTGGATGTTGGACCAGTCAATGTCCGAGACCTCGGAGTAAAAGCCTGCAATGGCAGACTTGAGAGAAGGGTAGTTGGCAATGGACTCGGCGTACTTGTTTCCGTTGCTGTGCTCGAGGGGGTCGACGTTGCACTTTTCGGCCCAGTTCTTGGCATAGGTGGCCAGCTCATCAGACCACTTGAGGTCGGGAGTGTTGACATGCTTTGCTCGTAGCTCGTTGTGCCTTCGCATGGTCGTCTGCCTCAGCAGCTTGGGGAAGGCTGAGGTGGATCGTCCCTCGAGCTCTTCGAAGTCTTCATTGTCATTGAATGCGCCTCGCTTCTCATTGGGGAGATCCCTGAGGGAGAGAGAGGTGGGGAGGACGGGACTAGTCAGTCTTTACTCATTCAAGAACCATCATGGCGAGCACTTCGCGCACAGTCCCCTCTACTCACAGCTCCTGCTTGGCTACATTTCTGTGGGAGAGGGGAACTTTTTGGAAGCTGGCAGTTACCTGAACGGCCAGGAGGACAGAGGCGAGGAGGAGGATGGTGAAACGCATCGTAATGGGCAAAACGAAAAGGGTTGGTAAGGTGGTGCGGAAGAAAAGAGGGCCAATGTCTTGCAAAGGGGATGAAGAAGCGAGGGTGTAAAGGAGAGTAAGGAGGATGACGAGGGTGGAGAATTGTAGTATATATGTTCAATCAGGTCCCACCCGGCGGCCCCTCATTGGTCCTGGCTGCCCCGAGCGAGGTGTTTGCGGGGAAGTAGGGACGAGGCGTGGCTTGGCTGCTTCGAGGAAGCCCCTGTGTTATTCCTTGTTTCAGCCTCCGCTCCGATCCCCCCCCTTTTAGACGCCGCACTCCTGGCCGTGGCCTCTGCGCCAGTGCCTCTTCGGGTCGCGACGCGCCTCGGATTCCTCGCGGGCGTCAGCGGTGGGCGCCATTCCAGAAAAAAGGGCGGAGGGGGATGCAGGCAGGTGATCCGTCGCAGAGGCAGATGATTGATCGTACATGCGCCAGAGGACTTCTGACACCAGCCCCCGTGCCCTGGCATCACCACCTCGTCGACTCATCGCCTTGACGCCTTCTGCAGACCAAGACATTTGGGCCACAAAACCATTCCCGCCTCATGCATCGACGCCCACTGCAGCCTTCGTACGGGAAGAATACCTTTGCAGCAACCTCTGACATCGTCGACGCTGACATGTGTCTGGTCCGTGGCCTACGTGCAGGTGTCAGCAAGCATCAGCGATGGCTCGTCTAGAGTCGTCAGCAGCTCACTTGCAGTCTGGTGATGAGCTAAGGAGCCCTTGTCTACGACGCCGCCCTCTGTGCTTTCTCCAGATGAGCCTGCGCAAGCAAAAGAGATCACCACTACACCACACACACCCATCGAATTTGAAAGAGCCGTAAAATTGACAACATCAACGGTCTATTTATACAATCAAGACAGATCAAATCCGGCGCCACTTCTGATCGCCAGCAGCAGCTTCTCCCTCGTCGTCTCCAAACTATTGTAGCGAGGCAGCTTAAGCAGGTTTACGCAGGTACTGCTTGTCGGAAGGCGCTGCTCGTCGTCTCCGCTGCACCGAACGCAGAAGCGCGGGTTGAGCTGACCAAAGCCAAGTAAAGGTGGCGAGGGGCAAGATGTGACAAACTTGAGGAACTGAGCACGGGTCGGCTGATCGAAGGACTCTAGTGTTTCCCAAAGGTAGGTCATAGTGAGGTCCTTTTCGTGGTAGTCTGACAAGACGGTGTTGGCTCGCAAATCGGCAATGTTTATCGGAGAGTCGCTGCCCTTGATCAGCTCCTGCAGCTCAGTCTGATTAAAGATGCGCAGCCAACGAGGGTCAATGAGCTCTGACAGGCCGGCAAAGAAGGCATTGCACTGAGCCCGGATCTGAGCGTCCAAACGGTAGTTGGCGACGAGGAAGATGTAACTCAAGCGATTCTTGTTGGTGACTGCAATGTTGGCGCCGTTGGGCATCAGCTCTGTACTTTTGCGCACTCCAAACTCTTCGTCGGTAACAGTGAAGTTAAGGGACAAATCTTGCTCGACGTCTCCGGTGTAGTTCTTGAGGTAGATCAGCCCACGGTACAGTTCCGAATCCAGAGAATCGAGTGACGCCAAATCATCCAAGTGCGACAGTCCCCGTCGACCTAAACACTTGCTGAGGAAAAAGGGCGCAAAGCGCACGTCCACTAGAATGCCTTCGTACAGGGCTTTTCCCAAGATGCGTCCCAAGAATGCATACCAGGACAGCTGTTCCGACTGGCGAGCATACGATTGCGGATTCGGAAACAGCTCCTCTTGCTCTGTTGCTTTCCACAGACCACGGTCGGTGTCGAATGCTTCTCGAGCAAGAGATGTCAGGAATTCCTTGAAGACGCCTCCACCATCAATACCTGCCTCTTGCATGCCAAATTGATCGACAAAGACAATCTCGATGCTCTCCTTAAGCGCACTGCCTAGGCCATTGAGCTGAGCCATGCCATCCTCGGCTACATGGTCTCGCCGAATCGTGACCCTCTTGCGTCTTTGAAAACCAGTATTCTGCCGAATGTCATTGCGACGAGCGTCGCGAAAGACGAACGTCTCAAAGATCTCCACTCGAGTGGCAAAGGGCAGGACAAAAGGCAGGTTGTTGAGAATACCAAGACGCGGAGAAATAAAGGCTAGCTTCCGAGCCGAAATGTGCTGCCTTGACGGCAGAGCATGTCGGGGTATAACGACGTCCATATTGACTCGATCCTGGTCATCCTCTTCATCGTAAGCACCGAGCCCATCGCCTGCTGCAGCAGCTGCCGCCTCGCTCGCTGCCGCCTCTGCTTCAGCGTTGTCGCCAGCAATCTTGTCTTCCTCGAGCAAAACGGACTCGACGAATGATTCGATGTCCATGTCTTTCGTCATCAGCCAGAAGCCCTCGGGAGTGAAGCGATGTCGTGCGTCCCGAGCGTGAAGTTGTTGCAGCAGTCGAGTAGCACCATCGCGCAGCGTGAGAAAGCTGAGACGTAAGCCAGGCACCATGTGGGCGGCACCACCGCGATTGGCTGCTTGCGAGGAAGAAGCCACGGGAGGATCCAACTCCCAGTACAGACTGAAAGCGAGATTGCGCAGCACCGCTCCGAATGACAAGACTTCGTCAATACTTAGAGGATTTCGAGCAACGGCAACTTGACCACTGCTGCCACCTGACGAGGTAGCTCCCAACACTCGCGCCGTCTGATGAGAGACATCGGCGTACGCCGATCTATCACTGAGACCTCCTCGAGGCGGCAGAAACTCGTCATCACCGAGTGTGAGGAGTAGCTTGGAATAAAGCTCCAATAATAGGACGAGTGCAGGCCAGCCTTCCTTGTCCTGCCGCAATGCTTTCCAGCCGTTGGCCGATGATGGGTTGCCCAGGCTCCTTGACAAAGGTGATGAGCGGAGGTAGCCTCTCCAAATCTCTCGAACGAAGCCGCCAGCTAATGCAGTGGACGCAATGCCTGCTTCGACGCCGAGGCCATACAATACTATGTTGAACACGGTATTTCTTGTGTCTTCTGGCCAGCTGAAAAGCAGTGAGCATAGAAAGGCGTACAGAGCAGGTCTTGTCGTCGACGGCGATTTGGCTGATACAGCCAGTATTGCAGAAACATGCTTGACGGATGGCAGAACAGCAAGCCGCTTCTGTGTATCGGCATCAACTTCGCCAGTGGAGGTCCGTGGCGTTGTCAAAGACATCACAGGTACCTGATCCTGTAGCGATGTGATCACTGCTAAGTAAGAAGCAAGCGTTTTTCCATCCCCAAAGCGGGTGATTCTCTGGCTGGACAGCGAAAGGATGTTCGCCAATTGATGGATGGCATGATTCGATGATGCCTTGACGGGAGACCCTCCGAAAGACTGCAAATGGTCAACAACCTCCGAGAGAGGGAAGTTTGCAGCGATCTGAGCAAATTCCAGAAGTGGCAATCTGTTGGGGAGTACGGGTATACGTAGTATCACTTCTGAGAAATACTTGATGTATTGGTTCCTCACAGGTGTTCCTTCCACCTGCATAGAATGGGACCCAGCCTTGAAGTTGAACGGTGTCATAAGCAGTCGAGCAAGAAGTTGACACAGGATCGGTGAGCCTGATTTCTTACGATCGGTGGGCAATGATAGGAGAACGGCGCCGAAGACATCGTAGTGAGCCTGTTCCAGGGACGAGGTAAGCTGGTTGGCCCAGAGTGTTTCGTAGAGCTTCAAAAAAGCGATCTTCGCAATGTCGGTCAAATGGGACGCCTGATGTAGTAGCCTCAAATGAACTTCTTCAAGAAGTAGGGATGATGCTCGTTTCCAGTCCGAGTCCGTCTTTCGTGAGTCGTGTAGGGCGACCACGAGAGGCTTGCCATTCATGCCGGATGATGTTTGAACCATTGCTTCACACCAAGTTCTTATCAGATCATCCGATTCAGTAGCAATGCGGTCCTGTAATCGTCGCTGAGTCATTCGGGCAACATGGCGAGTCTGGACTGCTTCAGCGAGGGCTACAGTGGCCTGCACGGCCTTGTCAGCATCGAGGTGACCTTGAGCAGCCGAGAAGGCTCCCTCTTCGCTCAAGAGCCGCAGATATTGCTGTCGCCTCCATTGCCGCTTCTCGTCCCTGACTCTACTGCCTCTCCAGACCTTCTGAAGCTTTGTGGCGGCGAGCTCCTGCTTACGGGCCAAATCTCGCGCCTGCCGAGAGGAACGGGCCTCTGCTGCCAAGCGTGACGAGGAAGAGGGTCCTGGCAGATTACCACCTAGATTGATCTGCCGCTGCCTAGCGATGGACCCGCTGAAGAAGGCATCCATGGTGGCCCAAGATGGTGGTGATGGGGGTGTGACGGAGGCAGAGAGGCAGGTGCCAGTGGCTAAGTCTACGCTCAAGTCACAATCTTGGCTCCTTCCGGCTTGCGTGGCCCTGCAGGCGGGTGGAGGCAGACGCCCCGTCGGAACGGAGCGTGGGCGGAGCTCCGATGTAGACCGCCTCCTCCACCGCTCCCCGAGTCGGAAAGGATGCGGGGAAGACTCGGGTGCGTGACATGGTGGGTGGTCCAGGCGTAGGCGTCAAGGCGGCCATCCGACAATCGGCCCAACGCTCCTGGGTCATCCTACATCTGCTACTGAGTCTCCCCGCCGACCCTCTTTTGCCCTTCTCCCCTCTTCTCTTCTCCCCGCATCCATCTCGTACTGGACCCCCTGGCCCCCATCCACCATCCCTTGCATGCCTTACCAGCCAGACTTCGATCAAGTGTACGTCAAGCCTTACTATGAGACCCTATACGAGGCACTCTGCTGCTGTCTGCCCGGAGCCCGACGCTCAGCCGCCAAGACTGGTTACGAGCGACTCTTGGACCAAGAAGAGGACGAGGTAGAGGCTAGAGTCAAAGGGTCCGGACCCCTTCTGCGCTGGATCGCTCTCCTGTTGTCAGGACAGTACTTGCCTGACAATCTTCAATTGTATGCAGCCCTGCATCGATTCAGCGGCGTATTGGAAGGCCTCCGACACGCCAATGTTCTTCAGCCAGGGTCCTCAGATATCAACGACGCGGGAACCTCTCGCGTTCTCAGCCAGTCCACAAAGGATCTCTTAGAAAATCTGGCAGCCCTCAGCAGGGACGTGGCCCGGTGGCTCGCCTCAGACGATGCAGTAGTGGAAGTCCATCAGGAAGGGGAGGAGACCTCGGTGAAGAGGCGTATTCCAAGTGGGAATTCCCGCCATCAACTTCAGCGCGTGGTCTATCACACCCGACGGCTGATCAAAGGGGACGCACCGCCAGCTTCTGTGGAGACGCAGCTGACAGATGTAATACCCGAAGTAGAGACCGTGAAACGCTCCGCCGAACAGGCCGCAGAAGATCTGCGATTGGCCGCATACTCAATGATGCAGATCGTAGTTGTTGCTGTCACTTCTGATCAGTGAGTGGGGCTCCGGTGCTGTGTGAACGAGGGACAGATGGCAGGCTACTCACCCTGTTCTAGCTTTACCCTTGGGCCACAGACTCACCAATGCCGTTCGCGATGTGCTCAATTATATCAGAGATTCGGCTGCAGATGTCGCTTTGGAAGCAGCTCAGGAGGCAAGCGCGGCAGAAAGTGCCTTGCGACCGTCAGAAGAAGAGAGACAGGGCACACTCAAGCAAGAAGTCCAGGGGCTCGGAAGCGCCGCACAGGACGCTGCCGTAACAGTGACTCAGCTAGACTATAATCTGCTCGCAGCAAAAGCTGAAGCATTACCTAAAGACGGAGCGAACTGGGCAAAAGAACATACTATCAGTGGTCACGATCTGGGTCATAAGATCGCAGACGTAGCTGGAGAGCTTATGGAGCAGGACGACTCCTTCAGAGAGGCAGTACAGCATCTGCTACGCTTAAGCTCAAAGTACTATGAGGCAGTCAAGACAGCTGCTGACGGTAAGATTCCCAAGGAGGTCACGGTCACTCCTTCAAAGCCTCCGCCATCCTCCCTCGACAGTGAGCTTCCGGCAGCGACTATCAACAAAGATCTCGTCGCGCTGCTCAAGGCCTTGCAAGAGTTGTTGGAGGGTCTGGCTGGTGGCCAATCACTAGACCCCATCGTTGAAGAAGTCAGCACGCTTTGGAAAGAAGTCAAATATGATGTCCTAAAAGCTTTTGACGATTGGGCACAAAAAGCCCAGCGGCAGCTGCTGCCAAAAGAAGGGGACAACCACAGCTTTGGTGACACTACACAGAGTTCTTCCTTCTCAGACACTCTTCGTGAGCTGTATGAGTCTCTCTACGCCATCATCAAGGAGCGCCCTGATCTACACGCCAAGTGGGACAACATATATTCTCTTTCGATTGCGTTCCTCAACGACATTGGGCGCGATGCGCGCTTACTCAAGCTCTACAGCCGGACTGCTGATATATTCCAGATACTGTGGAGCGTATTCGACGTGCAGGCCCGTCGCCTCACGGTGGTCGGGAAAGAGCTCATGATGGATACATACTGGAAGCTCGTGCCTTCGCTTCTCACCATCATTGGTAATGTGCCCCTTCCTCGCATTGAGTTCACCTCGCCACAAGTGGACGCCGCGCTGGACGATTTACAGGTCGGTGCAATCAGTCTGCTGCCCTCGAGAGTACGTTTTGAGGCGAAAGAGGTCTTTGAGTGGAACTCGGTCGAAACTAGTGAGACTCAGGCTGCTGTGCAGCAAACAAGGCTCCAGGCTTCTGGCCTAAGATTGGCGGTCAAGCAAGCCTCATTCTTCTTTCGAGAGAAGTTCACACAGGTCAGCTCTCACTGGCTGAACTACATCTGCTGTGCCTTGCCCAGGAAAGAAGACCAGACCACTCTCAGCGGGAGAGAAGAGGAGGGCCATCTGGGTGCTTACCGGGAGCAAGCGCTGCTCGATCTCGGCCTCTTTGGCAGGGCGGAGAGCCTGCAGGGTGCAGAGGTAACGATCGATCTCGGTCCGGCCGCAAAGCATGATCAAACACGGTTCTTGCATGTCAATGCTGCTACAGTATCTCTCTCAGACTCATTTGGGCTTCGACTGCGCCGCTCCCACCACTACATCGTCAACACACTGATTACCGAGCCAATCCTCACCCCCATTCTGCGTCTGGTTCTTGAGAAGGTGGGAAGCGTACTTCTTGAGCAGGGTTTGCACAATATCGATGAGCGTCTGTATGATGTACACCTGCGTGCCAATTATCTGGCTCACCGATCTCGACAAGCCGAACAAGCCAATCTGCAAGAGTACATGCGGGCGCTCATGGACAAGAATGCGGGCAAGACTCCAGAGAGGCTGCGCAAAGAGAAAGAGGAACAGCAAGCTGTTCAGCAGCAGAGCGAGCGCGAAGAGCAGAGTCGCAGGCTGCAAGCTCGGGCAGACGTGGACGTAGAGAATCAGCAGCCGGCAAAGAGCAAGATTGAAGTGAAGCCCATGGTGAGTACCTTTCGATGCGCAGACAGACATTGGAGCACGCACTGATGGCTCCGGCTTCGCGCTCAACAGGCTATTATTGTTAACCCGACGGAAGACATTTCCATCTCTATTGGCGCTTATCCCACACTCCTGCCTGTGTCTGCCCAAGGACCAGAAACCAAGCGCATTCAGCTACGCAATGCGGTCGTCGAGGACGAGTGGCGCGAGTTGGCCCGTGTCCGCGCTGTTGACACGTGGAATGAGGTTGCTCACATCGGAGGAGCGGCAACGAAGACAGCCGGCGACGCTCGCGAAACGATTGCGGCGGCAACGGACGGAGTCAAGGAGGCGCAGACTATCGCTGCAAAGATCGATCATGTGGCAGACGAGCGAGAGCAAATCGAAGAGACACGCAGAGCAGACGGAGAAGCGGAGCCCGACGATGGTACGGATGAAGGGTGGCGGCATGATGGATTTGACTTGTAGTGACATTTAAAGGCGTCAGGATTCTGGCTCAGACTTGCCCTGGCAAGAGGAGGTGCTCTTGCGACTGCTGTATCTCGTGGCAAATGACGCGAGAGCATTATGAATTGGCAAGGCCTGGTAATTTCTCACGCGTCGGCATAGGTGTCAATTGTGTGAGTGTCGTAACGTTTGCTGCTTTGCTACAGTGCAAACGAGCAGTCATTTTCCGCGATTTTGCCACACTTCAAAAGCATGACAGCGAAGGAGATACTCAGCACTACGCTCTTTCACCCCACCGAGATTGTCTCACTGACGTACGCTCACCGTGATGATTTGACTTCCTCCACGACTCCCCAGCAGAACATGAAAGTACTTAGTAACCCTCTCGTGTTGAATGTGCTCCTATGCGCACCTGCTCTGGTAGCAGCTGCTCGTACAGGACTACAGTCACGTCCATACTCAGCGATCACATTGTCTGCCATTCAAGCCCCCGGATCGTTGCAGCCTACTACGCACCTGGACGCACGCATGCTGTCCACGAGCAAGAAGTGGATCAAAAAGGTCAAGAAAGCGCTCACGCCCAAGAAGAAGGCGACTGTCGCTCCTCGCCCTCGTAGCCGTTGGGGTGGCTACATGGATCGTTTCAAGTCATCTCGACTCGGGCGCGAGACCAAGCTGGCGCAGAAAGTAGAGAGGGACAGACTAGCCGCAGAAGAGCAGAGGGCCGCGGCTATGGCCCTTGCGCCGCCACCATTTGGAATTGGGGCGGTATGACAGGCTTTACCACTCATGTCCTCTTCAATGGTCGCAGGAGGGGCACTGTCTCTTCCCCATCTCGTCTGACTCTCAATACGAGCTGTCTATTTGGAGCCGCTGAGGTTGGTCGTACGACTCGAAATGTGTGAAGGATTTGTTTCACTTGTGATCAGAAGGGTGGGAATGCAACCTGAGCAGCCACTGTGCTGAGGAAAAGCTGGGAGCAAATATCAGCGCTTCTCCCGTCTTTGCGTCTTGAACGTATGTGCACCACAGCATTTGCCGCTTTGCACGAAGGCAACGCGGCTTCGTCATGCCAATGACAGCAACTCTTCAAAAGGGAGATCTTCGGTCGCTCTTCCTCCCAAAACATCCGATCATCCCACCTCTCAGATTCACGACTTGGTTGAGCTTTTGAACTGTATCGCTTTCGTTGACGACTTCACCGCCCTTTCATCAAGCATGAGACTCCTTCACTTCTGTCTGGCATTCATCGCCCTCTTGTGCACACCTGCTCTGGCAGCAGGCGCACCTACGAGACCGCAATTCCCTCCCCACTCAATCGGCGACCTCTCTGCCATCGGTGTTGAAAGACCTTCAGGCTCTGCCATGGATTTGGACGCGCGCATGCTGACTCCAAGTAAGAAGTGGATCAAGGCAGTCAAGAAGGCCATCAAGCCCAAGAAGAAGAAGGGTGGTCTCCCTCGCCAGAGCGCCTGGCAGAGCTACAAGGAGCGCGTCGATTCTTCCCGACTGGGGCGCCTAGTGAATCCGGCGAAAGCGGCTGAGAGAGACAGAGCCGAGCAGATCAAGAGTGATGCGGCTATGGATTTCATACGTATGCACTCGCCCTATGGCGCCTTCTGAGATGTATGTTCCCGGTGATGCACCTATCTCGATTCTAAAGTACCGGGTCTGGCCCGCTCGAGCGCGCGCTGAGCCTAAGTACGGTGTCGCTTCTGCTTGCTGTGTATGTAGGATGCCAAAAGCAATAGATTGCAAAGACTTCCTGCACGCTCTCTCCGCTTGCTTCCCGTCTGCTCGATCCCTGACTCGCTCTACAGAACTTCTCTCGATGGTAGCGAGGCCCTTCGCCTGCTCGGCCGAATGGGCAGCGTATCACCGGGGATTGGAATGTAGCCGAGGTGGAGTGGATCTGTTCTCAACTCCGACGGGGCGATTGAAATCGACCTTCGCTGCACCCATTTATTCCCAGTCCTGCCTGCTACTGACCAATCCACTACCCTCTTTCTCCGTACTAAACTTTTCGCCATGCTCTCTCGCTCTGCTTTCCGAGCTGCCTCTATGCTGCGCAGCGCCTCTGCTTCTGCGGCACCCAAATTCGCAGCCCCCATGGGCGCGCGTACGGTCACTAACCTCTCCAAGCACCTGTACACTGCGCATGCTCGTGCCGAAGGCGCTGGTCGCAACGGCCTTACCTCCCTCGTCGGTGAGGGCAGTGGACTGGAGGTGAAGCTCGGGTGAGTGAGAGATACGCGGAGCTTCGCACGCTCCGCTGTATTATGCGCGCTGCTACAACAATAAATGACTCTTACTCGATTTCCAAATTGGCCAGTATGCCCCGCGAGCTCGGTGGGGATGGCAAGGGCAACAACCCCGAGCAGCTCTTTGGCCTTGGCTACTCGGCTTGCTTCCTCTCTGCCCTCCAGCTCGTTTGCAGAGGAGAGAAGGTGAAGTTGCCAGAGGACACGACCGTCGATGCGCTGGTGAGTGGGAGTGGTGAAGGAGGGGAAGACAGTGTACTCATTGAAGTCGAGACTGACCCTTGTCCGGAACAAACACTCGCAGGTCCATATCGGCCCTCCTGAAGGCTCCGAAGGATTCGCCGTTGCCGTCGACTTGACTGTCAAGTCTAGTCTGGACGACAAGTCGAAGCTCAAGTCGCTGGTGGACAAGGCCCATGAGGTGAGTAGTGGCGTAGGGTCCCTTTCTGCGAATATGCGCGGATGTTGACCACGTCTTTGTGGTCCCACTCTCACTTTCTGCCTTCAGGTCTGCCCTTACTCAAAGGCTACGTGAGTCTGCAATCACGATACTCTGCCAACTTGTGCCCCACCAGCTGACCACAGCCCTCTCGCCTTGCTCATCCCAGTCGCAACAACGTTCCCGTCACCCTCAAGGTCGAATAAAAAAGGAGGAGATTTGGACACTGTCGTGCTTTGTCTGGGTGGTGGTAGAAACTCAAAGCACAAAGCGTTTTTGTGCTGCGTCTAAATTGTCCTTGGTGTTCTCGTGCAATACGAAGTGGGTAGACTCCCTCGCTTTCATCTCTCCGTTCCGGTCGTAGGCTGCCCGCACAGATCAGCCATTGCTCCAATGCCTCAGCCGAGTGGCTTCTTCTGCCATCTTTCGTACCATTGTATCTTACCCACCTCATTCATCGCGATGGCCACGCCAGCGTTGGCAACGTCGCCACCATCACTGCTGTTGCCATCGCTGTACCAGACGCCTATCAACCAGAACACGTCGCCCTCTGCGCCCCTCGCCCTCGCCCTCGCCCTCGCCCCCAATGGCCACCTTTCCCTCACCACTGACGCCGGCGTGTCTCATCAGCGCACGCTGCCCGCACCCAGGCCCGTTGGACCTCGCGCAATCATCTCTATACTGGGACATCGACACACGCTCTACAAGGAGTGGCTGTCAGTCTCTACCTTTCTAGACGTCGTGCAACGGAAGGTGCAGGCGCTGCATCAGGCGCAGGTCAAAGATGGAGCAGGAGTGCTCTTGCAGGGAGTCTCCTTTGATGATGACCACGTCACAAGTGGGCAGGAAGAGTCCATGACTGCTCACTTTCAAGTGGCATCCACCAGTACCATTGGGCCCATGCTTCCCCAAGCATTTGCGAGAGTCGCGCGTGATCACTTGGGCCGGCCGGCTGAGAGTACTCAGGGATGGGAATGGGATGGCACCGACGGCCAAATAATTGGATCGTCCAAGGGGGATATCTTCGCAGGAGTCGAAGGCGGCTTTGCTCATCTGAAAGAAGTGAGTCGATCACCGAGCCTCCAATGTCAGCCCGCACGCTCTGATGGTGTCCTCTCTCCTCTTCCACCCCAGCTCCTCGAGCACGGCCAGACAAAGTCTGACTCGGACAGCGTAGTCCGCTCGAGTCTTCTGCCTCACCCGCCGCCAGTACTTGCTCACTACGTAGTCTGCATCATTCCCTCCGCTGCTGCCAGCACTAAGGCGGAGCTGTCCCCTCGCGCCAAGGAAAAGGCTCGGGACATGGCTGGCCAGCTAAGCGGTGTCCTTACTGCAGTGCTGCCAGACCCGTCCCTCACAGACCAAGAGACCTCTTCCGAGGAGCAAGGTGCAACGGAACTGCATCAAGCGCTGAGCCAAGACCTCGCAGGAGCCGCTGCGGGGCCGCGAGACATTGTCAGCCTGTTCGGCCCAGGAAGTGCATCAACTGAACTTGCTGCCAAAGGCAGTACATCCCCAAGACCCGCACCTGTACAGGCTTTCGATTCTAGCGCCGCGACGGCTTTGAAAGGCGTCAAAGTGTACATGTCCGGCTTCGAAGTGCCGTCGACGTCCAAGGACACTCGCAAGAGGGGCCGGGACGAGGTCACAGACGAGACATCCGATAAAAAGCAGAAGATTGATTCTACGGATACAAAGAGAAACGAAGCGCCCGCTGTCCTACCGCGACCAAATCCACTCGTCTGGCGAGGCGCAATCACCTGGGAACTTGGTGATCCGTCAGGCAAGGGCGAGAAGCGGTCCATCACACTTTGGGTCTCTGCAGTCGAGGCAATACCCGGAGGGTCACGGAGCCCTCTGCTGACGCCTTGGCCGGCTATGCTATCTCTCGTGACCCTGAAGCCTATCTCGCTACAGGTACTGCAGCAACACGTATCAGCCAACGCTATTGCTTCTGTTCTCCTCTCTCCGCTTCAAGCACGGGACCTCACACAGTCGAGTGCCACAGGCGATCAGCGCCTTCCAGGAAGTGCTGCAGAGCTACCACAGAGCGAGCTGGCCTACCATAACCTTGCTCGAACTTTACATTCCAAGCAGTCGGGAGTATGGTTGCCGTTGAGCAGAAGCAACCCAAGTGGAGGACGCATGAATCCGGATGACAGCAGGAAGACTGCTGGACTGCTGGTCATTGCATTCGGCGCCGGCAGTTCAACGCAGCAGCAGCCAGGCGCCGCACGTCCGATTATCAAGCTCCTAGGCCTGATCTTCCCTCAGGGTGTGCCATGGGAGAAACTACAGTCTTCTGAACAGGTTCAAGCAAGGCAAAGGGAGGCCCTTATTGCTGCACGTCAGCAGCAGCTACAGCAGCAGCAACGCCAACAACAGATGGCGGCAGCCGGGACCAGTGGCGCTCAAGCCAACGCTCAAGCGACGGCTCAACGGCCTCCCGAGACCGGGCCGCCTAACGCAGCTGTTCAGGCTCAGCAGATGCTCGAAGCTGCTACCCGAGCCAAGCTAGCCAGTCAAGCGTCAACGCAAGGCCAAACTTCAGCACAGCAATCTGTCGGACCTACGCAGCAACAGCAACAACAGTGGCAGGCTGGTCAACAGACACGGCCATTCAATCTCAACCTCCCGCAACACATCAATAACGCCGCTAACTTTACAGCGGCGGCGCAGTCTTGGATAGCAGACCAGCAGAAGCAACAGCAGCAACGCGGGCAAAGTCAGCCTCAGTCTCAGCAGCAGCAGCAAGCTATGCCTGCGTTTGCACCAAATGGAGCAGGAGTGGCACCCGCGCAACAGCAGCGCGTCGCTGCACAGCCGGACTTCTCTGCAATAGCAGCCCAGTTGGGAATTCAATTGGGAGGCAACACAAACCCAGCGAACCCAGCCGCGGCAGCGAACACGACGGCTGCTCAATTGTCCCTTCAGCAACAGCAGCAAGCCAGCAATTTAGCAGCGTACCAGGCCTTCCTGAAGAATCAGAGCCAGGCTGCACTGCAAGGTACGAATGGCAATCCGTCCACTTCCGGCGCCGGAGCTGGTTCCGCTGGTGGAGGACCTGTACCTCCCAATCTGACGCAATATGCCCTTGAGCAGCAACAGCGTACGAGGGCACAGGCAGTGCCGCAACAGCAGCAGCAGGGTGACCAGCAGCAGCAGCAGCAACAACAACAACAGCAGCAGCAGCAGCAGCCGAATCTGATTCCCAGCGGGCTGGAGTTCTCCAACTACAACTTTGAGCAGCTGCAGGCTATGCTGGGCATGAAGTGAAGAACGCGCGGAAGTCTTTGTCATCGGACAGCGCAACAGGCACATGTACACATCTTCGTCACTCAGAGGATACTTGTCCAAATATCGTTCGAAATGTAACGCCGCGTGATACAATGATTTACTACTCCTTATCTTGTCGGATTGCCTTCTTCTCATACCTCACTTCTTGTCGGCCTTCTCACTGTCGTCCTTCATGCCCTTCATGACCCAGGCCGATGCCTCCTTTGCGTGCTTCTCCACGCCCTCTGCGTGCTTGGTGAAGAAGTCGGGGTCGAGGACCATGTCAAGGATCCTGTGTAGCGTGGGGGAGCGAGGGCAGAAATGTCAGAAATTCCGCGGACACGATTGCTTGCCGAAACTCAAGTATGGCCCGATATCTTTGTACTCACTCGTTCTTGCCGCTAGGGGCGTACATTCCCTTGTGAACCGCCTCCCTGTCCAAGTTCCTCTTGACCCAAGCCTTGACGTTCGGTCCAACCTGCTCGTCTTTGAGTCCGGCCCAGCGGTACCACTGCACCCAGGGATAGGCATTGATGTCTGCAAGGGAGTACTGTCCTTTGCCTGAGCCGACGAGCCAGTCGCGGCCCTCGAGGCGAGACTCGAGGACCTCATAGAGGCGGATAGTCTCAGTCGTGTAGCGCTTCTTGGCGTAGGGGACGTCTTCGGGCGCGTATCGGTTGAAGTGATTGGCTTGACCTGGAATGAAGTGGAGGGACCGTACGTAGAGAGAAGAGGGTGTCAGTACAGATGCGTTCGACGACAGAGCCGTGGCAGCGTTCGGGGTCCGCGTGCGGCCAACTCACCCTGCATGGGTCCTACGCCTCCGTGGATGAAGAACATCCACTGCAGAACTTCCGATCGGTAGTCATCAGCCTGAGGGTCAGAAGATGGCCAGGAAAACTTGTGCTCGGGGTCATACTGTGGGGAAACAAAAGGCATGGGCGCGGAATTGAGTCAGTGCTAGCTTCTCACCATTGAAGGCTTCTAGGAGTGACTCACCTTCTTCTCGAGGTAAAGGAGGATGGCGGCGGTCTCGAAGACGCAGAAATTGTTGTTGTTGGGGTCTACCAGGGCGGGAATGCGACCATTGGGGTTGATCTGTCAAAAGTTAGAAACGGTATATTGGGTGAGCGTTGCGTGAGCGTGGACTTCAAACAAATGAGAGGTGTGCCTGCGTTCGGGGAAAGCTGCGTACCTTGATGAACCCTATTGGTAGTGGCAGCACAAAGAAAGGACATTATGAGTCAGTAAAGTGTGGGGCTGGTAATAGAGATGACTTGCAGGACAAGGCTGAGATCTACTCACAGTCTTCCTTTTGCTCGTTCTTGGAGAGTGAGACGCCTGTAAAGACACAGCACAGAAAGGATGATCAGCGCTCGCCCCTGTTACACCGCCGCCCGATAAACACATTGCAACACCCACTCTTGTATTCAAAGTCGAATTTGCCAGGGTAAGTAGCCTTGAGCTCTTCAGCAAAATTTTGTACCTTTTGGCCGTTCTGCGGGGACAAGACGGGGAAGACTGCGTGAGATGAAGGATTCCCTAAGAGCATTCTAGTGCGCCGCGGGCTTGGTACTCACAGGGGTACTGGCGGTGTAGAGGAGAAGCTTCTGCATTGTGTTTCTGAATGAGGTCGATGCTGCAAAGTATCGGGTAGCAGAGGGGAGCATGTGCGGGACGATGGCAAAGAGGGACCTGACCTTCCCTCTGGCCGAATGTACACTGCATAAACCCGCTGTGTGGTGGAGGGGCGCGGAGAGGACAAGTGGAGGCTGTCGGCCGTAAGCGAGGCGGCCCGGGCGCAGGCGAGGCGAGGCGACGATCCAATGCGGAGACGCGGAAGCAGCAAAGAAACAGAGCAGCAGCACGAAGCAGCAGCAGTGGTAGCAGCCTCGACCACCATTACTACCACTGCCATCACCATCATGGCGCCCACAAGTGCCACTCACTCGGACATACAGCTGCTCAATTTGCCTGCTCAGTCCACTATACACCATCGTCTCTTCCTCCTTGTGGGCAGAGCAACAGGCGGCGCATCTCAGCAGCCCAACCCAAACGGCCCAGACGGCTGGATCGAGGTGTCGGTCAATGAAGGCAGCAGCCGCCTCTTCCCCGACCAGAGATGGGAGGTGAACGACTCCTGGTTCAAGGCACTGATACCACTCGGTATCGGCACTAATCAGGTACACCTCACTCACAGGACTCTCCAGGGTCAGGCAGTGGGCGAGCAGACCTTCCAGCTATCCTACCAGCCCGTGTCCAGCGCCAAGAAGGTCAGACTGGTCGTCCTCTGCGGCAAAGACTCTGCGATTGGGAAGTCACCTGCCCAGTCCGGCGTACAGCATCAACATTTGTCCTATGACCACACTGGGAATGGCTCCAACAGTCAGCAGCATTTCGCTCCTCCGCTTCCGAATAGGGGCATAAGCAAGTTCCTCGCAAAGGCAATGAACAAGTTAGAGGGAGGATCTGGAGGAGCCAGCGAGGGCAACAGGGGAGCCCAGAACGGCTCACCAGTGGTGGGAGACAACGAGTGCAACATCGACTGCCCGCCTGGTTGGAGGAGGCAAAAGCTGCAGCGTGATGGAGATTTGGCCATCTCTCGGCGGTTAGCCTTGCAAGCGTATCTCTGGCAGGTAAGTGGGCGGGAGTAGCTAGGAGAGTGAACAGCTTCCATGAGATGCTCAGGAGTTTGGTTCTTCATCCCCACAGGCGTTCCATGCTGAGCAAATGCACCGGCACGGCTTCGGACATCGCACTTTCACACTGGACGAGCGTCCAGAGGCTGAAGTCACAGACCTCGTAGACATTCCTCGCATCGAGTATGTCCGTTCGAAGTACACAATGGCGCAGATCCGCGACCACGACTGGGCGCAGCAGAACCCCAAAGCCAAGGATGGTGGGAAGACACACAGTATCGCGAGCGAGGCCGTCAACGACCAGCCCTTCTGCCAGCCGGGTGACGCCTGTGCCGTCTTGCTCGGCGATGCCCACTGGGATCCTGAGATGAAGCTCCTCAGGGGTCACGCCGCCGTCGGAGCCTTCGCTGGCATCAACGATAAGCCCTCAGTCGGAGTCATGGGGTCTCATTGGCTCTGGGCGGCACCTCAAGCTCTGAGCGAGGTGACGGATAGTTTCATGGATCAGGAGCAGACGGATCAGAAGTATTGCTGCAACGATTTAGGCGAAGGCAGAACGGCTTCTCTCACTGTGAACATTGGTAGTGGAGCTATGCTACACGAGGCTGGGCATGCTTTGAGTAATCCTCACTGTGAGTCGAGGCCGCAATGAGGACATTCACAGACGTGCTCACATCTATTCCATCACCTCCCTCGTAGACCCCACCGGCTTCATGAACCGCGGCTACACAGAGTTCAACCGTGCTTTCATGACCCGCGAGACGCACTCTCTCACGGGGACCAAGGGCCCCTTCAAGCCCATCACACCTGCGTGCGACTCGGGAGCCTTCCACATCCACCGCTGTCAGGCCGTGCGTGCAAGTCTACACCCAACCTTCTCCCACCCCAACGACCCGCCGCCGGTGCATTACCCCTCGAACCCAGAAGCCTGGTCGAGCGCTGAGCCCGTTTGGAAGCCGACGAGTAAAGGAGCAGAAGTAGGATGCTTGGCCGGGGTGGCCATGGTGGAGATCGAGGTAGGGGGAGAATTCAAGACGCACATCGAGTGGCTGGGTCGCACACAGGGCGCAGAGAACACCCCTCCGCTCACCACGCTGATCACCCCAGAGTACATCTCGCAGCGCGTGGGCTTCGATGTCCTCTCTCCCTCTTCGCCCGAGGTGAAGCTGACCGCCGTGGGGTGCAACCTGCGCTCCAATGAGCTCAACTCCTACCGGAGAATGGCAATTGCACGCCCGATCACCATACCAGGGGTGGATTTGGGGGCGTTCGGGAGAGAGGTCAGGAATGGGATCAGGACAAAGACAGACGATGATCCGCTACATGGCCACTGGACGTTCTTGTTCAACAGCGCCTGGCCAAACGGGCCAAAGATGGTCCAGATTGACGTAAGTGCAACGAGAGTTTATCGTCCGCCCATCATGCCGACTCTGACCCCGTTGTCTTCCTTGCTTTGCCCCGCCATGCTCCAGGTCTTCTCCGGCGCATCCCTCAATGCCCTCGGCTTCCGCTACTCGGACGGCTCATCCCAGTCCGTGGGCAGGATCCACGCAGATGCCAAGCCAAAGGCCACGCTCCACCTCGCACCGGGGGATAGGCTGGATAGAATTGAGGTTCGATCCGGCTGGGTGAGTACCAGAGGGGGGACGTGGAGCTCTCATAGGATAGAACGACTTCTGATCCTGTCGACTCCTCCCATCCTTGCTGCTGCTCCTCACAGTGGATCGACGCAGCCCGTGTCATCCTCTCCTCAGGTCAGACTACCGAATTCTGCGGCGGGCCCGGAGGCGGGCTTCGCTCCCTGGCCGCATCGCAGGGCGAAGAGATTGTAGGAATCGTGGGCAGCGCGGGCGACTGGCTTGATACGCTCGGAGTTCTCGTCGCTGATCGAAGGGACTGATCGACCTGGCTCACGACGACGGCAGGTGGCGGACGGCCCCCAGAGGGAACACGCGCTACGACTGTTTGGTGTGGAATGGGAGCATAGAAGACGGGTATTTATAGATCTAAGGGTGACAGAGAGGGATTGAAAGGGAACTCGCACACCACCCTACTTCACCAGCATCTTGACGTGGTACCCCGGTGCCATCCTAGCAATAGAGAGCAAAGCCAGTCTCACCTCCTCCTCCATCTTTGCGAGATTCGCTGCTGCCCGCATTTCCTCCTCCTTCTGACCCTTCATATCGGCGCTTCCGTTTGCGCTCGTAGCTTGTCCCGCCTTGCGACGGCGCTGTCCTTTTCCCTGGTCGAGCCAGAGGAGCAGGCGGGCATACTGATCCAGCGCGCTCGCCATTCGCGCTCGCGTCCACTCTGCATCACCATATCGCACCACCTCCGTAAGCTGCTTCTCTCCCTCCTCGATAGTTTTCGCTTCGTTCTCCGAAGGCCCTGCGCTTGCTGCCCTACCCCTAGCCACTTCGGTCCATTCGTCCATGGTTCTCAAGACAAGGTGGTCTAGTAGCATGGGCTTGTCTAGGAGGATGCGCATGAAGTGGGAGCGTCCCCACAGGCGAGGGGTGGATACGAGGAGGTAGGCAAAGTTGTGCGCAGTGAGAGTGGAGAGGGACTTCGGAGAAGAGAGGGCCAGGCCCGCTGGCGCGGGAGTCGTTGCTGGGGTGAGGTCGCTGCCGACTAGGCGGGCAACCTCGGTCCACAATGGGTCGTCAGCCGAAAGCACATCACCGAGCATGTCTTCCTCTGACTCCAATCGGTAATCGTACGTCTGGGAGATTCCATCGCCCTGTTTCTCGCCGGCGACCCTTGTCTTGGCATGCAGACCCTTCATCCACACACCGGCCTTGATAGCGACACTGAGACCGCCTTGAGCACTAGCTGGCACGACGACATTGTCTCTGACGTGATCGTAAAGAGATCCTTCGAGGACAGTGCCAGATGTGAATGCTTGAACAAGTAGCTCTTTGGGTGTCAGGGCGGTCGTTTCTACTGATGTACCTGCAGCGTCTGCGGGCGAGGCAGATCGGAAGAGACTGCTTGAGGGGTCATACTCCGATTTGCCGCGTTCCTCCTTAATCGGACCACTGTGGACACCTGTCTTGCTCGCTTCTGGCGATTGCGCCGCGACTACGCTGTCTTCGTGCATGATCACATCCGCGGCGAATTCCGGTTCCTTAACCACTGAGCCATTCGCCTCACCGTCTCGCACTCCATCGTTCGCACCCTTTACAAAGGCTTCGACACTACGAGCCCAAGCATCGCCATTGACTCCGCTGGTGCTGACGATGCCATCAGGCTTCGAGCCCCACAAGATCATGCGGTAGAAGTCCAAGCTCTCCAGATGTTGTCGAGCCTTCTCTGTATTGGGCAGCGCTCTTCGCTCGTTGGTCATAGCGCTGATCTTGGACAATACTCCCATCTCGCTATCATCGTCGATCAATGGCGGGAAGACATCGGCATCCGAGGCGGACGAGCCAGCAGCCCGGCAGATGGCCTCCCTCTCCTCCCACTTGACCATCTCCTTCATGCGACGATGCTTTGTCTCTTCCCACACGTCAAAGGAAGAAAGCTCGCCATCACTGCCTCTAATCCCGCCATTGGGACCAAATCTCATGATGGTCGATTCTACATCCTTCCAAGCTGCTAGATCGCGAAGACCGTCCCACAACCGATTGTAATATGTGTGAGGGTACGTCCAGTCTGTCAGATTTGACACACCCTCAGCCTCACGTTCAGCATCTTTGTTGCGAGACTTCTGCGTCGTGGGACCTCCTCCGAATGTCTTCAATTGCAGTGTCGAGGGATCGACTCGAGCAGATGGGAGTGCCCTGTCGTCAAGGGAATCCGCAATCTTGTAGTCATTGTCTTCGGGCTGCTGAGGATTGGGCCAGCGATTGGGCAAGCGGGCAGCTCCTCTCGAGAGGAGGCCTTCATGCTTCGTCGTCAGGATCGGAGCTGTCGGTACGGTTGTCGGCATGTGTGTGTGGCCGGGAGGAAAAGCGTGCTCGTGAAGACTAGCGCGTTCTCCTACCGTACCCGTTTCTGAAGCACTGGCAGCAAACAATGCGTCTCTCGGCGCCGCACGGGCGAGTTGAGCGGAGTGTTGCTGAGCATCCGGATGTATAGGATGCACACTCGAGAGCTCTGGTACAACGGCACCAACGAGCGGCGCATTGGATGATGCGTCGAACAGGACTCCTCGGGACCGGTAGAGATCAACGCGCTCATTGTAGCGCATGGTGTCGATGTCGATGCTTCCAGTAGGATAATACGCCAACGTCTTTTCCGACGCTTGATCACGTGTGGCCTGACGAGCGTACAAGGCAGCTTCGTCAGCGTCCATGTCGATACCAGCAGAGGCAGCTTCCTTTAGTACGCGATGGATGGCTGCTGCCGCAGATTCTTCGTATCGAGGTGGAGCGTTCTTGCGTGGGATCAAACGCCGAGCTGGTATCACTGGCCGGCGGCGGGAAGCTCCTCCTGGACCCGGAGTTGCAGAGTCACGACCAGAAGGAGCGAGGCTCGCTGAGCCTCCCCGATGGGTCGAGCGATCGCCATTGTCTTCGTCCTCGTCTTCGTCGTCCTCTTCATCTCGACCATCCTCTCCTTCTTCTTCATCGCGTTCTTGAAGTCCAGTCATGTGATCTTCGGCTTCGATCTTGACTTGCGCACCAGTCGAGCCCATGTACCCGCGATCAGTGCCTTCACGAGCCATGGATGCACGGCTGGAGCCAGCAACCACACCCTCGCTATCTGAGGCGGGCGATGGTGAGTCAGCCAAGGTCGGAGGCTGTCTCAATGCCGAAGATACAGCGGGGCGGGAAACAGAGCGTTCCTTGCCGTTATGAGAGGGCCTGGGGCGCTTGCTTGTTGGTGAAGGCTGGCCTTGCGTCTCCGAGGGAGGTCTCTTGAGGCGAATGCTCAGCTTCTTTGACGGGGCAGATGTGGCAGGAGAATCTTCAGCTCCAGACGGAGGAGGCTCTTCCAGATGCAGGACCACGCCCTTTTCCTCTTCCTTGTCCAGCGCTTTGTTACCCCATGCCTCCAGCTTGACGGCCTGTTGATGGAATATTGAATCTGGTGGATTGAATCGCTTGGCATTACCTGTGACCAGATTGAAGTCTTCCCTGAATTGACCAATGGCTGTGTACAGTCCCTGGTCCACCTTGTCCTTCATGGTCCCGAGGTCCATTGGCTGCTGTATCACCGTACGGTAGCCTGGCACCTCTTTCTCATCAACTGGCTGAGTGAAGAAGGCGTATGCATCTCTTCTTATGAGCGCCGTGATCAATTTGGGCAGGACCGCAGATAGCAGTGAAGGCTTCTTCGGCTTAGAGCTGCTGCTCGTTCGAGGCGAGACCATGGTAGAGTAATCGCTGGCGAAGCTGGTATCACCTTGGCCATCTGAGGCAGACGTGACAGATAAGGCGACTGGAGAAGGGGCTCCACTCTGTGATGGTGTGTTGGCTATGCTGTGGCTAGAAGAGCTTCCTTGCCCTGCAGCTGGATTTCCGGTCATTGCGGGTGAGCGGAGGGGGTCATTGGGCCTCTTTGTGATTGTGATCTTGCGCGAGGTCGAGGCGACCGGAGATGCGGTGGCCGCATCTGTCTGGCGAGATGATGATGTCGGTGAGGATTGTGAGTCATGAGGAGGAGGAGGAGCTTGTGCTGCTGGTAGGTGGTGGTTGTGATCCATCCTCTTCTTCTGTCCTCTGCCTCGACTTGACCACGGATGAGACGACCGACGGACCGAGAGGCACAGGACATCCGGGCAAAGTCAGTCGGTGCAGGAACGCGGAGACGACGAGGAACATTCTCGGAACCGGAAGCGAGACATCAGGGCCAAAGGACTTTTCGCGCGCTTCCGTCGATGGGACCCTTGGACGCCCGTTCCGTCAGCCTGCCTCGATGCTTGGCTCTGCGTTGAGCAACCTCGTGGCTGCTGCCTGCTGCCACTTGTTGCGGCCCATTGAGTGCTTGTGCTTGGTGTTGCCCTCTTCTGGTCCTCTTGGTATTGGTATCGCTTGGGGGTCCTCGCTGCCGTTGCCTGTCGCCCGGCCACTTGTCTCGCCTTACGTAGCCGCACATGGTTGGGTGTGTGGCCTGGCCTGGCCTGGCCTGTGCCTCCCCCTCTCTTGCATTCAAACGCCGCCCGTCCCCACACGTTTCCGCTTCGGGCCGCGGTGGGAGCAGTGGCCTCTGCCTAGACCCAACGTCATCGCGGCCCCGGATGCCTCGTCTCCCCCGCCGCCTCTGCCGCTTTGCACCAATCACATCTTCCCTCGAGGCCACCATTCACACCTCATCTACATCCTCTTCTTCGCATCCTCATCCTCATCCATATCCCCCTTCATCCCTGACTGACAAGCGGCACACAAGTACATACCCACCGCGCGTCCCTCACAACCCCACCCTCTTTCACCGCCCACCATGGCTTCTGGCGCGGCATCCTTCATGCCCGCCTCCATCTCCTCCGCCATGACCCGTCCCCACGCCTCGACCGATTCTCGTCTCCTACAGAATCTCATCAAGTCGGAGAAGACTTATCAGAACCATCTCGCCTCTGTAGTACAGTCTTCTGGCACTGCCGCCGCGGCACTCAAGGCATGGGGCACCAGCGAGGCAAGGGATGTAGCACAGACGAGTTCCCAGCTTGCGGATCTCTTGCACGACGTCGCTGATGCCCAGAACAACTACCTCGAGGCAATCAAGGGCTACAGAGAAGCTCTCAAGGACGTCGCCGACCGGGAAGCTAGCATCAGGACCATTGTCAAGGACCGAGACATCCTGGTCTCACGGCTAATCAAGGCCTCAAAGAAGAATGGTGACGTGCCCCACGCCCAGCGAGAGCTTACGGCATGTGAAGAAGTTCTGGAGGAAGAAGAGAGGGCGCTGATCGGTGTGAAGCGTCGCACGTTCAAGGAAGCGCTGAGCATGAGGATGAAGCTCATGGGTGACGCAGGAAACCGGATGATCGAGTGCGCCAAGGAGGCGATTCTGCTTCTGGACGAGTTTGACCAGCACGCTGGAGACGAGAGGATGTCCACTGGTCAGCGCGAAGCAGTGGACTCGTATGGTCAAAGCTATTACGCCACAGATTACCCTGGACAGGGAGACCATACTCAGATGGACCAACAGCAACAATGGGGCCAAGAAGGAGTGGCAGATGACCTCTATTATCAAGATCAGCAGTACCAAGGTGAACAGTATCAAGGCGAGCAATACCAAGGCGAACAGGACATGTCTCGATACCACAGTCACGAGGTTGCTTCTGTGACGCCCTCGCAGTCTGCCTCACAAACCGCAAGAGGTATGGGCACAACATACGGCAGTACGGCCAACAACAACGGCTACACCCGACCCCAATTTGCAGGTGGTGCCCCTCCTGAAGTCGAGGAGCGAGCCGACTCTGATGCCAGCAGCGTGGCTGACCCTAGGGAGGAGTCCAACCAGCAGGCACATTACAATCGTGGTGGCGGGTACGCCGACCGTGCCTCGGCTGCACACGGCCAGAATGCAATGCCGGTACCTGAGCAGCCTGTCGAGGCCCAGCACACGGACTTCTATGGCGACAACAGCAATCAGCAACCTCAATCACAGATGTACTCTGCCACTGCCCCATCATTCAATTACGATGGACCTCAGATGGCGCCTGTGCCACAAGCTCCTCGTATGTACCAACGGGGCGTGGAAGCCTCCACAGATGATGGTCAGGTTCGTGGAAATGCCGGATGGGGATCTAGCCGGCCAAGCGCTCGCAACAACGACGATGGCAACAGTTCCGATGACGGTGGCGGAGGCCGACAAACTGGAGGACGGGGTGGTCCCAGTCGACCCAAAGCCCAGAAGCGCAACTCCTTCTTCGGCAAGTTCAAGGGCCTCTTCAAGGCTGATCTCGGCGACAATGAGGCCAAGTCGCCCACCAAGAGCCGTCATAGCCGCAACGAGTCGTATGATCGCAACTCGAGCGTCGGTGGATGGAACACGCGTACCGACACCAACATTTCGTCCACGCGCAAGAGTGCCTCCAAAGCCAATGGCACCTATCAAGCTCCGCACCAGAACCTGATGAAGCCGTTGAACCAAGGCGGCGACGATAGTGGTTCTGACGACGATGACAACAGACCCGACCTTGTTCGGGTTGTCAACCCTAACATCGCTGGAAAGAAGGCCTCTAGTGATGTTGGCAAGACACTTCGTCGTACACCCAGCGAAATCTCGCGCATCACTGCTGGTCCTAAGAGCGTCAAGCAACAGCGAGAGGAGGAGGCCCGCAAGCAAGCTGATGCTGAGCGCCAAGCCAGAGAAGCCGTAATGGGTGCTGGCATCGGAAGCAGGCCCACGGTGCAGCGGGCAGACACGATCACTAGTACTGCCTCGAAGCCCAAGAAGAAGAAAAAGGCGACCAGGAGCATTGCTGGCAGCGAGATCGGTACCTCTGCCACCAGACAGGCGCCTAGCGCCTCTGCTCGTCCCTCTTCGACCGTTGGCTCCGCCGTCGGCACTGCAGGTCGCCCTGGACCGGGAAGCTACGTCGTCTCGGGCGATCTGTCCTCTGGCTCTCGCGGACTAGCCACTCTGGTCCTGCCTAGCGACATTGGCAAGCCAGACAGACCCTACCCTTCCATCATGCCTCCCACTGGTCTCAGCCGATCCAATTCGACTGCTACAGCTGCCACTGGAAGGGCATCGAGCATTGGCGGCGGTACTACCGCTACCAAGAAGAAGAAGAAGCGCCAGTCTGCCGTCAGCGACGGAATGGGAACTGGCCTGACCGCTATGAGCCCCACAGACAGCGGCAAGTGGACGACCAACAATTGGGTGCAGTCTCCCCACGGTGGTTCCTCGAACGGTATCGCAGGCCAAGCCGTAGCTGGCGCCGGACTGGTGCCTTATACTCCCGCCTCGCCCGAGGAAATCGCCCAAAAGTACGCCAACAATGCTCTGACTGGCTCGCAGATTCAGCGTCCTGGCAGCGCGCAGTCTGGCGCGCCTTTGAGGAGCGCTATGAAGGGACACAACGAGCACTCAGCGGCGGCCTCCTCTTCGAAGCAGCAGCAGACCGCCACGCCGGCCAGTATTGCACCCAAGCCGCTTGAAGCCCCACCAGCTGTCGAAGTGCCGCCAGTCCAAACTCAGATCGAAGAAGCCAACAACAACCTCGGCCCATCGATCTCTGCGCCTCCTCCCGTTAGCGCAGTCATCGCAGAGAGCACTCAACAGGCGCCAGCAGAGGAGTCTCAAGAACCCCCCTCTGCCTCGGGTGATGTGCAGGACGAGTACGAGGAGGAAGCGCCGGTGAGAAGATCCTCTCCCAAGCTTGGAGAAGACAAGACCTTCGACGGGACTGGCCGACTTGATCTCGGCAGGCAGGGTAGCCCTCTTCCCGACTCGCCAGAGCAGTCAAGAGCTCCTCTTCCGGCAGCTCAGAAGCCCACGGTCCCTCATCTGGACATGCCGACGTCTGAGCCCTTCAAGTTCGACGTGCCTGGAATGCAACAGCGTCCCTCTCAGTCTGGCGACGAGGGAGATATCCTCACCCCTGGTGAGCGCTCTGCCTACGAGCGACTTCTCGGTAGTGACGGTATGAGGACTCCAAGCGGTGCTGCTCCAGCTCTGTCTGGTCTAGGCATGCAGAGCTTTGGACGACCAGGTGGGCCCAAGAGGCCGGCGCCTGTTCCTGGCTCTGCCCCCGCTGCTCCTGTCGCTGTGGCTCCCGAGCCTCAGCGTCCCGCGCAACAGCAGCCTGTGTCATCTTCGGCCCAGGATGAGGAGCCTTCTACGGCTTCAACTGCCTACTTCCCTGAAGATTCCCTCCGCCCTAGCCTGAACCCCATGGCTGGAAGACTTTCGACGGATGAGCCATCGCGAACGTACTCCAACACGTCCACTGTGCGAGGTGCCACCACTCCGGTGCCTCAAGCTTCTCGGGCAGCGCCAGCGGAGTCGGCGTCTACAAAGCCTGCCGCTAGCACTCACCTGCTCCCTCCCTCTAACAATGCGACCTCAGACGTCTCTGCGACTCCGAGTCGTCGTAAGAGTGTGAGGATGGCTCCGGACACGAAGCTCCCGCCTGACACGCCCGTGATGGAGCGTGACCCAGGTCTGGTGAGCGACGGCTTTGGCGGCTTCACCTCTGCCCCCGCTGCGCAGTCCGCCCCGCCTGCGCCAGTGATGCACACGGTGACTGCCCCCGGATCTGCTCTGGCTCCCAGTGGCAATGCACCTCTTGCGCCAACGACGGCTGCTGAGCTGCCGCCCCTCTCGAGCAAGATCGCTCCCCCGCCCTCTGCCCCACCTCGTCTGCCCACAAAGGACAACCATGCCTCTCCTCCCGAGCGAGAGCGTGAACGTTCGTCGGGGTGGACCACTCGCGTAGACCGCCGACTGGGCGGTAACGACGACTCTTCCGACGAAGAAGGAGGTCGTGGTGCTGGTGGTGCGGGAGAGGATGCGTATGCCAGTGCGCGAAGGGCAATGGGTGCTGCTTCGAAGCGGTGGAAAGACACGGTTTCGCCTTCGAAGAAGAAGTCTTCGGGAGGTGAGGGAGGCAAGAGTGGAAGCACAAAGAAGAGCAAGGTGAACTCGAGTGGGTATAATGCGGCGATTCCTCTGCCCAAGGGTATGGAGGTGGTGGGAAGGCAGAAGGCTAGCGAGTAGGTTGGGACTGGTCGTATGTGCATGGGTCTATTGTTTTATTTTTCGTCTAGCCCAGCTGACTTGGTCCAGTGCTAGCGCATGAGCTCAGTCGTGGTTTCTCTGCACATTCTGGTCCATTGTATCTATCACCCCTGGATTCTGTTGCCATGAATGCCAAGTGAGCAAGCAAGTGTCCAACAGCATCGGTGACTGTATCACGTCGCCTGACCCGTGAATTCCCGTCGATGCGTCCGTCCGTCCTTTCAGCCTCCCGCCCCCTTGTCCTTGTCCCATGCGCCTGTCAAAAAGCCATGCGCCAATTCAAAGAAAAAAGGCTGTTGGGGCGGAAGCGGAAGTGGAAGGGAAGCCAAGGCAGGCAGGGAGCGGAACAGGGCTTGGCTCTGGCTGAGGCTTCTTCGCGCGCGGCCTGGCTGGCTGACTGGCTGACGATGTCCGACGGGGATCCGATTCGCCGTGGAAGCAAAAGGGGGGAGACGCGCTTCTGTCATGGCGTGGGTGCAAAGGAAGGCGGTACGCCACGCCAAGTTGCCATCCATGGCTTGGTGGCGCAGGCCAGAGGAATTCCTCGCCAGGCAGACGAGAGATGTCCATAATCATCCGCCGCCCGCTCACTTCCAATCCCCTTGTCCCTTCCGCCCCATTGCACGCATATACACACACACACACACATCTTACACACCTAACATCACCTTCCTTTTCTTTCCCCCCTTCATTTACCTTAGACAGCTTCTGCTCTACTCTCAGGGTCGAGCAGCAGCAGCAGCAGCAGAAGCAGAGTAGAACAGAACAAAGGCCACACACCCACCCACTCACTCACCCATACGCATATACACGCTCCCTCGACGTCAACCCCTCACCACCCACCACCATGGACATCCTCGCCTCCTTTCTCCCTTCGCACGGCGCAAATGCCACTGCCTCCTTTGCCGACTTTGCCACGCCCAATACAAATCTCCCCTATGGCGCAGACCTCTACACCGGAACAGACCCTTCCTCGCTCAACTTCCTAGAAAGGGCATGGATGGATTGGTACATCTGGATTGGCAACCCAGTCATTGCCACTGGGCTCATGAGCTTCTTGCTACATGGTGAGTAGTCACTCCGCTTCATCATCGCTGTTCATCTTCGGCATGCTGATCTCTACTGCTACCCCCAACTCCTCCCCTCCCTCCTCACCCCCTCACCCAGAATTCGTCTACTTTGGACGCGCCATTCCCTGGATCATCATCGACTCCATGCCCTCCATGCGCAAGTACAAGCTGCAGGAGGACAAGACGGCAACGCCCGCACAGCAGTGGAAGTGCACAAAGTACGTCTTGCTCACTCACTTTACTGTAGAGCTGCCACAGGTGAGTTGCCAGCCTCCAACCCCGCCGCCACCTCGAGTCGTACCTCAGACTGACCCTTTGAGCCCCGCCTCTCTTACAGATTTGGTCTTTCCACCCACTCTGCGAGTACCTCGGTCTAGCAACACACTCTGTCCCCTTCCCACACTGGACCAAGATGGCATGGCAAATTGGCCTCTTCTTCCTCTTCGAAGACATGTTCCACTACTGGGCTCACCGCGCTCTGCACTGGGGTCCCCTCTACAAGCACATCCACAAGAAGCATCACGAATTCTCTGCCCCCTTTGGTCTCGCAGCCGAATACGCTCACCCCCTCGAGGTCATCATTCTAGGAATGGGCACAGTAGGCGGTCCTTTCCTCTTCTGCGCCCTCACCAAGGATCTCCACATCCTCACCGTCTACGTCTGGATTGTCATGCGTCTCTTCCAAGCCATTGACGCTCACTCGGGTTACGACTTCCCTTGGTCCATGCACAACTGGGTCCCCTTCTGGGCCGGAGCAGACCACCACGACCATCACCACATGGCCTTTGTGGGTTGCTACTCTACCAGCTTCCGATGGTGGGACCACCTGATGGGAACTGACCTGAGTTACAAGAGGTTCAGGGCGAGGCAGGCAGAGGAGAAGAGGAAGGCCAAAGAGGCTGGACTGGAATGGCCTACCAAGCCCGCTACTAAGACGGCGACGGGAGCGCTATTGAGCAAGGAAAAGGGGTACAGCATTGGCGAGGGAGAGACAAAGAAGACGCTCTAGATGCATAGATGGAAGTCAGCTCGCCAAACGGACGCGAGCAGTTCGATGCTTGTCGGCTGGTGGTGGTGATGGCCCAGCTCATACGCTTCAGACGCGTGCATAGAAACTGGCAGACCAGACCAGGCTCGCCGACCATTGCATGCATCGGCAATCGTCCACGGGTCTCAAGCATCGCTCTACACGAGGGTGGCCTCTATAGCAGTGCAGCCTTCCAGTCTGCAAGCTCGGACAGCAGACGGGCCCACTTCCTGCGGTCGCGCCCCCTTTCACAACTCAGTCACCCCACCACTCTCTTCAACTTCTTCAAAGCCTAGAATGTCCCTTTCATTTCCCTTTCTCTCCCCAGCCACCTTTGTGCTTTCTTTCACCCTCTTCCCTTTTTTTTGATCTTTCTGTTTTTTTCTTCCCCTTTCTTGTGCATTGCTTCTCCTTCCAAACTTTTTTTTCTCTTCCTAGCCACCTCATTCTTCATCGATCAGATCAGATCAGTCCAGATCAGACTTGGTGGTCCGATCGATGTCCATGCCCATGTCCAATATAATATCAAGAGGGATTTACTTTGACCAAGGAACAAGGGAGTGACAGCTGCATTTTCCAAAGTGATCCGATCCGAAATGATCCAATGCGATCCAATGCGATCCAATGCAGTGCAGTGCAGTACGAGCGAGATAGAGAGAGGGAGGAAAGAACAAAAGAGAGAAAAGAGAAAAGATGATTATGATACAGAAGACGCCTCCTCCTCCTCGCACTTCCACTCCTCGTCTCTCCCCATCCCCCTCCCCCGCCCCCTCCGCCCACACCTTCAACTCTCAACCAAATCCCCCAACCCTCCACTGCCCATCCCCGCCTCCTCCTCCTCCAAACCCAACCCTTCTCCAGAAGCGGCAGTATGGGGATCATTTGCATTACACTCCCTCACGCACTCCCTAAGGATACGACGTAGGGCTCGAGTGCTCTTGAGGGTGATTAGGTGGGGACTGAGCGGGTGTGTGGCGGGGAGTTGTAGCGGGTGGGTGGAATTGCCAGTGGTTGGGCAAGAGGTGCTTGGGTTTGATTTTGGAGAGGTGGGAGAGGAGCCTAGATGAGGAGAAAGAGGAGGAGGAGGAGGTGCGCTACTCCCACCTCCACTCCCACTCCCACTTCCACCTGCCTGACCAAGACCCACTGCCGTCAGTTGAGAATTTGGGAGAATGGTCAATTCATCCTCGACTGCAAAGGCCGTTGCGGCTATTGCGGCAGCTGGGGTGGAGGTAGGCGCAGCGGCAGCAGGAGCCTGACCACGACTGACAGTAGCTCCAAGGGCTGCGTTGCCGTTGCGGTCGCGCTCGCGGTCGCGATGGGAAAAGGCAGTTCCGAGGGAAGAGGAGAGGTAGGTGACCACTTCGGCTTCAACGCCCTGTAGCTCATCTTCTACCTCCTCTTCTACTTGTCCTGTGCCGGCACCGGCATGATCGTCTTCCAGATCGCCGGCTAGAGTGCCTTCGTCGTCGTCAAAGTAGTCGTCACGGTCCTCTTCCTCCCCATTTGCACCTCCTCTAGCACCAGCATTGCTGGTGGGACTGCCATTGTCGTGGTCGTTGGCAGCTCCTGTGTCCTGCCCTTCGATCTCTCCAAAGGCACGATACACGCTCGTCTGCGCTTGTGCCCTCTCCTCGTCCAATACAGCCGCCTCGACTCCGCTTTGGGACAGGACACAGATGATATCTCTCCTCCTGCGTCTGAGCAAATCCTTGACCCTCTTTTCCTCCTCTGCCAACTCGCCCAGTCGTCCCTTGAAGAACTTGGACCTCCTGCGAGATCGATCCAACTCGCGCTTTAGATGGCTGAGCAAGGCGAGACTCTGAGCATAGGACGTCTCGATGGAGGCGTGAATGGCGCGTTCGCTCAGCTGCTGTTTCCCATAAGCTCCCGACACGCGGCCTGAGAGGAGGTTCAGATCCACGAGCTTCAGCGTGGGCATAGGTCGGATCAATAGTTGCGTACCGCGTGCCTCTGCGAAAAAGGTGTGGCCTTTCCCACTGGCCGTCTTTGCCCCTTGGAGGATCGGGGTGATTCGTCGTGCCAGCACCTGTCCACCACCATTGGAGAAGATCTGTCGAGTATACTTTTGGTCCTTGGTCACTCCCACTTCGTTGCTGATGGTCAGACACTCCTTGAGAGCTCCAAGCACCTTCTCTATGCAGGGGCGCGACTTGCCCAGCTGACCACGGGCACGAGACTCACGGTCCGCCTCGGCCTTGAGGATACGCTGCGTGGAGGTGAGGATCAGCACGACGGACTCGAGGAGATCGTCCGAGGGGTGCGTGGGTGTAGGTCCGGCAAAGAGGCTCGCATCGAGTGCGTCCAGGTCGGTATCGAGGAGGGCGAGTCGCTCCAGCCCTACCTTGATACTAGCAATGGAGTCTTCCTCATTGCGAATGTGCTCCTGCAACCCATCAATGTCGCTTTCCATGTGCTGCTTCTCCCTGACCAAGTGTTCCCACTGTACTCTTGCCTTTTCCCACTTTAGCTTACGTCCGGGAAGCATCAACGAGCGACCCAAGGCAGGTTTGCGGGAGCGATACTCTTGGTGCGCCGCATGGACGCGCCCATCGAGACGTTTCCAGGCTGTGCGCTTGCTTGTGAGTAAGCCCTTGGAGACGTATAGCTCCTCTTCTGTCTTGGTGAGGAGAGAAGGGAGGGCGAGTAGAGGAGTGATGCTGTCGTGTAGTGAAGTGTGCTCGGCATAGATGGGCAGGACGCGATCACGGAGTTGAGCCAGGGCAGCATGGGATGCTGCTGACCCGGGCGAGATGCTCGAAGAGGGAAACGAGGATGAGGCTGGCGGACTGCCGACTGCGAGTGTGGCCGACTGTGTAGCATGGTACGAGGGCGGGGCAGAGGCTGCCCAGACGCCCGCAGTGGTACTCATGGCTATTGGTAGGCCGTGGTAGGCTGGGTAGGTGGGCAGGCAGGCTACGTAAGAATCGCCCGTGCGGAAAGGAAGAGGGCGGGGCGGAAAGAGGCAGGAGGCGACGGGGGCGGCCTGGGTGGTCTTGCAACGGTTCCTTGTAAAGCGGTGGGCGAGAGTGGAGAGGTTAGAAGAATGAGATAGACGATGGTAGACGTCCGAGGAAGAGATTGTGGGTTAGAGGGTATCACTGAATCAAGTCGCCCACCCTCTTTCTTACAAGGACATGGTTGCGCCGTGATAAGTGCGGCAGGCAAGTGGAGCGGCCCCGCGCCAAGAAGGTCGACCTGGGCAAAAGGGCCAAGCGGGCGGGAAGACAGGCAGCAGCACTGCAGCCGAGGCAGGCCATGCACACAAGCGGGGCACCACACCCGCGACATCCTCCCAGCAAGGGTCCGGATTCTCCTTACCTCCGAGATAGAGACAACGGCCAGGCGTCGACGGACATTATAGCGCAACATCTATCTATATATTGGGCATCCCGATGACAGAGGCAGGCAGAACAAAACACCTTGTGCCTTTTGACGTGCTTCTCCTGTCCCCTCACAGAGGGTAGGCTCGTCTAGCCTTGAGCACCTCCTCCTCGTCCTCGCCCTCCTTGACCCAACCCTTTTGCACCTGCTCGCGATGCTTCTCATCCAGGTACGGCAACACAATATCCCTGTAAAGCTCCGCTGCCTTGTACCAAGCAATATCGTCCGGCCAACTGCGCATCGCGCTCGCCAGTCGACCCGGCACCCCCTTCTCCTCGGCCATAGTAGTGATCGGAGTCAGGTAGGTTCGAACGGTGAACAGCACCGCACCTGAGCGGGGGAACCTGCGGAGTGACTGTCGTTCCGATCGCATAGCTACATCTTGCGGTCCTCGAGCGGGAGCAGGAGGATCAGGAGGCGCAACACCCTCGACGGGCACAGACGTCTTGAGACTCTGGTCAAAGAGATTCTCTGGTCCATTGGTAGTGTGCGACCAGGACAGCTCCGTATCGTCTCGCACGGCCTCGTGACCCTCGTGGCCCCTCGTAGACATATTGTGAGGGTCATCGACCTTGAGTACAGACGGGCTGAAGGTCCCATCGTGCAGTGACTTGATGGCCTCCTTCGGATCAATATCACGCGGATTGAAGACTTGGAAAAAGTAATTGTTGCGCTCGGCAAGAGAGTTGGGATTGAGCTTTGAGAACCAACGGTCCATAGGATGCATCAATTTCGTCTCATACTGCGCTACCTTGCCTTTGATGTGGATCTGCTGAAGCGTGAGGCCTGGGAGAGTATGCAAAAGAGAGCAGGATGAGCTTCTGCTAGGCTTGCTCGTCGAGGCTCCTGCTACCGCTGTCTCACCTAGCTTCTCGTCTAGCCTCCAGAAACCTGGCGTGCAGACACTGCCGGCCACGAAGCGGTACTGGCCCTTTGTATCCCCCTCTTCGTCTGCCATCATGATGGCCAAGTCGTCCGGCAGTAGCTCTCCAGCCACTTTCATCGGATCGTCTCCACCCCTGCCCAGATCTAGTAGCGTCCACTGCCTCTCTTCCAAGCCTAGATGAGGCTGGGCCAGCCTCCTCACTCCTCTGATGTCCCATCCGTCCGAGCTCCTCTCTGCTCCCTTCGGCGTCACTTCGAACATACTGGGATAGCGATTCGTGAGAAAGCCGGCGATAGCACGAGCTACTTCGAGAGCTGCGAGCTCGTTGCGCTTCGAGGCAGAGGGTAGAGTGCGGACAGAATGCTCCTTGTAGATCTCGTGGCGCGCCTGTCGTAGGCGGATGTAGGAGGGGTAGGAGCAGTGGATGTGCAGCCAGTCTTGCTGAGGGATGGTGCGAATGCCCATTGTCACCTAAGGGGAGCGAGGCAGGAGCAGAAGCAGACATACTCCAGAAGCTGAGACAACAGAGCAGGCGAAGACTTCAGTCACTTCCGTTGGACTCACCTGGTATGCCCCGAACTTGAACGGACGATACTTTGGCTCTTCCACTTTGCGCAGATCAAAGTCCATGCCTTCCGAAGGAGGATGAGTGAAGCCCTTGTAGTCAGGATACAGCTTGGTGTACGGTCCTGACACCTTGCTTGGGGCGAGCACATTGTAGAGAAGCAGCGCAGCTAGGAGGCTTGCTGCGATCCCCAAGGGGACGACGAAGCTCGCCAGCAGCGGAGATGATGTGAGTACCATGATGTCCTGGTGGCAGAAGCTGGGAATCAGGATCAGAGGGATGGTCGGGAGGAGAGACTACGAGCTACCGAATACATATCGCGCTAGTTATGAGAAAGGAAAGGGATGTGGCTTCAGATAGCAAGGGCTGAGGGATGCTGTACCCATGTAGATAGATACGCGGCGTCGGGAAGATAACACAATTAAGCGCAAGGCGCTGGGACGGAAAAGGAACGCGAGGTGGCTCGAGCGCAAGGATCAGGCGCCTCGAAGCGCTGCCGGACTCGATTGCACTCGCACAAGAGCCGGTGTTTCTCCGCGGCTCAGCACATGGGACGATAGTAAGAAGAGAGCGGACAAGGTTGATGACAAGACAGGAGAATCGTCCCGCTGCGGATCATCTTGTCCCGAGGTTGCGGCTGCACTACCGTGGCTGAGTATCACGCTCAGCGAACAACGTGCGGCAGGAAGGATCTGCCGGCCACTTCCGCTTAATTGACCAAGTGCGATTGCTACCACGATGGCAAAATCTTGCCGGTGCGGCATGCAATGGCTGTATGCTGCCAGTGCTTCTTGTGGCGTTCATCGTCCGCCGTCCGTATGACCCATTCTTTCGTCCACCCTTCTCATGCTTCTCCCGTTTCCTCTTCTCCCTCAAGCACTTTCCTCCCCTCTACTCGGGCAGACTAGCACAGCATGGCAGACACCGTAGCAGAGCTCGATGGATCTGGCTGCAGTGATAGAGCAAGTGCCGCTCCGACCTTGGCAAGCTACGCAGACGTGTCTGGAAACGCCACCACCATCGAAGGCAGCATGCCACTTCCAGACCTTACGACTGCCAACTCACACTACGACGGTACCGAGACCTCGAACGACAGCGCTCCCCAGACACTCAAAGACTTTCTCGACTTTATGGGCGTGGACGCTCACATACCTCAGCGAAGCGATGATGACGGCGCTGCCAGCATATATGCACCAGATGCGCGTCCCCTTCTGCGAAGGGACACTTTCCTCCTACCTTCCACTTCTTCAGCTAGAGGCCAGCATCTAATTTCAGCTTCAACACGATGCCTCTCCCGCACCGATAGCGCAAGCCATCATGATCGTCCAACGCAAGTGGCACAAGATCGAATTCCTCGCCTCTTCCATCAATTTAGCACACCACGCCAAGGCCAGGGAATTGGCGGGGGTAATCCCAGAAGCAGACGAAAGCTCCTCTATAGTGGCTTTACTCCAAGCCCAGGCAAGACTCAAGAGAACATCGAAGGGCAGCCCTGCGCCCTCAACAGAGCTGACTCGTCTCAATTTCCAATTCCAGACTTTGCTCGCTCTTCATCCTATGCAGTATCGACAGGCTCGCCTCCGAGGAACTCTACACTCGAGTCCTCTCCCAACCGGAAAAGACGCAGTGGTGGTCCGAGCCCATCACAAATGCCGTCTGTGCCGCTTGCATTTGCTCAGCGTGACCCTCGAATTGTGGGAGCACAGCGCGTAGAGCGTACTTCGGCCTCATACACATTCCTTCCCTCAGACGTCAGCTCACTTGTAGACAAGCGACTCTCTTCTGAGTCCAATGAGGATTATGCCACAGCTGCCTCAGTCGCTGGGAGCGAAGCAGGCTTCGCGCACGGCGACGCGTTCCTTGACTCTAGCGGTGAAGAGGTCAGTGTCCGTCTATTTCTTGGTTGAGACAGTCCCACTTATCATTTCCTAGTCTCTGACTTGTATCGCATTCACCGACCCAGACTGGCCTGACATCTGGTCTGCGTCGCGCTTTCAATGAAGGCAGCCACGGTCATTGGGCGGACAATGTCATCGGATCAGGACTTGGACGAGCCTACCGATACTCGACACCACCTTCTCCCAGCCCGAAGAAGATTCTAGTTCAGCACAAAGCATTCAGGCTGGTGTCACGACAGCAGCGATCTGTGCAAGGGGATCTTGAAAGTATGTTAGGAGACGGACAGTCCATGCCAGGTTCCAGCGGCAGGAAGTCACGCCCGTCACGCAAACTCTCGACGGCCGATCGAGTTGTAAAGCGCGCACTCCTGCCTGGTATCTTCGACTCGGAGGAAGAAGAAGAACAAGTAGCAAGTAGCAAAGGCGGACAAGCATTGAGCGCAAGGAAGAGGAGACTGTTTCGGTCGCCCAGGATCGGACCCAAGACCAGCGAGGCTCTCGCCCACTTGATGCCGTCCACGTGTGCCTCGAGCGAGACCGACAAAGCGCCTTCCTCGAGCTACAAGAGCAAGCGTCTCAAGTTGCGGCACACTGGTGAAGGATCTTCTCAGCTACAGACTCCTATCAGCAGCAACACTGCGGCAGAGATTCTATGCAACCTACAGCATATAATCAGCAACGAGTCTGCTACGCCACAGCAACACTTGCTGACTCTGTCGGCGCGCTCGCTGCGTGCGCAACAGCGAGCGCAAGCAGTCCAAAAGTCGCTTTTGACAACGGAGACAGAGGCAATTCCTCGCGAGGCAGGCCGAAGACAATCATCACGAGCTGCTTTTGAGGACGATGCCAGTGGTGACACTGACGATGCAGGACTAGTGGAAGTCACCAAACAGACTGATGCTTTCGAGAGCGCCAGCGCAAGAAAGATTGAGGAGGTAGCAGTTGATCAAGCAAATGATGAACATACTAGTGGGAAGTCTTGCAATGCCCAGCAGCGAGTCTTCCCACGTCACGTCGACAAGCAAACGGCACGATTTCCGGGCTTCTATCAGAGATACGCGGTGGTACGTTGCAGTGTCGCCTCGTGGGAGTCTGCTCAAGCAGAGTCATTCATATCATAGGTCTGGCTCGCGGTTCCTTCTTGCACTTCACAGCCAAGCCAATTGCCCGAAGAGATCCAACAGAAGGTCTTTCCACAAGGCGCCAAGGATCCAAGGTGAGTCTTGCAATGCCATGAGCCGAGCGACGAGCTGACCATTGTCCTGTCCCGTACGACAACGACAGTCTCTCTCCAGCGCTCCAAGTCGTTGCCAATCGCGGCTTCTTCAAATTCTCCGGCGACCCCAACGTCTCCCTGCCAGACCCTTTCGACCTCTACATTCCCCGCTTCACGCGAGGTCGCGGCATGAAGAAGGAAGCCCTCTGCCCAATCTGCTACGACGCCTCTCCTATAGGACGAGGTCATGCCTCTGCCAATTGGTACCAGACAAAGGTCTCTGCGTACAATTACCACCTCCAGATTTCCCACGGGATCATGTCCGCCACAGGCCAGCCCATGGATCCCCCCGTGAGGTTCAAGAGCATAGAACGGAGCGGGGGTGCTGTGGCTGCTGGTGAGAGGAAGACGATCCTACAGGGGGAGTGTCATGCCTGTGGGAAGTGGATTGCACTCGAGAGTGTCAAGGATGTGGAAGTCAAGGTGAGCAGAGGCTGCTGGTATTCTGCAACTGAAGCCGACCTGAAAGACTTTACGCTCTTCTGCATCGTTCTCATTCAAGATTCCGGAAATCTATTGGCGCAAGCACGCTGCCAAGTGCCACAAGAAGCGTCCAATGAACGGTACCAGCGGCGTCTTTGTAGAGGACGAGGTGAGCGTGTGGTGAGGAGCCAGGACTTTGCCAGACGCGATCATTGTCTGACCGTCGACCGTCGGCTTCCGGCATTCAGTTCTATTTCCGAGTCAAGGCCGCCTACGAAGCCGATTCACAGAAGCAGTGCTAGATACGATGGCGACTCCGGAAAACAGCGGCAGCAAGTGTGACTGCGAAAAATGCTGTATTGATGCAGGGACCTCTGTTTAGTCGAAGCGATTGCAATTCAGCTCTTTGCTTCCCCTGTTGCTTGCGACTCCTCGCTAGTCGACGCTGGGCTTTGATCCTCCTTGCCCTCTCTGACGATACCCTCTGCCATATTCTTGACGTCCTCTGCTACCGCTGCCTCGCTTGTGGGTTGCGCTCGCGTAGTCGTCGCAGCTTCAGCACCTGTCTCTTCACCGTCGGTAGTGACCTTATTGTCTCCCTCTCTGAGTGCCTCCTGAGCTCCCTCAAAGATGGTTCTCCCAATTCCCACTGGCCTCCTCTTGAGCACCTCCGCCTTCATCCCCACCCCTGCCATCTCATGCACCCTTAAAAAGTACAACCACTTCTGCACTACCTCCTCATTGGCATCATACACCTTGATGACCCTCGAGCTCACCCTCCGCATAAAGTTCTCCTGCGACTTCTTGTGCACGAAGGGCCCACGCGGGACGGTCCAAAGGGACGTCTGGCGTGGTGGAGAAGCGGGGCGCGTAGCGGGAATCCCTAGGGCGTAGGCGGTTCGCAAGGCGAAGTCGGTAAAGAATTGAAGGTTCTGCAATGTTTCCCCTTCGGAGTAGGCGGAGAGGTGAAGAGTGCAGACGTGGTGGCCGTGGGTGGGAGGGTGGTACTGCGTTTCTGGAAGGAGGGGTGCATTGGCCGGAGGTGGTGGGCGCAGGGAAGAAGTGGATGGGATGGAGGATGATGATGATGTGGTGGCTGGAGACGTGGAGTCCTCTTGCTGACGAGGAGCAGATGAGCTGTGAAGTAGGACGGTGAGAATCGTTGTCAGAAGGTCTGCTGAGGCAATAATGAGGTCCATGACCCGCAACTCACCTTGCGAATCGCTGCTGAAGAAGGCACCTTGCAGATGCGGTCAGGCTCCGAGGAGCCATGGGAGCGCCAGAGGTTGCAATCGATGCGCCAACGCTACGCAGCATGTTGCGGGACGAGGATGCTGTCATCGTGTTGCAGACGGTGGTGGTGGTGGTGATGGTAGTGGTGATGCTGACGGTGATGGTCTGATCTCTTTCCTTGGTTTACCCTGTGGGTGAGATCTTCCCTGTCCGCGCTGCCTGCCTGCGCTGCCTGCCTGTGTGCGTGCGCCTGTCTGTCAGTCCTTGCGTCTGTCCGCCTGTGCGCCGCCTTCTTCTTCTTCTTCTTCGGCCTCTTCTTTTTCCATTTTCGGCTCAGCGGCTCCGCTCCGGTCGTGGCTGCCTCGCTTCTTCTCCCTGAGGCCTCGCTTGGAGGATACCGTTGCTACAATCTTCTCACCCCCGCACACCTCGCCGCCGCCATACACCCCGTCACGACTGCGCCCACCTTGGAGCGAGCTGACAAAGGCACGAGTGTTACCGCAGCTTCATACACACATACACAGACACGAACACACACACGCGCGCGCGCCCTCTACCCCTGTACCAAGCGACGTCAAGGCTGGACCTGACGTACCACACTTTCACGTCCCGTCATTGCTGCCCCGCTCTCCTGGTCCCACCACCTGTCCCTAGTCTTGCAAGGTACACTAGTCACTCGGCACACACAGACTTTGTGCCATCACCACTCGTGATTCACCATCGTCATGGACCCATCCTCACATCCCATCAACATTACCACGACGGCACCTTCGCCTGCCACGTCGGCCGTACCTCAGCCTCACGACGAGATACACCCTAGGCTCCTCTTCTCTGGATCTGCCTCCCTCGGGGGAACCTATCTCGGTGGAGTGGGTGCAGGTAGCAGCGACCACCCGAGCGGCAGCAATGCATACACCTCAAGCTCCCTCCTACCGCCGATGCGTAGCCCCAGCAATCCCTCAATGGCTCCCAGAGCACCTTCGCCAGTCGTAGGAGCCATAGGTGGTCATAGGTCTCCCTCCCTCGGAGCCGTTCAGGGGACAGGCACGAACAATGCGGCAGCAGGAAGTACCAACAGAAGCATCAGCAGCACCTTGCCGAGACCGGTCTCCTTGTTCGAGCTTGGAAACAAAGGAGACGACTTATTCGCCGTCTTTGCAGGAGGCATGTCACCTTCCAGCGGATCCAATGCCTTTACCCCGTTCGCAGCCGGCCTCAATCGACCTGCCTCGGCCATAGAGAGCGCTTTCTACGACGGTGATAAACCAACACACGTCAACAGGGCATCCACGTTGTCTCCAGCACCGGTTGATCAGCCAGGACAAAGTTCCTCCTCCTCTTCGCCTGCTCGCTCAGGTGAGCGGCCCACCAGTCGGCTGGACTTCGGAAGACTACAACAGCGGAGCAACGCTGCCGCGGCGGCAGCAGCAGCTGCTGCTGCTGCCCTTGCCGCTTCTCAGAGTCACTCTGGTCCTTCCAGCAACAGGCAAGAGCAACCTCGAGCACACGCTGCTGCTGTACCAGGCGCCGCCCCCGGTGTTTCCTACCCGAGCGTCAATCGATCGCCGCCAGAGCTCGTGAGACCTCGACCGGAAGTAGCAGCTCAGAGGTCATTCTCTGGCGACAATGTAGCAGGGAATATCGGTAATCTTGCGCTGGATCAACGTGGACCTCCCCTCGCATCGCCAGATGGCTCACAACACGGAGTTGCTTTCAACAGTAACTTGTCCAGTCCCCTAGACTCTGGTGTTCCAGGCTCTTATCCTTTCCCTGTGCCACAACAACGGCATCACCAGCAGCAGCAGTATCCACAGCAGTACCAGCAGCATCAGGGCGGTACTCCCAATCATATGCACGGCTCCCGCAATGCCATCGATAGACTCAACAATCACTCCAGGGCGTCGCAGCGTAGTCCAGCCCCGGCCCGTATAGCTTCCCCTTTGGACCCGAACAGACACCGTTTCAGTTCTCCAGTTCCGCTCCACCTTGGCGACTCGGGTTCTGCTGGACAGACAATGCAGCCTCACATGGGCACAGGCGACGCCACCGGCTCAGGATCCAACAACAATGTCAATCCTATGCGGAAACAGCGCGTGACGAGCTCATCGCCAGACAATGATCCCAACAGACGCTTGACGGCTCTGGAGGTGGCAATGACTCAGCTCACCCAGGGTCTGACTGGTATTGCCCGCGACGTCAGCTGGTTGATGGAGAGGGAGAAGATGAGGAGTGACGGTGGAGGTCACTCACAAGCAGACTCAATTGCTTCCTCCAAAGAGGCCGAGATCAGAGCGATGAGGGAGCAATTGGACATGCTGAGTGGGAACGTCAGGCATCTTGTGTCCGCTCAGCAGCAGCAGCAGCAATTGCCTCGCCGGGGTTCTGGCGGAGTGAACGTCGGTGGATTGGGATTGGCTGGCAATGGGCCACTTCGCTCCAGGGCTTCAGGTGGTGGCCCTTCGTCGCCCCAGCTGCCGCCCACGGCTCAGGGTCTAGCGCCTCTACCGCCATCGGATGCTCACCTCAGCGCTCCCAGGAGCCCTCTTGCACTCCCCACAATACCGATGGTTCAGCGCGGCCCATCTCCTCGTCCTGGCGCAGGCGGGCGAGGCTTCCCTCAGCAGCAGCAGTCCTCTCAGCAGAATTGGCTGACCTCACCTAATGCGGATGTCCGCTCGCTACCCCAAGGCCAACCACAGCGATGGAGTCAACATCTTTCTCCAAATGCGGGTGGTGGTATGGCGGGCAATGCTGGTCCCAATGGACACCAAAGTGGACCTTTAGACAATGGCTCGACTTCCACCTCGATTGATTTGTCGAGCTCACCACTCATTGTATCAAAGTGGGAGCATCTGCCATTACAGCCTGATCTTCTTCGATCGGTGCTCAAGTACGGCCTTGGCCCACCCAACAAGGTGCAACAGCGCGCCCTTCCCTTTTTGCTTCGAGGCTCAGACGTGATCGCCCAAGCACCTCCTACGCAAGAACGCATCGCCTCCTATGTCATACCGGCCATCCATGTCGTGCTCACTACTCTGCGCTGTCCATCTCTGTCGGGCAGTCCTTCTGCCAACAGCAGCGGTCCCTTCGTCCTCATCGTGACTACCACTGTTGATCAAGCCACTCAAGCGCAGAGGATGGCTGTGGGTCTCGGAGGCGCACTCGGAGTGCGGGTCCACATTGCTGCTGGAATCGGAGCGGACCTCGAGACAGACGTGAGGAGTCTCGTGCAGACTCGCCCTCACATTGTCGTGGGCACTCCCACAAGAATGGTGGAGCTTGTCGCACGCCTGAAGGACCTCAAGCAGACTGGCTTTGGCAGTGGAGGCGGAGAGCAGATGCCCGACCTCGGTGAAGCTCGGATGGTCATCTTGGATGAAGTCGACCAGATGATCGCTCGGAATCTTAGCCAACACGTCGGAAACATGCTAAGAGCTCTGCCTGCGCCTAGCTGGTCAGAAGGAAGTCCAGGAGGGCCCTCGAGCCCTCTAGTCTCCCCTAGTCTGACGCTCGGAAGTCACAACCCCTTCGACATGATGTCCGGTAGGGCTGGCCCTTCGATGCTCGGGCAAAGTTCGACAAAGGGGGAGCGACAGACTGCCATCTTTTCCAACACTGTCCCGCAGGACGTGCTTACATTTGCTCAGACCATTCAAGCGAGAGACAGCGTCAGGGTTCTGGTAAGGAGGGAGGGCACGACGGTTACTCAACACTCTGCTGTCGGTACGGTGGGAAGTGGCGGGAGCGGAGCTGCTCCCTTCAGCACTGGTGGTGTTGGGTCCAACAACCATCAAAGCGGTGTCGGGGTTGGTGGTGGAGGAGGAGGAGGAGGAGCAGGAGGCTTCAGAAGCGTCTCCCCTGCCGTGGGCGGAAGCGCCTTCAATGGCGACAACGGCGGCGGTGCAGGCGTGGGTCAATCGAGCTACGGCTCGTCTGGCTTCTCTGGTCAGACTCTGTATCAAGGAGGTGGTGGCCAAGGCTATGCTCAGTCGGGCGGCAATCACCCGTCGTATACTCGGACATCTCCTGCCTCTCGCCAGGGTCAAGGCTATGCCTAAGCGGATCGAACTCATTCAAGCGGTAGAGGGACAAGCGTGGCAGAAGCAGGGTAAGCCTTGCACCATTCGTCGTATCATCGTCATCGTTATCATCATCAGCAGCGCATAGATCATCCATCGCACATCGTTACCCTTCTCCATGATCATCGTGTATTTCCTTCGCTCTCATCCTCGTCTGTACTTCCCCCTTGTTCACCCTCACCCTCTCCCTCTCATCGAGCGGCCATCGTGTCCCTCGCGCCGCGAGCTCGTCTACTCTACGCACAACCCCTAGTCCTGCTAGCGCTTTCGCTCTTCCCTCATCTGTAGCCTTTCATACATCCAATCAGATCCCGTCCGTCAACTTCAGTCCCACGTGTGCTACGAGAGAAAAGGCCCCACATCGGCACAGCCCCTTGCTGGACCGCTCCTGCCGAATGGGACGGGACAAGGAAGAGGGGAAGCAGTGCGGAAGCAAGCCGGCCGGCCGGCCTACAGGCGGTGCACGCTGCGAAGCCGTAGTACTGCCGTGCGGTCAAAGGCGGGGAGGGGCTCCATCCAGTTCCCCCACTGAGATCCGTTCCATGTACAACGGGTGGCGGGGTGGGTGGTGGAAGAGGAATTGGGGGAGACGCGGAGGCTGCCCCCACCCCCGCATCGTCCTTCCCCTCGCGTCGCCCCCGCGTTTGGTTCCCTTTCCGCTTCTGAGGCTTCCCCACAATCCACGCCCGAGAGGCTGACAAGACGAGACGAGGGACATTGAGCGCAAGTGAGATTGAAGTGGTAGGTAGGATTGCTACTAGCAACGACGAGAAGAAGCTGCACCATCATCCTTCTCCACGCTCTTCAAGCTCTTCCCTCCTCCTCCTCCTCCTCCTCCTCCTCCTCATTGCGACTATGAGCACAGCACAAGTCATCAGTCCCAGCGACGCCGGATACGAGGAAGCTCGCGTCTCTCGCATCTTCAACAAGCGTCGTCCCAACAAGAAGCCTGCTGGCATCTTCTTTCCAACTAGCGAAGACGAGGTAGTGGCGGCAGTGGAGACGGCTGTGCAGCAAGGCAAGAGGATCTCTGTGCGATCAGGAGGACACAGCTGGGCGGCTTGGTCACTGCGGGACGATTGTATCCTCATCGACACTTCCCGTCTGGACACTTTCCAGCTGGATGCAGAGCGCAGACTAGCAACAGTCAGTACGGCCATGACGGGTGGCAAGCTGAATGGGCTCCTCTCCAAGAGCGGCACTGGACTGGCTTTCCTCGGTGGACACTGCCCCGATGTGGGTGTGGGCGGGTTCCTCCTGCAAGGTGGGCAGGGTTGGGGATGTCGCTTCGTCGGCTGGGCCTGCGAGCAGATCGAGTCGTTCCGTGTCGTGTTGCCTCCTAGCAGCAAGAACGACCACCAAGTCAGAGTCATCGAATGCTCCCGCTCGCAGAATGCCGACCTATTCTGGGCTGCTCGTGGGTGCGGGCCGGGCTTCTTCGGCGTCATTACCTCCTTCACGCTGCAATTGAGGAAAATGCCCAAGCTGGCTGGGTCAGTGTACTTTTTTGACACAGAGGAGTGCTACGACGAGCTTGCACCCTGGTATCTACAGAAGTGCCGCGACTTGCAAGGACGAGCTGAAATCGTCATGATTGGTTTCCGATCAGACAAAGTCCTTCCACACCTCTCTCCTGTGCGGAACGTCATCCTGATCCGCCCGCTCATCTTTGACTATGAAGACGAAGCAGAAGGGCAGGCCAAGCTCGCCGAGTTCGAAGAAGGGATGCCCTTTTTGGGCTCAAAGCACAATCATGTCCACGTGCTCAACGAAGCTAGCTCCATGGCCCTCGAGTACGAGCGGCAATGGGAGGACAATCCCAATGGGAGGTACTGGGTGCAAAATGCTTGGCTGGACGGACCGCTGGACAAGGTGGCAGACACAATGGCTTGGGCTTTCAAGAATATCCCTAGCAAGGCGACGTTTGTCCTGCACTACTCGATGGACTGCAAAGAGCGGCATGCCCTGCCAAAGGACATGTGTTTCGATGTACAGACAGACCACACCTACTCCATCTACTCGATTGCCCCCGAGGACACCAGGGAGGAAGACGAGCAGTGCAGCTCTTTTGTCAAGCAAGCCTTTGACATTGTTGACTCGCGCAGACCTGAAGAGGGAGGATCAGTGGGCATCTATCTAGGCGACTCGGATTTGACAGTCAGGAGGTCAAGGTTCATGGGCGAGGAGAATTGGACAAAGTGGAAGAGACTCAGAACAGAGTATGACCCGAAGAGGATGATGGTGGGGTATGATGGGGAAGATGAGAAGGAGGATTGGAACAAGGAGAAGTGGGAGACGCAGACTTGAATGTGCAATAGTCATGAGATTTATAGTATCAAGCTCAACAGAGATCAGGGCAGCGATATTGAGCCCATGCATGTATTCTGGACACTTCAGTTGATCAACGACTCTTTGCAGCCATGCCACCATCCACCTCCAGCACTGCTCCCGTCATGAATGAGCTCGCATCGCTGGCCAAGAACAGGATAGCATCCGCACACTCTTCCGGATCCGCCCACCTCTTCATCGGCACTGCTGCTGCCAGTCTCGCATCTAGATCCCTATGTGTTGGGTCTGAAGTATGTCCAGGTGTCCGAATCAATCCAGGAGCAATGGCATTGATGCGGATCCGGTCCTCGGCGTGCTCCAGCGCAGCGACCTTTGTCAGTCCCACGCTGCCATGCTTTGCAGTGCAGTATGCTCCAAAGGTTGGTACTCCCTCCAGTCCTGCACGCGAAGCGACATTGATGATGATCCCTCTTGAAGCGCGAGGGGAGGAACTTGTGGGAGATTGAGTGAGCATGACTTTGAGCTCGGCTTTGAGACTGAGGAACATTCCTCGCGTGTCGATGGAGTGCACCTTGTCGAACTCGCTCTCGGGGAGGTCGACGATGCGCTGCAGCTTACCGCCTGTAATGCCTGCACAGCTGAGGAAGGAAGGGAAAGCAAGGTAGTGTAAGTAACAGTACTTACGGATGGCGCTGGTGTCAAGAGAGAGGGATCCTCCTTCGCAGCCGTACTCACTTGATGGCCACATCTAGTCTCCCAAAGGAAGACACACCCAATGCAACCGCCTCCTCCAGACTCTGCAAGCTGGTGACATTACAGCTTGCAAAGACTGCTTGAGTACTTCCCGCACCATTGATCTCCTTCGCCAGCGCCTCGCCTAGAGCGGCATTGATGTCGGCTATCACGACGTGGTACCCTTCAGAGGCGAAGAGCCGAGCGCATTGAGCGCCGATACCGCTCGCTCCGCCTGTGATGAACACTACCCTGGGAGGTGGGGAGGAAGTTGAAGCTGTCATTGTTACTTGATGCTGGTTTTGCCTATGATCTGGTTGGTACTTTGAGAGTTCGAAGAAGAACCATGAGCTAGTTAAAGGAAATTTAAGCAACATGCAGTCCGAGCCTTGTGGGGTAGACTAAAGGAGGTAGGCCAGTGCACGGTGGGGGTTGGTCCGATGTGGGGTTGCACTCAGAATGCGGGGTAATTGGGGACTGGTGGTGGGGTGGCTCACTGACCCACAATACGCAGACACAAGCGTACGTATGGCAAGATTTAGGTAGAAGAAGTTCGCATTGACACACAACGGAGAAGACAAGCAAGAAGAGGCTCTCAAGAGCGAGCATAACGGATACCAATCTGTCCCAGCTTGTATCCCCCGTACGTCAGACCCCCAATAACAGTCAAAGCGGTGGGAATAAATGTGATGAAGAAGCCCGATGGGAAGAAGTCGATCTTCGAAGCCTTCCCCCTCTTCATAGGCGCAATGACCAGAGAGGACTTGGAGCGAGGTGGTGTCGCCTTCTTCTTCTCCGGTGTCTTGTGCAGCAAGACAGTCGAGGTCGCTTTTGAGAAGAGATTTGTAGACCAAAGAGGCTCGAGAGCAAAGTCATCGGAAGCTTCTGCCTTTCCCTTCTTGGAAAGCACAGCAGAAGATGTAGTGGGCACGTGGGAGTAGGCCAGATCCCTGGGCATACCGTTGATACTGATGGACTGTGCTTGAATGTTCTGCGCATAGTACGAAGCAGTGGATGGCTGGGCAAAGATGTAGACGTTCAGAGCTTCTTGCTTTCCGCCTTCGGCTTGTTCCTGGACGCTGTAGATAGTATCTTGAGTACTGAGAACGGCGGTAATTTGGGCACTCGCTTGCCCTCTCTTGCCGGCCCAGACTTTCTGGAAAAGCGGCAGTATCGTCTCGGTGACAAAAATCTGGGAGACTGAGCCGGGGAAGTGATCGATGGCATCGGCGATGGCTTCAAGCTGCGCAGTGTCGCGGCTCACTGCACGATGGTTCTGCTCCGGGTGTCTGTAAGATTGAGGATTCACCAGGCTATGGTCTACGACCACGATGTGGACCGGCTCGGAGGCGACCTCGAGCACATTCGAAGGGGCCTCCTTCTCCTTGCGGCTGCGAGCGCTCGAATATCGCACCACGCGGTCAAATCGAGGCCAGTCGTTGGCATGAAGACGCGAGGCTGAGATGAAAGAGAAAGTCTCTCGATCCATAGACACAGCAAAGAGCTCTCTTAGCCTCTTGATCAGGGCGTCCGTTTCGGGCTTGTCATGATGAACAACGACGATGCAGTTGCCCGCGGCCAAAGCGGCGGCTACGGGACCGAAGACAGCGTCTAGTGGAAGCGCGAGGCTACTGCATTCTTCTGGCAGTACAATGGCAACCACACCGACAGGCCTGTTGAGCTTGTGGGTGACCGCCCCAGTAGGTTTCCACAGCGCTTTCTTCTCGGCGACTGACAGGGGTTGGTCAAGTGTATCGGCGTGTAGAGCCAGGTTCCTCAGAGTGGCATATAGCGCATCCTCGAAGTCTCTGTCGCTGACCTTCTTGAGGGGCGCAAAAGCCTGACGCAAAGCTGCTTGTCCAGTCTCGATTCCTACAGAGAGCTTTCGTAGAGCTTCGTGCCTGGTGCGGACGTTCTCCAGGCGGCCATCGATGCTGGCGGAGAAGACGTCAAAGAGAGGCGAATGGAGTGACGAAGACATGTTGTCCTAAATGACGTGTGATGAGCTTTGACCGGTACGAACGGGAGATGGTTGAAAGTCTTGGGAAGGTCTCTCATGGAGTCGTATCCGTGACCTCTTCAAATTGAGAGGCTGAGCTGCGTACGGGAGAGCAGCCGCCACGCTTTCCGCTCGGGGTGGCTGTGTGGGGTATGTGGGGCGTGTGTGGGGGTGACTCCGTGGGACGTGCACCTTGTCCCGCCAAATACCCGCCCTTCCCTCCTCGTCTTCCGGCAAAGAGGAAGCCGCTTCCTTCTTGTCTTCCTGTTTTGCCAACTAGACGATATCATAGACAGCCATGACTCACTTTCCTTCACCCATTCGCCCTGGCGAAAATCAGACCCACTCTACCATCCACGAGGATGGTATGATCATCGAGAAGAACCTGGACATTCCGCTCAAGGATGGCGTCAATGTCATGCGATGTGATGTTTTCCGGCCAGCAGCAAAAGGCAACGAGGTGGAACAGTACCCAGTGATCATGACAATGGGTCCATACGGCAAGGATGTACCGTACTCTGTCTTCTACGCAAGGTCCTACTCAGAGCTACCCGATGAGCAGAAGAGCAAATGGTCAGCCTGGGAGGTCCCCGAACCGACCTACTGGACAGCACAGGGCTACATCTGCATCCGAGTGGACGAGAAAGGCTCCGGTCAGTCCCCAGGATTCTTGGACACCATGTCTGACTCTACTTCGTCCAACTTCGCTGAAGCCATCGAGTGGGCCGCCGTCCAACCTTGGTCGACCGGCAAAATTGGCCTGCTTGGCATCAGCTACTACGCTGGCTCGCAATGGCGTGTCGCTGCCCGCCAGCCCAAGGGACTAGCCTGCATAATACCCTGGGAGGGCATGGCAGACTACTACCGGGATCGCGTAAGGCACGGTGGTATCTTGAGCGACGGCTTCATCAAATTCTGGCAAGAGCGTCAGATCAACCACAATCAGTATGGCACACCAGGAAGCGAAGGCGCCAATGCCAATGTCAACCTTCCGGGTCTGGCTCCTCGACCGCCGAACGTGGAGGGCATCTTGTCTCCTGAGCAGCTTCGAGAGAACAGGACCGATCAGACCATCGACACGGCGGAGAACGAATTCCTCGACGACCCCTACTTCAGCTCAAGAGACTACAGCCTCGCCAATATCAAAGTGCCCATGCTCAGTGTAGCCAACTGGGGTGGTATCAATCTTCACCTGCGAGGAAACATTTTGGGCTATTTGGGTGCTGCTTCGACCTACAAGTGGCTACACTGTATCACGGGACGTCACGACTTGCCCTTCTACCTCCCGGAATTTGTGTCGCTCCAGCTGTCCTTCTTCAACACCTTTCTCAAAGGCAAGCCTGACAATGACGGTAGGGACTGGCTCAAGGGGCCGTCGACGGAGTCTGGTGCTGTTCCACCCGTGACATACACCTTGCGAAAGGGCAACCCTGGCTTCAACAAGACCGAGGCCGAGCGTACATTCCCGGTCAAGACTGCTTCCGCCTGGCCCATTCCTGGAACACAATACGTTGACCACTTCTTGACTTCAGAGGCCAAGCTCGTCCGAGAAGCACCGCAAGAAAATTCCGAGCTTACTTACAAGGGCTTGACAGGCGACAGTATCTCCTTCTCCACCGCTCCATTCGAGGCGGACACAGAAGTGACTGGACACCCAGTCTTGCACTGCAAGGTGGGCATCAAGGCAGACGAGACGGGCAAAGTTCCGAAGGACATGGACATCTTTGCTACGATCCGGAACTTTGATGCTGCTGGCAACGAGGTCTTCTACACTGGCACGGCGGGCGATCCTGCCGGTGCCACCAAGGGCTGGCTGAGGCTGTCCCACCGCAAGCTGCAACCCTCGAGCCAGCCCTGGCTGCCGGTAAGGTCTTACACGCGCAAGGATCTGCAGCCAGTGGAACCCGATGAACTGTACGAGACAGTCGTGGAGTTCTGGCCGACTTCGCTGGTTGTTTCAGCGGGCGGAAGACTAGTGGTGGAAGTAGGTCCGAAGGATCAGCAGGGCTGTGGAATTACTGTGCACGCGCACCCCAAGGATCGCAGCGAGGAGAAGTTTGGAGGATTGAACCGATTGGTGTTCGGACAAAGCACCAAGCTGGTGCTCCCCATCATTGCATAATTTCCCTGTCCCTCTTAATTCTCCATACATCTTTTCAAACAACAAGTGTCTGTTTCTCTTCACTTCTGCAATTCATCTGATGATCTCGAATCGCGTGCTTTCTAAGGCAATAGCGAGCCATTCGCGGGTCTGTGCGGACGTGTGGGGGCACTCGGGCGAGCGTGGGGGCCCTAGCCGGGCTTCTAGTCCACCCCGCACCAACTGTCCCGGCTTCCGTATTTCAAGAACTTCAAGCATTCCGTGACATGCAACAAGCTCACCCTCACGACTGAATAGTAATGGCGGCTTCAACACGACAGAAGGTCGTGCTCATCACCGGTAAGTAGGAAGATCCGTCGCCTCGGTTAGTCTTGCTCCGTGTCTCACAAGACTTCTTCCTCTCCCGTCCACCCTCCACAGGCTGCTCCGGCAGCGGTATTGGCTACCACCTAGCACAAGCCTTCCGCGCCCATGGATGCAGGGTCTTCGTGAGTGCTCGCAACCTCACAAAACTCTCGCCCGACCTGGATGAAAGTTTCGACAAGGTCACGCTGGACGTGATGGACGAGGGCAGCATACAGAAAGCAGTCGCTGAGGTGGAGAGCAAAACCAGCGGCAAGATCGGTGAGTGGAGCGCGTGGACTTGCGTGGAACAAAGCCTGAGCCATGGCTGATCCTATGATTGCCCCATGCTAGACATCCTCATCAACAATGCCGGACAAGGATGTGTGGGCCCACTAGCGGAGGTGCCAATCAGCAAAGTGGCACAGACGTATGAGACGAATGTTTTCGGCCTGTTGCGAGTGACGCAGGCTGTGACAAAAGGCATGATCCTGAACCGTAGCGGACTAAGTGAGAAGCAGCTTTAGTCGGTGGCATTGATTGAAAAGAGGAGCTCAAGTCTGACGCCAGCCCGGCTCTATACACAGTCATCAACATATCCTCCATTGTATCCTACGTTCCTACGCCATGGGCCGGTGGTGAGTTTATTGGTCAAGACCAAAGCCGAGCCACAGCCAATGCTGACACTGTAAAACTGCCATCGACAGTCTACTGCTCCACAAAAGCGGCAGTCACCTCTCTGTCCGACGTTCTACGCATGGAGCTTGGAGGCTTCAATATAAAGGTCCTCTGCGTCTTCCCTGGCGCCATCCGCTCCGGCATCGGCTCAGCCAATGCCGCCGCCTTTGAGCAGCCGAGCGACAGCAATTACGCCAACGTCAAGAGTCGAGTACTTCAGAGGGCCACCTGGTCGCAATGTCCCCAGTCTACCAATGCTGCTGATCTGGCAGAGGAAATTGCTACGGCGGCACTCAAGATAGATCCACCAGCGTACCTGGCGGCGGGACATCGAGCTTGGCGGGCCTGGTGGAGCTACTATCTGCCGTATTGGGCTAAGGATTGGTTCTGGGGCCGGCAATTCGGCATCGATGAAGTGGGAGGCAAAGCGGCCAAGACGATGTGAAGTGTTCACCTAGCTTGCCCTTCTCTCTTTTGTTCAAGCTTGTGCACCCTGTCCCTTACTTCAAATCGATTCATGTCTGACGTTTGACCCGAAATGGAGATTGAGGACACGATGAGACAGAGAGCCACGGCGAATATAGTACACAGAGACAGGTGCTGCATTACCACTGTCCTCCAATCTTGAAGACGAACCACTTTTCCGCCATTGGGAAACGGCCAATTGTGTTGTTCCAGACCCTATTGGCCACCTGTTGCACCAGCACACCGCTCAGCATGAATGTGAGAAAGAACCTCTCTCCTCCGTTGGCACCACTACGGGAGACAGGAGATGGTGGGCAAGTGCGAGCGTTGATCAGCCCGTTTACTCTGACCAGCGTAGGTGCAAAGGCGAGAGCGTACTTACAGAGGTCTGAGCGCAGAGTCTAGCTCGGTGTTGAGTGGCCTGTATCGCGGCATCCCCCTCACATCCGCTGCCCAATCTTCAGGCTGATCTGCGAACCTCACGTGTCCATCCTCAGTCGGGAAAGCAACACTTTCATCAACAGAGACGGTAGTGACCGTCGTATTGGGTCGGGCAGGGGTAGTGCGATTCCTCCCTCCTGCCGCCTCTCCCGGGGTGTCGAAACCTGAGGGACGCTCCGTACCTCGCTGTGTCGTCGCGGAGGGAGCGGTCGAGGACGATGATGAGGTGACAGTACGAACGTTGCTCATGGCGTTCTTGAGAAGAGGGGATCCCACTGACAAGCAGGCAAGATGATGGTGAGGAGGTATTCACGTATCTAGTAATTACCAGCCGACTGCAAGAGAAAGAAAGTATTGGCGGATCCTTGCTGCGAGGGTCACGCAGCAGAAGGAGAGCATGCAAGCTGTGGGGGCAGTGTGGGGAAGCGGGCTACAGTCGCCTGCAGGTCAAGGGGCGTGTGGGGGCGACCTCCGATGCAGGACCGTGCGAGTGCGGGGAAGAGGAGCCTGTCCGTGGCCGAAGCCCGGTGGGAGCGTCGGTAGCAGAGAGGGGATCATCGCCCTACGGCTCACAGGTCGCCTGGAATTACCATCCTTTACTTTGCACCATCGCTTTTTGCTATACGGTTCAACTCATTCCCTTTGTATCGCCATACAGCCATCACCAATTATGCCCACCGCCGTAGGACCTTCCTCCTCTACGCTCACGGCTCCGGCCTCAAGCTCCGCTCCAGCAAACCCGGGCCGCCTGCCAGTCTTCTTCTTCTCCCATGGCACAACCGCCATGATGGGCGAGCAGTCTGAGCCCGCCGCCTACTGGGAAGAGGTGGGCCGCAGAGCCATCGAATGTGGCGTGGAACGCCTCGTGTTTCAAGGAGCTCACTGGCACCCGGATACGCCTGACTTTCTGGTTGCCACGAACCCCAAGCCGCCTAAGCAGCCCGTGGCGTGGGTGGAACCATCCAAGTACGTCAACTTCGAGGTAGACATCGACGTGCCTTTTTCCGAGCACATCATCGAGACGTTGAACGCGCAGGGAATCTCGGCAAAGGCCGCTCCAGACTTTGAGATCATCCATGACACTCTCTTGATCCTGCGGTGGATGTTCCCAAAGGGGCGCTCGTTGCCCATGTCCATCATCTCCACCAATGGCTTCTTCGACCCCCACAAGAACCTGGCCGTGGGCACCGCACTCTCACATCTTCGCGATGAGAAGTGTCTGCTCATCGGATCAGGGGGAGCAGTGCACAATCTCTACCGACTCAACTACACCCAAGTCATTTTCCACAAGGACAATTTTGCACAGGAGAAGGAGCCGGAACAGTGGGCTATTGACTTTGGACAGGCGGTCACGGATGCGATCAAGAGGTACTCGGGGCCGAAGCTGAGGAGGGCACTCGTGAGCCTGATGGACTCGCCTCAGTATCGCGATGCGCACGTGAGTAAATGAGGTGCTGACAATGATCGCTCCACCAGGCATAGACTCACACATTGCTCCCCTCGCCGACCTCTCTCCCTCTCTGCTAGGGCACCGACGATCATTACCTCCCTATTCTCTTCTCCGCGGGCGCAGCAACAGGCTCTGAGCGAGACCTGCGTCAGCCCAACCATGTCGGCGCCGAATGCTGGGAGTGAGTGCACGTTCCTCATGGTTTTCAAATTCTCGCGCCCGGACTGACTGCTGACATGTTGAACGTCCTTTCACGTCCTCTTCACAGACTCCGCAATATGCGCAACACCCAGTATCAGTTCGGTCGATGGCCTCAGACTCCCTACTTCACGGATCTTCCCAAGAGGGCAGCGTCCTGACCTAAGAGTCTTTGATTGGTATCTCAGGGGTATTCCGAGATTTAACGTAATTTTACATGTACAAAACCCGATATAGTGCGTGTCTCTTCTCATTCTTCGAGATGTACAATTTTGTTTCCCAGTGACACCAATCAGGCGGGTGGAGCCATCGCCTGCTGCTCTTGACTGTGAGCGGGCCCGTCCTCCCCCTGCTGCTGCCGTTGCTGAGTCCTGCTTCCAGCATTACGCTGATTGATCTCACTCAAACGCTGCTGCCTCTCCATGCCCGTCGCCAAATCGGCCAGCACTCTGCCGAAGATCTTTGCCGAGGCGCCCGGCGTGCGCTGGCTGAGCTCGCTCAGAAGCATCCTCGAATATACTTTTAGAATGCGCAGGGGAGCTGAGGGGCCCGAGAGGTCGCCGACGAAGCGCAGCTGGTAGCGCTTCTTGGCATGCGAAGCCTTGTCTCGCTCATCGTGCGGTCGCTGCAGCCGTGCGCTTGGACTGTCAAGGGATATGACGGTGACCGCCGCTGAACTGTCTGCTTCGACTTCTGCGTCCGTCTGGCTGTTCCCATGCTGAAGACTCTTCGAGAACGCATACAGGTAAAGACTTGCGTAGAAGACGATGTTGATGCTGTATGTCAGCACGGCTGGATACGATCGAGCCAAGTGGATGAGACGGCCACACGAGCCAGCCACTAAGTCTGCGTCGTCTGGGCATTCCAAGCGCTGTCGGTGCACCTGGAGCAATGCTGCATTAGCTTGCTTTGTTCCCTTTCGCCCTCCGAGCTTCTGGACGTCCGCAAGATCCACCATAAGCGACAAGTGGATGAAGTGCATCATCTGTTCAAAGCTGACGTTGGCTAGGTCCTCGTTGTCAATACTGTCTCCTGGATCAGACTGCTGAGCGTGACGAGCAGCTACGAGATCACAAGATTGTACGAGAAGGTTCCGGAAGACTTCATGAGGCTGTCTGAGTGCTCGAATGATCAGAGAGTTGCGAGCAAAAGCTCTCAGACTTGTCGCATACAGATGCAGAGTGCAACTGAGAACCTTCGAGTTGAGTAGCGAAGGTTCGGGAAAGATGGTGGCTGTCCCTTGCTGACCATTTGAGGCACTCGCCGCCACTGACGATTGCAGGCGCTCATGAGCCTCAGACAGTGTCACTGAAGGCTCGCTGCGGTACGACTTCCACATGCTTGCATTCGGTGCCATCCATTTGCGATCCGAGTGAGGCAGCTCGGCACGGAGCTCGTCAAGACTGTAGATCGGTGGCACCTTCCAAGCGGAACAGAACTCGAGATCAGCAACGACGCAGGTCCACGAGGTCCTCTTGATGCCTTCCCAGTGAAGCCATGCTTGCCATTGATCGTGCGTGGCACTGGCCCCCGTCGCGTCACCTGCTGCGATTTCTGGCGTTGGCTGATACTCGAGAAGATGGCACCGTCGGACCATGGTAGCCAACGCGGAGCGCTGAGCTTCTCCATGCTCGAGTAAACGCTGGTTACCAGCGCTCCCGAAGGAAATACTGACGATACATAGCGCTCGGATAATGCTCAAGGAGCGAGCATGAAGATTTTCTCGAAGGCAAGTGATGTTGATTGCGCTGTGAACGGTGTCTGCTAGATAGTCGGCCAATTGTCGAGCATTTGGCATCTGTGAGAAAGAGCATCCTAGGGCGCAGCAGGCAGCTAATAAAAGAGGGTGAGCAGTCGCAGGGTGAAAGCTCGGCTGGTGCAGGAAGTTGTAGCGAGGATGAAACCTTTCGAAGAAAAGCTGTAGCATGAGATCATAGGTCTCTACGTTGATGCTCTTCAGTATTGATCTGACCGAGTGCTCGCCTTGTCCATCCGCGTCCACGAAGTCGGCCAATGAATGCAATTTGGTGACCGACGAAGCATCAATTGCAGGCACTTGGCAAGACGACTCTTCTGCGATGATGTCAGGAGTAGCATTGAGGTGGTGTGCTGCCAGATGGTCGAGCTTGGTCTGACTTGGACCCTTCTCGGGATACCAAGAATTGGGCCACTGTGTCGGCGCTGTGTTCTCCTCACTGCTGCGTGAGTGGGTCTGCGATGTCTCGACATTGTCGGCTCCTGAACCAGATGACTGCAAGTTTGGCGAAGGGAGTGGTCGGACTTGGCGGGTGGGAGAAGCCCTGCGGGAAGGAGCTGTCAGGTCTTGTGGTTCGAGCCGACGCTGTCTTTTGCGAGGTGGGTTGCCCTGAGATTCACTAGACATGCTTGGCGGGACCGGAGCCTGTGGCCGTGCCGGACTTTGCACCGCAGCCGGGGTCGTAGACTCTCGACGCGAAGAGGGCAAACCAAGCCGACGAGAGCCGTCCAGGAAGTCTGGAATCTTGGTCACTCGGGCCGGGGGCTGGAGGCTGACGCTGTGCGATCTGCGTTCGGGAACGTCTAAGGAAGCGGCGCCTGCCAAGAGATCTAGGAGATTGTCGGTAGGAGCGAGAGCATGAGATCCCTGAGAGTCTGTAATCTGTGGAGCCGGTGCCCACACTGATCCGTGACTGGCATGCGGCGTTGAGCTCGAGCCTTGGGCCATCTGATACTCAAGACCAATGAACCCAAAAGGATCCGCCATGTCCTCCACTCCAACCGATGGCAATGATCCAGGCGAGGCAAAGAGCCACTCTAGATCTGTCATTGCGAGGATGTCGTCTCCCGAGTGCAGGTTCGAAAAGTCTTGAAGCTGGACGTGATGCGAGGGGGTAATCGCATTCATCTCGAAGTCGGAGGATGGAGTAGGATTGGTGGCGCTGATCAACTCAACTTCTTCGCTGAAAGACACGCTCGTGGTTTCAGTTTGAGGCTGATCGGCTGCAGGGAAAGCTGCTGCGAAGGGAGCACTGTTGCGATGGGCTGCACGATCCATAGAGAGAGACGTCGGCAGTGACGCGGAAGAGCTGAGCAGAGGCAAGCTAGCCGGGCTCTTGGCCGTGACGGACACATTGTGCGCTGGAATGAAGGGCAGGCTAGGCAGGGCGGGTTGTTGCGATATGGATGCCATGTGAGAGAGTGCTGGCGGATCGCGTCGCGGGGATGCCGAGGGGCCTGAAGCGGCAATGTGACTGTCCTGTACTCCTGAGCCTTGTCTTGGCGAGAGAGGACGTGCTGGCGTGGACGTAGGCTGCCTAAGAGCGCTGGTAAGCTGAGGCGGGGAACCTCGATTCCCTCGAGTTCGTAGTCTGGCTGCAGTACCGACATCGTCATCGCTGTGATAGCCTGTGTCCAGAGACGAGTCGGATCGATGAGAAGCTTGACTGGGGCGAGAATTCTGCCTCGCTCTCCAGCTTTGCAGCAGGCGTTGGTGGGCAGACGACTGCGCATCCGAGTCATTGTCGTCCACCTGCCGGCTGCAGTCACGAGCCAGCGCCGGCTTTCCCACGCACTTCTGGCATGGTCTCTGGCCATCGCAACGGATCTTCATGCGAGAACAGCGCTCACAAGCTTTTCGTATTCTAGTTGGAGCTCGTCGCTGGTCCGGCGAGGCCAGACGAGAGCTGGCGGCGAGCGCGTCCGCAACTTCTGGTCCATGCGTCTGTTGATGGCGGAGAAGGGCATCCTTTCGAGAGTACTCCTTGTTGCACACCGAACAGACGTGTTGTTGCTGCATGCCATCTTCCTGGCCTTGGTGGATGAGCAAGTGCCGGTACATGTGCTCTGGGCGACTGAAGGACCGCTCGCACACCGGGCAGGGTGTACGGTCTTCCTCTCGGACAGGCGGACGTCTCGGCCTCGCGGGTTTATTGGTGGGAGCGATTGGAGGGCCACTGGTCTGCGGCCCTGAATTGGGAGAAGAGGAATCAGTGGTGCGACTCATTGTGGAGCACCAAAGACCAAAGCCCTCGGCTCGGGAAGCCCGGACTGCGGGGGTGGGATAGTGGGGGGGATAAGGGGTACGAGGATGCAGATGTGGCCAAACCTTGCTAAGCCGCCTCTCTGCGGGGAGGACGCGGTGGCTTCCGCGCGTCGGCTCACTGCCCTGCTCCGTGAGAGGCCTTGTGCCGGACAGCCGGACAGCCGTACGTTGCTACCCCACACGTTCCCCCTATCGGGTGGGGGGGGGGGCCCGCGAATCACCATGCTGCAGCGGTGCGTCCGGCCCCACAGCGTCCGCCAGCTGCACGCAATGGCCCGGTGACGGGCCAAGCTAGAGCTACCAGTAGCATCGTCCGTCCGGAACGAAGATCGAGCGCTGCGTATGCGACACGGCAAGGGGGACGCTTCGATACGACTGACGTGTTCAGACAAACATCATCCTCCATGGTCGCCTGGTCAGAGCTCAAGCCAGGGGAGCGCAAGATTGGGTCAGTACGGTATGCGAAGTGAGGTGAAGTGAAGTGTAAGCATCCTATTGACCTGATCATTCTCATACTGGCCTACTCGCTGGGTGCCCAACAGCTCAGATGAAGTAGCGAGCGAAAGCAGCGAAGCGGCAGGACAGATCATCTTGAATCATACCTGTATGAAAATTAGTGATCCCGATCGCAGCCTTCGCTTCTACCGTGAGGTGCTAGGCTTTCAGGAGGTCATGACCTGGAAGTGAGTCTGTTCGGAGAAGCACTCAGGAGCGTGGCTGCGTGGACAGCTAATGCCAGACCCTCCTGTGCTTGCAGTACTGGTCCGCAAACTGTCATCTTTCTCAGTCAACCAATACCAGGGATACCCACGAGTGAAATCTTCAAATCAATGCAGAGTCGGGCGGGTCTAATCGAGCTGCTCTACCTTCACGGGACACAGCCGTCACGTCCAGAAGCCAACGGAGTCCCCGCGACTAATCCGCTTGGGTACTTCCACATTGGACTGTCCGTGCCAGACGTCGAGGTCATTCTAGCCAAGGCAGAAGCATTCGATGACAAGGGTGTCCGGGTGATCAAGCCACTGGGTCCGCCAACCTCCATGAGCGTCATGGGTCTACCGACAGACACCCCGGCATTTCATAATTCCACAGACTTCATCTTCTCCAAGGTTGCCTTTATCGCTGATCCCGACGGGAATTGGATTGAGCTGGTGCCCCAGGCGATGCACAAGGCCAAGGAGGTGACTGCGCAATGAGAACACAGCGAGGCACAGGTACTGCGTCATAGAACACTATACATGGGATTCGAGCTTCACTTCTCGTGTGTATAAGCGTGAATGGTGAAATTGACGATGACGATGTGAAGCAGACGAAAGTACAATGAGGACGCTACGAATCAGATGGTTGCAACCTGTGGTGCGGTGGCCTGTGCTACTTGAGGCGGGACAGTGATGGATCTGTCAACTGCGTCAAGCATGGACTCATTCTTGGCCTTTCCCACCTCTGCCTGCTGAGCAGCCCACGTCTCTCCGTCTTCGTAGGTATAGAGATAGTGAGCGGTCTTCAAGGGGTTCAAGATGGGCACACCAAGCTCGGCGTCGTTCTCACGGACACCTAGAGCTTGCGATCTGCTGTTCTCTTGACAGAAGGTAGCACGCGGCCACCGCAATTCAAAGAATTTCTGCAGCCTCTTCTCGATGAGGCTGTGCGACGCTGTTGAGTCCACGTCCTTGAACAAGTAGCCCAGCATATCTGCATCCTCGATTGCTTGTGAGCCACCCTGACCAAGATGCGGCAGCATTGGATGAGCTGCATCACCAATCAGTACGGTCTGGTTCTTGTGCCAATTCTTGAGAGGGTCTTGGTCTCGCAGTTGCCACAGACCACACTCTTCACTGTAGGACAATAACCGCTGGATTGCGGGTGAGAAGTCTGAAAAGGTCTTGACGAGCTCAGCGACGGAGCCTCTCTCAGACCAGCTCTCCTTTGAATCGACTCCCTCGGACAGCGACTTGTCTGGGCAAGCAGCTACGATGTTGATGTAGTCTCGACCTTGATAAGCGCAAGTGTAGGCAACGACTCGGCGATCTTCGGCCAGGAAGATATTGCAACCCGATGTGTCGAAGAGGTAGCTCCATTCAGGATCGGCCTTGATTGGCTCTCCTGGAATCAGGCAGCGGTAGGCTGAGTGACCGCTTGGCTTGGCTACCAGTGTGTCGCCGATGACTTCGCGTTGGATGACAGACCTAATTCCGTCGGCCGCAATGAGAATGTCTGCCTTCAAGACGGTGCCGTCATCAAGAGTGACTGAAGTGTCGTCCACATTGGCCCGGACTACCTTCTTGCCCAGCAAGATTTTGGGTGCCTTACCGGGGACCGTGCCGTCATCAGCGGTGGCGTTTGCCAAGAGTTGTTTGTGCAGAGTCACACGGTGGTTGAGCAGCCACGGTGCACCCCACATGGCGGCTGGGTCGAGGCGCTGCTCCATGACCTTCTTGCCCTTGCCGGTGTGCTCGCGCACCACTTTGAAATGGGGACTCTCTGACAAATCGACTCCCCACTTCAGAACCAGCTTGGAAGCATTGGGCCCGGTGCTAATGGGACATAAGGGTGGAAGTCAGCTCTGGATGCGATCTCGACGAATGACCACGAAGCGAAGTAGAGTCGATTCCATACTCACTGAATGGCAGCTCCTGTCTCAGACTTCATTCCCCATTGCTCGAGCACAGTCACATTGTGGCGCTCTCGTAGGGTCCGTGCTGCAGCAAGACCCGCAATACCACCACCCACGATGATGATGTTGAGGCCTTGAGGTGCGGTGGAGCTGGCTTCGGAATACTTGGACATGATGACTTGTAGAGGTCTGGACGTAAGGAAAGAATGGATAAGGGAGCTGGGAGAGCTTTGTAACTTAAGGAGCAGACCCGATCGGCCTTGCTTCGAGGCTCGAGAGGATAGTCTCGTGGCTTCAAGGTTCGGACACCCAGTTCGGACCTCGACTACCCCGGACGCCCTCGATGCTCGCTGCGTTGCTGATGCGTATGCAGGGACCACGACACTCCCGCTCCCGCTCCCGTCTGCCCCCACCGAGGTCCGAGTGGGGGGTCGCGAAACTCCGACAGCGGCTATGGTGATCCATTGAGGGAGGGGCCACACGAATTTTGAGTGCAAGCTCTTCGTTGGCATCGCACTTCCTCTTGTACCTCTCTTTGCAACGGCTCTGCAACACCCTCGTACGCCATGACTTCCTCGCAGCCATTCGACATCACCGTTGGGGGCAAATATGCTCCCACCATCCGCAGGATCGTGACTGGTCATCGCGAAGACGGTAAAGCCGTCGTCGCAAGTGAAGATGAGATCAAGCGGCTGGACCTGACGGAAGAACATGCTACCTTCGCGGTGAGTAGAGGCTCCACGAGAAGCGCCTGGTTGTCCTGTAAAATATGTCAAATACTGAAACACCTGCTTCGCCTGCATTCCCAAAGGTGATGTGGTCTACTGAAGAGTCCCCGTCTGACAACATGGACACCCGGGATGGCGCTTTGAGGCCCGTCTTCTCCGGTAGCTCCCACAACCAAAACGGAGGCTCGGTTCTACGGATCGTTGACTTCCCACCTGGAATCCAGTCTCCCATGCATCGAACACAAAGCGTCGACTACGGCATTGTGCTGTGGGGAGAGATCGAGGTGGAGCTCGACTCTGGGGAGAAGCGCACATTGAAGCAGAGCGAGGTATGCGTTCAAAAGGGTACCAACCATCTCTGGAGGAACAACACAAAGGAGTGGACCAGGGTGGCATACGTGTTGCTGGACGCAAAGCCGATTGTGATCGATGGCAAGCGCTTGCAGGACGAAGGATACCCTGATAGCGCTCAACAGTGATTTCCGTTGCTCTTCTGAACAATCTATTAGCCTGATACTGCAATGAATGCTTCCTCCACCTTGAGCCGTCTGAATCGTGCCGTTGTACGAATGTTCCCGTTGTGAGCGGCCATTGGAGCCGCCTCTGCCTGGCCCGCCTCCGAAAGCATCAACGTGCTACGCTGCCAATTGCGCACATTGTGGTGGTGGCGGCAGCGGTGGTGGCCGAGACATCCGACAAGGTGGGGTAAGGAAGTGTGGGGTAATGGCAGCGGTGGTGCAGGGGGGTGGGGGCAATCAGAACAGATATGTGGGGGAGCAGTCCGAGGGTGAGCCGTGGAGTCAGCGGGGTGACAATGCGGAAAGAGCGCGGTCGCGACAGACGTCAAAAGGGTACGACTTCTTGGGTCAATCTTGCTCTATTGGAGTCGCAAATTATCAAAGGTGTCACTTCTGAACTCCAAAAACAGCACAGCATGGTCCAAACATTCCTCAAGGTGGCCCAGAGCCAAGAGACTCAAGACACGTCGTCTCCCCCTCATGTCGTCGAGATTGTCAAGACTGCCATTGCGAAGATCCGGGCCGAGGGCGATGCTGCCGTTCGAGAATTTTCTGAGAAGTTCGACAAGTGGTCTCCCAAGTCATTCCGCTTGACTCAGGAGCAGATCGATGCATCCATTGCGGCTCTGCCGGAGCAGACCGTCAAGGACATCAAGCAAGTGCAGGCCAATGTCAGACGGTTCGCGGAAGCCCAGCGGAGCTCTCTCACCGACTTTGAAATTGAGACGCAGCCTGGTGTCATCCTCGGTCAAAAGAATGTCCCGATCGAGAAGGTCGGATGCTACATTCCCGGTGGTCGCTACCCCCTGCTGGCTTCAGCTCATATGACTGTAAGTACAGCGACAATCGAGAATTTGGCATTATAAGTATCATGTCAAATTGACGACCTCGTAAACCATGCCCTTCCTCTGCTTCTCAGATTCTGACCGCAAAGGTCGCAGGATGCAAGAAAGTGATCGGCTGCACACCGCCCATCCTTGGTGAAATCCCCCACGCCTCAGTGGCTGCCATGCACCTCGCTGGAGCAGATGAAATCTACCTTCTCGGAGGTGTGCAAGCTGTTGCTGCCATGGCGGTTGGCACGGAGACCATCGACAAGGTCCACTTCTTGGCCGGTCCTGGCAACGCATTCGTGGCAGAGGCTAAGCGTCAGCTCTTTGGAGAAGTTGGTATCGACCTCTTCGCTGGACCTACCGAGCTGCTGATCCTGGCGGATGCCAAGGCCCGTGCCCACACTGTTGCCTGCGATCTGCTGTCGCAAGCCGAGCACGGCTACGACACTCCTGTGATCCTCATCAGCACGTCAGAGCAGCTGGCAATGGACGCTATTGCAGAGGTAGAAAAACAGCTCAAGACCCTCAGGACAGCCGATGTCGCTTCCAAGTCTTGGGCTGACCACGGTCAAGTCATCGTTGTCTCGTCCCTAGACGAGATGTACGCTCTGGCAGATCAATTCGCCAGCGAGCATGTCCAAGTCATGACGGAGAACCCCCGCGAGGCTCTTACCAAGATGTCTCACTACGGTGCCCTCTTCTTGGGCGAGAAGACCTGCACCAGCTACGGAGACAAGTGCATCGGTACAAACCACGTGCTACCTACCCGCAAAGCTGCTCGCTTCACTGGAGGTCTCTGGGTGGGTAAATTCCTCAAGACTTGTAGCTATCAGCACGTGATTGACGATGAAGCGTCTGGCGAGCTCGGTCGTCTTTGTGGTCGAGCTGCTCGGGCTGAGAACTTCGAGGGACATGCGCGTAGTGGTGATGTGAGAGCGCACCTGTACCTTGGCGACAAGGTGGATTGGATCCAGTAGAAGACTTCGTGTAGTTGCTCCCATTACGGTCTCCCCAACATCTCAATCTCATTAATCAGTAGCTTTTCACTCCGCTCTTGCCGACATCGCGGCTGTGTTCGGGTTTGTCTGATCACTCTCCGGCTGACCTTTAGGATGGTCTAGCAGGTGTTACGCAACCCTGCGCTTGATGGCTCATGTATTTGCACCATTTCGTCGCCGACCTTGACCTCTTCAGACCATGTGGCATAACAATATCACATCTTGTTTCAGTTCCATAGGCGAATTTCCATTACAGTGACAATCGGGCCATACAACGTTTCCATAGGTTACAGGCTAGTATATGCAACAACTCCAAGTCCAATTCAAATCAAGAGAGGGAGCGAACAGGTGTCTCATCTTCATCCTCAATGACGATGTCATCACGGTCAGCGTGCCACTTGAGCTTCTGAATCAGACGCCATTGCAGAGCATTCTTCCTAATGGGCTTGCCCCAGATCATGAAGATGAAGACGAGGGCAAGGCAGAAGCTGGAGATGCCGGCAAAGGTTCCGAACATGTTTTGGTAGCCCTGTTGTCGTGAAAGAGGAGAATTGATGGTCAGTACACTGAGTCACGGTGAGAAGGTCAAAGTCGGATCCTGCGGAAGACTCACCATCAAGGCAATCCAGGGGTTGGTGTAGAAGGAGAGAAGGAAGCCAAAGGCAGCCTTGTACGCCAAGACGGATGTGACGGACTCTTCGGCCAGAGGTTTGAGACAATCGATCATGTAGACCATGGCATTGGTAGTTGCCCAGACGGCGGAGAAGTTGATGAGGGCAAGACCGATGGTGGGGCAGATCCAGTGTAGTCCATGCTGGATGCCAACACCGTAGAGGACCAGAGACAGAGGAGTGGTGATGAGGGCAGGCAAGATGGGCAGGAGGCGCATCTCGGGCTCTCGAATACCTCCATTGTCGTGTGTGCGCCTCGTCGAGTACTTGTCAGTAGCCCAACCTCCTAGCAGCGCAAGCAGAGAGCCGATGACGGCGGCGATGAAGCAACTGCCTGTAAGGCCGGGACCGAACTGGTAGGTCTGACCGAAAGCGATGGCGACATTGGAGGTGACTGAGACGATGGCACCGATGGTGACGGCGAAGACGAGGGCGGTCCAGGCCACAGCTGGGTAGGCGATGAGAGCAATTGGTCGCAGGAAGAGCATAGTCCAGCTGTCGTGGGTCCAAGTCTGCTTGGGAAGGACGCTCAAGCTCTGCATGTAAGTCTGCTTCTTGCTGTGGTCCAGGACACGCTTCTGTGTGAGGGTAACGGTTGGCTGAGGGCCACGTCGGTAGTTGGTCTCTGGGAAAGAGAAGATGACGGCAATGGTGACGAGGCCGATGATGGCGCCAGAGACCCAGTAGATTGTGCGCCATCCGGAACCAGCGGTGATCCATCCGTCGATGAATAGAGCCAGTCCTACACCGACGCTGAGGAAGACGTTGTACAAGCTGATTGGTAGTGTCCGCTCGTGTAGGAACCAGATGTCTGCGATGGTGAGGGGTCCAAGCACCTCACCGGCACCAGAGGCTGCTGCCATGATGATACGGCAGGCCAGCTGCTGAGACCAGGTCTTGCAAGCACCGGATGCGAATGCGAAGATGGTGTAAAGGACGAAGCTGAAGACGTAGACGGGTCGTCGGCCCCACTTGGCGCACATCGGAGCCCACCATAGCATGCTCAGACCCTGTACTAGCGCAGCACTTGTGAAGAGGTAGGCAGCTTTAGCTGGCATGACCTCAAAATCCATAGCAGTCCTGTGTAGCACAACGGGCACCAAAGGTATAATAGGTCAGTCTCTGTTGCCGTCTGTCTCAAAAAGCTCAACCAAGTCAACCTCAGTCGCTTGCTCTGTACTCACTGCACGATAGCGATAGTAGGTCCAGCAGTGGTAAAGTTGCAGCAAAATACGGCTGCACAGACGACGCAGGTGATCCACCACTTGCGAGCCTTTGACCAGTTGAGTGGATCGTCGGCATCATTCGAGGGACTTGGCAGCAAGAGGATGTCTCCCTGTCGGTTTTCGGTTCGCACGGTTCCAGCCTCCTCACCGAGGCAGGTCATCCGCGAGGCCGTCCGGTCCAGGGCGGCAACGTTGGATGTGGTGTTGTACATGCCGGCTTCCTTGTTGTCCAAAGAGGACGACTCTAGATTTAGGTCTGATTGGCCCATGGCGCGAGGTGGCAAAAGGGTATTAGATAGTGTGTCGAGGGAGGGATTGGAGGTATGGAGTTGCTCGCCTGGTGCGGACCATTGTTGGTTGACAGATGGATGCAGCCCTTCTTATAAGCAGAAGAGGGGCCGGAGGGATGCGGGGCTGTGGCTTGGACGTGTATTGAGATGTGACATGGGGCCCCAGACGATTGATTGGCGCCATGGTGTGCGGGGCACCAGGCCCCAGTACACAAATAGTCGGGCCTCGGGTGGCGGGACAGCCACACACCGGCTTCGGTACCACATCCACTCCGACCATTGACAGCAAACGCGTGGCTGGCCAAGTGCCAGGGCCGATCGAGCCTAGTGCAGATAGGGCACAAGGCCAGAAGAAGTCAGGCACGGGTCATAAGACCACAACCTGCCCCTTTTGGGGGGGGGACTTCACGCTTCCCTGTCTCACCTTGGGCCCAGAGCAATCACCCAGCTTCTCCCCTCGGCCGAGTCAATCGCTGCGCCCCTTGTTGGGACGCCCTCGTGGCTGTCGTCCCGCGGTTGACTCACCCCCGGGCCCCCACATCTGCCCCCACCCGAGACGGCCGAGGCCGACCCCACACAACCCACATCGACTTGTACGCGTTCCGAGCTACTGGACACCCCCGGCCAGGCTCAGGGTCCTGTCCGATGCCCCCTCAATCCCGACAAGAGCAGGCCGTGCACCGGGACTTTTTGGGAACACATCTGAGCATACGGAAAGCTATTGGCCTCCTCTACCACTACCACCAGCACCATGTTTGAAGCAACAAAGCAGTTCCATCGAGTACCCGTCGGCTTTGGTCCGGCTCCCAGCCCTCGTCAAGACCCGAATGGCAAGAGGTTCGACTGGTCCAAGGCAGAGACGAGGACCGTAGGCATCGTAGTGGAATGCGACCGAGCAGCCGTGCAAGCCATCCTTCCCGAAGGCTATACAGTGGAGCCTCCTTCGACGACCGCGGCGGACAAGGCCAATGTGCTCTTTGAAGTCATGGAGCTGCGCAAGTTGCCTTGGCTCGCAGGAAGAGGCTACAATACCTGGGGAGTCTACATTAGCGATGTCGTCTGCCGCAGGGCTCAGCAGAAGGACGGATCGCCATACAAGGCCTCGTACATGGCTGTGCTGTTCGAGAGCTTCACAGACCCAATCACGACGGGTCGTGAAGAGCTTGGATTCAGCAAGCTCTGGGCAGAGCTCCCCGACGGAGCCGTGTCGGAAGACGGCAAGACTCGTGTGCATACAGCGGGCTGGTACGGTTACGAGTTCATGAAGATGGAGCTCAAGGGCTTGAAGGACCACAACCCTACCACGGCCCCAGCTATTACCCGCAAGGGTGAACTGTTCAGCCATCCCTCGCAGCATGGCTTCCTTCACCACCGATACGTGCCCGCCGTGGGTGAGCCGGGCAAAGCAGATGCCAGCTATGCCACGTTCAATCCGGCCCCTCCAGGTGCACCCCACATCCTCTCCTACCAGGCTCCATTCCCCTCGCCGGATCCTTGCAATCCCAAAGAAAGCACCTCTGTAGATGGAGCAGAAGTCACGTTGACGATTACTCCGGGCACGTTTGAGCAGCTGCCGACTTTGCACAACGTCGTCAGGGCGCTTGCAGAGCTCAAGCCAGGAAAGGTGCTCGAGGCAGCCGTGCAGCACATCCAGGGCGCCAGTGATCTGAGTGAGTACCATGCGAATGAAGGCCAACCCAATCTCGACGTGAGGATAAGCTGACATGAGTACCCTGCTCCACTATGCCATCAGTCAACAACCATCGCATTGAGAAGTGATGTCGGTCAGCGGGGTGACTATGGAGTGGAGGTCTAGTGGCAGGAGCGCACAGCGCCTCGTATTTGCCCTCAGTGGGCTGTCTTCGTAGAGCATCGATGGTCGCAAAGACCACAAAGAACGCCATCTTGTGTCAATCTCCAAAATGTGATTGCGTGATATATGCTTCTCACGCAAGCTCCAAGGTCGTATCTGTGGCTCTGAGCATGGTGTGAAGTGGTGCAGTGGTACAGTAGGGAGCGGTGGGCTCACGCGCAAGGGTCACTCAGTCGCGCGCGGAGATGCTCAGGCACGACCTTGGGTTGCTAGATGGACGTGTTCCTTCCGCCTCACTGTACCACCTCTTGTCGACCACCCTAGCTCTGCATCACGATACCCAGCGCCTTGCATTAACGCAGGACGTCCCATTCATCGGAGTCCGTGTTCCTGAGCTCCTTACATCCTCACACGTTCTAGCTTTCTTCGAGACTGGAAGAGCCTTGCCCAAGACGACTTTGCAGTAGCAAAGCGCGTCCTCAGAAGTTCCTACAGGTGCAGCCCATCACGACCACATTCTCGAGCTAAGCTAATATTCTCAACTGTAGCTAGCAATGACAACGACCTTTCAGGCGAACGAAAAGGTGCTGTGCTATCACGGACCCCTCATCTACCAGGCCAAGGTCAGTCAAATGCGGAATGCGGAGGCGAGCTAGGCAGGCTTGTGTGTGAAGGAGTGAATGAGTCGACAGTCTGACAGAATCCTCGCTCCTGTTGCTTGCGCTCTCGCAGGTCCTGAAAGCAGAGATCTGGACAGGGACTGACCCGTCCGAAGGGGGATTCACTGGACCACACTACTTCGTCCACTACCAAGGGTGGAAGGCAAGGTGAGCGCAAGGGCTGGAAGGAAGAGACGCAAGTCTCTCTAGAAGAGCAGACTATCTACTTTGGGACATTTGGAGGCTCACGTAGAACGCTGCCGCTATTCCAACTCTCTAGCTGGGACGAATGGGTTCCTGAATCGCGAGTGTTGAAGTTCAATGATGAGAACATCACACGGCAAAAAGCTCTCATCCTCGCTGCACAGAACAAGGGCAAGGAGAAGGAGCAGGAGAGGCAAGCCGCTGCTGCCGCTTCTGCTGCTGCCTCATCCTCTGCTGGTGGATCGAAGGACTCTGGAAGCTCGCGCAAACGTCCGCGAGACTCGGACGAGAAGGGTCGAAGGGGTGGTAGTGCGGGAGCTGCAGGAGCGGGTGGAGCTTCAGCATCAAAGCGCGGACGTGATGCAGTAGGCGATGAAGAAGAGTTTCTGCGTCGCCCAGAGATCAAAATCGTCATTCCGGACGCACTCAAGGTGCAATTGGTCGACGATTGGGAGAATGTGACAAAGTACGATCAGCTGGTGCCGCTACCGAAGAAGCCCAACGTGAAGGATGTGCTAAAGATGTACAGGGATCACGTCTTGGAAGAGCGCAAGAAACGAGAAAGCAAGAACAGCAAAGACAGCAAAGATGGAGCAACTGGTAGCGGCAGTGGATCCTCACGGCTCTTGACACAACCTCTAGCGGTACTGGACGAAGTGTTGTCTGGCCTCGAGCTATACTTTGACAAGGCTCTGGGGAACAACCTATTATATCGCTTCGAGCGGACGCAATACCTGCAGATCAGCAAAGGGGCTGCTGCTGCCATGACTGGTAGGAATAGGGGTGGAGCTGGTTTCAGTGCAGAGGAAGGAAAGAGCAAGAGAGAGGTGACGCCTACTGGTGGACAGGAGACTGAGGAGAAGCAGCCCAGCGAGATCTATGGCGCTGAGCACCTCTTGAGGCTTTTCGGTGAGTAAGACCGTAGATTCAGGACAAGAGGAGACCACCACTTGCTGACTTGCTTTCCCTCTTTCCCCCCTCTCCAGTCAATCTCCCCTCCATCATCGCCCACACGACCCTGGACGCAGACTCGGTGGTGATCCTAAGGGAGCACCTGGACGACTTCCTCGCCTTCATGGTCAAGGAGAAGCCCAAGCTCTTTGCCTCCAAGTACGAAGTGGCCAGTCCGGCTTATCATCGAGTGAGCCTAGTCTAAAGGAGGGAGGACGGGGTTCCTGTATGGGGCAGGACAGCGAGATGGGGCTGCGCGAGGCTCACCTGAGATTTACGTTTGACGGCGAAGGTGTATGTATTGGCAGAAGAAGGGCCTATTGACCAGCCTGTGGGGACTTTTGTACTCAATCAATATTCTCGAACTGTCCCTCGACGTGACCCGGAAGTGGAACGAGAACAGAGCATAGAATGAAGCAGCTGAGAGACCCCTCTACGGTCAGACGAAGTGCAAAGTACGAGTCGCACGTGTATGGACTAGGTATGCCGCCAAGGGCTATGTACAAGGAACGTATTGGGCTTCTATCCGCTGCCAAAGATGCGAGGCGACAAAGCCTCCCGTGCATCGGTATACGCTCATCCCCTCTGCAGATCGAACAGGAGGAACTCTGCCTCTCTTCCAGCAAGATGCTTCACCCGTACCTGCTGCCCCACCCTCGCTCCCTTGACAAAGAGTGCGTCACCCTCCGTCAGCTCGTAACCTTCCCCCTGCATCTCGCCCTCGCCTGAAAGCAGCTCCACCCGGACTTTCGATTCGTCAGGCTTGGCTCCCACTCCAGAGGCTGTCCTGCTCTTCGGGTCTTTGTAGCCGGAGTTCATCGCGAGGTGGATGACGCCCCAGCGCTCCTCTCCCGTGGACGACTCTACATCCGTGTCCTGACCCCAGGTGTGTGTCACTCCAGCACTCTGCGTTGCGTCTCCCCCTGCAGAAGAAGAGGGAGAGAGGACAGCTGCTCTCACTACGAGACTGGCTTGAGCTGGAATGGGCTGACCGGGCTGCAGGAGACCGCCAGTTGATTGTTGCTCGGCGGGAAGAGACCAGTGTGGCCGTATGAGGGTGAGGAGCTTGTCCTGCTTCAGCTCGGCGGGGGATTGTGTCGAGAAGTAGGTAGGCGACATGCGCTGGCCTTCTCTTGTTGGAATGAACCAGATCTGTACAGTAAGGAGAGCACAACATCAAGCTTGTATCAGCAAACGCTCTGGGATGGACATTACGCAGCCCGATGTCCCACTCACCTGCATGAAATGTGTTCCTGCTCCACCTTTCTGATTGTTGTACTCGCTATGCTTGATACCCGTGCCTGCGCGGGTGTATTGAATTTCGCCACGCTTGAGCGTCTCGAGATTGCCCATGCTATCGCGATGTGTGAGCTCGCCGGAGAGGACATAGGAGAAGATCTCGTAGGATGCGTGTGAGTGAGGTGGGAAGCCACTATGAGGAGCATAGAGAAAGTAAGGAGTAGCTGATGAGCAACCGGCGAATGACCCTTGCCTGCCTGATATCATACTTACGTCCCTGCCTCGATACGATCCTCATTCACCACCCTCAAAGGACCAAAGCTATCCCACTTTGGGTCATGATGTCCGGCAAAGCTGAATGTGAGGAACGTCTTGAGCCAGCCATGATCATCGTGCATCCTTGCATTCCATTTGCGCAGCTGAGCCGAAGGGGGAGGACAGCTGCTGGCGGTCGAATTGAGAGAGGTAGTGGTAGCAGTAGACATGTTGAGGATTGAGGGCAACGAATTGGATGGGAGGAAGGGCGATTGGTATGCTGATATGGATGGGGTGAGAAGCAAGAGACGACGAAGGGGAGCCAGGAGCATGGAAACCAAAAAGAAAGAGTCAGGTATCGGCCGCGATGGCGAGGTGGTGAGTAGTGTACAGCGTAAAGCAAGGCGAGGCGGATGCTAGTGCACTCGCTCTCGGATATAAGGCTAGCCCAAACAGACGAGAGGCTTCCGTTCCGACTTCTTCGGCGTCTTGGGTCCCACGCACGTCCTCCCCACGGGGAGAAGAAAAGGGGGCGTAGATAGAGAGAGGCAGGCTGGCAGTGTAGAGCATGATCAGGTCGGCTGGTCGGTGCACCTCTCGAGTTGTACAGACCAAGACTCCTGTTGTATTAGGCGGCAGCTCTGAGCGGCCCTCTCCATACATCGAGAGAGGAGAGGACAGCTGTGTATGTGGGCGAAATGTTGAGGCCTCGACCCTGAGCTCCGTCCTGTCTCCGCTTCCTCCCCGACGCAGCCGAAGCCGCCGACGCCGGGGCCGCAGTCGGCTAGGCTTTCACACCTCCTTGATCTCTCTTCCCTTTACTCTGTTCCAATCTCCTCACCTGGTCATCGATACACAAAGTTCACCCTCTTGCAACTAGCGTTTGAGGCTCTTACGTTCGACCGTTGTTAGTGTAGACCTATTGCTCCAGAAGCCGGCACTTTCGGAGTCTGAGCGCGCCACGGATAGGAAGGAGATGTGGGAAACGGGAGCATTCCTTTCCGTTTGCTCGGATGTGTCTCTGAGAATGTATCCACAAACCTCAACCGCGCACAACAAAGTCCCATAGCAAAGTCCCATAGCAAAGTCCCTCCCTCTTTTCCACACATACACACAACCACACGCACACACTCCCACTACATGGCATTCACGTACACTTTGTGACATCGTCACGACAGCTCTGAGTCTCAATTGCCTGTCCATGGAGTGGTGTCTGCCATGGCGCCAGCACCAGGAAGCACTTTCACCGTGCGAGAACCAAAGGCAACGAACACCGATCCAGGAGGGCCTGAAGAGCTCTGGTTGTCCAGTGATCCGGGACGTAACGTCAGCTCTATGGAGTCTTGTGGCAGCGATCAAGCCTTCAACTACTTCGTTCGCGTTCGAGGCAACCCCTCCAATCACGAAACCAAGAGCACCCACACTGATTCCCGCAGCAAGGCTCGAGCTCTCCTTGATCATGTCACCATTGTTTCGTCTGGTCTGGAGGAAGATTCGAAGCCAAGCATCTGGACCAGGTCTTGCCACCTTCTGGACGGGCTGTCCCAAATCATAAATGCCTATCTGGTCGACGATCCTGGGCGAGCACGGATCGTTCGAGAGGACCTCGTTGCGCCGCCGAAGCTGGCAGTCCCGATTCTAGTGGATCGAGGAACGCAGGAGGTGCCGTTCAATTGGCAGTATGAGCGGCGCACGCTCTATCTGACTGAGACACTCGTCCAGCTCGGTCAAGATGCCTGTCGCTGGAAGGAAAGTGAAGCCGAGAAGACAGGATTGCCTTTCGTTTCACCACTGCCCACGTCGTTGGACAGTGAGATACACATCGTCTCTTCCCCTCGTGCAGACGCATCCAGAACTCAAGCACGTTTCAAGATCGCCCAAGCTGCTGATGACGCTGAGGCGGACTTTTATGTGACTTTGGGGTCTCGAGTCCTCGCGACGATGGAAAGCAAGCCCTATTGTAGCGCTCGAAACATCGGGACTCTCGTGCGGGCCCGTTGCAACCCGTTCAAACAGCAAGAAGCAGGGGAAGTGTACACCGATAGCGATACTTTGGAGCTACTGCTTCAGCTTGGCTCTCAACCTCTGGCGGCAGAGTGCCGTCAAGGAATCTTAGTTGCTGATTGGGGTCGCCTGCTGCTCCCTTACCAGCTTGAAAACGGCGATAGGGGCGATGGAGAACTGCGACTGGTCTTCTCATCGACAGGATCCTACTGCGACGTCCGCGAGGGTCACCAGGCTTGTGAAAGGGCAACCGCCGAGAGTAGGGCTGAGCTTTCTGGGCAAGACTCCCCGGTCTTTTCTTTCCAACAATTTCCGAACACAGTCTTCTTCCTGCTGGGCTGGATCTTGCAAGCCATTGAAGATCTGAAGAAAGATGCTAAGAGCGTGCAAGAGCCTGAGGACTCGAAGGCGAAGTCTACTCAGCCTTCAGAAGATGACCGTGAATCCCGCGGACCCTCCGGAAAGAGGAGTCGCCAGCAGCCAGGGGGAGGCGACAAGTCGGCTTCCCCAGCCACCAGGAAAAAGTGCGAGGTTCGCAGAGTCCAGCAGGGGCGCGGCTGACAGCGGCACCGAGGTTCTCCCATTCCTCAACTCCTACATCTGTACCTCAGGACCAATTCTCGGCGGAACATTTGCTGCCGTCCATCTCTGTGTGATCGATTGCGACTATCTCGAGGGCCGTAAGACGCTGAGCCCTCGGGAACAGTTCAAAGGTCGACCCGCATTTGGTGTTGTACCCGACTTGGGCCCCAACTACTGTCACGCATATATGAAGGTGCAGAGGGTTCCTTCTACGCCCGAGCCCGAATCCCTACCCGAAGCAAGGTTTGAGGGGCCTGACGATCCACCCGTGAGCGACGCAGACCGCAACGGCATCCGGCAGAGGACTACACGAGAGATCGCAATCTTCTGACACTGTAAAGATCTTCAGGGTGCTCTCATCCCGCGGCTCTTCGGGCTGGTCCCTTCCGACGAGTACCCTCGGTCAAGCGCAGATAAGCTCATGCTGCAGTGTTTGCGCGCTGAGCCGATCTGGAGCCTGCTTGAGGAGTGGAGAGATTTGTGGGGCCGCGAAATCTATCATGCGGTTGAAGCAGCGTTTGCAGAGCTTCACGCTCGACGAGTCTGCCATGGGGACGTTAGTGTCTCCAACATCCTCGTTGAGTGGAGACGGGTTGCCTCGACTGGCTCAGGGGCTACGATAGCAGAGACGGTCGAGGACTGGGAATTGGGCGGATTGATTGGTGAGGCACAAAGACAGATGCGACTGAGTGGAAAGGCCTATGCTGCCGCTGCGCGCCAGCTATCAGAGCTCGACGGGACGCAAGGCGACTCTGGGCTTGCCCTAGAAGTGAACGACTCTCCGCTGAGCCGCCTGAAGGCTGAGATCAAGCCTCATGTTTGGCTCGTAGACTTTGCCGACGCTGTCATTGTCGAAGATGGAGAAGCAGGCAACTCGGTCCTCACCTCTGAAGCTCAAAAAGTCACACAAATGATGGAGCGGTGGGCCAGCGATCGCCGAATTGGGGGATGAATCATGTCAATTCCAGATCTCAGCTAAAGAGGCAGCAGATCTCCACAGCAGGCATCACAGTGACTTGATCAGAGCCTCTCTACCGCCTCGGTCCTCTGTCCAGAGCCCACCTCCTCCGCCTCTTCGCCTTTTATTCTCTTTCTGTAACACACGCATCATACCTGTTGATAGTCGCACAAAGCTCTACCCTGTCATTCTCAGACAAATCAAATACCCATGCATCATTTCGCGGCAGGATTGTGGACGTATCTCCTACCAGCTCGCCCTCCCTCGCCCTTTGTCGGCTTTCTATCGTTAGCCGATCGTCGGCGCGTTTTGCCGACGGCGGGGGCCCAGCTCGGCAGCGCGCGCGCTTTGGATCCAGGGCCCGCTGCGAGATGCCATGCACTGCAGCAGCGGCCCTTCCGGCGTCTTAGGATCCCACGCACGTCCTCCCCGCGGGGACCTTGGCGTGCCTGGGATGTGTCTGTCTCCTCGCCTCCGCCCTCGCTTCGAAGCTTCTGTGACGTCTGGGCTCCGGCGTGGGCAGGACAGTGCACACACACACAGAGCCCCGTCCACCCTCAGCGCCGTCATACAGAGTGGAGCGCATGACCTACATGGGCTCCAGGACTGACGCAAAGAAGGGTACGGCACGTCGGGAGCAAGGCGGGGTAGCAGTGTGGGGAAGTGCACAGGCACCCCACGGGCCAATGGTACCTCGATGCTCAGCCGAGCCAATTTTTGCCAAGACGTATAAGACGAAGCCCAGTCTTTTTCTCCAAGGGTACCCCGCGTCCGCCTCGTCCCTGCTCCAACCCATTTGCCTTAGGAGTGCTTCTCTCAGCACTCGTACAAGAGGCTCCTGCTAGCAGAGCTCCCCTCACTGACTCCATCTTCAAAGCACTTGTGCTCACTCTGATCGACCATCATGGATGAAAAGGCGTCTGCTTCCCCTCACGCCGCCCCTCCCCTGCAGGGAGACTTTGACGATCGCGAAAACACCATAAACAGAAGCAACAGCGCAGAGAATGGCTCTGGCGATGAACACAAGCATGGCGAGGGAGGAGATTTAGATGGAAAGAAAGACAAGGACGGCAGTGGACACACGGCTTATGCTACCAAGGAGGCCGAAGGCTATCCTTCTCCTACGGGCTCTGAAGATGCGGGAATGGCTCGCAAAGAGGTGAGTCTGTCAGTGGACAAGGATACTGCCTGTAGCTTTCGAGCTCATACCTCTTTCCCTTTTCCGCTAATCAGGGTCAGCTTGACCAGAATGTGAACATTAATGCACGCATTGCGAATCCCCTCGAAGGTCTATCTCGTCAGGAGGTCTGCGCCGGAGCTGCGGAATTCTGCTCCAGGAATGGCATGGAAGAGTACACTTCAACCATGCAGAAGGGAGCTCTGGTGGCTCAGAGTGGACTTGACTTTGAGGGTTTGGATGAGCTGGATGAAGAAGATAAGCGTGTGCTCAGGGATGAAGTCAGTCACAAGTGGAGACACCCTGGCAAGCTCTATGCTATGACCATTCTCTGCAGTATGGCAGCTGCGACTCAGGGCTGGGATGAGACTGCCATCAATGGAGCGCTGCTGGTCTTCGTGAGTAGAACATGAACGACATGCCACTCACTTCTGATCGCTGACGAACGAGCGCTGCTTGTACGCGTCTCCCAGCCTGAGCAATTCGGCATTGGCTCCGGCAGTGACAGAGACAGCTGGCTCCAGGGTTTGCTCGGTAGCGCCCCGTACATTGTGAGTAGCCTTGCAATCAGTGCCCCCCCCCCCCCGGCTGCCTAGCTGACGCTCCTGGGCTTTGCTTCCATCATGACAGGGTTGCGCCTTCTTGGGATGCTGGCTCACAATTCCCTTGAACCACTACTTCGGTCGACGAGGCAGCATCTTCTTTGCTGCTACCCTCTCGGCCCTGACCTGCGTCTGGCAGGGTCTCACCAGCTCCTGGCAGCACATGTTTGTCGCTCGTCTTATGCTTGGTCTCGGAATCGGCCCCAAATCGGCTACAGTGCCCGTCTTTGCAGCCGAATGTGCCCCACCGCTCATTCGTGGTGCTCTGGTCATGCAATGGCAGACTTGGACCGCCTTTGGCATTATGATGGGATACATTGCAGACATTGCGCTGTACTACATTCCCGATACCTCAGCTGTGACCGGACTCAATTGGAGACTTATGCTGGGTGCTGCATCCATCCCAGCCTGGATCGGTGCGTTGTGGCCTTTGCCTCGGGTCAAGCAAAGCCTTTCGACACTCCACTGACGCTTTCTCGCCTCTCTTTTGCTCTCGTCTGCAGTCATGGCTCAGGTCTGGTTCGTACCAGAATCGCCTCGATGGCTGATGAAGAAAGGTCGATACAGGGAGGCTCTCCAGTCATTCATCATCTACCGCAACACTGAGCTTCAGGCATGTCGAGATCTATACCTAGCCTATGTGATGCTAGAGGAAGAAAAGAAGTGGCAGACCAAGAAGGGTCTAGCCCTGTGGGCGGAGTTGTGGACGGTACCCAGGAACCTCAGAGCGACCATTGCTGCGACGATTTGTATGTTTGGACAGCAATTCTGTGGTGGTGAGTACATTCAAGTCACTGGTGTGCCTCGCTCGTGTCACCTTCGCCTGCTGACCACCTCTGCCCAATCACACGCGTCCACTACCAGTGAACGTCATTGCCTACTACAGCTCCAGTATCCTCAAGAATGCCAACTTCAGCAATATCCAAGCCCTCCTCGGATCTTTCGGCTTCGGAGCCTTGAACTTCGTCTTCGCAACTCCGGCTTGGTTCACTATCGATACGTTTGGTCGTCGCAGTCTTCTTCTGCTCACCACGCCCCTCATGGCTCTTTTCCTCGTCATGACCGGCTGCGGCTTCTACGCGCCTGCCGCCTCATCCGCGCAAATTGGCGTGGTGCTGACAGGGATCTACCTCTTTGCAGCCGTGTACTCGCCCGGCTTTGGGCCAGTCCCCTTCACTTACTCGGCAGAGGCGAGCCCGCTGTACATTCGAGAGATTGCAATGGCCTACGCGACTGCGGTACTGTGGTTCTTCAATGCCGTGCTGGCTATCACTTACTTCCGATTGAGCAAGGCTTTTACGCCCGCGGGATCTTTCTTCTACTACGGTGAGTATCGAAGAGAGATCCTTGCTCGATAACGCTCGATACGTCGCATGGCTTGCTTACAGACTAGCCCCTTCTTCACCCGGTCTCTGTCCTCCCGCTCCTCGCACAGCCGCCTGGAACATTATCCTCTTCTGCCTCGTCTTCCTCCTCCTCCCCGAAACCAAGAGTCTCAGTCTCGAAGAATTAGACATGGTCTTTGGTGTTCCCACACACAAGCACATTGCCTATCAATTCCGCAATGCTTCTTACAATATTAGGAAGAATGTATTACGTCAAAAGGGTTTGGAGAAGGAACGTCTATATGAAATTGATCCGGACATGAAGAGGACAGCGGCTCCTATGGGGGCTGCTGCCTAGGAGATGGGGTTCGAGAAGAGGGGGATACGGCGAGCAGACACGAGCGCTGCGATCGCTTGTACAGTAGCTCCAGAAAGACTTTTGTTCCCCTTGTCCATTCGTAATGACAACGACTCTTCATCCATCCTACACTGTCGGAAGGTATAGGTCAAGTGCTGCATGCAGTGTCACAGCTCTTCGTGCAATACTTCATCAGTCCGGCAGCCATTCGAGAGTGACGCTTGGGTGCCGCAGGCCAGACTGTCGAGGGCCTCGAGCATGGAGGCTTGTGAGAAGAAGAGGGCTACGCGCGTCCCCGCGATCGGGCGCGATGGGGAAGATTATCCGAATGACTCACCCGAAGCCCCGCTTCGCCTTACAGCCTCTTGCATCCTCAAAGGAGCCGAAGAACACCCTTGGCTCCTACTCATCCTCATGGTCCTACCAAAGACATAGATCGGGGCCCCGCACTCACTCCCAGATCCGCAATCACTCACACGCCGGGGCTCGCTCCCTCTCCCTCCGTCCTGCCTTGCAAGAAGCTACCGCCCCTCATGGGTCCAATGGCTCTCCTCACCCTCGCCTCGCGATTCAGCCCTACTCAGCGTGCCTGGCTCGCCGTCGCGGGGGCCTGGCTGGTCCAAATCGCCGCGGTAGGGCCCGTAAATGCCTTTGGAAGCTACCAGGCCATCTACTGGAATGCCTATGTCCCCGTGAGTGGAAAAAGTGGATCACGCACGCCATTCAGCTGAAGAGGATGATCGCTCTGACCTTGCTCACCCTCTCCTCGTCATGCAGGGCGTATCCGCCTCGTCTCTCTCCTGGATCGGCTCCCTACAAATCTTCTTCGAATTCTCAGTAGCCATCGCAGGAGGGATCCTCCTCGATGCGGGCTACTTCAAGGAGACTCTCCTCGGAGGCTCTATCCTCTTCACCTTTAGCTACTTTATGCTCAGTCTGGTCAAGCAGGGGATGTTCGTCCCCATCTTGCTCGCCCAGGGCTTCGGCATGGGCATCGGGTTGGGACTCGTCTTCTTGCCCATCTCCGGCGTGGTAGCTCAGCACTTCCCCACTTCCCGCAACCTCCCACTGGGTATCATCTCCACTGGTGCAGGCTTTGGAGGCTTTGCAATCTCCCTCCTCACAAGCAAAATCTACAGCAACACTGATCTGGGCTTCGGCTGGACCGTGAGAGTCGCGGCTTTCATTGTGCTTGGCTGCCTCTTGGCTGCCAATCTGCTCATTACCGAGGTGCCTGCCTCGGAGCGAGTCGTCACCAAGAGTATCCTCAAGGTAGACGACGACAAGGAGACGATTGAGGAGGAGGACGGCAAAAGTGCTCAGCTCGCTGAGGTACCCTTGAGTCAAGCACGCACAAAGGAAGGAGTTCGTTCCATCATCAGCCAGCACGGCGATGTCACTGGTCTGCTCGCCTCTCTACGCGAGCTCTTGTCCAGTGCAGTATACCTCCTGACCGTAGCGGGCGGTACCCTCTTCGTAATGGGCATCTTCTACCCTGCTTACAGCATCGAGTCTTTCGCCTTGGCCCAAGGGATCGATCCAGGTCTCGCAAGCTGGCTCCTGCCCATGAGCAACCTCAGCAGTCTCATAGGCCGGACAGTACCTGCCTATGTAGCAGACCGGCTGGGCAGGTACGGTGCGCACATCATGTTCTCCACCTGCGCCATCTGCGCAGGAGCTCTCACGATTGCAATGCCCGCCTGTACCTCCTCGGGGTCAATTGTAGCCTTTGCCATCCTCTACGGACTCTTCCAAGGAGCCGGACCGGGACTGTTCTTCCCCACTGTCCTCGCACTGGGCGGACCTAGGCCGGGGTTCAGGTTGGGCGTAGCCTCTGTGCCCCTCTCTATTGGCGCGCTGGTGGGTGCACCAATCGCCTCGGCCTTGCTTGGGCCTACCGCCGCTACTGCTGGTGCAGGGGGACCGGGAGTAGCGGATGTGAATCCCAATTGGTGGGGAGGATCGGCCTTTGCTGGAGCAGTGTGGATGGCTTCGGCACTGAGCATGGGAAGCGCCCTTTTCCTTGCCAAGCACAAGGAGAGGCGAATGCGAAGAGGACGGGGTGCGGGGGCTTCCCAGCGCTCTGAGAAAGAGGCGGAAGAAAGAGGAAACGTCCTTCAAGAAGCTGGAAGGACAGAGACAACGGGGTTTGACCATCGAGTAGAGGGCCAGGGAGCGTGAGTAGAACCTAGGGCCATAGGGCATAATGTATAGCGCACAACGCAAACAAGGGCAAATGGTACAGGCAGCATTCAGAGTCACGACACACACACACACAGCACATATGTATACTTCTCATAGACGTCACGTCACCATACTGTTCATCAGCAGCAATAGCAATGTCATTGTCATCATAACAACGAGTTGTCTTGCTCTTCTGTCTTCCATCGTCTACTCGTTCTCATCAGTCCCCGACTGGCTTCTCTCAGCGGGACTTTCATCCTCGTCCTCTCCCTCTTCCCCGGATACCTCTGCGGCCCCTTCGAGGTTTTCGGATTTCTTTGCGGCCCTTCTCGTCGACTGTTCCTCCTTCTCCTTCATCTTCTCTGCTGCCTCCTTGAGCAGCTTGATGCAAGCCTTGAAGCATTTCCTCTCGATCTTATGGATCCTATTGTTGTCGAGTAGACCTTTACCGTCAAAGAAGGCCAGGAAGAACCGTTTCAGTTGCAGCTTGTCCACTCGAGCCGCCTCATAGTGATCTTTGGCATCTTTAATCTCGAGCAGCTGCTCTGCCGTAAGCTTGTTTTCCCAGGCATTGTAAGCTTCCTCAAAGGCCGCCAGAGAGACCTTGCGATCGTATTGGCGCTCAAGAGTCTTAGAAAGCTTCTCTCGAGCCGAGAGAATAGTCTTGCGCAATGCGTACATCAGCTCAGGCCAGTCTCCTTTGGTCCGCCTCCCTTGCATCTTGTCCATAATCTGTAAGACCGAACCACAGATAGGGTCCATCAGTATTCGCGCAGCGCACGGTTTCCGAGCTACTTACGTCTTCCCACCACATTGTGGACTCCCACAGTCTCCCTTTATCTTTTCTCATTTCTTTCTCCAGCTCTTTCCGAGCCTTCTCGGTCCTTTCCCACCTCTGAGCAACCTGCAGCAAAAGTAAAGGTGTGTTGGCCGAATGTGGTGAAGAGGCTCATTGCAGGCTTGAGCAGGCCTTTCGAGCCATAGCTCACTCACCTGCCAAAATTGCAGGTAGACTGCACCCTCAAGGTCGTCTATGTACCGATGGCTTTTCACAAAAACCTTTCGTAAGCTGTCAATAATCCGTCGCAGGATCTGCTTGGGCTCTTTGTTTCTGCATCCAAAAACATTAGTGCCTCCAGGTCCGGCGCGAAGATCGGAGTAAATGTCCTCGCTAGTGTGCCGCAAGGTGAGAGTCCAGATCCAGGCATCTTTGAGTGCTCTAGCACAGCAAGTGGACAGATAGATCGGATTAGCTGACTGTCCATCATCTGCAGCTCTGGCGGCTAGTGCTTCTGCGTCGCACATCTGCATCCCCGATTGCTGGAGTGGGCTGAGCTTGGTTCTCATGTTACCAAAGTCTATGAAGAGGAGTGTGTTACGAGTGCCACGCAGAAGGCGGACGTTGCCGGGATTGAAGTCGCGATAGTGATAGCCCCCCTTTGCAAGTCTGAGAAGCTGCTCGGCAACCTGCACGTGAATCTGCAAGAGGTCGTGCATGGACACCTGCATTCCAATGTAATCTCCAAGACACTGCTCGGTCACCAGAGCACTGACTGTCCGATGTCGGGTTGCTGACTTGCTGTCGTATTCCCGGGTGTACTCGTAAAGTTCAACCTGCGTCACTGAGGAGCTCGTAGTCTCCGAAGTTGTTCTTTGAAAGCCTGCCGTTGGGATGACTGCCAGACCGATCGGACGAGGAGCATATGGCAGGCCTAGACTCTGGATGCCGCGCAGCATTGTCAATTCGTGTAATCGCAGATGCTCGTACAGCCACGAAACTTTGACAAGTAGCGTTCTCTTTCCTGCGTCTTGTTCAGCAGTTTTGTCTTGTTCCACGAAGACTGCAGTACGACTTCCGAATGGTCCGGGGCGTACTCTGTGCTCCGTGACTTGAGCTTTGACAAGGGCACTGTCTGTCGCGACATCGGCCTCGATCTCGAGAGAATGTTGACCTACAAGATTCCAGTAGCCGGACAGCTGGCCCGAATGTTCCCTGAGAGAGAAGAAAAGCAGAATTCTCACGATGTCCTTTCGGTCATTCGGGGTGCGAGTGTCGAAAGCTCTAGAACATCCGTAGATAGTTGCATTGGCGTACCACAGCCGTACGAAGTGGCCACACCACGTTGCAAAGTGGACGTGGGAGGTGATGGGACGATATTGGTGCATCTGGCGCTGATAGTGTTCGAGTGAGGGCCTCAGGAGATCAGCTGCGATCATCGGCAAGCCAAGCGTCAAGAGCGTAGACTCACCACGTAGAAGAGGCCCTGTCGAACAGCCTTGTTGTTCAAGTCTTCGGCGTCTGTCTTCTTGACTACGATGAATGAGACCATGTTCGACCATTCAGGCTGTCCTGCGACTTCTGCTGCTTGCACCATAATGTGTCCGTCCAAATTTACGAGATCCATTGGGGGATACTCTAGCTGTGATTGAAGGCGACCGATAGTCGATGAATATCAGCTTACAGCGGCCAAGAGATGCCGTCCCAACGAACTCACATCGACGATTGGTAGGCTCTTGCATCGGACAAATTTGCCATACCCTGACTCTGCTGCACCCAATTCGCTACGCACTGATGTGCTCAATCTACAGATGCTTGCCACCAAGGCCCTTCTTTTCTTTTCCTGGCCCACGATGCTGTTCACCTGCCTAAAGACTTTGGTGACTTTGGCTGAGCTCAGCACTTGTTCGACAGATTTGTCTACTTCTGCATTGGTCTGCATGACGTAAAGCTCGCGATGGTGACGGCCCTTGGCCTCCGCTCCTACCTGATGCTCCTGACCTCGGAACTGCTCCTTCACCTCGTACTCCATCTCATTCCTCTGTTCGTCGTAGACGTGCTCGCCCGAGGGGTCAGAAGATACTGAGGATTGAGGCCAGGAAGAGGACATGGTCATCGACCACCAGGAATCGTGCCATCGTCGTGGTGGTGGGGGATTTGGCTGCTTGTCCATCAGGATGCCACAGAGGTCTTCAGGGAGAAGATCCTTAGCTTTCTCAATCGTCTTCTTACGCAGTCCATTCGCCGGTCGGAACGAAAAGGTGTACGGCGGAGTGTCCTTTGCAGTCGGCGCGGGCCGAGGCACTCTGCCTTTCGCCTTTGACTTCTTTCTCGGCATTGCTCCAAAGACGCTCCTTGCTGGACGAGCCTTACAGATAGGTGTGATGTATGATTGCCCTAGGCTTGGGCTCTTGTGCATTTGGCGTACCGGTATATCTGCGAAGGGAATTGGTGGAGGAAATGAAACCTCGCGTCCGTCTCTACTGCTGTCTTTTGGCTGTCCACCTCGTACGAGACAGTGGCGGCGCCTCTCCCGTTCCGTGTCAACAGTCCGTAATCTGGCACGAATCGGACCGGAGAGGCCATACATCGTCAGCTGCATCTTGACTCAGACAGTTCGACTGGTATCTTTGCGGCACTTTCTCGGGCGTACGAAAGAAAAGGGTCACTCGAACCCACAACGGGTGCACCACGGAGTTTCGATGCTGCTACAGGCTCAGGGGGACCGCCGCTTACTCACAACCTTCAGGCAGCCACAGGATCGCCAAAGCGTATGAGAATCAAATCGAAGTTGGCATTTCTCGCAAAGTAGCGGACAAAATGGGACAGCCCTTCGTTCAGCTGATTTGCGGCTGTTAAAGCCAGAGAATGGACCAAGATTCCAAGTAACGAGAAGGAATTGGCTGTCGAATGTGCAATGAGGAAGTACAGTTCATACGCAGCCATAAGGTCTAGCTCGCCCAGGCGCACAGATTGTAGGTATACTGCACTTTCCAAGTGATCAGCGTTGACTGGGACCGCCAGAGATCACTGAATCGGCCTCTCGGGGGCGCGAGCCGGTTCTGGCGATTGTACCTACAGCGTGATGGCAAGAGCAGCGCATTGGCTGATCGGTTTCGTCTGGGTCCTCGATGACCTTTCGTCAGATTTCGTGAGACTTAATGAGCCTGGGCTCTACTGAATCATCGCGTAGTGAGGGATATACAATTTCCAGTGTATCGTGAGGACGAGCTTGCTTGACATGGGATCTGAGCTTTTGTAACTACTTGCGTCAAAGCAAGACCCGACCCTTTGGGCAAGAAGAGCGACTTGAGCGATGAAGTGTCATTCGTAGCTCTGTCGATGATGGCTTCTGCGTCCTCACGCAGGTCGACATCATCCTGGCATGTTTACTTCTGACGTCGAATGCTGTCCGAACTCGTCTTGTATGGCCCTATGTTGTGTGCTAGTCATGAGGCTTCAGCACAGATGTCCATCTTCCATCAGCCCATACTGCTGTGCGAGTCTCAAAAGGTCCGTGGGATAGGTGGAGAGCATCCAGTGCGGCGGTCGCCGTGAAATTGTCTCGACAAGGAACTTGCCATATGCGTCTTGAGTGAGCACAGCCCAGTATCCGCATCGATGGGTTGAGTTAGGATGAGCGAAGCAAGATCCTTACGCTATCTATCTGATCCTCGGTATGCGGGTGTCTAAAATGACAGAGCAGCCACAGAGAGATCCATTAGGTACCACAGCCGTACCGAATTTCCGCACCACGTCAGGAAGTGGAAATACAATGTTACAGTACGATACTGGCACATTCTCCTCTACGAGACGGTCAATTGAGTATAGAGGATAGGGGTCAGCGTTCGTGCTCCCTATTTGGTGATCAAGGCAGAGCACGACTCTATTTAACTCACGGCGTAGCGCAGACACTACCGAAGGGTGGTACTCTGGCCGTCAGGTTCTGGCAGAGTGGGCAATCCACCGACTCAGAACTATGTCTATCCTTCGATGGAGAGGTGGTTAGTTGTGCCCATATGTCAATCATGTTGATCTCTGGATCGCCACGGGTGTGTGTCGTTGCGTCAGACTGTGCATGAAAGAGGTACTCTTCAGCGAACGTTGATGTATGCTATTCGAAAAAGCGCGCAACTACTCACCTTGGTCGTCTGGAAGTCCTGTATTGTAAAGAGAATGCGCTAGAGGGATCTGCCGCTCGTGAACATTTGAGTGCTTCATCGCTGGGTCCATTGACGTTAGTAACGCTTCCTTTCCCCGAGTCTCAGACAGAGTCCTGGACACGACTGAGAAAGCTGGTGACTTGGCCTGAGGCTTCAATATGCCTTGCAAAGAACAGGTGTGAAATATGAGCGTCTTCACCCGCTGTTGTGACGTAGGCAGCACAATGCTGGAAGTCGTTCTGCCAGCTGCCTCGACAGCCGCTTTGATTGATGTGCTGCTCAGCTTTGAGTTAAGTCGCACTGCCTCAGTGAGGTAGAGCAAGAGAGACAATGAGTCTGACCCCTATTGGTGATCTCAAGGCCTGTCAAGGAGTGACCGTCGACATGTCTAATGTGTGGTGGGGTGGATAAGGTCGCTGAGCTGGTGTGAGGTGTGATCGTGTTGATGGGGAGGGAAGGAGGGGGAAGGGACAAGGGCAGGAGTCGCTTTGCTTGTTGGGGATTAGTGAGAGCAACGTGCCTGACTGACTGAGCGTCCTTTGCCTGTCCGTCTTCGGAACGGCAGGCAGTGGCCCTTGCCTTTTGCTCGTAGGATTTCGTGGGCGTGCGTCACTGGGCGTGCGTGACTAAGGCACGTGACTTGGCTTCTGATCTCAGAGCATTGCGTCGCCAAAGGTGGGTGTGCAACCATCGCTGTTCCCTTTGTGCCCACTCCTCTGTCCTCTGTTCGAACCTGCGGCCATTGACCGTGTGTAGTGATTCTATTGTTAGCAAGGGGGGGAGCACCAGCTGCACCGCCACGCGCCTGGGCCAATTCCACTGTCCGCCTCGGCTGCAGCTGCGCTTCCCCAGCTCCACCGCGCCTGCCTGTACCTTGACATCTTCCTCCCGGACGCAGACCCCTGAGGGTATCCTGACGACCTCCTAGCTATTATGGCGTCACATCCTCCTCTTCAGTCGCTGCCCCTGAGCGACTCCCGCTCCACTCCACTCTCTTCTTTGCCCTCTGCTACCGATATCACTCGATGGCACCTCTCCACCCCGGGCCTCGATGACCCCGCTGTAGGCCGCCATCTCTGGACCTACGATCGCGCAAACGACGGTCCTCACATCAATGGCAACGGCAGCGCTTCCTCGTCCCGCCAGACCCTGGAGGACAAGTTCTGGCTCGGTCTGGCCACCGACCAGCCGAAATTGCCACGAGCTACAACTCCATCCGAGGCAGCAGAAAACGGCTTTGCCTACTATTCCCGCGTAGCTCAGTCTCCCGATGGCCACTTTGCAGGAGAATATGGAGGACCCCTCTTTCTCCTGCCCGGCTTCGTCATTGGGTGCTATGTCACACATACTCCTTTCCCAGATGAGTGGAGGATAGAGATCACCCGCTACCTCGAGGGCATTCAGAACGAGGATGGTGGGTGGGGACTACACATCGCAGGACCGAGTACAGTCTTCGGCACGAGCTGCAACTACGTCGTCCTGCGGCTGCTGGGTAACTCGCCTGACCTGCCTTGGATGACCAGAGCTCGAAACTTGTTACATTCGCTAGGCGGAGCTACCGGCGTGCCTTCGTGGGGCAAGCTATGGCTCGCACTTCTAGGGGTGTACGATTACGAGGGCATGAACCCCATTCCCCCTGAGCTGTGGCTGCTGCCTGACTGGGTACCGATACATCCTTGGAGATGGTGGATCCATACTAGAATGGTGTATATACCCATGGGGTGGCTGTGGGGCAAGCAGTACGTCTATGATGACGCAGAGCGGGACCCAGTTGTTAAGAGCCTGAAGCAGGTGAGTAGAGGGGAGCGGAGCAAAGCTGACAAGCGACGAGCTGACCGCTGGCTGGTCTTCTCACCTCATCTCACCTCAACGCTCATTCCAGGAACTATATACACAAAGCTATTCGTCCATACATTGGCCATCGCAACGAAACAACATCGCCCAAGTAGACATCTTTGCGCCTCACACCAAGACGCTGGATACCCTCATGTCCCTCATGGGCGTCTATGCCAAAGCCGTCCCTGGCCTTGTTCGGAATGCCGGCCTGAACCGAGCCTATACCCTACTTTGCAAAGAAGACGAGAATACCGGATATCAGTGTCTGGGCCCCGTTAACAAGATGCTCAATTACGTTGTGCGGTGGGCAGTAGAAGGCCCAGACTCGCACGCAATGAAGCAACATCGTGAGAAGCTCAAGGACTTCCTTTGGATGAGCGCAGAGGGGCTACAGATGTGTGGTACCAATGGCTCTCAGCTATGGGATGCCGCTTTTATCGCACAGGCCGTCTCTTCCTCGTCACGCCTGGTGCGCAACCCAGAGATCAAGCCTAGCGTCCAAGCGCTCCTCCGCTGGCTCGACGAGACGCAGATCAAGGAGAACCCACAGCACTACCGAAGCTGCTACCGTTTCTCTACAAAAGGAGCCTGGCCCTTTTCGACCAAAGAGCAGGGCTACACAGTCAGCGACTGTACAGCCGAGGGTTTGAAAGCGGTCATCGACCTGCAGTCTTCCAAGCTCGGCCTGCAACCACTCATAGACACACCCCGCCTACGTCAATCAGTGGATCTCCTCCTCACAATGCAAAACCCCAGCGGCGGCTTCGCAAGCTACGAGACCATCAACGGTCCAGCCATCCTCGAGTGGATCAATCCTGCCGAAGTGTTCGGGAACATCATGATCGAGTATGACTACCCAGAATGCACCACCAGCGTCGTAGGTGCCTTGTGCAAGTTCCGCTCCGAAGTCGACCCTAAGTACCGTCGCGCCGAGATCGACGCGACGGTGGAACGGGCGGTGAAGTATATCCTGGCATCGCAGCGAGCAGACGGAAGTTGGTTTGGCTCCTGGGCAGTATGCTTCACCTACGCGACGATGTTCGCTCTCGAGTCCCTCTCTCTCGCAGGACATACCTACACTTCCTCTGCACCCATGAGGAAAGCCTGCCAATTCCTCCTCGATCGCCAATCCCCAATGGATGGTGGGTGGGGTGAATCATTTGAGAGTTGTGTAAAGGGAGAGTGGGTCCCGTTGGATGGAGGCAGGAGTAATGTAGTCCAGACCGCTTGGGCACTCATTGCCCTCTTGCATGCTCGCTACCCTGAGGAAGAACCAATAAGACGAGCAGTGGAGCTTCTCATGCAGAGGCAAAAGGAGGATGGAAGTTGGGAGGATGATGGACCTCCTCCTCCTCCTCCTCCTCCTGAAGATGCGCAAGCTGATAGTAAGAGCAAGTCCAAGACGAAGACGAAGACGAAGACGAAGACGAAAAAGGACTGCCTTGGCGTCTTTAATCGGAATTGCGGAATCGTCTATCCGAATTACCGCTTCTCATTTACAATTTGGGCGCTTGCTAGAGCTGCGCAGAGGTTGGAGGAAGAAGGGGAGGGGGAGGGGGAGAAGTGAGGAGCGGCTGGGTGAGGGAGGGAGGGGGAGGGGATTGAGGAGCGCCTCAGGATGGAGAACCAGAGGAGGAATTGGACGAAGTGAGCTTGTGGGAAGAAGTCAGGAAGGTGAATCAGGAATGCGGCGGGCGAGGCAAAAGAATGAACATTATCTACGTCTACGATGATCATGCTACTGCTAGTGACACTGTCAAATCTACTCTACTTTCCCGCGCAACTCCCTCTGATCACTGACCACCCATCGCTCCTCAACCCCTTCTCCTATTTCCTCTCTTCTCTAGATGTTCTTCTTCCCCTCCACCCCTGTTCCGGCACCCTTCTCCCTCTTCTCCCTGATCCGCTGCAGTGCCGCCAACCTCTCCGGAAGCGTGGGGTGCGAGTGGTGATAGGCAGAATAGAGGGCATCATAGTGCATCGTGGAGAGGTTCTGCACATGAAGCTTGATGAGAGCCTTTGCCAGGAGCTCATCGTAGGGTTGTCCCACTTGCTCGAGCTCAAGACGAAGAGGAACGTCTGGATCTTCGGATGATGCTGCACCGTTCTGCTGCGCTCCTGCTCCCGCCCCTGCCTCTGCCTTTGCATCCTTCTTCTTCGACTCTTTGGCTGCTGCTGCCTGAGATAGTCCCTCAATCTGCTCCTCGCTAAAGGCCGGCCTGTCCAAATTGGCGGCGAATTCGTCCGCGGCGTACTCCATCGATCTCACTGCGCTGTTCATGGCGAATTGCAGTACGACATCGAGGGCAGCGAGGACCATCTGGAACAGCTCTAGTCCGATGATGATGGGCAGGTAGCCCTGCGTCGTGGAGACGTTGAAGCCAAAGGAGCGGAAAAGGGAGACGTTGCCGATGAAGCCAGCAAAGACGCCAAAGGTCAGGGCCACCTGCGCCTGGGCAATGAGCAGGAGCTTCGTGGGGTCGCGATGTTTCCAGTGTCCCAGCTCGTGGCAAATGACTGCTTCGATCTCGGAGCAGGTGGACTTGGCGATGAGCGTGTCGAAGATGACGATGTGCTTGTTGGCCCAAGGCAGGACGCCGAAGAAGTAGGCGTTGCTGTGCGCAGAGCGCTTTGAGCCATCAATCTGATAGATCTTGGCTAGAGGGAAACGCATCGAATTTGCGAGGGAGACTACGCGGGATTTGAGGGGGCCTTCCTCCAGAGGCTGGAGCTTGTTGAACAGGGGCTGGATGACAGTCGGGTAAAGGACTTGAGCGAGAATCTGGAAGCCCAGGATGAACATCAGGACCCAGGAGACGAAGCCATCTGTTCCTGCCCAGCGGATAATGGCGATGAGGCCCGCGATGAGAGGGCTGAGGAAGACTGCGCCGATGCCGAGGCCCTTGACAAAGTCGAGGACAAAGGTGGAGCGAGTCATCTTGTTGAACCCATGCTTCTCCTCGAGGACAAAGTGGGAGTAGTAAGAGAAGGGAAGATCGAGGGTGGCACGGATACCGGAGAAGAGGAAGGTAAAGATGATCGACTGGGGGATCTGGAGAGCGTGAGAGCAGAGGGTATGTGGAGATGTATTAGTAGACAGTCCTCTCAACTCTGCTGCTACTGCGAGCCTGCTCACCTCCGAGGGCGCCCTTCCCATCTTCTGGAGCGCGATGCCTGACCATGTCCATACCAGAGGCAGGAGGTCAAAGTGAATCACGGCCAGACTATTGATCAAGCCCCACGCTCCTACGACGAAGCCAAATCTAGCCTTGTCTCTACCGTAGCGCTGCGACTTTTTGAACGTGTCAAGGTCAACATGTCTTGCGAGGGATGCGGGGGGCGCAGCGTAGGAGTATACCTTGTACTGTCGCAGGGAGAGGTAGGTCTCAAAGGAGTACACTGCGAGTACGAGGTAGAGGACGAGTGTCTTCCATGGGATGGCTGGGTCGTCGAGAGAGGCAAAGAAGCTGCGTATGGGTGCGCTGAGTGAGTCTGTCAGCGACGAGGATGACGAGTATGACGAAGAGTAACCCATTGCGGCTGTGGAAGGGGTGGCAAGGTGAGGAAGGAAGGATGTAAAGGAGGCAATTGCTCCAGGGACAAAGGAAGGCCGAGGCGAGCATGGGCCACTCTGTCTGTCGCGCACACGCCCCGCCCCCGCTTGTGAGCAAATCTCCCTTTCCGCTTCCACTTTTCACTTCTTCCTGGCGTGGCGTAGGGGGTGCGTCTTAGGATAGGATAGCATAGCATAGCAGAGCATACCCCGCAACCACGTCCTCCTCCTCCTCTCCACCCTCCTCACCTCATCTCATCTCATCCCCTCCTCACCTCGTCAGCATGAGCAGCTCACGCCTCGTGGCATCGGTCACCGCCTCTGCCAAGGCCGGACGCTCATCCGGGATCCGCACCCTGTCCACCTTGGCTGCTCGCCCTGCGCCGCCACACAGGCGTATCCTCACCCGCCCACCTCCCTCGCGCCTACTCCAGCAACGCAGCTACGCCGTACCAGCCATGTCCACACCTCCAGCAGCCAATGCAGCAGCCCAAACAGCACACAACTCGGGCGTACCCCCTCCCATTGCCCTCACCGAAGCCGACCTCACAAGGCTCGCACGTCAGAGGAACATCGGAATCGCAGCCCACGTAGACTCGGGGAAGACGACCCTCACAGAGCGAGTCCTCTTCTACACCGGTCGTATCAAGGATATCCACGAAGTCCGTGGAAGGGATGCCGTGGGGGCAAAGATGGACCACATGGAGCTCGAGAGGGAAAAGGGAATCACAATTCAGTCTGCTGCAACCTACTGTCAGTGGAAGGCCACACCCCCAACCGAGACTAGGGCGGTGAGCGGAGATGCTGCAGAGATGGATACAAAAGGAGCAGCCCCCAAGGAGGACTTTCACTTTAACATCATCGATACTCCAGGTCACGTAGACTTCACCATTGAGGTGGAGAGGGCACTCAGAGTCCTCGATGGAGCCGTGTTGGTCCTCTGCGCCACTTCTGGCGTGCAGTCACAGTCCATGACCGTAGACAGACAGATGAGGAGGTACAATGTACCTCGCATCTCCTTCATCAACAAGATGGACAGGGCAGGAGCCAACCCTTGGAGAGTCGTGGATCAGATTAGGTCCAAATTGAAGATGAATGCGGCAGCTGTCCAGATTCCCATTGGAGCAGAAGAGGACTTCAAGGGCATCGTCGACCTAGTCAGGTGGAAGACTGTCTGGAACGAGGGAGAAAAGGGGTAAGTCGATTTCAGTTGCACCGGTCATGTGAGTCTTTTGTCTGACTGTAATCTCTGCCACCCGCGCTCCCGCACAGTATTGTCATCCGAGAGGAGGACGGCGTGCCCGATGATTTGCTCGACTTTGCCAAGGCCAAGCGTCAGGAGCTCGTCGAGCAGCTATCAGAGGTCGACGAGACAATGGCTGACATCTTCCTGGAGGAGCGAGAGCCCACACTCGAGGAGCTGGCCACATCGATCCGCAGAGCCACCCTCACCTGCCGATTCTCACCGGTGTACATGGGCTCTGCCATCAAGAACAAGGGAGTGCAGACGCTCCTGGATGGAGTCTGCGCTTACCTGCCCAACCCATCAGAGGTACCGGTGACCGCTATTGACAACAGCGCCAAGGCTCAAAAGGACAAGGCAGAAGCAGTCGCTGCCGCTGCTGAGGGCGAGGGCGATGTAGAGAGCGCAGTGGCAGCAGCTAAGAAGACGCAGACGATCATGCCTCTTGCCCCCGCCTCTGCCGCTCCCTTTGTCGGTCTTGCCTTCAAGCTGGAAGAAGGGAGATATGGCCAGCTGACCTATGTGCGTGTCTATCAAGGGACACTGAAGAAGGGCACTACCATCTACAATGCCCGCACAGGAAAGAAGGTCAAGGTGCCTCGTCTGGTACGAATGCACTCCAACGACATGGAAGACGTCGACGAGCTGGGAGCCGGAGAGATCTGTGCCATGTTTGGCGTAGAGTGCTCTTCTGGTGATACCTTTACAGACGGCACCACCAGTCTCAGCATGACGAGTATGTTCGTTCCCGAGCCCGTCATCTCTCTCGCACTCACACCCGAAGGAGCAGACGGCAAGTCCGGCGCCGGGGGCGTCTCTCAGAACTTCTCTCGTGCGCTCAACAGGTTCCAAAAGGAAGACCCCACCTTCCGCGTGCACGTCGACTCGGAGTCGAGTGAGACGATCATCTCTGGCATGGGTGAGCTTCACCTGGAGATCTACGTCGAGCGTATGCGGAGAGAGTACAACGTTGCCTGCACGACTGGTAAGCCCCGCGTGGCCTTCCGCGAGACCATCGGTGCCAGAGCCGACTTCAACTACACGCACAAGAAGCAAAGTGGTGGTGCTGGTCAATTCGGTCGAGTCATGGGATACATCGAACCCATGGACCCAGACGAGGAGACGGGCAAGGATGTCGCCTTTGAGAATCGCGTCATGGGAGGCTCCATCCCCACTGGGTACTTTGCCGCGTGCGAAAAGGGTTTCCAGGACGCACTAGAAAAGGGACTTCTCACGGGTCATCCAGTCACTGGTGTTCGCTTTGTCCTCGAGGATGGAGCAGCACACAGTGTCGATTCTTCTGAGCTGGCCTTTCGACTGGCTGTAGCTGGTGCATTCAGAGACGTGTACAACAAGGCTCGCCCGGTCGTCCTCGAACCTCGAATGGCCGTAGAGGTCATCTCCCCCATTGAATTCCAGGGAGCCGTCGTGGGTGGTCTCAACCAACGTAAAGGAACCATCGAAGACACCGAGGTGAGGGAAGACGAATTCACTCTACAGGCAGAAGTCAGCTTGAATGATATGTTTGGCTATTCGAGTCAATTGAGGGGAATGACACAGGGTAAAGGAGAGTTCTCGATGGAGTATAGGAATCATGCACCGGTGATGCCGAATGTTCAAAAGGACATGGAGGCAGAGTATCGCAAGAAGCTCGACAAGAAGTGAGGGATTCGGGAGAGGAAACAGATCATGATAGATGAATAATTAGACACACGCGGAACACTTTCAGAGGTTCGCAAGAGCCTCTGTGTCGTCATTGCCGTGCATGCACACACACGCTGGACGACGCCTTCCCTCTCTTTGTATTATTGCGCCTTCTGCACGCCGAAATCTCTTTCAGCATATCCACCACTTTGCTCTCAGCTCTCTTAGCTCTGATCTAGACTCGTCTGCGACCTGAAGAGTGAATGGATTTGGAGAGGGCTGTGCTGCGTCCACGCTTGAGCGCCTCGCGCCTGCCAGTGGGCGTTTCCCACCTTCCTTCTGAGTTCCTCCCCTCGTCTTGACATTCCTTGCTCGATCAGTCAGTCACTCACTCAGTTGGGAGTCTCAGCGGGCAGACTGACAGATAGGCAGGTGGCGTCCTCCTCCCCACACCGAACTAGAGTAGAGTGCCTCCCTGTTTGTCCCGAAGGCTACGCCCACGAAAGAAGCGCACACAAGCAAGGAAAAGGGCCGTAGGTGCATGCATGCCTCGACGCCTTTGCTTTCATGCACGCCTGTACGCCCACGCCTACGCCTACGCCTACGCCTGCTTTTATCCCTTATCCTCATTCTCCATTCTTTATTCGGGAAAAGGGGAAAACCGAAAGGGAAAAGGAATGAAATGACCCGGGGATGGGCGCAGTCTGACAAGCCAGATCAGGACAGAAGAGGCAGACTTTCGGCGTTGGCGTTGGCGTTTGTGCATCGGGGCTTTTTTATGTCCGCTGATGCAGGTGCTGATGCAGAGGCAGAGGAAGATGGCGTGCAGCACGAGGCGGGCATACGTCGCAGGTGCGGCGGTGTATGGAGCGAGGGACTATCGGCTGTGATCGTAGAGTGGTGAGGCGGTGTAAGTGTGGTCATTGCCTCTTGAGGTCTCACAATCCTACCTCTCCTTTCTTCGATCGACAGTTCAGCTTGTGCAGAAGAGGATGAGCAGGTCTGCCTCGCCTTACCAATATCCAGTCAAGCGAAAAGGGTTCGCAGAAGCTGTCTCAGATGAACAAACACGTCCACCTTACGCGAGCGCGAACCCGATGACCTATGGCTCTATCAGCTCCGCTTAACCTCTTGCCCCCGCGACCTCGGTCTTGATTACCCTATTCTACCAATTCTACTGCTCTGCTTATACTTGGCTTACGATGGGTAAAATGACACAGCATTTGACTTGCAGCTGACTTTGTGAGGTTGGGGTAGGAGTCCGAATCTCAAAGCCCAGAAGTGTTGTTCTTTGCACCTCATGGTCCGGGGGCCCCCCTGCTGCAGGCAGAAAAAAGAGGCAGGGCGGGGCAGTGCGAAAAGGCAGTGTCATTTCGAGTGTGGCATTCGTGGGAACAAAGAGAAAGAAGCTTAGCCTAGTCTATGTACCGAGGGAGTGCATGAAAGAGTAATGCGACTGTTCACTCCACGCCACTCCTGATTCATTCCCAGAGTAGACTGGCAAGGGTCAGGGCAACGGCAACGGCAACGGCAACGGCAACGGCAACAGCAACGGCAACGAGGTCAGGCAACGAGGTCAGGTGGCCCAAGACCAAACAAGTCTGTCTGCTTGGCTTTTGACAGGATTCCGCAATACCGACGTGCAGTGGGGAGGCCCGAGCTTCTGCTGCACCTCGGCGTGGCGTCAGCAGCCACCACCACCTCCGCCTCTTCTTCCGTCTCCGCCTCTTTTTACCCCCTTCCGCCGCACAGCCAGTCAAAGGTTGGCCTAGCCTGGCCGATCTTAGCGTAGCGCAGCGTAGCTCAGTCTAGCCCCCCGCAAATCTTGTATTAAGCTTCTCCGATTTGATACGGAGTAATGCTGCTGCTGCTACTCCTGTTTGGTGTTGCCGAACGGCAGGCTTGGCCGCCGGCAGCCTCAGTCCAGCGGAGATTGGCTTGGTCAGATACTGACTCGTCTGACTTAGCATAGCCGGCAATCTCACAGGATGGTCTTGTTCAAGAGGGACGAGGGTAGCGGGAGCTCCTACAATTACCAATCCCTTCTCGAAGACCACAATCTCCTCCTCGTCCTCCTTTCTGTCAACGCGGCTCGCTCAGCTTCCACGTCATAGTCATAGGCATTGCATCTGCCTGGACTCGCGGCGAAGCAGCAAGCTCGACGCTAGCACGTGAAGAAGAGCCTTGCCGCTCGGACCCCCTACTAGGCGAAGTGAGCTGTCCTCCAAGATCACATCTGGATTGATCCTTTAGGGGCTCTGGCTCAGCTCGGCTATCGCTTTTGCGTTGGCTCTCGGCCGCTAGCACCGGCTCCTGACGCCAAGAGGGTCGGGCGACGAGAATAGGTGACGATCGGCGGCGGCAGGAGACTGCACGACTGCAGGCAGCCCCTCTCACTTTTGGACCCTTGCCATTGCTCCGGTGATTGCGCTTCCTCACTTTCACTCTGGCCGGTGTCTGTTCGTTTGTGGGAGAGCTCCTCCTCGCAACCTACTGAGCCTCTCATCTTGCAGGCGCTCATATCAGTCTGACAAACATCGAAGGTGAGTAAGAGGTGGTGAAGGCCATACGATCCTGCCAGACAGACCTTTGGGGCGGCAAATGAAGTATTCCTGAAGGGACGAGCAAGTGCGCCTCCGGAAATAAATTGCCGGCTTCGATGGCAGAAGAGCCGTCCCGACGAAGTTGGCAGTACCAGCTGACTCCTGCCTGTCCTGTTCTTCACTGCTCTTGCTTCTTGACCACGTCCCAGCTGCTTCCAAGAGCTTCATCGACTTGCCAGCCAGCTTTCTCGTCATTGTCCACGGCAGAGCACTCAGCATCCTCCTACCCCTCTACCCTTCCATTCGCTCATCCCCAGCCGTCCAATCTCATCACTTCCCTCAAAGCAAAAGCCGACCATCCATTCACCTCCGCGGCCGAAGCGGCCCGGCACACTTGAGCTCTCGTGCCAGTCAGGGCCACTCAAGGGTCCAGTCCTCGATTCTCACCTGTGAGTAATTAGGAACACGATGTCAATGTAGGAGAGAGAGGAGGGTGGTGAAAATGGCGGCATGGCGATAGGCGGAGAGCGAAGAATCTGGAGCAATGGCAACCATTACAGCGATCCATTTGCACCGCCGTCAGGACGGACATTTGTCCGGAGCTTCGTCTGCTTCGATTCTCCGTATCGAATACTTGAGCTCGAGACAGGCAACTGACCAGCCATGAGCGTCCCTTCCCACTACTCCTGCCGCATACAGCCCGACACGATGATCTCTGGACCTCGATACTATTCAGAACATGCCAATTCCCCATTCCGCGACACAGAAGCAAGCTCATCACGATCTCCATATGGTCGGCCACCGGCATTGTCCATGTCCAGGGCAAGCTCGTCGAGCCTGGCTACCGAGATTGCAGTGCCCAATACACCTCGGGCCTCGCCACGCACCTCTTTCGATATTCTGACCACGGCATCCACTTTAGAAGTGCTGGCCGATGCTAGCTTGGAGCCGACGCAAGGACCAAAGCGCCGCTCAGCATTAGCCAGGAGACTGAGCAAGAGCACCAAGAAGCCACCGTTGGACTACCAGCAGACTCTAGCCCAGGCGACGCTCAGCAACCCAGAACTGCACCTGTCATCTGACCCACTGCTGGACAGCGACAGTCTTCAGTATCGGCGCCTCATTGCCTTTCCAGTGCAGGCAGACGCCCCGTCAAGCACCAGCCCTTGCATCACTAAGAGAAAGAGTGCCACAGACTGGCTGAAGTCAAAGAAATGGAGCGCTGCTCTCATAGGCAGAGTGTCGCCACCCACAACGTTAGCAATTAAACGATCACTTGCTAGAACCTCTTCCCGTCCCGGCAGACCGACAGAGACTGGTCTCACTGGCACAAGTCCTGCCGACGCATTGCGTACTACAGTGGAGCGGATGAGGGCAGCTCGAACATACTTGCTCGAAGAGCTTGGCAAGCTGAGCGTGGAGCAGCTTGGGTGGGATCAGGAGCGAGTCTCAGAGCTCAGTGAGACCACAATGTTGATTGACGATGACACAGGCGTCTCAGACATCGCCACATCCAAGGAGCTGTGGTCTTTCTGGGCCTGTATCAACAGTGGAGTTCTGCTTTGCCTACTCGTCAATCACCTGAAGCCCGGTGTCATCGATCGTATCGACCGCCGAGACATCGAATGGGTTCGAGCAGACAACCTTTCGCGTTTTCTGCGAGCAGCGAGAGACTTCTTTGCTATTCGCTCCAGGGACCTCTTTCATCCTCTGGATTTGACCGAGGCGACAGTCGAAGGCCTCGAACGAGCAATTCATACGATCCTCGCCATTCGGGATAACGCTACAGAGGCAGGCATTTCAGTCAGCTCGCCATCTCTGCCTCTAAGCTCGACCACTATCGAACGAGTCAAGTCGAAGAGGAAGAGCCTCGTCAGTCCATTGCGGTCCCCGGACGAGTCCCAAGTAGATCTGCCAATCGTACATCAACGCTTCTCTATGAGCTCCACCTCGTCCGCAGAGCTCAGTCTCGGAGAGGGAAGCGACTCACATCCTGAGTTGACGGTGGCGGAGCATCGAAAGGCCGCCGAGGCGAAGCTTACAAAGGGCGTCTCGAGACCGTCTGACCCGATCTCCATCAAAAGCCATCGATCCGGCAGCAGTCAATCGTCGCAACCGTCAAGCATGATGCTCCACTCTACGAGTCAGGAGCAACAGCGACCCAGGGCGCTCACAATCACGTTTGCGCAAGACAGCACGTCTCCTCGTTGGACTGCACAAGACGAACCGCGAGTGCAGTCTGTCTACCGCGACAGAAAGCCAAGCGAATCTGCGGTAAACCTCCGAGATGTGGCCGAAGAGGAGGCCGAAGACGTGCTTCAGTCAGGCACTGCTTCTTCAGACAGTCGACCTGACGGACTTGACAATGCTGCTGAGACAGGTCGAGTGAACTCCCCTGGAAGCGAGATGCACCCGGCTCGCGCTCCGATCATCGCCAGGACTCATTCTCAGCATCGCATCAGCCGAGAAATCGCATTAGCGCAGCAGAGTCCGCCTCACATCTGGAAGCCCCGCGTTCATGAATCTGAAGGGACCGGAAGTCCAGCTGTTGAACGTCGACACGGCGGATTTTCAGTGGGGCAGTCATACTCATCAGAAGCATCTGATCTCTCTCAGCCAGACACAAGCTCAGTCCAAAGCCAAGTGCCATTCCCGAGCTCGAGATCGCCTGCTGGAGCGATTGCGCATCGCGAGGTCAGCGGTCCAAGCTTGCGACGTCCCTCTCTCGCTAGCCGAAAGGCTTCCATCGGAGCAATTCCCATCAAGAGTTCATCTGCCGCTTCCTTCTCTGCAAGATCGGATTGCCTGCAGGGCACTCCACTCGCTACCAGAACACCTGTGCGACCTGCCTTCAGGCCCTTTCGGTACACATCGGAGCTGCAGGTGCCTACCACTCCGCCTAGCTTCTTGCATTCAGATGATGCGTCATCCTTGGCCCCGAGCAGTGATCACCGGACGTCCTCTAGTAGAACGACCTTCCAGACACGCCTCAGCACCGATACTGCTCCCTCTGAGATCCACTCAGCGAACAGCTCAAGCGTAGAAGGTCGCGCGGTGTCGCTCTCCGCTCCCTCAAGACACAAGATCACTCTCCTAGAGGAAGACAATAAGAGCACTACGTTTCAAATGGGTAATTGCATCGGTAGGGGCCAATTTGGGTCGGTATATCGTGCTCTCAATCTGAGCACAGGGCAGATGGTTGCCGTCAAGCGAATCAAGATCGAAGGGCGAAGCGAAGCTGAAGTGACACAACTCATGAAAGAAGTTGAGTTGCTAAAGAGACTCCATCACCCTTCCGTAGTCAAGTATGAGGGTCTGGTGAGGGGAACCGATGCGATTTCGATTATTCTGGAGTACGTTGAGAATGGATCTCTGCTTCACACCTTGAAGGCATTCGGCCACTTGCCCGAGCAGCTGATAGCGAGCTACGTGGTGAAGATCCTGGAGGGACTCGTCTATCTTCATGAGATGGAAGTCGTACATTGCGACCTCAAAGCAGCAAACATCCTCACCACCAAGAATGGCAATGTCAAGCTTTCCGATTTTGGTGTTTCGCTCAACCTCCAAGCCATGGAGAAGGTCCAGCACAACGATGCCATAGGTACGCCCAATTGGATGGCACCCGAAGTCATTGAGCTCCAAGGCGCTTCTACTGCAGCTGACATCTGGTCCCTCGGGTGTACAATCATCGAGCTTCTGACCGGCAAGCCGCCTTATGGAGACATGCTAGCCATGTCAGCAATGTTTCGCATCGTCGAAGATGAGCGTCCTCCGATCCCGGACAAGTGTTCTGAGGAGCTCAGAGACTTCTTGGGTCGATGCTTTCGCAAAGATCCAAAGCAGCGGCCCCATGCAGCAGACCTCTTCAAGCATCCATGGCTAGCAAGTAGCTTCGGTCTTTACAAAGAAGCTCATTTCCAAGACAGTCTGCCATTTCTGAAAAGGATCAGCTCTGACACTGGCGTCGCTCGTCGAGGAGACGTGCGGACTCTCCACACGATTTCGCAAGATGGTGAGGAAAGTACTGTCACAGGACCTACCGAAGGGTATTTCATCCAATCTAGACCATCGTTGCAAAAGTCACGGACCTCCTCAGGGCTGGGCGGAGAGACTTGGACCCCAGCGCGAGAATTCAGCACCAGCGCCTCGCCTGCGGTGTCTTCTGCAGACGGTGACTCAGGCCTGTTGCGCTCAAGTACTCAGGACAGTAACCGCAAGAGCGACCTTTCTTGCCTTGACCTTAGCTCAACGGACGACAGTCATACCGAACATCCCCCACAGAGCCTAGAAAGACAGTCTTCGAGATCGCCTGCGCCCCACAAGTTTGTAAAGAGCACCTTCAGCAGGGACATCCGCTGCAAGCTTTGCCTTCAGAGCGTCCGCAAGCATGCTGTCTTTTGCGAAGATTGCGGTCTGATGTGCCATGCTCGCTGCGCTCGGGAGATCGTATCAGCTTGCGACGTACGAGCTCAGCTTCTGCTTCTCCAACGTCAAGGACAGATTGAGCCACCTACATCACCTGTTGATTTGCAAGAGCAGGAGGCCCTGCAAAATCACCAGAGCGCACTGTCCCTCGCTGAAGTCTCGATGAGTGAAGTGGCTTCCAGCGCAGCAGGCCTCTTCGCTGCTAGGCTGAAGTACGCCATTGCGAGAACCAGGCGAATCTCGATGGGTCAAAGGAGCGACTCTTTCGAAAGGCGAGGTGCTTCCTCGCCAGATGCCTCTGGAGGTATTGAGAAGGACTCGCCAATCATGTCCATCGAGACGCAGATCGGAGCCTCGGCGGCAGAATCTAGCAGTATTGCTGTCGAGCGTACATCGGACGTCAAAGGAGAAACAGAGATGGGTGCAGAGGCTTCGAGCAGGAAGAGGGCTCACTGCTCCTCACCTGGCACTGAGCCTCGAGACTCCTTGCCGTTCAACCGCGGTGGAAGCGCAGAATCTACCAGCGTCGCTCCACCTCCAGCTTCACAAGAGCAGATTGCAACGATTCAAGGGCCCTCTCGAATCCAGCCTGCGCGACCTCGCCCTACTCATCGCGTCTCGCACTCCACAGGCGACCTCATAACCCTTCAAGGGCTCAACATCGTCAAGGAACAGAACCTGCAAAAGACCGCCAGGCATGTCTCACCTCCTCCTTCGGCGTCCGCGCACAGCGGCGATCCATATAGCGGACTAGCATATACCCCCTTGGGCTCTCAGCGGCAGAGAGGACAGAGCGAACATACCACAGCGGGGCCCTCTACCCTGGGCGAGAAATGGAGAAGCAGACGAGCCTCGATGGGACCGAGGAAGAAGGAGGAGTGCACTGTCATGTGAAGCGCCGCGGGGTGGATGCAGACCCCAGCATGGAACTTCCTCTGTTTTCACCATTCAGGAAGTTTGCTTATAGCACACTTTTCATACCACCCCTCGGCGCACGCCATTGTTCTCTGCATCTCTATACCTTTGGGTCCACCTCTCCCTCTCCATCATTTCCTCTCCCATCCCCCTGAAGCATTCCAGGACCCTGCTATTTTGCACCCACTTGTACTTCTCTGCATCACCTCATCTCTCTTCGCTTTGCGATTCAGTTCGACATCTCTTTGTTAGTCTCCATTCTGCTTTCATTTCTTTCGGGCTTGTCCCTCTCATTTCCATGTCTATGAGGCATATGATTCTTTGTTGCATGAATCGAGCCGCTGCGCTGGCGTGATTGGGGCGCTGTCTGACCTTGATCTGACCCGCTGCTCTCAACACAACCGAGACGGTGGGCGCCATGGGAGTTGATGTGGTATGTTATTACAAATGTGTTGTTACAGATGGACGCAGGCTTGTCCAATGAGAATGAGTGAGTATCTAGTGGCTGGGCTACCGGAACATGACTTGAACGGCTGAAGGTGGGCAGCAGGGAAGGCGAATTAAGAGGAGTCACGGTCAGCTTCTCTCTCGAGCGAGTCTTACTTCTCCGCCTAGACTCACTGTATGTCTTTACGTCCGGATCCCAATGTGACCAGGTCCCCGGCTCCTCCTTTGCCCTTGCGCCCGGCAGAGAGGAGAGCACTAGCGTCTCTGAGCGATCAATCTCCCTCGACTGCAGCTTAAAGGCAATAGTCTCGTAGGGCTCAGCAGCAACGACGAGGTATTGCCAAGCTCTATTCTGCTGCTCTACCCTCTGCTCGAATGAGCTCATGAAACGATGTAGCGGCTTCACCCCTTCCTTGATCTCCGGTAGCTGAATCTGGAAGAGCAAGCCGAGTCGTCCCCCAGCAGACTCCAGGAACCCGCCCTCTTCGCCATTCTCATCATTGCCCCCCGCTCCACCAATGAGGGGTTCACGGACTTTTGTGATTTTGTATCCCGGCCGACCGATCTTGATGAATTGCTTTTTTGGAGCCATCTCGAGTGCATTAGGACCGGTGATGAGGCCCATCTGGTTCTGCACTCCCTGCGCCTGCTCCTTTGCCTCCCTAGCAGCTCTACGAGCGAGATTCGTCTGATGCTTCTTTCCCTGGGTATGAGCAAGGTAGGAACCTTCATTGGTGTGGAGTGTGAGGCAAAGACGACACTCGAGGGAACCAAGGTGGTTTCGCAAGATGTAGGGATCCTTGCTGATGTCGATCGTCTCCATGGCGAGCTTGCGCAGACGCTCACGACGGTCCACATTCGCCTCGGAGGACCCGGCAACACCGGCACCCTTGTTGCCTGCGCGGTTCTGGTAGTCCATGGCCGAAGGAGAGAGCTGAGGGAGGAAGTGACAAGAGGTGGATGTCTTGGTCTGGCTACGCCGTCGAGGGTGATTAACACGGCGTCGCTTCGACTCTACGGGAAGAAGGTCAGGAAGCGGCGGTTGAAGTCAAGGGTGAATCGGATCGGAGGGTGGGCCCGTGGTGGACGAGGCGGATGCGCCTGGTCGGCTCCGCACCTGCGCTTTGACCAAGTCGAGTGCGTCGGCGTCGTCGTCACCTCGCAACGGACAGAGACAGTCACTCACTCCTTCCACTCACACTCCACCGTCATCGCATCGCCATGCTCAACCCTCTCCACGCAGGCCAGACGTGGTCATCTACACCTTGGAGCTCAGATGTTGCCTCTTCCTCCTCTTCTTCGCATCAGCCCATCACACACACTTCTCAGCCCATTGTCACTGGTACCTCTGTGCTGGGTCTCCGCTACAAGGATGGTGTGATGATGGCTACCGACACACTCGCTTCATACGGATCGATGGCGCGCTTCATGAACATTCAGAGGATGCATCCCTTGGGTGAACACACAGTCTTGGGAGCAAGTGGAGATATGAGCGATATGCAATATGTCCTACATGAGATGGATAAGGTCCTGTGAGTTTAGGCATGGAGCAGTGGTAGCGTCTCGCCGGCGAATAGCTACATGCTATGTACAATGTGAGGGATTACGGATCCTCATCGAGCCTGTGTCTGACCTTCTCCCTCTGCTTTGTCTCCTTCAGACTGTCCGAGTTCAACCAAGACGACGGCCATTCCCTCACACCCCAGCAGCTCTACGCCTGGCTCGCCCGTCTCATGTATAATCGGCGCTCCAAGATCGACCCTCTCTGGAACTCCTTCATCGTCGGTGGCTATACCCCTCCCTCTACCTCCTCTGGTGAAGGGCCCGAGGCCAAGGGCAAGCCCTTCCTGGGTTTCGTAGACCTGCTTGGCGTGACGTACCAGAGCTCGACGATTGCCACTGGATTTGGAATGCACTTGGCACAGCCGCTGCTGAGGACTGCTGTGGAGGGCAAGGAGGACGTGTTGACAGAGGAGCAGGCTAGAGCGATCCTAGAGGGATGTATGAAGGTCTTGTGTGAGTATGCGGGGTCATCGAGAGTGAGAAGAAAGAGTATAGCTGGGAAAATTGGCTGATCATCTTCCCTTTGCGGTTATCACGGATCCACTCTCAGTCTACCGCGATGCCCGCTCTCTGAACCGGGTGAGTACAGCGTTTGACTCTTCGGCGCGCTCATCGCTCCTCTTATCTGACTGACAAAATACCTCTCCATCTTCTCCCTCATCTGTACAGTTCCAAATCGCCACGATCAACTCCTCAGGCGTGTCCATCTCCGAGCCCAAGTCCGTGCCCACCTCGTGGGGCTTCGCAGAGGGACTGAGGGGGTATGGTCCGCAGACGCAATAAACGGACGGATCAATGGGCGAACGATAGGACAGAAGTTGAGCGAATGGGATAGGGCGGAGCGGGTGAGACGGTGTGGAAGGAGAGGAGAGCAAGAACGAAGAAGCATCCCTCTGGTGCTCTTGCACGTATCGAGCTCGTACAAATACATACATTCATACACATGTACACACAGTGACAGGACTTCCCTCTGTCACTATCCCCCACTCTACAAGTAGCCCATCTCCTCGTCCACCAAGCGACGAAAGCGGTCCGGCTCTGCACGCGGAAAGGGTCGGGGCTGCCACCTGCTGCTGGGGCTTGTGCTCCTGTTATGCCCTCTCTGCGATGCGCCCTCCTGCTCTCTAGCCTTCCATGGCGCGAGAAGTAGGCGAAGCTCCTCTTCCAGCGAGGCAAACTCTTCACCGCCAGACTCTTGAGACGTTTGCGGTTCCTTGTGCCCTTGGCCTTGCGAGTGGGAAGAGTTGTGCGACTTTGAGTTCAGAGAAGCACACCTCGCCCACCCGCCTGCATGGATAGCCTGTGCGAGTTCGAGTTGATGATTGTCCATTAGAGACTCGTTTGGTACTAGAAGGAGGGCGGGGGGAGTGGAGACAGAAGATGAAGGGAGACGGAGCGTTTCGAGGATGGTTCCTGCGCCTGATGGAGTAGGAGAAGGAGATGAAGGATGGGGGAGAGAGAGAAGAGAGTCAGTGGGCTGCTCCTGCTTGACTGTCGAGCACTACTCGGCTCCACTCACCAGCGTGGGCAATGACGAGATTTGCCTCCTTGAGGTGGGGCGTTAAACTGGGGACATAGGCCATGAGTGTTATGCTGACGCTCTGCGGCGGGGAAGTCTTGAAGTTGAGGGTCGGTGGGGAGGTGAGGAACGTTGCACCGGCGTGACCCCGTGCAGGGGATGAACGTTGTAGGAAGACTTCCTCTTGTGCTGAATCGTCTACGGAGGAGCAATCGCTCGAAGAAGCAGAGGATATGCTGCCCCCTACTTCCCCTCTGCTGTCCGTTCTGCTGCTGCTGCTGCTCCTCCTCCCCCTTCGTCGCCTCACACCACTCTGCGTCCCACCCTGTCCCTGTTGCCGCTGCTGCTCTTCTTCGTCCTCTTCTCTACCATCAAGTAACTCCCAACCCTGGATCTTTCCTGTCCTGCCCGGATCAAGAGCACTGCGCGCTGTGCCCTTCCAGCTGTACCCTCCCTGCTGCGTCTTCCTAAGTCCGGCCGAGGGGACAAGCTCACTACCTGCGTCGATCTGCGTAAAGCCCGCTGAGGTGGAGGCAGCTGCAGCAGTTTGTGAAGAGGAGCTTTCAGCGGAGGAGGAAGCCAGTAGTCCTTCCTCTCCTGCGAGAATAGAGGCGAGATCGCTCTTCCCGTACTGGACAACGAGCTTGGAGTTTGACGGGAGGAGGGAGAGGATCGAGGGGGAGAGGATGCGCGCGATTAGGGGCGAGAAGGCGGTGGACCCGACTGTGACGAAGATGGTTGGGGGTGGTTGAGGAGGAGGAGGAAGTGGGGTGGAGGAAGTGGACGACATGACTGCGGGAAGAGGAGCCCAGCCAGCAGTCGGCGGGGGGCTCAATGTGAAGAGTGGTAGAGTCCGCAGACCCTGGCGAAGAATGACACCAAAAAAAGCAGGTGGCTCCACCGCATCTCTCAGTCCGTCCCTTTGCGGGCAGAGCAACCCAACGCCGCGCCAGTGCTCGACTCCAGCGCAACACGCCCACGCACGCACGCCCCTCGGCATCCCACACCGCCCAACGCCCCGCCCTTTGGTCTCACCCTTGCCTTTTACCCAACACACCAACACCTCGTCCTACTCACCCCACATACACATCTCGATCTACCCTCTACCACAATGGAGCAGTGGTCCAAATTCACCCAAAACGTAAACCAGAACGTAGGTCCCCTCGGGCAGCGTCTCACAAAGGGCTTTGGGTCTATCGGCCAGCAAGTGGGCAATCTGGGACAGCAAGCCAGAGAGAGGTTTGGAAATGTCGATGAGCAGGACATTACCGAGTTGCCCCAGGAATATCGTGACTTGGAGGCGAGGGTGGATGGGCTGAAGAACGCTCACACGTCGCTGTTGAAGGTCGCAAAGGCTTATGAGAGCGAGGCGTATGATTACCCTGTGAGTGGGTGGGAGAGAGTAGGGGAGAGAGCAAAGGTGCGCATATATGCTGACCATGTCCCGCCCTTCTACCGCCCGTCCGCGCTCCCACCAGACGCAAGTGCAGGAGTCGGTCAATCTCCTCTCCTCTCAAGTATCCCACTCCGTCACCTCCTGGGCCGCCTCAGCAGCAAAGGGCACCAACCTGCCCCCGATCCAACCCACCTCTGCTCCCGACCAAGTGCACCGCACCCTCGCCCACGCCCTCTCTCGCGCATCTGCCTCGGGAGCTATCCAGCTCGGAGCCTCTGCAACCAATATCGCCGGATTGCCCAATGCTGCCAACACTCCTGGTGAGACGGCGAGCCCTTCGAAGCTCGGAGAGGCACTGCAGAAGTTTGCACTTGGTCAGGATCGATTGGGAAATGCTAGACTGAGCCAGGATGAGGAGATCAAGGAAGGCTTCCTTAAGCCTTGGCAGAGCTTTGGTACTCAGATCAACGTAGCCATGAAGTGAGTCTGGGCAGAGGAGTAGTCGATGGTTGATTATCTTGAGCGAAGACTGACCACCTACCCAACCTGCCCTCCTTCTTGCTATCCCCCTCCACCTTGCAGGGCGCGAAGCTCGGTCAACTCCTCTCGCCTGCACCTCGACTCCTGGAAGGCAACCCTCAAAGCGACTGAAGCGTCCGGCAATCCTCAAAAGCTCGATGCTCAACGTCTCGAGGTGGAAAAGGCCGAGGATCAGCTCGTAGCTGCCACCGAAGAGGCCATTGCTGCCATGAAGGCCGTTACGGAGAACCCAGAGGGAGTCAAAGCCCTTGCGGCACTCGTCAAGGCTCAAGCAGAGTTCCATAAGAGTGCGGTGGAGGTTCTGGGACAGTTGGCGGGAGAGATTTCACAGGTGGCAATTAGTAGCGAGAACGAGTACAGGGCTAGCAGACAGTGAGAGAAGGGAGGCAAGGGGCGAAAGCGCTGTCCGTACTGGACGAGTAATGTGGGAGTATGGCCTGGACACGCAGTGCATCAAACACGCTTTTGTTCTGCAGTGCAGCTCGGCAATGTTCTCATTCCTCCTTCGGGCTTGTGATGCAGAAATCAGATATCAGATATCAGACTCCAGTGCCCACTGCACCTTATCATTCTTCCTCTCCAAGAGTGAGAGCGGCGCAAAGGCCAAGGTCAGTGCCAGTGCCAGTTGCAACTTGCATTCTCCATTCCGTGTGCGTGTCCGTGTCTGTGTGCGTGTGCGTCTGCGTCTGCGTGATTTCTGGTCTGCCTCCCTTTTTTTTCCGGGGGGGACAGAACAGACGGACGGACGGACGGACGGACGGACGGAGGAAAGAAGCAAGAAGCAGGTCCCTGATTCACTTCACTTCATCTCCTTCCTTGCCTTGCCTTCCCTTTCCATTACTTCCCGAAGCTCGCCAATATCCATCTTTATCTATCCGTCTATCCATCTATCTGTCCCGAGCTTGGTCGCATCCGCACATCCGCACATCCGCATTTTCGCTGCAAGGAGCGGCTTCTTCCTCCTCCTTCCCTTTTGTTCTGATGTAGGTCAAGTCCAGGTCTAGGTCTAGGTCTAGGGGCAGGGATTGATGAAACTGCTAGAGCTGGAGCGGGAGTGGGAGTTGGGGATCAAAGCTTCAAGTGTACACGCTGTAGCTTGAGCTTGAGTATCAGGTGCACGTTCAATTGAGGATCTGTGGAACAGGCGTGGTGTATTCCTCCTCCTTCCCCTTCCCCTTCCCCTCCCCCTCTTCCTCCCCCTCTTCCTCCCCCTCTTCCTCTCCTTCTTCCCATCCCCACCCCAAACCAATAAACCCCCGCCAAAGACGAGCCAGTAGTATCGCCCTTTTTCCCCCTTTCCTCTTCCTCTTCCAAAGGGAGGAAGGGAGGAACTCAATAAAGGGCGCGAGGCTGTGCTCGCATTCTCCTCTCCTTTCTTTCTCTTTCGTCTCTCCTCATCCTTCCTCTCCGTCCTCAAGAAGGATGGAGAGGAGGGATGGGTAGAGAGAAGGAGAAAGGAGCAGAGAAGACGGACGGCCGGGGGAAGAAGAACACGACTAGTCATCTCTGTATCAACCCGGTCTTAGTTCCTCACATCGCTCAGATGAGAGGGAAACGAGGATGGGCGGGGTTCGTTTTGAGATGGACATTTTCCTTTCCATTTCCATTTCTTTTGGTTCGTTGCGGATGGGACTGTAGCGGTGGAAATGAGGAGGGACGGGAGAGGAGAGGAGAGGAGAGGAGATGGGGGAAGGGAGATACCCTTGGACGATCTTGGCAGGGAAGACCGAATGAGGACGATCACGCCATCGAGGTTCGAATGCAATACAATGTGCTTGAACAGATACAATTACAACAATGTCCTCGACCAGTCGTCAGAGCCGAGCCACCCCTCGTCCGGCAGCGCTACCACTGCTGCTACGGCTACTCCGAGTCGCTCAGGACAATCGGATTCCCTCGATCGTTCCTCTCCAGGATCATAAAGTCGTCCTGCCCATCGCCCTCTCCCTCTCCCTTGACCCTTCCTCCGGTCCCTCCAACCTCGTTTCCGTATCCGTCCTCATCAGACATGCCCTCCGCGAAAAAAGACGCGCCAACTGCATCTTCGTACCCATCTCGGGGTACGTCTCTCGCTGATCGGCTAAAATGCTCTTTTCCTTCTTCTTCTAGATCCTCTTCCTCATCCACCATACCACGTCCCAGCTGAGGTCGTGGGCGTTTCCCTGCTCTTGGGGGCGGGGAGACGCTAGAGGAAGGCTGCAACGGCTTGAACTTCTTCCGGTTGGATGGGCGTTGGGGTGGAGAGGACGAGGGCGAGGGCGAGGGAGGGAGAGGGGCGTCGTCGACTTTGTCTTCCGGTGCGACTCGCTCGACTCGTCTGCTAATACTGCTCGCACCTGCCACTGCAGGCCGCAGAGTGGTAGAGGCAGGACGCACTGGTGCTCTAGGAGCTGCCACGGAAGCTTTGCGCATCGCCTCCTGCTCCTCTTGCAACTCGGCCCACATCGCTTCGTCTTCCTCGAATTGCGCCTCGTCAAAGGAGCTTGGGGGACCTTGCTCTTGCTCTTGTGGCTGTGCTCGTCGGCTACTTGAGGGGCCTGCTGATATCGACGTGGCCGCTCGAGGCGCAGGCGCAGCAGTGTTGTCTGTCGGCCTCGTCGTAGAACCATTCGCAGCGCTCTGCGTCCTCGCATTCCCACTCGCTCTCCCGCTCCTCCTCTCTAGCGGCGGCTTACCCAGTTTCTCGCGTAAGTGATCCATGAGCTTCTCCTCTGCGTCCAGCTCCAATGCTGCCACTTGGCCACCCTTGACAATAACGCCCCTCGGATCGAGGAAGAGCTTTCCTTTGTTGTATCTCACATCTCTCAGCAGCACTTTAGCTCCCAGTGGGGTATCAGCCATGGAGAGACCAGGCACTCTTCGATGCTCAAATCCCACGACGGTGGTAAAGCCATCGCTGAGCTGCAGCTGGAGCATAGAGCGTGGGAAGACCGTTGCTGGGAGCGTAGCAGCCTCTTCTGCTGCATTGAACTCGGTCATGTGATCACCGTGCTCTGCATCGAGCTGCTCTTGGTCTTGACGAGCTTGCGCTGAGCGCTGCACTGAGCTGCCAGCGCCGCTTCCTTGGGCGGACTCTTCGAGGAGGAGACTGGAACCAGTGAGGCTGGAGCGAGCGGTTCGACGGGCTTCGAGGACGTCCAGCTGAGTCTGCGCAGAAACGCCGATATCTGAGCAGAGGAGAGTCAAATAGCGCAGACGTTCGTCAGCATACTTTGAGTCATTCACGCCGCTGCCCATCACGAGCTTATCTACCTAGCTTGCCTACCACCTGCAGCAGAACGGCTCCCCGCGGTCCCGCTCCCAGAATGCCTTCTCTTCCCGCCTTGAGATCAGCCAATCCTCCTAATACAGATCTATCTGCCACTTCTTGCAAGTCTGCACCCAGCAATGCTTCGTGGACGTCCTCGATGAGCTTGCCATCGGCTGCAGAGCGTGGCCCATGGTAAGAGGAGATTGTCTGCTGCAGCCAAACGTCCTTGGGTAAGAGAGTGGGGTATTGAGACTTGAGCCAGTTCCGCAGAGGTGCTGGGATCGACACAGACGAAGACGACGACGGCATGCTGAGAGTGTCAGCTCATCAAAGAAGCGCCGTTACCCATACAATCAGTGGCAGCTGGGAAGGCAATGGTGGAAATACGCAACGCACCTCGACGCGGTCAATCTGCATCTCGCCCTCTCTTTCCGAAGCGGCGGAGTTCAGATTTCAACCAACATGATCGACTGCACAGGCAGACGGCGGCCGATAGGATTCCACTCCTTCCTCCACCGAAGCTTCTCCCATTCTTCGTACTCAAAGAGTCCCTCGCAAGCCATCTTCCTCGAGATGCATATACCCTTTCTCACCTCGGCGTGGGATCCGAGAGGCAAGCACTGCCTCGTCACGGGCGGTTCTCAAGGTCTCGGGCTGGATCTGGCCAAGCTCCTTGTACAGCGCGGGGCGAGCGTGACAATTGTGTCGAGGAGTACCGCCAAGCTTCAGGCGGCTGCCGAAGAGATCTCTGCCGCTCGCATCGACAAGTCTCTGCAGGTATCCTACTATGCGGCCGACATGTCTACTTTCAGTGCCGCACACGAGACGCTCGATTGGGCTTCTGCTCCAGCAGCTGAAGAGGAGTCTTCTTCTAGCAAGACGGGAGCGAGGTCTATCGGGCGGGTACCAGACGCAGTATTCTGCTGTGCAGGAGCTGCCAAGCTGGGCTTCTTTATTGAACAAGACGAGGCAGATTTCAAAGAGGGGATCAATACAATCTACATGACCGCCCTCAGCACCGCACATGTGAGTAGCTCCAAAGGATGCAAACTTCTTAGTGATCTTGCGCTGATGTGAGCTGTGCATTGTCCTTGCCAGGCTGCCGCTTCGACGATGGCAAAGGCTGGAAAGAAAGGCAAGATTGTATTGGTGAGCTCCACTCTCGGTCTTATGGGCTTAGTCGGGTATTCCGAATATTCACCGATGAAGTTCGCGATTCGAGGTGAGCAGCGAATAAAAGTGACAAATGTATACACAAAGCATTCTCTTGCTGAATTTCACTGCTTTGCTCTCTCGTCGTTGGACAGGTCTTGCGGAGACCCTACGAAGTGAGCTGGTCCTCTACGACATCTCCGTCCATTGCTACTTCCCGGGCACTATCCTGTCCCCCGGCTACGAAGCGGAGAATCTGACGAAGCCGAAACTGACAAAGGTGCTGGAGGGAGGGCCAGAGGAGGGCTCAACACCTAGACAGTGTGCTGTTGGGCTCCTCAAAGGTGAGAGAGCAGACTTGGTAATCCCATGACATCTCAATGGCTCGCTCACACCCTTCACTGCGGACCTACCTGGGCAGGCATCTCCAGCAACCACTTCTTCATCACAACAGACTTCCAGAGCGAGCTCTTCCGTGGATCTGCTGCAGGAGGCAGCGTGCCGAGCAATATGTGGCTTTACGATCGTCTCATCGCATTCATTGCTCTCGTGAGTGTAAAGCAACGCGCGGTCTTTATCAGAGCGTCCACTGACCCCCATTTTGCTATGTTGTCTCAGATTGGGCTGCCGATCTGGCGGATATTCGTTGCAGATCGCACCGTGAGGGGTCATCGCTCGGAACACGCTCGCGAGGTTAGCACCGCTTCTAGACCCAGTCTCGTGGCCAGACTGGCGAGGAGCCCATACCAGACACTATTCTTACTGAGCATCACCCATCGCCTCCTTGTGCTCTCCTCACTACTTCTCCTGCCATACCTGATACCACCCTTCGACTCATCTGCGCAACTGCAATTGCCGACCACGAACTCTATACCCACGATCCTACGGCCCGTTTCGAATCTCGTCAGATGGGACTCCCTTCACTTTCTCGGTCTGGCTAGCCCGGACGCATTGCCAGCAACGCCCTCAAGCGGGAGCGGCGGATACCTCTCTGAGCAAAGTCTGGCCTTCCAGCCTGGTCTCGTATGGCTGCTGAGAGGTACTGGCTGGCTAGGCGGAGAGGCGTCATGGAACTCCTCTTTGGCAGTGTACATCACAAGTGCAATGGCAGTGCTTGCGAGCACGCTTGCACCCGTTCTTCTCTATCAGTGAGTCGAAAAAGAGGATGTATCAACAACCAGGTCACCTCGCTGACAAACCTATTCCCTTCCTGTATTGCAGCATTCTCCTTTCCAATCTCTCCAACGCAAAGCACGCTCTTTTAGCTGCGCTCATCTCCATCCTCTCACCGTCACCGTCCACTCTCGTCACTCCAACACCCGAACCTTTCTTCGCCTTCTTCAATCTACTGGGACTAGCTTGCCTCTCTCCCGCCATTGATGTGACGACTAAGCGGCCGGTGCTCGGCTCCAAAACCAGGACAGATGCAGCTCGGATACTGCTGGCTGCAACCTGCTTCGCAGCTGCTACGAGCTTCCGTGCCAATGGGTTGCTCCTCGCCGGCTACCTCGTCTACTACGCTCTTTGGACAAACACTACGGACGGCAGTACCCCGTCCTCCTTCTCACGTGCACTATTGACCAAGGCACTAGTCCTCCCAGCGGCAGTGAGCCTATCGGTGCTTCCCTTTGTTCTGAGCCAGATGTGGGCTTGGCGGCGCTTCTGCCTTGAAGGCCCTGGTCTTACTGCAGGGAGTGCAAGACCGTGGTGCGAGGCTCGCTTGCCGCTGGTGTACAGCTTTGTTCAAGCAGAGTACTGGTGAGTTCTCAATACGCTATGGTTCAATGCGACGCACGAAAGCCGATCTAACCGTGTATGTGCTGCCATTTCCAATGTAGGAACGTCGGTTTCCTCAAGTACTGGACTCTCGCCCAGTTGCCTAACTTTGCACTCGCAGCTCCCGTCTTGCTTCTCGCAGCGTATACGTCGGCAAGATACTACAGCAGTGCACCTCGCGCTATCCTTCAGCAGACCATCCTCGGCTGGATCGGCCCCGAAGGCAGCACAGCTCTCTCCTCTCCCCCTCCTACCTCTACCTCGACCCCACGCTCTCCTCCTTCTTCCCTTCTGCACTTCCCCACCCACCCTCACCTTCTTCCCCATATACACCTCTCCACCCTCTACTTTTTCCTCCTCCTCTTGACCTCGCACGTGCAAATCGCACTACGATTCGCCTCGCCTGCTTGGATAGCCCTTTGGGTTAGGGCCGGAGAGGTGCTATTACCACGAGAACAAGATCGGAAGGCATCGTCTGGTGCAGGTGCTGCAAGGAGTGGTGAGGGTGAGGGTGAGGCAGAGGCAGAGGCAGAGGCGAATCACTTGAGCGCAAAGGGCAAGTGGCTCCTCCTCTGGCTCGGCACTTGGCAAGTGGTCAGTATCGTCTTGTATGCCGCTTTCCTCCCACCTGCGTAAGCTTGTCCGCTCCAAGGTTCGCCTCTCCTCACAATGTCAATGTCACCATCACTGTCATTAGAACGAAGGAACAAATCTAATTGCATCCTACGAAACGCAGCGCACAAGGCATCTTCTCTGTACACATCTTTCTGCCGTCTAGCATCTAGATCCACTCCTCCTTGAGTGCAATTCCCTCCTTGACCAGCTCTTCCCTCAGAGGCTTGCAAACCGCCTCGGTATAAGGCGCCAGGATTCCTCCACCGGGGACATTGAGTCCTGGGTGTCCCTCCAGCAGAAGTCTCGTGGCGACACCACAAGGCACACCCACCAGTCTAGCCATCGACGAGTGACCAGCTGGATGTCCATAGTCCAACAAGGTCGAAGTGAGCGTCTGTGTCTCTCCCTTGGGAGTAGTGGGGAAGACGACTTCGAAGCGGTGTTGAAGCATGACCATGTCCCTCTCTCCACGCTCATAGGCACACTTCTCCTCCAGAGTGGCACAGAGTGTGTCAAGGGGGTTACCGTAGCCAGCCTTATTCTGAGAAGGTGTACCGCGGACAGTGACCTTGGCAGAAGAGTCGAAGAAGCCTAGCCAACGGAAACCCTGCAGGAGAGTAGCCTTTTGCTGCTCGTCCTTGAAGGTCACCTTGCTCTGGATAGCGCTCAGCACGGCGCTCGAGTCGGACGAAGGAGCGCCGAGCATCTTGGCTACCACTTGGGGCCAGGTGAAGCCCGACGAGGCCTTGAGCCACTCTTGCGCAGAGTCCGAGTCATCCAGGAAACCCAGCTTGACGAGTGCGAGGACAAACTCGGGGAAACCACCGTAGCGCAGTGTGCCGCGGATGCAGGTCTCTGCCTCGGGAATGTTGTACCACTCCCGGAAGGGCGTCGAGTCTCGGTTGGGGTAAGCGACAAAGTTGAAGGCTGGGTTACCCGTCTTGAAGGGCTGAGCCGAAGCCATCAGGTCCAGACCGGAGACGACTTGCGCCTCCTTGTGCGGTGCCTGCCAGAACTTGGCAGTGTTCCTCAAAGCCAGCAGCACACCACGCGAGGACCAGGAGAACTTGTATCCAAGCGGGTTCGTGGCGGCCTCGGGGGCGGGCAGACCACCACAGTAGGACAGGAAGGACTTGATCTGTCCGCCCTGCTTGTGGATGTCGTCGATGGCCTTGACAGCGTAGAGGTGGTCAAGTCCGGGGTCCAGACCAATCTCGTTCATGACGGTGATACCGGCCTTCTTGATCTCTGGCTCCAGCTCACGGATGGCGTCGGAGACGTACGAGGTGGTGACGACGTTGGTCTTGCTCTTGCAAGCAGCCTTGATCACATCGGCGTGGTAGGTGTAAGGGATGAGACTGATCACGACGTCGTGAGCAGCAATGGCAGACTCGAGCGATGAGGTGTTGTTGACATCGACAGAGGCAGCAGTGGTCCGGGGCAAGCCGGCGCTGAGCTTCTCTGCGTTCTCAATCTTGGAAGATGCGACAGTCAGGCTGAACTCCGAGTATCGGGTGACGTACTCTGCGAAGGGTCGAGCGACGTATCCGCTGCCGAGGAGAAGGATCTTCTTGGCTGCCCTCTTGGTGGCAGTACCCTCGCCCTCACCAGTCGCGACGACTGGGCCGGGAGCTGGAGCACCGTCCTCAATGACCTTTCGTGCGAACTCTGGCAGGGTGAAAGCGCTGGTGTGCACCTTGGGCGACCAGTATCGGCAGCCGGGAATCTCCCTGAGCGCCTGTCGCACGTTGCGCTGAGGCTCGAGGGAGCAGACAACGAAGCCGATCTGACCACAAGGGTAAGTGGGGATGGTTGTGAAAGCGTAGTCGGCAACGGGGAAAAGCTCGTTGACGCTCTTGCGAAGCTCAGAGATCAATGGCAGGTGGAGCCAGAGGCACTCGGCCTGAGTGGAGATGTGTCCTCCGGGCTTGAGAGCCTCCTTGAGCAGCTTGAAGAAGGGGGGCTGGAAGAGGGCCTCTGCAGGTCCAACTGGGTCGGACGAGTCGGTGATGATGCAGTCGAATGCGGCCTTGTTGGCCTCCTCCTTGAGGAATGCAAATCCATCGCCGATGATGACCTTTACCTTGGTGTGGGTGAGACCAGCAGCCATCTTGGGGAGGTACTTGCTCGAGACACGGGGCACGGCCTCGTCGATGTCACAGAGGATGACCTCCTCGACAGAGGGGTGCTTAACGACTTCTCGCAGCACACCACCATCACCTCCACCAATGACAAGGACCCGCTTGGGGTCTGGGTGGGAGGCGAGGGGCAGGTGGGCGATCATCTCCTGGTAGGAGAACTCGTCTCGCTCAGTGCACTGGATGACACCATCGAGGACGAGGACGTTGCCGTAAGTGGTGGACTCGAACACGAGTACGTCCTGGAACTTGGACTGTTCATGGTGGAGGATGCGTGACACCTGCAGAGACATTCCCTGACCAGGCCACTGAGGGTTGGCTGTGGAGGGGAGTGCGCATGGAAGAGGTGTGAGTGGTGTGGACCCCATAACTTGTGCATCTGCTTTCTCCTGCGTCTACTCACCCTCTACGAACCATCCATCACGTACGAGTGGGTGAGTGATTACAGTAGCTTCAGTCATTGTGGTGAAGGATGCTTGTGGTAGGAGGATCAGTAGCGTACACCTTCGGCTTCTCCCCGTCTGTTCATTCATTCACCTTGGATTTTCGGAAGAAGTGACTCGACCTGGATTCCCATCGAGTTGCAACTCCGCTGCCTGCGCGCACACAGGCTCACTCCACGGCCACAAGAGTCAGTGCGGCCTTCTTTCCGCTAAGAAGCACACAGGCGCACGCATACACTCACACTTCTTCCTACCACCACCAACCAACACTCGCCAGCCATGACAGACGCCGCTTCAGCTGCGGACAACCTCTCCCCAGAGGCAACACTCACACTCATCACACGAGACCTAGACGAGGCACTCGGTGTAGACTCACTCAAGGCCATCCTCACCGGATCGCCCGATGGCAAAGAAGCCCCTCGCTCCCTAAAGGCCTACTGGGGTACTGCCCCCACCTCTCGCCCTCACATCGGCTACTTTGCCGCCCTGGTCAAGATCGCCGACTTCCTCCGGGCCGGAGTACAGGTCAAGGTGCTCCTGGCAGACATCCATGCTTTCTTGGACAATCTCAAGGCACCCATCGAGCTAGTCAGGCATAGACAGCAGTACTACCGCCAGGTCCTCCTGGCTGTCTTCCGCGCCATTGGCGTACCCACCGACCGCCTCGTCTTCGTCGTCGGGTCCGACTACCAGCTCACCGCCGCTTACACCATGGACGTCTACAGAGCAGCAGCCTTGACCACGGAGCACGACTGTAAAAAGGCAGGAGCAGAAGTGGTCAAGCAAGTCGCCAGCCCGCTCCTATCCTCGATGCTCTACCCTGGTCTGCAAGCCCTGGACGAGCAGTACCTGGATGTGGACTTTCAGTTTGGAGGAGTGGACCAGCGCAAGATCTTCACCTTTGCAGAGTCGCTCCTCCCTAAGCTGGGGTACAAGAAGCGAGCCCATCTGATGAACCCCATGGTGCCTGGCCTCAAGGGCAGCAAGATGAGCGCTTCAGATCACGACTCCAAGATTGACTTCCTCGACTCACCGAGCGTGATCAAGTCCAAGATCAAGACGGCAGTGTGTGCGCCGCAGACCACCGCAGCAGACGGCAATGGAGTCCTGGCCTTTGCAAAGGCTGTACTCTTGCCCATTTCTCGCCTGCGGCTAGACGCTGCAGAAATGACCGGTCAAGCCCTTCCACACGAAGGCACATCAGAGGGTCTCGCCGCCTCCTTTGTCCCCACCGAGGCTCCCGCCGGGACCCTCTTCTCCGTCCCCAAAAAGGGAGGCGGATACCAGCACTTCTCAGATTACGCCTCTCTCGAAGCGCAATTCCTCGTACCTGCAGAAGAGGGCGGTGTACACCCTGCGGACCTGAAAGCAGCGGTGACGGATGCCCTTACAAAGATTCTTGCGCCGGTGCAAAAGAAGTTTGAAGAGGATGAGGAATGGAGAAAGATTGAAGCATTGGCTTACCCTAAGGAGGAAGAGGTCAAGAAGAAGACCAAGGTCAAGAAGATTAACCCGAGACATCTACCACAGGGTCAACAGGGCTCGCAAGGTGGTGGTGCTGCACAACAACCTGCTGAGACGACCGAGGGAGACAAGACGAAAGCTGCAGCGGATGGGAGTGGACCTGCTAGTCAGGGAAGTGAGACGTTCGTTAAAGGTGTTGAGGGATTGAGCGTTTCAGGAGCGGACAAGGAGATGGAGGAGAGGAGGAGCGAGGCAAAGGGCGGGAACAAGGAGGAGGTATGAAGGGAGGGAGGGAGAGAGCCAGAATCAAGTACCCGTTTTGAAAGAGGAGAGGCTGCTTCTCGGGGTACGGGTAGACACTAATGACACATTTCAAGAGACCTTCGTTGATATGAAGCTTGCGTGACAAAATATGCGAGGAAGGAGGTATAGGAATCATCAGGGCGGCGCTTTTGCGACGATGTAAGCTGGCAGGGGAGCGAGGTGAACGGGAGGGGTGGGAGCAGTGATTAGCGAGGATGCTCTCGCACGTCTCTATGCGTGGCTCTACACTTCGTGAGTACTCACTGCCGAACGATCTCCTCGCAAAGACTTTATCCCCTTGCTCTAGCAACTTGTACGTAACAGCCGGTCGACTTTCTTCTTCCTCTGTTTGCATCAGAAGAGCGAAATTGCCTTCTTCCTCCGCTTCCTCTCCTCCCTCTTTCTTCTTCTCCTCCTCCTTCACATCCTTGTCTCCTCCCCCATCCGCAACACCCCTATCAAGCACCTCTACCCTCACCTCTTCAAACCCAACCTCTCTCAATGCCTCCAACACCTCGGCAAGTGTCCAGAATCGGAAATCGTACGAAAAGTAGTCTCGAATCCAAGTACCATCGGTGGGAAATCGGAAAGAGAGGGACATGCGAAACCGGTTGGTGAAGTGGTCCACGGGAGTGTCTTCGCGCCAGTACTCAAAGGGGACTTTGTGAGCTTCACTCGAGCCCGCGGCGGATTGGTGAAGGACTTCACCTTTGCGGACGAGGGAGAGACGACCACGAGGCCATTGTGTAGCGCTTGCTCCATCTTGACTGTGTACTTGCTCACGCTGCCCCTCTCCCTCGCCTTCGGCCGCTCCTCCTTTGCGCTCGGCAGGTCGCCAGATCTGCACTCCTGGTATATCCGCAGAGAGCTTGCTCGGCAGAGAGTCCAACGACTCTCCTCTTCTGAGGAATCCCTTGTCTCCCTCTTCCTCGGCAAAGCGTCGCCAGACCTCGTCTTGCTCCTTTTCTTCTTCTTGAGCACTCAACTCCCGTCCTTGTCCTAGGGCTTGCCGAGCCGCCTCGCCCGTTGGGCCAGCGAATTGGTCACTGATGAGCACGCCGGTGCCCTTGCGCAGTGAGGCGCGTACGGAGGAGAGGTAGGCCAGCAGCTCTGGACGTGTGTGAAAGTAGGAGAGGGCGTAGTTGAGCGAAGCCACGATGTCGGGAGGTGCGATGTCGGTGCTCGTGCCCGCAGGTGCGGAGGGAGGAGAAAAGGGCAGGGATAGGACCGAGGAGTGTAGAAGCAGGAGGTGCGGACTGTCCTGCTCGCCATCCATCTTGGCAGCGATCTGAGGCCCGTCAGCCTTGTCCGCTTTGCCATTCTGCGAGTCCGCTCGAGCTTTCTCCTTGTCCTTCTTCTGCTGATGCTTTGCCCGTAGCTTTGCCTGCTTTGCTTGAAATTTCCGCTCAAAGCGATCTGAAGCAGCTCCTTCCGCCCAAGTGCTATTCTGCTGCGCCTGACTCTGGCCCAACGCCCCTTGGTCCTCACGATCAGCTTCAACCCATCGACTCCCTTCGCCATTTCCAGTGAAGTCGCTATGCTGTAATAGCTTCGCGGTCCACTTCTCCCCCAAGGGATGTCTTAGCCCTTCGCCCCTGATCAATCTCCGCCTAGCAATCTTCAATGCCTCAAGATCAATGTCCACTGCCTGGGCACGATGGTCCGCATCCATCGTCAGCCAAGTAGTAGCCACTGCTCCTGTAGAGCTGAAATCTTCTCTGAGGAGCTGGGCATAGGGACGACGGGAGCCAAAGGATTGGGCATTGTAGTAGAGGGAGGATAGGTTATGCGCTTCGATCAAGGGCGTTTGAACTGCTTCCTCGTACACTGCAAAGGCGTCGATACTCTCCGCTATTGTCTTTGCTGCAGGACTTGTGCCTGTACTTGAGTCCCTATGCGAGACGGAAGAACTCGCCAAAGGTAAGCGTGAGTCTGCCATTGAGTGAATGGTGGGCGAGAGATCTTGGTGGTATGAATGGATCTTCGCACCAACCATCGACGGAAAGAGCCACTTTAGATTTCTGATCTTCCTTCCGATCACTGCCTCATTGACACTCCGCTCCGCTCCGACTTGAGGGACCTCGCGCGCTTCGTCTGGCTGCCTGCCTGCCTGCCCGCCCGGCCGCCCGTCCCGATGATCGCACAGGCTGGGTGGGGCAGTTGGATACCAGGTCACTCGGGATTGCCGGTCGCACGACCTTAGCTACCTGCCCCCTCCTCCTCCACCCCACCTCCTATCCCACCACCATCAACATGAGGCCAACACCGCTCCTTTCCATCTCTCGCTCACTGCCGGCGCTCAACGCCCCTGCCACATCGACCTCGGCGGCCCCTTCGCCCTTTACAGTGGCTCACAAGAGCTACGTCAAGAGTCTCTACAAGAGGTATCTCACTAATGAACTCAACTGGTGCATCAGGAGGGACGTTTGGAGGGATAGAGCAATCGAGATTAGGGCCGAGGTGAGTCGCAGAGGTTCAGAGAGGGAGATAGTGGCCTTGGATCGAGGGCCGAAGCCTAAGCATAAGGTGAAGGAGCTCACAGATCGCGTGTCCTATCCCCTTCCTATCTTGCTTCCCTTTGCAGTTCGAGCGCAATCGCTACATTCGTAACCCTAGAGAGCTGGCTAGGGTGCTGGAGGCAGCAGAGGAGCGTTTGAAGGATATCGCCCACCCCGATCCCTACAAGCGTGAGTGTCTATTCACTCCCGCCTACACAACCCAGCATGCTCGCTCGGGCATTTCCCCTTTGGACGTTATACTGACTCGCTCTTCATGTCCCCATCCCTCCTCTCTCTGTCTCGCTCGCCTTCTGTCTCTTCTCACGACCCATTTCTTTCAATGCTTGGCATCCCTTCAACAGCGCCCATGGGTGAAGACGGCACAAAGTGGGAGCGCAACATTCCCCCACGCATGTTCACAGAGGCAGAGAAGCGGGAGGCCATTGACAATCAGCACTTCTAGAGAGCTGATTGTTAGGTGTCACGACTGGAGTGAAGAAAAGGGAAGCGGTGTGAACATTGTCACAGCTGGTCGTCTTGGCTGTTAGGAGGAGCGTTTTGGACGGACAAAGGCAAGCTTGAGCAAGGTGGCTCGATACGTCTAGTGGATTGATAGCGAGCTTCATTGGCGTAATGACAAAAGCAAAGTATTGAAAGAGCTGTACGACAAACGAGCGAGTGAACAGAGATACGAGGCGAGGTGTCTGCCGCCAAGTACTGAGAATTGCATACGATAGCTCGCCTGCCTGCCTGCTTGCCTGCCTGAGGTCCTGTACTCTTCTAGCACGCGTGTATGCGTTGGCTCAGAGGGCAGACACATGAGAAGCTCTGGACGAGGCACAAGGAGTACAAGTCTATCTATGATGGAACAGGTTGCTCATTAAGGTAAGGTAAAGTAAGGCGATGAAACGTCGGACGTATCGCGCATGCTGGGGGCATGAAAGTGGAGAAAGAAGAGAAGACAAGTACAGGTCCAGATCCCCTACTCCCTTCCCTTATCCTTACCCCATCTATTTAATATTCTTTCAAGGTTCACACTTTTACTGAGCTCCAATTAGCATACCCCAGAGCGTCAGGTAAGCCAGCACTCCAATCGGCGCAACGTTCCGCTTCATCGCCACTTCCCAGTGGAAGACTCTCCTGCTCCTGACCTTAACTCCACCAGCCCCATCCGCCCCACCAGAAGCGGCCGTCTCCGTCGCTCGTGTAGACCATAAGCTGGGAACACTCGAATTCGACCGGTATGAAGCGCCTCCTCCTCCTCCTCCTCCTCCAGAGCCGGAGCCAGGACTGAGACCCCCTTGGAGGGCGGCGAGCTTAAGTCGCATTCGATGGCGCCGTCGACGTCGGAGAGCGACGCGCAAACGGTGCAGTGCCTCCTCGGCCGTTTCTGCTTCATCGTCTTCATCTAGCAGAGCAGTCGTCGTTGCACCCGCGTCCGTCGTCTCTCCTTCTCCCTCGAACTCCAAGTCCGTCTCAGTCAAGACCGTATGGCCTTGATGATCACGATCGAAGTCGTCCGTCTCGGTAGCTGTACCCTCCGTTGTCCCGCCAGTCCCGGCGGTGCGTCCGCGCCCACCCCGGAAGAAGAGGCTGGCAAGTCGACTTGGTCTATTTGCTGCTGCATCGAGGGCCGAAGCGTGTAAAGCGCGAACTTCGTCTTCATCATCATCACTCTTGGCCGATCCATCCGAATCGGAAGTGGAAGAATCGATGGGAGCTCCCATGACCGCTCGCCAGAAGCGTTGTCCTGTGCGTGCTCGACCTACTGAGCTGGCACTATGGCTGGACGAAAAGGTGGCGGTACTGCTGTTTGGCTGGCGACGGCGTTGCTGTGAAGGTCGCTCAGCACCGCGCTCGCGACTGCTGCTCCTAGAGCTAGTGGTAGTCGGCGCTCCATTCTCCTGCCCAGCAGGTAGTGAGGTCGTAGTGTTGCCCGCTCCCACACCGGACCTCGATCGTGATCTCCTGCCCACTCGTCCGCCATTCGTAGTCGTCGGCGGCTGACTTCGCCTCTGCACGGTCCTCTTGGTAGGCGCATCGGCAATGTTGCTGGTGACCCATCTCGCGACTACATCGCTGAATGCCGTTGTAGAGGCAATGACAACCCAGGCTTCGATGGGCCGGTCAGGTCCAGCAATGAAGATGGTCATCCTTACCAAGGGCCAGCAGATGGCTTGCAGAGCGAGGAGCCGGATGAGAGAGGGCAGAAGTGAGTAGTAGATGAGCCATCTTCGCAGTAGTAGAGTCGTAAGACTGAGCGCGTGATACGCTGTGCTTATTGCCCATAGACTGGCGAGGAGAAAGTCGAGCGCGCGAGTCATCCTCCAGGGATTCGACATATGCGGTTGGTCGACATCTAGAGGTCCACGAACGAAGAGAGAGCCCGACGTCTGCATGTGCACTACGGCGTTGCGAATGAGCCAAAAAGTCCCTACGCAGCCAGGTACGGCAGCTAGAAGTCGCAGTGGATGCAGGAGATAGCGCAATACCCAAGGCGAAGGGCCACTGTAGTCTTCCTCCTCTGCCATTTGCCGAACTAAGGGGCAGGCAGCCAGACGGCCGCGGAGCGATTGTCTCAAAAGTGGCTGATTGCGATCCTGCGGAGACCTTTGATTCGCAAAGACCTGACTTGAAGCATCAGGAGAGGTCAGAGCGCCATCAGCTGGCTCACCGATGGCACGTCGATCGCCCTCGTTCGTGTCGGTATCGCCCTCAGTGTCGCTCTTCGGCTGCCAAGCTGGCGGGCTGGCATCGGGGACATCAGGTGATTGAGGGTCCCCGGCGTCGACTGCTGCATTGGCCAAGACGTCAGAAGTAGCGGACAGGGCCAATGACCCATTTGGCTGCGCAGGCGAGGCAGCTGAGGCTACCAGAGATGCCTGACGTGCTGGAACAGCAGAGCCATTCGAGACTCGACGATCCTCTCTCCTCCGATGCGGCATCGATCTGAACGAAAGGCCTTCGCCACCCTGCGCTCCAGACTCGCCGTCCCGCTCTGTCGCAGGTGTTCCCCAACCTTGCGGTGTTCCATCTTGCGAATCGCCTAGACGCCGTCCCAGTGAAGCCTCTGCTTGCTCTCTCTCCAGCTGATTGACCAAGTGTCTAGTCATCTGGATGTGGTCGACATCATCGTTGGCCTGATAGGGCGGAGGAGGAGCCATCGCATCCGCATGTGCATTGGGGGAAGCATGCGAGTGGTCGGCGAGCATATCCACTCCTAAGCCTGCCATTGTCGAATAGCCCAGAGCAGCCTGATGCAGCTGCCAGAGTTGGCCAGCAGCGGTACTGAAGTCGTCTATGCCGGCAGAGGCCAAATCTAAGAAGCTGCTGCCACCTCCATTACCGGCTGAGTGGTTTCCACTTGAGAACTCTATTGTAGGACTACGGCTGTACCAAGAACCTCGTGGTGACGACCCACCACCCGTAGTCGCAAAGCCTGGCCGCCGCGTTGACATTGCAGGGTAGCCGACCTCGGCTCGATTGCGATATCCGGAGTGCGAATAGCTCTCAGAAAGACCAGTCGAGGATACTTGAGAACTGCTCCTGGTCCTCGCAGGGCGCACACGCACAGGCCTCTGGGGTACATCGTCTGCATCTCCTTCCTCTCCTGTATCGCTGGCGTCTGATTCTGGGAATCCACCTGACGAGCCTGCAGCTGATGATGCTCGACGATAAATTCGGGGCATTCGAATGTTGATTGCTTCTGCGGGCGGAGCGACGTTGCCGCTGCTTTGCTCTGCGGACAACTGCCGTTGTCTGCTGTTGATTCTTCTCATAGGCATCACACCTGCAGTAGCATCTGAGATAGTCCTCGATCTCGGCCTGTTGGATTGTTGTCTTCTGGAGTGGTCACTCCGCCCAAAACTGAGGACGGAGCCATTGGGGCTTGAGCTGCGACTGGGATTCGCTGAGCGCGGACGATTCGAACCGCCAGGCGGCAAGGTCCTCCTGGATGATGACTGCATATCCTGCTCAAAGTATCCCATTGGTACTGTTGGGGAGAGATTGAGGGGAGGGGAGGCGGCCGGCGTGAAGCTCATGCCTCTGCCCTCGTGGAAGGGGGATATTCTCCTGTCAGGATGAGCAGAGAGACTCATCCTTGGCGGAGGTAGGTTGTGCATTGAAAGTGGTGGAGGAACAGGACCGCTCGAAGACGCAGCTTGAGCCGAAGAAGATCGGCTGAGCGAGAAGGACCCGCGTAGGTTGTTTTGAGGTGCTGTACTCATGGATGTCCGCGCCGCCGTATTGGACGTCGACGGCATAGAGGCATTGGACGAGCGTTGGTCATTGGAAGTTTCCTCGTCCACGGGGAATGTGTGAGCGCTCTCCTCGAGACCGAGGTCCCCGCTCCTCATCGCGAGACTGTTCCGAAGAGCAGTGAGACTGGCAAAGCTGGTAGAGGGTGACACGGGTGCTGAGCGCGAGTAGGAGGGACCAGCAGCAGAGGATGAGGAGCCATGGGACGATGAACGTGCGTGGGGACGAGGCCGATGAGGGCCCACTGTCCCGGTCGCTACCATGTCTTATTGGATGCGGACCAGATGAAGCGGAGAGTAGATGAGGAAGATGAAGCCCATGGATGAGGTGTATAAGGGAATTCGGTGGTCGAGATCAAATCGGATGAAAAAGGGACCGCAATCTGCCGATCTATCGTGGCTGATCAAACAGGGCGGGACGGAGGATTGGAGGCGGGCAGAAGAGCCGTGAGAGTATTGGAGGTGAGAGGGGGAGGTGCTTTGGTGGTTGCCTGTACGCCCAAGGAGAATGGCGAGAACAATGGCCAGGGAGATGGGATGCGCCTGCATTGCAATCTCAAAACGCCTCTCCACTCCGCCCTGCCGCCGCCCTGGCTCGGCCTGGCCCTGCGTCGCAGCAACAGCAGCAGCAGCACCGCCTAGCCTCCCTGGCCCTCCGCTCCGCTTCCGAATCATCCCCCGGATTAACAGAAAGGCGGGCCCTACCGCTCTGCTTCCCACGCCCCCCACCGCAAAGCAAGGAGCCGGCTATCTCTCCTCGCCAAAGGTGAAGCAGGCCGATGGAAGCATCACGCCATGGAGCGCCATGCCCCCTGCCCTGGCGTGGGATAAAAATTGCAAAGGAGGTCCAGCCCAGAAGAAGGGGAGATTAGTCTACGTCGCTTCTCTCCCCGATATGTCTCACAGGGTCCCCCTCGCCTTATCTCCGCTTGCGCCAAGTACACACAGTTCAAGCTGCCGAGTCAGGGCTGATTAGCCGGTGCTTTGCCCACATCTGCTGCTTCACGTCATTCGGTAGTAGCCACGAGATTAGTGCTGCGAGTGCGCGGGCACCTTGCTCAGCCTCCTGACTGTTCCGACCACTCACTACTGATTCGGAACCTGGCGGATTAGAGTATGCTGATTGACTATCGCGGCATCATGTCTCATCCTGGTTATCTCAAAGACCTTGTCTCAAAGGCATTTTCGCCTGATCAGTTGAACAACAAGAGCGTGATCAATGAGTGAGTTGGCAGTCGAGGTGCAATAGCGGGCACCTTCCCCCTGCCACTCAGCAGACTTACACAAGACTCGAGAGAACAGAGTGCGAAATGACTGGCAGTGACTGGCGGTAGGATGGGATTCACACGCGCTCTCGGAGCCTGCTCATAAACATCGAAGATAAGTATACCTTGCCTGTGCAAAGTGAGGTCACACTAGTCCCACATGCAAGAAATGTTGTACACAGCAACGCCGGTACCATATCATCTCGCTTGCGCTACGGTAGTGGACCTATAGGCAGGCATCCAAAAGGGTAAGCGAGGGGGGGGAGTGGCATCGGGAAGATGGAGAGAGTGCGCGCGCGGGGGGATGCGAGGTAGATGTTGCTCTTTCCGACTCTGCACCCGTGCGTCGCATTCCCCGGCGTAGAGCCAAGGCCTTTGTTCCTGGGCACGGCGCGCGTCAGGCCATTGTGCCGAGCTTAATCTGGCAGTAAATGCCATCATCTCTTCGTAAAGGCCACAAGGCCGAGGAGCTTGACAGTGGCTTGATGGCTCCCATGACAGCATCCACGGTAAACCAAGGTAAAGGACACGGGCGAGCCTCAGAGGCCCAGACTGAAGTCAACTACCTCAGAGGTAAACCCGCTCGTGCATCGCCTCGTGTCAGCTCAGTCCAACATCGACGCCAGTTTCCACTTCCGCCTTTCCCCCGCCTGCAGTGTCCCCTCACTCACTCATTCCCCTTCCGCCGAGCATCCACTTTCCCCCCCCCCCCCCTTTCCACTTGACAGCCAACGACGCTGACATTGACGGCGATTTCGTCAATTTCAGCTTCCTACCTTCCACCTCCCTCTACCACCACCCCTCACACCCCCTACGCCCTTTTCATTCACATTCGCTTCGTACGCTTCGATTAGCCGTACCCCAAGTTAGCCTCCACGTCTTACTGGTTCTGACGTGAGGCCTTCCTTCGCTCTGGTTAGCGAAACATCATTCTGCAAAGAATCCGCAGGTCTTACTAGCGGTACCCTTCGTATCTTTCGTTCTCAATTGAGAACAACTCAGCAGTAGGAAGGACCTATCGCTAGACGCTGGCAGCAGGGCAAGGACAGTCGCTGAGCCGGACAGTGTCGTATTTGGTCTTCATACTGCTGCTTGACTAGGGAATTGTGCTGGTCACCTTCTTCCCTCCTCTGCATCCCCTCCTCCGCCCATCCCTCACCCTCTTCCTCCGCCCATCTCGTCTCTCAATGGTTCTCGCACGACTTCCCTCTTTCCTCCGCCAACGCGATCATTGGAGCCCATGCTCCAACTCTTCGCCTCCCGCGGCGTCTCTGTCGCCGGCACAGGCGTATAGCTCACCCACAATGGTCAGCAGCCCGAGCGGTCTCAAGGCTGGATTTGAATTCGGCTTGTCCAGCCCTACCTTCAGCTGGGGCTCCATCTTCGGATTGTCGGGCGGCAATGATTGTGAGTAGTTGCCGATCTAGCATCCATACATTCGAGAGAAAGCCCTCTCACCTTTCTGGTCCCTTCGCTCTCTCTCTCTCTCCAAACAGTGACTACATTTGATGGACTTACCGTTGAGGACCACGTCGGATCCCCAGCTAGCTCTTCAGGTGGTTCAGCTGCCCAGCTGATGCCCTTCTCCGACATGTCCGTCAAGCTCCCGGCTTGGTGTACCGATGAGGTAGCGGATCACTCGTCGCCAGAGGCCGAAGAGGTCGCGCCGTCGTCGGCTCTCACACCATCAAAGAAGCTACGCCGAACTGGTCGTCTCGGAAAGATGGGCAAAGCAGGGAAAGGTCCCCGCTTCGAGTCGTCCTCCCCAGACATCGATGAAGGGTCCGACTTCGCCGCTACCAGATCGTTCTACGTCGATCCCTACCTCCACCCAACTCCGGCCAACCGTCCTCTCCGTCAATACGTCAGTGCGCCTGAACTCTCTGAACACCAACAGCAGCAGATCATGGCAGCAGCCGCGGCGTCAGCTCAAACACCCACCCCTAGTGGTCTTGCGAGCTCTTCGTCGATGGATGACCTCTTCATGGAGCTCGGTTGGCCTAGCGCCAGGCAGGAGCAGCACATGAGCCCGCTCTTGCCTGTTGGTGGTGCAGCATCGGTTGGCGGTCTGCGACAGCATGGTTCTGCTTCCCAGGCACAGCAGCCTCGGCAACACGCCCCCCGTTATCAGTCCTACCAGGAGTCTCGACCGAGCAGCTCTTCTAGCGCTGGTCAGCTTTCTCTGAGTGGTGGTGACGTGGAGAATCGTGGCTTGCAGAGCCAACAGTTGCAGTCGTCCGGTAGTGGGTTGGGAGAGATCGACGGATCGCTCTACCTGCGAAGGCGTAGGCATAGCAAGGACACCACCGACATGCCTAACCCTGCTCCCATTGACACGTCCAACGGACCTCTCTCTGGCAGTTTGCTGCAGAAGAGGTCATTGCACGCTCTGGACGCTCACTCGGCACCTCTTCTGGGTGCCTCGCAGCGGGAACAGCAGCGCCTCAATCTCCAGCAGCTACAGCTCCAGTCGTCTGCCCTGCAGAACGGAAATTCTGAGAGGCTTTCGAACCTCTTCAGCGACTTCCTGCAAGAGAACGACGGCACGCGACAGGGTGGCGCTGGCACTGGTCTGGGAGCGCTCGAGTTGGATCTGGGTAGCAATTTCGGGGTAGAGAATGCGCAGACGGATCAGTCTAGCTACGGCCAGCACTATCTGCTCTACAGCGACACTACTCTGCAGTCTGCTTCGGCAGCAAACAACCTGCAGGCACCATTCGGCTACACTTCTAACTACCCTCCCTCCAGTGCCGCTGGCAGCAGTTCGCCAGCTCAACCTCGACGAAACACACTAACTCGAAGTCGAAAATCATCGACGGTCGTCAAAGGATCTCCCCTGCAGCCTGGTAAGCACGAATCGCGAACCATGAGCGCGGGGCAGGTTCTTTGGCCTGGCCAAGGTGCATCGACTTCGTCTTCTTCTGCCTCGTCGTTGCTTCTGCCACCGACTGCAACTCAGAACAACGCCTACGCTACGCCACGATCGACACAGCCAGGCAATGAAGTGTCGATGCCAAAGGTACCCGTCTTCGTGCCAGCCTTTGCCGACCCTTGGAATGCCCAAGGCAATGCGACTCCCTCGACCGCCTCGTCTGGATCTGTGCCTCCCAGCAGCACCTCCAGCGGTGGTCAAGGGGAAGGATACGCTCTGCACCGCCCTCTCCTTCCCTACTCTGCCCAGTCTATGCCCAACGCCTCTCCCAAGCAAGCCAGGAAGATGAGCTCTGCCCCTAATATGCTCCGTCCTGCCATTGCCAGTGCCCCTCTCCCCGGCGCAACTACCTTCGAGAACATCACACCCGATTCGCCACGAAAAATTGCCGGCACACGTCGCGTGCAGTCCAGCAAAGACCTGCGCGACAAGGCCAAGCGATCTCCTGATGCTGCCGCTCCACCCCTTCCGGCCCCCGCAGGTGGAAGCTTCAGTTTCGTCAACTATGGGATTGAAGACGCCCAGGAACTCTGCAGTGCCGTGGCCCCTAGTGGATCTTACAAGATTCCCCTCAAAGGCTACGGCGGACCCAGTGCCGATGGTGCTGGCACTACCTCTTCCTCCTCTTCCTCGCAACAACTCCCTGCCACTCCCCCCCGCACCTCCTCCGCCCTCGCCACCCTCGGTCATAAAGCTCCCTCCGCAGCTCTGAAGAACAAAATCCGTCCGAGGGTCAAGGTGGACAACTCGAGGTGGATTCAGGAGACGGGAGAAGATTCAGAGGGAGATTCGGATTCGGATGATGGATTCGATGAAGAAGAGGAGAGGAGGGGTGGAAAGAGACATAAAGGCGAGGCGGGAGCGTTGAGCTCGGCTGGTAGGGCCAGGAAGAGGGTGGGCGTGTAAAGGCGGTGCTGGCGCTGATGATGACGGCGACGCCGGTTCCTGCAGGTCTCTGCCCCCGTACGGTACGAAGGCGGGCGGTAAGCAGTCGCTGGCGCCAGGCATGTCAAGCCCTCGGTAGGTAGATTGCGACGCTCCTTCACGACGGCTACTCGGCCTCCCTGCCCCCTCCCCTCTTCTTTATTATACCTCGCTACCTAGACCCTTAATGCTCTTCCCCTTCCCTCCTCTTCAACCTCTCTCCTATTATTCCCTCGTAGTACAACCCCCTTCCCTCTCTCATCCACAAACACCACATCCCCGCACCATTAATAACCGTGACCACCACATCTTGTACCCTCCCCACACTCTTGTCTCATGTGGTCACTCTCCCTCCCTCTCCTCCTCTCTTCTTCTTCCCTCTCCTCTCCTCTCCCATCCTCTCCTGTGCTTCCTGTCGATAATACCATTTTATCACTCTTTTGAACCCCTCGAGAGGTGCAATGTAGTGAGCTAGAGGCAGGTCAAGAGCTGGTTGCTAATGCTGGAGGAAATTCTGAAGAAAGTGGTAGTGGTATCATGCTGAAGAAGTTGGTATGTATTAATGCACTTGCTGTCGCAGTAGCAGTCGTAATGATGAGTGGTGGGTTGAAAAATACAATGTGTGGGAAGGACGAATCGGGGCTTCATGGTATTACAAGCCCTCTTGCTCTCTAGACTCTAGACTGCCTGCTCTCATCTCGTCTCGCCTTGTCTCGTGTGCCTCTGTATAGATGTCGCTACTCTTTTCCTCCAGGTTCAACAACTCGCCAGGCTTCCTCCTCTTCCTCTACTGCACCTCTATCCTTGTCCATCGAAGAGCCACTGTCATCTTGAGCTTCCGCCGAGCCCGGACTTGCACCCGCGACCCCACTCTTCTTGCCCTTAGCCGTCTTCCTCTCTTCAGCCTTGTGCAGGAATTGGAACTCCAACTTCTTCTCTCCCTCAGCACCAGTCTCGAGCCTGATGGGTAAAACGTCTCCCGCTCGAATCGTTCCAGCAATCAATCCCCTCGCAAGCGGGTTGAGGATCTCCCTACGTACGACTCTTGCCAGTGGGCGCGCACCAAAGATTGGGTCGTACCCTTTCTCTGCCAGCCACCCTCGCGCGGAAGAGTCGACATCGAGCATGATGCGTTGGGCTTCTAGTCGACGTTGCACCTCTGCTAGACGCAAGTCGACGATCCCTCTCAGGTCCGAGGGACGGAGGTTGTTGAAGACGATTTGGTCATCGAAGCGATTCACCAACTCGGGAGCAAGGTGCTGCAGGACGGCTTGCTGCACTTTCTCCTTTGCCTCTGCTTTCAATTGACCAGTCTCATCCCGCGAAGCAGGGTCGTACAGAGCTTCGGCCCCTAGGTTGGAAGTGGAGATGATGATGCAATTCTTGAATGAGACTTTCCGGCCATGAGAATCGCTGAGAGACCCTTCATCGAGGATTTGCAACATGGCCAGCTGGACTTGCTTGGAGGCTTTCTCTAGCTCGTCGAAGAGAATGACACTGTAGGGACGACGACGAACCTTGTTCGTCAGCTCGCCGCCTTCCTCGTGGCCGACGTAGCCGGGGGGAGAGCCGATGAGACGGGCGAGGGAGTGGCTCTCGCTGAATTCGGACAAGTTGATCGTGATCAGGGAGCTCTCGTCATCAAAGAGGAATTGCGAGACCGCTTTCGCCGTCTCCGTCTTGCCCGTACCGGTAGCGCCGAGGAAGAGGAAAGAAGCTAGGGGCCTCTTCTCGTTCTGTAGGTTAGCTCTGCTCAATCGCACTGCCTCGGCGATGGATTGCAGAGCTTCATCCTGACCGACGACCCTCAGACGGAGAGCGTCTTCCATGTGCAAGAGTCGCTCACGCTCTCCTCTCAGCAGACTCTTGGCGGGGATACCGCACTGTCGACTGACGACGGCAGCCACGTCCTCTGCTGTCACGCGATCGTGGATCATGAGGTCGGCTGCTTCCTCATCCTCCAGCTCCTTCTCAAGTCCTTCTGTTGTCTTGCTAGCTTTGCGACGACTGAGCATCTCCTCGGCCTCCTGCTGCTGTCTCTCCAGGTCCGGAATTCTTCCGTACCGAATCTCAGCTACAGCTTGGAAGTCCCGCTCTCTTTCCGCCCGTTCGAGGTCGATCCGCAAGTCTTCCATCTCTACTTTGATCTCCTTGAGCCGGTCCAGTCGAGCGCGTTCCTCATGCCAGACTTGCGAGAGCTTGTTCATCTCGCCCCGCTTGTCCTTCACAGCCTTTTCGATCTTGTCTCTCCGGTCGGCAGAGAACTCGTCCGTCTCCTTTCGCAGCGACTCGAGTTCGATCTGAAGCGTCATGATATCCCTCTCGATGACCTCCAGTCTCTCTGGCTTGGACTCTTGCTGAAGCCTGAGCGCCGACATGGCTTCGTCGACGAGGTCGATGGCTGCATCGGGCTGCCGCCGCTCGTTGAGATAGCGACCGGCAAGATTGGCAGCAGCGATGAGTGCAGCGTCCGCGACGGCAACTCCGTGATGCACCTCGTAGCGGGGACGCAGTCCACGAAGGATTGAGATGGTCTCCGCGATCGAAGGCTCGTTGAGCTGGACAGGCTGGAACCGCCTGGCAAGGGCGGCATCCTTCTCGATTGTCTTACGGTACTCTTCGTTCGTCGTAGCTCCCAGTAGCTGCAATGTCCCACGAGCGAGCATCGGCTTACACATGTTGCCGAAGTCGAGTGAGCCTTCGGCTTTTCCCATACCAAAGATCATATGCAGCTCATCGATGAAGAGGATGATCTCTCCCTCGCTCTTCTCAATGTCCTTGAGTAGCGCCTTTATCCTGCTTTCGAATTCTCCTCGTACGCCTGTACCACCCATCAACTGGCCTAGGTCCAAGGAAAGGACTCGTTTGGATTGCAGGCTGGCGGGGACCTCCTTGTTGATGATGCGCTGAGCAAGAGCCTCGACTACTGCCGTTTTACCAGTACCAGCTACGGATGCAAGCAAGCAAGGGGTAGTGAAGTCAGTATTCCTCGCTCTGCCTCGAGCTCTTCCGATTCATGCGAAGCTCGACTCACCTTCACCAACCAGGACCGGATTGCTCTTTGTCCTCCTTGCCAAAATCTGCGTCACCCTCCTAATCTCTTCTCCCCTCCCGATGACCGGATCCAGCTTTCCTTCTTTGGCAAGCGCAGTGAGGTCCGAAGTATACTCCTGTAATGTCTCTCCCGGCTTCTTGCTCTGCTGACCAGGCATCCCGCCACCGGGGAACCCGCCGGGGAAACCACCTCCGCCACCAGGAGGTAGCTTGGCTATCCTCGAGGCATGAAAGTAGCGCTTGTGATGCGTTGTGAGGAGGGAGGTAGAAGATGATGCTGGCTGACGCGGAAGAGTGGCGGTGGCAAGTGGGCGGAAGAGACGATCGGGTCCAAGAGCCGGGTGGTTCCTACGAGCTGCGAGCTTGGCTGCTGCAATTGACGATGTTGTTCTCCTGACGATCATACTGTATTTGTGTGTGGTTGTCCTTCTGTCTGCGATTGTAGAACAGGCTGCTACAAGTATTGAGAAGGAGGACCAGAAGAAGAAGTGAACCCCCCGGGAGTGGCTCACCGGGAGAAGTGCAGTGGCGGCCCGGCAAAAGTGGGAAAATGGGGTGGCTGAGCGTCGTCGGTGCGCCACAACGTCGTGGAAAGTGCTCGCAGGGTCTGGCACGGGCTTCCTCAAGGCACGTCTCTCAGATCGTCCCCTTCACGATGCCTATGAGGGGCGGCAGCAGGTGAGTCTACTGACATGGTGATGCTGATGACTACCATCATTAACGCTACAAGAGAGACTTTGCGATCCCCACTTGTGCTGACGAGGTCTCTGTGCCGGCAATTGTGGCGTTGCGGGGAGAGTGCTGCAGGTGCGGAAGCAGCCAAGAGCGGCCACCTTCCTATGTTTTGCTGAACTGGAAGGCAAGTCAAGCAGAAGGTCGCAGCACTCCTTGTTAAACAAATACACCCTCCTTCACACATTGCGAACATCGACGTTTTCGGACTGGAAGCTTGAATGCAGGAGGGGTCACTTGTCTTGCCGGGATGTATAGGTACTGGAAGGCTGGTACAAATTCCTCCCCCGAGTGAGGAAAGGCACGGTAGCATCTTCAACCTTGTTAAACTTTTACCCTCTTGCCATCCTCTCGTCCTTCCTGCGCTCCTGCATTCCCCGCCTGCTCCTCTTCCCATTGCCTCTTTTCACTTTCCCTCAGCAAGCCCCTCCTGGCCCGCTCTTCCCGCGTATCTAGCACCTTTGGCCCACCCTCGGCGCTCAAGATCTCTACGCCGTGGGGTGTGATCACTAAGGTCTCTTCCGCAGCCGCCGAGTAGGCTCCATCCGTCGTAGTGACGGTCCAGTCGTCTGGCCATGACAGGTCACCACAGCCAACAGGTGGAGGGGAAGCCGAGATCATAGGTTCAATTGTGAAGATCTGCAGTAGGATAGGTGTCCGTCAGCAAAATTGCCAGACGGTATGTGAACACTTTGCACGCCTTTGCTACTCACATGGCCAATCTCCATGATCCCTCTGCTCTTCTTCGTCTTGTGGTGGAAAATGGTCGGAGCTCCGTGGAAAACCTTGCCCACACCATGTCCAGTGTAATTCTTCACAACTCCAAAGCCATTCGCCTCTGCATGAGGTTGTATCACAGCGCCAACCTCTCCATAGGGAACTCCCGGCCCACAGATAGCAATGGCCTTGTCGAGGCACTCTCTTGCTACTCTGATCAGCTTGGAGGAGGGAGCATCCGCGGGGTGGAGGGCCGGGTCTACGGGCCAAGTACCGTTCAGGTCGCCGTGATAGCCCTTGTGGTACAATGTCACGTCGATATTGATGATGTCGGAGCCCTGCAGCGGTCTCTTATCGGGAATGCCATGGCAAACGCACTCGTTCACGCTCGTGCAGACGCTCTTCGGGTAGCCGTGGTAGTTGAGCGGAGAAGGGTAGCAATCCCGCTTGATGGCCTCACGGAAGACGATCTTGTCAATTTCATCAGTCGTCACTCCGACTTTGATGGCATCTCGAGCGAGCATCAGCACTTCTCTTGCGAGGGTGGCAGCTTTGCGCACTCCTGCTGTCTCCTCTTCGTTGTTAATCTTGATATTGCGTGAGCTCATGAACTAAAGGCGGATAAGGGTTCACAGAACAGACTGTCAGCAGTCCACTTACTCAACTCCTCCAGCAGCCTGAAGCTGCGACACTGGTTGCGCTCTCACATCCCACCAGAATGCAAAGAACCATTGTCTCACCTCCTCCCTTGCGTAATTTGGCTTGACGATATGGGCAGGCACCTTCTTGTTCTTGCTAAGCGGGTATGCCGGTCGCAGAGGTCCCGAGTATTTGAAGGTCGGATGAGGGTCATATAACTCCACGGGAAGCGGAGGCGGCATGGCATCGGACGTGGATGAAGATGAGGCAGCCATCGGGACTGGTGCTTCAGGGAGAGACTCGACTGCCGTCATGGCTGGTGGTTTGAGCTGATATCGGCGGGCAGGAAGCTGCAAGCGGGAGGAGGCGGCAAAAGTTCTGCCCACCTTGATTGAGCCCTTTCCGCACGGCCAGCACAAGCTCCGATCCGATGTCTTGACTGATTGTCTGGGGAAGACTCCACCGCTGCAGGTTCAACCATCCTTCGTACTACCGTCAACGATCCGCTCAGCGATGGCAGCCTCGTCCACAGCTGCCGCCTCAAGGCTAATCATACCAGCCGAAGCCTCTCTCCTGCCTAATCAGGCTATCCACGAGCCTCCCAAAGACGCTCATTACCTCTCGGCAGCCGATGATCTCATCGAACGCTTTCAGCTCGAAGACTCGTACCATGTTCTACTTCACCCTTTCCGCAAAGACCTTCACAAGGGCAAGCGACCCCCGCCTGGAGATGGAGAAGATGTGGATGAGGATGACTCGAAGCCACAAGCTGGCAAGGAAGCGCAGTCTCGGCTCCCTGACGCTCAGAAGGACGAGTCGGCCGGATCGACATCTGATGCTCCGCCCCCACCGGCCAATCTAGCCAGGAGCTACGAGCACTTCCTCCCTCCTTTCCTCCCCGGCCGAATTCGTCCTATGAAACCTCCTCGCAAGCGACAGACCATCAATCGTCGTCAGGCGCTGCAGAATATTGCCGAATCGCAACAGGCAGGTAGTGGTGGAGAAGCGCAGATTAAAAGTCGCGATCGAGAGCTGGCGAAGAAGGATGAGGAGTGGGAAAGGTTCAAGCAGACGCTTAGGAGGGTGGTGTATAAGCCTGAGTACACGCCGGCAGATATCAGGCCGTTGGAAGATGATGCGATGAAGGGTTTCCGCGTACAGGCGGGCGAGGTGGAAGAGGTAAGTGGGAGACGAGAGCCACGATGGCATGCAACGTGGAAGGTCTGACATGCTGTTACCCTGACATCTTTGCGTCGTCAGATCGATCGCTCCCTACTCGAGGCTGATCCTCCTCCGGGGTCTGTTCAGGTCAGGAAAAAGAAGAAGAAGGCTCAGGGAGGAAATTCCACCCCGCTTGCGAGACCACAGAACAATGGCAACTAGGGAGGAAATCGATGCAAGGAAGATTCATATGTACTCTACACTCATACCCTCTTTCCTCTACTTTCGTACTACGTTTTTGCTTCTCCGCTTGCGGGTCCAGAGTCACTCCCTTTCCCTATCCTACCACTGCCTCTATCGGATCTCGCACCTCGCGGGCCTCGCCCACCACCTCCGCTGCCTCTTCCTCCTCTGCCCTGCCCCGCTGTCCCACCAGTAGCCATGCCTAGGCCTACAGCGCTTCTTTGAGGTCCACTGAGGCGCTCGCTTCCACTTTGTAAGCTCACTGTTACGGGACCGCCGGCACCAAGGCCCGATGTGGGCGATTTGGCGTGCTGTAGCGATGGGGACGAGAAGCCTCGTGGAGCGAGGGAAGCCGGCCGTGCTGCTCCCGGGATGATGGGCCCCGCGTGCGGTGCTTGGTACGACGCGCCTAGACCTCGTGGGTAAGACGGTCCGACGGCCCTGCTTGGGTTGCTTTCAGGTGCATTTGTGTTCCCAGTCAGGCTATGATCGAGGTGGTAGCTTGCGTCTGGCTTGGCTGATGTCGAGTGTATTTGCTGCTGAGGTGGCGTGCGAGGCCGAAGAGCTTCCACCACGTCGTTGGAAGGGACGACATTACTCCTCATGCTGAGCGGGCAGCCTACAGGGTCGACGTTGAAGTGTGAGAGGTACCGATCCTTGATGTACTCTTCTGGTGGCTCTTCAGTCTTCCGATGCGTATGAATTGCGCCGGCATTCTCGTTGCGTAAGACACTTTCCCATCCCGGAGCTCCTGGCCCTAATGTCGATGGCAGCCCAATCGTCAGCCAGCCTCGACGGAGATTGCGGTTTGTGCCAAAGAGCTCCACTCTGCGCGTACCGAGGCAGAAGTTTTCGATGATGGTGTAGAGCTCCGGCGGCTTGAGCCGAAGGTCGATGGGGCGAACAGAATCAGAAGTCAGAGGCGAGGAATTTTCTCTCGCTTCGCCTGGCCAGAAGAGGACGTCTGTATCGATGTTGCAGTGAACGAAATTGCTGTCTTGATTCCTCTTGACAGTGCCACGAATGCCGACGAGGAGATGAACTGCAGAGCTAGCAAGCAAGCCATCGCCCGTGCCAGTAGACGGGACGGGCTTTGCAGTGTTCCCGTCGTCAGAAGCCAGACACCATGTGATGACTTCGCAGCGACGGTAGCCCCACCGCGACAACGTAGCTCGCCCTCGCTCGAGACCATCCGAGCAGCCCGGGCCGACCCAGAGAAAGACGAAACTAGAATCGAGAGATGGCAAGCAGAGTGAGCCCGCATGAAGCAACGCGCAGCCCCGTCATTGCTCAGCAATCTCACCTTTCCTTCGCAGCTAGTAGCGGTATGGGAAGCTCTTCAAGGTCCTCCCAAGACCAGGTCTGGTCGTCATGTGTGCTAGTGGAGCTCGGTATGGAGTCCCACTCTGGAGTCATTCACATGGCCAAGCGGAGCAGAAAAGACAGTTCGTTGAGCTGGGTCTAGCAGTCCTTGGCTCTTCCCTTCCACTCACCGTAACAAGGAAGAGGTGCATCGATGAGTACAACATCGTACTTGACTGGCATCAAGCTGGCCAGATGGAACGGTCCTCCGTCTGCTGCGCCGGAACGCTGTGCATTGCCGGGCGGTGGCCCAAGGCTGTCTCGGAGGTCAGTACCAAGGTAAGTGGCAGGTGAGGCCGAGGCATCAACCAGTCCGCGCTTTACTTCTAGGAGCCGATGCAGCTTTGGGTACCTGTGAAGGGCAAGCAAGGAGGTGCGTCAGCATACGATGACCCTCCTTCACGCGCACATCGACCACTCACTCTGTGAACCGTCCGTCAAGTTTTCTATTGCGGACCGCATTTGCAGGCAAGTCCTTGAATCCCGACGCCGAGTAGTTCCAGAGGTGGTCCGGCCGCATGGTCTGTTCCTCTGGCACGTAAGCTGGCCCGAAGGCATGCTGACGAGCTGACCTCGGCTCGGTGAGAGCTATGGCGGCATCGTTCAAGGAAGTGACCGTAGCTGCATCCCTCGTACTGTCTGGGCGAGCTTTGCTTGCATTCCCTTGTTCTTCACTCCAAACCTGGGTGTCGGCAAGTTCGGGCGACTTCGCAGGCTGTGTCAGGAAGGGATGCTCGCGGACAAGCTGCTGGCGAAGCTCAGAATACCTGGCCGAAGCGAGAGAAGGATTGGGCGGAACACACAAAGGGCTAGGTGTGGTAGCCGAGAAGGATGCAGTGGTCATGCCTCTCACACCTCCAGAGACGTCTTCATTCGATCCCGTGTGGCCGGCGTGACGACTTGCCTGCCTGTCTACCGCAAGAGTAGGACGGACAGGGATGACTGGCGCAGAGAAATACCGGCAAGAAGTTGCGGTGAAGCAGGCGGGGGTCACTCGAGATGCCGTGCGACGTCTCTGGCGCCGAGCGGCTGGGCCCGCGTGGCTGGCTCCTTGGCCGTGGCGTGCGGAAGCGAGGCGGGTTTCATTCCTGGCTTCTGCGCCACGCCTGCAACGCGTCGCCTGCACGCTGCAACTCTACTCCGCATCTGTTGATCGCCCCCCCCTTGGGCGCTAGTCGCCTGGCAGTGGTAGCAAGGCCACAACAAGGCCGGCCCTTCTATCAACCTCAGACGGCAGGCCTGCCATTCCAGAGACCGCCGAGATCCCTCTGTTGCCCCTTGTCATACATGACCTCGCAGGTGCCGAGATGCAGGGAGACCACCCAGGCAGGTGCATCTACAGTCCCACGCCAGAGCCTGACTCCAAGGCTTGCCCACCGACTTTTGCCCATGACGGCCATAGGGAAGGTCCTTGGCGTGCCGCATTCCCACGTTTCGTCTTCCTTGCTCTCCGTCTGACCCGTCGTCTCCATCAGCTCCTCGGTATTACTTCTCCTCTTCCATTCGTCCATCCCTTTCCCCCATCCGTCCACTTTCCTTCTTCCTTCTCTCTCCTCAACCTCAACCGCAAGTCTGGTCAGGCCAAACCTCAACATTCCTTTTGAACTTCCACGATCTTTCTTCTCCTTCTCTCTTTGATCCTACTCTCACGTCTGCCGTTCACAATCTTTACCCGGCCTCCATCGACGTTTAGCTCCTCCTCCTCGTTCTTCTTCAAGACTCAAAAGGATCTCCCAAACACCGCGCCTGATCACCATGCTCTCCAACGTGTCTTCCTCGCCCTTCCGTTCCCTTCTCCTCTTCCTTGTCGTCTCGATCCAGCTGACCCTTGCTGCCTCAGTCGCCCAAGGTGAGCCCACTGCAATTGAGGAGAGGGCCGACAATGGCTTCTCCCTTTCCCTCAAGCGCAACAACCTCTGGGACCGCTCCGACCGTACGCCCCTCGAGAACCTCGAGGCTCAGACGAAGCACATGAAGTCCAAATACAGGCAAAACTTCCTCGCCTATCACAACAACACGGGCCACTGCAGTCCTCAGATGAACTCCAGCATCTCCATTGCCAGCCTCGAGGCGCGCGCCTTCGAGGAGGATGTAGAGCGCTCCATGCACCGAAGATCATCGGACAAGCACGGGCGTTCTAGACTGGATGCTAGGGCGGGATCCAAGGCGACTGTTGACTTGAAGGCGACCTCCGGCTACGTCCTCTGGCAGGGCAGCCTCAGCGTCGGAACCCCCGCTCAGTCGATCAAGGTCACCTTCGACACTGGCTCCGCCGACTTTGTGACCAACCTCGGTCAGTACAGCGCCAAGAAGTCGTCCACGAGCAAGAACACTGGCAACAAATTCTCCGTCTACTATGCCGACGGCACCGGAGAGACAGGTTACGTCTACAATGAGACAGTCACTGTAGGCAAGAGTGTCGCCAAGAAGCAGGCAGTAGGCATTCCCACCTGGTCCAGCTTCGACTCCAGCGAGCCCGGACTGGTCGGCATGGCATTTGAGTCAATCTCTCAGATGAAGAGGCGCCCCTTGGTCCAGAACCTCTTCGCCCAGGGCGCCATTCCCAAGGCCATGTTTGGTGTCGCTCTCAGCCGAGACAGTGGCGAAGCCGAGATGCAGCTGGGTGGCTACCATCGCGCCATGATTGCTTCTGGTTCATCGCTCAAGTGGAACTCCGTCGACAACAGTGGTGGATTCTGGGTTCTAGATGACGTCGACGTCAAAATGTCCCGCACTCTTAGTGGCAAGACTTCCACTGGCTCAGTCACTGGCAGATCTGCTATCATGGACACGGGAACAACGCTCATCTACGGCCCTACTGCTGACGTCAAAGCTCTTTACGAGGGCGCCAATGTCACAACCGTGACCCACGGTAGCAGTGTTTACGGTTACTACAGCAAGACGCCCAATGTCACCTTCTCCGTTGGCGGTGTAGACTATGCTATCAAAGATGCAGCTGTTTCGTACACCACGGCTAGCAATGGATTCAAGTACGGCTCCATCATTGGAACCGACGATCTGGGCTTGGCTGATGGCCAGTGGCTCATTGGTGACCCGTGGTTCTCGAGCGTCTACTCCGTCTTCGACATCACCAACACCCAAATGGGCCTCGCTGCCGCCAGCTACTAGAGGTCCAGCCCAGTCACCATCACCATCTCTCTTGAGCAATGATGGCGCCTAGAAGTAGATGAAGGTTCCGTTCTCGTGGCCTGGTTGCTACTCACTAACGGATCCGCATCAGCCCCCTGTCCTTCACGCTCTGAATTGTACATACCCCTTCAGGCCCTCTTTTTCCCACAACACCATGCAACGTCTCCTTGTGTCGCAATCCATACTGTCTTTTCTCTCCCTCATTGTCGCCTCCTTTCTCCATTCTTTCTTTGGCGAAATGAATACAATACAATCTTCTTTCAATACGTCTTGAGTACGCCCTGCTGCTCGCGCGAAAATGGCGCCCTCCTTCCCGCCAGGGCGGGGCGCACGCACGGCTGAAGAGTGGCGGCGGAAAGTACGCCTCGCAACCTCGGGGCAGGGCGGAAGGGTTTGTCTGAGCAAACAGGCACGTACTGTTGCTCCTAAATGATTCAGACCAGAGTTGAGGGTAGACTAGCATTAATTTTCCCTCTGTTTGAGGACCGGTATACCTCTGATCCCACTTTTGAACGAGTGCGGGTGCTTGCGCACAAGAGCCTGCATGCAACTCCTGTGCTCTTCCCTTTACGGGAAACGTGCTAGGCGCAGCTGGGGACCTCGCAGCCGGTCAGCAGTAGCTTGCATTGCTGAGAGTGGTTGCTCATGCTCTCCTCCCTTCCTTCTGAGCAACGACACACACGAGGCGGCAGAGCTGCAATGGCGTGATCGCGTGCGTGTGGACACGGTCTGGGCGGCACTTTAGTCGTGAGGCTGGGTGAATGAATTACCAGCCGGCTCACTCCGGCCGGTGTGACAGCAAAGGAAGATACCGACAAGGGGTTACGCCAGAGCTGCGCTGCGCTGCCCGGTCTGGCGGACTACCCGGACTCCGTCGTTCGTCTGTTGAACTGCTAAAGCCCTCGACCTGACCCTCTTACCAAAGACACCATCCCCATTCCCATGTGTACCAATCCATCAAACGCCCAACACCCACTTGGCGAGTTAAGGTACCGCCGCCTCTCCCTCCCTCATATCAATCAGGCACAAGAGTATTAGCTCAAGTCCGCTGTCCGCCCCGCAGAGGGCTAGGCGCGGCGTAAACACATCACTTTGGTACCTGCCTCGACCCCTGCTTACCTCCTCGCCCTGCCCTGAGCAGAGTAGAGTGGCCAACATTCGCAAGTCCGGGGGAAGGAAGAGGTCCTTATAGCTCACCAGACTTATCTCTGCTCGTCTGCGACGTTGCCACAAGCTTCACCTCCCCGTGCCATCTGAGGTTGTCAAGGGCTCATAGGCGGTGTTGACAACATACCCATTCATCAATTGGGTTCACCAGACAAACACTGCGGGTGAGTCTTCCTATCCTTCTCCTCCTACATCGACAACACCATCTCTTTATCCTGTCGCTGCCCCTCCCACCTCCTCGCCAAGATGTCCGTCCCCTCGGCCATGGTGCAGCACGACACCAGTGGGTTCCCACATCTCAACCAGGACCCTTCTGGTAAAGACGACCTCTCGACGCATAGGGTCGACAGCAACACCGACGATGAGAAGGCCGTCTCTTCTGAAGAGCCAGACCGAGGCCCAGAGAGGGAGCCAGTCATCCAAACGGGAAAGGATGTTAGTGCTTGTGAGTAGCAGGCAGGTACAACAACCGAGTATTTGGGTATGACCGGAATGGTGGCTGATCAGTTCCCTGCTTATCGCTACCCTTCAGTTGTTGTCTCTCTACGAGACGATGGAGACCCTCCTCTCACCCTGCGATGTCTCATCATCGGCACCGCCGTCATGATCTGCAACTGTGCCGTCACTCAAGTCTACAGTGCCAAGCCTGTCAGCTTGTCCTTCTCCAACGTCTTTGTCATTCTCCTCACCTGGGTGTCTCTGCTGCTCTGGCACGTCATCATGCCAAAGGAAAGCTGGGTGGACAATGTCGCCTGGTTGAGCTTCCTTCAGCCCGTCTTCCGATTCGTCAATCCTGGTCCAATCGGAATCAAGGAACACGTCGTGGCCACCATCATCGCAGCTTCCGGACTCAACGGTGATGCCGGTCCAGACGTCCTCGCCACCATCAAGCTCTTCTACGGCAGCACCATCACACCGCTCATGACCATCCTCGGCCTCTTCTCCATCAGCCTCATCGGTGTAGGCTTTGTCGGTCTTCTTCGACCACTGCTGATCTACCCCTCCGAGATGGTTTACTGGTACACCCTGCCAATGATCGCCGTCTTCCAGATGTTGCACCAGGAGAAAGCCGAAGAGAAGAAGCGACTCAAGATCTTCTGCTGGCTCTTTGCTGGAACTTTCTGTTGGGAGCCAGTCGTCGCTTACATTGCACCTTGGCTCAACGGTATCTCTATCCCTTGTCTCGCGTCCATGGGAGCTCCGATGAAGGTGAGTCAATCCGACATACAGACAACGCGTCGCCGTTCTCAACAAAGCATCTCTGTACTGCTCTCTTCTCACAGATTCGCAAACACATTGCTCGACTCTTCGGTGGTGCCAGTGCCAACCAAGGTCTTGGTCTTTTCTCCATCTCCCTTGATCCGCAGTATGTGACACCTTCCACCTACGCCGGCTTCCCCTTGAAAGTCTGTAGATTGTTGCGTCCCTGTACTCACGGTACGCGTGACTGATGGCTTCTCTCTCTTCTCTTCCTGACACGAGCAGTGGCAGACCAGCTATTGGATCGGCACGATGATGGGCTCCTTCCTAATGGTCGCTCTCTTCTACGCCAACGCATTCAACGCCAAGGACTTCCCCTTCATGAGTTCTTCTCTCTTCCTGGCCAACGGCACAATTTATCCGACAGACGAAGTCTTCTTGGGAGCAAACGTCGAGATGGACAAGGGCATGTATGACCTGTACGGAGCTCCTCGCCTTACGGCGAGTGCTCTCTGGGCGTTCCTCTGCCAAGCGGCCGCAATTGGTGCTTTGATCACTCATGTGGCCATTTTCTGGAGCAGGGAGTGAGTACCTATTGAAAGCAGCGATCGATGGATGCTTCTGCTGAAATTATGATCTGTCCAATTCCACTAGTCTCTGGGGCTTCATCAAGGAAACCAGGGATGGCACACAGCATGACCCTCACTTCCAGGCCATGAGGAGGTACACCGAAGTCCCTCAGTGGTGGTACTTGATCTGTGAGTCTTCGACACAGCATGTCCCTCGGTCTCACGTTCCCGGTGTCTGACCTCTTCCCATATCTACTTGATCTTGCTAGGTGTCGTGACTGCTGTAGCAGCTGCTTACATGACCGTGTGTCTTTCCAACACGACTCTGCCTGCGTGGGGATTGACCATCGCTCTGCTCTGCGGTATGGTGATTGCTCCCTTCTCAGCGGTTATCTATGCCTCGTACGGTTCGGCCGTGGCCACGAACAGCATCAGCAAGATGGTTGCAGGAGGTATTCACGGTGGTCGTCCTGTCGCCAACCTCTGGTTCAGCTGCTGGTGCCATCAGATCGTCAATCTTCTTGTCTCCTTGTCCGACTACCAGAAGCTCGCACAGTACCTAAAGATTCCTTGGCGAGTGATGTTCATGGTCCAGATCTACGGAACTCTGCTCGGCGCATACTTCAACTGGTGGATCATCTCCATGATCATCGACAACAAGCGCGAGATCCTCCTCGACCCCATCGGTAACAACCAGTGGTCAGGTGCCTACTACCAAGGTCTCAATGCCCAAGCCGTCGAATGGGCCCTGGCAAAATACGTCTTTGCCTTTGGCAGCGGTCTGCACTACGAGATTGTACCCCTTGGTCTCTTGATTGGCGCCCTGATTCCTCCCATTCACTGGGTCGCCAAGAGGTACATTCCCTACATTCGTAGTCTGGGCGACTTGATCACTACGCCCCTCTTCATCTACTACTTGCAGGGCTCCTCCGGAGGTATCAACTCGTACGTCTTCAGTACCATTGTGCTTGGAGCCTACATGCAGCTCTACCTTCGAGTCTATCGCCCAAGAATATTCCGAGAGGTGAGAAAGCGGGCGTATGCAGTAGCTACCTTGTCTAGGCTCGAGTTGCTGACTTTTTAACACATTCGCTGTTCCATGTAGTACTGCTACCTCTTGTCCGCTGCAGTAGACGGAGCAGCCCAAATCATGGGCTTCATGCTGAGCTTCTTCCTCTTCGGTGGAACTGGAACACCCCACTACTTCCCGACTGTGAGTCCTAAGCGCCTTCACAGCACACACTACCAGCACGACCCACTGCTGATTCTCGCTCTTCCCCCTTACATCTCTGTAGTGGTTCGGCAACCCGGATGGCTCTCCAGACCACTGCGTCTCAACTCGTACCTACGAGTAGACGACGAGGGACGCAAAGTTGTAAAGTCGTCGGTGCGTTTCATCTTGCTTCTCCCAAGATTCAGAGTCGCAGAGTCGTCGCAGGTCGTCCCATCTCTCTCTCTCTTTTGCTCCCCACCTTGCTACCGTTGCGCTACCGCTACCCCCAGCTACCCCCACACACTGCCGCTCCCTGCTCCGCTCCGCCAGTCTGCCGCTTTCTCTCCTCCTCCTTTCTCGCACAAACTCTTATCCCTCGTCGTTACCCTCTCGTGTCGTGTCGTGTCGCATCGCGCCGCACCGCATCACGCCGTGCGACGCTCAGCCTCACCAGTCGCGTCTTTCCAAGCACAATCCCACGGTCCTTCTCCTCTTCTCCTTCCACATCTCGCCGAACTTGTTTGTCTGTCTGTCTGTCGGCCTCGCTTCGCTCTGCCATCGTTCTCAAGTTGAATCAAAGCGTCCCCTCAAACGCCTACGCCAGGCAAGGAGCCTCTTGTGTCGACTTGACGCAAGCCATCGATGTAAGTATGTAGAGTAGACTATTGCATTGGCATTTTTGAGAGACCTTCTCCGGTACGGTTTGGCCTGGCCATTTTGCCTCTTTTGCTTTCGCTTGCTTCACAGTGGAGATGGAGTGGAGATGCCGCTACACTACGCTACCGCTACCGCTACTGCTACGCTACGCTGCCGCTACGCTACGCTATGAGGAGTTTCCTTGCAGATCCCAAGAGGAGATTGTCGATCATCCTCGTTCGTCGCTCTGCTTCAATGACCCACATGGCGCCACTAAGGACCGCTCCTGCTCCTGCTTCTGCTTCTGCTTCTGCTCCTTCTACAGCTCCTGCGACCCGTGCTGACCGTCGTTGTAGCTCCTCCTTGTTGTCACCACTCCCGCTTCCAATCTCAACAAGTGTGGCCGCAGAGTTGAAACTGACATAGTCCAGCTCCAGTCTCACCCTAGGCGGATCCTCAGCTTGCGCTTCCTCATTTGCTCGAGCAACGATTTCCTCCGCTCTCCTCCTCGCCTGGCGGGCTGCTTTCTCCCCCTCTTCTCCCGCCGAAGTCGAAGAGGCAGCAGACTCAAACAAGTCCCTCGCGGCGCTCAGAGCTCTATAGAGTGTAGGAGCCCAGCGCAACCCGTCTGGACTCAGATAGGCGTTACGACTCGAGAGGGCTAGGCCGGTTTCTTCGTCCCGGGTAGTGGGAACTAGACGGAAAGTGTCTTGGGGGTTCGAGGAGGAGGGATGTTGGAAGAGGAGAGAGGTAAGAAGGGCACGGAGGATGATGGCTTGTTGAATGTCCTTTTGACCGAAGTAGACTCGGGTCGGCTGAAGCAGGGAGAGGGAGAGAGAGGAAGGTGAGCTCCAGTGTTGGCCCACACAGGTACGAATTGCGCATTGGGCAGACAAGGCCGACTCACCTCGACTACATGCCACAACTTTGTCACAACCGTTGCCACTCCACGGAAGAAGCCCGGCCGACTGTTTCCCTCGAGCACACTGCTTAAACCCTGAACTTCAATGAATGCCCCTTGCTGCTGAGCTACGTTCTGCGTAAAGGGCGTCTGTGTGCCTGGTAAAGGGGGGTACATCTCCCTCACGTCGGGACAGAAGATGGCAGAAATTTTGCCTCCATTGCCACCTTCTCGGCCGTCTGTTGAAGTAGAGGTTGTAGAGGAGGAGGCGAGCTCCACCTCCTTCTCCAGCCCAACGAGGGAGGCAATATCGCTTTCGAGTGTGCGAGGGTAGGACGCCAGATCCTCCGTGGGGGCAAATTGTGCTGGGTTCACAAATATGGAGACGACCGTGTGTCTGTTCTCTCTCAAGGAGCGACGAACAAGATCCAGGTGTCCAGCGTGGAGAGCTCCCATGGTGGGTACGAAGCCGACGGATCCGGCTTCCTCTTCGGCTGCAAGCTCAGCGGAAGACGCTTCCGCCGAGGAGGACGAAGAGGAGGATGAAGATGAAGACGAGGAAAGTATGGCTGAGCGTTGCACATGTTTCCGCCATTTGCGATAGTCTTTGATGTTGGTAAAGATGGGAAATGGGGCAGCGGGGACCTTCGACGAAGAGGAGGCTGCACGCCGCGGCACTAAACCAGACGAGGCTGCTGAGCTGCTCAGGATCCACACATCGGACGTGGAGGCAAGACGGTGGTACCAAATCCTGCTGATGGGTCCAGTCGCCGAATGTAAGCGCCGGAGCGCCATGACAAATAGAACCAGAGACCAAAAGGATTTGGGAGGAAAGTGGAAGGAGGCAAGGGAAGTATTCCGGCAAAGAAAATGGAAAGTGGCAGCTGCCAGTCCGTGCGGGGTGACTTTCAGACTCCGCCCGTATGGCTCGTCGGTACCCCCACCTTGACCATGACAAACAGCGCTACTGGGAGGAGCACAAGCTCAGCATTGGATCTATTTTGGGTATAGTACAGCAAGAGTCGCAGCGCCCCTCACTCCTCGGTCTCTCTGCTGTGTCCCTTCCTCCGCTTCTCCACCTCTTCAATATATCTGTTGGCCTCGTTCACCTTGTCTGCCTCGTCCCTCGCTCGGTCCAGCCAGCGCTGCAGCAGACTGGCATTGTCCCGCTTCAGATCATCATTTCTCGACTCCACTTGGTGCAGCTCGAGGGAGAGGGTTCGTAGCTCGTCTTGGAGCATCTGTAGATGGGAGCACGAGACAGGGGCCAGTAGCCGTCAGCACACGTTGCAGCGCAGTGTGAGGTGGAGCGATCCCCTCTACTCACCTCGATGACCTTGTCCTTCTCCCCAGCCGCATCCCTCAGATCCCTCTCTCTCCTCATCATCCGCTCTCTCTCATCTCTGAGGCTCCTGAGCTCTATAGCCTCCCCCTTGCCGGCCTCTTCCTTCTCCCTCATTTGCTCATTCAGGACGAGCAACCGTTGAGCGTTCTGCGACTGCGTCTTGTATACCGAAGCGAGCTCGTCCCTTGTAGTAGAAAGTTGAGATTCGAGAGAGGTGATGTAGCTTTGGCGGATCGCATTGTGACTGTCAAGAGGGAGTGAGGAGCAGCGTTGAAGGCTATCTCACGAATGCCAAGTCCAAATGCCAAGGTTGGCCACTCACTCTGGTGAAGCATCCCTTTCGGCACTGCTGTGAGCTGTACTGGTCGTGGAAGCGCTCTTTACAATGGCTGGTGCCCCCGAAGCGGAGCCTACTCCAGCTGCCTGAAGCATACTCTGATTGCGGGCCTGCAGCGTCCTGGCATGTTCAGCGAGCTTCCGATCTGCAGGTGGACGATGGAATCACTGATGTCAGACAGCAGTCTCAGGCATGTATGATGTCAATCGGATCGCGGACACTACTCACAATTGGCAATGATGTCGTCGTGAGCCTTCTCCCTTGCGTCCCTCTCCGTGAGGCGTAGGGCAATGAGGTCTTGCCAGCTGCCGGCATGGGCGGTCATGGTCGGATGAGGAGAGGCAGTGAGGTCTCGAGAGCTAGATGAGAATGGCGAAGGGTGCTGAAATGGGAGTCATGCTCTCTCAGAGCCACTGATCCACTTGAGATGGCGTGAGGTCAAGGTGCTACTGATCGGCACGGAAGCGCCGGAGTGTGTACCGGAAAGGAAGCGCTGTGGTTGCACCTGGCGTTCCGTGGTGTGGGAAATTGAAGCTCCTCCTCCACGGGCAGCGTTGCGAGGCAAGGGGGGGCGCCTCACTCACAGGCATTCACCACTCACGCACGCACTCATTCGCCCACCTCCTGCCACACTCCTGGTCCTCATACACCCCCGACACCTCTATGGTACAATAGCCAAAGGGATAATCACTCGCCTTGTTCACCAACACCGAGCTGGCCTCCGCTATGGTCTCACTGTGAGAGGGATCTAAGCTTCACTTCTTCACAGGCGGGCAACGTAGAGGGCAGCTCGCTCTCACGCCTGACACCTCACACTCGGGACCTCCGAGGCGAGTATGAGCCACGACCATCACCACCTCAACGGTCACGCATTGAGGTCGCCCATCAAGTGAGTAGCTCATGTGAGAATGGCGGAGGTTGATCCGTCTTCGCAGCGCATCTGACCGTCGGACCTTTACCCAGAAGAAACGATACTACCTTTACTTCTCCGCTCTACTCCAACACACATTCCACTCGTGGAATGGACCACTCTCCCAGCTCCAATGCACCTTCAGACCACATGAATGGAAGCAACAAAAAGCCTCGCACGGCTGCGACGAGTATATGGTCTCACTACACAGACCGCAGATCTATCAGCGATACGCACTGGGAAGTCAAGTGTCTGAACTGCGACACCTGCTACAAGATCAAAAAGGATGGATCTACTGGCACATCGACGCTACACAAGCACCACCGGCAATGCCAAGACAAGGTCAAGCCTGACGGCAGCCCTCTATCCAAGCACACCTCACATCATGGTAGCGCCAGTACGAGCAGCAGCGGGGGTGGAGGATTCCGCCTCTCACATGACTACACACAACACGAGGCGCCAGGCTCGCCCTCCAATCACCCATCTACCTCGTCCCAGCCACTAGCAGCGTACCCTCCGACATTGCAGGATTACCTCTTTGGTGCAGCGCAGCAGCAAAGTCATGCTAATGACCCTTTGCAGCAGGGCCAGGCGAGCGCTTCGGCTTTGGGTCTTTCGCAGACGAATGGATACGACCTCGCAGCTTCGATGGCAGATGCTGCGCACTTTGCGAACAATTTCAACGCAAGGCATGATGGACAAGGCGGTGTTGTTGGCGAGGTAGTCGATGTAATGGTCCTCAATCCGAATTCGAGCGAGGTGAGCTCCAGATAGGGCTACGGGACACTGATAGGATCGCTTTGTGCTGACGATTTCCCTTCTTGCTCTCACCAGGTCATTACCTCCAATCTCGCTCAGCTTCTTGAGCCGAACAGGGCGTGGGGAGTGAAACATAGCTATAGGACAGGACCGCCATCTGCGCCGCCATCCATCAACGATCCTCCCACTTCGATCCTCTCTGCTCAAACAACATTCGATGATCTGCGGCGGACCTCTGCTCTGTCTGACAAGTCAGCAGTCCTCGTCTGCTGTTTCTCTGCCCATCCTCTGGTACCCATGATTCGGCACGAGTACCCTCACATACCGTGTATGCATATCCTCGATACTGCCATCAATCACGCCATGAGCTGCGGTGCCAGCACATTCGGCATCATCACCACAGGCAAAGCCATGGTCCCCGACATAGACGCCGGTGTGCGATCCTATCTTGGTGGAGTGTCGGATCGCTACAAAGGTTGTGTCGCTACAGGGCTAGGTGTATTAGAGCTGGGAGATCCGAACTCAAAGGAGAGGGTGGAGAGTAAGATCAAGGAGGATAGCGCAAGGCTAGCATTGGAGAAAGGAGCGGAAGCCATCATCCTTGGCTGTGCAGGTGAGTAATGCAACGACGCTAGAACGACAGCAGGGAACGCCAGTGTGAGCTCGACTGAGACGACTGCCTTTGGGCTTCATCACACAGGCATGGCAGGGATGGAACCTCTAGTGCGGCAAGGAATTCAAGAAGCCGGTGGCACTCTGGAAAAGGTCTGGGTGATAGATGGAGCCAAAGCGGGTGTACAGATACTCACTGGACTGGCACGGTCACAATACCGAGTCGTGTAAGATCGACTAGAATCTTCCTCGCTGTACGAATAGGCCGGGCGCAGGCCTTGCACGAACTCAGGCACTCTTACCTCACCTTCGCCTCAGGGCTTAACCGCGGATGGAGGCTTACGTACTGTACGACGGTGGCCCTTCTTCGTACACTCTTTCCAAAATATAAGGTGAAGTGGGCTTTGACCTCATCTTGCTTTGTTTTTCCCCCCTTGCACCACCTCCGGCTCTTCTACTTGCGCCTATCCGTCATCACTGTCCACTGTTCATTCGTTACTGTTCGCCTTTCACTTTTACCTCTGTAGCTTTTTGGGAACGAGGAACGAGAGCCGCTAATGCTTATGGCTTTTCGCAGTACAACGCAACGAATGTGGACGTCTGAACGACATGCAGCCTGCACGAGGCGTCACGCCCCGCACTGATCCCTCCGGAGCCCGGCAGCAGTCAGGACGTACGCCCTGGGAAGCGAGGGATCCATGCGCCGTCCTTGCATTGACTTGATGGCTTTTCCTTCTTATTTCCCTTCAGATCAGCTCTTATCCTTCACTCTGTCCTTTCCTCCTCGACTGTCCCTCTTCTCACCTTCTTTGCAGTGAGCATGCAGCAGCTGCTCTCATCTTCCTAGTGAGTCGTTAGGCTCCTACACGAACAGCTCCAGGAGCTGGCAGCCTGAAGGCAAGCATCACAGACCAGCATCTATCAGGCCCTCGTCCACAGGCGTCTGAAATGTCCTCACGATCGCCTTTACAGCATTCCGTGCCCTTGGCACTGCCTACCATGAGCACCCTCGAGCCGTCTCCAGACACTACGCACTCCACGCCTCCCCTTCGTATTGGCTTCAGACCGCCCTCTGCCACCTCTACGAGGCAAAGTGCCAAGGCCAAGTCAAAAGGAGTAGCCCCCCTCGAGCTCAATCTCAATGCCACCCCATCCGTCCCACAAAGTCCCTCCAGACGCCTTCGCTCCCTTTCCCGAAAGGCAGCAACAGCAGATTTGCGACACAGCAAATCGGAGTCGACGTCGTCTGTCCACAGCCCAGGTTTCTGCGTCAACACCACCCCAGTACCACCGCCGACGATACCCCCTACACCTGTGTCGCCCTCTTCGCCAACCTCAGCCTCGATCATTCCCAGCTTGTCTTCAGCCTCAAGGAAGCTCAAGTCCAAAAGTCAAAAGCTGCTAAGGAAGTTCTCTGTCCCTGTTTGGAAGCTTCGAGGGACTGGCCGAGCATTCGGAGGCAAGCCAACCGGGCGATCACCCACCATTGCACCTTCTGATGCGGAACATCACAGCCAGAACACGGCAGAGGAGACGCCCAATTTCGTCTCCTTGTATCAGCTGCAGTCAATGCCGTGTCGTGATTTCTCGTCGTCACCCCAATATGCACAAGGTCGTAGCGTCGGACTCGTCTCAGCGCGCACTTCTACCTATGGTGGTGGTGCGCACTGGGAGCCTGAATTGCGCAAGTCGCAAAGCCTTCTGGAGCTGATGCGCACTCGCGCAACTCGAAGGGACAGCATGGCGTATTCACAAGATGACCGCAGCTTTGGTGTACTTGGAGGCTCGCCACAGACAAGCGAATTGGAACACACCGTCGCCGACGTTCAGCTTCCACAATCTCAATATCAGACCACGCAAAAGCTCTCACCCGTAAACGAGGCTTCCTTCAACAAGACTGCACAGGACTGTGGCTCTGCAGGAGATCATCAATGCCCTCGCGAGGACGAGTACCAACAGCCTAATTTAGCTCGACATGTTACTTCCCCAGGGAATCTTTCCCGAGGTTTTGGAGAGCCACAGCCATCGACTTCAGAGAATTTGAGCCGTCGAGGTTCACAAACCACTACTCGACCAGAAGCCTGCCGCTCTCATTCCGATCAGACAATGGTGCCGGTCATGCCCCAAGACGAAGATTACCCCTCTCGCAGAATGCATTCACAAGAAGATGGAGACAAGAGCTCAGATGACGGGCCTCAAACTCCAATAGCAACGAGTCCAATGACGAGCAGCACGCCAGCAATGATGGACCACCGCGATTATCACAGCACAAGGACGCACCGCCATGGCATGTTGAGCTCGATGACGATCCAAGATGCCTTTGCTTATGATGATGTGGGCAGGTCTACACCCAACTTACTAGGCAGTCCAAGTCGAGCTTCTTCCAACATCAGTCCTACCCGTACATCGTGCTCACGCGGGGGCACCGGCACTGTAGCCGCAGGTAAACATTTCCAACAGCCCAGCAATCATTCGTCCAGATTGTCTTGGGAGGCGGACCACTCGGATTCCGCTGCCAAGTCGATACAGGAAGAGGTCCACATCAGGGAGCAGATCCTTGCTGCTTGCGCCCGCCAGGAAGAGTACCTGCAGTCTTTCCAGCAAGAGTACGCCAAGAGGGAGGCGAGTCCACGACTACTGGCGAGGGGAACGGCGGGTGATGTTGGGCTAGCTCCACATCGTATCTCCACTGTGGTGTCTGGATCTAGTGAGGCGTTGCTGGCTATCGACCTGCTTGACCTTCGATCAAAGGGACTGGACGAAGAGGCGGGTCTCAACAGTCTTGGGGTACCTAGATTTGCCAAGCAAGCAGACACGGCTTCTCTCCACAGCGGCGGCAAGACTTTGAATGAGCGACAGCGCAAGACTTCCCTCGGTCAACTCTTTGGACTCTCACAGCCGTCCACGCGCCCAGCACGATCTCCTCGTCTGTACCCAACATTGTCTCGGGGCGGCAATGCGAGGGAGAAGCGCTCCTAGCCCACTGCCTTGCACGAAGGCACAGGGGGGCATCCCATTGGCTTGTAGAGCACGGACTTGGCTGAGGAGCACCGAGAGGGGTTGCGCCAGGCCTGAGCTGTGATTGTGATCGGCGATGCTCACTGCCTTGAGGGCCTTGAAATGTAGAGGCGTGTCTTGTTGTTTTCCACGTGCGTCGGGGTCCTTGGCGTGTGTGTGTTGGCTGTGGCTGGTCTGCGTGTGTGGCCTCAGCTCGCGTCGCTCCACCTGTTGCGTCTTGGCTCTGCGTCTGCTGCGTGGCTTTGCCCTCGCCTCGCCTCGCCTCGCCTCGCACCCTGGTCCGCGTCCTTCCTGTCTGTCCATCAATCGATACCCAATCACGTCTTCCCATCCCACACCTCCGTCGCCTTGCCAACGCCCCCGAGTCGATCCTCTCCTCTCCCCTCGCCTCCTGGACCTTTCTCACAATGACCGTATACGACACCCTCACTTCCTACCTCACTGGCAAACCACCCCAGGCCGATTCACCCCTCTACATTGCCGGTGTAGTGGATCTGACCCAACCTACCTTTTACGTGTCAATTGCCTCGATTTGCTTCAATCCACTCTTTTGGAACATTGTTGCTCAGAATGAATATCACAACAAGACGATTACGAAGATCCTAAAGGGAAATAGGTACTTGGGTTGCTATGGACTTGCTGCGACCATCTTCTCATTGGGAATCTTGAGGGATCATATTTACAATGATGCCCTTAAGCACCAACCTGCTCATCCTCTTTTGCAAACACTCCCCGTAAAGGCACTCGCTGTAGGACTTATTGCCGCTGGAAACGTCTTTGTAGTGTCGAGCATGTGGGCATTGGGAGTGACGGGAACTTATTTGGGCGATTACTTTGGAATCTTGATGGATCACATTGTTACAGGATTCCCATTCAATGTCATGGCCGATCCCATGTATTGGGGAAGCAGCATGAGCTTTGCTGGTGTCGCACTCTGGTAAGTCAAGGGAGAGACCGTGTGTGCGGCAACTGAGTAGGCTTGCAGAGCGTGCTCGCCTGTGCACTGCAAAGGTACTGACGGACATCTCCTCGCTTCACTTCCCATCTGTCACGTCAGGTTCGGTAAGCCCGCCGGCCTCCTCCTCACCCTCGTGGTCATCACCGCCTACACCATTGCCCTGCGCTTCGAAGGGTGAGTAATCGAAAACTCCCTCTCGCATCTCCTCGCCCCCCATTCCTGACCTTTCCCGCCCCCTCTCCCACTCTTTCCCCTCCACCCCTTCAGTCCCTTTACCGCCGAAATCTACGCCGCTGCCGCCCGCAAAGGCCACGGCTCCAAGTCTGGCTCCGGCAAGGGCTCTTCTTCCTCCTCCTCGGACGCTCAGTCTTTGGAAGGACCACCTGCTCACCGTACTCGTGCTGCTACAGGAACGACGGATTCGGCACCTTCTACGCCTAGCAAGAGGACGAGGGCGAAGAAGGGTGGCAAGTAAGTGAGGGCGAGGATGAGGTTGAGGGTGAGGAAGGGCAGGGATGGTAGGAGGGCGGAGGGAGTGGAAAAAGAGAGGAGTGGGACAGCAGAGGAGAAAAGAGCAGAGCGGCTCTCTGCTTGCCTTTCTTGACCACAAAGTAGAGGATGCGGGGGAGACGAGGAGCTCGAGGTGGGAGCACTGCTCAACGCAGAAATAAGGTGACCTTCCAGCGAATAGCAGGCAGCCAGTCGCTATAGAATGAAAGACAGGAGAAGAGGCACCGCAAGAGGGGCAAGCACTTCGGTCCAATAGCAGTACATGTGAGGCGGAGCGGGAAGGTGTGTCGTGTTCAAACAAAAGTCGTCTCTTCCCTTCCCATTCAGGGAGATGCTGGGAAGAAGGGACAGAGGAGAGGGGGGAGCAGCAGCAGAAAGAAACCCTTGGGGTTGGCGTTGGGTTGGGGTTGGGGTTGGGGTTGGCATTGGCATTGGCATTGGCGTAAGCGCTTTGCTTGCTTGGATGGATGGATGGATGGATGTAGGGTTTGTCGCTTCGATCTGGGAAATGGTTTCTCGTCTGCCTCGGTGGCCCCTTCGCCTTCGCCTTTCCTATTCCCGACCTTTGACTTTGACTTTGACTTTGACTTGGATACTCTTTCCTCTACCTACCTACCTACCTGCGCCTCTTTTCAACAATGGAGTCTGTCGTCTGTCTGTCTGTCTCTTCTCCTCGTACTCGTACTCGAACTCGTACTCAAATCTGTTGACTGCTCGCTTCCCTCGCGAATCATCTTCTGGAAAGAAAGGAGAACAAAAAGAAAAAAAAAAAAGAAGTGGAAGGAAGTGTAGTGTAGTGTCTTGTATGCTGTATTGTATTACGACTTGCTTTCGTCGATGGGACATACATCGTAGAGCTGAGCTGAGCTGAGTTGCGCTGTGCTGCTACTGCTGCTACTGCTGCTGCTGTGCTCTGATCACCTCGGACCGCATCATCCTACCCTACCCTGTCCACCGCATCCCGCTCCCCGCTCCCCGGTTTCTTCCAATCCAATCCAATCCAATCCTGTTCCAAACGACCACAACCCCGCTCAGATGCCACTCTCTTTCCTTCTCTTCTTCGCTACTCTCCCAGAGATGGTACAGTAGCACTAGCACTAGCACTAGCACTAGCACTAGCACTAGCGCCACTGTCCATTCCTCTGACCTACACCCGTACCCATACTTCCCGCACTTCGATTGGAATGGGAATGGGAATGGGAACGGGGGTGGGGCGGTAGAGGTGGAGAGGTATACCCGCTCACAGTCCCTTCGTCTCCTCCTCTGGAGTGGACCCTGCCTACAGGAGTGAAGGCGGCAGTGGCGCCGCCGATGGTAGCATAGGGATTGTTGGACTGCATTGTTCCCACACCCGTACCGAGCCCTCCACCTGCTTGAGCCTGAGCCTGAGCCTGAGCCTGAGCTTGAGAGCCAGGTGTAGGCAACGGGAGAGGGACCGCACGACGATGATCCCTCTGCTGCTGTTGCTCTACCCTGTATGCCGCAGGTACAGGGGGCAGGGAAGGCGGTGCTGAAGCCGGAGGAGCGGGAACAGGGGTGGCAGTAGGAGGATGAGCAGACGCAGAGGCAGGCGCCGGCAGTGGTGGTAGAGCTGGAGAGATTCGACCGGGAGAGATTGGCATACCGCTTGATGGAGAAGGGTACATAGAGTTAGGTGTAGTGGCGCTCGTTGCGGGTTGTGGAGGGATAGATAGACGCGCAGAGGCTGAGTGTCCACCTGCTTCTGCTCTTGCAGTGGGCTCGAGACCGAGACTTGTCCTCGATCCAGCACCTCCGGCTCCAGCTCCGGCTCCAGCTCCACTTCCATTGTTGGGATCAAGCTGCATCCTGTCCGTCTGGCTTGTCAGCTGCTCGAAAGGCGCATCCGTCTCGTCCCTTGAGGTAGCCCTTCGCTTGCCCAAGGCCTTTGCGGAAGGCCGTGCCGGTCCCCCGGTCTGGTCATTGAGCGAAGAGGACCTGTGCAGATCAGCATCATTCCCCTGCGGCGGGAAGGAGGGCGAGACGGGCAGATTGACAGGCAGCCTTTGCGAGGGCAGGAGCGGCAGTTGACCCTGTGCAGGGGAGGGCACGCTAGGTCGATCGATGCGTACTGCGCTCGAAGCGGATTGGTTCGAGAGGCGACGACCTACTTCTGCTCCGTCGCTCAAGAGGTCTGCTCCTCGTTCTGCAGATCGGGGAGGTACGGGCGCGGCGCTGGAGGAGATGGGAGGGAGAGGACGGATGGGCTGCTTTGGAGACGCCTCTCTTGAGGCCGGAGCACTCGAGCCGCTCTGCATTGGCACAGAGAGCTTCCCGACAGAGAGGAGCTCGCCTGTACTTGGATCTTGATGAAGAGTCTGAGCAAGAAGGTCATACGCCACAGGTCAGATGGTCCGACGAGTGTCTGAGGGCACACACATACGCCAACTCACTGATCGATCAATGCGGAAGTCGTGCTTGCTCAATTCCGTCACCCGTCTCTCTTCTTCCTCCTCTCTCTCCTCTCTCTCAGTCTCTTCCACGAGACCCAATGATCCCACCAGCATCCCTCGCGCTTCCTCCATGCTCGCTAACAGCCGCTCCTGTACCACTTCCCTTCCTTCAGAAGAGCCGTTGGGTAGCTCGGCGGAACCTTGCGTCTCCTTCAGCAGCCGCTCCTCGGCCAAGCGAAAGTGTGCTCGTGCAACTTGCAGATTGGTCCATTCCATTTGGCTATTCAGCAGCTCAAGAGAATGCCGACATCGTCGCACCAGCTCTTGCACTTCCGAAGAGTGTAGTCCGCAGGAGGTCAGATTGTCGATGAGCAGACTGGCGTCTAAGCGAGCCACCTCGCATGCCTCGAAGAGTAGCACGATCGTGTCAGGGTCATCGCCGTCGTCGCTTTCTTCTGACTGGTCTACTTCTTCCTCATCCTGAGCAATTGCATGTGGATTGTGTTCGTTGACCTCGGCATGGCGATCTTCATAGAACGCCTGCTGCTGATTGGACTGCTGTGGAGGTTGATGGGGTGCCTGGCCTTGGAATTGCTGCGATTGTCGAGCTGGCTGTACTGCGATGTCCGTAGAGGGAACTGAGAAGATCTCATGCTCAAGGTCAAGAGGCTCTCCGTTCATCGCTCTGTCAGAGGGACAGACCCTGTTATAGCTCTTTGTCAGAGCGGAGAGCTGTGGTACGCCTTGATACTGATACGCCAGCATAGCCCAGGCGTCGAGCAGCCTCTCTTTCACCTTGAGACTTGTCTTTGGGTCAATGACCGTCTGCTCGAGGATCTCGAGGAAGCTCTTCTTCACTATCTGCAGTCGGAACAGGTCCGAAGAATTGACAAAGAGCACAGCCCACACCTTGACAGCACGCTTCTGTGACTCGGGCTCTCCAAGCTTGAACTCTCTCCGCAAAGCCTGGCAGGCTTCCTTACTAGCTTCCTCTGAGATGGCTAGTGTGTCGGCGAAGGATAGGATGTGCGACCAGTCCGACTTCGAAGCTCTGTCGGAGCAGAGCCAGCCTAATAGAAGCAGAAGCTGGTATAGCTCAGTCACAGCTGTAAGACCGCGCCCCAGCGTCTCGAACACACTTACCGATCTTCGCGGTGACTTCGCCCTCCTCATGCGTCCTCCCTTTCAGGGCAGCACCTCCTTTGCCCTTGAGATCGAACCACTTGTCCTTCTTCTGCGGGCCTAGCGGAATGACCTTCTGTGCATAAACATCATTCCTGCCGGATGCTTGTGGAGAGCCAGTTCTGGAGGCATCGGCGCTTTTGTCTTCCTGGTGAAGCATAGTCTCAATGGCTCTGCCTCTTGCAGCCAGTCCAGCCCACATTCTATTCACGCCTGGCTTCTTCGATTCGGGCTGGCGGTCCATCTCACCTCGGTTGAGACTGTGAGAGCTGCGCAGACCTTCTCCGCTGGACATGCCGTAGGACTCGTAGACTGCAGGTCCATTGCGGACTGCGTTTGCTTCCTCCCTGGACCCAGATGAGCCACTGCGTGATGGGCCATGGCTGCGCACGTGCTGTGCATCGGATGCGAAGAACTGTGAGCTCTCGGGGCTGTTGGAATAAGAGCGCTGCATGCTCAATTCCTCCATATGAGAGGATGGCGTACGCGAAGCCGTCTTCTGATGCCGCCTGAGGCCTTTGAACAGACCTCCTTCCTTCTTACTGGGCGTTTCCCGAGTGATCTGACCCTCTGCTCTGCCATCGTATGAGCTCCCAAAAGAGGGTGGAAAGCCAGGTCTATGATGCCCTACCGCTCCTGATATCGCTTGCTGACTGCGACTTTCAGGGAGCGCCTCGCGGCCTTGAGATGCCCGACGACCGTGTTGAGGAGGGTGGGAGCCGTACTGATGGTGCTGAGCCTCGTCCTCCTCGTATGCAGGGTACGTTGAATGCATAGAGGCCTGCAGAGGCTGCGGGGACGCTGTGGGCACCTGATATGATCTCCGGTTGACCTGGCGAGGGATGTATCCTGTATTCCCACTGTCGCCCAAGGGTATCCGATGACTTTGCTGAGGCGAGGGATAGCCTTGGTAAGAGTCCGGGCTGTCCCTCTGATCAGGCTGGTAAGGAGTGAGATCGCCCTTGGCGCCTCCCTTTGCCAGTAGACGCTTCATTGTGCCTCAACTTCTTCCCCAAACTCTTCACTCTTGATCCTTTAACACGGAAGAAGGGGAAAGCGTCGCAAGCTCAGAAAGGGTAAGGTCGCTGCGTGGCCTTCATGAGGAGCCAAGGTTCAGATCGACGCCAAGCCTACAGCGGCGCAAGGCAATCGGGAGGAGCGCAGCGGATCCACCTCGCGCTGTCGCTTTGGTATGAGAAGCGGGCCTTTCTGTCAAGATAGCTTGACAGAGGCAAGTGATGATGATGACGAAAGGAGATGGCCTGGCTCGTGGCGCAGTCGATGGGCGTCAGCAAAAGAGGCAGGTATGGCGGAGGAGCGTCGGCCTATTTTGCCCTTTGCCATCTCTTGGCCCATCCAACACAGCCGTCGCTCCGACTCCGCACCTCTCCACCCCGCTCCGGGCCGACGGCGGCAGCCAACGAACACTTCGGGTACCAGACGGATACATGAGCTATTCTTGATGATGGCGATCCTGACAGTATTACGATAGGATCATAATGTAATAGTATATGTGCTACAGCTTCGAGGAGATACTCTCGTGCCTCTTTTCTCGTCCATGATGGTTCAGTCACCCCAACACCTCTCCGCCTGCCTTCTTTCGCTTCTTGCCACTCCCGCCTTTGGCAAAGGCCCTCCAGCCCGCCACCCTTTCGTCCCTCGTATCCTCCCACTTGACCTTTTCGTCTGCTTTCCTTTTCCTTTCCTCCAGCGCAGCCTCCCGCTTCCTCTCTTCCTCTCCTTCCATGGCATGCTGCATCCTCAGCGATTTCCTCTTCCGGAGCTCATCGTCAATCATCAATGCTTTTGTCGCCTTGCGCACCCTTTCCTCGAACGTCGGATTCAAACTGGCTAGTTGAGGAGAGTCAGAGGCTAATGAAGTTGGCAGGCCGAGCTCTTCTCGCAGAACGAGGAATTTGGCCGAGAGAACAGTCTCGTCGAGGGCTTTCCTCTTGTCCTCGTCTAACAGATGGCTGCTGGCCTTCTTGAGAAGATCGAAAGCTTCCACAGCCCTCTCATGCTTCACCTTGTCAGGATGGATCAGTAGAGACTTCTTCCTGTAGATCTTGTTGATCATCTTGTCATCTGCTTCGAGAGGTACTTCGAGCACATCGTAAGGGTTCAACCTGAAGGCAGTCAGGACCCGTTCTGTTTCGATTTCTTGAAAGAAAGACAGGGATTCGCGAGACATGAGGCGCTCCAGCTCCTTTGCATCACTAGGGACAGCAGATGCCGGGAGCGGGCCGAGTGACGTGTCAGGGGTAGGCGTTGCGGTCTGCCGTGAAGGACCTGCCTCAGCATTGCTCAAGCTTGAGGAACCTCCATTGCCTATCACCTCCGACTGTGTCGAGGCGACTTGAGGAGTTGGAGGAGGAGGAGGAGGCGGTACACTTCCCTGCGGTGTTGGAGGTGGTGGTGGGGGTATATGCGAAGTTAGATCCGAATCCTTCGGTGTAGGAGGGGGTGGTGGTGGTGGCGGCTGCATACTTCCTGTCGGTGGTGGAGGCGGTGGCTCGTTGACTCGATGGTAAGGTGCCGGAGGAGGAGGGGGAGGCATCACGTCCCCATCCTCCTGAGGCGGGGGCGGGGGAGGCTCTGATAGAGGAGGTGGTGGCGGTGCTCCATCTGGGGGCGAAGGTGCAGACATGATTGCGACCGGAAGGCAGATCCGCTCCAGCTTCCACGGACCTTTGTGCCTGTGTCTCAAGTGCCGCTAGCCCGGCTGTAGTGATGGCAAAGAGCTCAGCGAAGGAGAAGTTGTGCGGTGTAGATGGATACAAGACAAATGTCGCTTCCCCAGATTCTAACGTCTGCTTCCGGCCGGGCGGTGTGGAGCGATTGGCAGCGCCTTTCCGCCTGCCCCCCTTGATCAATTCAGCATCACTACCACATTCACGACCAAACCGATTCAGGCAGGTTAAGATCCATAGCCTCCCACGACTTCCTTGTTCGACCAGATAGTGTAATCCCCACACAGCAAGAGCAGTAATGAGCGGCCTTGAAAGTGAGTATTGCCACGATGGGGCTGGCGAGGGAGACGCAAGGCTGTGCAATCTCACTCACGTCGTGTATCACGCCCTGTTGCCTCTACACAGAGTCTCTTTTCCAGCTCAAGTTCACCGCTAAGTCTCTGCAGCGCCAATCCAAAAAGGCGACAAAGGACGAAGCAGCAGAGAAGGTCAAGTTGAAGAAAGCCCTATCTCAGGGCAACGCCGAGGGAGCACGCATCTACGCATCCAATGCGATCCGGAAAAATAATGAGAGTCTGAATCTGCTGAGGTTGTCCAGCCGCATCGACGCTGTAGCAAGTAGGGTGGAAACGGCGGTCACGATGAGGGGTGTGACGAGCAGTATGGCTAGTGTGGTCAAAGGGATGGACAAGGCCATGGATAGCATGAACCTAGAGCAGGTAAGTGACCAGCGTCTCAGAAGCAAGCTTGCGAAATCAGCATCGAAAGATCAGCCTGACTGACAGCTTCCCAACTCCACGTGCACGATAGATCTCAATGGTCATGGATAAGTTCGAGACCCAATTCGAGGATCTAGACGTTCAGACGTCATACATGGAGGGTACAATGGGCTCCTCTGTGGCTTCCTCCACGCCCCAAGATCAAGTCGATCTTCTGATGGCAAAGGTAGCAGATGAGAATGGCATCGAGTTCGGTCAGAAGATGGGAGAGGTTGGACTGGAGGGCAGAGTCAAGGAATTGGAGCATGAGAAGGGTCAAGGCGCTGCTGTCAAGGAGGACGGAGAGGAGGACAAGCTGGCGCAGAGATTGAGGGCTCTTAGACCGGCAACGTGATAGGGCAACGCGCCTACGGGGGGGGGGGGGGGGGGGGGGGGGGGGGGGGGGGGGGGGGGGGGGGATGAATCCTCCCGTGCAGCGCTATTAGCGATGATTAGATATCCGACATCCTCAACAACTTCCATGCCATCCCTGACAGGGGCTTCTCTTGTTCATTGCGCCATGACCCTTGCTTGCTAGGTACCTCGGGCAGGGGGTCCACGGGTGGAGGCGTACCAGAGCTGCAGCGCCTAATCACGCGCCTGCGAACAGACCCCTTTGTGCACCTACCACATGTACGACCTTTCTTTTGTACTACATCACGACTACTTCTTCCTGAATGGCCGACAACGATCCCCCTCCTCCTCCTTCTCCTCGCTTACCTCCTGACGCTTTTCGTACAGACACTGCCGGCTTGGAAGAGGAGGAACAGCTCCGCCTTATTGCAGACCTCCTTCCGTCTCCTCCCACGCATCCCTTTGGTCAGCATCGTCATCAACAAGAAGGCCCGATGGCAGGACCCAGCTCAAGCAACAAGGAGAAAGGGAAGGCCAAGGAAAAAGCTCAAGTCATCACAGTCGACGATGTGAGGAACAAGGTCTGCTGGATCTGTCAGGAAACAGAGCAGGACGAGGTCCAAGGTGGTACCCAGGCATCGGCGAGGAGACCAAGCAAAGCTAACGGGAAGCGCAAGAAGAGGAAAACAAAGAACTTCGTCCATCCTTGCAACTGTACACTCGTAGCTCATGAGTCCGTAAGTACTCCGTGCAAAGCTTCTGGGTGAGCTCCTGTGCGCTGGCTCTGTCACTCACTGCTTCTCCTCACTGCTTTCAGTGTCTCCTCTCGTGGATCAATCGCAAATCCACGCTGGAAAATCCAGATGTGAAATGTCCTCAATGCGCACATACCTTTGCCCTCTACAATCCCAAGCCGCTGATGCTCCGGCTCATCGAGCGACTGGATCGAGAGATCTCTGTATGGGGGAACTCGGCTGTCATGTGCTTGTGGGCCGGAGGCGCTCTGTTCGCGTCAGGAGGTTATGGAGCACTTGCGGTGCGGCTGTGGATGGGAAAGGAGGCGTCACGGCGATGGCTGGGGTATCCAGGGTGGAGCCTGAAGGTGAGTTGCTGGTCTCTCAAAGAGTTATATTCCGTTCATGCTAACGAGACGGCTCCATGGGGTCCTTGCTTTTGATAGACATACATCGGACTGCCCGCTATTGCGCCCCTCCTCATTGCATGTCGTTTCCCAATCGTCAGTGGTCTCATAGGTGGCGTCGCAGGTCAGACAATGTCACTGTTTTTCTTCGAAGAGGGCTTCGTCTTCTTCGCAGATGCCCTGGGTATAGGGTTGCGACATCGAGGACTTCGGTCCGGGAGAGTGACCAGCGCTTATCCTGCTCATGGAGGTCAGCTGTTTGCGTACCCTCCTTCCCCAAATGTCACAGTGAGTACGCCGAACAGTAGGTACACGCACTCCATTTCTGCGCCGTACTGACATCGCACTTCACCCTGCTTGCTCGAACGTGAAGATTACCCTGCTACCGCTCGTCCGGGCTGTCTACCTGATCCTACGACGAAGGGTCACGCAATGGGTGTTGCGGTCGTTTGTCAAGCGAAGTAGCTCTTCTGCCTCGCCAAACAATGCGCAGCGGAACCCCGCGGCAGGTGTTGCGGCCTACGGGGCTAATGGGGGTGCAGCTGTTGCACAAGGCGATCAACAACGCCCTGTCCGTCAGCGCCGAGCGATCATTGTCGGTGGTGAAGAAAATCACTTGATAGACGCAGACGCAGGTTTGGGCAGGCCTGTCCCGCAAGGCGAGCAAGCGAACATCAATAACGGAATGGAAGAAGAGGACGAAGAAGACGAGGAGGAGGATCCGGGCTTCCTAGAGGAACACGAAGTCCTCGACGAGCGCCTTGGTGATCGAGCCTTGGAGGGAGCTGCAGTCATTGGCGGAGACCGCGTCGTTCGGGTCAATGCCCTGGCACTAGAGAGGCTGGTGCTGCAATCCCTCGCATTGCCTTTGATCTCTGCTGGGGTCGGAGAGTTCGTAGGTTTGCTGGCGAGCTGTACCCGACCGGGCAGTGCGCTGGAGCGATTCCTAGGTATCAATAGCAAGACGAGGACACAGTGGGGCTCCAGAATCAGATTGGCCTTCTCCAGACAAGGGACTATGGCGACTCAGAGCGCAAAAGAAGTTCGCGCTCCTGCTAGCGACTCGAGTCTGCTCAGACGCCTTTTCTCTTCCAGCGATTCTAGCAAAGCAGGAAGGCAGGACGCTTCTGTACCTGCCGAGGCTGGTCAACCACGAGCTGAGGATGTCCGCCACTTTTCCTCTGTACACTGGCGCAATACGCTCTCCCTCTTCGCGTACATTGTCGTGGCCGACGCTTGCTCGCTTGGATGTCGGTATCTGAGGCTACGCCAGAGGAGGAGAACCAGAGTGGTCGATCGACCATTTGAGGGCGAGGAACTGATCAGCGGGCTGGACCTGAAGTAATGTTCCCTCTCAGGTGCTCATGTAGCTCTCGTGGGTGCTCAGAGCATGTCAATATGATCTGTACATAGCCAATTCGCATTCAATATGGTGAAGATCTGTCTGCGCGCTTCCGTTCCGATTCCCTCGTTGAGCGTGTCTCGTCGACGCGTAAATTGGCGCAGAGGCGAGGCGAGGCGAGGCGGCGTAATGGACGGAAATGTACGTTACTCGGCAAGCAACAACATCTTCCTCACCTACGTCCACCACCACTGCCTGCTCCTTCGCTTTCCAATATCAGCACTCCTGACAATCACTCTGAATTATACGATAGCGCACGACCACAACCCTTGACACACCCCAGTGCCCCACGTCGCAAGCCCAAATACATTACAAAGTGAAGTAAGGAACTAAGCACAACTCAGCAATCTACAAGCATGTCAGTCGTACATCTTCAGAGCGTGGAGATCCTCAATGCAAATGCAGCTTTCGCTGGTGAGTAGATCCTCCCCGATAGATAGTCTGGAAGGAAAGTCACTGATGCCAAAATCTGTCTCTATGCACACCCTCTCTCCCTGTCGCCCGTCCTCATCTTCCTCCTTTCCATGCTACTCATCAGACCCGTATATCTTCAAGATTACATCCGAGTGCATCTCTGAGCTGGCAGAGGATATTGAGTGGAAGCTCATCTACGTTGGATCAGCCGAGGATGAGAAGTACGATCAGGAATTGGACAATTGTCTCGTTGGGCCTGTGCCGGTAGGTCAGTATAAAGTGGACCTCGAAAGCTGGTGGACTGTGAGCACGACTGATCCTTTGCTCTGCCCCCCATTCTTTGGGTCTATTCTCTACTCGTGCCAGGCGTCAACTCCTTCGAGTTCGAAGCAGCCGCTCCCTCCCCCTCCAAGATCCCGGCAGAAGACCTGCTAGGCGTGACGGTCATTCTCCTCACTGGGTCCTACAAGGACCAAGAATTCATTCGTGTGGGCTACTATGTCAACAACGAATACGAATCGCAAGAGCTCAAGGAGAACCCACCAGAGAAGGTAGACTTGACAAAGGTCAGGAGAGAGGTGCTGGTGAGCAAGCCCAGGGTGACGAGATTCAATATCAAGTGGTGAGTGTACGAGAGCAGATGCGAGCGAGAGAAGTATTCCGAAGGAGGTAGTAGCTGACGCTGGCCTTCAATCCCATGTCGCCTTCTTCTAGGGACACCGACACAGCAACAGCAGCAGACGCTTCATCGACGGCTCCTGGTGGAGCAGCTGTCAATGGCAACGCTGCCTCGCTCGTGGGAGAAGAGGCTTCGCTTACAGCACCACCAGCAACGGGCGCAGAGGCTTCAGCCGCGGCAGACAAGGTGACGTACAGGGAAGAGGAAGAGGAGGACGAGCCTGCGGCAGGAGGAGCAAAGGAGGCAGCTACATCGAGCTTCCGACCCGTCAGCGTAGCATGAGAGTGAGGGAGAGGTGTCTAGGTTTGTCGACCACATGCATGTCTTTGCGGTAGCGGAACGCAGTCACCGCTCAATCATCTATTTTGGATCATCATGCCATACGTTTTGATTGTGAAAGAGCCAAGGTTGTGATCACTACTGTCTACGATCAGTCTAGAACAAGATGACCTTGACCTGTCCCATTCCTTTCCTCTCCCTGATCTTCTCCCATATCTCCACCAGACCCTCTCGCGCCCCCTGCTCATCCAGCAACGAACGCGTCTTCTCGTCTTTCCATCCAGCGTCCAGCACCAGCGTCGTAAGGCGAGAGACGTCCAGCGTGAATGCCTGAGCAGGGCCAGCCGCATCTCCGTCTCCCTCTAACTTCCCTACTGCTTCTGCTTCTCCTTTCTTCCTGTCGGGCACGATTTCCCGAGGCTTGGAAAGTAGGAGAGCGATGCGTTGAGGTGTTCCAGCTCCTGCGAGGACACGATGTGTTGCCAGAAAGGAGACTTGCTGAGCTGGAGTGAAATGGCGCGAGAAGAGCTTGGCGATCTGGAGGGGCTGTTGAGTTGATGCTGACACAGTCGTGGAAGCATCTTCCTCCTTGTTGCTCCCTGTAGTGTCTTCTTTGGTCTCCTCGCCCTTTTGTCGTTTTGCCTTGTTCGGCTTGCCAGTTGGAGCAGCCTCTTTTGTGCTTCCTCCAGGTAGCAAGTTGCGCAGCTCACGAGCAATATGTGCCGCCCGAAGAGCATTGTTGGTGAGAACGAGCACGCTTGGAGCTCCTTTGCGGTTGTCCCCTTCGTCCTCTTCTTCATCTTTGTCTTTGGTGACCGGAGGAGGCAGAGTAGCGAACCTCTTCACGAAAGCGCAAAGGTCCAGAAGCTCCCGTCCCCCCTTCCACCCAATTGTCTCCACCACCTCATCCTCCCTCAATCCCCTCTCCCCAATCTCAATCTCGCTTAAATCCTTCCAAGCCGGCGCCTTTCTCATCTCCTTGCGCAAGAAATCCACTTGAGAAGAAGCAGGCAGTAGTGCGGGATTATTGGAGGAAGAGGACGAGGCAAGAAGCTCCTCTTGCGCAAGGGCCATTCGGGCTTTGCGAGCTTTTGTGCGAGCTTTACGACGAGCCTTCTTCTGTGCCGAAGCAGCACCAGCGGCGAGCTTCATAGCATCAACCTCTTCTCCCGCTCCCCTTTGCTGGAGGTCATCGCTGTCATCATCATCGTCGTCATCGTCATCCTCATCGTCCTGGGCTCGACGCTTTGTCCCACTGGTCTTGGTGCCATTTCCATTGATCTTTGAACCCGTAGGACGAGAAGAGGAGGAGGAAGGACCGCCGACGGCTTGCTCGCTATCCGAGTCCAGTGCAAAATTGGCCTCCAAAGAGTCAGCCATGGTCGTCTCAAAGAGTTCAAGGGCGAGGAGGATTTTTGAGCCAAGGAAAGCGTGAGAGTATTTCAACAATCAGGACAGGGCTTGGTCGCAATTCTGGCCACAGACCAACGGAAGCAGCAAATTCTCGCCGACACGCCTCCGGGAGCAGAGACTGGAAATTTCTGCCTCGGCTTCACTTTTGGGGGCAATGCTCCGATCCGAATTGATGGGTGCGACTGACTGGCTAATGTACATGATGAACCGCGTCTGTGAGATTCTACTTGATCAACATTTGTGACGTTACTGGCGATGACGCCGATAGTTTCCGCACCTCATCCCTCCTCAGCTCCTCCCTTTGACGCGCGAATCTTGCCGTCATTACGCCTTGATCGGTAGCCTTCAACACAAGCTCCAGCAATTTGGCTCGCAGCGAGGCCAAAATTGACCGCTCGAGGTGATCCGAGTCCTTGAGCATGTCCTCGACACGAGAGCAACTCTCAAAGAGCATCTGAGCTTGCTCGGAGCTCTGCAACAGCGTCGTGAGGGATACCTTTGCAAGCAAGGGCACAAGTCGTCCGCCCAAGTACGCCAATTCCTGCGCATCACCTTCTTCACCTGCCTTGCCCTGCAGATGCTCGACGATGAGGGCCAGAGTCTCAATGACACACAGTCGGTCGGTGTTCGACATGCAAGGGAGCTCGGAGAGGAGGTCCAGAGTAGACAAGACCCATGTACCTGCCGTAGATCGGTCCAGTCGCTCTAATGACACGCCCTTCAGAGCTCGATGCAGCAGCACCAGCCAAATGCTGTTCCCGCCCTCGCTTGCTTCCGCCTCGCCCTCGCCGTCCCCGCGTCTCTTCTTCAGGCGATCGAGTGCAGCCTGTTGGGATAGCCAGCTAAGGAAAGCCTTCCTCGTGATTAACTCAACGGCGATACCCGGCAGACCAACAGCTGCTAGCATGACCTCCTCGATCAGCGACAGCGATAGCCGCAACGTCGCCAGGGTACCGTTCGACTGCTGGCCAGATCCAGCGTCAGAGGGCTCACTCTCCTCCACAGCAGACACTAGAGCACTCTTCGCTCCGCTATACATGCTGGCCAAGAGATCCCAGACGTAGCGCCTCTTCATGACGCGCCAATCGAGCGTGCCGCCACCCGACAACAATGTGTCGCGCAAGAAGCGCAGCATCCAGAGTCGATGTGCTCTCCAGTGCTCTGCGTCCGTCGACTGCAGCATGTTGTACAGCATCGGTACGTCGCTGGTGTCGAAGGCTGACCTCTGTAGTAGGAAGCGCGATGACACCGGGTAGAAGATCGACGAGGGTGATGCCAGTAGGCGGAAATGGTGAGCAAAGAAGAGAGTCGTCGTGAGAGGAAGAGGGGGCGGCACTACGGACGAGCCTCCCTCAGGAGCGCTCAGACTACTGCGCAAAGAGTCCAGAGCGAGCAAGATGTGGTCGCGTTCCTGCAGGTCTGACGAGTGTATGCTGGCATAGACGTTCTGCATGAGAGAGAGGGCCAACCGACGCACTGGTACGCTCTTGGAGCTCAAAGCGCAGACAGCAACTCCCACCGAGCAGGTACGCAGAATGGACAGCCATTGCAGACCAGTAGTCTTGACATCCTCGCTGAGCGAGGCACCAAGGAGGGAGAGAATCCAAAGAGGATCGTACGCTTCGCCTCCTTGTCGAATCAATGGCTGTAGGTCCTCTTTGTCAGCCGACTCTGTCTGCACTTGCAAGTGACCATAGGTGCGAGAGCGTGGGAACGCTGCACACGTGTTGAAGACCCGGTTTGGCTGTAACGACAGAAGTGCGTCGAGAGCAAGCGGTGCAGAGCTCGATGGAGAAGATCCTTCAGCAGACCAGTTCCGAACGAGGGAGGACAGAGGGACTCGAGGGTTGTGCTGCTCCACCATCTCCAGGACACTGGAGATCAGTCGATCGGAGAGCGTCAAGGTACCACCATAAATGGAGACCAGTGCCTGCACGTTCTGAGACGTTAACAGATGTGCTGGGTGCTGAGAGACCATGTTGTAGAGACACGAAACCACGATCAGCCGACCGACGGGCTCCGCTACGCTTGCACTCTCGATGTCCACAGATGATGCCCTGACCACTGCAGAGAACTGAGGATGGGCAAGCAAAGTTGAGAAGAGAGCTGATGCCGAGCTTGCAGAAAGCGAGGTATATCGCAGGAGAGCCCTGATGAGCTCCATAGGCCGTCTTTCCGTCAGCCTCCTCTTGATGCCCGCCTCAATGACCGGGTCGGCAAGGTGACTCCTCGGCTTGGCGATGTCGTTTGTGCTTGCATGGTGGACAAGCGCAGTGAAGGCTTCCATCGCGACGAGGAGCTCTTCGTCGTCTGACTCATCTTCGGCGAAGCGACGTACAAGCCAAAGAAGGCCTTGATCCAGTAGGCGTTGGACGAAAGCGGTTACCTGCTGCGAACGCTTCCCTCCCTTCGCCAATCTTGTCGCGAGCTGGATTGCTGGCAATTTGAAGGCATCTCCAGGCTTCAGATCAGCAGGGAATGTCGAGAGGACCTCGTCGCACTTATCTGTCTCACAGATAAGGCCTACACAGTCGGAGAAGACCTGGCCAACGACAGGATCGTAGCATAGCTCAGCCAGGTGAGAGATTGATGGCAGGGGTGCCTGCTCTGCGACATCGCCAGACGATGAGATTACGTCCACCAACGACCTCAACGACATGGGCCTGCTGCGCAAAAGAGCCCTCGAAGACCGAGCCGTGATATCTGCAAAGGGCTTGGCCACTGCAGCGGGGAAGTGGTAGATCAATCGAGCCTGCAGAGCATCTCCTCCAGAGATCCCAGACTTGACGACACCTGTGAGAGAGGCTCCATTAAGATGACGGGCGAGAGAATGGCCTCGCCTCACAGTAGTCTTCGGGTACGTGAAGCTGTCTAGACCGTCCACCGGAAGTAGGTCGCACAAAAGTCCAGCGACAGCATCTTGTGCTGCTTCGCTCTTGCACTGTTTGGCAAGCAAAGCTAGCAAGGTCTCAATTAGGCCTCCATCGATACCGGACGTGACGGGTGAGAGCAGTTGCGCAGTCTTGCGCAGCAAAGTCGCACCTTCCGTCACCTGATCGTCTCGACGCCATGAACGCAGCTGTGACACCAACAAAGTCCACACCTGCTGCAACTGTCCTATTTCGAAGTACGGCAGCAGCTTCGCAGCCTCTCGCATCGAATCGTCTAGTCGTGTCAAGACCGCCTCGATTAGTGGTCTGAGATAAACTCTCTCGCTGGCATCAGCAGGGTCGAACATCTTAAGACCTACGTCAACGAGTGGGGCAAGCTCGACTCGGCCTTTTGCAAAGGCAAGAGTAAGTTGAGGGTTGAGAAAGAAGAGATCCCCGATGTCACTCGGTGGCAAGACGGAGGAAGAAGCTACGCTCTGCAAGGCATGCAAGAAAAAGGTTCCGTTGGTTTCTCGATTCTGGGCAAGACCTGTCAAGATCAGACGCAAGGAGAGCTTCGCCAGAGGTGGCCTGTCCGGTAGTAACGTGATCTGAGTCATGGCTGCTTCATCAACTTTGTGGTAGAGCGAGTGAAGTATGGTCACACTCGCGGGGACAGCGGGCTTGTTCTTCGCCTGGAACATTTGCTTGAGGCATGGTAGCACGTTCTCTTTTGAGGGGTGAAGAAGGAGGAGATTGGCAGCGGACGGATCCGGTCCTTCTTGTGTGGCCATTGCGGAGAGAAGTGCCTTGATCTTGCTACTCGCAACAGGTCGTTGCTGTTGTCGTGAGAGGTCATCGATCGTATGGCGTCCGGAGCTCATGTCATCTGCAGGCACAGAGAGGGAAATGAATATCGAGGTCAGCTGCAAAGCCACCATACAACAGCTCATCTCGGCAATAATTGTGTCTCGTGCAAGGTAGGTCATAAAGAATGAAAGATCGATCGCCATCTCGCCCGTGAAAAGGGACGATACCGAAAGCGCTTGAAGTTATTATGAATCTGTGTTCTAATCATACCCATCCATGATGCCGAGTATCGCCAAATTCGCCACTTACCGTTTGAGGTCCGCTCCACCGCCGACGGTATTTGAGAGCTTGAATGGGATGGATCTATAGCTCTGACCACCTCTTGGGCCACTTGAAGGAACCAGAGCTCCTCCTCGGTCAACTTCCCATCGGTTTCCGTGGCCACCTGTGCGAGAAGGCCAGCTAGAGCATTTGCAGCACCGACTCTCTTTCTGCCACATAGCAAAGCAACGAGCCTCGTGAGGTACTGCAACGTAGCCAACCTGACCTCAGCTCCAGGGAGCAAGTCTTTCTGAAATTTGATCGAGGCTTGCTCAAGAAAAGTCGTGAGCATCGGAGAGACGGGAAGGCTGTTGTCATCCCCACTGCCCTCGATGGCACTTCCCCTGGCCTTCCTCGCGGCTTCGAGGTACCGATAAGTATTCCGCGAGCAGCGTGTCAAGCACTCTTCGATCAAGGTGACCAGAGCAAGCACCGCGTCAGAGCTGCTGTCATCGGCTACAGAAGGCAGCGACGCAAGCCAAGCTTCAAGCTCGCCTTGGTCTCCGTCGAAGAGTAAACCGGAGCTCCCCTCTCCCTCGGCGGCACCTGCAGCGGCCATCAACAGAAGGGTAACCTCTTCCTTGATGCTGGCATTCGCTTCGGCCGATAGCGACAGCAGGACCATGGATGCAAAGCCACTCGCAACCTTGCCATCACTGCTGCCCGGCATTGAAAACAGATGGGCCCTCGAAAGACGGAGGATTCGCAAAGTGTGCAGCTCAATAGATGTGACCATCTGCACCAGTCCAGAATCGTTGGAGTCCGTGCTGCGCTGGTTTGAGCCTTTGCCGAGCGAAGTCAGAGAGACAAGCTTGCGGACATCATAGTTCAGCACCAGGCTCGAAGTCTGATCGGAAGCCAAGACTTCAAGAAGAAGAGAGGTAACCCGGAGGCTAGCCTCCACCATGATGTGATCTACTGGAGACGTGGTCTGCTCGTCACTCTTCCTTGTTTTGCCGTCTACACCTTCTAGACAGCTCAAGACCGTCGCTACATCGGGGAGCCGTCTTACTACTTCCTTTGACACGGCTTTGCACGCCACGGCCCAGGACTGCTCTCTTTGAGAGAAAAGAGCACACCCCGCAAGGAATCTGAGCACTCGGCCCAACACCCTCCGAAGCAGGTCTAGTGTACTCCAGCGCACAAGGCGGTCATGGTGCCTGAGTCCTTTCATGAAATTCGATCGAGCAAGCGTTGGCGGGAGGAGACCAGGTAACAACCGCGAAAGAGGCGGCGGTCTGCGGGTCTTGAAAGAGGGAAGGTCCAAATCAAGCAGCTGCCCCATGAGCCTATTGGCAAGGACCCCACTGAGACGAGCTCCTTCCCTACCTCCGGAGGTTGCGCCGTTGCTTGCAGAGCCACTCGCCGGAGGTTCCAGGCGACCGCCCCCTAGCGCTCCTCTTGTAGAGCTGAGATAAATCGGCTGAAGCTCCTTGGCAGCAGATAAGATTTCCAGCAGGAGGTCTCGATGTGCTGTGTTGTACAGCGGAGAGAAATGCGGCGATACGATGAACGAATCGAGCAGGGGATTGAAGATTCCTAATGAATTTGTAGAGGCCCTGATGGTGTGGTTGTCGCCTTCTGCCGCCAACGCGAAGCTGTTGTGCTCATTTGTCATGTCTGAAGCGGCAGAACCGGTGGCAGATCGTCCGTACCAGCCCTGATCACGGAAACAAATCCCGCGCCCAGCCTTACCACAAAGCTCTCGTAGCATTTGCATGCTTACCTCGGCTAGGCCATGTTGAGGCTTTTGCTCCGTCTGAAGTAGGACTGAAAGTACATCAGAGCTACGTACAAGGCTGATCAAGCTCCCACGAGGCAGTTTTGGATCCCGAAGGACGGACCGCTCCAGGACGTGAAGTAGGCGTGCTGCATTTGAAGTGTGATCGTCTGCAAGTGTCTTCAGAAAAGCCGAGAGATGAGGTAGCGCATAGTCTGAGCCTAATAGAAGAAGCTTTGTAGAAGTAGCTGCACCTGAGTCGACCGAATCATCACTGTCCTCTAAATGGTACTCCGGTAGGGTCGCTGGATGAAGCATTGCTGTCAAAAACAGCATGAAGGACACGCGCGAGTCCGGCTTCGACAACGAGGCTGCTTTGCTAGGTGCATTAGTCTTGCCCGTCATTCCCTTGCCCTGTCTTCTGCGCATGACCGCAAGCTTCGCTACTGTCTTGGCACTCCATGGGAAGTTCTCTGCAATAACGCGAGCGAAGCGACCACTTTGGAAGCGTACTATGTTCGTCAGCAATTGTAGACAGGCCATGTTGAGAGCCTCATCAGTCTTGACAGGCTGCTGGCCCGGCCTTGTCGTAGAAGCTTGTATGCCGATGAGGTAAGAAGTCAACAAGTGCCAATAATTGGCCGTCGCATCTAAGTCACCGACTCCATGAGGAAGGATGGGCCGAATGAGGTTGAGGCATAGTTCCTGATCTGTGAAGTGAGATGCAGTGAGCTTGATGAGATTAGCGATAGCAACGACTGGCTGAGCCTGGAGGGAGGGAAGCTTCATCTGCACGAACAAGAGAGGCAGCCAAGTCAGTCGTCTGACCTTCCGAGAGCATGGGAGCTCTGATCGGGATACCCACATCATCAATCCTAGTCCACGCCTCGAAGAGTCTGTCCAGTCCTTTGGCCTCCAGGAAGTCCCTTGCAAACACGAGTCTTTTGTCATTGGGTCCGACGGTCGTCTCTTCGTCGTCTGTGTGGGTTGCCTGTCTCAGCGAGGTGAGCGACTGCCTGAGCGAGTCTGGAGACGTGGTTCGCAGGTTGGCCGCCAATTGCGACGCCGAGACGTCGAGTCTGCTGGTCGATGCCGTTGATTGTGGGTCGTGGTCACCATCGTGATCCTCGTGAGTGGTCCTCTTGCGCTTGCCAGTGGGCGGCCCCGAGGAGTCGCTGGCCTGTATGGACATCGCAGTGAAGCGATGGTGAGGAGGATCTTCTGGTCCAAGGCTGCCTCTGCCTGGCTGACTTTTTTCCCCGTCCCTCGTCCGTCGTCCTTCGGAAAGAGGTGGGCTGGGCAGAGAATTTCATTCTGCGCGGACGCGGGCAGCAAAGGCAATGCCGCCCTGCAGCTCAGCTCACCATGACAGAAGAATCATGGTCAGAGGTCATCCTCACTTCTTCCACTGCTCCTCTAATCCACCACTGGTGACTCTATCACCTTCTCACCTAAACACAGTCTCTCGCCATGGTCTCTGCTACCAATGGCACTGCTGCCCCGCCTGGTCCCCCACCTGGGCCACCGCCGACCAAGGAGAATCCATACCTAGCTCACCTCTCCCCCGCCGAACGAGCCATCGGTGGCGCCGATGCTTCCTCTAGCTCTTCCTCGTCATCTGATGCTCTTACCGGCTTTCTCCCAAGACGAGTCACCTCGAAGCAAGTACTGGCAGCTCTCGAGGCCCCGATGAATCCATTCACCTCAACCCCAAAGCCCTACTCCCAGAAATATAGAGACATCCTAGCCAAGCGAAAGACATTACCCGTCTTCGCTCAGGTGGACGACTTTCTGCAGAAGTTCCAAGAAAATCAGATATTGGTGATGATTGGAGAGACTGGATCAGGAAAGACGACTCAGTGAGTACGACCAATGGAACAGAGCTGGTTACAAAGGCTGCTGACACTCGAACCGACTTCTTGACAGAATCCCGCAATTCGTGGCTTACTCTGATCTGCCTCATATGAAGCGGGGTCCTGATGGAGCTCCCATGCTCATTGCTTGTACTCAGCCAAGGCGAGTGGCCGCGATGAGCGTTGCCAAGCGTGTTGCAGAAGAAATGGACGTGAGCCTCGGACAAGAAGTCGGATATACCATTCGTTTCGAGGACGCTACTTCAAAGCCTCACACTTTCCTCAAGTACATGACCGATGGTATGCTGCTGAGAGAAGCTATGCATGACAAGATGCTGTCCCGCTACTCTACGATCATTCTCGACGAGGCTCACGAGCGTACTTTGGCCACCGACATCCTCATGGGCTTGCTCAAGCCTTTGTGCGCCAAGCGACCTGACCTCAAGATCGTAGTCATGAGTGCTACCCTGGAGGCGGAAAAGTTCCAAAAGTACTTCAACTCGGCCCCTCTGCTCAAAGTACCGGGTCGAACTTTCCCTGTAGAGACCTTCTATACCCCGGAGCCAGAGCCAGACTACCTAGAAGCAGCCATCCGAACAGTGTTAATGATTCATCAAGCCGAAGACGAGGGAGATATTCTCCTTTTCCTCACCGGAGAGGAAGAGATTGAAGACGCTTGCAGGAAGATCAGAGCAGGGGCAGACGAGCTGGCCGCAACGTCGCCAGAGATTTGCGGTCCTCTCAAAGTCGTGCCGCTGTACTCGTCCCTTCCGCCTCAGCAGCAGCAGAAGATCTTCGATGCAGCACCGGCAAGGCTCTCGCCGGATGGGCCGCCAGGCAGGAAGGTCGTCATCTCGACAAACATTGCCGAGACGTCACTGACCATCGACGGTATTGTGTACGTCGTCGATCCCGGTTTCTCAAAGCAAAAGGTGTACAACCCGCGTATCCGAGTTGAGTCTCTGCTGGTGTCTCCCATCTCAAAAGCCTCCGCTCAACAAAGAATGGGTCGTGCTGGTCGTACAAGACCTGGAAAGTGCTTCCGACTCTACACAGAGAAGGACTTTGTCAATGAGCTCATCGAGAGCTCCTACCCAGAGATCCTCAGAAGCAATTTGGCAAACACTGTGCTGGAACTGAAGAAGCTGGGCGTCGACAATCTAGTTCGATTCGACTACATGGATGCCCCAGCCCCGGAGACCATCATGAGAGCGCTCGAGTTGCTGAACGTGAGTATACGTGACCAGATCTTGCCCTGAGATGACCTCTGACAGTGATTGTTCCCTTGAATTTCGCAGTATCTGGCCGCCTTTGACGACAACGGCAACCTCACGCCTCTGGGAGAGATCATGGCCGAGTTCCCTCTTGACCCCTGTCTTGCCAAGATGCTCATCTGCTCGAGTGATCTCGGCTGTAGCAACGAAATTCTCAGCATCACAGCCATGCTCTCCGTACCGAATGTCTTCCTACGTCCCAATGCCCAACGGCAGCAGGCGGACACCGCAAAGGCGGCCTTTGCTCACCCTGATGGTGATCACCTTACTTTGCTCAATGTATACCACGCGTACAAGACGAACTGCTACGACAAGGACAGTGCTTCAAATTGGTGTTGGCAGAACTATCTCTCGCTAAGGGCTCTGCAGCAGGCGGACAATGTTAGGCAGCAGCTCAGTCGGACAATGGAGAAATTTGACCTGGACCTTGTCTCGAATCAGTTCGAGGGCAACGAGAGGAGATATTACGAGAACATCAGTAGGGCCATTACTTGCGGGTGAGTTGCACTAGAGGAGGAGGACACAGAGGCGAGAACATGTACCTGACGATTGCTGTTGGTACTCTTTACTGCAGATTTTTCATGCAAGTGGCTCACAAGAGCGGGGCTGGTAAGAGTGCCAGCTACACGACCATCAAGGACAATCAGATTGTGGCTCCCCACCCTTCGACTACGCTGGACCATTCGCCCGAATTCCTGCTGTACAACGAATTTGTCCTGACCACAAGGAATGTGAGTATCTGCGCGCTCTGCTCTGCGAGACAGCTTGGATATCGCACTGATCAGCTTTACGTATTCCTATTCAACAGTTCATCCGTACAGTCCTGGAGGTCCGTCCCGAATGGCTACTAGAGTACGCTCCCTCTTACTACGCGCCCGAAGCCTTCAAGGACGATGGCGAAGTCAAACGCATCATGCAGGGTATCTCTCGGAAGCTCAAGGGTGGTGCTAGCTCGGGCAATGGAAGTGGTAGGGAGAGGGAGAAGAAGAAGGCTCGCAAAGGATAGAGGTAGATGATGTGCGGGGAGTCGCGAGCTATGTGGGGAGACTAGAGGATTCATGTAGATTACAACAATTATGAGAACATCTTTCGCAAATAGCGATGTGCTCGGTCTTCTTCCTCCCCTTCTTCGCTCTTCTCACCACCTTTGTGCTACAGTGTATAAGAAGTACAAGACAAACCAGTCAATTCCACCCCACCACCTCATCCGCCAGTGAAGTACGTGCCCAACGTTCCGTTGCCGAACCAAAGCGGAATGGTTCCCCTACTCTCCACTTCTACGCCTAGCTCTTCATCTTCCAGTCCACGCCAACGTTGTCTACTCCCGTCTACTCCAGCCAAAATCGAACTTGCATGCCGATCATCCCCACCTCCACCTCCTCCAGAAGTGGCAGCGGCAGCAGCAGTGACTGCTTTGCCAACAGATTCCCTCTTGTACACTCTTCCCCAAGCGTCCCTCTCCTGATCCGAACCACGAGCGCCATTGCGTCTCTCCCAGCTGAGTCTCTCCGTCTCCACGTCTTCGAGGACGCTAAGTAGCCGGCCTGCATTGACTTCAATACTCTCTGCGTGCCATGTGAGCTCGACACGATGAGATGCTTGTAGACGAGAGTGGAGAGCGTGATATCGCGAGGTAGAGTCGTACTGGTAGCCACTCAGGTTGCCCAGACTCGCGCTTGCGCCTGCGCCAGAGCCCGAGGTCGAAGAGGGGGCAGAGGACGAAGGATTTAGAAGAGGGACGGCGGAAGAGCTACCCGGTGGGTAGGAAGAGGAAGGGGCAGCTTCTGCTGCTACGGGCGGGGTGTAGAAGTAGGCCAGGGTAGGGTGGAGGTTGAGCAGTTGAGGTGAAGAGCAGGCGTGCGGCTGTAGATGCAACACGCAAGAGGAGTTGTCGAACTCGAGGAGACGACGACGCGGAGTGGGCGTCGGGTGCGGGTATGCCTCGGTGTCTCCTTCCTCTTCGTCCTGCATACCCTCACGATCTAGACCCAGGGCTTCGTTCACGGCCCCGAAGGTTGAGATCAGCTCGGGAGTGACTGAGCTTGTCACACTTTGGCTAGCGTTACCAGTATCGGAGCCTTTGCTCTTTTTGGTCCTGGCTGGGATGGGTATCTCCCCGGCTTCGGGCCGATGGAACCAGTCTCTGTACACTCTATCCAGACCTTCCGCGACTCGTCTCTCCCATCGCATGGCGCGGCTCATCTCCAGCCCTGCTGGACCAATAGAAGCAGCCTGAGTGGGTCCGTCAGCTGATGTCTCGAAGCTGATCCGGTGCTTCTCGCCGAAGCGGTCAAATGCAGTCTTGCTCCGATTGGCAAGCGGGGCCGAAGAGGAGACTCTAACGGCGAGCGTGAGAATCCACGTCTCGAAAGAGTCAAGTGGATCGAGCTGCATCCTGTAGGTCGGCTTGCTGATTTTCCTTCTTCGCTCGGCTCTGGTCACATCCGGGCGGGAGCGGGATTGAGATGTTGGAGGGGAATTGACGTACGAGGAGACAGGTCCAGCCCAATCGTAGGCGTCGAGGGGATGATGAATGGCGTCAAGAGGCGGTGCAGCAACAGCCACAGGCGTAGCAGCCCCACTGCCTCTCGATGATCCAGGCTGGGTGTCCCTTCCTCGCGACGAGCCCGGCTCATCGAGGGTGACGGAGCTGGTACAGTGTTCCTCTCTTACTCGTCCGGCGAGATGATGTGGCAGATTTCGTAGAACAGCAGGCCTGCTCTCCCCATCACCTGCTCCGTCTCCACCATTGGATCTTTCGCGCGAATGCGAAGGAGCCTCGCTGGGCTCCTCGATCGGGAGAAAGGAGAAATTAGCAGTGGTAGAGTAGGCTCCTCCCGTCGAATTCGTTACACCGAAATGGGAGAAATAGAGACGATGCTTGTGCGTGAGCGTATCGATCGGCCTTTGAGCTTCGAACTGTGAGGGAAACAAGTAAGGATGAGCTTTCTCTGATCTTCCGAAGAGTCCTGACGGTCGCAGGCGGCTACTATTACTCACGACTAGTGTGCAGCCCCCAGGAGGTTGTGGCCCACCGATGAGTCGCTGTACCTCGCGGCGAAGATGCTCATCTATGGTCCCAGCCCAGTGATGCGATGTTCTGGCAAGTCCTTTGGAGAGAGATCGAATGGGGAGATGGGACAGCACGAGGAACTGTAGTTCTACGGGCAAATCGGCGAGATAGACTCCCGCTGGCGAGGGCGGTGAGGTGAAGGTGCTAGTAGGTGGTGAAGCGGCGGACGTGGATGGCAGCGAGTTCGCCGAGGCGCTCTTTGGGGACGACGTAGTCCAAAGCAAATTGAACGACTTGGGCGCCATGGTCTGAGACGGGATGTCCCGAGGAGGCAGTGATGGTCATGCGGACGAGGGCGGATACCAGCCACGAGTGCAAAGGTGAGCTGGTGAACTCGGGCGGGAGTGGCTTCCCCAAGACGGGACCCTAGCTGCAGGGCCCTTGACCGGAACGGAACACTCGGCTTTTGGGTTCCCGGCGGTAGCTCCGTATCCACATCCCGGCCATGGTCCACCAGGGGCGCTATCGCCGCCCAATACGTCGATCGGAACGTGCGAAAGTCTCATTTTAGAACGAGATCAGGATGCTGTCATTGTCGTCTCATATCGTTGTGAATCACCATGGATGATGTAGTCTACCAACAATGACTGAGCCAGAGCGTAATAGGATCGAGGGGGGAAACTGGTCTAACGCCGGCGCCGGCGCGCGCGTCATCGTCCAGCTTCATCCTTGCCGACGCGGGGCATCATCTTGCATCGTCCCTTTCCTTCTCATATTGTATCCGTCACCTCGTACTCTTGACCTCCTTCGTTCTGCAGGCACTCTTTATCACTCAGGCTCAGGCAGTGGAATTGAGCCGCTGTCAATTGGCGTGCGAAGTATCATCACCTGTTCCTAAAAGAAGCTCAAGCCCCCTTGCTTCTCCACCTTTCCGGCTTTCACGATGTCGGCTGCGAACAACGCGTCCTCTTCGCAGGACCTTCCCAAGGATGCCTATGCTAGCGCTTTTGTGTCTTTAAAACCTCGTGATGGATCCCAATTGCTGCAATCACGCCTGCACAAGGCTCATGTTCTCGCAGATGAATTGGCAGACTACTTCGCAGCAAGAAGGGAGCTCGAATCGGCCTACCTCAAGGCTCTGCAGAAGATCTCCAAGCGGAGCTTCTTGTCCGATCCCACAACTCTCGGCCCTGGCTTTTCTCCTGTGTATGACAGGCTCATAGCGGAACTAGGAGAGGTGGCGAGCATCCACGGAGATCTGGAGATGAAGTTGGGACAGGAATGCGAGACGGCAATGAGAACGGCCTCTACGCGAGGCGAATGGGCTCGGCAGAGGGAGCATGATGATACCATCAGCGCGACAGTCAAGGAAATCCAGTCTCTCGAGCAGCAACTTTCGAAAGATCAGAAGAAGCTCGAGTCTGCATCTTCAAAGAAAGCCGGTCCAGCCCAGGCAAAGGTTCAGGAGACGCAAAGGTCCCTCGATCTTACTTTGGACTTATGGCGCGTCGAAGCCCCTTTCACTTTCGAAGCCTATCAGCGCATTGATGCGCAGCGCTTGGAAATGATGAAGGAGGCAGTGACTCGCTTCGAGACTGCTCAGTCTGACGCTGCTCAGAGGTTGATGAGCATGACGGAGAAGACGCTACAGACGGTCCTCTCCTTTGATCCCATGGCGGAGATGCAAGATTTCATCCTCAAGAACGGCGTCAGCTCCGGCTCTGCTCGCCCTACCGAGACTCCGAGACGTAGACCAACCGTCGCAACCACCATGCTGCAGCGGTCCGGCTCTATTGCCTCCTCCACTCGCAGCCCAGCGAGAGGCAACGGTCAAGAATTTGGAACAGGCGCTTCGTCCGCCTCAATTCATTCAAACGACCAGGGGACTGCGCGAGGAAGCAGTACACTGAAAAGCGCTTTCAGCCGACTCGGTGGTCGGAACCGGTCCAACCGAGCAGATACTGGCGCTCAGTTCAGCAGCAGCAACGACAGTCCCTTGTCGCGACCCACTACGAATCAGGACTTTCCTTCATCCTCCCCAATGGCCTCTGGTAGATCTGGTATGCGGCCATCGTACGAGAACTCTGCGGCAGCTCCCAGCGGTCGTGGCTTTATGGAGAGCGAACAGGCTCCGGACGTAACTTCCCGTAGCGCTGGCGGAGGTGGCCTGATGCAACCAATGATACCCACTAACAGGCTCGCTTCTTCAGATGCTCCCCAGGTCGATTCCGAGGGCTACTCCATTCCACCTCCAGATCGCAAGCCATGGGAGACTGGACCCACGAGTGCTGTCGGTGGCGCGGCTTCGCTGATGGATGACGAGGGTGATGAAGGCGCGGACAGTGTGCCCTCGACGACTCAGAAGATGTCGAACATGAACATCGCTACTCAGCCCGTTCGACCGGCAGAATCGTCACGAGACAGAGAGGCGCTAGAGAGGGTGCGCAGTACGCTGCTCACTGCTGGACCTCCCACTAGGCGGGGCACGACTCGCCGCGACCGCCGCGATGTGAGGAACACAACGTACAAGCCCAACATCGGGTCTGATGCAGCTTCACAGGGTGTGTCGCAATTCGGCGGTATCGCGCCGCAAGCGACTGGTGGCAGCGTCAACAGTGCCTCATATGCGGCCCCTATTGTCCCTACCTTTACTGGTACTTCTGATTTCGGAAGAGAAGCAGGTCCAGGTGCTCCCTCTATGTCCTCCAGGACGCCTTCTCTGAACCCATTCGAGGCGTCAGCTGGTGCTCCGGGCTTGCGCGCCTCGATTACCGAGACGGTCAACGCTATCATCGCTTCATCGTCTGGTGCAGGTATTGCTAGGCTAATGATCACGGGAGAAGTGTCCGTCGCGCTCAAAGACGTGCAGCTCTCTCAATCTTCGGTACATCTTCGTCTCGAGGCCTTTGAGCAGCTGGAGAAGGTAGCTCCCAACCCAGCCTTCCTTTCTCCTATTGCCTCAAGTCCAGGAGAGTATCAGTTGGACGTGGCCGGCCTAGCGCGCCAGCAGCAGTCAGCCCTCGGTGCTGGCTCCTCAGGCGCAGCTATGATCCTCAAGTATCAGCTCCACGTTTCGGCCGATAAGCTCGCTGCATATGTCCCGCTCAATGTTGATGCGAAATGGCGCATGGAGCCCCACCAGACAAGTTTCCTCCTCACCTATTCCCCCAATCCAGCTTGCCGCGTCACCTCTGGCCAGCTGGAGGATCTGAGCTTTGTAGCCACCCTTGGCCCGACGGAAGTCACTGGTCTCACCGCTCGTCCCGAAGGTGTGTGGAATGCCGAGGCAAAGCGCATCCACTGGACTATCGACGAAGGACTAGCGCTGAGCAGCGTTTCATCCACGCCGGCCAAGATTCTTGCGAGGTTCCAAGTAGATGGAGAAGGACAGCCCCGCCCTGTTCAGGTGCGATGGAGGCTGCCTGGTCAGACGATCAGCTCGCTGGGACTCGCCATCTTACCTGGAGCTACTGGAGCTGATGGTGCGGGTGTGACATTCGATGAAGTCGTTAGGCAGAGTGTTTCGGGCAAATTCATCATTCAGTAAAGCAGTAGAGTCAAACAAGGGGGCAGGGCAAAAGGGGGTTGGTAGATGGAGATGGAGACAGAGGTCAGAACACAAAGGCGATCTTAGGAGAATCAAAGGACGGTACTTGTATCTGCCCAAATCGAGACCCGTAGCCACTCTGTAAAGTATACGATAGTCGCTTACACCTGAATGAAAATCTAATTTGAAGAAGTTGTCAAGGCAAGACTAAAGCACTGAGAGGGGCGACTTTTACAAGCTGACTGCCACGCTGGGCTGTGTCCACCATTCCTCATCACAGTTCAATTCAGGTTGTGTGGTGCTCTCCGCAACGATACAAGCATAATCGAGCGCTGTCGTCTGATTGTCGGGGGCAATGGGAGTCATAGGCAAATGCCAGATGCCAGGGAGGTAGCAGATGCCCTGCTGCCCACTTGCAAGGAATACGGCCAGTGTGGACAAGTCGGGCTTATCGTCTTCTCCATTGTGGGCGACTACGACGAGGTATTGCCCTTGATGGGGTGGGGAGTGGAGGGGGATAAATGATTGGCTGGAGAAACGATGGCGCTCGAGCATCTTGAGGGGGAGGGGAAGGGAGGAAAATGGAAGAGAGTCACATCTATACAGGTGCATGTTGGTGGTTGCTTGAGCTTCTAGGGAGAACGACTGGTGAATCTGGCCTTGATGAGCGTACTTCTTTGCTGTGCCTTGATTAACAATTGCGTGAGGCCAATCGGTGGTGGAAGAACCCGATGCTGGAGCTGAGGAGGTTGAGGGCGGACCTGCGATTACTTGGCCGTAGGGACTGAAAGAGGCAGTGGTGAGTGGTACGGCCTTGACCACTCGGAGCGACTGCGCGGATGATGACCCACTCTTTGAAGCGACGGCGTTGTACGCTGCTGTAGCCGCTTGGCTCAGACTGTCCAAAGCTGAGGCGACGACCGGCTCGTTGGGGAGAGCCTTGTCTGTGAAGCCTGGTAGTGAAAGGGGAGGGAGCGGCTCTGTGTAGTTGGCCAGAGGGGCTGCGCGACGACCCACGATGCGAACACGCTTGATGCCGCCATCCTGATCAGAAACAGAAACCAAATTTTGTGACACTGTGAATGAGCTCAATCGTACCGTCTGTCGCGTTCGGCTTCTGATCCTACTCACGGGATGCATGGTGACGCGAATATGGCTGAACCTCTGCTTTTCTGTACCGCTGATCAGCTTGAAGAAGTGCTGCTTTCCTGGTCCAGTCTTTTGCCTCTCCAGAAGCTGGGTCCAACCCGCTTGTGAAGCTCCATCTTCGTCTTCGGCGCCCGGAGGGATCTTGCTGTCGGAGTCGATACCGTGCAGCTCGACCGAGGCGGGGAAGTTGCCCAAGAAGTGAGCAGTATCAATCTCGCAGTAGTCGAGGAAGCCTGGCTCACCGAGCTTGATGACAAGCCAGTCTTTATGGCCTGGTGTCCTGCTGCGCTTCGTCTCCCAGCCATCACCCATATCGTGACCTCGTCCGGGAAGAAGGACGTTCGGTCCTTTCCCAAAGTGCTGGTCTGAAGTGAAGACGACTAGACCTCCGTTCATAGAATGGGCGAGGTCGAGTGAGTTCAAACGACTGTCCGGACTCTGAGACTCTGCTACACCGAGGCCAACAGGAGGAGGTGGAATATTGCCATAGACTCTGAACCTGGCGATACCACCATCTGGAATCATGTTGAGCTTGACGTGCGTGACGATGCCCTCGTGTTGCACGGAGAAGAGGTGCCTCTGAGATGGTCCGCAAGGGACACGGGGCAGAATTGGCTCCCACTGACAAGTGGAAATGGGATCAGAATGAGATTCAGACAGGCCCTCGCAGCGCTTTGCCGATTGATCTACTCACTCTGCTGTCAGTGTGCTCTGGAATCGAGCCAGCAGCCTCCTCTTCTGCTGGCATGCGCAGGCCGAACACTTCGACTTCAGGAGCCTCGTTGCCGTTGAAGTGAGCGGTGCTGTTTGCGAGAGGGAAAGCAAATGCGAATCAGATTCAGCTGCAGAGCTCTACCCATGGCCTTTCGCAGCTCCCCGCACTGTTTCCGGACTCACTCTACATCAAAGCCTACGATGGAAGCCCCAGCCTTTGGACCCAGCCTGATGATGGCCCAGTCAGTTGGCTCGGGATTGTGCCGTCTCGTCTCCCATCCGCTGAACAGTGCTCCCTTGGGTCCGAATTGACCTTTGAGACTGGGGGCTGGCTCGACCTTGAGCAGGTCCGAGGCTGGTGCGAACCACTCGTCAGAGCATGACAATGCCTGCCCTCCGAGTGCGACGGAGGATACCTCGGTAGCTGCATTCTCCAGCAGGTGAAAGTCTTCTAGCTTGAGTGCGGTGAACATGATGGCTTGCGCGGTCTGATGGTATGGTAGTATGGTGTCGAGAGGTGAGTCGAGGCTACGAAGGCGTGATTGCCGAGGCTGCTGGGAAGAAGCGGCTATGTGTCCTGTCCCAGATAAAGTTGTTCGACTCCCGCCCGTGTTGCTCCCCGCACACACACTCGGCAAACCGCGGGACTGTCGGCACACACAGAGGACGGACCGGAAGCAGAGATGCGGAGATGCAACCTCACAAATGGAGGCGACGCGAGCGCGAATGTCCCCCCCCCCCCCCCCCCCAAAAGGCGTCCAACACTTCCGGACCGTTCTGTACAGCCATACTCGTCCTCACCTACCCTCGCTTGCCAATCTGCTCCTGCCCCATCTAAGTGGTGTCAGAGTTCCAAATGATCCGGCAATGATAGAGGAGCCCTCACCTCCTGGCTCGCCACCGCCATCAGTGGGGTCTTCAGCGCCGTCTGTACTTCCACCCCCCTCTCCCGCCTCGCCGTCTCGGCCAGACCCTTCGGCAGAGCCTTCAGCGCCCGTAGCTACAGGCTCATCTACCACATTCACTTCAAGCGGAAGCTCGAGCTCGGGTGTAAGCCCTCTCGCTGCTGCTGCCGTAAGACTCACGACTTCGCAGCCTTTCAATGAGGTCTATCGCTTGCCTCCGGACCTCGAGGGCGAGACGCTGGTAGGAACGGCAGCGGACGCGTCACAAGAGCTGGGCCAGAGGCCGCCATTCACATCACACGATGATGGAGGCCACAACGAGCAAGGTGAAAACACCAGCCTACCGCAAGCCGCTGCAAATACCGACGGCTCAGCGGAATTGACCGAGCTCGACTCGCTACAAGCTTTCGACGAGACGATACCAGCAGAAGCAGTGGCACCAGTACCGGATTCTACGCCTGCAACAGTCGCCTTGCCGCCGCAGAAGTCTGTCAGCTCAGCAGACTCGACAGACCAAGAGCAGAATGACGATAGGGATGAGCTTGATCTCCTTACAGCATCTCAAATCCAAGGCACTCAAGCAAGACAGCCGGTTCTTCCTTCCACCCCTGCAACTTCCACCATTGCAGAATCATCGTCACCTCCAAATCAGGCTGCCCTTGCTTCGCCTGCCATTAGAGCACAGAATGAAGATGCTTCCCTCCCTGCAGCTGGACCATCTCGCGACATGGCAGCGGGACCTGCTGAGGTGCTGGATGTACACATGGCAGACATCCCGCCTCAGCTTCTGCAGCCTTCGCCTCCCAGAAGGGCCCTACGCTCTCGCAAGCCAGGTCAGCTGAATCCCTATACTGTCGAAATGGCAATGTACAAGAGGCGACTAGAGCGCAATGATTGGGAAGATGCTGTCGTCACCGATCAGCAATTCCGACGTCGGATGAGAGAGGAAAGGGAGAGGGCAGCTGCTGATGAGCTACCTGTAGAGTCCAGCGACTGGCAGATTCGGGAAGCTGAAGCAGAGCAAAGGAGAGAGAGGAGAAGAGCGAAGAAAGCTGAGCGAGCTAGACAGGAAGCAGAGGCGCAAGCCCCCGCAGCATCTCCAGAACGATCTGTCACTGCAGGTGTAGTCTCTACATCGTCGAAGGACAAGAGCGGCAACAAGAGAAGGAGAATCGCAGTCCAGAACGCTCCAACTACCGAAGCCATCTTTGCGCGCTTCGGTGGCGTTTTGTCCGATGGAGAGGATGACGATACAGGGCCAACAGGCTCTCGTGACACTCCAAATCGAAGCACGACCAATCGAGGAGCGGCCCGGCGTCACTCAAATCAGGTCGGAGAAGGAGAGACTAGTAGCAGTGATAGCCAAGACGTGCCCAATCCTCCGGTCTCTGTACGCAAGAGACAATTGCAACGCATCAATTCGGCCGGAGCAGTCAGCATATCGTCCTCTGATTCCGATGAAGACCTTGAGAGGTCTCGCACAAACTCACGTCGGGTCCGACGTGTAAGCGTTGGGTCGGTTTCGTCGAGCTCATCGAGCTCTTCGCAAGAGAGTGTAGACTACGATCGCTACTTTCGGCAGCTCAAGAGGATGATGCCCATCCACATGGCCCGAAAGCATATCGATGATCTCAAAAATATGCGAAAGGGCAAGGCGTACCACTCAGATGGTCATGTCAGCGAAACCCCTGAGCCATCTGAAGCGGGAAGCGGCTCGGAGAGTGGTGCAGGGAGAGCTCCTACCACTCCTGCTACTTCGCCGCTCACTACACACGAGCTGCAGCCAGGAGAAGCAAGGAAGCGAGTCAGGCCAGCAGGAACAGAGGCCGGTCACAGAGATGATGCACGCTTCGACCTCATTGGAGATGAGGGTAGCGAGACAAGTGACGGAGAGGTCTCAGTGGTCAGCAGTGCGAGCTCTTCGAACAGTCCTGGTACTGTCGGCAGGAGGGAAGATGCCGATATACGGTGGTGGACCCGTCCGGAGCCCGATCTCTTCAGTCATGTCAGGACTAGACGCAGCAATGCCGACGAAGTGGATCGGATGCTATCCCGCTCGACCACTGCTCGACCAGCAAAGAGAAGAGCAAAGACTGGTACAGGCGTCGGCCGAAGAAGAGCAGCACAAGGCTCTCGGCCGAGTGGATCCTCAAGATCTCATGGCAGCTCAAATCGCACACCGTTGCAGCAACGTAGCCTCAATGACCGGTCGTCCTGCGGCTCGAAGCAGCATAGACATACAAGCCGCAAGCTGAATGGTGCGCAACATGTTAGGCTTTCGGGACCACGCCTTCCTCCTCGGGCCAAGGGATTCAATCCTCCTGTCGTCCAGCCGAGAAATCGACCCCGACTTGATCTCTTGGATGATAATGTCCTCTTCGACGTTGAGATTTTGCCAATAGTGACATCAGCGATGGGGAACGAACAAGAGGCGGCTGATGGACAGCTTGAAGAGTCACAGCGGGCAATAGCCTCCTATAGGGCTACCAACCGTCCCAATAAGCCAATCGTCAGAAGGGATCGTGCTCCTGCCGATCTGACAGTGGTCAATGCATTGCGCTCCCCAGGACCAGACAATGTCTCACGGCTTCCGGCAGTCAGTAGTACGACGCGCGAATTTGGGCGGACTCAAAGTCGAAATTCTGCTGGAGAACCTGCGAATGCCGACGTGAATAAATCTAGGAGTCCAACGAAGCGCTCTGAAGGTCTTGCTCGCCTGGTTCAACAGCGACTCGACTCTCGAGGAATGATGCGCCGGCATGGGACTGACACGCCAAAGTCATCAGCCCCATCACCGCATCAGATCGACGCCAATGCGTGGGCAGACTTGGCCAACCTTCGCCTCGACTTCGGCATTCGGCCCTTGCCCGCTGGGATCTCCTTTTCGCCGTCGACCGGATTGGGCAAAGGGAGGTTGCACGAGCTACTCACCTTGCCCGAAGAGCAGGGTGTGGCTGCTCATGCCTGGTCTCGGTTACGACCTGTGCACACCCTCGGCCTCTATCTACCGGCCAGCGTTGAGCCTGATGGCCTCCTTGATCTGCTTCCTTCAATTTTCGACGCCATCTTCGCAGTAGGAGAATCAATTGCCACTGCTGATGCAGAGGCGTCCCGCTATCGGACATCCCTGGATGAGTTGTTGCGATACATCTCTCTTTGCTTGACAGCATTGCTCCAAATGCTCCCTTGGAGGGAGATGAGGCATGTAATCGTTGCTGTGCAGCATCAGGTCGACCATCTCTTCGAGCGGTTCGAGAGTGCAGGCATTGGCAGTGAAGAGGCTAATGATGCGACGAAACAGCCAGTAGCGTCGTTGATGCTCACCCTGCGGTGGTTCAACGTCGAAGTCTGCTGGAGAAGCATTGCTTCTCAGCGAGCTGCTGATGTCGACTACGATGAAAGCCTGGCGGAAGAGGAGGAATTCGTCCTCGCTTGCCAAGGTGTTATCACAAGTCTCCTCTCCCACGGCTTGCACCAGACGATGAGGGAGGTGAAGATGGTCTGTGCCTCCCAGTCACACAGGGGCCATGGTGAGGCCGGCGATGAGCCTCAAGCATATGTCGATGACTACTCCGCAGAGGTGTGGATCTCTCTGATCCATATCCTCTCTACCGCTGCGACGGTGCTCGGGCCACATGCCGGCTTCTGGCCTGTGTTCGAAGCTTCTCTGACCCAATGGAGGGCAAGTCTGCCTCCTCGCCGGAAAGTGTTGACAGCGGAGATGATCTGGTACTCTTTGCTCAGTCTCTGCGCTCTTTCGCAATTCTCAGCTTCTACGGGAACAACAGGGTCAACACCTTTGCTTACGCAGCAGTGGCCACTCGTTGTGCAAGCTCTTACAGCTACGAAGCTCCGCTATGAGGAAGCTGTAGAGCAGGCCATGCCTAGTGCAGCTGTGAGCAAGAGGGATCAGTACATTCGAGCAATCGTGCAGAGATGCTTCAATTTAGTATCTCTTTGGCAATGGAAAATGGACGGAGCGGATATAGCGCTCTCTAAGCTCTTCGACATCTTCAATGACCACAGATTGGCAGATCTGCCCAGTGAAGAGGACCACGATTTCCCGCCTTTCCTCAGGGAATACGATGCTCGTCTCCTGTTCGACGAAAGCAAGAGAGAAGCAACGAGCTACCACATCTTTCTCAAACTACTGGCGCGAGCAGGTCGAGACCTGCAAGCGACCGCCAAAGACTCAAGAGACGCTGAGCGTCGGGTTGCCCGCCTCTTCTCCCGCGTCTCTCCTGTGCGGGTTATGTCGTTCACCAGAGCAAGTCCGCCAACTTCGCGAGAGCGATCTTCGCTCTTCAATCACTATGCTGTCGTGATGACACATCTCTACTTGATGCCTTCCGCTGGCGCACAGCGTCTGCGACAGATCAAGAGCTTCCTTGTCTTCAAAGATGCCGATGCGCAAAGTCAGGTCACTTGCATCAGAGCCATGCTGTACGCAGCTATCATCCTTAGACACTACGAGCTCGACATCTCTGTCATTGCCACCTGGTTTGGTGCAATCTTCAAGACGCTTCTAGTCGAAGCAGAGGAGGTCAATAGGTTGTCGACGAAGAATGAGCCCGGGAATCACTTCGAGTCCTTGCGACAGGCTCGAAGAGTGAACAGTCTCTTGCTGACATCACTGAGGTCGATTCAACACATCATTGAGCACCAAGGCTTGCGAGAAGAGGGCGAATCGCATGCGCGGTCAATGGCGTCGACGCCATCGTTCCCAGACATTCAACTCCTGGATCGCGCCTGGACCTCAGATATCCTGGAATCGCAGACAGCAATCGACCCCGCGGTGGGCATGGAGGTACTCAAGTGCATTCAGGTATGTCTGCTACATCGCAATACGTGCATGGATGCTGTGACCGAAAGAGCCAGCGTCACAGCCAGCGGTAGCGGACAGGCGCAGATTGCTTCACGGCCGACAACTGCCTTATCCAATGCAGAGCAAGGCGAATCTCAAGACAGCTTCGGTCAGCTTTTCGAAGACGTAGGAGATGATGCATTCGACTTCTCGGATCCTGCCTTGGACGATATGCTGGGCGACAATGCTGCTGCTGCAGCTCGTGAGCAGCGACTAGTGGCTCTGCGAGAGTCTGACATGGCTCTGGCTCAGCACCTGCGTGACAACATTTCCCCTGCCTTCTTCAGGCTTCTCTCCAACATCTACCACCCGGATCGTCAGTCGGAGGGCCGGCGGATTTCTCTTGGGCTCTCTGACACACTGAGAGTCAGTGAAGACGCTCACCGTGGTGGACGACAGCACCTGGAGAATCTTCTGCAGATGACGACTCGGCGAAGATATGTAGAGCTGCTGATCGACTGTTGGGCAGGTTGCGCCCACGTTCTCGTTCAGAATGGCCTACGCGACTGGCACGGATATCTCACGTACGGCAACGAGTCGTGGAAGCGTCTCGTCGACGCCACGGGCAAGCGAGACGTAGGCCTTCGCTTCTTGCAGAATGTAGCCGTGTTGGATCCGAATGCGTACCATGCGCACAAGAGCGAGTTCCTCCAGGTGTGGTTCCACGCAGCTGCTGCGCGCTCCCCCTCCGTGCAGGCAGACTTTACCCGCACTCTCTTCGAGGAAATCGATCCCGAGATGCCTTGGTTGCGAGCTTCTCTCGCTCAGATCCGGAGTCAAGCTGTGGATGAAGGTGAAGATGGGCGAATGAGCCTTGAAAGCTTTCAGCGCCATCGTACGCTTCTCGTCAGCTCCGCCGTGCAGGAGATGGCGCGGGACTTTTCCGATGGTGGACGAATGGGAGCAGCACAGCGCAGACCGATGATCTTCTCGTGTCTCTCGGGCTTCCTCTCTGCCATGCGTAGTCAGCTTGAGAATCTCCCTGTACGGGAGTCATATTCTGCTGTAGGATCGGCTGATCAGTACCTGGTCTTTTGCCGCGAGACGACAAAGGCGATTGCGGAGAAGGGAGGGGAGACGATCCTCAGAGGTGTCAAGGGCGAGCTCGATAGGACTGTGGCCTTGATTTAGCGGATCACAGAAGCGAGGGCAGTTCCCTTGGCAACTGCTCTGGGCATGTAGGTCCGTGAGTGCTACATTGCTCAGAGGGCAGAGTCAGAGATGAGATGCAAGAGGTAGACGAAGGAGACGTTGATATTATGACGCTTGTATGCCGCAACACTGTACAATAAAATCGTTCCTTCCATTGCCACTAGCCGCTTAGTCCACATCGTCTTCATCCTCTCCGTCTTCCCTCTCCATCCCATGCATCTCCCACGAAGATGATCGCAACGTCTTGAACTGGGTATAGTTCCTCAGCTGCACCTGCTTCATCGTAGGCATCACCTCTGGCCTGATCCACTCCTCGCACCAATCCTGCAGAGGACCCATTGGCTTTTCCTCCGTCTGCCACATTGCACCCGAAGCAGCGGGAGGTAAGGATTCCCAGATGACTTGACTGACATAGCAGAGCGAGTCGGTCGTGGGCTCAATGTCCAGGTAGCGCATCCAGGAGAGGACCTGCAGGATTTGCTGCCAATTGGACTCAGTATCGCCCGCAGCACCACCTCCTGAAAGGTGGCGGATGTGTAAGCAAACAATCAGGAAGAGCTCGAAATGCCGGGCGTCAAAGACGATGTGGTTCAGAGCCAGCTGACCCTTTTCGTGGCGGTACGGCTTGTTGCTCTTCTTGATGACCTTCAGATGTCGGGACTTGCGCCGGAAGACGGCAAGGGCATTGTGCACCCAGGCCTCCCAGCGCTGCAGCTGCATCTCGCTCCGAGTAATCCAGTCCTGGCCAGTCCTCATGGCCACAAGAGCACTGTTCTCTAGCGCCAATTCGGGATGTTGCGACAGCAGTGTTCGTCGGAAGACATTCTTTGCTCGGACGATCGGCGTGGCTCCGGCCCATTCGACGGAGACATGAGCCTCGTACTTGTTACTTGAGGTGAGGTTTGATAGGTGCAGAGCAGCTTGTAGAAGTCCGGCAAGGGAGAAAGCGTCAAAAGGCGATCCGAGAATGGCGGTCACGTTACGCCAGACAGGAAAGCATGCCAGAGGCTGCCTGGCCCTCAAAACGCTGGACAAGATCGTGCGAGAGGCAAAGGTGTTGTCACTCGCTTTGCGTACGGTGATGCGGCTCCCTGACGGCAGAGGCAGAGCTGTCCTGTCTGAAGTGAAAGAGTGGATAGGTAGTCCGACCACCTCCAATTCACCTTGCAGCGCAGAGACAGCCTCTTTGGCGGCTGAATCGAGAGCTAGGTATGAGAGCATGTCGAGAGCATCAGACCAGTACCCGCCCAATATGGACAGACGAGCCATATTGATGGCAGATCTCGACGAAGGGGCGATTCCACGATTGTGCATGTGATGCCAAATCAGGTGACCAGTCTCCAAGTCCTGTTTCGAGTGCTCTCGTTTCCGGCTCAGCCCTGATAGGAGACAATCGTAAAGATTGGCATCTTTGAGACAACTGGCGCTTGGTGTCAACCGAGAGGAATGGACTCGTCTGCCCTGCTTGTCAGGTGATAGCAGATCAAGAAAGAAGTTAGGGTCGATATCAGATCTCTCGATGCCACAGCGGAAGAAAGCTCTCCACAGCCGCATCTCGAATCTCCCAAAGGCATGAGGTAGCGCCTGCTGTAGAACCTCTTGAGACAGCGCAATCGCTCGCCCAGTCGAATGTCCTCGGAAGTTCATTATGGCCCGGATATACTGCACCATGGCAGCCTGCCAGATGCGCGAGGTGGGTGATAGTTGGGTCTGCAGCCCTGTAACAAAGGCGGAAAGGTGCTCGAAAAGATGACGTTGCCCAGTCTGAGCAGCATGATTAGCGAAAAAGGCAGCAAAGAGGAGCTGCTCGCCTTCGCTCTCAGTGTCCATACCCTGGGCCAGGGCGCCCCACATCTTCTCTTCGAGGAAGAGCCAGTCGTAGAGCTTGGTATCAGGCCGTTTTCGGGTGAGGTAGGACGTTCGCGACACTACAGGTGTGTCTGTCGACTCTTGTTCTGTAATGCCACATAGGATATGGCGAAGGTGCGTTGTGGTATCCTCTGCAATGAGCTTGTCCTGCCGCAAACGGTCCGACAGAGCAACGATGCGTAGAGCGGCGTGTCTGGTTCGAGGATCAGCCCACTTGGTGAGGTTGAGGAGGTAATCTTCCACGAGCTCCATGAACTCTGTTCTCCACGGCGAAGCCGAAGCACCCTCTGCCTGACTCTCGCAAGGTCTGAAGAGCACATCAGCTCCCCTCTCCAGTAGGTCTGTGAACTTGGCAAAGAGGTGGACCGCGGAGGTACGCAGACACATGGCCTCCAGAAGGGAAGAGAGTGACGTGACTATGGATCTTGCGTCCATTGTGTGTAGTTGGGCGTCGACTTGATGCAGGCCTTGTGCCACCTCCGTCAGGCTAGTGATCTGATCCAGGGCATGCAGCAAGAATGCTCTCGGCCACTCGCCAGAGATGCCTCGGTCTTGCAGTAGCGTGCGGCAATCCGACCATGACGAGAGCTGAAAGACGGAGCAGAGGCTGAGCAGATCCTCGACAGTGAAGCCGCAAGCTGTCAGCCACTCCTGAATGCTCTGACGCTGTGTCGCGTAGGGAAAGGCGGCCTCGAAGCTTTCCAGGGGAGAACGAGACCCCGAGATGCCTAGGCCAGTTGAGCCCCTCTTGATTCTCTCTCGCAGTTGTTCAAGATGTTGCTGGATGGGCTCATCAGTCCAGGGTGACCTTGAAGGTCTTTTCTCGATCGATGTGGTCGCCGAATAGCTACTCGACTGCTGCAGATCTCGAGGCAGGGCGGGTACACGAGCGCTCTGATCCCAGCTAATTCTTAGTGTGGAAGAGGTGAGAGCATGTGTAGGTAGTCCTGCTGTAGGAAATGTGTGCAGACGGCGAATACGCAATGGTCTAGGTGCTCGTCTGGCCGCTTGGCAAGCTGCAGCGTGCCGAGGTACCTGCTTCGAGGCCAAGGAAAGGCCTGGGCAGGCTATGGCGGCCATGGGGAGGTATAATTTCGCGCCCGCTGGCGAGGCAAACAGTTCGTTTCGGTATCACCGATTGAGAGCTTGTGCTTGTGCCAGCAACATAGTATCACCAATCTGAACGAGGAAGGCTATGCTGTCTGTCTTTCATCGTTCCTTGCGAGTGCTGTGAGTGGAGTCGGTATGCCCACCGGCCGGAAGGTGTGAGCGGAGTTGAGTGGTCCCCTCTTGCTGCTTCCGATCCGCGTTGCGCGCTGCAGCCCCGAGCGGTTTTCTGCCGGGAATGACTGGCGGCGGGCGCAGGCAGTGGGCAGGGGCACATGGATACCAAGGCTTCCTCGTCACCATCATCCTCATCAGCATCATCAAAGTCACTCGCCAGTCTCATCTTTGACTCCTCTACATCCTACTTCGTCTCGCTACAAGTACAGAGCTCGCCTCTTCCGACCCAGCAAGCCTTCCGCCCTCTCTTCTCAGACCGCCCCCTCTCATACCGGTCTTCGAGCTCTGCAAGAGCAAACAAAAAGCGTAGTCCCTTGTTCCCTCCCCTCAAGCTCGACGTCTCTCCGTTTATGGCGACTGCTGCGTCTACAAATGGGGTCAATGGCGACGGCGGTGTTGCTGAGATCACTCAGGGATTGAAGGAAGTGGAGATCGGTGAGCATACGGCTCAGGATGCAGCTCGCTGCTCACTCTACGCAAGTATGCTCACACGACATGTCTTCTTCTTTTGCCATCTACAGACACATCGAAGCTCACCCCCTTGAGCCCAGAGGTCATCAGCCGCCAGGCTACCATCAACATCGGTGAGTGGGCAGGCAACACCGGCTGAAGGAGCTCACTGGGCTCAGCCAATTGCTTATTGTCCTAACGCTCCTCATACATTGCGCCTCTTCTTTTTTCCCTTCGTAGGTACCATCGGTCACGTAGCTCACGGAAAGTCCACAGTGGTCAAGGCGATTTCGGGTGTGCAGACTGTTCGTTTCAAGAACGAGCTAGTGCGGAACATTACTATCAAGTTGGGATATGCAAATGCAAAGGTGAGTCACCTATGAGGCTGTAAGGCTTCGACTGGCAGGAGATGCTAACGACAAAAACCTCCTCGCTGTGGCGATCTTCACAACCAGATCTACAAGTGTGGCAACGATGCTTGCCCGAGGCCAGGATGCTACAAGTCGTTTCCCTCGAGCAAGGAGGACCACCCTCTGTGCGAGAGGCCAGGATGTGGCGGTACAATGCAGCTGATCAGGTGAGTCATGAGCTCCAGCTTCAACCCACATCTTCGTCTCGACAGATGTCTGACCCCGGCTTCTTCACGCTTCTCAGGCATGTCTCTTTCGTTGACTGTCCCGGACACGACATTCTCATGGCCACCATGTTGAACGGAGCAGCTGTCATGGACGCCGCCCTGCTACTGATCGCCGGAAACGAACCTTGCCCTCAACCTCAGACATCGGAGCATCTGGCCGCTGTTGAGATTATGAAGCTGAAGGACATCATCATATTGCAAAACAAGGTGGATCTGATCAGGGAGTCTCAGGCGGAGGAGCACTGGAACAGCATCACCAAATTCGTGAAAGGTGAGCATAAAGCAAGGGGAGGTCTGTTTTCTATTGAGGGCTAGGCTGACACCTGACTGACCCTGATAATGCAACAGGTACTGTCGCCGATGGTGCCCCTATCGTCCCCATCTCGGCCCAGATGAAGTACAACATCGACGCAGTCAACGAGTACCTCGTCAAGCGAGTCCCAATCCCCGTGAGAGACTTCAGCGCCTCGCCTCGCCTCATTGTCATTCGATCATTCGATGTCAACAAGCCCGGAGCTGAGGTCGACGAGCTGAAGGGTGGTGTAGCTGGTGGATCCATCCTCTCCGGTGTGCTGAGGCTGGGTATGGAGGTGGAGATCAGGCCCGGAATTGTTACAAAGGACAATGAGGGTAAGGTGCACTGCAGGCCCATCTTCAGTCAGATCGCATCGCTATACACGGAGCACAACGACCTGCAATTCGCCGTACCCGGAGGACTTATCGGAGTAGGCACAAAGGTCGACCCAACTCTCTGCCGAGCTGACAGGCTGGTTGGACAAGTGCTAGGCGCAGTCGGACAGCTACCGCAGATCTACACCGAGCTAGAGATCAACTACTTCCTGCTGCGAAGGTTGCTGGGTGTCAAGAGCGACGGCGGCAAGCAGACCAAGGTCGGAAAGCTGACCAAGAACGAGGTGTTGATGGTCAACATCGGATCTACCTCGACGGGAGGAAGGGTGATGAGCGTAAAGGCCGATCTGGCCAAGATCTTCCTCACCAGCCCAGCATGTACCGAGGTTGGCGAGAAGATTGCACTGAGCCGAAGGATTGACAAGCACTGGAGGTTGGTCGGTTGGGGAACAGTGAGGGCAGGTACGACGATCGATGCGGAGACTGCATGAGATACCTTTCTGTGTACAAGACGTCGTTTGTGTCCATCCCATCGATTTCTTCATGCAATGTCCAGTCACACTATCCGTGCTAAAACGTCAGATACAGTTGTGAACACCAGAACCGATGCCCGAGGGTTGGGTGGCTGTAGTCTATCCGGCGGGCCTTGGAAATTCAGCCATGCAGGACGTTGCAGAATTGCCGCTCCACATCGCTTTCAAGACCCCAGCCGGTCCTCCTTCCTTCCGTACCACAGAGCATACCAGTCAGTATGACAGAGAGCGCCGGCAACTTCGACCCTAATGGTATCGTACATCAGAAAGGCGTGAGTGTCATCGCTTCGTTCAAAGTGGCTCAATGAGCTACCTCCCGCTGACTTTGCTTTCCACCCTGCCTTTCTTTCGTCCCGTGCCAGAAACATGGCGAAGCCTTCAATGCCGAGCCAGACGCCTCCACCCTCACCTCCTCCCTGATCACACCCCAAAAAGAGCTCTACAGACGCAATCACGATGACATCATCTACCAGCCTGCTAGCACCTCTTCGAAGCCAGAAGTGGAGACAGATTGGAAATTGAGCTTCCTAGTGGATCGGGATGTCGCTGAGCATCTCGACTGGAAGCAGTGGAAGAGCGATACTTCCTTTTCTCCTCGATCGGCTCAAGCGGAGGACCACGATGCCATCATAGCTTCTTCCAAGTCGGTGCGCATCTCGATTGCTGAGCTGCACCAGAGTATGAAGGAGAAGAGGGTGGTGGCTGCGATGGAGTGTGCGGGCAATAGGAGGGCGGATATGAGTGAGAGGGGGCCGAGGAAGGCGGAAGGGTTGCAGTGGCAGTCGGCTACTATTGGAAATGCTCTGTGGGCGGGTGAGTCGATTTTGGTTGCAGTATAGAAAGAGACATTCTATAGAAAGAGACATTCGGGCCGCTCGAAGCTGACGAGTACCTCTCACTTGACCTCCCACCTGTAGGAGCCTCGGTACGCGACTTCCTCCTCCAGCAGGGTATTCCAGATGCTTACGAACACATTCGGGACAAAGAGAATCTGCCTCCGACGGTACGATCTCTTGAAAATGACTCAGCCCCCTGGTCCCGCAATACCTACCTTCACTTCCTCTCCTCGCAACCTTGTTCCGAATCTCAGTCGCCGACAGGCCACGTCTACGGTTCGAGTGTACCACTCTGTACAGCTCTTCACCCCAACCAAGACTTGCTCCTAGCTTGGGGTGTTGATGGACAGCGCCTGGACTCAACTCATGGTTACCCACTTCGGGCGGCTCTGCCAGGTCACGTTGCCGCTCGGTGGACAAAGTGGCTGAGCATGCTTAGAATCTCCTTCTATGAGGACGATAGTCCGCCCATGACGCTTGACTATAAGCTGCTCGAGCCGCCTAAGGGCGCTAGCGAGGAGGAGAGGAGACAGTGGATCGACAGTATGATGGGAGAGGGAAAGGATGAGAAAAAGAGGGAGGCAGAGGTCGCTAAGGCCAAGCCACTCATGAGGCTGGGGGTTGGTTCGGGCGTGAGTGAGCCACAGGAAGATGACAAGATCGAAGTCAACGACAAGGGAGAAATGGCAGCAGAGGGCTATGCAGTAGGAACAGAAGGTGAGTGATGGTGAGCTCTAGGTCTTGCTTCACCTCGCCCCATTGAACACATCCTGCATTCTCTCTCATTCACAGGTTCCCCAGTATCACTCGTTGAGCTCCTCCTCGTGCGCGACCCCGGATCTTCCAATCTGGATGCGATGGAAGATCTCCGTCGCGCCGCCAATGAGCAGCCAGCCTCAGCCTGGACACGCTTGGAGCTGGACGAGTCCAACAGTCGAAAGGTGCTTCCGAAGCACAAGGGCTCATCAGAAGACGATATTGCGATTGCGGACGCCAAAGAGGCAAAGTTCTCGTGGAGCTGGACGCTGTGGAGGGCTCAGGTCCCTGTGCCTGCTGAAGCGAGGGGGAGTGGAGAGAAGTACGCCCTTGTCATGCGAGGCAGTGAGTGTCGAATACTGGCGAGTCGTTTGGACAGACGAGAAAAACAAAGCTCACCCAGAACTGCTTCCTTACCCTTGCCGCTTTGCAGCTACCTCAGCGGGCGTCCGACAGGAATTGCAGTCTCCCTGGAACATCAGAGGCTTCAGGGAGAGGAGTTGGCCAGTGGTCACCGGGCTGACCTTTCAATGATCAGTGGTGAAAGGGGAACAAGACCTTCTCCCTGCTCAAGCTGAGTTCCATGCTCCGGCATCTTTGTATCATAGTCGCAATCTGGATCTGTTTTGCCAACAAAGTGACCAGCAGAATCATCGAGTCGAGTCGCATACATGCTGTCGCAACGTAGCGCATCGAAAGCACTTCTTCGACAGGCCTACTGAGGAGACTCCGTCACACGCGCAACCTCTGGCTTTCGGTGCAGGCGTCTCGCCTCCGCTCTTGGTCTCCACTTTTTACCACCCGTCTTCACTTTCACCACTCGGCGCTACAATCTTATACGTAAAAACGTGTTGCCCTCTGTGGCTCTCCGAGCATGCCACGGTGGCCCAGAGAGAGCCCCGCTGCAATGAGCGCTCGGGAGAGCACCGCCACGGTCCCATCTCAAGACGGCAACAGTAACTACGTGGTTCCTCCAGACGAGCGAGGCATCCAGTCCATCGACCGCAACACCCCTGTCTTGACACCTACTAACCTAAAACCAATCCCTGCCAGCACGCTAGCTGCCTACCCTTGGCTTCGCTACATTCCCCGTTCGGCCAAACGAGACTACCTGCCTCTGGTCACTGGAAAGAAGTACCAAGACAAATGCTTCCCGTGCTGGGAGAATAAGATTGCCTGTGTAGTACTTGAGAATAAAGAGACTTGTGCTTACTGTCATGGCTTCACCGCCAGATGCAATGCTGGTCGACGAGGTGAGTGTTGTATGCTCGCGGAGGTTGTTGGTAGAGTTTTTGGACAGACATGACAAGTGTAGCGTTTCTACTGTAGCACCTCCGTATCGACACTCAACTTTCAAGAAGCTGTACTTGAAGCTTCAGTCAGAGACCATCCGTGATGCAAAAGGACAATGGCGACCAGCCCCCACTGACCCTAGACGATGGGTCGACAAAGTCAGCATGGAAAACTACAAGACACTCTTCAACAAGTATGGTCTGAAGGTGCCTGCCGATATCCACATCGACCGCCATGGAGTTCTTCGCATGACTGCACATTCCCGCGAGGAGTCTGAGGACTCTGTACAAATCGGAGCCACTGGCCGACGAAAGAGACGAAGGGAAACAATTGTGCCTTCTTCATCTTCGACCTCTTCTTCTGATGAGGCGTCACCGCCTGCGAAGTCGCGCGCTCCTACCCCTTCACTTGAGGTACAGGCTCTCAATGCTCGGCCTGAGAGCATGCCGGTGGTACAGCACAGTAAGCACTCTCTCAGCGCAGAAGAGGTCAATGCGCTCATTTTCCCTAACCAGTCCATCAGTCTGACCGCTGCTGACCTCGACGAAGAAGAGGAACGCATCGTCCGCCTTCAAGAGATGATCGTACCAGCTCTGCGAAAGAAGTACTCCATCTTGCAGACCCTCAAGGCGTTCAACGGAGATGGAGACACTACTTTGGTCGATCGACGCCTACCGCTGATTGACTATGATGCAATCGACGATTTCGAAAGAGGACAGTCTAGGACTCATCGCGCTGACAGTGTCGAGACAAAATCCGATCCCATCATCAAGAAGGCGAGCCATCGAATCGAGAATCAAGAGGATACCTACGATGAGGCCAATGGGTCGATCGATCCTGCCGCTGTGCCACCTTGGCGCCGACCGGAAAGCAACACATTCCCGCTGAACCTCAGACTACTGGGTTCCATCTGTCTTTGACTTCGCAAAGGTTGGCTCAACATCCTCCTTTTGCCCTTTCACCCAGACCCGGCCATCTCCTAGGATACCCACCTGATAGTGTACACCTTTAGACTCTACGCTTCACCGATTCTCTCTCCCTCCGGTCAATGTCATTCACTTCAGAGCCGAGCTACAGTTGTCCCACATGTGGCAGACTCTGCTTCACCGTATCAGTCCGCACGATGCATTCTATGTGGCCCTGCAGGGGAAGGTGAGCGGGGGCGCGGATAGACATAGGGATCCATGCGTCGGCTGCTCAGGCACCATCAATAAGCGAATGTTGCTCGCAGCTGAGCCTCGCAATCACACTCTCATCTCATCCCATTCGTGCATACATTCCTTCTCTTCCTTCCATACTCCCGTCCAATCGTCAGACTTATGGGGTCAGACCACTGCCCTCATGTCCCAATACTCTCCACGCTCGACGTCCTTCACTGCTAAGGCCGAGCCTTCCACCCAGCGGGTTCCCTCGCTCACCGGCCCACGAAGGGGCTCCTTCACACCCGCTCCCTCGACCCCGCCGTTGGAAGACAGACCCGATCATACTCATCGTCCTCGTGATCAAGAAATGCCTTCCGCTAAGGTACCAGAGTCGTCCGACTCAACTTTGTCCTACTCGGACGATCAGCTCACCGATGCTGACGACGATCGAGACTCGGATGCTGGCTCCCATTCTGACGATGCAGACTCAGATGTACCTCTCCAGCAGTCGCGCAATTCGGGCGGGATCCATAGAGACAAGTGCTTTGGTTGCTGGGAAGAGCAAAAAGTCTGCGTAAAAGGGACCGGCAAAGGGTGTGTCAATTGCAACTCCAACAGTCGAAGGTGTAATGCCGATCGACAAGGTAAGTGTACAATGTCCTTTTTGTGGCGTGTATCTTACCAAACTCTGACTGCTTTCCTGCACTCTCGTCCCCGCAGTCCCGGGCTATCTGGAGCCTTCAGTTGCCAAAGTATACAAAAGGATGCAAGCCGAGCTCATTCGAAAGGCGGGCGGAAAATGGCAACCTGCACAAACGGATCCTCGCAGTTGGCTCACTGAAGAGAAGACCACAGCTGCTCTAGATGAGCTCTTTCGAAAGTATGGCGTCGCAAAGCCCTCTTACGTGCGGATCGAAAGGGGACGCTTGCTGATGTCTCCAATCGCTGGCGCTCCTCCCGATCGTGCGAAGAAGAGCCGTCCTCCCAAGAGACAAAGGTGTGCGACGCCTGGCCCACCACCCAGGAGGGCGACCATATCGCGAGCGTCGGTGCCACCAGCCCGGGCACGTGCACCTACACCAGAGCCTCCTATGTCTTTCAAACCTCCAGTAGAGAAGAAGCAGGCACTTATGCTGTCTCAGGAAGACGTGGATGCTTTCGTGAACCCAAGTCAATCTATCAGTCTAGCTATCGAAGACATCGAGCAGGAGGAGAGGCGCATCGAGCACCTCCAGGAGATGATCGTGCCAGCTCTCAAAAAGAAGTACGCCGTATTGCAAGCTCTCAGGGCTCTCAAGCAAGGCGCCCCTTCCGGGGACCGATGGCTTCCCCTTCTCAACTACCCAGCCATCGATCAATTCGAGAGAGGAACCTCTGCAGCTTACAGTAGTTCGAGAAACGGGCCAATGCAGCATCGGATGGTCGATAGGCTCAGCGAACAAGGTAGCGAACGAAATCGACGAGACTCTGCTGACAGCTCTAGCCTGACGGCTTTCGAGGCTGAGCCACCCTGGCGACGAGTTCGGTCCTGAAAGAACGCCACCCTCTGTCCCTGTACCGTGGAACGAAGCTCTTCGATGCTTTCTCATCTGCGTTCGCGCTCCCTATCAAGCGGTTCAGCAACAAGCTCCCAGACCAGCCTGCCGAGACGTCACTTTGTCCCAGCGATTCCTTTCTCCTTCTCCCTTCCGAGGTTCTCATAAGCAGCTGATGGCAGCCACACTCAGCATCTGTATACATACCTTTTGGTCCAGGTGACAAATGCAATTGCCCTTCTGAACTATGGATCTGTTACTGCCACGCTTCTCGAAGATGGAGAGACTACGTGTCTCAGACCTGCTTCACCTGCCCAAGAAATGGTGAACTGTCTATGGACGAGGGCGAGGAATAGGGACAGAGGTCAATGCGTCGCCTGTCAGGAGGAAATCAAAGACGCATAGGGGTCCATGCATTATACCTCCCGCACTATGGGCCAAAGCGTTGCTCGCGATTCAGACCTGCAACTCACTTATAACACACCCCTGACTCACTCATTCTTTCATTCCTCCCAACAACTCAGATCAGAGCCCTATCGTCATGTCCCACCGCCCTGCCCGCTCGCCATTGTTTCCTACCTGTACCAAAGAGGGCCATCCGATGACGCGGCACAATTCTCCGCCTGTCGCCCAGATCCGGACCTCCTTTCCAACCGTTGCATCAACACCACCTTTGAAGGAAAAACCCAACTACGATCGCCCTTCTCTAGCTCAGAGTCTGAAGTCGGAGAAAGCAATTGAACCACAGCCAACGGAACTCGCCGCGGCAGATTCAGATGACGAGTTGAGCTCAGTCGAGGGTGATTCAACTACGGGCAGTGTCTTCGATCTAGATTCTGATCAGGATTCGGACGTCCCTCTTCAGGAGCTGAGAGGTATGTCGGAGAAGTTGTTTCGCGACAAATGCTTCGGTTGTTGGGAAGCCAAGCAGGCTTGCGTCCAGCGTCAAGGTCCGAGGTGTGTTCGGTGTCTCATGTTCAATGCCAGATGCAACGCAGATCAGCGAGGTGAGCAGTAGAAGGCATTGTTCCCGCGGACGATTCATGACAAAGCTCTGAACGTCGTCTTGTTCTCATGTCCTCACAGCTCCTCACTACCAAGAACCAGCAATTGCCGAGCTGTACGAGAAAATGCAAGCAGCGGCGATTAGACAAGCAGGAGGAAAGTGGCGACCAATTTCGGCAAATCCAGATACCTGGCTTGAGGGCGAAAAAAGCACCGCTGCTATTGGACGACTGTTTCGTCGATACAACGTCGTCAAACCTCCTTATGTACGGTGGGAAAATAGCCGGATGATTATGGGTCCGCGGACTACCGAGCTTCGCGAGAAGAGAAGGCAGCGCCGCCGTACGCAAAGACAGAGGTGTGCCACTCCGGAGCCACCAACAAGGAGAAGTGCAACTTCAAGACTTCCGGTGCGTCAGACGTCAATACGATCACCACCTCCGGAGCCTACCACAGAAGCCCAGATCCTCCTTCGTAGCGGGGATACGATGCTCTCCCGGGCGGACATTGATGCCCTTGTCTCTCCGAGCCAAAATATCAGCCTGGCCATGGAGGACATTGTAGCAGAAGAGAGACGTATTGAGCATCTTCAAGAGATGATTGTGCCAGCACTTAGAAAGAAGTATGCTGTTCTACAAGTCCTCAAGTCCTTTAAGCAGGGCTCGTCCACAATCGAACGGCGCCTCCCGCTACTCAATTATCCAGCGATCGATCAATATGAAAGAGGGACTTCAGAGGTACAGGGAACGGTCAGAGGCGGGCTCGCGCAGCCGCGAACGGTGGAAAGAGTGAGCGGGCAAGGCAGCGCGCAGCCTCGACGAACCTCTCGTGATAGCTCGAGCGTGACTGCCTTTGAGTCAGAACAATCATGGCGGCGCTTCTAAATATGAGTGCCGCCCATGACATTCGGGGCGTCGAGAGGTATGAAATAGCATCTAGTCAGTCAGCTGTAATGATGTCAATTTCGCTTGCGATTCCCCTTTGTACCTTTATCCTCCCAGCCAGCAGCTGTACGAGTCTTTGTCGAATCAAAGTCACTCATGACCACCATTCTCGAACTCAGAGGAGCCATTGTGACTGCTTTGACATTGACCCCAATCTGTATGCTGACCATGGCACGAGGCTCGGGTAAGCAGTTCCATTGCCAAGAAGGAAGTGGAATGCTGAGCAAAGCTCATCTTGGTCGGAGCTGGCCAATGCGGCAGGTAGAAGGCACAAAGGTACCGCCTTCGTCAGGGCGTGGCCTTGAGCATCATCCAGGGCAGCGAGGGTGCCGATCTCCCGTGGAGCAGTGCGCAGGGCCGTGGCAGCAAAGCTAGCAGGTGTGCTCAGTCGTCTTTGCGTTGATGCCAAATCTATCTCTCTTCCCTTTTCACCCTCACTCATCTCCATCCCCTCCATTCCATACATACTTCCAACTCACTAGTCAACACCTCATTAATCAACACCTCATTCAGGGACACCGCACATCCACCATACACTATCCAGAGATGACCGTCTTCCTAGCAAGCGGGGCGTGGGAGCTTGTCTATACAGGTTTGCTTCACACGAGAAGGTGAGTACTGCAAGGCGAAGTGGTGACTCTTGTGCATCCCATATGCTCTCGAATCTGACACCTCACTATACGCCTCCAGTGATTCCCCTCACCTCTTGCAACCCGTCTACCACTCAAGATATAGCTTCAGCGGCTTCATCGACCAACGATATTGATTGTATGCCCCCTCCTCAAGATCGAGCATGGCAAACTCAAAGATCTGCACATCGAGCACTCAATTTGATTCTCAGAGATGGAGCTGAGGCTTTCTCCTACCGCAAGCCAGGGGAGGCAGCTCCACAGACATCGATGGAACGCATCACAAGACTTCCTAGCGCAACATCGAAGCAGAGATGAAGCAAACTTATGCCATCGAATGTCAGAGCCTTCGACGGTGTCACACCGCCATGCCCGTGCCTGCAACGAGGTCGAGAGTATCGTCGAGTACACTATGGACAAGATGAAGAAGATGGGCGAGGCGTTACCACTGCTCACTGATGAGGAGATGGTCGCGGCAGTGATTGCCGGCCTCCCACCTCGGTCTGCGCTGCTGGTGGGGAGAGAAGACGGCTCTTGGCCGCTGCGCTCTGAGCTTCTGGACGTCCTGCAGAGGCAGGAAGCTCGTTTGGTCACAGCCAAAGCAGAATTCGCTTATGTCGATAGCCTTCTAATTGTCAAGGCTATACCTCACTGCCTGAAGAAGCTGGCTGCTCAGTGGTGACGCTCACAGTGAGGTACTCAGAGGAACTCTCCGAGATCTCGACGGGAGAGAGGGAGAGCTCCTTAGCATCTTCAGTCCACACTGGGACCTCATTCAGCTCAGGGCGAAAGCCCGGGTCTGAAATGAGCCAGAGGAGACTATCACGACATATTGTCTTGACAAGATTTCCTTACAAAAGCTCGCTCAGACATCGCAGACCGAGGAGTAACTTGTGGATTCGGTCATCGCCGGCTTACCGCCCCGCTTTGCACTTCTCCTCGAGGAGGAGGACGGGTCTTGGCCCTCGCTTCTGGAGCTTCTACCAGTGCTACAGAAGCAGGAAGCTTGATGGGAAACCTGCAGGGCCTTAACACACTTTGCATCCTCTCCGCGTCGTTCATTTTCCTTTTCATTAAGTCCACCAGCTCATGAGCGAGCAAACCATACTATGATTGTAGCCACCTCACACACATGTCTGCCTCGAAGTCGATACTATTGTCAACAAATAAAGCCGCCTCATCGCCACTACTCGTCACGGCCATGATGCCTCTCATCCGTGTCTGCCTGGCGCAAGTCCCCTGAGGGATTCGTCCTCCGTCCCAGGACTCCCATCAGCATCGATGCTGCTGCTGTTGTACCAATAGAGAGGCACAGGCTTCGATGCTGGTGTCATACCAGATGCTGTACCGGAAGTGTGAAGTCAGTCCTTTCGTGAGCTTGATGCGGGAGGAACTCTTCCGAGACAAAGTGGGCTGCATGATTTATCAACAATGTCTCAGGTTGTATCTTGCCCTCGAGGCTCTCGCCTTCTCGTCCTGTTTTCACTTGCTCTTTTCATCTTGTTCCCACAAAAGCTATGACAATGCCTACAAGATCGACGACAACCGCCTCCTGCGTAAGCTTGGCTTCTACTTCGCCTTCACCAGCGCGAAGTCCTTCTCGTCGAGATCGGCTTCTGACTGAGAGTCAAGAGACAGAGCTGCTGGAACCCACCCAGATGGTATCACAACACACAGAGACGGTATACGTGCTGCCAGAAAGTTTCCTCCATCTCTATCGCAAGCAACAACAAGACGTTGATGATCTCCTGCAAGAATATCTGCAAAAGGCGCATGACTTTGGTGAGGTCTTGCTACATCCCTTGAAGCTGCTGCAAGGATTCCGTAATGGTGTCGTCCCCCTTTCAGATGGCACGCAAGTCTCCCTTTTCGAGACCCGGCCCGACGTCCTCAGGGAGGGCATGTCAATGGGCAAGCCAAGCGAGGCAAAGAGACTGTTGTCTTTGAAAGACCTTGGCCTCTTCCGAGGTGATCCAGACTCGCTGGAAAGCTTCCTGGCGCAAGTCAGACATTGCCAAGAGCATTGGCCAAATGATGACTCTCGAAGGAAAATTCTACGCAGTCTGCCCCTGTGTATGGCAGGACCGGCCTGGCCTTGGTATCAACGTCTAAGTCAGAGCTTCAAAGATGAGAATCTCAAAGATCTCGCAGGATGGGAGTATGAGCTCAGGCGAGAGTTCTCTTCCGATACACCGGCCGAAGTTGGGCTCTCTTCTGCTGAAGAATACAAATGATCATACACTCTGCTCGGAGAACCTCGAGGACTTGAGGCAGCGGTCTGAAGATCAACTACTCTCATGCTCCATGTGAAGGAATCGTCACACCCCTCTGCCTGCTCGTGCTCAAATGCCACCGCAATGCTGAGGCATTTCGCTCACTTGATCGTTCGCTTTATGTGTCCCCATGTCTTTCCTTCTCGATGTCTTGCTTAGCCAACCGAAGTTCTTTGTCATGTCCCATTGTGATCACCGTTGTTCGACTAGCGACATACTCCTCAGCTTCTTCCATCCCGCCACCGGTCCATTACAGTCCCACAGTTGTACCTCGTCGAAGCTCACCTCGCTACCCACATCCTTGACCCGTACAGCTTCCTCTCCTCCCTTGCCTTGTTCCTCTTGTGGCCGACCTGCACCGGAGGCGGCCGAGCCTACCCGCTCAAACCACCCTTCCTTCTGAAGTCGAGCGATCTGCCCGCGTGCTTCCTCGGCGGGTATATCTGCGTAGAGGAGTGAGATGTGTGGAAAGTAAGGGCGTTGCGATTCCTTCTTGAAGCGGTGGCGCATTATATTGTTGAGCTCAGCGAGTCGTTGGGGGAGGGAGAGGGCGAGGAGGAGACACTGCATGGAGGGAGGAAGGGAGGGATGAGACTAGTGAGCACAAGCACCGGGCTAGGATGTGTAGGTACGATGTGCTCACCTGGAAGTAGAATCCCTTTGTGGTCACCTCTCTCAGCGTACAATCTATCCTCTCATTGCCTCCATGCACGCTCTGCCACTCCCTGATCCCATCAACCGCCTCGTTCCAAATTGCCTCCTCGTCCCTTCCTTCTTTTGTCTCCAGTCCAGAGATCAGCGTAGCATGTGCCAAAAAGGGAGCCGACGCAGGCGAGGAGAGCGGCGGTGTGAGAGAAGAGCTGCTGAGAGTGCGGATCTGCTCCTCGATTCGCAGCCGCACCGACGAGGAGGAGGGGATGAGCCAGAGTGCGAGGCCTGCTTCAGAGGTGGATGGGAGGGTGAGTTGGGAGATGTGCTAAAGTACGGACGCTGCGACTATAGCGATCCTGGGAGATGCTCACCCATGGGCTTCGATTACTCAGCTGCTGGAGTGACACTGTTGTTCTAGACTTGGAGTCTTCTATGGTCTTGGCCTGCCTCGTCGCACCTCGCCTTTACCTCTACGAGTCGCTACCATCTGTCCGTCACTGGCTGGTGGAGCAGCAACGGAAGGAGCCACGCGCTTCCGATGTCTGCCTCGGGGGGGCTCGGGTGAGTGGAGCGGAGCCGAGGATGCGCGCGTCTGAGGGGTTGGAAATCCCTCATCGCCCAGCATCGGCTCCTGGCTGGGAGGGGTGGGTGGCTTCTTCCCGCGCCTCACCCGCTCCGCCCTGCGTCTGCTTGCTCATCGCCCGCCCGCCCGCGCCTGTCTCTGACCTTCGAGGTGAAATCGGATTCCACGCCAGACGAATCAAGTTGCTTAGATCTCACCCATCTGCCATCATCAGCATTACCACTCCACCCTCTTACCCTCCCTCCTATTCCTCCTCTACACTACCCACATACACCCACTCACAAGCCATGTCCTTCCTCTCTGGCTCACTACGATCCCTCGCCGCAAGGGCAGCACTGGCAGCACCAGCATCAGCAGCCGCCCCGACCAGGATCGCACTGCTGCACTCCACTGCCGCCTCTTCTTCAAAGGCTGCTGCCTCACCCCTCGTAGCCGCTGCTAGGACTAGGATCGTGGCGCCTGCTCAGGCCAAGAGCGTCCTTGGTGGTGAGTATGGCATACAGGCGTAGAGATATGAGGATCAAAGAGGGATAAGATCTCAGAAAGAGGGCAAGCTAGACAAAGGAATGTCTGCTCAATTGTGGGACATCGGCGTGGACCCTGAGTCGTCTTTGATGGTCTGAAATATATGTCGGTGCTGATATGCCTCAGCCAGCCGTCCTCGGGGAGCGGACACAAGGGCACACGGGCAGGGCCAGGAGCGCGATACAGCTTGCCTGTTCCATCGCTCGCGGCGGTAACTGCTTCATTCACTCCGTGCACAACGCATAACCTCACGCTTTGTTCGAGCTCACCCTCTCACGCCTCTTCTCCTCTCCCCCACCACAGCACGTACCTACGCCTCCCACGAGGCCGACGAGTCCTTCGAGGGCTTCACCGCCCGCTACGTCTCCTTCTTCGATGCCGTCGAGGACCTCTTTGAACTCCAACGCGGCCTCAACAACTGCTTTTCTTACGACTTGGTCCCTGCCCCTGAGGTGATTGAGAGTGCTCTGAGGGCTAGCAGGAGGGTCAATGACTTTTCAACGGCAGTGAGGATCTTTGATGGAATCAAGGAAAAGGTGGAGAACAACAAGCAGTATGAGCAGTACCTCGAGGCATTGAAGCCTGTCAGGGAAGAGCTGGGTGAGTAGAGAGGTGGACAGCAGCTGCACGCGAAGGAGGAGCAAATACTGATCACCTTCACAACCTGTCTCTCCCTCCCACCCATCGCAGGCATCAACACCCGGGAGGAGTTCTACGGAAACTAGACGCGGCATGGCCTCTGTTCCAATCGACTCGTACTACTTACTAGACCGGATACAGCCTCTTGCCAGCGGAGGGCTCTACTTCAAGAGGTGGGAGAGGAGACGAGGGAGGGGAGAGAAGATCGCTGAGGAGCACGAGGTAGCGACACTAGCGACGCCCTCGTAGGAGAAAGGAGACGAAAAGAGGAGTAAACAACGGACGTGTCGTAGTCTTGACCCCTTTTTCCCCCCCTTTCTTGACAATGCCAAAAAGATGAATCGCACATTCTTTTGCCGCTCATGGCGCTATTGCACTCGAGAATCGTACTGCAAGGGCTAAGTAGGAAGGGGAACAATAGGACGAATGATCGTACCCATACCCGCGTGCGTCAATGCCCGGCTAGTGGAGAGCTCGTCGACGTGACGCCTTGGGCGGATTCTAGTATTGTAGCTGCTGAGTTGACAGGGGATGCTCTTCCTGACCTTTGCCTACCTCTCTCTCGCCTTCTCCTGCTGTCTCTCCTGCGCTTGCTGCCCGCACGTCCAGGTCAGATGGCGCCACAGCTTCAACTCTTTTTCCTTCCTCTCATCGCTTCCAGTTCTCCTCACCCTCCCCTTCGCCTGTAGCATCTCCATCATCCATCTCCATCCCTCCTTCCTGTGAATCTACCATTGTGGCTGCTGTGAGTGCAGAAGTAGAAGCTGGAGCTGGAGCTGGAGCTGGAGCTGGAGCCGGAGCCCAAACGAGTTTGACTTTTCCCACTTCAGGCACTTCACCACCTCCAATCGTCGAGCGTACCGCCGCTTCGCCACTCTGACGCGTCTTGAAGGTGACGGCAAAGTTGCGTGCGTCGCCAGTACTGCCTTCGACGACATCGTCAAAGGAGGCTACATCGCCGAAACTCTTGAGCCACTCCTTGACCGGTTGAGCTTCTTTGCCCTCGGGAATGTCCGACACGATGAGCTTTGTCGAGCGATTGTCCAGACGCATGCTGGGTGCAGCACCTGCCCCGCGCCCACGTCCTCGGGTCGCTCCTCGGAAGGAAGCGGCACCTCGTGGTGCACCGCGGCCTCGATAGCCTCCTCGAGCTGCTGCTGCGTCGCCATTGTTGAGTCCCAGAGAGGCAGCTTCAGCCTTGAGAGCCTCGAGCTTCGCCTTGAGCTCCTCGGTCTGGCTGCCCGGCTCGCCGACCTTAGAGTGTGCTTCCAGCTCCCGGTCCAGACGATCTTTTTCCATCTTTGCCTTTTGTTCTGCCTTCTTAGCAGGGTCGAACGAGGAGAAGGACGATCCTGTACCGCTGCTCGTAGAGGTTGCGGGGAGGGCAGCTACAGCCGCTACAGCTTTCCTCACCTCCTCGGTGGCCTGCTTGATGATCGGCTCCAACTCCCGCAATCGCACCATACCCGCCTTCTTCTCTTCAGGAGTAGCCGTCTTGACTCCCAGCTTGACCATGAGCTGCTTCTGTTCGGTGATCAAGGTGTTCACCTTGTCCTGAGCGGTACGTTGCGTTTCGATCGCCTGTTTGCGCTCAACGATTTGCTCCGGAGTTGCACTAGGCGCAGGCGAGGGCGTAGGAGGCAGTGCAGCACCTGGCGGCCGGTATACATTCTGGCCAGCTCCGAACGTCTGCTTCTGTGGCGGAGGTGGTCTAACGACAGGGGGTCCTGCGGAAGACGAGCCGTCCAGCGGCTCGTCGAGCTTCTGAAAGTAGACCTTCACAAAGCGGTTGCCGAAGATGACTTCCGGACTCTCGTGAGCAGTCTTAGCTTCTGCGGGTGTGGAGTAGCTGACCAACGATTTGGCACTGGGCTGGTCGATCTGGATGTTGGTTATGGTTCCGAAGCGCTTGAAGTAGTCGTTGATCTTGACCAGATCGAGGTAGTCGGCAGGCACGTTCTCGATGACAAGCGTCGTTGTGCTGCGTGAGCGGGTGCTAAATGTACCAGGTGGTCCACCTCCCCTCCCTCGACCCCTGCCAGCGAATCCGCCTCGGGATGGTCCTTCGCCGCCTCCCATTCCCATTGAAGGAGCAGAGCCCATTGGGAAGCCTCCCTGCCCTTCAGATTGCTGCTGAAAGAATGGAGTTTGAGGTGAAGGATGCTGCTGCCGTTGTTCTCCAAGACGAGCTGCCAAGCCAGCCCCTTCGAAGCCTGGAGGTCCACCCTGGAACGGCCCTGGCGGAGATTGAGCTCCTCCGAAAGGAGTAGGAGACTGTGACCCGTTCCATCCAGGCGTGGGCCCGGGAAACATTGGGAAGCCGCCGGCCATCTGAGATGGCATGGGTGGTCGACCCATGAACATTGGCTGAGAAGGTCCACCCTGCATGCCATTGAAGTGAGATCCGGGCCCGTTCATTGACTGCGCTGGACCAGGTCCAGTCGCAGCCTGCATGCCGTTGTTGCCATGATTCGTGCCCCCAGTGATAGCGTCGGTCGAATGCTCCCAGCGGCAGCTGTCTCCCCTTGAACACCAGCCTTTCTCTGTGAACAACGACAGGGTGGCGGGCATGCCGTCAGCGATCCAGCATCCTCGCCGAGACGCCAAGTCTACTCACGGTGAAAGTCTCTACAAAGCTCCTTCGTCCGGGACTGCGACTGTTGAGACTGGGGTCTGTCTGCTGTGGATGGCCCTGCTTGTCGCTTCTCTCTCACATCTCGATCTCTGGCCCCACCGGAACCATTGGCTCCATCTGCAGCCTTGGCGGCTCCCCTGGGTCCTGTAGGAATGCCGACGTCGCTTGAGCGAGGAGCTTTCGGCGGAGATCTCCGCGGCTCATCCTCTGCACCTCTCTTGCGTGAAGATGACGATGGAGCAGTAATGTCCACGATTGCTGCCGAGGTGGAGGGTCTCTGATCCACTGGAAGATATGACTTTGTGGAGAGGGTAGAGACGAGCTTGGCAACGAATGGTTCCGTCTCTGAGGAAGGCAATGAAGAGGGAACGAGAAGATGAGCTGAGGTACGACATTGTTCATCCGGCCAGCCAGGCTTTGTTGCTACTTACTGGTGTCAAGGAAGTCTGCCAATTGCTCATTGAGGAGAGCTGCGAGCTCGGCCTCGGATGCATCGTGCTTCAGTAGAGCAATGACATAGTCGGACAAGACGTCAGGCTCGGCGTCACAGCTGTGGAGGATAGCATTTGAAAGAGGCTCATGGTCAGATCAATCCTCCTTCGCCGAGGCCACGCGTCACGCGCCATCGTACTCACATTGGCCCAAGCTCCTCGGTCAGCCAGGTCTTGATCTGTTCCGAGTGAGCGTTCTCGAACAGCTGCACCATCGTCGCAGAAGCGTAGCCGTATCAGGACGTTTACTGGTACGTTAAGACACGTGCTCAAGGTGGATGATGTACGAAGATGACGAGGTTGGTACGGCGGCGGTTGCTGGTAGAGGGATTGGCTACGAGTGACTGTACCTTGCGATGCTCGGCCAGACGGAAGGGCAGAGTGATCGGGGTTGCCATCCACGCGGGAGATTCGTGGGAGTTGGCCCGAGGGTTTAGCCGCGTGTGGACGTTGCGCGCGGTCGCAAGTCTTGTGCAGCGGTTGCGGACGGCGCCTGCACTGGAGATTTTGAGAAGTTAGCCTCGCCCTACCATCGACCTCAACTGCATCCCACCCGTCGCCCCCACGTCAAGTTCCTCATCAAGGTGAGCCCCGTTATCAGAGGATCACGTACACATCATCATCACAAGCTCAGTCGCTGACTTCCCGTGTCTATCCATCATCTTTGCCTTTCACTCGATCCTCTTCGAACTCCCTTCCATTTACCTCTTAGCACAATGGGCCGATTCACCGAATACCTTGTCGTTGGCCGTAGGCTGCCTACCGAGCAGGAGGCCGAGCCCCCTCTTTACCGTATGCGCCTCTTTGCCCCCAACGAGACCATCGCAAAGTCGCGATTCTTCTACTTCTTGCGTCAGCTGAGGAAGATGAAGGCTGCCACCTCCGAGATCGTTGCCATCCACGCCGTAAGTATCTCACTGCACAGGAAGATGATACTCTAGGGAGGAAAGCTGTGATGAAAGTGGTTGCGATGGAAGGGAGATAGGCAGAAAGAGTTGCGCCAGGGATGATGCAAAGCTAGGGTCCGGTGATCTGAGACAGTACGGATGGGGTAGAGTTCTGCTGGGCCGCAGGTAGACAAAAAGCAGCGAAGGAAAGGAGAAGGTTCGGAACAGATATCAAGGCAAGGGATGACAGGCGAAAGACGCAGCCGGTACAGTGGCCTCTGCGAATGGCCCTCAGGTCACAGCAGCAGCAAACAGCCCTGTGCTACTATCAAGTGTCAGATTGGCAGTACAAGCATCTCTTCCTGCGGGGAGAGCATGAACGGCACTGTTTTCGTCATGCGGACAATCTGGCGACGAAAGATGCAGGGTGGAATGGAGGTGTCATTATGGACGGGAAAGGGACAGCAACGGGAGCTGAGGGCATGTCCCGGCGTCGGGCAGGCTGGGCGCAGCCCACTCACATCTTTCGATCGAAGCCAGTTGCGACTGGTACCCCAGAACACTCAAGCTGACCACTTTATCTGCTCCACTTCCGTCACCACAGATCCAGGAGAAGAAGCCCATGAAGGTGAAGAACTTCGGTATCTGGCTGCGATACAACTCGCGATCTGGCACTCACAACATGTACAAGGAGTACCGATCGATGAGCCGAGCTGAGGCCGTCGAGGACATGTACCAAGACATGGCTGCTCGTCACCGTGCTCGTTTCGGATCCATCCACATCCTCAAGGTCACTGAGATCGAGAAGGATGCCGACCTGCGACGACCATACATCAAGCAGCTCCTCACCCCCAAGCTGCGCTTCCCTCTGCCTCACCGACGCCCCACATCGGCTGGCATCTACGCTGCTCGCCGCCCTGCCACCTTCTACTAAGCATTGGGTCTTTTGTTGGCTTGGTTTGGTTTGGTAGTTAGTTGTCATCATCAGCTGATGGTTGGAGTGGGCCAGGAGAGCTACGTACGCCAGTGAGCGTACTGTAGTAGGCATCCGACGGGGAGCTAGCCTGATTGGCATCCCTCGAACATGCCTGTCCAACCTCATTGTTTTTCTCTCCTGTGCATGCGGTTCATTCTCCCCTTGTAAACTCACCTTCTCACACTCCTTTTGTTGTGCAAGGCGTGATTCAAGCGTGATGCTCCCTCGTCCAGCCGGGCATCCAGCGCTTGTACCCGTGATTGGGATCTTCTCTTGAGGGGGGCAAGCCTGTCCGATGTCAATCGCCGATCCGAGAATGCGTGTCGGGCCCTGATCGCGGCGTCACGATCCCCCCATGGGGGCCTGTTCACCATCTAGCCGCCCACGACGGTCAGACCTGTCTGACGCCCGACTTGGTCCTCTGACCCAAGACTCCAGCCGTAGAGTGGTTTCGCCAAGGAGCATTGATGAGACTCCCGATTGGACAACGGAGCAGCAATGGGTGGTAAGACCTGTTGGGCTTCGAGCATCGATGACTGCCGGTGGGTAGGTAGGCGCGTAGATTGGCCTGTCACGCCCTCATCACCCTTCGTATGAGCAAATTTGACGCAGCGTTCCTGACCATGCCGCTCTCAAATAGGGATGGGTATGCCAGTCTCTCCTTCGTGATGCCTTTGACTCCCTTCTTCAGCATTCACCATTGATACTCACGCAATTCACTCAGACGTGTACCAAGAGCACCCATAGATTCGAACACGGCAGTCACAGGAACATGACAATGGTCGCTTGCCCTCTGAGCAGTCAAGCTCTTCAGCCCGGCGCCTCTTCTTCCTGGCTGTCAGCACCTCATCAGGCAGCAGCTGAAGCAGCAATGAAGCCGCAAGTAGCTCAAGTCCCTCAAGCACAGGAGACAACACCGGTAGCTTCATTATCACTGAGCAATGTGGCCGTTCAGGTTCAAGGGACCACATCACTCAACGAACATTCCGACTCGTACGCCCGCGTGTCTGGATTTGGAACAGCTACTACCGATGCCGGGCCAAGCAACTTTTCTACTCCACTTCGCCGCTTCAGCTCTGCCGACACAAGCTCCTCGACGATGCTGCCTGCTCAAGTACAAGCGGGCAGCGACTGGCAGCTATCAAGGGACGGGCCTACTCCCGAATGTACGCCGACAGAGAACTCGGAAGCTGGCCACACCTCGCAGCGCAGAAGGAGGAGCAGTAAGCAGCACAAGCAGCAACGTCGCCTGTCGGAGAGCCCCTCCCCATGTCCCTCTAGACGTCCCTCCTATCAGGCCGAGGCCGGAGGCAACAAGAGACAAAGGACCCCTGCCTCCAGCAGCTCACGACACCCCAGCTTACCCGTCAAGCTTCCGCAACCGGACATCGTCATCCTCTCTGATCCATACAAGGATCTCACTGGTCACTTGCGTCGTCACGGTCTCTTCGCTGAAGCGCAAGCATTTGCCGAAGCTGGTGTGCCGGCCAACTATGTCCTTCATGGCTACATGACTGCAGCCACTGGAGGTCCACCGGCCCTTCTGGAGCAGACGAGTCGCTTGCTTGTCAAGCATGGGCAAGAAGTGGCCCGTCAAATGGCCAAAAGCAAGCTGGACCACACGACACGGAATGTAGCCAGTGCTTTACCGGAATGCCTGACATTCGACATTGAGTCTCTGGATGCCCAAGCCGAGGAAAATGGCTTGACACCGACGCATGTGTTCGCCCTTCACTCCTCTATGCCAGCCGAAGGACGGAACGGTACTGCCAGCCCAGCCTCAAGCAATGGCATGCTAGTCCCTATCCATGCCCTTGCGTACGTTCTTCAATGCGTGTCTCTCCCAGCTTTGCCTTCGGCGAGCGCCTGTCCAGCAGCCAGTACCACAGGGATGCGAGACATGCCCGTAGTTCCTCTCAGGATCCCGTGTCCACAGGCCTTTCCGGTGATGCATCGCTTCATCTACAACCACAACGCTACCGAGCTACTCTGTTCACTCTTGCCTATCCGGCACATCACGACGACTCTCAATCGCAGCAGTAGCCCCTTTGGCGTTCCCACCCTGGGGGCAGATGCGACGACTCTCCCGAAGCACTTTACTGTGACCCGAGCCGTGCAGATCCTCTCAGAGCTGCCAGTCTCTGAGCTTCTAGGCCACGCCAAGCAAGTGCATGCGTGCTGGGCTAATGGCATTGCCGTGGGTCTGCTGAGTCACCTCTATTGGAGCACGCTGGATCGAGCTTGGGACATGATCGTGGGCGCCATGACACTCAAGCGAGGTCGCCAGGTGCTTGAGCAGGAGATGGAGAGGACCCTCCTGAGAGATCGGGAGGCGAGCGCAGATGTGTCTGCCCCGTCGAGCGCGTGATCGTCACGCTGATGGCGGGTAGCGCGAGGGCTACGAGACGACTGTACATACACGATGATAATGGAATACCCGCGCTTGACGCTTCCAATTTGCGGACATGGTGAGGTGGGAGTCGACTGCTGATGCTCCCGACCGCCTGCCCGTCTCCACCTTTGTGCATGCACGCCCACTGTCAGCCTCGGTCATCTGAGATTGCCGACGCCGACTGCCGCTTCTCCGCTCCACTGGCCTGCCCCCATGCGCCCCTTTCCGTCGCTCCCGCCCGCCCAAGAAGGTCTGAAGTGGAAGTGTGTGTGTCCTCCAAGTTACTCCTCCTCTTGCCATCGAGGATGTTCCTGCGCCCAATCACAAGATCTCTCTCTCCTCTTCATACCTCTCTCTCCCCTTCCCACTTGCTCAGCCGAAGCATGTCTGCCACCACCACCGCCTCTGCCTCTGGCGTGTCCTCCTCGAGCACTTCTGGCTCTTACGATGCCCTCGTCCTCGGTGCCGGCTGGTCCGGCATTCTAACCGCCCTACGTCTCACTGAGAATCACCAAAAAGTTCTCCTCCTCGAAGCTCGTGAACGAGTTGGTGGTAGAGCCTTCACCCATACGTATGATAACAACTCAAAGGGAAGTGGTGATAGGACGGTTAAAGGGAAGAAGAGCTGGGGAGTGGAGGCGCAGAGGGATGGAGTGCAGGCGGTTGATTTTGGATGCTCCTGGATTCATGGATATTATGAGGGAAACCCCGTAAAGGGCATTTGTGAGAAGTTGAACATTGTGAGTGATTGGTGGAACAAGAGCCTGGAGCATGCGTCAGAGCTAATGAGCGTACTTGAGCTCACGCCTTCTCTCTACAATCCCCGTCTCAGCCGGTATCGATCCCGACGCCGAAGAAGGCCACCATCGTCGGTCCCTCTGGCGCTCTCCCCGAGGATCTAGTACAAAAGATCACCTCGAATCTAAGCAACGCCATGTCTTCCGCTCAAGCTCTAGCCCGCTCCTGGTCCTCTGGCAGTACACCCGCTTCCGCCTCCCTCGCCTCATACCTCCTCGCCCACGACTCTCCCCTCTTCTCAGGTCTGACCGATGAGCAACGACCCTTAGCCGAAGGCTATGCTCGCCAGATGCACATCCCTCTCGGTACCACCCTCGAGCACGTTGCGCTTCGTTGGGCTGGCTTCGAGCAGAACTTCTCTGGGACAGACGCTGCCCCCGAGGGTGGCTTCACGAGGGTGATCGATGCCCTTGTAGAGCAATTCGTCCAGCAAGGCGGAAAGCTCGCATCAAGTGAGGAGGTCAAGAAGATTCAGAGTCAAAAGGAGGAAGGAATCAAGGTCGTCACTGCTTCGGGGACATACGAGGCTCCCGTGGCTGTGTGCACCTTCCCGCTGGCTGTACTCAAGCAGCAAGAGGCGAACCTCTTTGATCCGCCTTTGAGCGAGAAGAAGCGAGAGGTGATCCAGCGCACGAATGTGGGCGATCTCAATAAGGTCATGCTGGTGTACGAGTCTGCCTGGTGGCCCAAGGACGTGGGAACCTTCACGATCCTCCCATCGAGCGGTTCCTCCTCCACTGCGCAGGGCAGTGCAGACCTCCCTGCTCTCCTGGCAAAGACGACCCTGATGGTCGGAGCAGACACGGAGCACTCTCGCCTACTGGTCATGATCGGCGCCTCCGCCGGACGCGATCTGGAATCCTTCACTCGTCCACAGGTAGCCGACGCCCTTCATGCCTATCTCGCTGAGAGAATTCCGGTAGCAGGGAAAGGCGAGACGGGGGTGCAGAGCCCTTCGCATAACTTCATGACACGTTGGAGCAAGCATGCTCTTACGGGTGGAGCGACGACGACGCCCGTTGTGGTTGGGGAGGAGAATAGCCCTTTGGATTTTGGTGAGTGGATCACTCACCTCCCTCCCGTTCTCCCTCTCTCTCTCTTCATTTTTCGCAAGACCTTTACTCATCTTCTCCTCCTCCAACTCTTCTCCCCCCCCCCCCACCCCTACGCCCTCCCCTGAACAGTCGAGCTCAGCAAACCCGAATACTCCTCCCATCTCCTCTTTGCCGGTGAGCACACCGACTTGCACCATCGTGGATCCGTCGCTGGAGCCGTTGTGAGCGCAGAGCGGGAAGCTGCTAGAGCTTTGGCGTTTTTGGAAAAGAGGAAAGTAAATCAGAAGCATGGAGGAGGAGGAGGGGGAGGGGTCAAGGAGAGGAGAAAAGAAGAAGTGGTGAGCGATGATGCTGCGGCGAAGATGTGAGGGTACGAGCGAGCGAACGAGCGAGCGAGAGAGGGAGAGGGCGAGAGAGGAGAGTGGAGAAGAGAGGATGAACTGCTCAGCACGTCCTAGTGCGCACTACCACTGCCACTACCACTGGCACTACCAAATACAATGGATAGACGAACGATCTTTTCTCCATCTCCTTTCCTTCCCTCTTCCCTCTTCCCTTGAGGCAGCCAGCCAGCCAGCCATCTAGCCAGTCACACGATCAGATGTAGCACACTGTAAGAGGGGTAATCAATGATTAGAGCGATTAGAGCAAAAAGTGACAGAACAGTGGTGAGAAAAACTGATGAGCAGGGGGGAGCGGGTGGGAAGGTTCGAGCAGAGCAAGTAAAGCTGAAGCTGAAGCTGAAGCTGAAGCTAGGAAAGCAAAGGTGGGGGGTGATGGGCAGTAGCGAAAGCAAAAGGCCGGGGACGACAGGGCTTTGGCCCACACGTGGCTCTGGGCAAGGGGCAAGGACAAGGGCAAGGGCAAGGGCAAGGGGCAAGAGGCAGGAGACGGACAAGAGTGTAGAGCAGTGGCAATGGAAGTAGCAGTGCTGGTGCTGGTGAGCAGCTACAGGGGGCGCTGACGCTAGTGGAGGATGAGAGAGAGAGACAGAGGGAGAAGAAGGCAAGATGAAGGATACCGAAAGCAAGCAAGGCAGTTCCCAGCGCGAAGAATGTTTCCAACGTCCTTCCGAAATGTATAGTGACCAGGGAGCAAAGAGGGGCAAAGCAGATGATGGGAAGTGGTGGTGATGATGATGATGACGAAAGAGAAGTTCGGTGATCCCATTGGTGATGATTCGTCGGCTCGACTATCCGAACGAGACTCACTGACTCGAGTTGAGTGGGCTCGTGGCTGCAGCGGCAGAAGAGCTGACCGAGGAGGAGGAGGTTGCAGGTCGCGTGCCAATGGGAGCAGGCCTGCCCACAAGACCGTTCTGCCCCTCTCTGCGGCTCCACAATGGCTGCTGAGCAGCCCCTACCGTAACTCCATGCAGCGATCCACGGGCATCGCCAGTAAAAGAGTCGAAGTTGGCCTCCCTGACGGGGGTAGTGCTGAAGTGAAGTCTCAGGTTGGCGCTGATCGGTACGAGATTGTCATCCTCACTAGACTTTCGCATAGGAGGTGCTTCGTCCTTCCAAAGATCTTTGATCGCTCGTCCAGAGGGCGTAAACAAGTCTGGGACTTGTCCTCCGTTGCGGAGTGGAGAGCTGAAGGATGGTGAACCCAGTGCAGGGGGAATGGCGTGCTTGTGGCGTGCTTCGAGGCCGAAGGCACCAGGGGAGGAGATTGGCGCTGGGAGCCAGGCAGGCAACGGAGGACTGCGTGTCTGATGTCCATGGTAGCCCGGCCTAGGGAGCTCTGCTGAAGGTGCTTGCGGCTGCCACAAGCTCATATTGTCCAGATTGCGATTCCCAATGTCAGTCCGCGCAAAATGAGCGTGATCGAATTGAACATTTGGAGTCGTCTGACGACTTTGGTTGCTCAGCGCAGGATCCTGCAGGACGCCTTGTGCGATGTTTGAGCGGGCAAAAGCGTGATTGACACCCGTCAGGGGAGAGGGAGGTTGCTGAATGCCAATGTGTTTGGGGGATGTCATGACTTGACGTGGGCTCGGAATATGGGCGTAGCTACCATTGGGTTCAGACTGAGTTCTACCGTTGTCAAGATGAGCGGCACTCCTTGGCTTGGTGAGGGATGCAAGTTCGCTCTCGGGGATCTCAACCCCAGCTGCAACTCTCGCAGCCAACAAAGCCCCGTTGGAGAGGGACAGGGCGATCTCGTTGCCTTCTGCAAAGGGATAGCATCGCATGCAGACTCGTCTTCGCCGCCAATTGACAAAGGAGCAGTGAGAGCAGATCCAGTCTCCCGCTTGTACAAGCATTGGTCCGACGGAGCCGCTGTTGATGATGGGAGGCGGAGGAGGTGGTCCTTCTCTGATGGTTGGAGAACGCAAGTCACTGCTTGCTGCCAGGCCAGAGAGGGGATAGTCGACGTTTGGATTGACTCCTGGTCCTACGCCTACTCCCATGGATGCCAGTTGCTGAGTCGTCGCAAGGTCATTGAGTGAGACTTGCGCCCTCCTCGTCTGCTCACTGTCGATACCACTTCCATTACCGAACAAAGTTCGCGCGCCTTGAGGAGTGCCTCTGACATGAGAGTCCGAGGATTGCGAGTTCCTTTTGAGTGGGACAGGCAGACTCGGCGATTGAGTTGCAAATGGAGACCTGCAGCTATTGTACGAAAGCGATCGCTGCTTGAACGAAGCGGGGGAGGAGAGCTGTGGATCGGCCAAGAGAGACATGGGATACGCGGAAACATTGGTCTGAGGCCGCATGGGCGATGGTGACTGAGTGCGCTGCTGCACGTTGAGCCGATGTAGCTGTTGTATCCCCTCAGAGTAGGCGTCGCCTCGTAAGTGGGACTTTACGCGATTGTGCATGATGCTCTCCCTCATACGATCCTGGTGGTAGAATTGTGGAATGTCCAAAGGCCCTTGGCTATGAGCAGAGCCAGTTTGCAAAGGTGGAGTGTACATCGCTCCATTTTCGACTCCTGGGTAGGGTGTGTCACAGCCACGCCTTCGGACAGCATTCTCATTTGGGCGGTCGTGGCCAAAGAGCCTCGGAGATAGCGCGGTCGATCGCTGGTGTAGGTTGTCCCTGTTCCTTCCGTCCGCAAGTGTTGCAGCGCTGGGAGGTGATAGGGTGGCAGAGGACCATCCACTGTTTGGGAAAGGAGACTGCATCGTCGTCGCGGTGGGTGTTGACCAGTTCGGTGGCAAGTTGAATGCAGGTAAAGCAGCATCCAACTTGCTACCTATGCCTCCCTTCCTGGCTCGTGAGGCCGCAAATCCCGGGCGTGATGAGGGTAGACTGGGGTTCAGAGCGCCACATCTTCCGCACATACTGTTGCGCTGCAAATGTGACGGTACCGTGTCTTGCAAGGTGTCAACAGTGTGGCCACTTCTCTCATGGAGCGGACACAGTACTCACAGAATAATTGTGGAATGAGCAGTGACTCTGCACACACATCCAATCTGCCATCGAGGACAGAAATAGAAGAGGTATATAAGTCAGCTTACGCGCTCCTTGTGATAGCTGCCCCTCGCTTCGACAGGGTTCTGGTCTCACCTCCATTTCTGAACTCCGTAGGAGGGGCAAAGTCGGATATACACCCGATGGACTCATTCGGAGACTTGCGGAGGAGATCCGGTGCCTTGCGAGTCGGGCTAAGATGCAAAGAGTCTACTCTTACTGGTGTCGCTCTGACTGAAGCTGTGTTCGGATGGGTACGCTCATTTGATGGAGGTGGGAAGAAGGTGAGAGTGTTCCTCGACGGAGTGATTGAGATTGCTCCTTTGCTCTTTGCGCCAGTCGCAGTACGAGAGCAATTGTCCGCGACAGTGGCGTGTGAAGGGGCCTGTGTTGACGCGTCACTAGAGGTTGTTGCAGGTACGGTAGCAGATTGTGACTGTCTGCTGTGGGCAAGAGAGTCGGAAGAGGCGCAGTCTTTGACTCTCTTTGCAGACGAAGGGGGCGTATCGTCCTGGCAGGATGAAGGGTCAGAGACCTCAGCAGGAGATGAAGGAGCAGTCGAAGACGATGAAGAAGCATCGGCTAGCAGTACGTGAATGGGTAGCGACTGTTAAGATAGCAATGAAAGGGAAGAGTGCACGTGTCAGACTGAGCCACAGCAAGAGGGGGTTGGAAGCTCTTATTGTGCAGGCTCTGCCTTTTGGCCGCACGCCACCGCTACTCACTTCTGGATATTGAGCGAAGATGGGATCGATGGATGCAACATCACCGAAGAAGAACGCGTCCTTCTGGTCTTCCATAGCGCGATTGGGTGAGGTAGCTTCGATAGTCATTTCTCAGGTGATACCCCTTAAAGAGATCAAGCTGTGCTGTCGTGTATGTCGCGTGTCGAAACGAAGTCCAGCGATCCCGATCTCAAGTCTAGAGGGCGTTGATCGCCTCAAAGATGGCTTGAGTCGCGTGCGAGGAGGGTATGGATGGCTTGCACACGAGGGGTGGTAGCGAGGGAGGGGTGTTTGTGGCGCTCAGGAATAGCGTTGATAGATGTAGTGATGCTATGCGGCTGCGAGTCCCGCTTTTGGTTTGCAAGTGTGTATTCCAAGGAAGTGGGGCAATGGAGAGAAGAAGAAGGGAAGGGAGCAAGACGTGTTGTGGTGTCGACGGGGCGTGTGGTGGGAGTATCCGTCGAGGGGGGGCGATCGAGTAGTGAGGTGCGGTGCGGTGCGACAGACTGCCTCTCGACGAGGGCGGTGATGGCACAGCGCCACTGGACTTGAGGCGTCAGGCACACCAGACAAAAGTGCAGAGAAGACTTGGGATGGTAGCAACGTTGCTGCGACGACGAGGCGAGAGCGTCAGGGCCACAGTGCAGCGGATGCAAAGGACCACTCTTCCCCTCCCGCCCTGCGTAGTGCAGAGGCCGGAAATGGTAGGCAGAGACAGGCAGCAACCCCTCGAGCGCAAGATGAGGGGGTGATAGCTTACTCTACACCCGCTTCCATATCCTTTCTTCAGGAGCTCAGCCACAAGCCCAGACTCCGGAACATGCACGAGGAAGATAGAGCTCGGAACAACGAGGAGCTGTTTTTGACCGCTTCGAGCTGCAAAGGGGGAGCCTTAAAGATGGCTAGCCAAGGACTTCAAGGAATGCAATAGTGGGCCCGTCTGAAGAAGCTGAGGTATCATTGCCCTGAACTACCAGTAATGAAGGCCCCTCTCCTCCTTTCATACCCACAGTCCCGGATGGCCCCTTCGCCAAGAATAGGAGTGAGTACTGAGAGCTTCCTCAACGGAAGCACTGCGAAGGAGTTTGAGGCTACAGTCCTTCTTATCGACGATACTGTCAGTGTCCCCCTCATGCCTCTAGAGATCATAGGGGCCAAGGGGCCTCGGGGCCAGAGAGATAGGAGCACTGCCACGCTTGGGATCTGCTGAGTGGTCGCTATAATGAAGCCGCTTCCAAGCGTGTACGACTATCTGAATGTCCTTTCCTTCAAGAGATCGACCCCTAGTAGCCTCTCGGTCATGTTTGACGACGGTGCGCACCAACTTGCCAGCGACAAAGCCGTACCATCCACGGCCATGGTCCATGCCGTGATTAGACGTTGGTCGAGGTGGTTGGTGCACACCGGCTCGCGTGGCCGTGCCGTCTGTGCCGGCTGAACCCTCGGCAGACAAATCTCCGACGCTATTTCCGTTTTTCCGGGTGGGAGGGACATGACCCAACGCAGCCAGAGCCTCCACCCCGCGCCCCTCCCTCCGCACTTGCCTCCGTCGTCCCTCGACCCCTTTCCTTTCCTGAACACCCCCCCTCCCATCACACACTACAGAACGACATCAATCATGACCATACCTACTCTCCTTGACTACCCTCTACACGCAGCACCGATTGCAGAAGAGCGTCTGCCGCTGCGTGGTGCGGATCCCACACCTCTCCTTCTAGCCCTTGTCAAGCAGAGCTTTGAGCTTATCAGGTCCTCAGAGGCATGGCGCAAGGGCAAGGCTTACGGTTCAGCCGATGAGCCTATGAAGGGTGGCAAGATCCTCACACTCTCGTGTCCTTCTGATATGGAGGGTAGACTAAAGAAGTGCGCATGGCATGCAAGATTCAGCCAGCACAAGCCAGACGAGTGCAAGCTAGACTTTGACGAGTTCTTTGATGGCTTGGGGTCGGAAGAGCACACTCCCAACGAGGGTGAATATGTGCCAGACATTGTGGAAACACTCAAGATCGATACCATCATACCAGGTAGAGCCGAAATCTGGAGGAACTCATGTGAGTAGACTTCGCAGCAGCATGGCGTCTGCTGCGCAGCAGTGCCGACTTTGACTTAGCGGACTGACATGAATCCGCTGCCGTCTTGCACATTGGCGTTCCTAGACCACCTCGGTGGCCCATTGATCTCGAACAGAGATTTCCTCGAACTTGTGGTCACCATTCCCCTTCCTCCGTCACCCGCCCCTTTCTCGCGTGCGCATGAAGAGGTAGTGACCCGACAAATCGCCACGACGCACCGCCTGGCCTCAGACCCAGGAGCGCCCTCTCGCGGCAGGCGGTCGTTCGTGGTGATCTCCGTCCCAGTATCACACCATGCCGCTCCTGAGAGGAGCGACTTTGTCAGGGCAAAGTATGCTTCCGTCGAAGGAGTATGGGAGGGGCAGTCATCTCAAGGCAGCGAACAGCCGCAGGTCGAGTGGTTCATGGCCGTGCAGAGTGATACAGCCGGCAAGGTTCCACTCATGTTCCAAGAGGTGAGTTCTCCCTCTCGTTCTTGTGATAGTGTACCGCCACGTCCCAAAGTGCCTGACGTTCGAATGCGCTCCATCACAGATGGCAATGGCCGACAAGATCAGACATGACGTACCCCTCTTCTTCGACTGGCTGCGGAAGCGCAGGGAGAAATCAGGCAAGAAGCCGGCCCCTAAATCAAGCGCTCAAGCAAATGCGATGCCCATGCACATGGACAAGGGCGACAATTCTCACCTCGAGAGCGGCAATACGAGCCTCAAGGGGGGGTCTACTAGACCCGAATCTCGTGTAGACTCTCAAGCCCCACCGGAGTCTTCCGTGGCAAGCGTAGGTCCAGCGGCTGCAGTGGGCACGACTGGAGCGCAGGGCAACGATCAACATGCTCCTCAGTACCCTGCTTATGGTGACCAGACCGCCCAGCACGAGCAGAACGGAGCATACGTCCCTCAACAGGAGAGCAATCAGGATTATCCTGCTCAGAATGGCTACGAAGGACAGCACGCCTCGCAGCACGAGAATGTCAGTGCAGTATCGGGTACTGGTGCTGAGTATCCTTCTACTTCTACCGGAAAGTCTTCCGCCATGCCCTCGAAGACTGTCCCAGCAGCAGAAGAAGCGTCAGTCGGCAATGGCGCACCACCTCATGCTGGGCAAGGCTCCTCCCAGCACCAAAGAAGTGGGGCTGCACCTCCCCTTTCCAGCAATTACCTCATGGGCAGCAGCAGCAGCAGCGGTGGTGGCAGCGGACTTGGCAAGGGCGTGAGCCATGGCTCCACTGGCGAGCAGAATATGGAAGGACAGAATAGCGCTGCGAATGAGGGGTGGGAGGCCACGAGTGGGACTTATGGTGATGGGACGGCCCCCTCCCTCGAGGAGCAGATGGCTCGACAGACCCAGGAGTACTCGACTACGCATCAGCAATAAGAGATAGGGGAGAGGAAGAAGGAGAAGGAAGACAATCGGTGAATCGAGGAGAGAAATAGGGCGGTGCGGGGCCTGAATACCAAGTCTATAAGAGCATGCTGAATATATTGTGTACACAATTGAACGAACGGCCGATGATCCAGCACATCACTTTCGGTCTGCCTCTTGTGGCTATTCTAGTCCCAGCCATCTGACTTGACAGGTCGCAATTCCCCCAATTCGACGCACCCCTTGCCCTTGCCCTTTGCATCGTACCGATAACTCGACCCTTCCCCTCCTTGGCGACTCCTCGAGGTAATGACCGCCCTTGCAGGAAGTGCTCCAAGTTCAAACCCCTCTTCTGTCCCATCTCCAGCACCAAACCCACGAAAACTCTTGGAGTCTGATGTGCTAGGAGCTAAATCGGCTGCAGCGCCTGCAATTGCACCCGCTACGGCATTGGCACTAGGTACAGAAGCAGCTGCAATGGCCACGTCCGTCTTTTTATCGCTACCGCCCTCGTCAAAGCCAACGATGCCGATGTCTCTTAGCCAGATACAGGCAATGAGCATCGCCAAGCCCGAGCAGGCGACGCAGAACCAAATGGCTGCATGATACCCCTGTAGGAGCGCTTCGGGGGAAGTCGAGGACACCTCCTCGGCATTGGCTTGGACGTACTTTTTTGTCACGGCAGAAGAGATGCTGGCGGTGATTGCCAGACCTAGAGAGGTAGCCAGACGAGTCGTAGTATTGAAGAGACCTCCTGCCAGAGCTGCTCGAGAGGGTCCTGCAGAGGAGCAAGCATAGAGTTGTGCTACGGGAAAGACGAGGTCGGTTGAAGGGGCGAGGCAGAAGGAGATGAAGAGACCTGCCCAGTAAACAGTGTCTTTGCCAATGACACAGAAAATCACACACGAGGCGATCCCTCCGAGGATACCCGGGATGATGAGCCAGAGGCCAGAGAACTTGGACATCATTAGACCGGCAATGACATTGTACAGGATACCCGTCACGACCATTGGCAAGAATTGCAGTGAGGCTTGCAGGGGGGACAGCTGTCGAACTTCTTGAATGTAAAGAGTTGCAAAGTATGACAAGGAATTGAAGGAAAGCCATGCGAAGAAGATCATCGATAGGAGGGGCTTGAGGGCCTTTGCTCTCCAGATGGAATGCGGCAGCAGAGGTGCCATTGTGCCCGAGAGGTTTGTGAGGGCGCGGAGGTTGCGTGGAGTGGCATTTGATTGGCCCAAGGACATTCCAGGACCACGCAAGTGGGCTTTCTCGACTTTGTTCTCCCAGAAGAGGAAAGAGACGAGGAGGAGGAGCGACAGTGGCAGGGTTGCAGGTACAAAGGGAGACTTCCACCCCCTTGCGCTCGAGCCAGCATCGGCAAGGCCAAATGTGAGGAGGACGAGACCAGATGTGGACATGACAGCTCCGAGCCAGTCGAAGTGCAGCAGCTGCTGAATTGGACTGCGTTCATTGTGTTGAGTTGGCTCATCGGCAGGGAGGGAGACGATGGAGATTGCAATGAAGAGCACCGCACAGCCGGCCATGAGATACATGATGGTTCGCCAGTCCTCTGAAAGCAGACCGCCCGCCAGTAGTCCGAGGACGAACCCTAGTGGCTGACCTGCACCAAGTGCTGAGTAGCTCAGATTCCGCAGCCTGCCTTCTGGAAGAGCACTGAGTAGGCCCGTTGCTGCAGGTGAGAGGATGGCGCAGCCCAGACCCATCAAAGCGGCAAAGACAATGAAGAAGATGGGCGTCTTGGCGAATGTGATGCCAATCCCACAGACGCAAAGCCAGACGACACCAATGAAGAAGATGAATCTCCTGCCTAGGACGTCAGCCAGTCCACCACAGATGAGGAGAAAGGATCCATTAAGGAGGGAGAAGAGGGTCAAGGGCCACTGCAGGTCTGTGCCTCCGAAGCCCAATTGCCGACCAATGGATGGGAGTGCGATTGTGAGGGCACCATTGACGTAGCTTGCTAGAACAGTGGAGCCTGTGACCGCTGCTATCATCAGAATAGGCGTCACCTTCTCCGAGTAGAATCGAGGGAAGAAGACGGTGTTCAGCCGATGAGAAGGTGCAGGAGGAGTCACCTCCATGGCGGGCAAGTGTCCAGATCCCAAAGAGAGAAGATGGGTGAAGCAACGGCAGAGTCCCCTCTCTGGTAATCCAAGGAGTGGAAGCTACAGGTCCACCATCGCCCAAAGGAGAAGCGGGACTGGCGTTGAGTCTAGTCCTTCCTTCCCCGCCAAGCAGGAGCCCCGCCTCGGCTGGAATTTCAGTGATTCCCGCCGGCTGAGTGGTGCAGCCAGACTACCTCACGCCGCCCGCACTGGCTTCCGATCCGACGCCAGATGATGCGCCTTGGCCAATTCACCCCGCGTCACTCGGTAGCAACCAACACTCTTGCCGATCCACTTCCATCATCGATTTCACGTCTTTTTGAGCAGCGTATTGCCTCTTCCTCCGTCCGGGTAGACTCGGCGGAAATACGTGTTCGCTATCATGGCTGTCGCACCAGCCTCAGCGGCGAACATTGTGGCAGAGTACCTCAAGGTAAGATCAACATCATTGCCCCTTGTGGGCTACGCACAGTACGCATGACTCATTGCTGCCTCCTTCTCTGCCGACCCCACAGTCACCTGACGATCTCTCCCGCCTAGCTGGTCTTCGCACCAAACTACATCGAGAGTCCCTGACTCTCGAGGCGAAGCTCAAGACGGGCGCAAAAGAGCAGCTTGAGGCCATTCGCGATGGACTGCTGAAGCTGCAAGCAACGAAGCGCGATGTGCAAGGCGTACGTGAGGCATTTGCCGAGGTCGAGAGGCTATGCAAAGGCAGTGACGCTGAAGTTGCGGAAAAGGGAGAATTGGGAGCCAAGGGAGCCAAGGCTTTCCGAGTCATCAGCGAAGTATCGCAGATACATCGCAACTTCGTGCAGGCCGACACTGTCCTGAATCAGCTCGAGATGATGCCGCCCAAGATCGAAGAACTGGCTCACATGCTTCAACAAGCCCGTGACGACCTCTTCGGTCCAGCAACAAGACTACTCAGCTTGCATTATCACATCTCTGAGCTAGAGACCTTCCGCAACGAGACCCTTCAAACGGCAAGGACTTGCTCAAGCGACGTGAGGCAGCAATTGATGGAATTCTTCTCTCCGCTAGATGGGCTGGTGAAGGAATTCGAGGGATACCTCTTCTTGATGGGCGAGCGTGCGATTGACCTCGTCCGTGAAGGCAGAGAAGGCGTCATCGTTAAGCTCGTCAAGATCATCGAGAAGGAGTCAAGGGAGGATGAGAAGGCTGCAGCCATACGATTGGCGAAGAGGGCAAACTTGGAGGGCGCTGCTCGCTTCCGAAGCGTCATCGCCAATGCTCGCGTCATCAAGCTCTACCGTCCAAAACTGCTAGAGGCGATGGATAGGTCGACTCAGGAGCTCTTCGCAGAATGCTGGAACCGGTTCGGGACCGATGGCAGATACCTCGACTTCCTCACCCACTTAGAGTGGATCTACAAAGACCTGGAGCAAGTCAAAGAGCTCATGGTGCCTCTGTTCCCCCAAGATTACAACATATATCGCTTCTTTGTCAAGTCGTATCACAAGCACCTCGGGCAGCTGTTGAGGGACAACATCTTGGCTACTGACCCCGAGGCCAGCGCTCTGCTGACCCTGTACCAATTTACGCAAGAATATACAACGACAATGAAGAAGGAGCTCAAAGTTGACGAAGAGTGGCTGAAACCCTCTCTTCTTGGTGGCAAGGAGCAAGCGATCATCGACGATTACCTTTCGTTGATCACGCGCAAGATTGACGAATGGTCCGCAAATCTCATGAGCGATGAAGTACGGGCGTTTGTGGCGAGAGCAGATGCGCCAGAGAAGGACGCCGATGGTCTCTACGGCATAAATTACGCTTCAACGCTCTTCATGATGCTTACGCAGCAATGCGATTTGGCAGCTGATTCTGGCCAGGGGGCGATTCTCGCCAAGGCCGTCTTCCACTCTGCGCAGACCATGATCGCAAGTCAAGCGACATGGTTGCGGGTAGTCGAAGGCGAGTGCAGCAAGCAAATTCAGGCAAAGAACCCGGACGAGATCGCCCCTGGTCTGACAGAGTACGTCATTGCTCTGTGCAACGAGCTGATCAAGTCGGCTGATCTAGCGGAAGCACTGGGCAAGCGATTCGAAGCGCTAGTCAGCACGAAGTACAAGGCTGGCATCCGAGAGGAAATCGACAATGCGGTCAACGGCTACCTCGACGTGAGCGCAAGATGCGGCGGCATTTTGGTGCAATTCGTCTTCGAAGATCTGAAGCCAGCGGTCAAGGAGCTCTTCAGCTTCCCAGCTTGGTACGCCGAGGGCACTTGCACGATCATCATCGAAACAATGAGGGACTATCTTTCGGATTATGCCGAGCTGTTGAACCCCAACTTCTTCGAGGCTCGTCTACTGCCGGACCTCATTGACCGCTTCTTAGTGTCTTACATCGGAGCTCTCCGGCGGGCTACTAAGCTGAGGATGCCAGGAGCGGCTGACAGGATGAAGAGTGACATTGATGAGTTCCGTGTCATGATCGGCATTTGGTTGAAGGAGAACGAATGGGAAGAAAAGGCAGGCGTACTGGATCTCATGTGAGTAGTCCAGAGTTGCGAGTGTGAAGAGGAGCCGTACTGAACCCCTCTTTTCCTCTATCCTCCAGTTTGGCCCTTTTGACCTCGTCATCTACGATGGTGTTCCTCCCATACTGGTCTTTCGCGAAAGCCTGCGGACCCAACTTCGGCTTCTTGGAATCTGTGATGAAGGCTCGCGACGACTTGGACAAGTCGGACGTCTCAGGTATCATGGAGTCTGCCAGACGTAAAGTCAAGAACGAGGGCCTCCCAGATGTGCCCATGGTGGAAGGATCAGTGGGCGAGCCGATGCATGGTGCGGGCATCATGAAGAGGGTTGAGACCAGCCTCGTCGTTGGAGGAGCGGCTGCGCTCTTGTGGGGCCGCGTAGGAGGTGCTGCGAGCGGACTGACCTCGAGTCAGATGGCGCCTTCCAACAGCTCGTCGGGCACGGGCTGGAGTACGATTGCGCAGAATTACCTCGGCTCGGGCTGGAGGGACCGTGTGGTTCAGTGATGATCTTTTGTATATGTATAATAGTCTACCTCCAATGTCGATACCAACCGTGCTTGCACAAGATGCGCCTGCCTGAGCAAGGGCTCGCCTAGCCTACCACCGCCGCCTGACGCGCGTGGCGGCGGGTGGGCGTCATCGACTTCCCGCTTGTCCTTCCGCTCGGCGAGTACAACGCCTCGATTGAGCCCAGACAGCCATCACTCACCTTCACCATCGTTCCTCATCCTTCATCTCCTGAGACCTCACAGGCCGCTCATACCCTTAGCGAGACGCTGCCTGTGCTGGATATTGCTACACCAGGCAAGCTCATCACCCCACACCCCCCGAGTGAGCCAGGCGGTCGGGCCTCCACTGATAGACGGCCTCTCTCCCCTGGCATTGGTACCTCTCCTAGCCCGGGTTCTCCCTCCTCGTAACAATGACGACGAGGAGCACGAGGTCCACGAGGTCTGGAAGAGAGAGAATCTCTGACGGAGACGTCTATGTATTCCTCCTTCAGGTTGCCGTCCTCTCCTGGTCGTCACATCAGCGCCAGCTCGAAGCCTCACGGCCTCCCATATCCAGGGGGGAGAGCTCAGCCTCTGCTTCTCTCTCTTCGAAGAAGGCAGGCGATTATGGGGGTAGCAGCAGTAATACTAGTGGTGCTAGCTCGTCCAAGTCAGACTGGATGTCCTTGGGGGGACTGATGGACGTTGTCGGAGCCTCCTCTCGCGGAGGGGAGGTCAAGTTCCCAGAGAAGCTCATAAAGCGATTGAATGATCGTCTAGAGAAGATCATCAAAGGGCAGGACACAATATACAAGGACATCTCCCTGAGGTCGACTATTGCTCGATTCTATGGTACCTTCAAGGAGGACAGCTTCCAACGCCAACTCAAGACAAACCGGAAGATTGAGCCTTTGATTCTGATCTTTGTGACGAAGGCGCAGGAGGCGCTCAAGAAAGGAGTGCCTTCGCAGAAGGCTCTGTCTGATGAAGAGCTCAAGGCTGAACTGAATAAGCAGGTGGGGCAATTTGTCAAGATCATTCGAGAATCGCTGGATACAGTCCATGGCGTGTCTAAGGAGCTCAGGGAGAGGCTGGATAGCTACCAGTCTACTCTGGTACCTAGGCCAACCAGCCTCTCGGTCCCGGCCGGCTCAGCATCGACGTCTGCTTCGATGGCAGCAGGGTCCACATCCGCTTCCAGCTCGTCAACTGGTACCACATTAGTGAACGGAAGCAGAAGAGGGAGTTCGGCAAGCACTGCGCTTCCGCTACCGGATCCCATCAGGGATAGTGAAATGATCAGGAGCGTTGGAGAGCTGTTTGCGGTGGACTCAGAGCAGCTCCTGAAAGATGTGGAATTCATGAAGGCAACGTGTACCGAACAGGTGAGTCATTCAAAGGGATGTGGAGAGCCACTTGAGCTGCCTGCTGAGCCATCTGTGATCGTGTCATGCCTCCCATTTAGGCCGCCATGATCGACCTCAAGCACTGTGTCAAGAACATCAATCTGAAAGCTTCGTGGCCAGGACGCCGGGAAGACTTTGAGACGGAGCAAGCGTATCAGCATTGGAGGACACAAGAGCTCCAGAATCTTTCCGAAGTCATGATGCAGATGTGCCAGTCAAATCCTGTGCTCCTAAAGACGACTTCAAGATCGTCTACGATATCGACATCAGCGGATGCTGGCGGCGCTACTCGCAAAAGGACGATTGACTCTGCGGGCGTCGGCAGTGCAGGCACTGCCCCCGTTGAAGTCTCGGCTGCCGTTGAAGCCGGGGAAGGCGCACCGGATGCTGATACCCTCAGTCAAGCCGTCGATGAAGAAGAAACATTCGAAGGCTTTACCTACGTGCCGCCGGATCCCAAGGCCTTCTATCGAAGAGCGTTGGAGCTCTCCATCGACTTTGACCTTGAACAGATCAAGCAGCAGCCAGAGGAGGAAGAAGTGTCACTGAGTATCCTCTCACGGCAGCACGTGGAGCTGCTAAACGAATGCGCTCTGCGCTGGAGGCTGGGGCCTTCGTACCGGACGGTTGTTAATCTGGACGTCATGAAGGAGAAATTTGACAGAGGAGAGGTGCCGCTGGACTGCATTTCAGAGGCTTTGACCACCACTCAGAGCGTCGTGCAGGAGATCAATGTCGATCTTTGGATGAAGTCGGACTATGTGCTACTTGTCCGCATCTTCTCCTCGCTCTTCGACTCCTTCCTGCGGTCGATCTACGAAGCGTTCCAAGATCTTCACAATGTCGACCCGGAAGACATTCAACCCTACGTGGTCATGGCTGAAGAGCTTCACGCTTCACAGCTGGTCAGGACGAATCAGGACTCCAATGGGACAATAGTCGAGATGGATCGACACACCGAAGAGCTCAAGGATGGCATTAGAATCATGGCTATCCACGAGTACACTGCCAAGACAACTGAGCTCTTCTCGCAAGCAGTCGACAATGAGGTTGTCCCGCTGATACAGCTCATCGATTGGCTACAAAAAGGCGCCAAGAGGCTCGACAAACGATACCCCGACCCAATCTTTGGCTCGATAGACCCAGTGCGTCATCTCCTCGAGAAACAAGTGCCGCTATTCCTCGATGACCTGCAGTCGATGAAGCAGCAGGTCCTACAACATGCCTTGAGAGAGCGAGAGCCGCTGGCATTCGAGGACATCTATACCCTGTACAACCGCGTCAAGGAGCTTCTCAAGATGTACCTGGCCTTCGCGCCTGATGGAGACGTGTCCTTCAGCGTTGGCGACTGGTTTGAGCCTCACATCAAGCACTGGCTCGTCAATACTGATCGGAAGACTGGCGAGTGGGTCAACAATGCAATCGCCTCTGATCAATTTGTCCCACTCGATGTGGAGGGCGCTGTGCACAGCTCCTCCATCGATGATCTCTTTGGGGCTCTGGGCCAGCCGCTGGAATTCATCCAATCGCTGAAATGGCCAGATGAATACCAAAGTGCTCGCTTTCTGACAGACCTGTCCAAGACAATCTCAAAGTCCATCGAGATGTATTGTCATCGAGTCGAAGAGCTGTTCATGGATGAGATGTTTCCTCGTACTGCCGAGGGCCAAGACACATCGCAGAAGCAGTCAGCGTGGATGGTCAAGGCTAAGCAGACTCTGCAAGGTACCCAGAAGGTGGAGCCTTTCCACTTTCAGGAAACGTCTTGTGTAAAGCTGAATAACATCGAAGCAGCACGGCTCTTGCTGGACAAGCTCTACACGAAAGTGGAAGCCGATAAACAGGCTCAGATAATCCGAGAGGCGGGCATGGATGCCGCGGACAAGCAGCCATCGGAGCGATTCATCTTCACCATCAAGGTCGTCTTGGGCGAAAATTTGCAGCCTATACGCGACGTGAGCGGAAAGGCGCGAATCGATTCTTTTGTGACGCTCAGTGACGAGAGGGGCAACAAAATTGCAAAAACGAGGACAATCTATGAGACTCCTGATCCGAGGTGGGATGAGGCATTTGACGTCACTGTCAATAAGCCGATGTGGCTCGCTGCTACCGTCTGGGATCGGAAGCTCGTAGGCGATCACAATCTTTGTGGCAGAGCCTTCCTTCGCTTGGACCCTCGTTTCTTTGGTGACTTTTTGAATCACGAGCTATGGCTCGATCTCGATCCTCAGGGCAAGCTGCTGATGAGAGTCAGTATGGAGGGCGAGAAGGATGACATTCTCTTCTACTTTGGTCGGGCCTTCCGTTCGCTGAAGCGGGCAGAGAGCGACATGGTGAGGACAATTGTGGATAAGATGTCCATCTTCATTCGCCAATGCCTGTCGAGATCTGTGCTCAAGTCATTGGTCAAGACCAGTGGAATCAATATCGATAAGGCTCTGGGAAACGTCAAGGCGCTGTACGCTCAGGCTCTGGCGAGTACGTCTTCGAGTCCGTCCGTCATCCCGCCTGTCGAGTCCGAGGCACCAAAAAAGCAACGCCCGGCCGTCTTGACAGACGAAGAGATCGAAGGTGCAATTGCCCCTCTCCTCGACTACCTTCACGAATGTCTCGGCACTCTCAAGAGCAGTCTGAGTGACAGCCAGGCAGAATTGGTCATGACGAAAGTGTGGAAGGAAGTCCTTACCACAATAGATTCTATCCTATTACCGCCGCTGTCCGATGCTCCATCCGACCTCTCGCAGCTATCCGGAAAGGAAGTCGAAGTGGTCTTCAAGTGGCTCAGCTTCCTGCGAAACTATTTCAATGCCTATGACGAAGAGACACAAACCGCTCATGGTGTTCCCCTGGAAGTCCTGCAGGGGCCCAAGTACCGAGAGATTGTTGCCTATACCCTTCACCACGACTCGTCTACAGACGCCCTCATGGAAGCCTGTGTGCGAGAGATGCAGCTTCGACTCAGGCGAGCGCCTACAAAGAAGACGAAGAACAAGAGTGTCCTGGAGCAGCGCTCCCTAGGGACAATCAAGAAGCGGAAACAGGACAAGAAGGTGGACCACGAGGAGCAAGACAATCTGGAACTCATCTTGCGTTTGTTGCGCATGAGGCCCCATACGGGAGATTTCTTGCAGCAGCAATTTGCCACTTTGACAGCTCTGCAGCAAGGACCTAATGCCCAGCCTCCACCGCTTCCTCGCGGCGGTGGGGCGGGTCAACGCGCTTCCCGCCTCTTTGCTACTCCTCTGAGCGGTCCAAGCGGTGAGGGTGGTCTCTCGCGTCCGATGGCCCCAGCAAGAGCAGCCTCGCACGATGTGACCAGTGGGAACACTGTCGGTGGCGGTGTCGAGCTGTCTGATCCAGGCGCAGAGGTCAGACCAGCGGCAGCGAGTGGGAGAGGCCACTTTTCACGGCCGTCGATGCTCAGTCGTAGTAGAGTCTCTTCTGGTGGGAGCACTTATGGTGGTGGGCCGAGACCTTTCAGGGGATGAGAGAGAATAGAGTGGCAGAAGAACCTGGCCTGATAGTCTGGGCTGCAAATCTTCTTCTTCTTCTTCTTCTTCTTCTTCTTCTTCTTCTTCTTCTTCATCCGCCGTAGAGTGTCTTGTCTTTCATACCCTACCTTGTCTCTCCTTCATCTCATCTTCCTGCAATGACCAGTCTGTAGGAAAGTCTCTCCTTTTGATGCGCATGTCTAAAAGCGATAGTCGATTGTCTAGAGCGCACACACACGTTCACTCAGGCAGAAGAGAAGACGAAGAGTGCAGACTGAGTCATTGCCGCTGATGCCGCACAGGCAGGTTTCAATCAAACAATGGGTACGCCTCGCAGGAAGGACAATGTCCCGACATTGTAGTCGAGAAGATCGCCTAACCTCGCCCCTGCCCTCGTCTGAGCACGAAGGTACTCTGTCCAAGCAAGTTTCAGTCGCCTCCTTTCCGCCACTTCACCCTCTGCTTCTTCTTGTTCCCCGTCCTCTTGTTGTGCTTCGTCCTCCTCGTCATCTTCAGAAGGGAAGAGTCCCTCCACCATCTCCTCGCCCCTTGACCTTCGCAAACTCTCAACAAGCGCCAAAATGGCCTCGTAATCCCTCCCCGCTGCAAGTCTCTTTGCGCACGCGAGTAAGAAGTGGGTCATACTCTCCACAGAGGCGAGTTCCAAACGGAGGACCAAGTCGAGTTGAGGAGGTGAGAGGGAGAGGAGGTGAGAGAAGAGGGCGTCCCCTTCTGGGTCGGAGCCGCCTTCAGATGTGACCTGATGGAGGAGACGCTCGGTCGGAGTGGAGTCGGAGAGGGAGAGATCTTGTCGGGTGAGGGACTCCAAGAGCGTCTCGCGAGGCCCAGTAGACTCGAGCGCAGCTCGACCGTTACTTTGGGCTTTGCCGTGCCCATTGATAGGAGCAGCAGCAGTGCCCGTGGCGCTCGAGGGAGGCGCTACACTAGCGCCCAGGAAGAAGGGAGCTTTCTTTGGCTTCTTGGGCGCCTCCTTTGGTCGATCTCGAGCTTTGATGAGGTCTAGACTGAGCAGTGTGGCCCACTTGGTTCGCGATTGGGAAGTAGTCGTGATGAGTGGGTGAGAGCCTGCTTCATCTGCTGGGCCAGACAACAGAGGTGTCGCAGAGACTTCGCCTGTATAATGTGTACCCTGCAAGTCGAGGGAGCCGACGGCTTCTTCGAGTGCCTCGTCGTCATCTCCGGCTGTAGGACCTCTCACAGAGGGCAGAGTCGCCTCTTCTTCAGCTATGTCCTCGGCACCTGCGGCTCCCTCCTCGTCTTCGTCAATTCTACCCCGTCCGGAAGACCATGTCCAGAGGTAGACACCTTTACCATCCGTTCCGCAACCAGCAACCATGCTTCCGTCGGGACTCCAATCCAAACTGACAATGACCTCCCTTAAGCGCATCCGGTCAATCAGCAGACCACTAGGCATGTCGAATGTCGACAGACAGCCGTCCATCGTCGATATGAGGAGACTCCGCAAAGTGGGGCTGAAGGTCACGTCTGTGACCCTTGCTGGTAGCGGGCCAAAGCGACGCACCACTCTCCGTGTGACAAAGTCGAGGATGAGGAGTGGCTGTGAGAGACCCAGTGGGATCAACGCCAGGAGCGTCGCTTGAGGAGATGTCCGCAGACCCACCAAGGAGGGGAATTGATGACTTGAAAGCAACGTCGTGCCGTAGAAGTCGAAGAAATAGACTCCACCAGAAGAAGTCACTACTGCCAGCTCTTTATTGCCCTCGTCTGCGGTGAGACCTACGACCTTGCTGCCTTTGCCTCTGACCTCTCTCCGCTTCTTCAACTTCTTAGTCCCTACCCCACTCTCCTCTTGCACGTAGCTGACCGGACGAGTATCAAAGCTTCGTACGTAGCGACCACTCTGCATATTCCACATCTCCACTGTTCCGTTGCTCATCCCCACGATGCCGAAGTTGCCGCAATGAGAGACGACTCCTGAAGTCGCAACGCTACCCGAAGAGCTGTTCTTCTTGCTGCTCTTCTGGTGCATGAGAGGCGTGGCATTCGTTCGCCTATCCCTGCCGTACCACATCCGTGCAGGACTTGAAGGGTGGACTGTCAGAATGTCGTCCCAGTCTCTCGACCTCGTCAGGGAGAAGCTGAGAGAGGAAGCAGCCTCGAGCTTGAGACTTGTCGGCGGCAAAGAAAGCTGATTTGCCTTGCGCACAATGGAGCCTTGCGACAGCTCACCGCCGCGAGCTTCCCTTCCAACCCAGCCCAAGCGCACTGATCTGTCGCGGCCTGCTGTGAGTAGTGGAGCCCGACCATCTGTTCCATACCACCTCACGAGGGAGGGCGGTTCCGAGTGGCCTTCCCTGCTCTTGAGGAGACGCGGGAGTGAAGCAGAGCCAGAAGACGTAGAGGCTCCCCCGGATCCGCCGTCGTAAGCGGAAGTGGACGAGGCAGGCTCGAAGAACCACTGCTTGATGGCGTTGTCTGCCGCCGAGGAGATGAGGAGGGGTTGACCTGCCACAAACTCGAGTCCCGACACAGGCGCTGCGTGAGCATTGCGGATGGTGTGGGTGAGACGTGGCGAATTGGCGACCGGCTCAGCTGCATCAGTACCCTTCTTCTGCAGCGCTCCACTCGCTGCTGGGTCCAAGTCGAAGATGAAGATATCCCCGGAGCGAGAACCAAGAGCCATAGTGTGGGCCCGGCCATCTGTCCGGAAGGTTGGAGGAGTAGACGACAGAGGTGCTTCGAGGCGAAAGGTCATGATGGCTGTGTCGTACTTGATGTCATGCAGAAGGATACAGTTATTGGACGTAGTGATTGCGATGACATCTAGAGCGGGAGTCTGGGCAAGTGCGATAATTGAGACCGGATCCGGGGCGTTAATAGTAATGCCGTGAGCTTCGAAGAGGGAGGATGCTGAGAAATGGTGCACCAAGCTGCTGTCTCTGATGTTCCACAGCGCGAGATCACCATTGGACATGCCCAGGAGGACCTTGTGCAAATAAGTCGTTGGGTGTACGATGGCTGTAGGTACTGACCTCTCTGCCGAAGGTAATTCGATGGCATTGGTGAGCTGCGAGGTGGACAGCGAGAAGTGAGATAGCGTGGAGCCACTGAGAGCTACGATGCTATCTCCGAAGACGATGAAGTGAGAGATGGGGATGTTGACCTCAGAACAGCTGTAGCGAGCGACCACCTTGCCCCGTGTGAAGCGATGGATTGTCGACCCGGCAGACGCTAAGATGGAATCCGGAGAGGTGGAGAGGGCGAGCTGAGTGATCGACGAGGGCAATTGAGCTCCCACGAAGACTTGCATGAGTGATTCGGCGGTCCAGATACTCCAAGAATCTCCCAAGCTTGTGACGATGTTGACGTCTGGCTTGTCAGCATCTTTGCCACCGTGCCGTACTTGCACGACAAAGGGGACGTGATCGGTGATGATGCCCATGGCCAGGTAGGGCGTGAAGAGGTGCCGCCTGCGAGGCGTGGCCGGGGTGGTAGCCAGGGCGGAAGCGTCCTTGCCGTGCCCATCAGCATCGCCATTGGCCAGCCTGGGCCGCTTGGACGTCGTGGCTGCGTCCATGTTGGGCAGAGGTGGTGTGAGTATCAGAGGGAGATGGTGATCTGCTCTGAGGATCCCACCTTGTTGCTGATATTCTGTTCTTCTCGCCAGAAGCACTGACATGGAAAATCTGCCTCGCCCTTCCCCTTCCCGCATTTTCAACTCCGCCCAAATTTTTGCCGTGCCAGAGCGGGCGAGGAGAGGCGAGGCGTGTAGGCGCATTGGTACCGTTGCTCACCATTGCCATCATCACCACCATCACCACCACCACGCCGTCATCCTCACCTTTAGCCCTGGTCATCGTCGTCTGGCAGTGATAATGGCTCCTTCTCTCGACTCACACGACGCAGCAGAGGCAGCTCTCGCCTCGCAGCTTGCGGAAGATGTGCGACAGGCAGAGTCCGGCAAGGCATCTACCTCCACCGTCCTAGGGTCAGATGCCTCGAGGGACGCTGAAGCTACGCAAGCCTCGACCTCTGGCGCCTCGACTTCATCTGCTAATCAAACACCAGCAGCGCTCCGTCAGCCCTTTTCAGATCTCGACCTCTCGGAGCCGACACGGAGAGCCTTGGAGGGTATGGGTTTCAAGACCATGACAGAGGTGCAGGCCAGGTGTATCCCACCTCTCATGGCAGGCAAGGACGTCCTTGGAGCTGCTCAGACTGGCAGTGGGAAGACGCTGGCCTTTCTCATCCCCATCATCGAAATGCTGAGTAGGCTGAAATTCAAACCCAGGAATGGGACAGGAGCTATCGTCATCTCGCCCACTCGTGAGCTGGCTCTGCAGATCTTCGGCGTGGCAAAGGAGCTCATGCAGTATCACCATCAGACGTTCGGTATCATCATGGGAGGAGCGAACAGGAAGGCGGAGGCGGACAAGCTGCAGAAGGGTGTGAACCTCATCGTTGCCACGCCCGGAAGGCTGCTGGATCATCTTCAGAACACCCGAGGCTTTGTCTTCACGAACCTCAAGACATTCTGTATCGATGAGGCAGACAGGATCCTTGAAATTGGATTCGAGGACGAGATGAGGCAAATCGTCAAGATCCTACCCAACGAAAATCGCCAGTCCCTCCTCTTCTCGGCTACTCAGACCACCAAGGTGCAAGACTTGGCCAGGATCTCCCTGCGGCCAGGTCCGCTCTACATCAATGTCCACGCCGATCTTGCAGCGTCCACAGTCTCGCGCCTCGAGCAGGGATATGTCGTCTGTCCGTCGGAGGAGCGATTCCTGCTCCTCTTCACCTTCCTCAAGCGCAACGCCAACAAGAAGTGCATCGTCTTCATGTCGAGCTGCAACTCGGTCAAGTATCACTCTGAGCTGCTAAACTACATTGACGTGCCTGTGCTGGACTTGCACGGCAAGCAGAAGCAGCAAAAGCGGACAAGTACTTTCTTCGAGTATTGCAATGCCCCCAAGGGTACTCTTCTCTGCACTGATGTGGCAGCTAGGGGACTTGACATTCCCAAGGTGGACTGGATCATCCAATTCGACCCACCTGATGACCCGAGGGACTACATCCATCGAGTAGGCAGAACAGCTCGCGCAGGCAAGGCCGGAAAGTCTCTCCTCTTCCTCCTCCCCTCCGAGCTTGGCTTCCTCCGCTTCTTGAAAGTAGCCAAAGTACCTCTCAACGAGTACACTTTCCCACCGAGCAAAGTGGCGAACGTTCAAGGGCAGCTGGAGAAGCTCATCTCTTCCAACTACTACTTGCATCAGAGCGCTTTGGAGGGTTACAGGAGCTACTTGCAGGCATACGCGAGCTACTCATTGAAGAGGATCTTCGATGTCCACTCGCTCGACCTGGCCGCCGTTGGCAGGGCTTATGGCTTCAAAGTACCACCGAAGGTCAACATTGGTATTGGAGGCTCGTTGAAGGGGAAGCAAGCGGCCAGCAACGGCAAAAGGAAGGAGATTGACGCAGAAGAGGGTGGGGCAGAGGGAGCAGCAAATGGTCATGGAGCAGCAGCAGAGGGTGCTGCAGAAGCTGATCTCGAAGCAGGACCATCGAGGAAAGACCAAGCCAATAGGAGAGAATACAAGAAGTCCAGGGGTGGCGCTTCGGGTGGTAGGGAAGGTAGGAGCGCTCAGGCTGTGGAAAAGTATCGGCGAGCGGCAGATGGGAATGCTCGTGGTATGAAGAGGGGCGGCAAGTGGTCTAGGTGATTGGAGAGACTTCAACTCAATGCATCAATAGTCACTCTGTTCTTGCGTGTCTAAGCGTATGATATGGTATCGTGACGATGGGAACAGTCTCGCCCTGTCTGAGCCCTTTTCCTCCTTTCATGTCTTCTACCCTCAACTCCTATGCGAGTTTAGCCACTCCTTCCGTGCACGATCTAGAGCGTCTGGAGATGTACTATTAGATGAGAGGGCGTAAGAAGACATAGTCCTCTCGGTCAGTAGTCTTGATTGTGAAAGCTGGGAAGTGGGAGATAAGTAGTAGAGAAGTCATACTGTACTCACTATTGAGAAAGACAGCTCTGCACTGCCTTGTGTTCATCTCTGCACGCCCATGCAACCGAGACTGTCCGTCCCGAGGCGCAATCTGCGAAGCCTGTCAAAGGGGAGGAATCATATCGAGCGGATCATCAGCGGATCAGTACCAGACTGCTCAGGCGAAAGGAGCCTGTGGCAGCAGTAAGCCTGCCCGTAATCAGCTTCATGCAACTCACGCTTGACCACATCGTCGCACTTCTTTAGTCCTTCCGCCTTGACCGACTTCATGAGCGCATCCTCCTCCCTGTTCGACAGCGCCCTAGGAGCAGAAGATGACATGACTAGACGATCACTGGGAAGGTCTCCTCGCCGATGTGAGCTGAAGGTCTGGCCAATGGACAGCTGTAAGCCCTGTATTGTAGACGTGGGGCAGTGAGGCTGGAAGCTTTGTCAGGAAGAGGCCAAGCGCAATCCGTATCCGCCTTCTCCCCTCGGAATTTTTGCCGCCCAGCCTTCGTCTCGCCCTCCACACGCACGACACACGCCCAGAACGGGGACGGGGCTTCCCTCAGCCTTGGCCTTTCACTTCTTCCTTTTCTTCACGAAGAACGATCCGATACCCTCTGATATACCTGACCTTGTCTCACAATGCCTCCTTCAAAGAAGGGAGGCAAGTCTTCTGCCTCTTCCGCCACACGCAAGAAGCAGGCGGCCAAAGCGGCCAAGAAGTCCGGTGAGGACCCGAAAGCTGCTGCTGCTGCTGCCTCTGCCTCGGGAGCCGCTGGAACAAATGGCTCGCAACGTGGTCAGAAGAAGGACAAGAAGTCGAAGAAAGAATTGAAGAATCGTAAAAAGGTCTTCATTCCACCGCCAAAGCCTCCTCAGCCTCCACCGGATCCGCTCGATACGCTTGGGTTGGCTTCGTTGCTTCCGCCGGGCCTAGTGGTGCTGCTTAGGAAGGCGGCGAAGAAGGATGTGATTACGAGATCCAGGGCGCTAGAGGGACTTTTGGGCTGGATTGACGCCAAGGATGAGGAGGGCGAGTCGGCTGCGTTGGGAGATGAGGAAAGGGACAGTGCGCTGGTCATGATGCTCCCATCCTGGGTACACCTCTTCCCCCGTCTGGCTGCCTCTCCTACTAGAAGGCTGAGGCTTATGACGGCGCAGATCCTGGCCAAGCTCCTGGATAGCTCCCTCTCTACAAGGACTGAGCTACTTCTTGCGCCGCAATATACTGAGGCCATTCTCGGTCCGTGGTCGACCCTGGCATGGGATACAGACAAGGCTACATCCAACGTTGCTCGTGGCTCTTGGGACGAGGCTGTCTCCTGGCCGAGCGAGAGCGCAGATGAGGGCTCGAAGCTCTACTTGCCCGACTACCTGGCCACCCTCGCCAATTTCCTCTCCATGCTGCTTCTGCAAGGCTCAAGCTCTACTTCACTTCCCACCTCCTCTGGCGATCCGCAATTGTCAAGAGGTAATTCGTATGCACCAGGAGTCGATGGCGCAAGAGACGCCAAGAACCGCGATGATACAAATGTCGAAGAAGACTCGAAAGCAGCTAATGCAAGGCTTGCAGCAGCCGCACTAGGCGCCTTGACCTGGGTCTTGACCACTTACAAGGCAGCAGACGAATGCGAAGAGCTCGTCAATCTTCTCCACTCCGATGCTCTTTGGACGGCACTGTATGCTACGCCTCACAGTCAGTCTGAGGCCTCCCAGGTGCAGTCCTTCGGCGTCGACTATCCTGTGACACGGAGCCGAGCCTGGGTATTGCTGTCTACGGTTACTTTGCAGCATCCGCAACTACTCGGCCAAATTCTTCACATTGTGGCGCCTATCGCACTCGCAGCAGCTTGGGAGGAGAGAGATCAGTCTGTCGTCAGAAACATGCTCGATGCCTTACTACCGATGCTATCGAAGCACAATGAGGCATGGTCCATCAAGGGTGACACAGACGAAGATAGTGAAGACGAGGACGACAGCTCGGATGAGGAGGAAGGCGAGACTGGCGAGGCTGATAGCAATGCGCTTCGCAACCAGCCTGGCGCTCTGGCAGACTTCCAAGACTGGATACAGAACGGATGCGGAGGTTCGCCTCGCCTTGGGCTCCCTGCAGTGCTCGTTCTAGTTTCGACAATACCGGCTTCGGTCCTTCCTCCTACACGCCAGGCAATTGGCACCTTCCTCGACTTGTTTTGGTCCAGTCGCGAGGCCTCTGTCTACGATACCGACAGGCTTGCACAAAGGGAGGTGCTGAAGAGCTTCGCCGAGTGCTCGGCGTACCTCATTGGAAAGCTGAGCAAGAGCGACCTCGAGGCCACAGCGGACGTGGCTGCTGAGCAGCTCGGCAACAAGCTCTGGAGGGAGGAGGTGCTTCCATCAGGGGATGTTGAGGAAGGCGGCCGGTCAGCAACACTCGCTCCCTTGTCTCTGACACGGGCCCAAGAGGCTGTTGATGAGCGGATCGTCTCTACCACGCGGAACCTCGCAAAGCTGGGCGAGCAGGGCGTCGTGGTGCAGTCTCTTCTCGATATCCTCCGCTCGAGCTTGCAAGAGGTAGCAGAGGGGACTACTACTTGCCAGGCTGCGAGTATTAGTCGTGCTACGAGTATTCTGGCCTCATTGGGCGCAGAGACTTCTCCACCGTTGCTGCAGAACTGGGCAAGCGATCTGGTAGGCAAATTGACAGATACGAGTGCGTCATCTCTCAACAGTGACTCAGAGGGTGCGGATATGGCATCAATTGCATCTCGGACAGCGCTGCTGTCTGATCTACTAAGATCGTGGAAGGCGAGCGGCAATTCGTCAGCAGTGGAAAACTTTGCCCAAAGTACCATCGGGAAACTCGTGCAAACGACGCGAGTACCTTCCAAAGCCGCAGGCGATTTCCTCTCAGCTTACCTTCTGGTAGCTTCCAAGGATTCGGCAGGCAAGCATCTTGTCGCTCTCATCGAAGCCGCTGCAGGCATTACCGACCCCAAGATCAAAGTGCAGACCCTGCAAGCGGTACTAGATGGCGTCCCTGCAGGGACTTTCTCAGAGTCAGAGTTCTCCACGAACACGAAACTAGACGATGTGGTGCTCTCCATCGCCTCGGATATCAACGGTGGCTCGGCTGCAGCGGACGGCGAGTTGTTGCTCAGTCGTCTCATTGATCAGCCAAGGCCCTTTATCGAGACCGGAACTGTGAATGAGGTGCTTGCACTCCTCATTTCTCGTCTGCACAGCGTTGCACACGACGCCATTGCAGGTGGTGGAGGGTCCACTTCTAGCTTTCAGCAGGCAGAGCGGATAGCGAGCATCCTTGCCAAGTGGTCCAAGGGAGAAGAGCAGAGAGCACAGTACCTCCTGGACTCCAATCTCTTCGAAGCTGCAGCAACGGCCTCTTTCGGCCTGCACTTCCTAGCGCAAAGTTCAGCACCTGAGGCAGCTCAGCTGTGGAAGAATCTCACAGTGTTACAAGAGGCCGAGAAGGTGGCTCTTTCCACGCTTCGCGAGAAGCTGGCTGACGTTCAGGTGGAGACCGTCATCGTGCTGGAGGGCGCTCGAAGGTTCTTCGCCTCATCGCAGACGACTTCGAGCCTTTCGATGCTCGAGATTCTGCCTTCGCAAGAGACACTGGACACTCTGCTGTACTCCACGGCGTCCTCTCTCAGAACTCCTTCATCCCTCTCAATTCTGGATCCCCTGGCGGCAAGTGCACAAGAAGGGCGATCGGCAGTCACCCACACTTACGACACCGAGGGACTCAGCGAGTATGCCCGATCAGCATATGCTCTGCTCCTCTTCCTCGAGGAGAGCCGGAGCGTTGCACGATCTCAGCCTTGGGCGCTGCCCCACATTGTCATGCTTGCCCTGCTCTGCGAAGATGAGATGCACATGTCCGGTGGAGCAGGAGGCCTGCTTCAGCCTGACAAGTTCGTTGCGTCTTCCAAGCAGGGAACGCAATTGCGACTGTTGCTCGAGAGGTGTATCAAGGTCAGCAGTAGTATGCTGGCGGCCCTCTGTGGATCTCTTCCTGAGACGTGGCATACCTCTGCTACGGAAACTCTGCAGAAGAAACCCGATGCATCTTCTCAAAATGACGCTACTCTGCAGATTATGGCCTCCTTATGGCGGGCAAGTATCGCTCAACAGGCTCCCATCAGTACAGGTCACTTGACTCGCATCTTCTCGCGCCTCCTCGCTGGAGTTCTGAGCTTCACGTCTGCGGGAGAGCAAGAGGGAACGAAATGGATGCGACTGGCTCAGGCTGTGGAGAGCAAAGCTCCTCATCTGTCAGAGGCGATCATTTACCCGGCGAAGTCCTATGTGTATGACACGCCGCTGTATGACCGGCAGAGGAACGACATCGTCTCGCGATTGGCCAGTACGCCGCCTTCGAAGGCTAATGGGGAAGGTCTGACTCTTCTTCGTCTAGCAGTCGCCATTGCTCCGCCCCCAGAGTCAAGCATGGTCTTTGTACCACAGCAGAGGGTCGTCTTCCTCTTGCAGGGTCTGCAGAGATGGGTCGCTAGTGATGAGGATCTAGACGAGGAGATCAACACTCGTTTAGCAGAACTGTTCCTGCACGTTGCGCCACTAGTTCAGGAGATGCCAGGCAGTCACCTTGACTTCTTCTACGACCTCATAGAGTCCAACTTGGAAGTCTCTTCGTCTCTGTCAGAAGAGCCGGCACTGCCGACCTTGTTCCATTCACTGAAGCTGCTGGAGCTTCTCGACGAGCTCTCCATTCGCAACTCGCTATTGAGAGACGTCTGGAAGGAGCACCAAGAGCCCGTGGTGGAGCTGCTGCAACCTCTCTTCAAGTCATTGGCTTTGCCAGAGGAATCTAGCATCAGTCGAGTGTTGACCTCGAGCGTTTCAATTGCCAAGGAGATGACGGCAGAGCTTCTGGTGGGTGTAGTTCGTCAACACCAAAATGCCTTCCAGAGCGATGACTTCTACGCAACATTCTGTGCGCTGCTCAAGAGCCCGATGCGCGAAGTTCAAGTAGCTGCCTTCCGACTTTTGGCTGGCTCTATCAGGTCGAATGTACGAGAGCTGGTTCTGGAATCAGCATTAGAGAAGGAAGGTGACGAGAGGCCTCGCGTAACCTTGGCTCCTGCGCAGCTACTCGAGTCGGCTAGTCGGCGAATTGATGTCACTGCTGAGGATCTCGAGGAAGATCTCGAGCTGAGCAGGCAGGTGATGAGCTACTTGCTAGCCTGGCTGGCCATCTTCGAGCACTTCGAAGAGGCTTCCGTACAGCTCAAGTCGATCTATGCTGGACAGTTGCAGCAGGAAGGTCTCCTTGCCAATAGTCTCCTGCCCACTGTCTTCTCCCTCTTGGAGCCGCGGAAGAGCAGGCGAAACAAGGACGGTCAGATGGTAGGTCCCTTTGATCCTGACCGATACTCGGTTGACGAGATCTTCGTCGATCTCCTGGAACCCAAAGATTCCTCCTCTCTCCGTCAACTCGCAACCCACATCTACTTCCGAGCTCTCCTCTACACCCCTACTCTGGTGCGGGAGTGGTGGTTGGGGATCAAGGATCGTCAGCTCTCCCTCGGCGTTGCCTCCTTTACGACGCGCCATTGCTCTCCTCTGATTGCCTCTCGCGAGTTGGGTCAACTACGAGAGCCCGAAGCCCTCTCCCGTCTGCAGGACGAGGCGATGAGTATCCGTATTCTTGGGGCCAATGAGGTGGTGGGTACCTACACCATCGATGAGCATCCCATGGAGATTGGTATCAAGATTCCTCACGACTATCCTTTGCACGGCGTAGAAGTTCGGGATATCCGTCGCGTTGGCGTCTCCGAAGCACAATGGCGTGCCTGGCTGCTAGGAGTTCAACAACTGATCATCTCTCAAAATGGTCTCGTCTTTGATGCGCTCATGCTCTTCAAGCGCAATGCCGAAGCCAAGTTTGCTGGATTTGAAGATGGAGAATGTAGTATTTGCTACTCGATCATTAGTCCAACGGATAGGAGCTTACCGACAAAGCCGTGTAGGACTTGTAGCAAAAAGTTTCATGCAAGTTGTTTGTTCAAGTGGGTTACGAGTAGCGGGTCGAGTACTTGCCCGCTTTGTAGGTCAGTGTTGTAGAGGAGGGAGGTGGAGTATAGCATAGCATGACATGGCATCCGGTGGTAAGGTGAGACCGGAAAGTTCGCAGGGAAGGCGCGGAACTCTTATCATACATTAGCAATGATCATCAATCTGTACCGAGACTTGTCAAATGCTTAGATGACTACTTCGATTGCATACCCACGAGCTGATCGTCTGCCCATCTTCTCCTGAGTGGCTGCTCTCTGACGGCTCTTTTCATGCGAAAAGAGCTCCCCTCTCATCCTCTGCCCCAATCTCAAATGGATCCCTCACACTCCGGAACTGCTGTGCATACCAACTTCTATAATCCCTCTTCAACACCTCTACCTCTCCATGAATCCCCGCCACCTGATTAGCCAATTGCATAAATGTCGAATGCTGGAAATAGAGGGTATCGGAAATGGCTTGAGGAGAGTGGGCATCCCGAGAGGATAGAGAGGATAGGTGACGGGAGACTTGCTCCATGGAGTCTCTGTAGCGGAGGATACGGGAGCGGAACTCTTCGGCTGATTTTGTAAAGTAGCTGATGGGGATTAAGAGATGGTAGGAGAATGTCATGGTCAGGAAATCAATCAATGAATCAATCAAGCTGTGTTCTGCTTGACTCCGGCTATGCTGTAGCTGTATGATAGCTGGATACTCACTCTCGCATCCAATCCCTTCTACTATCTCCAGCTCCCCTTCCATCCCTGAAGGCCCCTCCAATCTCCCAAAGGACACCCAAATCATTCCGATCATTCTGTACAGTGGAGCCCAGATTCCTCACAGTAGTCAGCTCGCGTTCCAGGGACGAACCGAGTGTAGCTAGTGCAAGTCCCGCTTCATGAAGGGTGGAATAGAGAGCAGAAATCTGTTGCCCGAGCGGGGCAAGGGAGGAGCTTCCTCCGGGTCCCGAGAAGGACGAGGCCGAAGAAGAGGAGGAGGGGATAAGCTTGGGCTGTAGTTCATCTCGTATCGAGACTTGAGAATTGATCATCTTGTCCATTTCTTCTACCAGCTTGCGAGCTTCATCACTCAGATCGTTGAAGCGTTCCTTCTGGTAGAAGGGATGGGAGAGGAGAGCAGATCCTCCTTGCTGCTGCTGCTGCTGTTGCTGCTGTTGTGATTGTCCAAATCCAGAAAGGGCAGACGAACCTCCTGCTGCTGCTCCTCCGAAGAGGGAGCCGCCTAGACCGGTATTGATAGAAGCAGCTGCAGGTTGCGTCGTCCCAAACAGTCCTCCCCCGCCCGTGCCGGTATTGGACTGGGGTTGCGCACTGCTTTGCCCAAAGGAGAACCCACCAGGCTTAGCAGCAGTCGATGTGCTACTTCCAAACAGGGACGTACCGGCTCCCGGCTGTTGAGTCTGTGTGTTCGAGGGTCCACCAAACGAGAATGTGCTGGCAGGCTGCTGCTGTTGTTGCTGCTGAGGCTGCGATGTACTTGCACCACCAAAGGAGAACGAAGGAGCTCCTGCTGTGCTTCCTGCCGGCGCTGTAGTACTCGGATTTGCTCCTCCTCCTGTACCTGCTCCTCCGAAGGAAAAGCCTCCAGTAGTGCCTGTGCCTTGTTGAGGTTGTGATGTGGTGGTCGAAGAAGAGGGGCCGCCGAAGGAGAAGGGCTGCTTGGCGGGGGGAGCCCCGCTAGTCCCAAAGGAGGCAGAGCGGATCATCCTCGTCTCTTCACAAGAGCGGTGGAGAGAAGCAGAGGAACGCAAACGATCTCAGAAGACGGCCTTGTCGAGAAGGTAGGGCAAGGTCAGAAAGAGTAAAAGGAAGGAGTAGTCGTGGTGTTGGAGGAACGAGGATCCATCGTCTCGTCTCGCAAAAGGCTCACTTCACTTCCGAGACGCGCCCCGCTGCAGCTTTGCCGCGATGCTGCTCAGACCTTCTACAAATCAACGACGCTCTTGAGTGACGATTATCGATGATCATTTGAGTGGTGGTAGCGACAACCGGCGACCATGACAGTGCAGGCATGTCTGAGAGCAGTGGTGGTACATCGGCAGAGTAGAGAAGAATGGTCCATCACCTTCCTCGGACCCTCTTCCCCCTCCGCAAGGCTGAGAATGCTAGTACAATCGTTTTCTTTCATGACAAAGGATGGAGTGGAGTGGGGACACGATAAATGGCGACCTCGATGCTTCCTTTCCTTTTCCCTACCACCTTCTTACATCATACCTCCCATTCCACCCATGCCGCCCATACCGCCCATTCCACCACCACCTGGTGGGCCCTTCTCTTCAGGTGCGTCCACCACACATGCTTCCGAAGTGGTCAGCAGCGACGACACCGAGATGGCAGAGGTCAGCGAGGACCTCACCACCTTCAGAGGGTCCAGGATGCCAGCCTCGATCATGTCCGTGTATCGGCCCACACTGGCATCGTAGCCGTAGGCAAAGTCTCCTGGGTTCTCCAGCAGGCGGCCAACCACCACGGAGCCTTCCTCTCCGGCGTTCTCGACGATTGTGCGGCAAGGGCGTGTAAGAGCGGCTCGGAGGATCGAGACACCCAATTGTTGGTCAAAGTTGGCAACCTTGACTGCGTCCAGGGCCTGAGTGGCCTTGAGCAGGGCAACTCCACCACCTGGCACAATACCCTCCTCGACGGCGGCCCGAGTAGCGCACAGGGCGTCATCGTAGCGGTCCTTCTTCTCACCGACTTCGACTTCCGAGCTACCTCCGACCTTGATCACAGCGACACCACCGGACAGCTTCGCCAGACGCTCCTGCAGCTTGGTTCGGTCGTACTCCGAGGTGGTAGGGTCGTTGACGGCGGATCGGATCTGCTCGCATCGGGCCTGCAGAGCATCCTTGTCACCCTCGCCATTGAGGAAGATGGTGTCCTCCTTGGTAATAGTCACGGACCCAGTGCTGCCGAGCAGCTCAGGAGTGGCCTGCTCCAGCTTGGTCTCAAGCTCGTCAGAGAAGACCTGACCACCGGTCAGGATACCCAGGTCGCCCAAGATGCTCTTGCGGTTGTCGCCGAAGCCAGGAGCCTTGACGGCACAGACCTGGAGCTGTCCTCGCAGCTTGTTCAGAATGCAGGCTGCGAGAGCCTCTCCGTCGATGTCCTCAGCAATGATGAGCAGAGGGCGGCGAGAGGAAGCTGCGGCCTCCATGGAGGGCAGAATGTCCTGCAGAGCCGAGATCTTCTTCTCAGCGAGGAGGATCAGAGGCTTCTCGAACTCGCACTTCTGGGTCTTGACATCGGTGATGAAGTAAGGGGAGATGTAACCTCGGTCAAAGCGCATACCCTCGGTGATCTCGATCTCGTCTTCGAGAGTTCGGCCCTCCTTGACGGTGATGACTCCCTCCTTGCCGACCTTCTCCATAGCCGTGGCAATGAGGTCACCAACGTGCTTGTCGCTGTTGGCAGAGATGGTAGCAACCTGAGCGATCTCCTCAGAAGTGGTCACAGCCTTCTTGTTGGCCTCGAGGAAAGAGATGACGGCCTCAGCGGCAGCCTGAGTACCCCTTCGCAGGTCCATAGGGTTGCAGCCGGCAGCGACGTTCTTGACTCCCTCTGCAAAGATGGCTCGGGCGAGAACGGTGGCGGTTGTGGTTCCGTCACCGGCCACTTCGTTGGACTTGTTGGCCACATCTTGGACCAGGCGAGCTCCAAGATTCTCAAACTTGTCCTTGAGGGTAATGGCCTTGGCCACTGTCACACCGTCCTTTGTGATCTTGGGTCCGCCGTAGGCTGCGAGGCGAAGGAAGCGAGCGCATGGGCATTGTGTGAGCAGCTAGGACCATCGAAGCCAAGTGAACCTTCTCCATGGTACGATCGACTCACCCTGTTCAATGATAACGTTCCTTCCCTTTGGACCCAGTGTCACTGACACGGCGTTGGCCAGGAGGTTGACACCGGCGAGCATGGCTTGCCGTCCATCGTTTGAGAACTTGACCTCCTTGTGGGCCAATGCTGCTGTGCTGGTCGAGAAGGTACGGGGTGCGGTGGCAAGGGCGTTGCGGAGAGACACCGGTGCCGGGCGGCCGGCGAGGGAAGAAGAGGCTGCGCGGAGGAGAGACATGATGGTATCGTAGGGTGATGAGTCAGGAGGGGAGGGTGATGGTATATGCTTGTGAGTCTTTGAGGATGAGGTGAGTAGAGCTTCCTGCGCCTTGATCCCCGCCTCCGCCCGCGTCGCCGCCTCTCCACCGAATCGCATCGAAGAAAAAAAGTTGAGCGGCCGTCGTCAGCACTTCCGGAACGCAGCCGTCGATTCCGGTCCAACACCTTCCAGGCCGACAATTGCTCATCTCACCTCGCCCTTCTCCTTCTCGTACGCAAACCACCAACACATCACAGCAGACATCATGGTGAGTCAGAAATCGCCCCATTCAGTCAATGTCACCTCTTTTGCTTGGCTTACAATGTCCCTGCTCCACTTACCCACCACAGGCCCAATCAACTATCCGATCCATCGCCAGCGTCAAGCCACTCCTGGACCGAGTGCTGCTGCAGAGGTTCAAGCCCGCAGAGAAGACGGCCACTGGTCTCTTTTTGCCCTCTTCGGCCACTAGCTCGCCCCTGCCCGAGGCCAGCGTCATCGCTACTGGACCCGGAGCACCCAACAAGGAGGGAGCCGTGCAGCCAGTGTCGGTAAAGGTGGGAGACAAGGTGCTGCTGCCCAGCTGGGGAGGTCAGAGCATCAAGGTCGGAGACGAGGTGAGTCATAGACAAGACGAGTGAAGGTCGACAGGTGACTCTGGCAAAGGAAGGTGTGCATGTGGACTGGCTCTGCGAATCAGACCGAGGGGCCGAGCCAGTCGGCCACACGCTTCTCTCTTGAGTCCCTATCACCTTTGCATGAATTCCTCCGTCCAAGGGCCCGCCTTACTGACCTCGTTCCCTCTCTCCCTCTTCTGCTCTGCTTAGGAGTACCTCCTGGTCAAGGACAGCGAGATCCTTGCCAAGATCTCCGAGTAAGCATCGTCGTTACCCGCTTGGCAAGCTACTTGCCAGTCATATCACCCACTTGTCCCCCCAGTGTACTATCATCTCAAAAAGAAGTGTCTACCAATAGCAATTGATCGCACCACTCAACTCAAATCTTGAGGTCTGATCTGAGGAAAGCGCATACCCTGGTCGGAGGAAGTGGAGAAATATCTCACGTGCCTGCGATCAGGGCAATCGGTCACCGTCGGTCATAAGGGACGAGACAGGGGTTGGTTACAGAGCGATGGGTCGTCCGCCAGTCCAAGCTCTGCCGAGATTAGACCAGAACTTGCCACTGGGTGGCAGAAGTAAGAAAAAGCTCCGAGCCGATCAGCGGATACTCTGACGTGGATACGCTTTGATACGGACTGCTTGGCTAGCCATGCATGTCTACGCTTTACTGACACCTCCTTTGAGCGTAGTGTCCTCTGATAGCTCTCGAATGCGGTCATCGTACGCTTTTCCGGAGTCGTGCTCGCTCCGGAGGCAGTAGCAATCATGCAATGAGGCTTGCCAGGTTGGACCCTGTTCTCAGACCAGATGTGGCGCTAGCAGCGCAAGCGACGGTAGTGTGACAGGCTTAATGCTGCCGCACTGTGAGATGATCGGCTGGAGGTCTACCCGCTTTCAGCCTGTGATGGCGCTGCCCCCCATCGCTCAACGAGAGGGAGCTGAAAGAGTTGGTCGGTCCAACGTAGCTCTCGCCTCGCTCGGACTGGGCAACCGAGACATCCACTGCGAGCTGTTGCGACGCCACAAACTTCTGTCAACGGCCCTGTACGTAGGCTAGCCAGATGCGAGCAATTCGCCATGAGGCTTTGCAGGCCGAAGCTCGGCTTGGTCTCGTACGGAGCGGTGCTAGGCGGCGCGGGTGAGACCCTCTCCCAAGATACGGGCACGAGGCAGAGGTGGCTGTCTCCCTTTCTGCGCCACTTGTTTCGTGCCATTTGGCAGTGACAGGCATTACAGAGTGTGATAGTGCGCCGTCGTAGCGGTGGTGGCTGTCTTGGCCCTGGTGGTCCCCAGTTCACTGGCCTTGAATGGTGGTGGGTAAGGCGGGGGTGCCTGTATGCGGAAGGGTCCTTCGCGGGGCGCAAGTGGCGCAGAAGCCTTCGTTGCCGACGGAGAAGCGTCGGAGTTTGCAGAGTGTGGCTTGATTGTGGCGCATCTCGACGCCTCCTTGATTCGCCCAAGCGTGAATGGCTTGGCCCAGTCTTACCCCTCCACGCCTGGCCTGGTCCCTCTGCCTGCCTCTACCTCACACTCCACCATCAGCCACACCTCGCTCGCTACCTTTCAGATCCTCTCCGACCCAGAAGCGTCATCATCCCACTCCTCCGTCAAACTCCCGAGATCAGCTTTGAGCCCTGTACCTAGCTTCACCCACGCCGTCACCGCATTCTACGCTCACCCAATTCTATCGCCCTACGCAACAGCCACTTCCAACATTGAACCCATAGTCACGCCTACCTGATCTCTTTCGCCTAAAGCTTTATCGTCTTCTGATCCATAACTCCCCTCCCTTCCTTCATCAGTTCCCTCCTCATTGTCCACTCCTCCTTCTTGGCTCCATATTCCTTCATTCTCTTACTAATTTTCCCGTCTAATCCATTCCTCGTTCTTCACTCTTCTACGCACCAGCAGACGCTACTCAAACACCTCGACTCGACCCGTGTCGTCATCACACGTATACCAGATTCTTTACAATTTCCCTTGTCTATTCGCAACTTACAAGTGTACATCAAACTCTCTGCTCAACATGGCCTCCACACCCGTCCAACGTCCCCGCCTCGGCTCGCGAGCCAACACCGACTTGGGACCTCTCGTCAACCCGACACCCGCTATCACTTCCAACAGTGAAGCCAAAGAAGGCGTCAAGGACCTCGGCCAAGGGACTCAGGTCTCTGTCGCTGGCCGCAAGCTCTCCAACGGCGCCTGCCTACCGGGAGGAGTCGTTATGCCAGCGTCACCGTTCTTGCCTCTGCCACCCGCTCCGACCGCCGAGGAACTTCTCGCTGCTGAGAGAGCGGAGACAGTCAAGACTCCCACACCCTCCAACCTTCTTCGCACCAGCTCTTCTCGCAAAGTCAATGGTGCCAGTGAGCTCAAGAGGACCGGATCGGGTGTCCCCAAGGGCAAGACTTCCACGACCGGTGCCTCGGGAATGATCAGAAGGTGAGTCGAGGACGTCCATCTCAACGGCGCTATCGAAATATTAACTGACCTTGCTCACCACATGCCTTCGTATTCTGTCTCAGCTACTCACTTCCCGTCGCCACCCAGAGAGAATTCGACCAACAGCGCCGGGCCTTTGCCGAGCGAGAGGCCGACGAGCTAGAGTCCCAGTCCAGTTCTTGGTCCAGTGGCTGGCCAGGATCAGCCGATTTCCTAGGTGCACCTCGCCGCCAGACACGTCTCACTCGGGCCAGCAGCGGTCGAGTATGTCCTCTGGCCCCCACCCGCAGCAACAACGGCGGCCTCCGAACGCCCCGAAGCCCGGTGACCCCCGCGGCAACTCCTCTCAGTCCCACCAAGAGGACATTCTCTTCGTCTTCGCTGCGAGTCCCCATCTTCCCGCCCACTTCTCAGCTTGCCGCTCAGGTCTTTGACGACAGCGACGATGATGATGAGGAGGCACCTCCTGAGCCTGAAAATGACGTCAGTGAGGAGGCTCGTGAGATTCTTCGACGACTCTCCCTTGTCGACGAAGGCTCTGAGGTCGAGGACGAGGACACCCCTACGAGCACGAACCTCGTAGGGGTTTGTCGCCAGGAGAGGATGGGAAGCTACTTTGCTCCTCGTCGCTCCGACAGTCAGGACAGCGATCTTAGTCGTGGGTCGTCCACCTACGACGAGCGCGGACCCAACACTCCCATGGTGCCCAACTTTCCCAACACTCTCGGCTTCTCCCCCACGCCGCCCATTGGAATGGAGCACAGCTTCTCTTCCCGATTCAAGATCCGAGCAGAAGTTACTGCAGGTGTCTGGGTAGGCGGGAAGGGTGGCAAGCAAGAAGAAAGTGATGATGAGGGAGGACTGGACGACCTCATCCACCCTACCCATCTCGCTCCACCCCCAGCAATGGCCGTCTAGCTAGATCCGCACACATAGACTCTACAGCCTCAAGTATCCTCTATTACCTTCCGTCTCGATCCGCCACAGTAACGACACTTCACGACATCACGACATTTCACGAGCTACCGCGATCCCTGGACTCATACCTAATCCAATCTTACTGTCTCTGTATCGCCACCTTTACTCTACTTGACTCTAGCATCGTTACCCCCCTGACCCCTCATATCCACTAATCTATCTCGGCTGTCCTGGCCCTCTTTTATCTGGACACCTTACTCACCACCCCACTACGCTACCCTACACTACTTCACACCGACCCACACTCGTTTATCCATCTCGTACACACACCTACCTGTTTGGCTACCTTACAGCACGGTATTCTCTGCTGTCCAAAGCGGGGCTAGACTATATATACTTATTTACATTTTCAGGTTCCTCGTATCCTGTGACGAATCGGCTTGAGTGAGTGAGGTTGCGCACTTGCTTCCTCGAGAGCAAGCAGAGCTGATGTTCAAGCGCAAAGAGGGGAAATGAGCACACTATCGCGAGCGAGAGTTCGCCACGCGAAGCCGGCGATCGAAGCCAAACGGCGCGAGGCGAGGCGAGGCGAGGCGAGGTGACATGACATGGTCCTTCGGATGTACGGATGTGCGGCGAGGTGCGTCTGCAGGCTTGTTCCCAAGAGAGCCTACTAGTGAACGAATTGGGGTCTCAGGCCCTTCCCTCCTTCGTTTACTCTTCTTTCGTACGCCCCTCCCGGTTGCTCCTCCCTAGCTCTGCTTATTACTGGCTTGCTTCGTACTGCCGCCATCCTTTGTCTCTGCTGCTCCGCTAGTCCTCATCGTCATCTCAACACACGCAGGTCGCTCCAGTGGCCTGTACTTCGTGAGATTGTACCGACGAGCAGGCGAAAGACAGGACCCACAGCGACACCAGCTCACCTCAGCCAGACATACCATCTTCCTAAGCACTTTTTACAATGACTACTCGCAAAACATTCGGAACTTCATCGTTTGTGCTCCTGACGGTGACTTGGGTACTGCTCTCAATCTTTACCTCCGATTCGGTCGTGCTAGCCTCACCAATCTCTCCAGAGACATCGAGATGGGCTCAAGTGGCAGAGGAACGCCCCTCTGAGTCATCAGACCTCGTGAAACACGTCCACACCGACATGGAAGCGCGCACGGCTATCAAGCATCAGCGAGATGTAAAGACTTGGGGACCTCCGCCGCTACTTGTGCAAGACGAGGCTAATGACAAGAAGGACGATGACTGCATAGAGAATGTGAGAGATCAGCGACACGAGCATGATGAGGACTGCTCAGACGACGATGGTCACAGAGCTCATCAAGCTGAAGATGAGGACTGCCCGGATGACGACTACCCCGATGAGGACTACCCCGATGAGGAAGATGATGTGTCACGGCAGGGCGATCCCTCCATGCAAGAGCACCGCCAGCAAGACCAGGACGTAGACTTCGACGGCCACTTACCTCGCCAGACAGTCAACAATCTGATGCATCCCCTGCCGTCGTTGCTTGCTCCACCTCGGATAGGTCTGCCTCTCAGAGGAAGCAGAAAGCTTTTCTCGGAGATCGACACCAATTCGACTGCGCCGCTCTCCATTAAAGAGGATCGGACAGTCAAGATTGGGCTTCCCGTCGATATGAGTACAGAGGATCGGCATGCCGACAGCACGACCAACGTCGATTGGCATTCACGACACGCAGACAAGGCGCCGGTATCTGCTTCTACTGGGACCTCAAACAGATTGCCAGAGTGCACTGAAGGTGTCTTTCCACCAGGCAACGCAACGAGACGCTCTTTCGAGGTGCAAACTGAAGACCTCAGAGACCACATGGCTCACCAGCCATGCACTCCACCTAAGAAGAGCACGATAAGTTACTCTCGAACGAGCAGCAGACGACCTTGCCGCAGAACAACGTCTACGCACGCCCCTTACCGATCGTCACATAAGTCACACCGGACAGCTACGGCGACTGCGACGCCCACTGGGTCAGCAGCGTCGCACCCCTCTTCCTGGACGCAGACCATGCTCACTCTGGCTGATGACACGGTCCTCATGAAGACTGAAGTATGGATTCCCGAGGAGGAAGCGCCTCAGAGCTCTCTCCGGAGTCTCACGAAGCGTTCGAACTCTGACGATTTTGGGCAGAAGGACGATGAAGTTGCCGCTGCAGTCACCTCTGCCCTGAAGGCATTTCTAGAGCAGGAGGAAGTGCGACATTACCTTCTGCTGCCGCACTACATTTTCATCGTCAGTCCCGATGATGCCACTGGCAAAGTGAACATCTCCACCGTCTACTTTCGGCCAGAGGAGCAGGTGACACACAGACAGCTCCATCGTGCCTCTACGGCCGCCGCTAGTGGTGCACCATGGCCACGTTGGCCCGGCCCGCGACACAGAGTGGAAACCACAGCCGACGTGACCTGGTATGTCTTGCATATCATTCCTGTACTTCTCCTCATCTTCATGCGCACTACCTACTCTGGACGACTGGAGCGCATGCTCGTCCTCGCGACTTTACTCCTCTTCCTCTGCGACTGGCTCATCTTAATGGACCACAATACCAAGCGCTTCTTCGATGTATCCATCGATGACCCCAAAGAAGGGCTCTGGTACCTCCTGTACTACTCCGAATGGACCCTAGCACTGATTTTTGCGCCCTATCTCTATCATTGGATGGACAAGTGCACAGGTGGGAGATTGCACGCACTCCTCAGGAGGAGGATCATCCCTGCTGGTGTCTGGCTCATGGCTCGAGGTACTCCGACACAAGCACTTCGGGCTCGGCGCCCAATTCCGCACAGGAGGAACGCTAGTGACAGTCATACGTTCTTTACTGATCTCGAGCTGGTGAGGAGAGACGCCAGTGCAAGTACCATCCCCTGCGAGACAGCAATTCCGCTTGATCCTATGGGACCGGCAGAAGTCATTGTGAGTGGTGAGGAGGAGCAGGGCACTCACGGTCGTGCCCGAAGGGCAGCGAGGACTGGCGCATGAGGAGTGGGAAACACTCAGTGCGCGTTCACGGAGAAAGAAGCAGGAAAGCAGCCGTGGCCTTTCATTATCGTCTAATGTACACATCTATCCCAGAATTACTATCTCTCTCATCTACGCGTCTCTCCTAAAAACATCGCATTAGATCGTGTGCCCAAAATCGCGTTCATTGCTTGGTGCTCTACGACTCCTGACGTCCTTCACTTTCTGTCTCGCTCTCCGTTTCACTCCCGCTACCAGATAAAGTCTGCTGCGCCTTGATCGGGGGTGGCTGCTGAGATGCGTCTGCCTTCTCCCCACTGGCTTGTTTCACCACAGGGGTAGGAACATGCTCTACAGTGCCTCTTGTAGCTCCTTGTCGAGCATGCATCTCCTCGATCCAGCGCTTCTCGAGATATCGCTTCAATTCAGGCATGGTCTTGTACGTCTCCCCCTCCGATCCCGCCGAGGTTCCACCCGCCCCTTGCGCTCCTGGCGGGGATGGTGACCAATCAAGCGGCACCAGTGGTCCTCTCAACATCCTCTCATAGTAATGAGGCGCCCTTGGTAATGCTCTCTTTCCCCTCTTCTGCATCTCCATCACCTCATCCAGTGGTAACCAAAATCCTACACGAGGATGGAAAGAGAGGTAGTGCTTCTTGTGTCGTAGACGTTCTGCGACTAGGTCCGAGGAGATTACGTGAAGGTGAACGGTGTCCATCGAGGGGACGGCGTGGAAGCCGATGTGGGTATCCCAGACGCAGTTCGCCAAGAGCGGTGGGTGGGTAGCGTCGAGGGGTTGGGGGCCCAGGGGAGTGCTGGGCATGCGCTCCTTGACTATTTCGGCAGTCTGTAGGGGCGAAGCGTAAGGCGCATTTGATCAGGAGGAGATTCGGGACTGGTACGGAAGCAGGGCATGCCGGACCACTTCCTTCACTCACTTTATAAGCTGCCTTCTCTAAAGCACTCAGCACCTCGCCAGCATAAGGACTCCGAAGTAGATCGCTCAAACTCGCAAGGTGCGAAGGTGGAACCGTCTCTGCTCCATTTCCTGCCGCGTTCTTCGAAGAGGTGCCAAATGCCAGCTTTCCACCTGCAGTAGAGAGGATAGGTTTTGGCGTTTCTGTAGACGAAGCTGGAGCTGGAGCTGGAGGTGTAGCTGGACCTCTGCTGCGCCAATTACCCGAATCGGCTCCTCCCTTTTGTGGTGTTATCCGCAGTGGTGGTACCTGCTCCTCCTGCTTCTCCTCTCTTCCCGATCCCACTGCCGCACCCTTTCGCCCCTTTAGCCGAAAAGGGATTCTTGGCAAGCACAAGAAGTGATATTTTGCCTTTTCATAACCATCGTAAATAGTAATCGTCTGTTCATCCCAATGAAGCACTTCTTCCTTGGGTAGAGAGGCAGGGTCGGGAGATTTTGCGTAGCGTGTGAGGGCAGATTTCCAGGCATCGTCTTGCCCTTGTCCTTTTGGGGGAGATTGAGCTTGAGTATGGGGACGACGATGTGATGGAGGTGGGAAGGTGCGTGGTTTGGATGAGAAGGGAGTGGAGGAGGTGGAAGCGGAGGCGAAGGGGCCGGTAGAGGCCATCTTGTATGTTGCTTGGAGAGAGACGCGGCGGATGATGGTCACGAGTACAAATGGGCTTGCAGATCTGGAGCAGCGTATGAAGAGCATCCACTGCGGGATACGAGGTGTTGCGAAGTGAGGTGAGACTTCACAGTTGAGGATCAAGGTCGATGTACCTTTTAGAGTTGCACTTCGCACAAAGGCTTCCACGTCGAAGGCAAAACAACTCCGATCTCAATCAATCCAGTGCACAGATCAGGCGGCGGTCCAGCCACGCGACTCTATGCACCTGGCCACACACGACAGCCAAGCAGCTCAAAGACAGCCTGGAATGACACTTCTTTGTTTGATTCTGTGAGGGTATTGATACAGATGGCACACGATAGCACACGATTGCTCTTCCATCCGTCCCCCTTGCGTCCTTGCACTTCTCACGTCCTCGTCGGAAGGGCAGGGACATGTCGAAGCTGCTGCTGCTGCTGCTGACCCTGCGTCTGCTGTTGCAACGATGCAGCAGAACTTGCACTTCGACTGGTGGCATGCCCAGACCCCTGCGATTCGCCTGGAGCCATTGCAATCCCTCCCCTCGCTCCACCTCCATCTTGCTCCTTTCTCCTCGCCATTCCCGGTGCATTCCCATTCATCTCGCCGCCGGCAAAGACTTGTCTCCTACTATTCTCATCTCCCACTCCTGGCCTATACAGCCCAGTCGAAGCTGCTGCAGATCCCCTGGGCGCGCAAAAGTGCAGATGGACACTAAGATTCGAACAGCCAGTGGCCAAGCCAGCCAGCACCTTTCTCAGGTCCGGCGCAGTCAAGGTGTCGTGACTGATGCTCAGCGTCTTGATCTGCACCAGCAGATTCGTCACCGCCTTGACAAAGGCAATGCTGTCGTCGACCAGTCGACGGGACTCTACAGGGCTGACGAGGGCTGACAGCGCAATGGCTTTGCTGGCCCCATTAATTCCTTGCATCGACGCCCCCTCCGAATTCTGGCTGTCGAGGTCATCCTGCACCTTCTCGAGAGTATGCTGCAGTCTTTTTGTCAGCTCAGCAGCCGACAGACAATGTTCACGCAGTACGTTCAGCTTCCTTGCCGACTGAGAGTGCGGATGTGGAGCAGTCGTACTAGGGCCTGTACTATTTGCAGCACTCGGAGAAGGCGATACTGCTCTCGTCGACTTTTCATCGCGTGCAGGCTTGAGTAAGTCGCCTCCTGACGCGCCGGAAGAAGAGGACATTGCACCTTTCGCCGTTCCGCTACGACTGAGGCCGCCCACGCGATTGGGACCCAAGATGGGAGTCGTCTCTGGGGAGAAGACACCATTCACCGAAGGAGCATTTTGCCCATTGATACCTAAGGAGGAAAGGTGGTCGAAGAGAGTCGTCCATACCCCTGATGCTGCAGATGTGACTTGCTGAACTAGGGAAAGCAGATGGTGATCGATCATCGGAGGCCTGAAGTTTGTGCCGTGTCCGTCTGAGACCGCACCATGGGCAGGGGTACCTATTGAGCCAGAGCCGTCTCTGCCAATGAACGCACTGAACATATGTCTAGAACTGTCATGCACATCTTCTCCCATCTCAAACCTTGTGCTCCCTGGAGGAGCAGATGTGGCCATACCCATAGGAGGTGCAGGTAGTGTATATGTCTGATCAGGTATCTCCTGGCCTGTCCCTGCTTGTTGCACTGACTTCGTCGGCAAATTTACAACGGCAGTAGCGAGGCCGGCACTGCCAGCCAACAGCCCATCTCTGCGACGATTGGCAGTTCCCCGATGCCTGGATGGGGTATCCGGTGCCCAGTCTATCGAAGCCTCTTTGCTGTGAGACGGTCGCTCAAGGTGCAGTGGTGAAGCAGCAGATGCATTCTCCGATGCAGCTGTGCCGCCAGCGCTGATGTCTTGGGTAAATGACCCGCCTTCCCTCTTCGCTTGGGGCCGCGATTGCAATTCTGTAGCACGAGCTGGAGATGGCGTCTCTCCCATTGCACTCTTTACACTCTGAGGGGACAGGCCCTCTGCGATGCTCGGCAAGTGGCCAGAGGCTAAGCTACCATTGGTGAGGAGGAGACCGTTCCCCGTAGCGGAAGAGTAGCCATAGCCTCGGTGCTCAGACATCTGTGCACCTGCTTCGGACGTGTGGCCACTCTCCCGTTGCCTCGTAAATTCTGCCCAACTAGTGCTGACCTCAACTGTCGCTCCATACAGCATAACCATCAACGATCTGGTGTATCGAAGATCTGCGCTTTTCAGAAGATTGACCAGTTGCAATTGAAGGACGCTGACCACTTGACGGAAGGTGATGACGCTGTCTCGGCTAGCGTCCATCACGGCCGCCACACTCGCGGGGGAGTTTTGCCCTTTGAGCGCCAGAGAGTCAAAGCGATCTAGGCTGTCAATCAATTTCGCGAGGGTGTCCGCAGCTACGTCCAACACTCTTTGGATTTGAGCGCAGATCCTTTCGTCCGTGCAGAAGAGGATGTACTGTTTGAGCGCAGTGTAAATCTGACTAAGGGCAAAGAGAATGCCACGAGAAGCATCGATGACTCTGAGCACGGACGGAGGGCAAGAGGAAGCCACCAAAGTTGACGGAAAGGTCGACAATCGTCTGAAGTAAGAGTCACGTTCATGTTGCTGTTGAGAAGAGTCCCTGGATGCTGTCTTTGTAGGTGTCCGCGGTAGGCTAGGGCTGGCTAGACCTTCCGTGTTCAGGCCAGCTGCATCCAGCAGCGCGGCACGGCGGACTGAGACCGCACGATCCGGGGGCAGACCAGAGAGTACCGCTGCTTTGGGCGTTGCCTGAGCCGTTGTGTCTGCATCTGCTTTGTGCTCCACCGTTCTTTGCGAGACATCTGAGCTCGGAGGAATAGGTTCTGACGATTCGCCGCGCTTGGCGAGCGAAGTCGCAGCAGAAGCCAAAGCAGTGTTGGGAGTAATGGCAACGGGGCGTCTCCGGACGGGTATAGGCGGTTGGCTTTCGCTGCTTGACGTTGATGACGCCATTGCGCGAGAAGATGATGACAACGACGTCCCGCTGTTACTGACTACTCCATTCGTAGAGCCGGAAGAGGACACAATGTACGATGAGGACGAAGAAGTGGGTATAGATGACTCGCGAGCCATGCTTGAAGCTGTGAATTTGCTTGCTCGAAGATCAGGAAGTGACTGCTTGCTGCTCAACACCCTACTGCGAGCACTACTGGTCAAGCCACTGCCGACAGGTCCATCCGCTCCCATGCTTTTGCCTGATGAGTGCGACTGCGTACGGCCATGGCCGTACGATGGACGGGGCATGGACAGGGGAGCAGAAGAATAGTCGAGATTTCCATTGATATCTCGGGGTTCGCCTTTGCTCATACCCGGGCTCACACCATTCAAATCTTCATGTCCTGTCAATTGACCGTAGCCAGCTTGTGCATCTGTGTCGAATAATGTCTTGGATGTTGATTCCGGGAGAGGCGCAAGAGGATCCTTGTTCTGAGGTGTGGGTGTGACGCTGCGGCTGGGTGAGGGGTGTCGAAGCGGGGCCAACAACTCTGCTGCGCCGGCCCGATGTTGTTCGGTGAAGCCTTCATCATGTGCGGATTGCACGCTGTAGAGCGAAGCAAGTGACGCCGAGGGCGGAAGCATGCCTTGCGGAGCTTCATTCATACTGCCAGTCGAGGGCGAGATTGGATGCTCTCGCTGTTCAGAGTCAGGTACAGTGCTGTCTACGGCAGTCTGATTGCCCGACTCTTTCCTTTGCGCCAATTGGGGAAAAGACTCCATGGCGGCGACCGTGCTAGCCGAACTTGGAGCCGTAGATAGCGTGCCTTCCCAGTCTCCAATCGCTGAATCTGGTCCACTCGGGCTACCTCCAGACGCAGATCTCGGATTGATTCTGCCTGATGCCGTTCTTATAAGCATTAAAGGACGCATACGGAAGGCTCGCTCAGGAGAAGCAGTGAACGGGCCTGCTCCTGACATGGTTGACGTAGGGTCATCTGCGCTTATTGCTGCTCCGGCTTGCTCTGTCGCCGGGCTTGAGTCAAAAGGATCGAGAGAGTGGCTTGCACCTTTCCGAAGGTCCTCCTCGTGCGCAGGTTGGCCTCTCGATGGAGAGTAGCGCTGCGCTTGTGGAGGAGACATGAGGTGCCCGGCTGCAGACGCAAGCGTAGAAGAGCCGCTCGCCATAGAGGACTTGCCTCTCGCATGACCTCTGGTGTGTCCGCCTTCTCCACCTGCCTCGCGGCTGCTGTGAGGCAGCAGCCGTTGCCTCTCTCGTTCGTCTTCCTGGGCAGCATTCTCTTTCATCCATCTCTTCATTCTCACGATCCAGAGCTGCATCGCCCTCTCCGATGCTTTCGCTTTTTCTTTCTCGTCTGGAGATTGCATCCCTTTAGTAGCCGAGGCTAAAGGAGATTCCTCAGAGGCAGGAGGAAGGATAGAGATATGAGGGGGAGGCCACTGGATTGGATTGTCATCGATCTTGAGGATGCGAAGATGTCGCATCTGGATCATCCAGGTCGGCAGACGGCGAAGTCGATTATGAGAAATGCAAAGGACTCTCAGATTGACCAGCTGGCCCGGTTCTGTCGGGAGCTTTCGAATCTTGTTCCTTGATATATCGAGGATCTCCAGCGACGGCATCTCAGCAAGCATTTCTGGGAAGGTCGAAAGCACGTTGGACCGAACGTTAAGGTAGCGAAGGCGACTCAGCTTGGAGAAGTTGCGTGGCAGAGCGTAGATGGAATTGTATCCGAGAGCCAGCCTGTGGAAGTGAAGCAACGTGAGCGGTCGCATAGGTCAAAATCTCCAACGCCACGGCCTCTGACTCACCGTACCACCTCATCTCTGATCACTTCCACCATCTCATCTGGTATGTCTTGCAAATTCTTGTGACACATGTCAAGCGTATCGAGTGATGAAGGAGCAGTCGAGCTCTTCCCATTCTCTACCGAACCCGTCCTGGAATGACCAGCCAATCTCATCTCGATGATCGTGGCCAGTAGTTCGTCCGAAGGCATCGTCTTCGCCTTGCCCGCTCCATCACTCGCTAGCATCGAGGCTGTTGATATTGATGTGTCCGCGGATGAATCGGGAGGGGCATAGTCTACCGATGTGGACACATTGACATCACGGCCGCCGGAAGAGCTTTGGCCCGAAGCTGCCTCCATCGTGACTTCGCGTTGAAAGCTATACTACCGTAGCTGTGCCTTTGCGACCCTGGAACCGATGTCAATCGAGAGCTGCACGGCTTCGAAAGGGTCGTCTTCCCTGCAGCGATGTGATGAAGTACACAGCGGGAGGTCCGAGACGCAAGCGGCGCCTGCACGGACAGACGAGGTGCGACTGTCTTTACACGAGGAACGCGCCGCTTGGGAGACTCGACCCTGCAGGCCTCATTGCTCGTGAAGATTGTCGCTGGGATTGGAGGTTCTGGTTGGACGAATCTGAAGCAGCCGTGACGAGGAAGTGCTCTGAGAGGAGTTGATTGGGCTGCGATGGGGGCGGGGCATTAGACTAGAGGAACACTCGACGTGATCTTGGTCGGGAACGCAGGACGGATGGACGAGCGGTGCAGCACGGCGGAGACGCAATCAGGTGGAGTCGGAGCGGAAGCGGAAAGAGACGAAGGGGCGTGGACAAGTCGAGGTGACACTGTGGTTCCAAGATCGATCAGAAGTGGGAGTTTGGTAGAAAAGTACTTCTGATGTAACGAGTGTTCAGTACCACACACTTGACAACAACTAATACACAGAGTGGGTTGCAAGGGCAGGGCTGTGGATGCTATGGAAGAGACAAGTGGAGTCTATGACGATGCGATGATAGGCAGATCACTTGGGTGCTGGGGTATTGTAACCATCGGGTTTGAAGTCGGCGCCAAAGTCATCATGTAGTTTCTGAGGGTGGTGGACGAGCGACATTACATAGGTGTCAGTATAAGGTAACCCTGGTTCCGATGGCCGCGACAACGTCTCTTCTGCTACTCACCATCAATAGCTTCATGGCATTTCTGGCATGCTGCCTGGCTGGATCTTCCCAAGGCCTAGCATCTGTGTCAGGCAAATCGCCCTGCGTGCTGTCGAATGGATACGGCAGCAGCTTTTGAAGATATTCGTATGCCACCAGGGTCGCTCCAAATTGTGGCGAACTCCTCAACACACGAGCGAGAGATCCCTTGTAGAAGGCTCTTGGCCCCTCGTCCTTGAGCACCTTTTGGAAGCAGTCGACAATACCTGTGTAAGTCGCCTGACCTTTCCTGGCCTCCACTTGCAAGCGCGTCTTGATGACATCGGCAGGGGTAGTTAGGAAAGCAGCTGGCATACCTGCCACAGCTGCCGAAGTCAGCAGCTCGCCGAAGCTGAGCTTCTTTCCGCGAAGGCCTTCGTGGAAAGTGTCCTTCTTCAAGTGAGCATACGCGGGAAAGTAGATGGCCGAGAAGGGAATGTCACGAAGCAAGCAAGCCGAGGCGCCCTTGTAGAGGCCGATGAGCCCAAGCTGCTTGACATGATGCATCGCTCCCCGGGCGATTCTATCTGCTCCCTCCGACTTAGCCAGCTCTCCTGCAACCTGAAGACGAATCTTCACGATTTCCAGAGGGTTCGTGAAGAAGACTTGACATCCTCCAGCCGCACCACCTGCAAAGAGCTCCCAAGGCAGCGAGATTTCGCCCGTCTCTTGGTTGCGAGCCTTTGCCCTCACAAGGTCATTGACAGTCAACTTGATGGCCTTCTCCGGCGCAACACCGATTAATTGAGGCCCAAGGCCGGAGTAGAAGCCCCTGAAGCCTTCATTTCGGAAGACCTTTTTGACACAGTCAATCGAGTTCTTGTACATCTGGGGCTCTCCGACAACGGAGGAACGCTGATTTTGCATCCTGGTCTTGACCAAGTCGATGGGGTAAACCAGAGTTGCTCCAGTAGCACCGGCTGCGCCTCCCAATGCGAATTTGTAGGCAGAGTGGGCGAAGTCTTGCAGCAGGCTGACGGGAGCAACCTTCAATTCGTCCGTCGCTTTGGACAGCTTTTCTGTGATAGGGAGGTCTTCCGACAGAGCTGAGGAAGGCTTCTGCGACTTTTGCTGAGGAGGTGGTGTGGGCAAGGGATGAGGATCCAGGTCGTCGCTAATGAAGAGCTCATGGCAAATCAGGTTTTCGTCTTCCGATTTGCCTCGTACTGTGGAGGTACGGTACGAGAGCATGCCCGGGGCGGCGAGAGTGACCTCTTTGCGGAAAGCATCCAGGTGGCGCTGGAAAGCTGGGTCTGCCAAAGGACGAGAGTAGATCTGAAGGGCAGGCAGGGTGCAACAAGCGCAGGTAGTGAGCTCTCGGTGATCTTGTAGATGCTCCCCCGATGCGGCTCAATACTAACCTTTGCGCCCACGGTGAACCTGCCCTCTCCGGGCAAGTGTGGGATGACATACGTCTTGGCTGCAGATGGATCGTCCACCGATACCACGGCGGACCCCTGTTGAGAGGGAGCCGAGGCGTCTGCAGCCTCTGCGTGTAGTCTCCTGAACATCTTCTAGCGTAGGTAGGTAGAAGTTATGCGGATATCGCTGTCTGTGTCTCTGCTGGGCCGGACGCCGAGTAGCTTTCCCCTGTAATGAGCGGGCTGATTCACTAGCGGTACAGTATATCACCGTCGCGGCGAGTCCTCCGGCTCTTGGAGGTTCTGAGGTCGTAGCAAGTTGAGGTCAAAGGCCGGAATGAGGGACAGCTCGTAGGAATGAGCAGCTGAAACCCGAGGCGACATCGATTCTTCCCGTGGACACCCTTCCGCGCGGCGGACTTTGAATCGCTTGTCCGGCGGCCAACGCATTCTTCGCTTCTGCGTCCATCTCAACACCTCCTCCTAGACACGCATCCCCCCCCCCGACGTCAAGTATCAGCAGCTGTCGCAGCTCCTTTCAAAGGGTTAGTATCTTTTTGCCACTGCAGCCAGCCATGCTTCAAAGTGATGATTGTTACGAACCAAGATCTATCTTTACACTGCCCCCAATGGTGGAGACACCCTTCGATTTATCAAAGTTTCAGCCTTGTCTGATCGCAGAAAGAGAGAAAAGAGGAGGCAACCGCTGGAGTCAGCGTACTTCTCTCTTGGGTGCTTGTCTTCAACTTTGGTCCTCATGGCTGACATTCAACACCGTTCTCTCATTTTGATGTGCTTTAGACACCCTGCGGATCTTTCACCATCGCCTCTGGTACATGCCCTCAGGTGAGTCCCTCTTGAGCAGACCCAAAGCCGCCGATGGGTCCGGATGGCATGGCAACAGCAAGCGCACACAAAAGGATGATAGCAACACCGACAGGCGGACCGAGTACGTCTCCCTCGTCATGTTCCTCGGGACAGCCTGCCTGGCGCTTGTGTACTTTAGTCGGGCAGGTCAAGCGAGTCTGGAGGCTCTGAAGGATAATCGTCGGATTCTGATCGTGTGTCGCTGGCGTGGAGCGTCTGGCGTTTGCCGATGGGAGAGGAATGTCTGGCATCCGCGACGTTGAACGAAGCAGTCACTGACACTTGCACCTCTTGTCAATGCTTGCCCTCGAACCAGTATGATCACAGACGTGCAATTGTCCGCGCTGGCCAACTGGCTCGGTTCTCTGACCATGGTTCTCATCGTCGTCTACCACGTGAGTATGCGCTGATGTCCTAGCAGCGGCCTTCGAAGCGATAGGTGTGGTTGTAAGTGGTGGCGGTTCAAATGATGGCTTTAACAGTTTATCCCTGGCTTAGAGCCTCCCTCAAGGGATGGAAATGCCGACGTTTTTTTGGTAGCAAAATGCTCTGATTCTTGTACGAAGGAAGGAGAGGCAGACGAGGCGTAGTCCATTTCGGCGATTGCTTCGATTCGTTGATACTGACCCGATGTTTGCTTCTGTTACGCAGGCCGTTGGTGCAAATGCTAAGCGTACGGACAAGACCACTGCTCGAGCAATGGCCGGCGAAGAGGAGGTTTCTGATTAGAAGATCAATCAGCGCTATCTTTCACACCCAATACCCCCGACGCAGAAGCTTCGGCCTTCTCCCCCTTGTCCATACACCTTGTGCCTCCTCTTAAACACTGTATTTGTAACGTCACGCCTTACAGAGCCTCGTCCAGTTGGCAATGAAGTCACATTGGGTAGATTGCAGACTGATCATCTAGTGTCATTGTCTCTGATTGACTATTGCCGGCTGCTCCGAGCCGGCTGGGTATCATGTACTCCCGCCGTTGTGACCTGCCGACGGGTGCGTTAAGTCTGTCGTTGCCCTCGCCGCTTCTTCTTGGCTGGTTCTGGCTGCGTATTGAACGTGTCACCTCCCTCCCGGGATTGAATCGTCGCTGGCTGCTGCTCTGCTACAGACCCCTCCATCGTCCGCTGTTCTGTAGCACTTCGAGCCAGAGCGTCCTTCTCCCTCTGTCTCTTCCTATCGCGCGCACCCCTTATGAGAGTATCCGCCCTCTTGATCTCCTGACGCTCTTCATCGCCCTCCAGACCTTTCAGTTCCATCCATCGATCAATGGCCATCGTTCCCGTGATCTTCTTTCCTTTTGTCCTTCCTTTGGTGAGAGTTCTAGCAATCTCCACCCAAAGCCATTCTGGGTGCTGCTCTCTTAGTGTGAGGAGTTGTCTCTCTTCAGAGAGTGTCCAACCTGTAGAGGAAGGCTGTTCTGGGAGAGGACGGGCGGCTTGAGAGGTTGCAGGCGGGGCGATGAGGTTGGCATAGCGGTCTTGACAGGCTTTGGGCGTACGTGTCCTTACGTATCGAGCGACACGCTCGAAGTTGAGGTTTTCTATGGTCATCAGTGGACCTTGATCTTGAGATCTCGACCGCGAAGAACCTGGCAAAGCTTCGTCCTGAGTTGTGGGGAGAGGCAATCTGACCTGGTCTGTCTGTCTTGCGATCCCCTCTCGAAGTCTCTGAATCTCATTCTCGTCCCATTCTCTGGCCTCATTCTCGCTCTCCAGAGCAGTGTCGAATTTGTCAATGATAGTAGAAGGGTTGTAATTGAGCTTTTCGGCCAAGAGGCTCCATTGGTGACCCCAGATGGAAGCCTGTCGAAGCAGCTCGTCATCGTAAGCTTCTTTCTGGTCGAATGTCGAAGGAAGGCTGAGATGGGGAGCGCTGCGCACTACAAATGGTAGACGCTGGTAGGCAATGAGGCAGTCAATGGGTCGGCGACCGTTCTGAGCGAGGGTATAGAGAGCGTCAGCTATCATCCGCGGTCTTGTCATCATGTCCAATGAGGAGGTGAAACTCACCCCAATTTCGTCTGCCACATTATGCCAGTCCAGCCGGTCATTGCCTGCAGAAGTATTCAGCTGTTTTTCAACCAATGTTTTGAGCCTCTCGATCTCCTTTTCGGACCATGGCTCATCGTTGATGCCAGGACGAGCGACCATGAGCCACCGAGTGCGGCAGGCATCGGCAGTGTGTGCGTTGGCTGTAGGTGCCGCAGAGAGTGACAAAGAGATTTCATCCCAGTCAATTCTCTGCGGAGCCTTTCTTTTCCTCGACTCTCCTTTTGCGTCTTCTGCTTCCGACTCGTCTTCGCTACTTTCATCGGCTGAATCACCACCTTGCATGGGACGCAAGTACTTTGGAAGCGAGAGGAGCGCGAGCTCTTCATCGCTCATCTGCGCGACAAGGGCGAGTGGATCTCGGCAGCTTTTGTCTGCTTTGAACGTATAGGCTGCCAATCTGCGGCACTGATTGAGTACTGCCTCCTCGAGACACCGATCATCAGCTTTGTTCCATATCGAATTGAGCAAGAGAGCTTTCAGGTCGGAGACCTCCGCTGCCACACTAGTGACCTTCTCCAAGCCATGAAAGAGTGGTAGAGAGGCTTGCAGGAATGGTTGACTGGGTAATATGGAGGACCGCGCTGTGTCATAGGAGTGCATGGCATCAGCCAGGTCTAGTAGCTCCCCTATCCCGTCCAATTCCGCCTGAGCCAGAGGAGCTTGCTTGAGTGTCTCAACGAGCGTCTCTTGCAAGCTCGCATTGCTTTCTCGGGCGAGCGCGATGCTCCTGCGCTGCTCAAGAAGGAATGTGAGCTCTTGTGCTTCCCTCTCTTCCTCCTCGTCTGTGTCTGCGGTCATTGATGAGCCCCATGGACGTTGGTGAGAAGCAGAGGAAAGAAACGAGATTCTTGTGAGCGGAAGCGCAGGGACATGGCGCGTGCGGGACTGTGGAGGCAAAGGCTCCCCAAACCTCCTGAATCAGCCTTCACATTCGATACATTCACATAGATCCTCTCACGTATTCAACTGCCATGACCCTATATCACACATAGCCTTTCTATCTTAGCCAGAGCTTCGCGTTGCAGCATGTCAGCTACGCAGCCCTTGCGTCAAGACAGTGCGGCGTCCAACGACTCGGACACCTCTGTAGGGACCATCAAGGCTGGAGAGGCGCACGATGACAGCAGCGAGGCAACCGTCGAAGACGGAGAGGTCGACACTGCCAACGACGCAGCATCACAGCGCCCAGAAGCGAGTAGTCTGGCTGCCTCAGAGGCAGAGGGACAGGAGGGCGAAGCTGCAGCGGTGAACTCCACCACGGACAAGCCGTCAGGGCCAGCAGAGCCCTCACAGACAGCGGCCGGAGAATCGCCCACACGACCTTCGCAATTTCGTGGGCATCAGCATCTTTCGTCAACGTCTACCCAGAGTCGCAAGAGAGTACGGTCGTCCACAGTACACACCATTGATGTACAGGAAGAGACGACCAGGGCGTCCAGGTTCACGCTGTGGGAGACACGAACGCGCTTCTACTTGATTGCCTACAATACCGCTCAGAGTCGTTTCAGAGTGTTGAAGATTGATCGAAGCCCGGGTGGGGGACAGCGAGGGTCTAATAAGTCTCAGGAGTCGGCTGACGACTTGAGGGACAAGGACCAGCTGCACAAAGAAGCCAGACAAACCGCTACGCCCAGTTCGAACAAGAGCTCGAATACTTCGTCATCTCGCTTCAACACTTTTGCCTCGAGCTCGTCCGCTCCCGGCTTTTGGGATCTGGGAGTCACTGCTGATCATGCCGTCTACGATCGTCATCAGATCACTGAGCTGTTGGACATGGTATCGGAGGGTAATCGCTCTACTGGAGGCCTAAAAGAAGTCGGTCACTTCTTTGGTCTGGTAGGGTTTATTCGCTTCACTTCGACCTACTATATGGTCCTGATATCCAGGAGATCGGTTGTGGCGCTGATGGGAGGTCACTACATCTATCACTGTGATGAGACCAAAATTCTGCCCGTCTGTCATCCTTCGACCCTGTCCTCGGTATCCGGCCGCACAAAGGCGATGGACCAGGAAGAAGCTCGACTGCTCCACACCTTCAAGCAAGTCGACCTCGGCAAGAACTTCTACTTTTCGTACACTTACGATTTGACAAGGACACTCCAGGAGAATCTTACCGGCAGAGGTCGCAGCCAAATGGCCCACGATCAAGGCCTTGCTCAGAAGGACGCTCAACAGACTGCGTGGGGATTCTGCGAGAAGTTCATCTGGAACCACCATTTGCTGCTGCCTGCCTTCAAGTCGACAGTCAATGCCAAAGTCAACAGCACCGATAGCTCTGAGTCGACTGCCGATGAGTGGATCATCCCCTTGTGCTACGGGTTTGTCGACCAGGCCAAGCTGTCCATCATGAACAGGACTATCCATGTCACCCTGATCGCGCGGAGATCGAGACACTTTGCTGGTGCGAGATTCCTGAAGCGAGGCGTCAACGAAGCCGGGCATGTTGCCAATGACGTCGAGACGGAACAGATCGTCAGCGATGCTCTCACGACCGCCTTCTACGCTCCTGAGACAGGCCACAGTCAGGCTGGTGGTGATGGTGAAGGACGAGATGCATCATTTACACACTCTGCGAGGAGTACGCATGGTACCACTGGCTCTAAGAGCCTTGCCCAGAATCCTCGCTATACCTCCTATGTCATGCATCGAGGCTCTATACCCATCTACTGGACTCAAGACAGCACCAACATGTCTCCTCGGCCGCCCATTGAGATCTCAGTGGTGGATCCGTTTTACTCGGCAGCTGCTCTCCACTTCGATGACATGTTCGCTCGCTATGGGTCGCCGATCATCATTCTGAATCTGATCAAGAGCAAAGAGAAGACACCTCGGGAGACAAAGTTGCTCTCTGCTTTTGGAGAATGTATTGGCTACCTCAATCAATTCCTGCCAGAGGACAAGAAGATGCCTTACATAGCCTGGGATATGAGCCGCGCAAGCAAGAGCCAAGATCAAGATGTCATAGGTGTATTAGAAGACATAGCAGAAGAGACCGTTGAGAGCACGCGTTTCTTTCACTCGGGTCCCGAGCCTACGCGGTTCTCATTCCATCTTCAGGGCAAATGCAGAAATATCAATGATCGACCAACGCAATCTGACAGCGGCACACGCCGCGACACAATACTTCTCCAGACCGGGTATGTAGTCTTTCGGAGAAGTGCATTCGGCTGCGCTCTGTTCCTTCCACATAGCTGACATCTCGGCCGATCCCCCTTCTCCTGCAGCACTGTCCGCGTCAACTGCGTCGACTGCTTGGACCGTACCAATGCAGCGCAATTTGTCATAGGCAAAGCTGCATTCGGACAACAGCTCCATGCTCTGGGTCTGCTGGAGCATCCCTCATTGCCATTCGACTCAGATGCTGTCGATATGTTGACGGAGATGTACCATGATCTCGGAGATACCATTGCCCTTCAGTATGGTGGAAGTCATTTGGTCAACACCATGGAGACATATCGCAAGATCAACCAATGGACGTCGCATTCACGAGACATGCTTGAGGGTCTGAAGCGATACTACTCGAACTCCTTCGTCGATGCCGACAAGCAAGCAGCCATCAATCTCTTCTTGGGTATCGATAAAGACGCGCCCAACTTTGTAGCTGACGGCGGGACCGGTGGGGTCGGTGCATTAGTGTCAGCAAAGAGGACGAGCTATCGTCGCTCCTATCAGAAGTGGTTCACTCCGGCCTACCTCGAGGAGATTCGTCCGACGCCAGAACGCTTGGCCCGACTGCAAGAGTTCATCGAGCAAGAGCGATCTTTCTTCTGGGCCGAGTACTACCGCCCGCGCCTATTCACTGACCTCATGAGACACCACGCTTTCAAGATGACTGCTGTGCACCAGCGACAGCCTCAGGCAGTGACCTACGGTGGTCCCGGTGTAGTGACCTCACCGTCAAAGAGAGGCAGTCTTGACCGAGCTCGAAGGTCGAGTGTTATAAGTACCTCTGGAGAGACATCACATGCTTCCTCCTACTCATTTGGCAACAACAACTACCCGAGCATGGCGTCCCTGTCTTCCATTGCCGCCTCATCGACGATGCACGGCGACTCGGCATTTACATCATCGAGTGTGTACTCAAGGCCGAGCACAGAAACACACTCGGCCATGGTGGGTGACACGTCCATTCTCGTGACCTCGCCTTTCATCTCGCGGCTGCCGGGAGGGTCTTCTTCGGGCGGTAGAGCGGCTAAAACAGGGCACGCCCACCTGCGGAACTCTTCCATCTCCTCCATCTCGTCAGATGCCACCGCTGTCTCTCACCCCATGAGAGGCCATTCGACGTCTGTATCAACCGAGTCGACCATGCTGCACGGCAAGGAGCGTGCTGGCTCCACTTCGACAGGGGCAGGTCCCCCTACGGAGGGCAAAGCTCTCATCGGCGGAGTACGTAGGTGGATGAGTCTGAATCAAAGCGGTTCAGCTGGAGGAAAGAAGAACCGCCGTCTATCGGGGCGGGGAAAGGACGGAGTGCAAGACGGATCCACAGGCAAGACAGACCCATCTATCTCGGACAAGGGCTCTCTTGTCGACCCAAAGCCCTCACCCGCTTCTACATCCATCGGTGGTTGGACCAATCCATTTTCACTGCTGCATGTGAATCCTTCGCATCCACATCCGGCCTCTGTGCTGCTAGAGAATTGGTACAAGCCTACAGTGGCAGACGAGGAGGCACGCGAATACGATCTCTGGCTGCGACAGTTCAAGGGTAATGTCCAGCTCGAGTCGAACTTGGCCGAGTGGGATGGCTTGCTCAACCAGGAGATTGCCGCTGCCAGTGCGGGTATTGCAGATGAGCGGAGGAGAGAGACGGGTGCTACCGCTGGCTATACTGCGCAAGGTGCTGGCGTATCTGGACCTGGCTCAGCCAGTGCCACTTGGCACAGCTCTGATCCCAACTTGAGCGATGCAGACTTGCAAGTATACATCCAAAGTGTACGCAAAGCTCGTCTACCTGCACTTTCACCCTGCATCACTCTAGACTCAACGACCACTAGCACAGCGGTGTCTGGCGCGCCGACAGGAGTGGCAGGTGGTGGGACTGTGCTCAGCCCTGCGGATGAAGCGGTGTTGAAGGCTTATGCTGCCTGGGAGACTACGGCTCGACAGATGCAGGGCGCTCCATTCAGGGGTGTGACGGAAGCCCGACTCAAGGCATACCGGGGCTGGGCGACGATTGGGGTTGGTGGAAAGTGAACCTTGGAGACGCAGGTGGAGGCTCACTCTATTGTACATTAGATTTCATTAGCTTACGACTTTCACGACCCCTAAATCTACATGCCTCTCTGTTCTGCTACTGTTGAGAGTCGTCTCCTCACGCACTGCAGCTGACTATCACTACTGACTCTTCGGCTTAACCCCTTTATCCTGCAACTTTGCACTTGGGTTCAACTGCTTGAATCTAAAAAAGAGGGGGAATCCCACTGGAAGGGTAGTAGCAGCCCATAGCAGCGCTACACCAGGGGAAGCTCCTCTGCGTAGCAGTGACCAAAAGAGCATGCCTAGTGCTTCAACTACGTGAGCTATTCCGAGGTACTTGAGTAGAAAGGGTATACCTTCGTGTAGGATTTTGAGGGCTTGAGGGGAGTTGTAGAGTGAGGTAGGAGTATGGGAGGGTTTGGAGATGTAGAGGAGGAAGGTAAGGAGGAGGAGGGAGATGGGGAGGTCGGGTGGTGGAGAGTAGAGGATTGGGTACTGGACGCGTGGTGGAGGGAAAGCGAGGAGAGGTCATTATGAGCTTCACTTGATCTAGACCAAGCAGTGCGAGCGTCCTTTGTTCCGTCCACTCACCTTCTTATTCCTCCCAGCCTCTGCCTCCTTAACAAGTCGAACCATCCTCTCCCTGACCTCCTTTCCCCCACCTTGAACTCTCACCTCTCCCTCTTCTCCCTTCCCCTTCCATCCAATCCTGACACCACTCCTCCTCTTTGCTCCCCAAAAACTCTCCATCATCTCATACTCTACCTCAAACCCCTTCGAATCAATCGTGGTTAGTTGAGCGGATTGAGGTGGACGGGGGAGAGAGAGGTGATTTTGAACAATGGCCCGCAGGGAGGGTTGGTGGTCGGCATTCATGTGGTTTAGGGCGGGGAGAAAGTCGGAAGGGGTGCCTTGTGTGGGCGGGGAGAAGGGTTGGAGGGGATTCATGGTGCAGGGTGTCCTACTGGGTAGTACTACTGAATGTCAATGGAGCAGTTGATGAGGTGAGCCAGAGTAGCAGTGATAGGGTTGAATGGTATCGACGGAGGGATGAAGGAAGGAATGACTGTAAAGGGCAAGAATGCGGGGCTCCTCTCTACGTTCGGACCACTTGCACCCGGCGCCGCCCTTCTCCACACGCGCCTCGTCATTTCTGTGAAAGAAGCCGCCTTCGCTTGCAGTCGCCTCGACCTTCGCCTGACGCAGGACTCGATAGAGTAGGCGAGCGAACAGCCAAGAGCTCGGATAATTCTATAATGAGTACACCAAGACCAGTATGGCTCTCGCATGATATTGTTGATTGATTGAGTATGGGGAGTTCTATAAACAGCAAATCTGCTTCGCACGTCGATCGATGCTTGTCGTCTGTCTGTGGACTCTTTAGACGACGAGCTGCCTCGCGTAATGCACCGCCAACAAGCTTGCAAAGCTCCAGCTCAACTCCCTCGCACCCCTCATATGTCCATCGAACCGATCAATCTGCTCCGACATCCTACCCGTCTTATCTGCATACCTCGCAGCATTCTCTACAAACCTCTCCGCCATACTTCTCAGTCCCTTGAGGATGAGCTCCCACTCCTTTGATCCTCGATGGTAGGTGGCCGTTTGACTTGACGGGAGAGAAGGGTACGCCTTCTTGAAGAGGGAGTGGGTGAGGGGGGAGATGCTAATAGGCAGGGAGGTGGTGGCGTGGTGGGCGATGAAGAGATAGAGGACATTGGAGACTGCAAAGGTCGTCAGGAACCATGGGTTGCCGATGGATTGGCCCACACCATCGTAGACGTCCTGCAGAAGGGGGGTTGAGAGGAAGTCGAAAAAAAGTCATTAGTCACACAGCACAGAGGTGCCAATCGAAAGCTGCTTTCGGACTCACCTCGGGATATCTTCCGCACAAGACGCCCTCTTCTGGCTTCCTGCCCTTGTTGACCGGGTAGACAGCAGCAAAGACCTCGATGTTCCTGTTCAGAGTAGCAAGGCATCGTTCACTCCAAGGCTCCCATGTATCGTCCTCCTTCTTGCCCACATCACCGTCCCAGGCATGAGTGAAGCCGAGCAAGACTGCAGTGTCAGCCTGGGTAGGCTTAGGCTGCCCACTAACCCGGTCCCTAGTGGGGACCACATGGGCACTGGAGAGGACCTCCTTGGGAATAAGAGAGAGGTTGCGGTCATCGTCCCACTTGACATTATCGCCCTCCTTTGAGCCACCCTCGATGTCCAGAGCTCCATCCTGATTCCAGAAATCCTCTAGCCGCTTGGTGATAGCGTCAGCGGCCTTCGTCCATCTTTCAGCAGCTCCATCGTCCTTTTCGAGCGTCTTGTCCTTGGCCAGCTTGACACCTTCCAGAAGAGCTCGACGCTGCGTCATAAGTACGTGGAAGTGGCCTCCATTGGCCGCATTGACCTCTTCCCAGAGCTCAAAGGTCTCGCCTTTCCAGGCTCGACTGATGTAGTCTAGGTCGGCCTTGATCAGGCTCTTGTCCGCACCAGCTCCCACGCCCCAGAGGTGCTGCTTGGCGAACTTAGTCGAAGCATCACCTGCGTCCCTGGTCTTGAGCAGGTGCTGCAGGTATTTTGCAGCAACAATGGATCGCAAAGCAGGTCCATCGTTCTGAGGTCGTCCCCAGCTGCCCTCGAAAGCAGTTCCATCAACGTTGAACTTTGGCTCACCCAGACCGCCCGTCTCGAATGTGCCACTCTGGTTGGGCGTGTGCTGCAGCTTGAGCGACATTGTGAAGAAGTCCTTGACTCTGCGCTCAATATCGCTAGCAGAGTAGACTCCAGCGTCCTTGCCTTCCTCGACCGACTTCATGATGTCGAGGAGAGAGCGAACGCAGCATCCACTGTCTCTGGGCCACTGGAACCAGTAGTTGTTCGAGTCTCCGTCTCCTTCCTTTGAAGGACTCGCAACCATGCACCCCGCAGCGGTACCTGGAGCGTTTCTCCCATCGGGACCGAAAGCGGCGAGCAAGTGGTCTAGAGCGACCGAGTCGTTTGAGATGGGCGTCTGGGAAGAGAAGAGCTTCTTCTGCTGCTTGATGGAGCTGCGCGTTAGGGCTGGGTACTGGCGGTAGATGACTACGGACGAGGACACTAGAGCCAGAGCTGCCAAGCCGATTGTGAGCGGGCCGTTGTTGCCAAAAGGACCGACGCTGTTGTTGACCATTGTGAAATGTGTGTGAGAAAAGGGAAAGTAAGGTTGTAGGGAAGGAGAAGAAGAAGAGGAAGAAGATGCGGAAGAAGTGGTAGAAGTGCGGCCAGCAGCAGCCGAGTGGAGGAGCAACACGGGCCAAGCCACACGCTCCATCGATCGGCCCGACGCCACGCGAGGCGGCAAATGCAAAGTCGCCTCACCACGCCACGCCCGACGGAAAGGGAGAACCTTCGCGTTTTTGGCGGGGAGTGACCTCGACTGAGACCAACACTATCCACCATTCTCCCGTATAACAGCTATTCTTTCATCCCAGGTATCGTCATACGCCCTTGAACATCATGGCCAAGCTACCATCAGATTCCAAGATCGAGTCTTACGTGCGACAGCTGCTGGAGAAGGACGTAAAGGCCAACAAAGGAAAGGAGATCACGTAGGTACCCACCCTCGCATTCACGTCTAGCACTCCATTCCATCGAGCTGAGCTACTGTTGTTGCGCGTCTGCATCCCGACTAGTCACACAATACGAAGTATCCGAGTCGCTCTTGCTGAGCATTTCGATGTGGATGTGGATGATCTGAAAGAAGAGAAGAAGGTTGTCATCAAGGCCGCAGTGGACAAAGCAGTAGAGGAGCTGCTCCCAGATGAGGGAGGAGAGCAGTCTGAAGAAGAAGTGGCAGCAGAGGAGACGGAGCATGTCGAGGTGAGTCTCAGCGAATCTGATTCGCAGCATGGGAGTGCTTTAGCAGGGAATTACTTCTGAGCTGACACAGCTGCTCTCATTCCTTTCAGTCACCCGCTTTGGACAGCGGCATGTCCTCCCTAGACGATTCGGACGTAGGCGAAGGCTCTTCCACAGGTGCCAAGAAGAAGCAGGGGCGCAAGTCAAAGGAAGGAGGAAAGCAGTCCACCTCCAGCCGATCTGGTGCCAAGACTAGCAAGAAGAAGGAAAGCTCTGCATCAGGAGATAAAACGGAAGAGGAGATTGCCAGGCTCAAGAAGCTCGTGGTTGCCTGTGGCGTTCGGTGAGTGCGAGGCGAGGCGAGGCATATAGGCCTCTTGCAGCTTTTCCCGTCTAACAGCATCCCTTCTCCGTCTTGTCCCCGTTTCCTCAATAGCAAACAATGGTCAAGCTGGTTCGCGAAAGAGTCTGCCACTACAAGCAAGGATCAGGCCAGGGCTCTCCGCTCTCTGCTAAGCGAGCTGGGTATGGATGGAAGACTAAGCATGGAGAAAGCCAAGAAGATCAAGGAGGAGAGGGAATTTGCCGAGGAGCTCAAGGCTATCGGCGCTGATACTGGAGCGCAGGAGAGGGAGAGTAGAGGGAGTCGGTCGGGACTGCAACGGAAGAGATTGGGAGGGAGCGCTGAGAGCAGTGAGGATGAGAGTGAAGAGGAGGAACCACAGCGTGCCGCAAAGAAGGTGAGTCTTTGAGTTCTAGTCATGCATGCATTCTGTCAGATGACTGATTCACATCCCTCTTCTGTATCTTCTTGCAATTTAGTCGAGACTGGGAGCATCGCTGGCCGCATTCGCTGCCGAGCTCAATTCGGACGATGAGTAGCCCAGCGCCAACCTCCTATGTTCTAGCAATTCCGCTTTTGCCATTCTGTGCCCCCATTTCGTAGGTTCCGTTGGCCTGACCTCGATAGCAATGTAGCACTAGCACATAGCATACCCTTTCGTCTCTGGCGCAGTAGGAATTCAGCGTCTGCCTTCCGCTGCGCCTCGAACCACCTGACCATCCACAGCTCAGTCTTCACCAGAAGCTGTTCGTCTCACGTTCGTCGTCTTGTCCATGTCCCTGATCAGGCCTCGCTCGGAGAGGCTGTTTCTCATTAGTCGTGCCGAGAAGGCGTAGAGGCTAGAGGAAGGTATACACTGCCATGATCAAACAGGCTACAGAGACGTATGGACTTAGCCGTTCACCTGCGAGAATACAGGTGTTGATGCAAAATGGAGATGGGTATGGGTCAGCGCAAGTCACTGTGCGCGGATATGAGGACGAGTGGTAATCTTACCTATCCTTGCCATTTTGAAGAAGAGGCCCAGAAAGCTGAATCAAAGAAGGGCGTGAGGAGCATAGAGTCAGGACGAGTGCTCGCTGGGCCGGTTCCGTCTCACGACGCTCTTTCGCCCTCCTCTTCACCTGCTCGCTTGATGCCGCACAACGCTCTTCCATGCGTTTGACTCCGGACTGGCTACTCACCCTTGCTTATTCCTATCCACCAGTCCAGGCGCAGTGGCTCGTACGTAGGTTGCGGTGCAGATCAGCAGTAAGATGACCAGCAACAGGGACTGGAAGTTGAAGAGGGCCGACTGTGGGTGGGAGCAGGGCAAAGGGGAAGGATGTTCAGCCGACCTGATGCTACTTCAATGTGCTTGCGGACGGGAGATGCTGACCATGACTGTCGATGTGCCCCGTGGTCGTTGTATCCTCGTTACCAGTGATGATGATTGAGGCTGGCAGGAAGGAGTGAGCGAGTGTCAGTTGGCTGTGCGTGCGGAGCTTAGTTCTGGTCTGTGTGGTTGCGTGCGTGCGTCGCGCCAATTCCCCCGCGGTGGAGCGGAAAGAGCGCGTCGAGGCCTCGTCTACGCTCAAAGGGGGCCAAATGTTGGTTGCACCCACCTCTGCGCCTCATCCTGCTGCTGCTGCTGCTTCTCATACGACCTTCTATGAGCTTGCTGAGGGTCGTCAGGTCGCAATATTCCTCACACCTCTCTGTCCATCTCACCCGAAGCTTCCGAACAATGGCTCCTTCTGCTGTCTCAAAGCAGTCTACGCTAGGGTGAGACTAGTGATTATGTGCCCAACACTGTATCCTGCGCTGACCAACCATCTGTCTCTTTGCTATTTCACAGCGGCTTCATGAAGTATCCACCAGGGGCGTCGAAACCTCCTCCGCAGCAGTCAGATATCAGGAGTGCCATGAAGAAGCCGGACGCAAATGGCAGTAAGGCAAAGGCAGCAGCGAGCACATCTGCTAGCGCGCAGGTCAAGGAGGAGTATCGTATGGAGGAGGATGCAGTCAAAGATGAGGAAGAAAGTGAAGGTACGTGAAGAAGATCGGTTATGCTGGTGCTGTCACTAAGCTCACGTTCTCACCGTCACCTCTCACTCCTTCAGATGATCTACCCGTAGCTTCGTCCTCTGCACGCGGGAAGAAGAGGAGGGTAGCTGATTCCGATAGTGAGCAGGAAGAGAAGGCAATCCCGGCTGCGAGCAAGCCACCCGCCAAGGCACCGAAAGCCGAGTCTCAAGTGATCTCCTCGAGCGCCTCGACATCTACAGCTACAAAGGACAAGGCTTCTGGAGGAGCCGCAGGTAGCAAAAAGCCGTCGGAAGCAGCAAAGACAGCCTCCAAAGTCCCTGCCACAGCACCTGTCCCCGAGGTCAGTGCTTCGTCTTCGAAGACCAAGGTGCAGAGCAAGTCAGTATCGCCCGGTGAAGAGTCAGAAGATGATGCAGAAGCTTCGTCATCTGCAGGGGAAGATGACAAGGAGGACCAGAAGGCACATAAATCCGTTGCCGCCTTCTTCATGAAGCCAAGTGAGAAAAAGGCAAACGGCGCTTCCTCTTCGTCATCCAAAAAGGCAGAGTGGGAGTGGGAGAAGGGGCAGCCCGTACCTTATGCAGCTTTGGCCCACTCGTTCTCCGCCATTGAAGCCACAACAAAGCGTCTTGAGATTCAGGCTCTCCTCAGTGAGCTGTTGACCAAGGTCATCGAGCGAGCGTCAAAGCCAGAAGAGGTCACACAGGTAGTGTACCTCTGCATCAATCGACTCTGCCCAGACTACATCGGAATGGAGCTCGGTCTCGGTGAGGGATTGATCGTCAAGGCGCTCGCTCAAAGTTTCGGTCGCGAGGTCAGCAAGATTAAGAAGGACCTCGAGCAGAAGGGAGATCTCGGTCTTGTTGCACTGGCTTCCCGCGCGAAGCAGCCGACGATGTTCGCCGGCAAGGCTCTGACTGTCCCTGGCGTCTTCAGTACCCTGAAAGAGATTGCGACCCTGTCCGGCAACAAGTCGCAGGAACGTAAACTGGGCCTTATCAAGAAGCTACTGGCTGCGTGCAAAGGCGAAGAGACGAAGTGGATCATTCGCTCCCTGGAAGGCAAATTGCGTATCGGTCTTGCCGAGAGAACTGTGCTTGTCAGTTTGGCTCAGAGCGCAGTGAACCACCGCATCGGCAGCAAGAAGCACAAGATGTCCGCGGAGGATCTCAGTGCTGAGCTCGAGAAGGGCACATCTCTTCTCAAGGCAGTGTACAGCGAGATGCCCAATTACGATCGCATCATTCCAGCCTTGATCGAGACCGGTCCTGAAGGCCTACGAAAGTCTTGCCAGCTCACTCCGGGTATCCCTCTAAAGCCCATGTTGGCTAAGCCCACCAAGGCCATCACTGAAGTGTTGGACCGCTTCGAGGGCAAAGCATTCACTTGCGAATACAAGTACGACGGTGAGCGTGCACAGGTGCACTTCTACGTGCCTGGCGAGGCCAAAGCCATCGAAGGTGAGGACGCTGCTCCGACGACTACCGTCGAGGCTCCGGGCGGCTCGTCTGGCAAGAAGGGTAAGCTGGGAGTCTTCTCGAGAAACTCTGAAGACATGTCCGTCAAGTACCCAGATCTTCTCGAGAGCATTCCAAACTTTGTCAAGCCTAGCACAAAAAGCTTCGTCCTGGATGCAGAGGTCACTGCTTGGAAAAAGGCAGAGATGGACGAGCAGGGCAATGTCACCGACGCCGGGGGTCTGCTTCCCTTCCAGCAGCTCAGCACACGAAAGCGCAAGGGTGTCGAGCTGGACAAGATTGCTGTGCGCGTAAAGCTCTTCGCCTTTGACCTACTCTACATCAACGGCGAGTCCCTATTGCACGAAGACCTCGCCACAAGACGTGCCAAGCTGCGTGAGCACTTCCAGCCAGTGGAAAACGAATTTGACTTTGCCACTTCGCAGGACTGCAATACCGTCGAGGAGATTCAGACTTTCCTCGATGCCTCTGTCGCAGATCGATGCGAGGGACTGATGGTCAAGATGCTGCAGGGTGAGGATGCCTTTTATGAGCCTTCGAGACGATCGATGAATTGGCTGAAGCTCAAGAAGGATTACCTCAGCGGTACGGGAGACTCTCTCGATTTAGTGGTCATTGGAGGGTATTACGGCAAGGGCAAGAGGACACATGTGTATGGCGCTTTCCTACTCGGGTGTTGGGACGCAGATAGCGAGAGTTTCCAGAGTGTTTGCAAGATTGGAACAGGATTCTCCGAGTGAGTAACGGCGCTCCTAGCCAGCTGATCCTTCATGAACCGTTCGACTGATTGGCCCCCCTCCCTCTCCCCCCACGCGTTGCGACAGGGCCAACCTCGAAGCCTTCACTGCGCAGCTTAAGCCCCTCGAGCTCACAGTGAAAAAGGGCTACTACGACGTGGGCGGCGCGGCTCCGGACGTCTTCTTCGAGCCCAAGATTGTCTGGGAGGTCCTCACTGCCGACCTCTCCCTGAGTCCCGTCTACACTGCTGCCAAAGGAGCTGTAGAGTCCCGGGGTATCTCACTACGTTTCCCGAGATTTATCAGGATTAGGGAGGATAAAGATGCAGAGGACTCGACTTCGCCAGAGCAGATTGCGGATATGTATAGGGCTCAGGCCTCGGCTGCCAAAGGTTCCAAGGGAGGGGGTGGAGGAGGGGAGGATGAGTATTGGTAAGAGCAGAGTACTTCAGTTGCAGTGGGAAAGGCACCAGCAGCAAAGCGCCAGGACAGCATGTATGAAGGGAGCTTCATCGAAATACACTGTACACTCCCAGCTCTACATCCCAAACCATCACTCCGCCGATCCTCCCAACACAACTCGCAGCTTCTCCTCAACAAATTCCACCAGCCCATCCCTCTCCTCGTTCCGCACGACATTTGCTGCACCAGATTGGCTGTGCTGCTCTTCCAATGCCTCCTCTGATCTGCGACGTCTTCGAGCAATGGAGAGGATCTCGAGCTCGGCTTTGTAGCCCTTGGCTAGCATGGACTGTAGCTCGTCTCTACCGAAGCCGAAGGAGGGGGGAAAGGTTCGGGTCAGTAAGTCAGAGAAGAACTGTCGAGGGTCCGCGGTAGCACTAGTCACCCGAGGCACAGAGTACGGACCTGATCGTCTGATTCAATGATTCTTGCGCTAGCGTATTCTCGGCTCGTACTCGATCTGCTCGCGTCAGAGGGAGGAGATCTCGATCCGTTGAACTTGGCAGACTTGCAGTCGGTGGTGGTAAGAGGAAGGAGGAGATGAGAGAATACGGTGAACGATGAGGCGATGGGTCCTGTGGGGTTAGTGCTACTGATGTGTCTATCCAGTGTCTTTCTTGAGCAGCCGTTGACTCACTGCTGCAGATCCCTGCTACGCAAACCAAGAAGCCTGATGTTGGAGTCTGGCGGCATGGCTTTGAGGTATTGTTCGAAGATATGCAGACCAAAAGGATCATGATCCACTAGGACTAAAATACTCAGACTGCCCAAGGCCGGAATGTGCAGGGTCAGCCTCTCTGTGACTGTGCGATGCAGACCTTCTAGACTTTCTTACAGCGGACAATCCTGTGATATTCTCGCAAGGAACTCTCTGGTGATCAAGTCAGGGTAGCCTTTTCCAGTGACCAGAATCCCATGGCCAAGACCGGGCGTCCGCCCTGATGTGATACCAGCTTCCACCAAAGTCTGAAAAACGGCCTCCTTCTCGACGACCAGCAGCCACGAGCTTGTTGTATCAATCTCTGAGATGTCGTCCACATTTGGTATCAGAGTCTTGTGCTGATGACTGAGCGTGACTGTCGCCTCCGACGAAGTGGCATCACTATCGATCAATCTGATACTTGCGGCCCCTGCTATAAGGCCTTTTGAAGCAGCCGTGACGCCCAGTGCCGACCGCCGCACACCGAGTTGACTAGCAATATCATCGACCAGACGATCTACTGCTGCCTGAGAGCCAAAGAGAGCAGGCGCGCGGTAGTAGATGTCTCTCTTGGTCACAACTCTCCCGGCATGCAGAGCGCAGTGCATTTCTTCAAGAATCCGGAACATCATGCTGAGCGATTTGACCGTGCTCGCTGCTCTGCATGGGTAAGTGTACGTCGATGAGCGCAAGGATGTTGGGGAATTACTTGTGGTGTTGGCGTCCACGAGAGATAAGCTGATGGTCGCACTGATAGCAGGAGATTTCCGTGAAGAGCGAGATGGTCTGGCACTGTGCATATAAGAACCCCAAGGCTGAGAGCGATCCAACGTCCGCGATGGACTCGTGCTCTCTCGCAACGCTTGCTGCTTGGAAGGTGGGAGCGCGAGCTCGCTCGAAACAGGGGTAGAAGAGATTTGGACGTCTGAGTCTTGAGAAATGATGGCAGTACGATCAATTTCTTCTTCATCTGAAGACAGGGAGAGCATCTCGTCGTCGTCATCCCGTGTAGAGGGCGTGGGGAATCTCGCTAAAGTGCGGAATAGACCGGTAGCTGGTGTCACAGGGTCTGGGCTGCTCTCGCTCTCCGGCTTGGCAAGGACCAAAAGCTGGTCATGAAAGTCTCGAGCTAGTTGACTGATGGCCGCCTTAGCTCTTGTGCGTCTGCCATGTCCATTGGTCTGAGCAGTCAGCTTCGCGACGCTGGATCCACCTACCTTGAGAGTACTGACTGTGCTGAGAGAAGACGCTGATGAGCTTCAGTCGAGGTCGCAGCGGTACTTGATGAGCTGTCCGAAGGCAATAGACTAGATGCATGCGAGTATGTGCTAGACATTGGCTGCAAAGGCGAATCCAACAGGGCGGCTGCGACATGGAGCGAGACGAGTGAGAAGGTGATTGACAGGGAGAGCAGGCATTAACCTCGCTGAAGGGATGGAGTGAGGCAAGAGGCGAGGGATCCTTCAACTTCTTTTCGATATCAGTTGTATGCTTGTATGCTATGGTCAAGATGATTGCGGCCAGGTGGTTGCGTCGATGCGTCGTCGGGACTGCGACATCTGCCGCGGCCGTGTTGAAGCAATGGTCCAGGCACCTTCCTCTCGCTCAGCTGCTTGCTCTGCCCTGCGGTATCCTATACGCCAACGAATACTGCCTGCAAACTTGTGTTGATGCCTCGTGGCCATGGAGGGCTCAGCTGTTAAGCGCCTTGCACATCGCTGGTATCATGACAAGTCTGCCCATCTCTCTACCACAATCGCCCGCGAGCCAAGCGCCGCGGCCGGGCGGCCAGCCAGAGCCTGTCTGGGACTGTGCAGGCAGGCGGCTGTCAGATTGAAATATGTGACGCTACCTGCGGCCCGTCTGCTCGCCCTGTCAGATTATGGAGGATACGATCCCCAATCTACCTGTTCCCTCCGTAGACTGCCTACATTCCTTGAGCTCGATGGTGTCGTCAATTCTACCTTGGTGTGTGTGGCCGAGGGAGGTCTGTGCCGTGGAGCAGGGCTGCCATGAGGAGCGGCCAAGTGGATCCAGCCCAATTGCACTCCGCTCCGCTCATCTCGTCGGCTGCTCCGCTGCTGCCCTGCTTCCCATCGCTACCGGCCTGCCATCACCATCCTCCGTCAGCATCCTCGTCCATCTTCAAGGTAGCTCGACTTAGCCTCACGCACCCACCCTAGGCAGCTCTTCCCTGGAGAGTCGCTCTGCTTCTGCCAGTGCGGGTGTGTACAGACTCAGGAGTCAGCAACGCCTCTCAGCAAACGCCGCCTGCCTCTCCTGCGAACGCGCCCACGCTGAGCTCGCTTCCCTTCCGGGGCTACTCTCGCCGAGGATCCCATACCCCAATACAAACAAAGTTGATAGCCCTACTCCTGTCACCCGGCACTTCGCCTTTGGTACTCCCTGGGCTCTTTGAGCATGGCGACGGACGACAAGACTGTCCGACATACGAGAATACCCTCGACGTACGCCAATCACTACGATACACCGGTCGGTGCTACCACCCTATACGAGCCCCCTCCTGCTCGAACACCGTCCTCAGTAGCAGCACGAGGGCCCCGGGCACCACCCATTGCTAATCTCCGCCAACTACCACCGGGCCACGCAAGATCTGTATCTAGCCCTGACTCCGCGCCCGGCCAGCCGCTGGCCTACGCTAGCAGTAGGGGAGTAGGAGCAGGCAATCTCCCATCGAGCTCATCATCTGGCAGCTCGAGAAAGATGGCACCCTTGCCTCAAGTACCTACAATGAGTGCTGAAGAGAGGGATCAAGTACAGTACGGCCTCGACCAGCAAATAGATACCCAGAACAGCCTGATCATCAATGGCGGATTCGAATCCGATGTAGTGCCCGGTATGACAAGCTCTCTGGCCCCGAGAACCATTCCCAGTAGCTCCACACACACACCCTCGCTGGCCGCAATGAGTACAACAGCGGTAGCAGCGGCGGCAGCTGCGGGAGGTCTCGTCAGTGTCCCCGAAGACTCCCTGCTACAAGGTGGGCCATCAGATGTGAACGATGCAGCATACGCCTCGACCAACAGAAGAGTTGTCAGCCAGGGTGATCAGCCCGCCTCGACAAGTCGGCCCACACCTGCCGGACCAAGACCTCTAGTGGCGCAAGAAGCCGACGTCTTTGGGCCTGGATCTCCCTCCTCTTTCGCCTCACCTGTGTTCAGTCCTACGTCTCCGCCTAGCATTCAAGGTCTGCGGAGAGGATCTGGCTCTTCAAAGCCACTGCCTATCATACCCTCCCCAATCACCACTATGCGAAACGCCGAGCAGTCTTCTCTTCCCCTGCGGACAGATCGTGTCGAGTCCCCGCCTGAGCAGCAAGCCGACTCGATACCTGTCCAGCCAGGCGCAACCGTACCTCCTCAGCACATTCCCCGACCGGTTCCTGGCTCGGAGCCAGCAGAGAACCCTAGCAACAGATCAGGGCCGACCACACCTAGTGGCTCCGCCTCTCGGCTCCCGCGTCTGTCAACGTTACAAACCAATACAGGCAAATACGAGGGACCTTTGTCGCCGCCAGATGCAGACCCCGGTCGCACTTTGATCGAAGACAATCGTTCGAGCATCGATGATATTCGAAGGATGCACGCTCAGAGGGCTGCCCGCGCCTCGATCGATGCTGCGACCAAAACACCAGAAGCTCCTTCACAAACTTCGTCGAGAAGGATCCCACCCGCTTCAGAACCTCCTCGCGCTGCCAGCGTATTGGACTCCAGAGCACGCGAGCAAGATGTTACTGCTCAACAGAAGCAGGCTAGGCAAGAACGTCCGCGCTCTAGTGGCAACGCTTTGGACACAGCTTCTCAGAGATCTTCTGTTCCCGACACTGCTAGCTTGGCTGACATCGACAGGCAACGCGACAAGGACAGAGAGCGTGAGAGAAGATCCCGCAGGACACTAGGAGATTATGCTCTAGGAAAGACGCTGGGTGCTGGTAGCATGGGCAAAGTGAAGCTCGGTGTCAAGATGGGCACGGGGGAGAAGGTAGCGATCAAGATCATCCCTCGGCATACCTCCGTGGCAGCAGCGCAACATCCCAAGCCTGGCAGCGATGGAAAGGTAGCAGCTCCGACTGAGTCTTTCTTGGCCAAAGCGGCGGCTAAAGACCACTCAAAGGAGGTGAGAACAATCCGAGAGGGGAGCTTGCAGATTCTGCTTCATCATCCTTATGTCTGCGGTATGAGGGAGATGATGATCCATCAGAACCACTATTACATGGTATTCGAGTACATCAATGGCGGCCAGATGCTCGACTATATCATCTCACATGGTCGACTCAGGGAGAGGGCGGCGAGAAAATTTGCTCGGCAGATTGGAAGTGCTTTGGAGTACTGCCACAGAAATAGCATCGTCCACAGAGGTAAGTACTATCAACCTCCGATGATGCTACACGTCACCTAGAATCCCTTGCTGATCCTGCTTCCCTGGCTTCTGTCATCTTTACGTTCTGTCCCACAACAGATCTCAAGATTGAGAACATTCTCATCTCGAAAACTGGCAACATCAAGATCATTGACTTCGGCCTGTCCAACCTCTTCTCTCCGCATGCGCATTTGTCGACCTTCTGCGGCTCTCTGTACTTCGCTGCCCCAGAGCTCTTGATGGCTAAGGTGTACACCGGACCGGAGGTGGATGTATGGAGCTTTGGTATCGTCTTGTATGTGCTGGTCTGCGGCAAGGTGCCCTTTGACGATCAGAGCATGCCCGCCTTGCATGCCAAGATCAAGAGGGGTCATGTCGAATATCCAGCCTGGTTGAGTGGAGGTGAGTAGCGACACGCGCACATCAGCATGGCAAGAGAAAACTTCTGACCGCTGTGATCATCCGCCCCGCAGAGTGTAAGCATATCCTGTCACGCATGCTGGTCACGGACCCGAACAAGAGAGCCACTCTGCCGGAGATACTCTCCCACTCCTGGATGACCAAAGGCTTCGAAGGCGAAGCACCTGATGCTTATCTTCCAGAGCGGCAGCCATTGCGACCGAGTCAGCTTGACCCTGAAGTCATCAAAGGCATGACAGGATTCGAATTCGGCTCGCCGGACGAGATCGAGCAAAGGTTGACCGAGGTCTTGACAAGTGACGCTTATACGACCGTCTTGTCGACGTGGGACGCAAAGCACTCTCCTAGCGTGAGTCAGAATGGTCTGGCAGTGGAGAACAATCCACTTGGGCGTGCTTCCACGAGGGCCAGTCAAGATTCAAAGACCCGCACAGGGTCTAAGAGGTTCTCTGGCATCGACTTCTACCGCAAGAAGATTGCTGTGTTTGGAAGCAACAAAGACGACGCAGGCAGCAGCGGCACTCTCACGACGTCAGGTCTGAATGGTTCGACAGTCTCGACCTGGCCTGGTAGCGGCAAAGAGCCTCTTGATCCTACACGGGGTTTCCATCCTCTCATCTCCATTTACTACCTTGTCTCAGAAAAAATGGAGCGAGAGCGTCTGTACGGGCACTCCTTCTTTGCATCTTCCAATGCCTCGCTTCTGGCTGCTCAGGGTCAGCCTCAGCCGACGGCAGCGAGTGGGAGGACTCTAACTCCTCTCGTCGGAGCGCCTTCGTCCATGCCCACATCAGCGGACATCCCTCAAGAGGCTCTTCGAGTGCCTGAGGCCTCTCACATCTCCGCTCGGCGCACATCCGACTTGTCTCGCCAGGAGCTGCCGGCTCCTCCTCGATCTGCTGCTACTAGTACAGTGCCCTCTTCACCGACGCCTACGCCGGTCTTCGATTCGCGGGAAAAGAGTAGGCCTATGGCAATGATGGCAGGTCCGCCCAGAGCAAGGGCCAACGGCGATGAAGTTGAAGCGGCCCTCAGAGAGAAAGGTATTATGCCTGCATCTCCCTGGAAGGCACAACCTGGTAACCCTCCCTCGTCCTTCTTACCTGCAAGGTCCGGTGCAGACGAGACTTTGGGCGCTGCGGGTGGTGTTCAGCGCAGCACGAGTCTCTCGAACGGCAAGAGCCGGCCCGTCTCCAGCTTCATGCAGGAGGACTATTCTAATGGCTACACAGAGTCTGGCCCAGCCTCGACCCCTGTGCGACCAGGTGGACGCACAAGTCGCAAGGCCTCGCCAGAGAATCGGCGCAGCATTCACGTTATGGGTGGCGGCAGTAACATGGCTGCATTGTCTAACAACGGCGAGCCGTCAGCTCCTTCCACACCATCGGGCACTTCGTCGTTGGTGCGCCGTTTTGGCTCCTTCCTGGGACGGTCGCCCTCTTCGAGTGGAGATCTAGACAAACGCAGAGCTTCTCGGGTGGTCTCGCCTGCTCCGGCAGGGCCGCCAATCGCAGGCAGCAATTCAAGCATGCGTGGCTCAGCGCTTCCGGGACAAGTGCAAGAGTCGACCGAGCGTCTGAACGCCTTGGCATTAGCAGATGTGGACGAAGCCGCCCCAGCGAATACTGATTCAGAGGCTGTTCCTTTGGCTGTGCCTAGTGGCGAAGCAGGCGGCATGCGAAGATCAGGTACCGTCCCGGGTCTAAGCACGCCAGCGAAAGAGCAAGCAAACAGTCTCGCCCGTCCCGGTCAGCTGACAAGCGCTGAGGGATCTACGCCTGGCTTGACCAGTCGTCGGCCCACAATGCCCGCGTCATCGCCCTCTACTACTCCTTCGGCAACGCAGCAGCAACAACAGAGCCAACGCTCCCAGCTTCCAGGATTTGCAGATGGCGAAGGCTGGCAAGGTCCAGTGCCAAGCGAAGCTCAGGCTAGCCTGCTGTCGTCGAGCTTGAAAGACTCCGCCCCTTGGCAGTATCAACCAGGGAATGCGATGACGGCCAAGCCAGTCTTCCTTAAGGGGCTGTTTTCTGTACAGACCACAAGCACGAAACCGCGTACGGTCATCAATGCCGACCTGGTTCGGGTGCTGGATCGAATTGGAGTGCAATACCGAGAAATCCGCGGTGGGTACGAGTGCGTGCATCTGCCGAGCATCGAGTTTGGTGCAGGACAACCGAGCGGTACGCCAGGACAGGGCAACGCCCGCATAGCTATCGAGCCACAGCAGTCACCCGCTGCAAGTCGTGGCGAAGATGCGGACACCGAAAGACCTGGTCCGCCCAAGAGGAAGCAGAGTCGGATGTCTGTCATCTCGGCTCTGAGGAAGGACCGTCGAGAGGGATCTGGCGATGCAGGGGTCGTTGTCGGCAGTCCTTCGGCAAAGAATTCGCCCGAAGCGCAAGCTCGCACTTCTCGAAGCAGAGCCAGTTCACTTGTGCTAGACGACGAGGCCACTTCTGGTATTGGGTCCGGCCATGCCGAAAGTGGTAGTAATGCTCCTGGAAACGCGTCGATTGCAAGTCCAAAGAGTGGAGGAAGTCTCCGTCCGCCGCGGCAGAGGACCGACTCTCTAGGCGTCCCGGCCTTCTTTGCTGCCTCTACCAGCTCGCCGAGCAAGCAGCAGCCCATTGAAGAAGAGCTCGCATCGCAAGCCACTGTCCCTGCTTACCCAGCTCCGCCTGCGGCTTCCAATGGTGTGACTCAACAGCAGCAGCAGCAGCAACAGGAGCTGACTGCGGACATGATCGTACGCTTTGAAATCATTGTAGTCAAGGTGCCACTCCTGCTTGGAGTCAATGGTTTACAATTCAGGAGAGTGGCGGGAAATCCCTGGCAGTACCAGACTTTGGCCAAGAGGGTGTTGCAAGAGTTGCGGGTGAGTTTGCCAATGCACAGAGAAGTCTTGAGGAGACTGAATTGCGCAGATACTGACTCTCTCGTCGTCTCCTCTTCTTTCGAATGTCTCTGCAGCTCTGATGACCAAAATTACGAGTGATGACAGAGAGAGACGATTTTTGCAGAGCGTCTGCCATTTCGGTACTCTAGAATGCGTCCAATTGTATTCCACAATCAAAATTCACCAGTCTTTTCCTTCGCTTACCCACCCTTTTGCCGAGTTATGCGTCTGATGAAACTATACAAGACTGACGCATTGATCATTTGAAGTATGTATACATTGCATTTGGAGGGTCAAGCATGGCTGCACACCGCTTCTGGGCCTTGCGTATTCCGTCCGCTCCTTTGATTTTACTTTTGCACAAATCAAGACTCTGACTCGTCCTTCACTTGCTGCACTCTCTCCTTTTTTGCCCTCTTTTTCCTACTCGCACTCCAAGCAGAGATGATCAATCCTCTATCCTTGCGCACTGCCAATTTACCCGCCTGAATGCTCCTCCCCTTCCTCTGATCTGCCCCTTCGACATGTCGGAAGAGTCTCTCCCCTTTATATCCTGCTCGCACTAGCAAGCTCTGGTACCCAGGAGGGATGGGCAGCCCCGAGTCACTTACGTCGCTCAGGATGACGACGAGGTGCTGCAGGGCTTCTGGATCTGTGTAGAGACGCTCGAGGGACTCGTAGGCGGCAGAGGGGGGATGAGGGCGGCGGGACCTTCGAGCGTGGTGCTGGTAGTTGAAGCGGAAATAGGCATTCATCCCACGCGGCTGCTCTCTCGCTGCCGGTTCGTCACGTTGCTCGAGCAAGACGCTAGGTGGGAGAATCTCGATGAGCTTTGGCCAAAGAAGAGCACCGAGGACAGCATTGTAGAAGCGACCATTGGGGGTCGGCATAGTGGCTTGGCGGACGCCGGAACTCCAATGCTCGACAAGATCCTCATATGCCTTTCGCGCTTGGCTCCGCAGATCGAACAAGTCATCCAGTATCTCCCTGCTGGATCGCGCCGGATTCGCCTCCGCCTTGATCTCTTCCTGGGGATGCCCGAGAGCTGCCGAGAATTCTTTGTGGCTCCTCGCCGCTTCTACCATGGCCTGACGTTGCAGCTGGCTCAACAGAGCCACACCGATGTCTTCAAGTGATTGTAGGTAGCATGTAGCCTCGGGCAGACTGACCGCCTGTCGACCCTCTGCGCCCTGATTTCGGAACCAGCTGATGTACTGATAAAGATCCGAGGCAAGACTGTGACTTCCGGTCTTGACGGCTGCGTTGAGGAGTGCGAGGCAGGTGGCCGAAGTGGCGAGGACGAGTGAGTCCTCACTTGAGGGACTGAGGATCTGCGAAGGGTCAAAAAGCCTTGGCATAGATGGCAGAATGACCCGAACGAGATCTGCCGCCGATATACGTCCTGAAGACCCTGTCGTCTCGTGCAGGCCTTGCTCTACCGCGTTCTGCAAGGCGCTACGTAAGCGACCGCCTGCGCTGAGGTAGCGAATCAGAACATTGACACGATACAGATCGCCCTTATGATGCGCTGACTTCAATAGGAGCAGCACATCATCGCGAGGAGCTAGAATTTCCTTCCCTCTCTTTGAAGCAGATCGGCTCGAAAGAGCATGGCCGTCCTCGTGGAGCATCAGCTGCAGAGTCTTCTCTTCCAAGTCAGGGTCTCGTGCAAGGACTGCTTCGTTGAGCTGAGTCGTCAAGACAGACCTGGCAGTGATACTACCCTGCTCAACCATCTGGGACGTTGCTGACACGACGTGCTGCACTAAGTCTTCCGATGAGCTCAGATGGCGCATGGCATATCGCACAAGAGTGGCCAGAGTAGATCCATCGAGCTTCATGAAGTCGGCGGATGGAGTATTTGACACCTGGGCTGTGCCAATATTAGAAGAGGAGGAGGGAACAAAGACCTCCGCTATGTATCCCGACAAAGCCAAATGTACGGATTCGACAGCTTCAGTTACTTGCTCTTGAAGAGGGGCTCCGAGTTGCATGAATTCCTGCTCGATCAGCCGACTAAGCTCTGGCGCGGTGCAGAGACACTTGATGACAAAGCTGTACGAGCTCGATCTCGAGACTTCATTGAGAGAACTGGGTTGCTCTCTGAGAAGGTCCGCCAAAGAGTTCAGAAGAGAAAAGTACTCCACTATCGCTAGGTGGCGGCTGGCTTGATTCGCCTTGGACAATGAAGCGACTCTCATCGAGAGAGCATCTCTTGCTTGTCGGAGGTATTTGGCCATGCCCTTGAATAAGATCTGCGCTATGACAGGATCGCCCTGGCTAGCTGCCTCTGCGTCTTCGAGCCGGCTACTTCTAGTCAATTCTTGACGGAGTTGGCTCTCATTTGAAAATCTCCGCAGCTCAGCAATGAGGACATCCATGGCGTCTATCCCTAATCCAGCTTTCCGAAAAGCGTTGCCAGCCTGCAGGTTCATATGCCCTGTCCATGCTAAAGACGCTTCGCTGCAAGCTTCACGAACCCCTCTCAGCGCATTGAGATTCTGCTCCGGACTGTGAGATTTGGAAGGCTTGTCTTGAGCGGGTCCCACTGTCAGCTCATGGACGACCTGAACCAACAGCGATGTATCGATGGCCTGCTGTTGCGATGAGGTTCCTTGGACAAGGCGAAATCGTATCCAGTCTTCCAGCAATTTGGCGCTCGTTAGCAGCTCACCGCGGACCAGGAGCGCCTCAATTGCCGCCTTGAAGCAGGCAGCCGCCATCTGCGTCTCTTTAGGCAAAGCCTGTTTGGGACCCCAGCTCTGCTCTTCTAGTTCTGCCTCTGCGATGCGCAGGAGTCTTCGGCGGAGGTAGTCTGGCCAGCCTGGACCATCACCCCTTTCAGCAAATTTCAATGTGAAGTCCGCGTAGCTCCGCTTCTTCTGTATGCGTTCCTTCCACGCAGCTTGGTCGACGACTGGCTCATCAGCGGAAAGGGCATCCTCGGGGCCCGCCGAGGAAGTCGAAGCAATAGCAGACGGAGTTGTCGCAGGGGTAGTATAGAATCTGCACAGTGGTTGAGTGTAGTACGGAACTCTGCTATTGATCCATGATCGAGGTCGTGCCTGTGAGGTAGCTGCACACTGTGAGCGGACAGAGGGAGGGGCGTTGCCTGTCCTCAGAAGAGAGCGGGCTAAATGTAGGCCCCGGTTCGTCGAGAGCCTCGTCGGCGGCGGGGGGAGGAGACGGGGACCGGTCATTCGAAGTGATCATCGGATGCTCATGATGATATATATGCTGATCTCGCTTGCTCCAGAGAGTTTTAGAGGAAGGTGGTGTTGGTTCTCCACGCCTTCGTGAATTGTGTCGGAAGATCCCACTTTAGCTTCAGGACGAGTGGCTCTCTTTCCGTTCCGCGTCTCGGTTCCGCGGGGCTTGGCGATCCACAAGCGGAAGCGGAGCTCAGTGCGGGGGATCGATGCTCGCTCGAGGCAGTGTCTGATGCTGACGAGGCACTCAGCCTGCTCTACCATCTGTACCTTCTCTTTCCAAATCATCGCCTGCCACGCTCGTCGTCATTGACGTCTTTGACAATGGCCAACGTGAACCCAACACATACTGGGTCAGAGTATGGCAGGCACACTTTCCATATCCCCAATAGCTTCTCACGTCGACCCATCGCCGACGACTTTCCTGATGGTTCAAGCTCGCAGGAACCAGGGCTCTATGGTGCAAGTAAAGCTCAACGCGACGTAGATGTGCATGCAGACGATCACGAGACTGAAGGAGACATGGCTGCAGAGGCACACGAGGCTTCTGCTATGCTTGATTACGGCGAGCGTGGCGGCGATGCCGATCACCATGTGGAGTGGAATCAACACTCCTCTCTGGGAGCGGGAGGCAGGATAGCTGTTCTCATCACGTTCTTGGTGCTAGGAGCTGCAGTGCTTCTTCCTTTCAACACTCTCATAACACCGACTGAATACTATCGGAGCATTCTATCCAGTAGTCACGCGGCTACGAATTTCATGAGCTGGGTCCTCCTCGTCTTTAATGCCGGGACGATCATCTTCGGAGCTCATGCCGTGGTATCGCTCCATAAGACAACACCAGCACAACGCATATATTTTGCGTCCACCTCCATCTTTTTGGGTCTCCTTCTGTATACATTCTTCACTACGCGGTCTTCTGCAGAAGCAGACGGAAAGATCCAAGATCTCTATTTCGCTCTCCTCATCCTCGTCACCTTCAGTGTGGCTGCCAGCACTGCATATCTACAGAACGCTGTGGTCAGCCTCTGCTCCATCTTTGGCGGCAGGGCAATGGGCGTCATGCTAACAGGTCAGGGCGTTATTGGGGTCGCCATCTCCTTCGTACAGCTCGTTGCTGCATACGGCAACAGTAGACTGCCTCCGAAAGGCACTCACGGAGGCGTACCACCGGCTACCCCTCCCCCACCTGGATCCATGCAACCCGGTGGCGAAGAGGCTGCCTCAAGAGCAGCGACAATCTTCTTTGCTTCCTCGACCTTCTTTGTGGCACTTTCGATAGCAGCCTTCATTTGGCTTGCCAGGTCCAAGGTTTATCGCGATACATGCCGAGGGTACGAGGTAGCAACACAGTCCAGTGGCGTACGCGAAGCATCGTTGGAACCTATGACCCAGGTCAAGCCTGCGTTTCTATCATCTTTCGTCGAAAAGCTCCCTCCTGCAGCTCGAGCCAATGCTCACCAGATCCTAGACGTCCAGAGCAAAGTACTGGTCAGAGCTACTTGCATCCTCGTCAACTTTGCAATCACCCTTTCCGTCTTCCCCGCGCTGACGGCTAGAGTGAGGAGTACTGCTCCTCGAGACCAACAGTGGGCGACACCATTAGTCTTCATTGCACTGCACTTCCTCATCCTCAATTCGGCGGATTTGCTCGGTAGGATGGCACCTATGGTGCGGGGCTGCCTCATCCGCTCAGAGAAATTGACAGTCCTGGGGACAGCTCTCCGGATAGTCTTCATCCCGCTTTTCTTTGCCTGCAACATTCACCTCGACGGGCCAGGTCCCAAAGGAGCCCTACCCGATTGGGCTTTCTTCACCATCCTATTCTTCTTTGGCCTGTCGAATGGTCTGGTCGCTACGAGTATCTTCATCGTGGGGCCTGCGAGCAGCAAATTGACCAGTGACTCAGAGAGGGCCATGGCGGGGGCTGTGCTCAGTTTCTGGCTCACTCTTGGTCTGGCCGTCGGAAGCATCGGAAGCTTCGCCATTACTGCTATGATCTAAGAGGTCCTCTTGGCGTGCTACTTCACATCATACTTTGTAAATACCTTGTACTTGTAATAGGATTATGAACACATTTGTGATGCTCGACGTTCATGCTGGAGCAGCACAATACACAGACCTCGCCCCGCGGACATCCTGCCAGACGAAACCTTGGCCGATGCCGGCCTGTACGGCCGAAGTGCCAGGTCCCACATCGGGCGATGGTAGAAGGGTGAAGTGTGACCGCACAAGTGAGGCTGCGAGCCAGCCCAGTAGGAGAAGTGACGTTGTCAGGAGTGGTGACCGTGGGTGGATCACTGTATGGATGACGAGGTATAAGATTATTCAGCTTGCATAGCGACTTCACAAGTGCAGATTCGCCTTTGGACTTACCGGCTAGGGAGACACCAGCTGAGAGGCCGCCCAGTAGCGTCCGCACAGCAAAGTCGGTAGAAAAAGTGCTTCCAACAAGACTCATCATCTCGTCGATCATCAGTGATACGGGGGCGCTCTGAGAGAGCCAGATCGGCAATAGATGTGAGCTGCTCAGTCCCGACCTAGGAGGAGCGCTGAGCACTGGAGCGACTGAAGAAGGTCGCGGCAGCTTGCTCTCCCAGAGGAGTACGATGCAAAGTAAGATCAGTGTGGAGAGCGAGGAGAGTAGCAGCGCTGTTGGAACCAGGTGAGCTCTGTCGGTAGTGCATGAGTCCAAGTCGAGAAGGTGTCAGTGTCTAGCATACAGTTGAGATGCGGAAGTTCGGCAATTTACCGGTAGAGGTCAATCATGTCAACGCCTTCCAGCGGTTCAGCAGCAGGCCCTGTGATCCCTGCGTGGAGCTCCTCTTGACTTTCTTTGGAGGGGGACAGGAGGAATGCGGATGCGTCCTCGACAGCGCCATCACTATCCTCGTCTTCAGTAGAAGTGCTGTGCGCTGAGCCCTCAGAAGGCAAAGTGATGTCTTCGCCCATTTCTATACGACGGAATTGCCGCAACAAGCGCACTGACGCCACATAAAGCGTTGAGAAGAGTGAGACTGTGCCATAGAGGGCCAGAGTCTCGGCAAAGGTGCTAGCCCAGACAAGAAAGTAGCTCGCGCCCATGGCGTATGTGGCATTTGGTCTGCCAGTGCGCCGCCTCCAGAAGATGACATCGAGGCCGGCTACTAGTAGTCGTGGTAGACTGTATTGCGGGAGACTCTCGTATGCTCGAGTAGAAGGGTTGGTGAAAGACGACTGCCCGTATGCACATAGATAGAACCAGCGTAGATAAGCATCTACGAGACTCAATGCCGTGAACCTCTTGGCGACGGTAAGCCAGGCGCGGCGATTTGGGTGTTCTTGCTCCTCCTTATGATCTGAGAGATTATATTGGTGCCCCTTCTCCAGCTTGCCGTGGGGACTCTGGCTTTTTGGCAATAAGAATCTTGTATTGTATAGGAAGTGCCGATAGGCTCTCGGCTTGACCAGGATCTGTGTCACATGGTCTTCAGCCGTGAGCGCGCCGTTCCAATACTAGTGTCGTGCAAGTTAGACTCACCAGATCCACCCAGCTGGTGGTGACCCTACTGCTGCCTGAATCTCTGTATTCCTCTTCGGCATATGAGTCGATAAAGCCACCACAGCTGGTTCCGCTGCAGGGCAGTAAGACGACGAGATTCGCTGTATAGTGCTTGTAGATCGCACGCGCTGGTCGCGAGCAATGGATGCAGATTGGATAGTCTGTAGTGGATGATATTCGTAGGGACAATGTCATTGTTGAGCCGTTGGAAGAGAAGTCGCACAAGAAGAGGGAATGTTCATTTGTATTGATCGAAGGGATGTTCGTTCGGGCATGAGGTAGAGGTGAGACGCAGTATGCAAAGGAGGGAGGGAGAGAATGAGGCAGGAGAAGTGGTTGCGAGTCAATCCCACACGAGCTGACCCTTCGTGTTAACGGAAGCTTTCGAGTCGAGCCCACCTCGATTGCCGCGACTTGCTGGAGACTTTCCATTTGCATTGGTACCGTTAGGGCCTGAGCTTTGGATGCCCTTCGCAAACTTCTTGCGCTCCTCTTCCCTCATTTTTTCCCGCTGCGCTTCCCTCCTGTGAGCTTCCAATCTGGCTAGACGAATTTTCTCTTCTTCTTCTTTTGCTTGCTTGGCGGCAGCTGCACGAGCAGCATTCTGCCGTTGTCTTTTTGTTAGCTCGGCAGCGGACGAAGATGCCGTCTGGGACGATGTGGGGGCCCGAGTCTTGGACGAGCTGCTGCTTGCACTGGCTGGTATGCTGATGCTTCGAGAGGCTGCAGCTGCAGGCTTGGCGCCATCTCCGGGCAGAACTGCAAAAGGGTTGCTGGATGCGATGGAGGAGTAGGAAGTGGAAGCTAGAGAAAGAACAGCGAGGAGGAGACCCTGAAATGTCAGTATGACACCGAGAGGGTTGGGCGATCATAGACTCACAACTCTGCACGGGCTTGCTGAGACGAGCAGCTCCCTTCCCAACGCTCTGCCAAGCATCTTCTACCGGTCTTTCACGACGTCGATCGGACTGCTCTTGGAAGTATGCGAGGTCCACAGTCTCGGCCCCTGCATCTGGAATTTGGGATAGCGAGGAGCTCTTCGATGCAGCAGCTCTGTTGCTTGACTCCGAGGATTGTGAGATGTCTTCCTCTGTCTGCGCAAGCTTGCTGGTGTGCCGAGCCTCTTCCCTGACAGGGACTACCTCGTCGGAAGCGGATGCAGCAGGAGGTGTGGGCACATCACGAGCTTTGAATGCGCCGCCTTCTGCGACCGGACGGTCACTAGCTTTTGTCTCCGTTGGCTGAGCTGCAGAGGCCTGAGCGGGGACGCTAGCCTTCTTACTCTTCTTCTTCGACTTTGACTTGCTGCTGCTGCCTTTTCCCGACCCCGAGCCGCTGGAGGGCTGCTGCGACCCGCTCGCTAATTGGAAGTAGAGAGCAAGGGAGAGGATGAAGACGAGGCATAGCAGCACCTGAACCAAGAGGTCCATGATGCAAAGACGTAGGAATAGCGAATGCCCAAAGAGCAGAAGCGAGTGGAAGTGCAGCGGGTGACTTGAACGGTGAGAAGGTAAGAGTGCGAAGCATGCCACCGGGGCACGGACGCGGAGGCAACCAGCGCAACGACGGAACGGCGACGGAAAGGGGCACGCTGGGCGGACTGGCGGGCAGACTAGGCGCACGCGCCCCGAGGCGAGGACACCTTAGCATCGACCTGCGCGCCCAGGCTCTGGTAGCACACACGGCATCGTTGGTGGAGACGAGAGGCAGCTTCAGATCCTAATCAAAGACCTTAAAGAAGGACCGCAAAGACCTCGCGTGTTTCTCCCGGGCTGAAGCTGTCGAACGTGAATCAGGGTCAAATTTGCTGCTGAGCCCCAGCTGTGAAGCGCACGTTGGTCACCGCGCCGCTTGGGCTGGAACACACGGCATTGATTAGCGTACGGTTTGACACTCTGGGCTAGACGGTAATTGGGAGCAGTGCAGTCGAGAGGTCAGTGGACTCTTGTGAGCCTCTTTGTCGCGGGAGGGGGTCGTCCCATCTCAAGCAGAGAAGGGGCAATCTGTGCACGGACTCAGTTCCAATAGGGAAGTCCCGGAAGCCTGTGGTCCAGATGTACTATGCGGTGAGACTGATCAAAATCACAATCGCCGATGGTGATTGGGAGGTGACAGCATCGGTGCCGTCACGAGCATCGACAATACTACAGCCTTGAACGGAAATATTCAAATCAGCGGAAAAGTGACGAAGCTTGGCGACCCTCGGAATCCGCACAGCAATGCTGACGGACGGCTGACGGGCAGCCAAGAGGGAGCCTGTCCTGTGGTTCGGCGACTTTTCTGAGTCTTGATCGACGGGAGAGATGCTTTGCAATTTTGCGAAACCTTGCGTACCAGAATAGACTGACAGTATCAGAGCAGGGTAGTGGCAGGGCCGAAAAGGTCCCGTGACTGCCTTGCGTTGCTATTTGGCCGAAGAGGGAAAAAGCGGAAAGCGAGCCTTGGATCACGGAGCTTCCGGAGAAAAGGGTTTCAGCTGACCGGGACCCTGGTACCAGGATGGGGTCTGCAGCCTGCGGGGTGGACCTCGGCTAGCAGAGTTAGTGCAGATCTGTGTGCGCGAGAAGGCTGTGTCAGATCTCCCCGCGATCAATCCACCCTACGGAATGACGTTCAGCCCGCGCAACAGCCACCCTCTTTCTTGCGTCAGACGCCGATTTATTGCCCCGCCGGCGGTGCCCAGCTGCGAGGCGAGCATTGCCTCGGTCGAGTCTCGCATCGAGGTGCCGGATGAAAAGACCGAGTTTCCCGTCCCTGAGCCGGAGGGCCTGTCCTCGCTTATAAAAATACCCCTTGGTAGCACCTTGGGTTTGTACTCGGCAAGGCGACTCGTAGCGCTCAGACTGCGACGGACCGCGGAGGGGTACCCTTGGTCGCAATCACATGTCGGCGTCCCAAGCTTGCTTCGGAGACGTAATTGAGGTTAAGTACATCTGCTCTTCTGAAACTGGCAAGTGGGCGGGTCGTATCGAAGTGGCAGGCAGGCAGGCAGGCGCATAGAAGTCTTCGCTTCGTCTTGTGTGTGGCTGACGCGCCCGTCAGCAGAGATCTCGCTCGGCCTCTGCCCATCACGGAGCATACTTTGGTGCGCCAGTGGTTTGATCCACTTGCTCTGTCTGGCGTAGACCTGCGCCCAATGTGTCGGCGCTGGCTTGTCTCCGACTGCTTCGGCGACTTTGGGCGCAAGAGTGGGAGGAGAGATGAGGCCATTGGCTCTCACGCTCATGGCGAATTTGACGCCCCGTGGGTCTCGATGTACTCTGTGTATAGCTGATCGGGGTTGATGCACAAGCGCTAGAAATGGGCCGACAGGAGTGGCCGGCCACGGCCTATCCAAGACACTGTGCCTGCGCCCCTCGGTTGCTACCTCGGCTGCGAATCTACGACTACTTTTTCAGGGCCTGGGGTCCTGCAAGTGTGAGAAGCGGAGATTCAGTGGCGAGACCCCGGGCGATCATTCTATTTTCTGCCCTCTTCTGCCTGCAGGGCCCTTGCAGCCTCGCCTTGGGTCACGGACCGTACGGACGGACGGACGATGACCTCGGTAAGGCGGCACTTGCAGTCGTCCGCGACTTCGGTCTGGACCCCCCACCTCGCCTCTCTTCGCCCGGAGCGAGGCAGAGGTTCACCCTGCCTAACCCTCCCTCTTCACCAGCGGTCCCAATGATAACTCTCCTCCGCTCCACTTCGCCTAGTGAAGAAACTTGTCAACTTCCATAACATCTCAGTCTCACACGTCGCCTGCGCCCACACGGACCCTACTCTTCTCTCACGCATATCCTCTGCTCGTCCGCCTCCTTTGCTACTTCCTGCTGACGTCTCAAGGCTGCCTGAGATTCGTTACCGCACGGCCTAGCCTCGACTGCCGTCCTACATTGCCCTTCGCTTCTCTTCCAGGTTCAACAAGGCACCGAGACCGGAGGTCGGAAAGCCTTTCCTCCGTAGCGGCAGCAGGACTTTTCCAAACGCCCGATCTCCCTTGCAATCTTGCACTTCGTTCCATTCCATCGATCCCCCTACCACCCCCCTTGATTGCTCGTCTGCGTACATCGCCAGGCCCGAGCACAAACACAAGAAAGCCCCGGAGCAATCTCGAAAGTTGTCAGCAAGCACTTCACGCCGACGCAATTGCTGTACGCCAAGTTTGATTGCGCTCTGCCAACAACGTACAGCAGCACAATCTGTTGAATCGCCTTCTCGGCTCCATTCAACGGGACATTCGAACCGCCCAGCAGACTCACGAGCTCAGAGGGGGCTCAGTGCTATCAACAATCTGATTTTTGACGGCATACACAGCAAAGAGAAGGATTCGATTTCCATCTTAAGCCCCCCTTGAGTATGAGCGCAAGGTCGGACTGAGCTCTTTCAATTCATTTCGACGCCGTCCGAAAGTACTCTCTTTTTCGGTCTACGGTTGCCTCTGGCTTTTCCTCCCGCTTTGCAGACATCTGCTATTTCTTCCTCTCACCCACTCCTTCCCTCCAATCTTCATTCACGGGCTGGCGAGCGATGTCTGGCGAAAGCTATCCAAGGTCAGCAGCACATGGTCAGCCGGGCTCTTCTGCCTCCTCGTCAAACACAATCCGTCTGCCGAGACTCGACGCACTGGACAATAGCTCCGCGGACGGGCCTCTGCCGTCCCACATGGGACGCAACAGAAGCATCTCCTCTGCAAGCTATCACTCTCGACCGCCGTACACCTCACAGATGGAAGTCTCCACGTCTTGGTCGCCCAGAGTGGAGTCTTGGAGTGATCGCCCAATTGGGGATAGACAAAGGCCACCTCCCCTTTTCTCGACGAGCGCATCAACCCCCAGCGAAGAGGCATGGCGAGCTGATCCTCGCTCAATCGCGCCGTCGCACGCCGTACCTCAATTGCCTAGACCGCAGCGAAGATCGACCATGATGTCCGGAGCTCTGCCGCCGTTAGCCGCCTTGCAACATTCTGGTCCACCCGAACGAGGCTATGTGCCGACGATGCACTCGCCCAAAATGGAGACGCACATTGCCGGTCTGACGATGGGCAGTCCTTCTGGTTCCCGAGCTCCGCCTCCTCTGAATTGGGCCAGTGCTGGTGCAGCTTCTTCCTCTGCTGATCATCGTCCGATGGATGGTCGGGACCACCATCTCCTAGCGCGAACCATGTCTTTCCCTCCCCCGATTGCGCCTCCTGACGAGAATGACATTGCTGCCAGCAATCGTAAAGGGGCCAAGGCACACGTCTCGTCGGCTTGCCTCAATTGTAAGAGAGCTCATTTGGCATGCGATGCAGAGAGACCGTGCAGACGATGCTCAAAGCTTGGCAAGACGGCTACCTGCGTCGATGTTCAGCACAAGAAGAGGGGACGTCCCAGGCTGAAGGAGCGAGAGGCAGCGGCTTCGGGTGGAGCGACAAAGACCTCTCCGAATCTTGCTTCCAGTGGCTCCACAGACTCAGGTTGGTCGCCCTCAGCAGACGCTACTGGCCATTATCATTCTGGCGGACTGACTACTACCGATTGGTCCCCATCGCCCGAGGCTCAAGACATGAGGACCACCCTATCGCTAGCCACGAGCGGTAGATCCAGGACGTTTTCCGCTGCATCAGCTGAGATGATCGCTTTGGACAGTGCCCCGCTTCGCCAGACAGCGATGGTCACGACTATTTTGTGCGGCACGGACCTCGTCACTGCTCATGTCTCGCAAGAATCGCAGTACCTCTGCGGCCTGCTGCCTTCTCAGCTGTGTCACCGATCACTGCTTGACATCGTTGCTCCAGACGACACCGGACGTTTGCACAACGCATGGTCACGACTGCTGTCTCCGGTCGGACTGGCCCCCGCTCCGTTCCCTGCGGCTGGCCTAGAGATGATGCGTCGAACGTCTTGCAAGCTTCTTCGTCCGGCTAGAGGTACGATCTTTATCGAGGAGACTTTGCGAATCCGCACCGGGGAGAGGCACTCCATTCCGTGCTCGGTACGTCTTCACTTGGGCGGGGCTTTCGGCTTGGACCTCTATCGTCCTGAGTCAAAGCAGCACGCATTCGTCGTCTGCTCAATTGTACCTCTCGACGGACGCATGTCAGAAATGGCAGCATCGTCCCTTCACCCAAGTTCGACCCGCATCTCAATGACCGAGTATCCAGCTCTGTCACAGGGTGAAGCAGTATTCCGCTCTCCTGTAGGAAGCCCTCCGCAGGCAGCTATGGACGCTTTGAGCCTTCAGTCACACTGGACTCCACGTTCAAGCCAGCGCGGATCTGTGCGAGAGGAAGTGATGGTTCAGTCTCCACCGATGATGTCGGGGTGGAGTCACGAGACGTCACCGCGTAGGAAGAAACGCTCCTCCGACGGCGTGCTACTCTACCGACCGGCCAAGTCCCCATCGCTGTCTCCGCCGCCAATCTCACGCGGCCCGCCTGCATTGGCTGCAGCTCTCAACGTGTCTACGGGTTCTCACAAGGCTGTGCGTCCGATCATCCCAAGCAGTCTTACACGCACACACTCTGTGCTACCTTCCAGCTCGGAGCGATACCATGAAGCTGGCAGATTCGACGGCGATGGGAGCGGCCACGTCGCAAACGGCACGTCCTCGTCCCCGGGACGACCTCGCCAAGCACCACCACCGCAATTGCAATACGGAGTCCACCGTCCGTTCTCCTCTGCCATCCTTCCCTTCTCGACTCAACGTCCTTCGACGATGCGTCCTCCCGCCTGTCGTAGCGCTGCGACGCAAGAGCTGCATTCGGTTCCCTTGCACAGGACAGACTATGATACCCTTTCAGACAGCAGACAACATGATTCTGCTGACCGTCATCATGGACATGGATACACGGATGATTCGAGCAGCCGCGCCTCCATCACCATGGATCGTAGCGCATCTACTGCCGGCAGTACTCCTTTAATGCTGAGGCGCAAGGGTGACAGTGAAGCCAGGCTTGCCAATCTTGTGCCAAGCGCAAGGTCGAGTGAGAGTGGGGCAGAGGGTCTCGGCACCGTAGCCTGCTGAAGGCTAGACTGGAGGACCCATTGCCTTCGGAGAGCGCGGAGAGCGTCAATTCCTCATTACATTACCATCGCCCCTTTGGTCCACGTTTCTCCCATTGCCTTCTTGTCCACTTCTTTCATCCACTCCCACGCCCACAAATACTCGAGACCTTTCTTTAACCTACTCTCTCCCACCTATTCCCTACCTGGGCATCCCCGCCATGGGCCTTGTACTTGTATCCATTACCCCCTAGGTCACCCTCAGACACGTTGCTGAAATACTAGGAAAAGACCTACCCACTCTTTCGCTGCGCTTCGTCCCGTCCCTGATGGCCTTCTTGTCTGCGTGATCGGAGCGAGAGACGGAGAGCAAGAGTAAAAGTGCCCCGCTCGCTCGCAACACCCCTCCTCCTCCCTCCTCCGCCTCCGCCTCCTCCTACTTTCGCGTCTCGATGACCTTCAGATGCCTTGCCCGCTCTTGTCCTCTGGTCACACTTGTTTCCCACAGCTTTGTTGTTTTTCCCGCTCGCTCATCCTTTGCGGCGAGGGGCGTCTTGGGGTTCAAAGCTGACGGTGGGGGGGTGGGGGCCCGAGGGGCGTCTTCGGCTGACGCGGGGGCGGAGAAAGTGTGGTGTTCATCGGCTAAAGAGGGGAGGGGAGGGGAGGAACAAGCGAGGAGACCTGCATCGCGCAAATAGTCCGTGCGGACAGACGGTGTGAATGGGGTGGGTGGGTGCAGTAGTGGTGGAGTGGAGATGACGTGTGAGTGTGAGGGTGAGGGTGAGGGTGTGCGGAGCCAGAGCATAGACTAGACGCAGTGTAGACTAGACTAGACTTTGGGTCTATTAGCCGATAGACCTTCAAGCGATTTGGGCCGAGACAAGGGAACCAGTCGGTAAGACGCCTCGGCAATTGTACTCTTTTCCCTTCATCTCCTTACCCACACAGCCTCGCTGCCCACCGCTTGCCCCCCTTTTTCCCCTGTCAGTCGTATTTCGGGAGACTTGCAGTGCCGGAGGAGAAGCCTATAGGTCGGAGCAACTCCCAATCTCAGCCTTTGAGCATTCCACCAGTCCATCATTTTCTCACCGATCCCAAGACGGAAAGGATCGGATCTCAGCGTGGGAGAAACTTGTTTGGTGAATACACGGACAAGCGACGTAAAGATTCAAAGGAAGTGTGTGAGAGTTCGGAGCCTTACCGGCTCTTACTCGGTGCTCGGCAACGGGCTGCTCCAGAGAGGGACGTTCGTCTCTGATCCATACAACCACTTTTCTCCCATCCTTTCTTGACTCATCGCAAGGTAGGCGAATTATTCTCCTCGTTGCACATCGGGAAAGAGGCTTGTGAAGATTGAGTCTGCATTTCAGCCCGCGTCTAATCCAGTGTTCCTCCACTCCGACTGAGATCTCTGCGGAGCAACAAACGCCTTCAATTCTCACCAGACATGCCTGCAAAGAAGGAGGACTCGCAGCACAGTAATCTGCTCAAGGTGAGAGACGGAGAGACGGGATGGATGGATGTCTGCTCTCAGCTGAGCCTAGACCGATAGCAATCGAAGATCGAATCGCATCGCATCGCGTCCCACGCTGACCTCCAAAATCCCCCGCATCCCGCCTCCTACCCCGCATTCTGCAGCTCCTAATGGCCGAGGTGGACGACCTGGAACTAGTGGACTTGGAGCATCCGGAAGAAGGAGATCCTGGAGAGCTTCTTCAGGAGGGATTTGCCATTTCCAAGGTGGGTGACTGCGACGACGTGAGGGTCGGACCGGCTGAATGCTAGAGAGTAAGATGGAGGCCGAGAAGGATAGCCGAGAGCCGGATGGCTGAGCAGATGAAGAGAGACATGCTCTTGGCGAGGTGCAAGATATCCTGGTGAAGCAGACTCATTGTTGGCATGGCAGCATCTGACTGGCCTCGATCTCTCCCATCCTCATGTCTACTGCCTCTGGAATGCTATCTAGCTCTTTGCAATCGTGAGTGGAGTAACAGTAGCTGTGGTCTATGCGAGTAAGATCTGACGCTCAAGGTCCACTATCTTGGATACAACCATCTCGGCGGGCGTTCATGATGGCAACAGATTGAATTCGCTCTGCGACACGCAAAAGATGAGGAGAGCCTACTGGATGGTATTGACATGTGAGATTGCACAATGTAGCGAGACCACGTAGTCTGGCCTGATGCTGATGTGATGTTGCGATCTCTTCATCTTTCCTGTCCTTCGATCCCGGTCGCGCCCCTAGGATGGACCGTCCAGAGGCCCTGAAAGCCATCAATGGGACTTTCCTCTTCGAAGTCTCCTCCCCCTCCCTCCCTTCCTCCTCGGATCCTCCGAAGTCCATCTCCTTCCTCGTAGACATGAGGAAGACAGGGCACATCTCCAAACTGATGCCGTCTGAAGGATCGTCTTCGGCAGCCAAAGCTCCGCGGAAGCCGGATGTGACCATTCGAGTGGCCGACAAGGACATGGTGGACTTGGCAATGGGCAAAGCCATGCCTCAGGCTATGTTCCTCAAGGGCAGGCTCAAGGTAAAGGGCAACTTGATGCTCGGCTTGAAGGTAAGGGCAAATGGAGACGAAAGAGAGGCGAGGAAGTTGCGCTAAAGCTGCAGATTCTCGTGCCTCCTCTCCTGCCGATCTGACACAGATGAACAACATCCTGCAGAAGGAGATTGCAAAACTGAGCAAACTTTAAGATACCCGTGATCCGGACGAGGTACAGGGACCCCAAGGGTCATGCCTTATGAGAGGTATAGCGCGCTACGTAGGTGGCTCAGAGGCCTAGTGTTGGTTTGGTGGCTGTCTTCAAATGAGACAGCTCACGTTGCGACGGCAACCTGTCCAGGAACCTTGTCTGTAGCGGCAGATGGCTCGTCATCATCTTCGAAGTCGAGCTAAGGAGGCAGAGGGAAGTGGTCGAGTGTCAGCACGATGCTTCCACATGGGTAGCTGTTCAGGCTAGCCTCAGCCCTCCTCATTTCTGCAGGTCCCCATTGGCTATAGTGATCCCATCAGTGGAAAGATGAAAAGCAATTTTCTGGTTGAAGGTATCGGCATGCTCGAGAGCAATACGCCTGACGTGCAAATAAAAAACGTGTTCGTCCTTTGGGTCTTGTGCCTGCCTGTCTGCCTAAAACGACTGTCCCCCCTGGTTTCTCTCCATCCTCCCCAAGGGCCCTGCCCTCCTGTCTGTCTTTGAACCATTTGAACTTGTATACTCACAGGATCAAAGACGACTCGAATAATCAAGCTGCAGCTGGGGCAACGAGCTACGTCTTCTGCTTCTTTGAGCTGACTCCGCGTGATCTCGAAGCGATCGCCACAGGGGCAAGGGTAGTGAAAGAGGTCCCGATCTTCATCGTAGGACATGTCTTCCAACTCAATTTCGTCGTAGAAGGAGACTCGACCCATGCTGCTGAGCGAACAGTAGAGGAGACGTAGTGAAGAGGAGAGTAGCCGCTAAGGGCGAAATGGTGAGGGTTGTGCTCGTATGGATCGATGGGTGAGAAGACTCAAGTCGAAGCGTCTGCATTTTTGTGCTCCAGGCGGCAAATTGTCGCCTGTTGCGCAGCGCCACGCCAGACGGAAGCAGGAAATGTGGGCTTCCAACCAGATTCTGTCGCGGGCTTCCGTACCCTGCTTGGTGATCCATAGACGAAGCTTACCGAGCATAGCATGACTGATCCTCGCTTTGATACGTCCAAGTGGGCAGCTGAAGATGCCAATGGGACAGCAGTGGCTCTCGCTGGCCCATCGTCCTCCTCGGCTTCTCCCTCGGGCTCACGGTCACCCTCACCCTCTGCCTCCCAAGCTTCAGAGGACGATGGCAACGATGACCCAGCCGAAGGGCCAACGGTCACCCCTCTCACGCCTCACGAGCTCGAAGCATTTCAGCGCAAGCAGAAGAAGAGGGGCATTGTTTACATCTCTCGTATCCCACCTGGCATGACTCCGCCCAAGGTCCGACACTTGCTGAGTGGTTATGGCGAGGTGGAGCGCATCTATCTCCAGGACGGGAGGAAGAAAGAGAGGGAGGCAGAGGCTGGTCGGAAGCTAGGTGAGAGAATCGAGATCCAAGTCGTAAAATCAGGACAGGAAACTGACTGTGCCTATGGCTTTGCATCACTTCAGCTAGGAGGCATACAAGTTTCACCGAAGGCTGGGTAGAGTTTTCCAAGAAGTCGGTGGCTAGGGTAGTGGCCGAATCACTCAATGCCCAGCCCATTGGTTTCACACGAGGTGGGAGGTCATCGAACAAGAATGCCAAGAGGTGGAAGGACGATGTGTGGACGTTGAAGTACCTCTCTGGTTTCAAGTGGCATATGCTTAGCGAGCAGATGGGTGAGTAGGCCACACCCAAGCTGTAGGAGGAAGGACCGACGATCAGAGGGAGAGAGCTGACTTAGTGTCCATACCTTTGCCATGTCTCCCACTCCACAGCTCACGAACGAGCAGCACATGCCTCACGCCTACGCACCGAGCTCTCGCAGTCCAAGTTCGAGCAGCAAGACTACCTTAAAAAGGTAGAGCGAGCGCGAGTGCAGAAGGACAAGGAGGAACGGCGCAGGCAGAGAGCACAGAAGGCTGGAGCAGTAGGGGGGGATGGGATCGGCAGTGTCGGAGGTGGCTCTGCTTCAGCGGGTACTCCTGCGAAGACAGTTGGGCCCGGCGGCAAGACGAGGACTTTCAAGCAGCGTCAGCCCGTCTCGAGGGATGTGAGGGATCAGAGGGACGGCGCAAGCGGAGGCAAGAAGAGGGCAGCTCCTGGCGAGGGTGGAGCAGAGGAGAGGAGTGGGTCCAAGAGGAGTAGAGGTGGAGAGAGCAGCGCTCTGGACGGTGTCCTAAGCAAGCTGCTTTGAGAAGAAGGGACTGGCCGCTGAGCTCACTGTCATACCTGGCTCCTTACTACTGTCACAATGCGATCCAATCAACCTCGTGCAAGTGGTGTATTTACCCTGTGTCGTAGTTCAGACCTCTAGTCTCTGATCGTCTGAATGCCTCTCCCCACCCTCTTTTCTTGTCTTCTATTGCAATGTAGCTCCTGCATTCCTCTCTGCAGCCACCCTCCTGGTGTAAGCAGATGCAACGATGTTGAATGCTTCAAAGTATCGCTGCAGACACCGATCCAGACACTGTGAGTCCAATGAGGAGGTAAGAGTGACATAGCAGGATTGTCAGCAACTCTGATGGTGGTAAAGGTCAGGGACGATGGGGCGAGGAACTCACCACTTCTTCCTTTGAAGAAAGACTTGTGGATGGGCTGGGGACGCACTTGAAGTAGCACTTCTCTGTAGACTTTGTGATGAGATCCTGGGCCTGTGAGTAGATGGAAGACAGTGTCAGGTCTGATGCTCCTTCTGAGGACAGCGCTTGAGAAGATTTCGTTTCGCAGCATCTGTACGTCAAGGAAGGAATACTCACATTGGCCATTGCAATCTCACTGGACACCTGCCGCTTGATTGCCTCCTTCTTCTCCTGTGGCGATGCGCCCTTCATGTTTGAGAATGCCGACGAGATGCTCTCCATTGCTGGCTATGATAATGGGGAGTGAATAAGTGAAGACTTGCGATAATCGTTATTCTCTAAGCTAAATGGTGAGCGTAGCAGTGGCAGAGGTGATTTTTGGCCTGTCGGAAATGTGCGCATGGGACGGACGGAGGGCCAAAGGAAGGAAAGGACGACAATCAAGTCAGCTCCACCTTTGGCTGGCCGGAAGCACAGAGTAGGATTACTTTGGCTTGACTAGCGCAGACAAGCTAACAGCGTACCTTCCACTTCGATTCCTAACAACATCGTCATGGCTGCTGCACGAAGCATCGCTTCCTCGTCGTCTTCCTCGTCCTCCATGCTGAGGAGGAGCCTAAGTGTCCGCTCTGCTACCTGCGCACCACGCAGCCTTCCCGGCAGCAGTACGACTATCCGCCACTCCTCCTCTGCATCTAGTGCATCCCTCCTAGCCTCTGCAGCCTATACCAACCCAACCACAACTGCCGCCACGACCTCACAGGGTACTCCCCCTCTCCCACCTCATCACCGAGACACCCTAACCTCTCTCCTGCGCGTAGACCACTCGGGTGAAATCGCCGCAAACACAATCTACAGTGCTCAAGCGCGAGTCTTCCAACACATTAAAAATGACCCACAATCAACGAAGCTCACATTGGAGATGTGGGAGAGTGAAAAGAAGCATCTCAAAGTGGCGGAGATGTTACTGAGACAACATGGAGTTAGACCGAGCTTGTTGAACCCGGTGTGGGGAGCTATGGGTAGTTTATTGGGGGGAGTGACGGCACTCATGGGAAAGGAAGCGGCGATGGCTTGTACGGAGGCAGTGGAGACGGTCATTGGAGAGCACTATGACGAGTGAGTAGTACCGTGCAGTAGCAGGAGATTGATTATTGTAGCTTCCCGACTAAAAGTCCTGCTTCTCCTATCCTTACTGCGCACAGCCAAATGTCCCATCTAGACGAAGTCCTCGCCTCCTTCCGGTCAGGCGTCTCCTCCGCCTCTTCTTCTTCTCTTTCCTCCTCTTCGTCTGCACCTTCAACCTCACACGAAGCTCATAGCGAAGCCCTCTCCACTGCTCCCACTTCCGACTCCACAACGCCCTACCAATCTCTTCAGACCCTACGCAATCTTCTCGAAGAGTTCAGGGATGATGAGCTGGAGCATTTGGACACCGCTGTGGAGCATGATGCACAGCAGGCGCCGGCGCATGCGCTACTTAGTGCTATCATTGGATGGGGATGCAAGGGGGCTATTGAGGTCGCCAAGAGGATCTGAAGTAGCTTGGCAAGCCCTAGCCTTGCGCTGGCAAGAGAGACGTGCTTGTAATGTTGTATTGTAAATCTATTGTACATTCTACCGATTTTCCCTGGTCAGACATCCGTACCTCCTTTGTGATTGTTTGTGCGTCATCCCATCAAGTCCAGCATCTCCTCGACGTTCAGCGTCTTCTCCCTAGCCTTGCCAGCACGTCTACCCCTCTCCAGCTCAATCTGGTCCAGCCGCAGCCAATCGGACCAATTGACCAGTCTCTTATTTCCTTGAGGGCGGAGCAAAGCCTCCGGGAGGCTTGGAATTAGCTCTTCTACTTTTCTTGATCCCCCGGTGGGCGAAGACAGGAGTAGTGCATTGAGTGCAGCCACGGGTGGGCGATTCACGGCAGAAGCAGAAGAGGAAGCCAGATGATCGGCTAGGATCGTATCTGCGACCGAGTAGGCATCGTGCATGGTCGAGGCGATGACCCCTACCGGTCCGCGAGCCAGCCAGCCAGAGACGTAGATATTGGGCAAGACCTCTCCTTGCTCGCTGACCACTCGCCCGTCAAGATTAGGGACCACGCCTCGCTTGTTGTCCCAGGGAAGCAGGCTTGAGGAATGTCCGCTGCTTGTGCTGCTCGTGCTTGCGTTGTTTCCCGTCAGTGGTGTACCTCTGTAGCCCACGCTGGATACCACCAGATCACTCTTCGTCTCAAAGGCCGAGCCTGGCACCCGAGGTGTACTGTCGGGTGTCGAGGAAGTGGAGTCTGTAGGTAGAGTAGCTACTCCTTCCGACGATGTGGGCGCAGGCTCGTTGCCCCATGGCGCTGCCGGACCGGACGTAGCTTTGGACGCTTCTGACTCTGCGACGGGCGTCGAAGGGTAGGACGTGGAGGTCCACTGGATAGCCTTCAGAGATTCGAGCTGTTCACTGGAAGACGATTGTGCACCGAGGAAAGCGGCGGGAGCTCGGTAGAAGTTGAGTCTCCAGTTTCGATCGGCCTCTTTCGAGCTCGTCTTGCTTCCCTTTGCCAGAAGGCTCAGCAGCCTCTTCCTCACTCTCGCTTCCCCAGCGCTGTGCGCCGCTGCGTCTGGATCTATATTGCCGGCTTGAGCTGCTGTCCGGCTCTCCTCCTCTTGTTGGGCAACTTGAGCTTCTGCCCTTTGCAGCAGCTTACTGTCTACCGGTTCGAATCCGACGCCTGGCAGAGCGAGCATCTCCCGCAGCTCCTTGTTGGTAAAGGCAGCCTGAGCTGGACCTCTCCTGGCGGAGATATCCACATGATTGATACGAGATTCAGAGAGATGCTGTAGCACGGCCTCTGGTACGTCACTCGTCTCCAAAGCCTCCTTTGCTCTGCGGCCGCTCGAAGAGGATGAGGATCCCGATGCAGCTAATAGAGAGCCAGCAGAGGCACGTAATACGATGCGGGCCACGTCGAGGGCTACATTTCCCGCGCCTATCACATCCATCTGACTTTTGCCTCCGGTAAGTTCCACTCTCCGCCAAGGCTCCCGACTCAGCAGCTCCTCGTCGTGGGCAGCAGGGTGGCCGTTGTACCAATTGACAAAGTCTAGCGCGGAATGGACGTTGGCCAGCTCTCCTTGCGATGAGCCTGGGATGCCGAGTGGCCGCGAGGAAGAGCAACCGTAGGAGAAGAGGACGTGGGTGTAGTGGCGCGCCAGAGTATCAAGTGGTAGCTGTATTGCATGTGGATACTGGTACCCTGTCCGCCTCTGTCCGTCTGCAGCAGCGGCCTCGGTGCCTTGAACCACATTGACATTGCCGCAAAAGCGAAAGCGCGGATCCTTGGCTACTTCGGCAAACTTGTGCTCTACGTTCTTCACGTCAAGATGATCCGGTGCCACTCCCCAGCGTACAAGTCCGTTGGGTACGGGTAAACGCTCGAACATCTGAATTGTAAGGCTGGAAGGATCTTCGGATGTTAGCGTGGGCGAGGAGAGGAGGCGAGCTGCTGAATAGAAGGCGGAAGGGCCGGATCCTATGATGGCCAAGCGTATCGGAGGCATTGCTGCCAAGGGAGCAGTAGCTCGTATGCGCAGCAACGCTGTAGGACGCATGACGGTAGACTACTGCAGCGACGTTGTCCGTACGAGCGCTGATGGGAGGAGTGCAAGCAGGAGGAAGGAAGGACTGACTGAGCTGTGCGGAGACAAAGTGGCGCAGGGTCCACTCTTCTTTTTTCCGATGCGGCCGTGCCTCGCCGCGCTTCCGTGATCGGGAAGACTGAGAAGGGAGCGTACCCGACCTTCCTCAGCTCCACCAGGTAGCCCGTGACACCATCAGTCATCGTCAGGGCCATAAGGTAGTGCTTCGCTCGTACGCGGCTGACGATTCCACGCAATGGGCATTCGCCCTTACGTCTGTGAGCAGTAGCAACGACAGCAGCTGTTGCCGATCTGGGGGTTTCCCTCCTTTGCTTACCAATGATACCCCCTCCCTTCCTTTCGAAACAGCCTTCGTCGCCTCCTTTGCAAAGTACCTCACAAATGTCCACTCTTCATCTTGCAAGGTCAACGGTCTCGATAACTTCCTTCAGATCCTCGCGGACGAGGCGCGGAGGGGCGAAGGGAGGGGAGTCTTGACGTATGCCAATCACATCTCCGTAGTCGATGATCCTGCCGTGTGGGGCTGCATGCCCATGAGCGCATTTCAAGACTGTGCTACCACACGCTGGACCCTAGGCGCGAGTGATATACTCTTCACAAATCGGTGAGCAGATGAACGGAAGCTGGTCTCGGAGCAAGGCAGGGTGATCAGAGCTGATCGCTCCAAATCGGCCCGAATTCTGCCACGGCCTCCATCGCAGGATCGTTCGCCTGTTCTTCGACTATGGGCAGGTAATTCCTACCGATCGAGGCAGGGGAATCTTTCAACCCGCGCTGGACACGGCCATACAAAAGCTAGATGAGGGACAGTGGACTCACCTCTTTCCAGAGGGATACGTCAACCTCTCGCGGAAGATGGTGCTCCGGAGATTCAAGTGGGGCCTCAGTCGTCTGCTTCTGGAGAGCAAGCGGAGACCGAGAGTAGTGCCGATTTGGATCGAGGGTGAGTACCCGAAGCTGAGTGATCACGTCTGAGCGTCGCTCGAGTGACTTCCTCACGCCTTCCCTCTTGTCTGCCTCCAGGATTCGACCAGATGATGCCGGATCCCAGAGGCTTCCCCAAATTTGTGCCCCGTCCCTTTGCCAACTTGTCGATCACTTTCGGCGACCCTATAGATCATGCTGGATCATCGCTAGACCTCTTGCTGTCGGAACTGCGCAAACAACAATCTCTCAATCCAGCCTGGTGGCAGGACGAAGACAAAGAGATGGAGCGGATACGGTCTGCCTTGCCTAGCGATCAGAGGTCCCAAGTCGATGCCCCAGCCATACCAGTCCCTTCACCTTCTTCGTTTCCTTCTCTTGCACCACATGTCGTCACTCCACAAGGCTGGTCGGAGCCTCCGGTGGATTCGCCGGCCCATAGGGCTATGGTCGCCAGCGCTCAGGATGCACAGAAAGCAATGGCAGCAAGGAGCTCGCTCGCCGAACTCCTCAGAAGAGAGCTCGCGGCTCTCGGCGTTAAAACGCGGAAAGCTCGAGGAGAGCCGGAAGGCGAAGTAGGGCATCTGGTACATACTCTGATGCCGGAGGAAGACAGTAAGACAGCTGCTGCGCAGACGTCTCGACAGGCCCCTACATCAACCTCAAGAGTGCATCAAAGAAGCTATTCGACTTCGGCAAGACGCTGCCATCCATCGACTTCAGCTGCAGGGAGCGCTACCTCAAATTTCAATGCTGCCACATCACGGTCTGCTAACCTAGCTTCATCAGGCGTACTCGATGCTTATAATTGCTTCAACTCTCGCGCCGCACCAGCTCCTTCCAGTGCGACGACCACGGCATCTGGCCCCCTCTCCGGCTGCACGATATCCGTCAAGGATAACATCTGTACCCAAGATATGCCAACAACCGCTTCGTCTCTCATGCTCAAAGACTACGCCTCATCATACGATGCGACTGTCGTCTCTCTTCTCAGATCTGCAGGGGCGGACATAGTTGGCAAGACAAACTGCGACGAGTTTGGTATGGGCTCGGACAATGTGCATTCCCACTTCGGTCCCGTGATCAATCCAGCCATGGGTGGTCGAGAAGCAGAAGAGCAAAAGAGAAGTGCAGGTGGAAGTTCTGGTGGAGCAGCTGCTAGTGTCAAGGCGGGATACTGCCGCATGTGAGTCGAGGTCTATAGGAGAGTGAGCTCCACTGTCCTTCGCTTCCGGTGAACTGACAGTCTCTTCCCTTGTCTGCCGGCGCAGCGCCATCGGCTCAGATACCGGAGGCTCAATACGCCTCCCCGCCTCGTATTGTGGTCTCTGGGGATTGAAACCATCGTACGGTCTAATCTCTCGCTGGGGTCTCATCTCATATGCAGACAGTCTGGATACCATTGGCGTTCTAGCTGACAATTGGTCCGAATGCCAAGAGACCTTCGACGTCCTGTCGGCCCCCGACAAGAAAGATCCAACTAGCGCCGGAGAGCAAGTGAGGTCTGCAGCGGACGAGGTTGCGGATGAGGCACTGAGCAAATTTTCGTCCAGCTCGGCGCCCGGGACAGAAGGTTGCCTCAGAGGACTTCGCATTGGGATCCCCACTACCCTCTTCCCCTCCTCTCTGGATGCGCAGGTACTCCCCTCCTTCTCACGCCTCCTTTGCCATCTCGAAGACCACCTGGGCGCCAGCATCATCCCCGTCGAGCTGCCCTCGACAGGCCTTGCCTTAAGCGCCTACTACGTCATTGCGAGCGCAGAGGCCAGCAGCAACCTTGCTCGGTACGATGGGGTGCGGTATGGCTTCCGGAGCGAGGAAGAGAAGCTGCCCGGGGAGCATCCTTATGCGGCTACAAGGAGTACTGGCTTTGGAGAGGAGGTGCGGAAGAGAATCTTGTTGGGCACGCATGCACTTTCTGCAGAGTGAGTACATTCGACAGCGATGGAAGGCACTGCGTGACGCTGTAGCGATGCTCAATTCTCTTTTCTCCGCTCTTCACCTCGGCCTTTCAGTGCCTTCGACAACACTTTCCTTGCAGCACAACGTATTCGCCAGACGATCAAGGATGAGTTTGACCAAGTATTTCGCATTCCCAATGTCCTACACGGCAGAGGAGCACAAACGGAGCAACACGCCCCTTCTGCGCTATCGGCAGGTTCGCAAGAAGGAGTTGACGTGCTCCTTCACCCCTCGGCGGTGAACACCGCGCCCCTCTTGTCCGCCTTGATGCCCTCCTCTTCGACAGAAGAGGCATGCCCTGTCGGCTTCAGCGCTCCAGCTGGCAGTGCAGGGCTGGACGAATACGTGCAGGATCTCCTCACCGTCTCCTCCTCCCTGGCGGGCCTGCCAAGCGTCTCAATGCCGCTGGGTCGAGGAGCGCAAGATGGTTGGCCGATAGGCATGATGGCCACGAGCCAGTGGGGCATGGAGAAGGTCCTGGGACAGCTGGCGGAGGGTTTGCAGACGTATCGTATCGAGTAGAGGTAGCTGAGCGATCTCAGAGCCTCCTTGAGAGTCCCGTATAACAGCAGAGTGGAGCGAGCGAGAATGTGGCCCCTTGTATATCCTAGATGATTCGTTTGCAGCTCTCGATATTCATAGATGCAAGCTTGCAGCAGATCTGGGCTGAATCTGTTCGCTACGCTACGATGTGACCCTCTTCGAGGTGAGGTGCGCCCATGGATCCTCCAAGAACGAAGGCTTGAAGAAAGCCTGCCGATGAGGGTAACGGAGAAGGTGGAGAAAAGCTCAGTCATACCACTCCTATCTGCCGTGCCGTACGAGCAAGGGTAAGGGTACACTCACCTGAGGCGTCCGCTCCGGCGGCGCATAGCCGTAGCCGTTACCCTGACTCTGACCCTGTCCCTGTCCACCAAAATCTCCTCGTCCACCTCCCCTCCCCCGACCTCCACCACGAGCTCCCCCCGCTCCACCGCGCCCACGTACCTGCACATCAGAAGCGTGCGAGAAGCCACGACCTCTCCCACCTCGGAATCCTCCCAACTCATGGCGAGGTGAGTGAGAGGCGGGGTCCAGCTGGGACTTAGGACCAGTTGGGACAGAAGACGACAACGACAACGATGTCGTCTCTCCCGAACCCGCCGCTGGTGCGCCACCACCACCACCTCCTCCTCTACCAGCACGACTAGCCCCTCTGGCCCCGCGGCCGTGTCCCCTCCCTCTTCCTTTACCAGGCCCAGACTCAGATTCACTGGAGGCGAAGGCTGCTCCCCCAAAGTTGGCAGGAAGACCAAATGCGCTCATATCCCCATCGAAGGGCGCTGAGCCACTCGTAGTGGCGCTATTTTCTGATGTTATAGCAGCAGAAGTGGGGTTGGAGTCGGTCATACTGGCCAGTCTTGGCTCTTTGGGAGCGCTCTGCCGTGCCGCTTTGGATGGATTCTCTCCCAGAAGTATCGATAAATGAGGTGCGAGATGGGAAAAGATGGGGAAGGCTGGATGGATGAGTACTTGAATGGAATGGTCAATAGCAGGAGCAAGAAGGAGTACAAGAAGCAGTTGTTCAAGAGCAAAGCGAGCTTCCTCTGCCCATTGCGATCTGTCCTCACAGATTCGGTTAGATGCGCCGGCAGTAGACTGGACGAGAGTGGAGGAGGGGTCGGAGACGGGACTTTTTGCGAAATCGGATCGGAAGCAAGGTTCTACCGAGCCGGCGACATGAGTGAACACTTATCATTGGCAGTGAAAGGAAGTCATAGCAGCTGCAACAATACCGGTACTGTGCTGGCACATCATTTCAAGATGTCTCATGACAGGCCTCTTCTTCGAATGTGATGTGCTACAGCGAAACAGAGGCATACCCACGCAAGCTCTCCGTTCAAACAAGGGCGGAGCTGTCGCTCGAAGAGGTAGGCCCAGGCTTGCAAAAGGTGCACAGCAGTCGCCAAGACCCAAGAGCTCCTGTTCCCACACGGGACGGTTTGAGGCCATCGGGATCAGGCGAGCCCTAGTGACGATGCCTTGCCTGATATCGGGCCAATGTTGCGTCACGGAGCCATCTGGCTATATCACTTTTGAGTCCATGCTCTTCTTATGGGCAGCGCAGATTCGCAGTCCAGTGCATGCTACTCCACATCTGTGGCACCAAGGACGCCGCGGATGAGTCGAGTGAGCGGGAGAGGAGAGACACAGTGAGCAGTACGGGTAGCTATCTCTGTGCAGGGCTACTGTGTGTCACGGACCCCCCCTGCGATCGTGCTTTGTTCGTGCCTGTAGCTACATACGGCTTGCCGTGCGTCAGGTGGGGAAGCGGGGCAAGTCAAGCAGTCTCTGATCGTAGTGATCGAATGTCTGACTGATCAAGTGTTGAACTGAGCTCAAGGAGGATCAGTGCTGGGAATAGACGCCAGCATGACCATAGTCTCAAGGATCCGGGATCGATGGTAGCGCCTCTGGGTGCCGGGGTCACGCGATGCGGCGGAGTGTCGTGTCTGCCCGCCCTGGATAGGCGATTGACTCTGAGCACAGTCTGCGCTGCTGTGGGGACAAGGTATGATTCGGCACAATCAAGGCCGGCGCAGCTTTTTTGCTCACGCTCCAAGTTGATGAAGTGGTCAAAGGGCCCGGAGGACGACTGGAAAGGTAGCCCGCAGGTCGGGCCATTCTTTGAGGCTACAGCGCAAGACAACAGACCTCTTCCGGTCTTGGTGCCCTCAATGCAGCGTTGCCCCGGCAACAGATGGACTGTTGGCGTGCCTGCGATGCAAAAAGGAGAGCTCAAAGTCTGGCTTGTCGGAACGGACGTACCTCTGATGCCAACGGCCGTACCGGTCTGTTCGCTTCGCAAGGGTTGGTGTGAGATGTACTCTGCAGAGTCGAATCGGCAATTTTGGGCTGACGGAAGCTGTGGAGCTTCCCGTGGGAAGGGCGGGGGAGAGGAGACTAGACTAGAGCTCAGGGTCCCGTCTGACTCTGACCGAAAGGACTACTGTCAATTGGGGTGAGATGCAGCCGAGGCAGGGTGAGGGCGGGAGAGGGGGAGCAGCAAACAGCAAGAGGCAGCAGCAGCAGCAGCAGCGCTTGTCTCCGGCATATGCCAGTCCTCCTCCCGACTCTGGCTCCGACATTCGGGCTGCGTGAGCTGCGTGGTGGGTCAGAGCTCAGCTGCCTCTTTCCCGACGGCGGGAAGCTCCAAGACCAGCGGGCGGAGCTGGAGTGCGCCTAGGCACCGCGTCAGCGTCCCCCCCCCCCCCTGCCACACGAGCGGGCACACTCACAGGCGATCGTTTGCGTCTGAAGCTTCCTGGCCTCCGTGGATATTTGGCCCTCGCCTCGCCTCGGCTCGCATCAGCCGTACCCGTCCCAAGTATCGTACGATCATTACCCCCTGGCATCGAATCTCCTCAGCTTCCCATCTACTCCTACCACGACAGACAGTCGCCACATCTAGCATCACCTGTACAAGCACCGACTTCCATCCTCGGCGTCACAGCAACGTCTTAGTTGCCACAATCAATTCAGGAGTGCCACACTCCCGCCCGTCCGCCCGCACCTCGGAAGTCGATTAGGAATCTTGAACCACTTAGGTCCCTTGTCTTGACACCCGGACCCATAGCAATCTACGGAGGCTACTCACTCCGTACCTCACTCAAGCGAGCATATATAGATACATCACGCAGCTTCACGCTCACCAGAGTAGACGTCTTCTCACACCCTCGGTCATAGCACGCCGCATCAGGCCACCCACCAAGGTCTTACCTCGACGACGGCTCAGCGCTCCTTACAGTCGTCGCCACTAGAACGTTCTGACCTCATCTCTACACATCCTCCATACACTGCAACACATCCAGCAGAGCATGGCTATTCCAGCTCCCATTCCGATAGTTCGTGTGCCCCCGGGCGAGTCGTCCGGCGGCGGATCCTCCTCGTCCTTTGCCTCGGGCTCCTCCCGCATGGGGCTAGGCAACTCTTTTGGGACATCATTCCCCAGCTCGAATGGCATCGGTGGCAGTGCCAGCTTCAGGGAAGCAATGGCTATGGCAACGTCGTTTGGCAAAGACGTCAATGAGTGAGTCGCGTGGTACAGGCGAGGGGCTGCTGAACGGGCTGGGCGCGGCTTTTCATTCGTGCCCTATGCTTTCGAGGGCTGCAAGCTGCGTGAATGCTCTTGTTATCATGAGTTCCAGAACTGACACTCTCCTTATCTCGTCTCACTCGTGCTTCAGCTTGATCGACTACTCAGCAGGCAGGTTCGCCTCGTCGGTAGATTCGGAGATGACAATTGCACCCTCGACATCACTGGGGAGACTAGAATCAACCTTCTGTAGGGACTTCAGCTGTTGTGGTCAGGACCTGGGAGATCTGCATGACCTGCTTCAACACTACGAAGAGTGCCACGTGCGCTTTGATGATGATGGTATGCCAGGAATGGTAGACGATGACGGCAACTCATCGTCCGGTGGATCAACTTCCACCCCCTCCTCAATGCCTCCCAGCCCGCGAGCTGCTCACGCTCGCTCCTCTTCACGGAGACGCGAGTCGAGCTCCACCGCTGGTTCCTCGACGGTCAAGGGCAAGAAGCGATCGTTTGGCCAGTATGATGCCACCAACCCTGGTGGTGTCGCAGGTGCAGCCAACACTCCTGGCTCGGTGCAGTCCCTTCGGAGAGCCCTGATGGATGGAGGTGTGGGAGGTCGCAGCAATGGCTCCACGTCATCAGTCTACTCAGCCAATTCGCCCTTCTCTACTCCTGATAGCTCCATCCCAGGTACACCTACTCTGGACGATGCAGACTTCACCTTTGGTCACAATGGACTCTCTGCCTTCTCAGCCCTTTCGCTACGTCCCACAAGCGGCGACGATCATCTGCCGGCCTGTGCGCCCCCCAACCTCTTCTTCCCTGCACCTGGCTCTTCCGCAATGGCCGGAGCCAACTCTACTACCCCCGGGCACCCTGCCCTCAATGCACCAGTCAATGTGGGCGGCAATTCTACATCTTCGTCCAATCTGCCCCCACCAGCAAAGAGGGAAAGGATAGCGTCGTGTGGTAGTTCGTCTGGGGACGTGAAGCAATTGGACAAGGACGGCAAAGTCATCGATAAGCCTTTCAGGTGCCCCAACCCAGGCTGCGACAAGGCTTACAAGCAGGCGAACGGCCTGAAGTATCACAGGCTCCACGGCAGTTGCAATAAGAACCTGGCAGGACAGACTGGCGGCGATGGGTCCAGTGGCAATGCAAGCACCACCACCGCACCCACGTCACAAGCACCACCCAAGGTGACTTCCCCTGCTGCGCCTGCTTCCTCTACCACGGCTGTTCGACCTCCTCAGCCAGCAGCCAACGGTGCGAATCCGACACCGAGGCCTGGTGGTCCGGGCGTAGCTGGACCTCCGCGACCCGGAGGCAACCCCAATAGCATGCCTCCCCTCCCTCCTAACATCAACTCGGCAGCCTTGGCTGCTGCTGCCGCTCTACTGCAGCGCGGAGGTCCTCTACCACCCTCTCTGCAGGGTCCGAACGGTCCCATTGATTCAGCTGCCCTTTTGAAGACGCTGCAGATGCTGCAAGCTCAGGTGGCTCAGCAGCAAGGCACGCCTGGAGGACTGCCCGGCGCACCGGGTAACAAGGGACCGGTACCTGCCACCTCGCCCGCAGGAACGACTGTGGCTAAACCTGCAACTGCACCGCAAGGGGCAGCAGGAGCCGGTGGAGTCAAGGCCTCCCCTGCATCTATCAAGTCTCCTACGAGTACTTCTGCTCCAGCTGGTGGAGCACCAAGCGCTGCTGCAACTGCGAGCGCGATCCCGCCCGAGATGCTCGCTGCTGCCCAGGCTGCTGCACTTCAGCAGCAGAAGAAGCCTCAACAGCCCGCGCAAACTGCCCCCAATGGCACTTCTCCCACCCAGAACAAGCCGTGAAGAATGCCCACCGATGATGACAATCAGGAGGACAGGAGCCTGTCGACCAAGGCAATTCAACGATTCTACAACATTGTACAACTCACTTGTACACTACTTTACTATAGACCCAAGGCAGCCATTGATGCACGTTAGTTCAGTTCAGTCCAAAAGGCTCAGCAGCCGCTCTCTGTTTCGATGTTGTTTCAAGTCTGCGCGCCTCACCAGTACCCACCATCTCGTCCTGTGCTTTAAAAGACTCGCTCCCCTTCTTGCCCCCCTCTGCCTCTGCCTCTGCCTCTGCCTCTGCCTCTGCCCTTGCTCCCGATCCCGCACCGCACCGCGCCTCGTGTGCCTCGTAGACCCTGTGGCGTGTTTAATGATTTCTATCTAGCTTGCCATCCCATGCCTTGTGACTGCTGATCTGTAGTGTGTTCTTGAGTGTAGGCCTGAGGGCAAGCAGTGCTACTGGGTGGCTGTCTGTCTTGGCGTGATGCACGCGAGATGGCTGGCCGTGTGCGCGGGGCGGGCTGTGCCTCGTGCTGTCTGTCTCCTCCACTCCCGCACGAGGCCAAGAAGGATTGCAGGCACACAGGACAAGGCTGAAAGCGGTTCTCGCCTCGGCGGCGTCTCCATCACCTCCTCCTCCTCCTCCTACCATTCGATCACCACGATACCCAGATTCCCTTTTCCGCCTCCGCCTCCCCCCTTTTCCTCTTCCTCTTCGAACATGCCTCCTAGAGTGGCTTCACGCTTCGCCTCCAGAGGTGCATTTGACGCCCTCGCCGCGGCAGAGGATCCGGATCAGATCTCTTCACCTGATTCCGACGCTGAAGAAGATGTCACCCCTTCACCTTCTGCCGCTCCCGTATTCAACAATGGCAGCGATAGTCCTGCAAGGATGACTCGTACACAGCAGAAGAAGCTAGCAAAGGAGGCAAGAGAAGCAAAAAAGTCGCAAAAAGCAGCCACTTCGCCGCCCATTTCCAGCGCTGAAAAGGTTGAGAATGGATTGGGCGAGGAGAGGGCTGGCTCAGGACCAGCATCTGAGGCGGTGGAGGATGTCAAGGAGGCGCTGTCCAGTGCAGGTTCGGATCCAGTCGTAGAGGTTCCTGCTACCGGTGACGGCCCTCGCCAGGCTCTTTCCCCACCTTCAGCCGTTGCGTCTACCCCATCCAAGGCCGAAACCACTTCGGAGCCAGCTGTGACACGCTCTGCTACTGCTGCAAAGAGTACGTCGACCTCCTCGTCAACTCTTGCTCCTCCCGGCAAAGAGCCCGCTCCACGGTCTGCTACCCCATCTGCCGAGGAGAAGCGCTTGGCTGACAATGCTGCTTACTGGAAGAAGGTCCGCGAGCGTGCTATCTTTGGCTTCCTGATGATCGGAGGATTCATCCTCGCTATGGTCCTAGGTCACCCCTACATGATCGTAGTGGTCCTCGGATTGCAGACCCTCGTCTATCGTGAGGTGACTGCCCTCTTTGAGATCCCTGGTCGCCCTTCCATCACTGGAGGAGCACCTCGACGAAGTCCTCTCAGCCGTCACAGCTCAAGTACCTCTGTGCCCAAGATCCGCGTTGGTGCTAGCTCCAACATCGACGAGTCTGCACAGGCTAGCGAGGATGAGGAAGACTTCCGTGCCGAGGTGCGGAAGGAACTAGTATGGTCCAAGACGCTGAGCTGGTACTTCTTCACCGTCGCAAACTACTTTTTGTACGGCGAGTCTCTGATCTACTACTTCAAGCACATCGTCTTCATCGACTCGTACTTTATCCCCTTTGCCAAGCACCACCGCTTCCTCTCCTTCCTCCTCTACATCATCGGCTTCGTCGGCTTCGTCTCGGGCCTGAGGAGGGAAAATCTGAAGCACCAATTTGGTCTCTTTGGCTGGGTACACATGAGTCTACTCCTCATCGTCTTCTCATCGCACTTCCTCGTGAACAACATCCTCGAAGGTCTCATCTGGCTCTTCGTACCAGCCTCGCTGGTGATCTGCAACGACGTCTTTGCCTACGTCTGTGGTATGATCTGGGGTAGGACACCACTGATCAGCCTCAGTCCCAAGAAGACCGTCGAGGGCTTCGTGGGCGCATTCGTCATTACCGAGGTCTTTGCGCTGTTCTGGGCAACGATTTTTCAGAGGTCGCCCTACTTGATCTGCCCTGCCATCTCTTTGGGCATGAACGCATTCCAAGATATCCACTGCACTCCCAACTCGGTCTTCGAATGGGTGAGTAGCATGGGCTGATCTACCGGCGGGCTAAGATCTCGTCTTATTCTGACCCTTTCTTTCTCTGTCCTCTCCCGTCTGCAGCGCGCCTTTATCCTCCCGGAGTCCCTCTCCTCTCTCCTCAGCTCCACCTTCCACTTCACTCTAACCTCCATCCCTTATACCGAATTCCAATTCCACTCTCTGGTAATGGCCGCCTTTGCCTCTCTAGTCGCACCCTTTGGCGGCTTCTTTGCCTCGGGTTTCAAGCGCGCATTCAACATCAAAGACTTTGGAGATTCCATTCCAGGTCATGGAGGACTGACGGATCGATTTGATTGTCAATTCCTCATGGGATTATTCTCCTATGTGTACTACTCGAGTTTGATTAGGGAACATAGAGTTACAGTGGGAAGTGTATTGCAGACGGTCGTTACGCACCTCACCGCAGAGGAACAGATTGAGGCCTATAGGGAGATTGGAAGATTTTTGGCTGGGAGGGGAGTGGCCGTCTAAGGAGAAATCGAGAAGTGCAGGTGTGGGGGAGGGGGGTGGGGGGGGGGGGGGGGGGGGGGCAACAAGACTTTGCAGGCTGTGAGAGACGAGGGACGAGGGACAACTATCAGAGTAAGAGGGGTCATGTAGTCCAAATTCAAAGGGGAAGAGAAGGGGCTAGGGCGCGGACAGGCAGGGCAGGGCAGGGTAGGGCACACCCGGCCAGATACGAATGGCCTGGCTCGATATGGGTAGAGGGACCAGAAAGGGTGCTTTACCCTTTTGCGTACTGTACCCCTACGCCTGCCCCACAGGCACTCGATTCCGCACACCCCCCTACACTCAAAGCTACCCTTTTTCACACTGCGCTACGCTGCGCTGGGAGCACTCGATGTTGAGGACAATACAAACGAATTCTATTTTTCTAGCCCTACCCTAGCTGGCTGGGTGGCTGGCTGGCTGTGCATCGGTACAAGTGGTCTAGGTCACTGGTAAGATTGACTTGAGTGATTGCATTAGATGAAAGGAAGAAAGTAATGGAACGGAATATATGCCCCCCCCCCCCCCCCCCCCCCCCCCCCCGTTCCCCTCCTCTGCACCATCTACCCACTCTTTCCCGCACCCGCACCCGCACCCCCAAAACCCGCAAACCCACCTCCTTCAAGCAATCCACTAACCGCCTCTTCCATCCCCCTCACTTTTTCTTTCAACCCCTTGACCTCTTCCTCTGCTAGCCCCGCGCGTCGATTGGCATCTCTCAATTGAGAGCGGATAGAGAGGTTTTCCAATTGGAGGGCTTGGGAGAGTTGATAGTCTGCGAGGGACTTTTGAGATGTGAGGGTTTGTTGCACAGAGGGGTGGGAGAGGGCGTGGGTGGCTTTGCTGCTGTTGCTACTGCCAAGGCCGAGGCCGAGGCCGAGACCGAGGGCGCCATTGCTGCTAGAGGTGGTGAGTGTGCTGTTCTCCTGCTCTCGCAAGGAAGACTGACTAGCAGAAGGAGTCATACCTGCAGCTCCCGAGGGGGGAGCCTCAGAGAGGATTCGCTGTGCTGCTTCTTCCTCCTCGGCAGGAGGCATCTTGAGGATCAACCTCAATTGGTCCAGAGGTACCACGTCCGAAAAGAGCGAAGCGACGGCTGAACGGTTCGCCGTACCCATTCCAGTCTCGGCGCTTCCGCCAGCACCTCCACCTGCGCCTGGAGTGGTGCGTCCGCCACTGGCAGTATGCGGTAGGTTGAGGTTGAAGAGGACGTCGTCCTGGATTGCTCCTTCTTCTCCCCCACTGGGATCGCGGTCACGAGGCCCGCCGCGCTCCAGCTCCTCGCCATCCCCGTCTGCGACATCAAAGACGGCTGAGCGCCTACTGCTGCCTGCAGAGTCGTGCGATGAGTTCTTTTCGATTAATCCACTGTCCCGCACAAGACCTGAAGAGGAAGCATTGCTCGATGCGCCACCACCACCTTCCTCGGTGGCAGCTCCATTGAGGGAGCCAAGCAGTACCAGTCGAAGTTGGGCATTGATGGCCCTCTCCTCTGCAAGAATCCTCACCGCCTCCCTCTCCTTCCACTCTAGCCTTTCCTTCTCCTCCTGGGATTCGACGACCCACAGTTCCTTTTCCCTCTCCTGGTGAGCAATCGTCAGACGCTGGAATGCCTCGAAGTCTTCTTCACGCAGGGCAATCTGCTCAGAGAGGGAGGCGAGCTGCGTACGCAATTGTTCGTTCTCGTCTTGAATATCGCTCACGCTGGCCGTCAGGTCCTCCAGCTTGAGGTGGAGCTCAGTGACTTCTGCGAGCTTCTCCCTCCACCCACCCTCCAGGTCCTTGCCTAAGGAGCGCACCTGCTCCAGCTGGGTGGAGGTGGCGAGGAGATGGCGGGCCTCGGCGAAGCGCATTTGGTCCTCCATCATCTTGCCTTCGTCGACTTCGTAACGAGGAAGGCGCTTGCGTTCCAGGGGTCCTTGGGCGAGAGAAGCTGCAGCTGCAGCACCACCGCCTAGTCGCTCGGGAAGGTTGAAACCACGAGAGGCGGCAGAGCTCGCCGCATAGTTGGCCGCAGAGGTGAGGGAATTCAAGAGTGAGCCGCTCGATAGCTGACGCTGCTGTAATTGAGGGGCTGTCACAGTTGAAGAAGCAGCAGGCGGGGGTGAAGGCGACTTAAGGGCCGCCTCGGCTGCTCGCTCCTGCGGTGTCTTCAGCCGGTCCCACAGCGAGGGCGTTGAGTTCTTACGCGCCGTTGGAGTGCTGGGAGACGCAGCCGCTACAGGCCGAGGAGGAGGCGGAGGTGGACGGGCAGTGAGAGGAGTAGTTGCGCTAGCCTCATCAGCCTCGGGCAGAGGCGATGCAGATTGCTCAGCGCCCTCAGCTTGTGTTGGGTCGACAGTCAAGGTCTCCACAGCAGGCAGAGAGCCAGTGGCACCCGACTCCTGCGCTGAAGGTCCCGGCTCCTCTGAAGGTGCCTCAGCTGTCTCTTCTCCAGCAGGCTCCTCGGCGTCCTCTCGCTCTTCACCAGCTCCACCCTCGGCGTCTTCAAACCCTTCAGCATCACTGTCCTCGCTCTCTGCAGCGCCTCCGCTGCCAGAGGTATTCGTCGAGATGCTGCGCCGCTTTGCATTCTTTGCATCGCCATTCGAAGGTGTAGGAGCCGTACTATCTCGCTTGTCCTTCTTTGGCTCAGCTTTGCCCTTTGCTTCTGCTTTAGACTTGGTCCCGGCAGCAGCGCGCCCATTGGCAGTGGCCTTAGGCGGCATGGCTAGCGCAATCTGTAAAGCCGAAGGTGTGTACAGCGAGGAACCCCGGGTTGCAGACGTTATGGAATCTCGCTTGTCCGCACTGTCGTCCGAGTCAGTCGGAGGTCCGGAACTTCGCTCGGCAGTCGAGGTGATAGACTCTCGGTGTTTCCACAGAGACGGAGGGGAGTCGTAGGTATCCTCTCGACTGCGATGTTGGTAGCAGGAGACTGAAGACGAATCAGAGAACGAAGAGGAACTTTCAAGATCTCGCTCGTGATGATCGAAGACCGAGCCGGACTCTCTCTTGCAAGGTGACCGTAGAAGTGTTCCTCGGGCAGGTGCCGATGAACTTGTGCCAAAAGTCGATTCCGCCCTCTGGTGAGGCGTACTCTCTACAGTCGCAGGAGCAGAGCGAGTCTGCGGAGCACTGCTTCCCTCTGTGAGCCTCGAAGAACGAGAAGTGCTACTGCTGACCGAGGCGCTCCTGCTATGAGAGGTGGAGCCGTAACCCGATGCCGAAGTTGAGCTAGCAAGACCTAGTGTGATGGGTCTAAGGCCCGAAGGGGAGGGACTTATCCAATTACCGGAGCTACGCTGCTCCTGTCGTCTATTCCTAGTGAGAAGACCTCGAGGTAGCTCGGTAAGGGACGGGACCGGAGGGACGTCACTGTCTGCTTGGGAAGGGTAGGAGAAGCCAGCTATAGAAGCTGCTCTTTTGGCTAGACCTCGTAGACCAAACGTGCGAAACTCGGCCTTTGTATCCGCCTTTGACTGAGGAGCCGACTCAAAATCTGCCTCTGTGGTGTCTGGACGATATTTGAAGGCTTTGCTGCGTGGGTACCCGTTGGTGGGCGGAGGACTGGATACGAAGCGTTGGAAAGGACTGGCGCGTGCTGGAAGAGGTGGAGGTGCCGGGCTGAAATCTGCTGACCCGTTGGGTAGAGGCGAGGAAGGAGAGTGTTTCCGTGGGCTCGCGGGAGAGTCAGAGGCTGATGAGAGGTGAGTGTTGTGCTGAGGGTAGAAGGAAGAAGGTGTGCCTCTGCGTCTGTTCACCAAGGCAGCTCCAACTTTGGCCTCGAGTGGTGGAGGAGGGCGGTGCGGGGCATGAGCCGCGTCTGAAAGGCCTTGATGGTCCTGCGCCTCGTCTTCCTTGGTCTGCTTCGACGCGCCTCTGCCTTCTTCCCCGCCTCCTCGCTTCTTGTCTGCGTCTGCCGCCCGTGCCAGTGGAAAAGAAGACGCCGCCGCTGCTGCTCCTCTTGCCGGCCCTGCAGCAGCGGCAGCGGCAGCGGCAGTTGTAGACGGCTGTGCTTCCCTCGAAAAGGAGCCGTAAGGACGACGTTGCTCATAGCTTGCGCCTTTATCTTCATCGTCAGGATGAGAGACAAGGCTGCTGACCGATGCTAGACCTTGCGAGGTGAGCATGGCTGGGGTGCAAGGCAGGCGGCTGGTCGCTTTTGTAAGAGCTAAAGTCTGCTGCGCTCTGATCGAGCCGGATCTGAGCCCAGGCAGCCTTCGAAGGAAAGGTCTACGCAGCGACACGAGGAGCTTCTCGAAGAGAGAAGGAAGGTCCAGCGACGAAGGTAGGTCAGGAATGGAGCGAATTAGAACATTCCCCTATACAGGCAGTGAGACATGATGTGTGATTTGAGACCGGGACTCAGGTCAAGAGACAAGCAGACGGACAGGGCAGCAACGGCAGCAAATAGCAAAAGCGCCGCCCCCCCTACTCGCCTGACCCTGGCATTGACCTTGATAGGAGAGAAGATCACTGCAGAGCTCAACCATCGGACTCAGACCTCTTGCACTTGTCCGAAGCATGTTACTTCAATATATTCCCTGGGCATAGAGTGTGTAGTCTACACCCTCGTAGCAGGCTGACACAGTGGCCCGCACAGCAGCTTCAGTCTGGTTCACTACTGCTGCCGCATTGCTGTCTGGCCAGTCCCGTGGCAGAGGCGCAATATAGCCTTCAGTGACTCCTGTCCCCCATTGATGTTCCCTCTTCTGTTCCTCCGCCCGACTAGCTACTCTGCATCTCAGCCCTACCATCGCACATCCCTCCTTTGCCTCTCTTAATCGCTCCTAGAACTCTGCGACTGGCCCTTGGCAGCAGCCAGCTCATCGGCCAGACGGTTGTACTCGGTCTGCTGCTGAGCCGTCTGCTTCTTGAGGTTGTCCAGCTGCACCTTGAGCTTCTCTGCTTCCGAGGAAGAGGCGCCGCCCTTGGACACCGACGAGGCAGAAGAGGATCCACCCTTTGCAGCTACAAGTTCCTCCTGGGTGGTAATGAGCTCGGTGATCAAGGAGTAGGTTCGAGACAGGATCCTGCGAGGGGGAGGGAAGAAGGGCAGCAAGATATAGGAGGACTGGGTCAGTCTGAAGTTCGGCACCTCCTCACGCCAATGGACTTTTCCACTTACAAGCTGAGGAAGAGGGTGAATCCAGTGAGGTAAGTGTTCCTCTGAGCATAGAACTTCTTGGCGTGGAAGCTAGATTCGGTCCTGGAGTCCCTCATGCCCGCCTGATCCCTCATGGTCTCTCCATCGGTAGTGACTTTCCACATTCGCTGCACGGCGTCTACGAACAAGACTGCTACGAATATGAACATGATCTTGAGAGCATACTGTGCCTTTGCAACCACTGGAGAGTCGGAGAAGATGACGAATGAAATGGGTGAGTGAGTCAGCTGGACCGCGTAGAAGGCTTGTCAAAGGTCGAGTGACCAGGTACGGCGAGAGATACTGACGTGGGTTGGTAGCGAGGAACTTGAACATGGATCTCCTCCATGCAAATGGCAGCGGGATGATGAGTACGAGGAATGTGACCACCTCGAGTACGAGGAGACCAAATACGACTGCGGGATGGAGCAGTGGGGTGAGTGATGCGGATGAGATCAGTAGGTGTGCTTCCACGTCTTTCGCGCTCAGCTAGACGGGGGAAGGCAGTGAAGACTAGTGCCTGGTTACTCACGTCCATAGTAGAGAGTCATGGCTGTATTGATGTGGTGTCAAGGTCGCGTGAGGGGTGTGTTGATAGCAGGTAGAATGGAGATAGGATTAGGAAGGAAGCATTCGTCTCTTTGTCTCCACTCGGAAGATGTGTGTGCAAGAAGGGGGGCTTTGCTGGTGAGGCAGACAGGGCGCGAGAGTTGCGCCTGGGCTGAAGCATCAGGGCGGGCGGCGTACGATGACGCGCGTCTGCGTGCACGGGCTGCAACACAGCCTCACACGCACACACACACGCGGGGTGGAGCCTCGTGGCCAAGGACGGTGCCACGCGGGGCGAGGTGGGGGGCCCTGCATCGTGGCTGGGGATGGCGGGAGGGCAATGGCGGGTGGGGCCTCGTTGGCTCAGAAGGATCAGACACACACACACACACACCTTGGCTGCACTTTGCTCCCCACCGTCGCTGCCATTGCCTTCTACCAGAACCATCTACCGATCCTCCCTCACCTACTTCTTGCCTCTCCACACCTCGCCCCTGCCCCACCCCACACACCCCGCTAGCCATGACCGACGCCGATCAGGCACGACCCACCCCCGCAAGGACCGCAACGAGGACCCTCCTCAATCTCGGCAACTTGCCCCCAAAGAGGTCTGGATTCGGTGATCTCGCAGTGAGTGCGACAGCAGCAGAGACGGCTAACATACGGCCCTCAACCATGACGAGAGATGACAAGCGTATACTCACCCGATCCACATATCTGTGACACTTTGCCTGCTCTCCTTATCAGTCCTACCAGCGTACCCCATCTCGCGTGGATCCCAACAACCCACCCTGGCCCGCCTACCGAGGATACCATGAGTATTCCTTTGCCCACGAGACCATGGGAAAGCGTCTCCCCACCATTCTCGGAAAGGCCATTGACGACACCATGAGGACACTCAATGAGGAGCACGAAGAGGGAAAGATTAAAGACCTCCTGCAATGCATCGAGCGCATGACACAGCTCATGGACGATCTGCATTCCAATGCCACGCTGCGAGTCATCAAGGACGATGGTGAAGGAGACGTCGCACTTTGGAACAAGGAGATTGCAAGATTCTTCAAGGGTGAGCAGAGAGTGGAGGAGGGTGCGCCAGCATACACACCCCTCTAACAATGATACTGACACCGGACCCCACTTCTACCTTTTCCCATTACAGGCAAGAACTTCATGAACGCACCCTGGCTCTTTGCCGAGGCCTACAAGTACCGTCGTCTCCATGAGTGCTTCTCCATCTCCACCTACTGGAAGGACTACGACGTCTTCTTCCGTCAAAAGTGCGACACCTTCTCGCGTTCCTCTACTGCCGTCTTTGAGCTCTCCACCCGCTTCGCCGACCCCTTCCACCATGAGGCTGGCGCTAACGAAGAGGAGAAGCTCAAGGCTGCCAAGCTCGTCTTCCATGAGCTGACCCAGGTCTGTTTGTGGGGTAACGCCACCGATTTGTCCCTCTTGATCAACATGACCGAGGAGGACATCAAGAGCCTTCAGTCTACTGGAGGTGAGCATCTGGCTGAGACGGAGAAGAACATTCTCTGCAATGACCTCGACAAGATTTGGGACCACCTCCACACTGTCAAGGGCGGTAGAATCGACTTTGTCCTCGACAATGCCGGCTTCGAGCTCTACTGTGACTGCGTCTACGCCGACTGGCTGATCCAGAGTGGAATTGCCAACGAGATTCACTTCCACGGCAAGCGCTTCGCCTGGTTCGTCTCCGACGTGACGCACAAGGATTGGTCTTGGCTATTGAACAGTATGATGTACGGTTCCCTCTTCCCCAATGCTTCGGATGCTGAGCTGGCCTCTCTGCGTGCCATGGCAAAGCGCTGGAAATCCTACGAGCAGACGGGTCAATGGGTGTACGAGCAACACCCCTTCTGGTGCACCGGCTACACCTTCTGGTCTCTCCCCTCTGAGGCTCCTGATCTCTTCCAACATCTAGCCGATTCCGACCTAGTCATCTTCAAGGGAGATCTCAACCATCGTAAGCTCACCTACGATTGTCAGGCACCTTCACAGACGCCCTTTGATGTGGCCATCGGACCTATGAGCAGTGAAGAGGGAGCACCTCCTGTTGTTTCTATCAGGACAATCAAGAGTGACGTGGTGGTGGGCGTGCCGGAAGAGGTGACCAAGAAGCTCGACAAGGACGAGGAAGGATGGCGTATTAGTGGACGGTACGCCTTCATTGGTCTTAGCGAGGGGACAAAGACGAAGTAAACTCGTGCGACTCAGGGAAGCAAGGCAGGCAGAGGGGGGTTTTCAGCTGGGCCAGGTGAGATGACCACTCTGTCTCTTCTGTCTCACGAAATCGTGCAATGCCATTCAGCTGGTCTTGCACAGGTGTGCGGTAAATACGATTTGCATTCTTCTCTTTGTCTCCTCGCTTGCTTGATACGACTGCTCTGCATGCATGCTCTGGCAATTGCTCGCCTCCAGTCTCTGACGAAATGATTCTGTAGGCGAACATTTGGGTTGGGTCGTCTTGTGTATTGCTCTGCTCTGCGCTCTGGTACAAGACCGAGGTGACAATGCCTTCTCGCTCCGAGGGGAACGATGGCCATGGCTATCGATCGTGCAAGTGACAAGGAGGTGCCAGATCCAATCCGCTGTCCCCTATGCTGGGCCCCCCTCCTCTTTTCTCCCTCTTCAATCCTCTCAGGTCTGCCTCGCCTCCTTCGTCCCCGGTGGTGCCCTATGCTCCACCACTACCTCCCTCGTCGGCGCAATCTTCAATCCGGTCCCCTCCTGCACCTTTTCCAATCCTCCCTTCCACCCGCCCTCTACCTTTCTAGCAGCCACATGAGCCTTATCATCCGCCTGTCTCCACAAGCTCTTAGCACTCTTGACCAGGGACTCCCGCTGTTCTTTTATGATTGGAGGGAGATGGGCGGATTCTACTTGTTGGTAGTAGAGGGAGAGGTTGTGAGAGGTTTTGGGGAGGAAGTAGTTGAGGGAGCCGAGGAGGAAGAGGGGTGGGGAGAGGAAACGGATGGGGAAGGAGCCTGGAAGGGACAAACCGCACGAGTGGATACGTCGAAGCAGCCGATGGGGAGGAAGAGAAGGGTCAGAATACCATGTACGAGCCGCAAGCACCCTCCTTGCTTCCTTCACCCTCCGCGCCCCAATCACTCACGATAGCGTCCAAATACACTCCCCGCAAGAGTGGCCACACCAACATAGATCAACCCCGGACTCAAAGGCTCATCATCCGGGATGATCTCCAACACTTTTCTCTCCACTCTCCTCTCTACTCCAATCCAACTGCTAACATTCTCATGTACTGATTTACGAAGAGATTCGGTAGAGGAGGCGAGGGCACGACGAGCTTCACCGACGTGTTGCTCTAGACGGGTTTGAGTCTCGATTACGCGAAGGGGTTCGGAGGGGGCGGAATAGATGGGGAGCTGTGAGAGAGAGGGCGAAGAGGTAGGGTGAGGAGGGCAGACGAGACGAGGGAGGTGGGTCAATTGCGGCTCGCTCAACGTGGTACATGCCTTGAACCAGGGAACAGAAGGGGCGAGAAGCCCGCAGTGATGTCCTCTCTCTCTAAGGTCTCACCTTTGTTCCCCCGCTCTCGTCCACAACGACTGTGCTAGGCGCCATCGAGCTCGAGGTAATCGTAGCGGAATCGGAAGATGCGAGCTCTGGTCTAGCTGTCTTGATATCGGTCCTGACTTTGTCTGTAAGCCGGCAAGGAGCAGCAGACTGAAGCGTGAGATACACTGAGGAGGTTCACGTCAACGAGGAGCGAGACTAGGCGAGCTCAGGGAGCGAGGAGGTAGTAGTGGAGCGAGGATCAGACGAAGGGAAGCCAGCCAATTAGTCGAGTCGGTACGGGAAGATCAGAGAGCGAGCACTCAGGCGCCCACACGCCCAGCGCAAGGCGTCCGCGCACACAGGCGCCTCGCCTCGCCTCGCCTCGTTCCGAAGTCCTCCGCCCTGCCATGCATGGCGATTAGTAGCCTTGGGAGCTGGCGATCGTCCTCTACGGAGCAGGGCCCTTCGCGTGTTGGGTTCGCTCGCACATACATATTCTGCATGGTAAACATATAGCATAGATGAGACTAGAACATGGATATACATGAGGATAAGAGGGGCAATCAAGGGACATAGTTGAATAGGGAAGGGGATGGGTGTAGGCACGAATGCTCTACTCAATCGAAGAGCGACTGATGATCACCAAGGTGACGCAAGAGATGGTGTGCTGGAGATCTCTGGCACTTTGGCGACGAAAAGAAATCGCTGCTCAGAGGCAGAAGAGGTCCTGACTCGGTGCCCTACTTGCGCTTAGCAAACCCAACCGCATCCTTGTCTCGATTGAAGGCGACGTAGCTGGAGAGGAAGATGGGGTCTCCGGTGATCTGTTGGCGTAAGATTGGGCAAGCAGGACGATACATCAGTCTCAGGCTGGCTCTACAATGGCGATGGCGTTGCCCACCATATCTCACTACTCACCCAGGCGTCTTGGCCAATCTCAGTGCCCACGATAGACATCACGCATCGACCATCCTCCGTCTTGCCGAATTGAGTAGCCTCGGGCGACAGGACGACAGTGGCCTTACCGAACTTGAGGGTGACCTTGGGAGACTTGTCGCACTCGTAGAAGCCCAGCGTCATCGATTCTTCCTGGTGAGTGATAACTTCCACTTCTTTCATCTTCTCGAAGAAGCTCGTCACCTGTCTGACAGGCTGCAAGCGAGGGAAAAGGTGGTCAGGGATGAAGCATCGAATGTCCAAGCCTGTGCCATGTAGCTGTCGTGACACTCACGCCAAGGATCATAGTAGTTCCAGAGTCAACGATACTGTTGAAATGCTGACCGTTGATGGTCCCTTCGAGCTGCCAAAACGTCTTCGTCTGGACGGGATGGTAGGTGATTGTGCCCGTGTACTTGGACTTGTCGTACCCACCGAGATCGAGGGTACCACCGGGGGAGCCGGCAGACAGAGCAAAGCCGAACTTGTTGGCAGGAAGCTTCTTCTGCTCCATGAGGAGATCAAATAGCGGTGGATTGTCCTTTCCAAAAGTATTGAGGGGTGGGTAGGCCAGCCCGACGATACCGTCTGCCGAGGTAACCACCTCATCGTCTGTTTCGATACCTACGGAGGCAGAGAGGGCCTCTGGTCAGCACTGGCGACTGTTTCGATATTTCGAGCGACAAGCAACTCACGACCAATGGAAACATTGCTAAGCTTCAATTTGCCAGACGAGAAGGTGTCCAGATAGATATACCCTTCGAAGGTGTCTTCATTAGAGGAGATGCCATAGCCATTGAAAAAGCGCTTGTGGGTGTTGATGGCAGTTGAGCTTGGAATATAGGCATCTGCGTCGAGAAGAATGTTGCCGGACCCCGTGTCGAAGTCTACTCTCTGGGACTTGCCGCCGATTTTGACGACTCCTGACCAATAACTACCCTCAGCCTGTCGTAAAATGAGATTGCAAGGTGAGCCGATCTGTTGCTGGTGCAATGTTGCTCGCCAAATGTGCATCTCTGACCTCTTTGGATGACTCACAATGTCCTTCAGCGGTATGACCGAAGTGGCAGCTCGCTTGGAAACACCTCGGTAGGCGTCGATGTTGGCTCTGTTCCTTGCGTACTTGTTCTGCAAAGAGCATGAAGACGCGAGGAGACGACGGCATCAGAAAGTAGCCGATGACTGTGCGACCAGGAGCGGGGCTTCTTCGAATCGACGCCACTTACCTTGATACTTCGAATGTGGCTGCCGACAGAGCCAAAGTCGATCGTCTCGGTGCCATTCATGTGATGAGGTCTGCCGGTAACTCGCTTCGTGACATTGATGGAGAGAGGTTCGGAGTGACCCGCCTCAAGGAAAGCGGCTATGACTGGATGAATGAGACCTCCCACAAAGGCAACGGAGAGAGGTAAGGTGAGGAGCATGATCAGAATTGCTGACCGGTTGTGGAGCGTAAGGGGGATATGAGTAGATTTGAGAAGGATAAGCTAGGTGTGAGGAGTGAGGGGTCTGACCGGTACGATGGTGGTAAGGAGGTTCGGTGGGGGAGGGGGGAAAGGGGAGGATACGAGAGCGATGGTCGGCAGGCATACCCTTATAGGTCAGTGGGAACATAGTCTAGCTAGCTATACCTCCTGCGACGCCAGGAGCAGCAGGAGCCTGCATGTCGCTTCAGACTGCTTCTGCTGATGGGTCGATCGACGGCTGTGTCATGGAACACCCAGAAATGGTGCCGCGAGGCCCACAGGTAGCGTGGCCTGCTGCAGCTGTCCTCGGACGACGGCCAATGCGATGAGCCGTGCCTTCATCGCACTGTTCAGGTCTTGATGTTGAGGGTAGCATATCGCAGGTCAAAGGAGCGGTCGAGTAAGAGGCGTCGTGTCACGCCTCGTGCAATGGACTTGCTCGATTACTGCTTGTGACGGGCATCTTCTATGATAGTGTACCATTGTTTACAGAGACGGCTCAGCTGGACGTTGTTGAAGATCAGCAGCGACACCTTGCACCTTTGAATCTGGCCATGTCGTCAGGTGAGCGTCGAGGATCTTGTGGGGTCACCCCGTCAAAGGTGGAGAAGCACAGGCGCAGAGGGAATGGCGTGGCTTGGCGGGGCGAGGCGCTGCGCGTTGGCTCGGGCGTCTGCCGGTCGAGGCCGTGGTGAGGAGCAGTGTTCTTCTCGTAGAGGGGGTGCGTGGCCCTGACATCTGTCCCACCTCGACAACCACCACTGCCACCTTCCCCCTTCCTCTACCCTTCTGCTACAGCTTCTCTCTCATTCTGCTGTCAGGTCTTCGCATTCTCAGGCTCGCAGCAGCAGCAATGTCTGAAGCCAAAGCTACCCCCGCTGCGTCGACCAAGAAGAACAAGAAGAACAAGAGCACTGCTGCTGGAGACGCTGCACTCACCAATGGCAAGCTCCAAGCTCCACCTGCCGCTACTCCAGCCCAGTCGCAGCGAGAGGAACTCCTAGCAGAGCGAGCTGAGAACAATGCTGCTGTAGCCGCCGTCGCTCTTCTGGCAGACAAGACGGATCAGCCCGCGACTCCCCTCACGGCGGCCGAGCGCATCTTGGCAAAGCGAAGCAAGGCACTCGGCAAGAAGCTACAGAGGATCGCACAGTATGAAGCTCAAGACTCAAAGACTCTCAACGAGGACCAAAAGGCAGTCATTGCCAGCAAGGACAGCGTCATGGCTGCCATGAAGGAGCTCAATGAAGTCGGCAAGGCCTGGAAGCAGGCAGAGCAGGAGAATGTCGCAGCCCAGCAGGCAGAGACTCAAAAGGCGGTAGAGCACGAGAAGAAGAGCGGAGAGGTATGTCTTTGCCTCTTGAGAGCTGCACCTTATCAGCAACAAGCAGTAGCTGACAGCCGCGGTTGCTGTTCCTCCATCTAACCACCTCCATCCCAGGCTACCGGCGATGCAGCTCTTACCCTTCTTCAGCAATTCCTACGCCTCTTCACTGTCCTCCACCTCCCTCAGATTCAGGTCTCTACCTTTGCTCCAACGATTTCTCCTGCCTTTACCGACTCTATCACTTCTCAGGAGGCGGCCGCTGTAGGCAAATTGTACCAGGACATCATCTCTCAGTCTCTCTATTCTGGCGCAGAGGTTGGACAAAGCAACGAAGGCAGCGTCAAGGAGCTGTTGTCGTCCATCGAGGGCGGAGAGGCCGACAAGGAGGCATTGGCCGGTGTGAGCTGTGAGTAGAAGCGTCAAGGGTATTACTGGTCTTGATGAAGACAGCCGCTGATTGCAGCCACCTCCCCTCCTCCACTTGACCGTATATCAGTCGCTCGAATCAAGGAGCTCCTCTCCCACGTCATCGCCCCTTCCACCTCCGACGTGCCCTCTGAGAAGGTCCCTACGGCTGCTCAGAGCGGCACCGACAAGGGCGATGAGGCGGTCAGTCACGAGAAGGCTTCTGCGGAAGAGGCCATCGACGTTGCTCCCGAGCTTGTGGAGCCACCTGCAGCTGCGTCACAAAGCAAAGCGGAAACCGCCCCGGCCGCTCCTCATGTCAATGGCAAGCAAAGCCCTCCCAAGGCCCCAGTAGCATCTGGCGAGATCTCCTTCTTGCAGTCGAGCGAAGTCAGTCGTGTCGCTAGCGCTGCACCCAGCCTGCATGGCGACTCGGAACAGCCGGCCGAAGAGAAGGTTGCGGTCCATTCAAGTGGGGATGATCAAACTGCTTCGACCGAAAAGGCATCAGAGAAGCCAGCTTCACCTGCCGTGCAAGTTTCAAAGTTCGATTGGTCGGCAGATGTAGAGGGCGGAGAGGACGACCTTGGTGACCCCATGCAGGCCTTCCCGGATCAAGATTCTCGCAGCGTGACCTTGAACTCCTCGCTCTCTTCAGAGGACAAGACGGAGGGGCTCTCCTCCAATGCTCGAATCGGCTACGACGCTGCTGCTGAGTCCGAGGCCAATGGCGGATTAGCCTTGCCCGCAAGGCGCACAAGCACTCCAGCAGCCAAAGTCTCGCAGTCCGCAAGTGAGGAGGCAAAAGCGCCAGCCGAGCCTGAAGCTACCGCCCCTCGTGAGCAGAAGGGAGGAAAGGCAAACGGCGCAGCCAAGTCTGGATCGCAGCAGCAGCGGCCTGCCGCTCCTGCTCCTGCTCCTAGCAAGAAGGCTCCCATTGTCGACGAGGATGGCTTTGTGCTCCAGACGAGCAAGAAGTCATTGCACCAACAGCAACAGCAACAGCAACAGCAGCAACAGCAGGCTTCCTTCCGAGGTCGAGGTAGGGGAAGGGGTGGACCTCGTGGTGGAGGTGGGGACAGAGGAGGACGAGGAGGAGCTGGTGGTGCTCGGGGTAGGGGAGAGTTCAGGGGTGGTGCAAGGGGCGGTCGAGGGGCAGCGAGCGCAGGTGGCCCTCCGGCGCCAACGTCGGCTGCGGGACAGTGAGTGCAAATCTCTGCAGATATGGCGATGTGGGTGAGAGGGAGACGGAAGGGTGAAATACAAAGGCAATTATCATCACATCATCATCGTCATGTTGAAGTCGCACATGAAAACGACAAGTCTGATAGATGGTATCTTCGATCGAATCTGGTACAAAGGACTGGTCCACGGTCTGAGAGGCTGCGCCTCGCCTTCCTCCCATTACGTGCTTCCCGGCTCTTTGAATCTCCTCAATGCCCTCTCCCTCGCCTCCTTATGAACCACAATCGGCTTCGGGTATCCCAACTTCTCAAATTCCCCTTTACTCAATCTCTCAAATGGATTATGTACCGCTGCTCCCTCCAATGATCTCAATTCGGGGACATAGTGCTTGATATACTCTCCCTTTGGGTCACACTTTTCCGATTGAGAAGTAGGGTTGAAGATTCGGAAATAAGGTTGTGGATCAACCCCGCACGAGGAGCTCCAGGCCCACCCGGCATTATTGCTTGCAAAGTCTTGATCGATGAGATTCTGATTGAACCAACGCTCTCCTTTTCTCCAATCGAGCATGAGGTGCTTACTCAGAAAGGAAGCTACGGTCATACGACCACGGTTGTGCATGTAACCCTGCTGGGATGCTTGGCGCATAGCGGCATCTACCAATGGGTAGCCAGTACGACCTTCAGTCCAGGCTTGGAAGAGGGAGTCATCGTACTCCCAACAGACTCGTTCGTATTTTTGAACGAAGAAGTGGTTCATGCAAACGCGGGGAAAGGCGGCTAGGACGTGCGCGTAGAAGTCACGGAAGCTGATCTGTGATGGTAAGCAAGGGAGCAGAGGAGTATCGTTAGCATCGGCGTCGATGTCCCTTCTAAGCGGGTGTCGACCACGGTCTGCTCACCTCTGTGTTCCACGTCTCGGTACCCGTCGATCGGCCCACCTTGAACTTGTTCTTATCCACCTCCATCGTTGCTCGCAAGCAAGCCCTGGGCGAGATGACACCCGCAGCCAGGTACGGCGACAACCTCGATGTGCCATTCTCCGAGCACAAGTTACGTCCAATGCCGTACCGATTCAGCCTCGAGTCTTTCGAATCAGGCGCAACCTGCTTGTGTCCCAATTCGGAAGCTCGGTCCTCAAATGCACTCTCCCCTCCTTTACCCCTCACAAAGTTCGACAGAACTTTTCGGGCAGAGTGAGATCCTGCAGGCCAGAGTTTACGCATGTACTCTGCATCCTTGCACTCGTAGCCCTCGACGTATTCTGGAATGCCAAAACCTTCGCCCTGTCGATCGAAAAGGTTACCTAGCTTTCCGGTGCGAATGCCCTTGTCGTTCGCTTCAGGCGAGGGCGACTCATCGATCAGATGCATATTCTTCTCGATATGGGCAGTCCATGCCCGGTTCCAAGGGCTGAAAACGGCATACTGGTGTCCAGTCTTGGTCTCTAGGTGGAAAGCAGGCACAACGTACGTATCCTCTAGGAAAGTGGCATACAGCCCCGCTTCTCCCGCCGCTTTGAGGATAGCCACATCCCGCCAGCACTCGTCAACTTCGTATTCGACATTGCCCACAATCTCCTTGACATCCCATTGCTTGGCGAAATCGATGAGTGTCTTTGGCATGTCTTTCCGCGAAGGAGAGGTGTACACCATCAGGGGGATATTGAGCTCGTCGAGCTGCTTCTTGATTTCTCGCAGGTTCCTAAGCACGAAGTCGATTCTCCTCGGTCCACGGTCATGCATCTTCCAGTCAGTTGGAGAGATGAAGAAGATGACAATCAAGTTGCCCGCTCCTTTCCCACCCGCCTTCTTCCTCTCTTGAGCTAGATGTGAAGCATGGGCGATACCTCGATTGTCCTCGATACGGAGGGACTTCATTCCCATGACATAGAGTACATTGCCTCCCTCTGAAGGTGGGCTTTTGCACTCTCCATGCTTCTTCATCTCAGAGCGAAGCAGCAGCACAGGCTCATTACCAGACTCGGGTAGTTTACCCGGCGTGGGGTTCCAGTCATTCTGATTCGCAGGGTTAGAGGTAGAGGTGGAGGAGGAAGGGTCACCAGCAATGGACTCGTTGGGCTTGGCACGCTTCGTGTCCCGCTTGACGGCTTCGTTGGTCGTGGGAGCAGTAGAGGCGGATCCGTCGTCCTTCTCTTGAGGCTGGGCTTGCTTCCTCTTGGGAGCCATGATGAAGAAGGTGCGGAAAGGAGGGGGTGGAAAGCGAGAGCCTACAACAGCGAATCGGGATTGAGCGTCGAGGGTACCCACAAGACGCCGAGTAACACGGAAGACGAGAGTGGAGACCAGCTTGCCAGCAATGGTGGTTCACCTGGTATGCCTGATCTTTACGGAAAGAGTATGTCCCCTTGCGTCGAGGAGATGTGAAGAGGCGTTCCTTTGGTGGGATATGGCGCTGCATGTGCCTTGTGCGGTGTGTAATCGTCTCTGCTTCCGCATCTCGGAGGATTCGTCGGCCCGCGGGTGTGGAGTGATTTCGCCCCGATGCTTTGGTCAGCCACGGAGATCTACGTCATTCCCTTCCCGCCAAGGCGCTCAGGGCAGCCCAAATTTCCTCCCCTCGGATCATGGGTACAAAGTCAAGAAGGATGCTCAGCTGCCTTTACTTACACTCCCTCCATCTTTAGCATCTATAGCCACCACTTTCACCTCCTCATCGTCGGCCCAAGATGTTCGTAGCAGCATTGGACCCCTACTACCTCGGCCTGACGGCCATCATCTCTGCCGGTATGCAGATTGCCGGCTTCGCAATTGCATTCACCCTCCAGACCGATGCCATTACCGACTTCTGGTCTGCCCTCACCACGATTATCATGCTCCTCATCACCCTCGACTTTGGCGCTGCATACACTGCTCGCAACATCCTAGCTACCATCTTTGGTCTGCTTTGGGCTGTAAGGCTTGGTGGATTCCAGCTGTTCAGGATGATCAAGATGGGTGGGGACACGAGATTCGATGAGATGAGGAGCAACCCGCTCAAATTTGCTCAATTCTGGGTCGGACAATTCCTCTGGACTTGGACTATCACCATGCCCATCAACGTCCTCAACTCACCTGCAGTGACCCGACCCTACGATGGGTACGGCGGCACCCTAGGCCCCAGCTTCGGGACTGCAAAGGACATTGTCGGTCTCATCTTCTTCGTCCTTGGCTTCCTCACAGAGGCCATGGCGGACATTACAAAGTACCGCTTCAAGAGTGTGAACAAGCCACCCAAGGGGGCCATCATCGATGTTGGACCTTGGAAATTCTCCCGCAGGCCCAACTACTTTGGTGAAATCCTTATCTGGCTAGGAATCTACCTTTTGTGCATCTCCCCTGCTAGCCAAGCCGACATTAGCTATCGCGGACACGCAGCTCTGCTAGGAACCGTCGTTTCTCCCCTCTTTACCTTTGCCCTCCTGATGTTCCTCTCAGGAGTACCACTGGCAGAGAAGCCCTCACAAAAGAAGTACTTTATCATGTCCCACGAGGGTACCTCTCTGGAGCCTTACAACAAGCAGAGAGAAGAGGACCCATGGAGGCGATACAAGGCCTTCCGCAACCGAACCCCGCTCCTCATCCCTATGCCTGCCTTCTTGTACAAGCCGCTGCCAAAGTTTGTCAAGACGTACATCTTGTTCGACTTGCCGCTGTACAACTTTGACGAGCACAAGGACGGACCTGCCGCTATTGACGAGTGGGAGAAGAAGCAGGGTAACGATGAGAGATCGTGAGCTACCCCTTCGAGTTTGGCCTCCTTGCCCTTTTCTTGTTTCTATTAGAGCCTCGCTTCTTGCGTTGCCCATCCTTACATTACCTTGTTCCAGAGCACTCATTGTATAACTATCATGCAATATTTAATCTTTCCCACGCACAACTGCATTAATTGTATGTCTGAGCCTTGCATCATCTTGTACAGAAAGGGTCAGGCACAGCTTGTGGTGAGCTCTTGTGGCCTACGAGTCCATCCTGGAAAGTCGAAGACGCGCGAAACGGGTGGTCAGCATTGCTTCACGCGTCACCTCGCGCTGTTCGCTTGCCCTTGAATACTCACTCCGAGCAGCACTCCCATGCTCCCTTGAGATTCTCCTTCCACAGCGTCACCTTGCCATCACCACAGCTGACTGCCAGCACGTTTCCGCTAACGCTCCAGCTTACCCTCCACACCGTCTCTGGGAACTTGCCTCCGCTCGCACCTCCCGCTCCCGAAGGGTTAAGGGCCGTCTTTGTCCAGGGCGAATTGAGACCGTCCTGTGTCCACACCAGCACGGTCCGATCTTGAGAGCAGGTGGCCAAGTAGGAGCGAGGCAGACCGATGTTGGGCGCAAAGGCCACGTCCCTGACCCAGTCGGTGTGGCCGTTGAGCTGCTCGATCTCTGACCACCGTCCGAGCTCGTTACTGTACTCCCACACCTTCACGGTATTGTCGCAACCTGCGCTCGCAAATCTCTTGACGCTCGATGAGCTCTGAGAGGTCTCCTTGCCAGGCCCACCTATTTGAGGAGTCTGAGCCGAGACGAGGGATCCGGGAACGGTAGCAGGAGCCCAGCTGACAGCGTTGCAGCCCATAGGGTGAGCGGCCACCATGTCCACACTCCAGCTGCCATCGTCATTGAAAGTCAATACGGAGACGTTGCCGTCAGAGGAAGCACACGCAAGGACGGAGCCAAGCTCATGAGGAGCCCAAGCAATCGAGTTCACTGCCAGCGTGCAGGAGCAAAGGAAGGTAAATCATCGTCAGTGGACGTTCTCGCTCCAAAACTTCTTTTTCTTCTGAGACTCACCTGAAGCGCTGTGCATCGCATGCTCCTTGATCTTCGTCCATCCTCCCGAAGAAGTCATGCTTCCGCCGTATGGCTGGCTATTATAACCGCCCTGTTGCTGCTGGGCAGCTCCTGCACTACCCGAGTCTTTCCAGATGAAGACTTTGCCATCGTAAGAAGATGATGCGAGAATGGGACCGAATTTTGGGTGAGCCCAAGCAATTTGCCAGACGGGACCTTCGTGTCTATGAAGAGGATAGGGGATGGGTTGTCAGAGCTGCATCCAGAGTAGGGAGTGTGCATGCTCCAGCGTGCTCACCCCTTGAGCGTGGTTCCCTGACCAGCAGCACTACCATCAACTACATCAAAGACTTTCACTGTCCTGTCCGACGAGCAAGTCGCCAGCCTCTTTCCGTAGTAGTCAAGCTGGGCATCGTGCTAAAAGAGAGTAGAGCACCACGAAATGTAAGAAGGATGTAGACCTATATCGATTGCTCCCTCTCCTCGGATGTCTGGAGCTTGATTACTCACGATCATGTCCTCGTGCAGTGTCTCAATAGGGCGAACATTATCGGTCGTTGCTCCTGCGGAGGTCGAGGGAGCCTGTGGGAATGTCAAGAGTGAGGATCAGCTGCTGCTGCAAGGACAAGGATCGGTATGATGAAGCTGGTCGTCTCACCATGTGAAAGGGTGGACGGCGCTACGGCGGCCACGAAGAAGCGAGAGGAAGAGTCTGGGGTGTCTGCGACGGTGTGACCGAGTGGCGAGCTCGATTCCCAAGTCTTTCTCGTCGTGAATTGGTGGGAAGGAGTAGTGGTATCGTGAATGTGCAGTCACGGAATGGACGACGTTGGCATGGCTCGCACTCGTGGAGCGTGTTGCTTCTGAGTTGGCGGGGCCACCGAGGCCAATGCGCGGCGGAACGGAAGCAAGGGACAAGAAGATCTGATGCAACCGGTACAGAGTGGCCCGGCAGCTCTCGGTCATGCCGTGATGGACGCAACGACACAGTGGAAGTTCAGCAGAGTCACTGGATAGATCTCATCTTGCTACGTAATAGTATATGTCTCTTTATTGTCAAGTCAGTCACCGTCGATCCACCGCAGGTACCCATGTCCTCGCACCTCCCTACGCGTCCAAGTCCGGGGGCGGCAGCGGCCCTGTCTTTCCTTTGTAGTCATCTGCCCTCTGCCTGCTCGACCGCGTATCCATCTCTTCTTCCTTTCCAGCATTCGGCAAGTATTCGACCGGTACATCTAGTCCCACCCGCCTCGCTGTAGCCTTAACCCTCTCCGCCTCGGTCTGGTCGTGCAGCGGATTATAGCGCACCAGGAGCTCCTGCATTGTGACAGAGTAATGGAAGGATGTGTCAAAGAGTGTTGCAAAAGAACGCTTTGGACCATCGCCGCCTCGAAGGAGTGACCGCATGGCATGTCGGACCATGAGGCAGCCTTGCCTGTGCCTCGGCAATCCTATCTCCACCTTCGCCGAGAGCATCGTAATGCTCGCCACCGCTACTCACCTTATGCACCCTATTGCTCCTCAAGAAGAGCTCCAAGTCCTTCATCTCCTTCAAGGACGCTCCTTCACCATCACTCGTCGTCGACGCCCGGAAGGACTGCCTGACGTAGGAGACGATGGGCTGTGAAGCAAAGGCGGGGGATCGAATTGCCTTGGGCGGGGTGGAAGGATTGGACCGTAGCTCCCGTAGGAGAGAGCGATACAGAATTCGCGGAGTGGAAGACGAAGATGAGGAGGCTGCTGATGCCATTGTGACAGAGGAGAGAGTGGGAAGTGATGCGGCGTGAGAGGTACAGAGAGGAGGTATGGATGGATGAGGTGAGGTGAGGACTGGAGGGGATCAATTTATTTCGCTCTCCGCCCGGAAGAGGGGTTGGTTGGTTGATGGTGTTGCTCCGACCACCTTGTCCAACCCTCGCATTACCTTCGTCTCTTACCATCGCAACGCTGCCTACCAGCTCCCTCTACCATAGCTCAATCCCTTCGCTTTCTACCAGCCTCCTCCTCCCTCGAACGTTGCCAGCATGGAGCAGATGAAGAAGAAGCTGGAGGGCAAGATCGTACGTAGGCACTTAGCTTGGGTCGCCATTGCTGTCGCAGACGCTGACACGCTGTCTCCTCGCTTGACCACCCTCGATGTGACCTTGAGCAGGACTTCCAAGGTCAACGTCTAGCAGACAGGATAGGCCAGGAAATGATAGTGATGGGAGCAGTGAGTCAGCTGAAAGACACTCGATATGTCGTTCGATACTGAATGAATGTTGCCTTCGTTGCTACGCCTCTTGCAGCTCCTCTCTCTTCTGCTAGGATTCGCCTTTGATTCCTTGTCGGTCACAATGTACCTCTATGGCGTCATTGTTCTCGTCGCATGTGCTGTGAGTCAAGACAGTGAGACGGCATACGAGAGGTGATAAGCGGGCGCTCAATCACATCCTGCTTCGACTACCCCGCTCCACAGCTCGTCATTCCCCCCTGGCCTTTCTACAATCAACACAAGACACAATGGCTGCCCAACAGACCTGAGAGCTCTCCAGATGAGGTCACTGATACCGATGCGACTGGCAGCGCTGCAGTGATAGATGAAGGGGCTGAGGGCTCGAAGAAGAAGAAGGCCTAATGGACGTGTACGAATACTGATACGAGTAGATGGTAATGCGATTGTCACGAACTGGTCACGAATCGGACAGGCTGTCATAGCGAAAGCGATGGTGCTCTGTAGCTTGGTCAGCGAGGTGAACGTTGCCTTCATGGTCCACTAACGCTCGACGTCGAGGAGCGCCTTGTAGAAGCAGGACACTTCTGCCTTCGCTTGAGAGCGTCTTGGCTGCCGAGATCATACCTGAATACCATCAGGCTGCACTGAGAAAATGGTTGTCTCAGAAGTAGGGCAAGGGCAATGCGCTAGGGACACAAACATACTACGATGCTACTCTGACTTCACGGGCGCTGGTGCGCGGCAAAGACTCGTCCCAGGTCTCGACGCCTATCGTTACATTGAAAGGTTTTGGCCCCCTCGCGGTATTTCAAAGCCTCCAAGGCAGCTTGCACGTCGTCCAGGGCTGGTATCTTTGCCTGGTGAGCATGAGTGAATGCTCCCCGAGTGGCATGCTCCACCTTGTGCCGAGGTTTCGGGGATATCGGCCGTTGCTCCTGCCGCTGGTCTGTGCGGAGGCGAATCACCGGCCATCGTGCGCCGGTACAGAGTTGAATGCCTGATAAATGCTGAGTCGTTTCCAAGCAACGTAGAAGACCCGTAGATACCACGTCCTGAAGCCTCGCAACTTGAATCATCATGTCTGCTTTCAGCAACGAAAAACACTTTGATGCCGTAGAGTATCTGGCGTGAGTATCGCCATTGGCGTAGCAGTGGCTCGCCCCCGGGCACAGACCCGCTCATCTCTCTTCTCGTCCTTTTTGCGCCTCCTTCCTGCTGCGCATACATGGCTACAGCAACCGGCCTCAGTATAGTCAAACTTTCATAGACCTGATCCGGACATGGCATGACAAGGGTACCGCAAAGTACGACGATGTCTTGGACATTGGTTGTGGGCCAGGTGAGCTGATGCAAGAGAACGAGGGGAGGACTGAGCACCTATCAGAGCTCGACTTGATCGGGACGCAAGTATCAATACTGACGGCGCATATTCGTGATTCGCTTTGCAGGGCAAACGGCTTATCGCCTAGCGGAGCTCTTCAAGAATACCGTCGGTGTCGATCCCTCACCCGTGATGCTCGCCGCCGCTCAAGACCCAGCAGTGCCAGCTCATCTAGGCGTCAGCGTGCCCACTGGACATCAACTCTCCTTCAAGCAAAGTAAGGGCGAGTCCACCGGTCTTCCCGACGGTAGCTTCGATTTGATCAATGCAGCGACGTCGGCTCACTGGCTGCCCTGGCAAAAGGATGCCAGTGGAGGAGCGATATGGAAAGAGATGGCACGACTGCTGAGGCCCGGAGGTAGCCTGGTCTTTGCGTAAGTAAGGAAAGGCGTCAGGGGAGCTGTCTGTCTCACCGGATCAACAGAAGCTCACGTATACTTTCTCGATCTACGAAATCGTCTACGTTTCTGCCAGGGGGTACGTCAGCGTGGTCCTTCCTGGGCATGGGCTCATCACCGACCGCATGGACGAATTCGTCAGAAGCCCCGAGGGTTTCGCCCTTGCAAGTGATCGGGTGAGTCCTTCAAGACTCAAGCGTCCTGTAGAGCCAAGACTGAAATGTTGCTCATTTACCTTTCCCCCTCACACAGAGCGATGAACTCAACCCACACATGATCGGCTACACCTTCTACAAGACGATGCCCCCTCCTCCCGAGCCTTACTTTGACGCTTCCCAGACGACCATGCTGCGTCTCTGCGTCCGTTTCAACGACAACTTCCATATTACCGCCAGCGATATACCACCCGTGCCGGACTGGGCGCGCTCCGCCGGCCTTTCAGCAGGGCCCGACACGGCAGTGGTGACAAAGAAGGGCTCGCTACGCAGTCTTGCCCTCTTCTTGCGGTCCACTTCGGCTTGGCCACGCTATGTGGACGAGCATCCCGAGGAGAAAGAGCTTGAGAAGACTTGTGAGGACCTGCCTTTCCGCTTATTGGAGAAGTGGAGGAGAGAAGAGGAGCAAAAGACAGGCAAGCTGCTGGACTTGGATGAGGAGGTCGAGGTGAGTGAAGGAAGGGGTTGGTAGAGTTGAGAGGGCCTAACGGCCATGTGTGCTGACCAGTCTGATTTGATGGTACGTATCGCACCGCTCAGTTCGTGTACCCGACTGCGATGCTCTTCGCTCGCAAGAGATAGGTGAGGCACAAGACAGGGCGCAAGAGGCGCTCGATGCACAAGCTGTGAGCGGAATTATGATGACATTGGGGGGAAAGGGTAATACCATCGATAGGTAGAGAGGTAGAGCGGGAGCAGATCGGAGGTGGAAAGGTCGCATGGCTGCAGCATAGATGTGCCAGGAATGTAGAGAAAAAAGAGCGTGCTAATGTTCATGGCTTGCTGAGCTTTCTGGACCTGCCAAATCTCCTAGCAATACCACAAGGTGAAATATACTCGAAAGATGCTTCTGACCCACAGAGTTCTCTTCCTCCATCCGTACGTCCGAGAAAAGACGTACATTGAAGCAACCTTTTCCTAAGCCTCGTAGCCAGAAAGTCGGCCGTCCTCGAGCTCACTCCCGATCGCTCTCTGGCTCAGCATTGACCACTCGAAGGTTGCCAAAGTTGTCCGGTAAGGCGAGCTTAGGGGCCGATTCTTCCCTCGCATGTCCGCTCGCCGTCGACGCATCTACAGCCACAGCTCCTACCTCCTTTCTCTGCAGATCTTCCCCCTCTTCGGACATGGGCGAGTGCACATAGGTATTGCTAGTCGCATGCGAGGCTCCTGTCCGATAGCTCTGGTTCCGACTAGGCTGGGAGAATGACTGTCCCTCTCCCGTCGTGTGGCTCTGCGCTCGCACCAGGGTAGTCCCTCCAATGGAACGAGCAGCGCTCAGGGCTGGAGAGACGGCTTGTGGTGGATAAGGCTCCGGGAGACCGGTAGTGCCCCAGTACTCTGCGTAGGCACTCTCGGGTGCAGTGGTCATCAGGGGCGCATGCACACCACCACCATGGTCAGAGCGCTGAGGACTTGCCTGCTGGGAAGGTCCGGGGTGTGGAGCGTACAAGACTTGACCCATGCTGCCGAGAGAACCATCTTCGTAGTGTGTCAGAGGGCCAAGTGGCTGGTGCGGCTGCAGAGTGTTGTGGTACCACTGCGCATGTTCCGCGTCGTACCCTCCGTCCAGATTTGCATAGGGATACTGCTGTCCGGCCTGACTGCCGCCGTAGTGGCTACCAAATTCGCCGGGAGCCGAGCCGAGCATTGAAGAAGCGCCGGCACCTGTGTGGACCTGACTCATTTCGTATGCTTGCATAGGCGGATCGCCTGTGAGTCGTCCAATGCCTGCAAGCCCGGGGCCGCCTTCGTCTGCCTTGTCATTCTCGTATGCAACACTGGCAGTACCCCTTGCCCCTCCCAGACCTGCAGTGGTACGATGTCGACTGAGCACAGCGTCCGCAGAGGAGATGGGCTCGTCGTCCTTGTGATCATTGTTGTGGTCGAAGTCGATCCATCTTAGGTCACGCTTCTTCTTTTGCAGCATCCGGAAGATAGAAGAGATGATGAAGCCCACGATGAGCATTCCAGCGAGACCGCCGGCGACGATGCCAATGATTTCGCCTAATTGATCGGAGCATTGCAATCGGCCTTCGTTAGTGATGAGGATTGTCTCGTACCAGTTCGATGCGGTCATACTCACCAACGTTCACTTCCGTCGAAGTGTTGTGGCCGCTGCCTGAGGATCCAAGTGTCGCAGTTGTACCCGTCGTACTGGTGGTGCCATTGGTGACCGGCGTCGAAGTCACAGCGGGCGTGGTTTGAGTCGGTGCAGTATCTGTAGTAGTGGTGTTTGTAGTCATAGGGAGAGGGGTAGAGGTAGGAGTATTTGTAGAGACTGTGGTGTTGGTTGTAGGAAGAGGAGTGGAGATCGTCTGATTGCTCGTGGCTGTCCCGTTCGTGGTAGTCGTTGTGTTGGTCGTATTGGTGCTGTTGCTCGTAGGAGAGGGGAGAAGGGTGGAGTTGCCAATGACGAGAGGGTCAGTATCCTGCGAGGTGTCGTTGGCAATCGATGTGGTGGGTGTCGCGAGCGATGTATCATTGGTAGTGCTGGTGCCTGTAGCCTTCGGGGCACTAGCACTGGTCGTTGCATTGGTATCTTTGCTGGTCGTCTGATTCGTCGAAGTGTCCCCGTCTGCATCTCCGAAGAAAACCAGACGCCTTAGATGCTTGTGGTGCATGACTGCAGACTATGCTCTATCTGAATCCCAGATACGATAGTAAGGTGGGATACCACAGTAGAGAAGCAAAGAAGCACGAACCTGCGTCGCTCACATGAATGAGTCTGACAAGGCCGACACACAGCCCGGGAAAGGGGTCCATTACCGCCTCTACTTCCGACGCCGCACATAGAGTGGAGCGTAGGGACGAAGAGCTGAAAGGGGGCGCAGGGATCTCTTTCCCAACCTCTGCCAAGCAACCGACTGCAATCTCGTGCCAGAGGTCCGAGCAGCGAGACGCGCTCCTGGCGGAGCCCCTGTCGCCAGCCTTCCTGACGCGATTGCCCCTGACGATTTCATCTTGCACATGAACGGTGATTGTGCCCCGCAACATCTTCCCGAATGGACCTGCGACACTTTCTGCTGATCTGACTACTCACCTTGTATCTTTGCCAGTCTTCGTTTTACCTCCCTGGTTATTCCCTCCATTCTTGGAAGAGACTGTTGGACCAGTGGTCCCATCGGTAGGTGTGTCGGTACTGCCACCAGTGGGATCACCGTTGCCATTATCACTCGTAGAGCCATTGTGGACAACACCTTGCCCCGTGCTGCCTTGATCAGAGCCCTGCCCATTGCCTCCCTTGGACCCTTGGGTAGACCCCTGACCACCTCTCTGATCACCTCCCCTTCCTCCATCGTCCACAGGCGTAGTGGGATCAGTGGGGACCAAAGGATCCTGACCGGGCGTGACAGGTGTGGGATCGGTAGAGGGATCAGGTCCAGCTACAATGACGGGCTTGTCAGCTGCTGCACCAGTATTTCCGTCGCCTGTGGTGGTATCCTTGCCCCTTCCATTACCCTGACCTTTTCCTTGATCTGCATTGACAGTCGAAGGGTCGGTAGGCTGGGTAGGATCGACATCACTGCTCCCATCGGCAGTCTGACCGCCGGCATTGGGGTTCCTAGAAGGCTCATTCACTGATTGACTTGGACCGACGAGACGCCGATGAGGGGGACGAGGACGCTTCACCATAGTGTACATGGCTCCTCCTCACAGACGTGGGCCGAGAGCGGCAGAGGTACTGGGTCAAGATGTCTGCAATGGTGAAAGTGAGAGCTAGTAGCAAGAGAGGAGGAGAAGGCGGCGACGGCGACGGGTGGCACAAGGGAGTAGCAAAGTGCGTTGAACGAATGTCAAGATACGGCTGTGGGGGATGATGGTTGAGCAGCAGGAGCAGCGCCATGCGTACGTAGGTCAGACAGTCACGTTTCGGGTTTCATGCTGGCCAATATCGTTCCTGAGCGGACCTTTTCTCCCTTTTGTGAATCTGGTCCTCGCCCTCTCGCCCCTCATTGATGAGTACCCTGTATGCCCTGTATGCAGCCCTGAACGGCACAAAAGGGGGTGAGCGCGGCGCGAGTGGGAGTGAGAGCAAAGGCAACGATGGACGCATGCAGGGGAATCGGCCCAACAGTCACGCCCACTACGTTTGCTGTCGCTAGGAACTGCGACGACAAAGACGATCACGCGCGGGCGGACAGCGCAGCCCTGGCTCTGCCATATCGATCACACACACACCACTCTGGCCGTGGCAGCAATCGCGCATAGTTACAAGCTTGACTGTTGTGTGTAGAGAGACAACGTTGGGGATCGGTAGACAGGCGTGGCGGCGTGAGGTGACAATGATGGGAGATGTATGTATGTATGACCAGGACACGGACGTGGGGTGGGGATCAGAAAGCGCAATGCTAGTAAAGACAGATTGCCGTTGTGTTGCACGACGACAAGTCCATCTCGAGGAATAAAGGATCCTGCAACAAGACAAGGGCTTCAAATGCCCTTGTCTCATCGCACCGCACATTCAGAAAAACGAAAGAGTGAAGCAACTTCTATAGCAGCCGCGTGTGCCAGGAGGGATGGCTCTCCCTTTACTTCGTCGCCTTCCTCACCTCCTCTCTTGCATAATTGGCCAGCTTTCTTGTGCTCTGAGCCATCGTCCTGCTTCGTCCAGCTTTGATCAGCTCCGTGATGGCAGGTTGCGACAGGGCAGCTTTGAGCTCTCCGTTGGGGAAGGTGCCTGCCAGATCACCGATGAGGCCGAGGCATGCCTTGAGCAGTGTCTCACCCCTCTCGACCTGATACGAGGCAATGAAAGTGAGGAAGCTGAAGACGAGCTCGATGTAGGGCTGGATGAGGTCCACCCGATTGACAGTCTTGAAGCCAGTGATGACACCCACAAAGGCCTCTGCAACGGCTTCTCTGAGGGTGTTCACATAGTCGACCATTGCGTAGCCTTCGTCTGGCAAGACGGTAGATCCGGCCTGCTGTAGCACGGCCATCGTAGTGGCAAGGTAAGGCTCGAAAGCTGCTCCAGTCGCCAATGCCATGTCACCAAAGCATCGCAGGATGGTCGGCTTCACGTCTCGGTGGATCACAGAGCTCTGCAGGCCCTCGAACAAAGAGGTCATAATCTGTTGCGAGTACTTGGCCATGCCTGACTCAATGCCGTGGCAGAGGTCGCCCACTACTCCCACGGCCACGTTGCAAAGCTGAGTCGCTTCGTGGTTGTTGACGGCTCCCACGAGGAAAGGCAAAAAGGCCTCCACGTACTTCTCGAACTCTGTGCCGAACGCCTGAACCACAGAGCCAACAGCCAGGAAGGCGTCTTCGAGCACAGCAGGGATCTTGGTACCGTGCTGAATCAATGTCAACAAGCTGGTCATGATTCGGTCGCCTAGCGGAACAAGCTCCCGTCCCAGACGACGCAGAGCAGCACTGATGACACCCGAGATCGAGGCCTGCATCTCGACCCAATTGTTGCGATCATCGAGACCGATGAGCTGATCAGTCATGCCATTCAAGCTCTCTTGACGCTCCAGAAGCTGCAGAATGACGGTGCTGACGTGAGGAATGCAATCGCGAGGGGCAGTGTCGACTGTTGTGCTGATAGCCTCGAATGCCGCACTTCTCGAATTGCTCTCGTTTGTCGGCCGCGATGCGATCTGGAGAAGTGAGTTGATAATGAGCTCGAAGTATGGCGAGATGGTAGCAGTGGCTGAGAACCCGTCACCGCCCTTGGAAGCGTCCATATCTGACTGGGAGTCTGGCTCAGCACCAAACTCGCTGACCAAACGAGTGAGTGCCCAAGAGCAGTTGCAGGAAATACGAGGCTCGTCCTGAAGACTGGCAACGAGGGCGTTGATGAGGTTGGGTAGCTGTGTCTCTGGCTGGATGGTCTGCGAAAGCAAGTCGGTAATGCGTCCTAGCGTCCAGGCTGCACTGTCCTTGACGGCTACGCTGCTGTCTCGCAACATCTCGATGACCCTGGGCAATGCCTGCTCTACCAAAGGTGTCAGTTTTGTGGGGTCCGGGCCATCCAGGATAGATCCAAAGCAGAGGATGGCGGCGTCTCGCGCTTGCCACTCAGCGCTGCTGATGTTTTGCTCAATGAAAGGAATGGCCAGAGGCACGATGTCATCCTGGGCACAGTTGGCTAGCAGACCGATACATGTTCCTGCTGCTTTCGATACGTTCCAGTCATCCTCATCATCGTCTTCGTCTTGCAGCTTCAGAAGGTCCATGATGACAGGGGTGATCTCCGATAGAGCGATACGTGCAAAGTTGTAGCAAGTCCTGTACGGCTCCTCGCCATACTCTGCAGCCTCTGCGGCCTCCTCGGCCAACTCAATCTCTTCTTCGCAGACGGTAGACCAGAATTCTACAGCTTGCAGAGCAACCTTTTGCTCAGAGTCCCGCATACCCAGTACAGTAAGACCAAATAGAGCTTGCTCCATGTAATACCGCATCTGATGGTAGTAAAGCTGCATGATCTTGACCAGGCACTCGTATGAGGCCACCTTGACATTCACATCGGGGGATTGCGTAGCCTCGCAAACGACCTGCATAATGTAGTTTCTCTCGCCTTCCCTCTCAAAGTTGTCGTTGATGAATTCTAGAGAGTTGAGAAGAGCCTGAATAGCAGCGAATTGAACAGCAGTCGAAGGTTCATCCTTGCGAGCACCATGAACGACGGCGGTGAGAATCTCATTCGATTGAGCCGAAAGAGCAGTGGAAGTCTGTTAACAGAATCCAGGAGAATGATTGTCAGCTACCTGCAGAAGCGATTCTTGCGGTGGTGCTCCACCAGAAGACAGCTCTGAACTTACCACTTGCTCGCATACAAAGCCGATAGCCTGCAGAGCCGACTGCCTGAGCCTCTCGTTCGACTGATCCCTGATAGCAGTGAGGAGCTGAGCGATAAGCTCCGACCATTGGCCGGCTGGCACCTCAATGGCTGCGATGGCGGCAATGACCTGGGCGGCATTCCTGCCCACAGATTCGTTGGGTGTAGCAAGCGTGGAGAGAGCCTTGCCCTTCGTCTCGCTTCTGCCCTCTTGTGGCAGCGCAAGCCACCTCTGGGTGTACTCCTCTTGACGAGGAGCCTCCCTGGCCGTCAAGGAATTCTTGATGGCTAGGGCTGCTGCTGTCCTGAGAGCAATATCAACGCCATCGTTGGACATCTCAGTCGCCAGCATGCTGATGTATGCAGGCTATTTGAGGGGTTGGGATGTGGTACAGTGGAGGAGGGACAAGCGGTGTTCAGCATCCTTGAGGTCTTCGCAGCTCGCCATGCCGTCGTGTAATACTAACGAAATTGTCTCGGGATGCATCTTCGAGCTGCTTTTCCGCCGCAGCTCGAATCGAGGCATCTGAGAGGCCACGATGATACAAGGGAGGTGTGAGAGGCAGTCAGCGATCGGCGAAGAGTAAGCTGCGATAGTCTCGCTTGGATACCTACCCGGCGAGAGAGTATTGGCGAGCACCTCTGCTGCGTTCATGGCCGAAGGACAAATGGGTGTGCAGGAAAAAGAAGGGCTATACCCGTGGGCAAAGGTGGCGCTTGTGATGGGAGGGAAAGAGGCAAGCAAGCTACCCGTCTGTTGCCTGGTCTGCTGTGCGTCGAAATTTCTAGGGACGGGTAAAACGAAAGGGTGGAGCAGGCCGTGAGGTGGTGCGAGCCAGAAATGATTGTAGCTGGAGCCGACGGTGTGTGGTGAGGGCTGACACCTGACAAAGGAAGGCGGAAGGTGGTAGTAGGTATTCTAGGTGCGAGGAGAGGAGGTGATGGTGTGTATCTTGAGTGTCAGTCTGTCGTGGGTTTTCCCCTTGGCTGCCTGTGAGAAGTAACAGAGAGTGACCTCACTCGGTCATCCAACAGCGCGCGCGGTGTGTTGATCTGCACGCCGGGCGGAAAGGAAGCAAAGGAAGCAGCAGCCCACGCCGCCCGTTCCACTCGGCCGAGGCAGACGTCAGCCTGGTCCACTCCAGCTTAGCACTACCACGGCGCACAGCGGCTGCAATATCGCTCACCATGGCAGGACCAAATCTGGAAGTCTTCAAGTTTGGGCTGTGAGTCATAGGCGCATACCTACGTAGACTCCAAGGGTGATGCTGATATTGTCTTGTCTTGACACCGTCCGCGAACAGCTACCTCTTCTTCCCACTAGCAGTGATGATCCATTACGGCGACCCAGACTGGTACAAGAAGAACGTCCTGCCCCTGCGAGATGAATTCTGGCCAAAAGAATCAACACTGTTCGTGAGTATGGCATGATAGCAGTAGCGTCCCCATTATGTAGACATCACAGCTCACAGAGCTAATGCCTTCCGGCCCGGATCCCGCACTTTCCGTCCAGAAACCTCCACGCAATCCGGAAGACTTGCGAGCGACTCGGGAAGGCATGAGGGCAGAGAGGCTAGCCAGAAGAGAGGAGCGACTCAACGAGAATCGAGGGGCTATCGAGGCTGCTGCTGGCAAGGTCGGCTCGAGCAGGAAGAGCTTGACCACCGCAGACGCTCCCGCTGCTTCGCCTCCGTCCGGGCCGATCGTGTCAGACGCCCAGAGGCTCTCTGATTGGGCAAGAGTGGACAGGGAACGAAGGGTATGAAAGCAAAGCAGCAGGAAGAGTAGGAGCTACACACACCAGGTACATAGTACAGTGCACTACCACAGGACGACAGGGTTTGTATTATTTAGTCAGCTTCTGTAGGGGACGGTCATCTGTAATATTTACACGTTCGCAGCGCATATGCGCAGGATCACGATATTGTGGCTTCTACCCGTCAAGTACTTCGATGCTGACCCAGTTGCGGTAGGTCTCGCCTACCCTGAGCAGGGTGTCCTCTCCACAGCCAATGAAGTCTTGCAGGCCCTCGTGCAAGAAGGTGGCATGAGGATGGCCAAACTCAATGAAGGCAGCGCTTCTGAAAGCGTTGCCTCCCTCGTCACTTCGTGCAGATGGATTCAAAGCTGTGCGGTGGATTAGCTTCCTGGTGCCTCCAGAAGCCTTTGGGTCGGCTGGAGCGGTAGGCTGACCGTTGGCAGTGTAGAGCTGGAAACCACTCTGATTCGTGCGGAAGGCAAGAGTGAGCTTGCTAGATTCCGAGCGCAGGAGAGCCTGAGGAGTCTGAGACATCTCTTCCTCTCTTGAGAAAGAAGAAGGAATCAAGGGCCAGGTATAGAAGTTATCGTAGCCAGCTTCGGGAATGCCGTCGGCGATGGCCTTTCCGAGACCGTCCTTTCCGGCGTCTGTCCAGTCGTGGCCAGCAGACCTGCTGTCTTCGAAAGGCAAGAGCTTGCCAGTGGGCAGTCCATTGCTCTGCAGCTCCATGACTGCGACCTCCTTGCGAGACTTCATGATGCGCAGCTGATGAGCATCAATTTGACCGTTCTCGGCCTTCTGCACGGCAGATGACGGATCTGAGGCAGAGAGGTTGAAGCCCCAATGCTGGGTGATATTCAGCGGGGTGAGCTGATTCAAGCTAGGGTCTCCTTCGTGGAATCGAGCTCGGTACTCTACTCCAAATATGCCAACTGACTCGCTTCGAGGTATGAGATCGATGAAAGTTGCTACAGAGGGCGAAGAGCTCGACAGTGTAAAGAGAGCCTCAACGCGGACCCCTCGCGGCGCTTGTCCAGCCCCAACAGTAGTTTCCTCGTAATCGATTCGGAACAGTCTGAAGGCCACGCCCGCAGTAGAGAGGGAAGAGAGCTCGAGTTGGGAGAAGAGGGACCCCCCAATCTGGTCTTTCGCGGCGACCGGCTCCCAGATCATTCTGTCGAAAGGGCCCGACTGGAGCTGGCTACTCCTCGACTCGGGCATCTCTGGACCTCCATGGAGGCACACGCCCGGCCCCGACCACTCAGGCGAGTTGACTTCGTTATCTACAAGGCCTGCTTTGCGTTCTCCTCGCTGCTCTGAGTAGGAGAAGCGAGTCACGCCTGCAGGCAGACGGTTGGCATAAGGCCCAACGACGGGCCCAAAGAAATTGCGTCCACCATCGCAATGGTCGGTCTCCTTCTCCGGTCCAACGATCAGGTCATACACCTCCACAGACTCTTCAGACTCGGGAGCATCTTGCAATAGATCTCGAGGGCGCCGATTCAGGAGTAAGCGATGGACTGTGAGACCGTACGGTAGGATATGGGCTTGAAGGTCTGGCACAGCAGGGTGCTCGAGGATGATGGGCTGGAATGGATCCACGTTGGAAGATTGCCGAGGTGCTGAGGAGCTCATATTGGCAAAGTCAAAGAGAGAGAGCTGATCTGACAGTACCGCTTTCGGTAAGACGATTACAGGAGGGAGGAGACGGTGGCAAGATGTCTGATGATACGAAGGACCTAGACGGGTGTCAAGGGAGAGGGAACATTGCCGGGCGTCTCCACAGCCAGCGGAGGGCAGCCGAGACGGAAAGAGACGTGGAGGGTCGACTGGGAGAATGACCGCCGGGAATGTGCTCCTCTACCTACGCAGTTGATTATACACTCTAAGACATCGCACACATGTACGTGCAAGAACACACTCACTCACTCACACTGCCAGAGATGCTCTCTGTCTCTCACTCTGACATATGCAATCGCTCACACAAGGACGCTCACCGAGAGCTTCCAGCTTGCCATCCACCTTGCCTCGCCTCGATCACGGCCCATCATGGCGCCAAGACCAGGCAGCACATTCACCGTACACGCCTCGAATCATGATCGTTTGTTTCCCGATGAGACATGGCTCTCTGGCGATCCTGGAACTACGGCAAGTCGGATGAGCGACTGCAGAGATGACCAAGCTTTTGGGTACTATATTCACGTTGAGAAGAGCCGTCCCAAAGACGAACCGCTTACTACATACACCTATTCCCGAGCCGGGGCTAGAGCTCTCTTCAACGACCTTGCTATCACGTCATCAGGTATAGAAGAGCACTCGGACACAACGAGTATCTCGGCGAACTCCTCCCGCCTCTTGACTGAGCTGCTCGACATTATAGATGCATACCTAGCGAACGATCCTGGACGAGCATTACTTGCTCAAAGGAAATTGCTTGCACCCAAGCTCGAAAACCACATCTTAGTGGATCAAGGAATGGAAGAGGTGCCCTTCAACTGGTCGTACGAGCGCAAGACTCTACACCTCACTGAGGTACTGATTGAGCTTGGCCAAGCGGCCTGTCGCTGGAGGGGTGCCGAATTAGAGAAGACTGGGTCAGAATTCAAGACCCCTCTGCCATGCTCGCCATCTAGCAAGATCCTGATTGTTTCGAGGCCCCGCGCAAAGGATCTCAGACTCGCCGCCTCTCGTGCCATAGTTGAAGCTGCGGAGCTGGCGGATGCTGACTATTACGTCACGCTAGGATCCGAGATTGTCGCCACAATTGAGAGCAAACCTCATTGCAGCGCTCAAGATACGGGTAAATTGGTGCGCACGCGCAACGATCCCTTTGGACAAAGAGAAGGACAAGGGATATTCACCGGCCCTGAGACACTGAAGCTGCTATTTCAATTGTGCTCTCAGCCTGTGGCGGCGGCCTGTCAGTCTGGTTTGCTGGTCGGTGATTGGGGTCGCCTCATGTTGCCTTACGAGGTGCGCAGAAGCAACACCGATCCCGGTCAAGCACGGCTAGTATTCGCCTCGGTAGGATCGTACTGCGACGTCCTTGACGGTGAGCAGGCCTCCACTGCAGCCAGCGAACAGAGCAGAGCTGGTCTTGCTGGTCAAGACTCTCCGAGCTTCCGCTTTGATCACTTGCCCAATACAGTGTTCTTCCTGCTTGGGTGGATTCTGCAGGTCGTTCACGGCCTGCAAGAGAGCCCATCGCACGTGCAAGAGGGCGAAGCAGAGGCGAAGCCAGCGGCTACAGAATCCGACGACAACGACCGCGAAGATCCCGGGCCGCCTGCAAAACGGCCTCGCCAGGACCCAAAGGGCGCAACGGCATTCAGGAGCTCTGCGATGGCCTCAACGTCCAGCGAAGGCGCCAGAGACAACCTCGACAGCCCTACCAATCCTCTACCGCTCATCACGGATTACGTGTGCAGCTCTGGTCCCATCTTTGGCGGCACGTTCGCCGCCCTTCATTGGTGTGTGGTCCAACGCAGTCATCTCGCCGGACGCACTCCATCGGGAGAGCGCAAAGGTCGGCCTGCTCTTGGCCTTCTTCCACGTCTGGGCCCTGGCGATTGCCACACCATCTTGAAGGTGCAGAGGATACCATCCATGCCAGACCCGGACGCCTCTCTGCCGGAGGCTAGATTCGAAGGGCCAGATGAGCCAACTCCGAGCGACGAAGATCGTCAGGGCATACGGGAGCGAACTGCGCAAGAGATTTCCATTTTCGAGCATTGCAAGGATCTTCAGGGCGTCACTATACCGCGTCTGTATGGCCTTGTCGCTCCAGAGGACTACCCTCAGTCGAGTGCACACAAGCTTATGTTGCAGGACCTAAGCGCCCATACGATTGCGAGCGTGGAGCGACTGTGGAGGCATCTATGGGGCGACGATCTTGTACGCGCTGTTCGAACAGCCTATACCCAACTTCATGCTCGCCGAGTCTGTCACGTCGACGTCAGCAACTCCAACATCCTCGTCGAGTGGAGGAAGATCGCCTCAATTGACTCCATATTCACCTCTTCTTCGGTCCCGGAGACGCTAGAGAGCTGGACGCTGCGCGACCTGGTAGAAGATGTTCAAAAGCAGATGCAGCTCGATGACAAGGCCTTCCTCGCCCTAGCGCGCAGCTTAGGAGAGCGCGGTGTCATCGACTCGGAAGGCGACTCCGGACTTACGTTGGAGGCACCGGCATCTCAATCTCCTCTTGACCACCTCAGGACTGCTGTCAAGCCTCACGTCTGGCTTGTAGACTTTGCTGATTCTGTGATTGTTGGGGATGGTAAAGTCGGAGACTCACTTCTTGCCTCGGAAGATCTCAAAGTCGAGCAGACTTTGGAGCGGTGGAGGAAGTAGCTCTTCTAACTCGGCATCAAACGGGCGGCGGCGGGATCTGGGCAACGGCAGAGGGCATCTTTGGAGGGTGATGGGGTATGTTCCTGATGGAGGATGTCTCTCAGGCCATGGTAAACACCAGTGCGGCCACGACGATTGCAATGTGCGAAATGATGACTTTGCCGACGGGTCTTGTACAGGCATGCACGGCTCAAATGGGTAGTAACGATCCCAATCCCCTTGCGGCCATACTGCCACCATACCTCAGCGTCGTCACACCACCGGGGAAATAGGCAGCCAGATAGGTCACGAGCGCTACGACCTGAACTGCCCCCGAAATCAGTGTCGGTAGAGTTGTCCGCGGTCCCAGCGCAAAGTACAGAGTCAGTGCAAGGGATGACAAGTAGCTATTAGGGGTGCGGAGAAGGAGCGTGTGTTTCAGTATACATTTTCGTCTTATGTAGGGAGAAGTCATTCTACTCACGCTATTGTGAAAGGTAGTCGAGGAGCTGAGAACATATGTTTGAGATGTGCGATAGGACCGGAGAGTATCGAGAATCTGGGTGTACGTGAGGGGCAGGGCGGGCGGGGCAGATGTCAGCCAATGGGCAATGTTGCGGCAATGTAAGGCGATCAAGGCAGGCGCAATGGCTCAAGCATTTCTAGCGTCTACACAGCTCCCTCACTCGTGCTGCAGTAGAGCGATCTCAGGCATACGCGGCCAGCACCTAACACTGACGCCATTCCCCCTGGTCTGAATCACCATCGATATTGCCCATCTCCAGCGGCCTTTGCAACTGATATCTGTCGCATGCACTCAGTACTCACCCAACCATGAACAGCATGCTCCCCATCGAGAAAGCCAATGCAAACTTCCTCAGCCGAGGAATTGGGCTCAGCAGGAACAGGAAACTGAACAAGAAGCACACGCCAGAGCCCGCCAGACAGGCCAAGAAACCCAGGAACCTCTCCCACCGTGAAAGGGAGAGATAAGCTTCTTCTTCATTGGACCGATTGTTAGAGCGGAGCGGAACGTAGGAGGAGAGAGAGGAGAAGTAGGAGGAGGTTCCGGCGGCAGGGGCGGCTGAAGCTGCTGGTAGCGAGTCGTCTGTGACTCCCTGGGCCCATCTGAAGCCGGCGAGCTGCGAGCGAAAGGAAGACTCGGCGTTTGCGGCCATCTTGGTATCACCTCTGTGGTCCGTTGCTGTGGCTCTGGAATGCCAGGCGGGGTAGGGGAAGTAGCACTAGTCGGGATGGATGCACGAGTGCTAGTAGTGGTCAGTGGAGTGAGCCATCCCGGAAGGCCATGTCCTCCGCTCCGTGCGGACAGGCCAGGCGCTGCGCGGGGCCGTGAGAACAACACGACGCTGGAGGTGAGCCCTGTGTGCCTCTTTCCGATGGAGGTCCCTCGCTCCTCCATCTTCCGCATCGATATCGCTCAACCTGATCAGCTCGTCATGGTGAGGACTCGGCTCCGCTGATGCCATTGTGCGGCAGGGTCTTTGTCACTGACCGACTAGATTGACATCCATGCGAATTTCACAGGCACTTTCAGATCGAATCGTGGGCGGGGGGATGCTCTTTGTAGCAGCCTTCGTCTTCTCCTACTACACGCTATGGGCCTTCCTCACCGTGAGTGGTACCTCACCATCCTCAGCCACATTATTTCAGGACTCATCGTTCATACTTCACACTCGATCCCCTCGCCCAACAGCCTTTCCTCGCGACCGATTCCTCCCTCCACTCCTTCTTCCCCTCACGAGTATGGGCTGTCCGTCTGCCCGCACTAGTCCTGGTGCTCGGCCTAGGTCTCGTAGGCGCCTTTGTTGGCAAAGTGATGATGGCAGAGGAGAAAAAGAAGAGGGAGAAGGCGCAAAGGGTCAAGCAAGGATGAATGTGGCGCAGCGTTAGCTAGAGAGGAGAATGAGGGTGAGGACGTTACAGTGATACCAGCAATCCGCTTTACGCGTCCGCTGGGTGCGACGCTACTTCAATGACGTTATGACATGATGCATTACAGACAGTAGCTTCTATGGCCCCTCAGAACTGGCGTGTTCAGAGGGAAGGCGGCGTCATCGTACTATCATCGCGGTCATTAGATTTAGCAGGCGAGAAGAGGCGTTGCGTGCGGCTGGGAAGCCAGAGGCTGAGGGGGAAACCCTCTCAACTATGTCTTGACGATATAAACAATTGTTTCACAAGCCCTCCTATCATTGTCTTTTCACTGCATACGACCGATCATTGTGCTCACCATGACCTTCCCTCCTCGCTCATCATCTTTTGGGCCAGCGACTCTGACTTGCGATGCTTCGGTCCCAAGGTGGATACGCCTGCATCCCAAGCTTGGCCTGCGACACCTCGAGCTGCCGCGAATGCTCCACTGACAGCTTTCGCCGGTGATGCAAATCCCTCTCCGGCGTCTGCACCACCTGCTGATTTGCCGTACCACGAAGCAGACCGTTCCATACCCCCGCTGGTCGTGCTGTTGTATATGCTGGCGTAGTCTGAAGCTCGGCTTGACTTCCTCGGAGTCGTACTATACGCAGACGTAAAGGCATCGGCATATTCAGTCTCCTCACGACCATCGCTGCCCTCGATGACCTTCAGAGCAGCCTTTGCCGCTTTGTCTCCGACTCTCAACGTGTAGCCTGCACAGACCCACACGCCGCCGATGATGCCAGCCAGCCGGACGAGGAAGGTGACAAAGGATATTGTCCGTTGTTTGAGGGTCAAGGTGACAGCCTCGATGTCGAATTTGATGAAGATGCCTGGAACGCCTTGGCCGTGCTGAACAGTCCTAGTATAGTCTGTAACACTATATTGGTTGGTTTGCAGCTTCCTTCCTTTTGAGTCTATGTAGTTGGTGGGCACGATACTGACGAAGTACTGGAAAACGGCGAAGTCTATGGAGGGAGAAGACGTAGCGTCGCCGATGCCGGTCAGACACTGCACGCGGACTCAGCGCTGAGGCTGCTACTCACGGTCAGAGCTGAGTTCAACGCTGTGGTCCAAAGGTTGTGAGATATCAGGGAAGTAAGGCCCAAAGCTGAGCTCGTGGAAGACGTGGGAGAGATTCATCAACTCGTGTGGGGTATGCTCCATGCTCCAGTATCCATGACCGAGCGTCGAAATGTGAAGGTTTCCGGTGACTTTCTTGAGTAGCACAGAACCATAAATTCGGCAAGCATCTCCACCCTTGACGATATGTGCTGTCTCTGCAAATGCAACCTGCTTGCCTTTGTATCCCTTAGCCTTCCGCTTCGGCTTAGGCTTGCGTGAGAAGGTCGGAGCATGGAAGTGACGAGCGGCATCGATGATATCGCCGATGGGCCGATCAGGCATCGCGATCGAGCTATGGAAAGAGTCAACGTAAGTGAAAGAGCCCAGAATCGACCGCCATCGTGGTAGCTTCGCCTACTCACTCTAGTCTGCCAGCATGCCCGAGCTCGAAGCGAGTCTCATCCTTTGTGATGTCCGTATCTGAGAAGTGCAGGCGGTCACCCAATGCATCCCGCACATCGACAGTCAAATCTGGAAAAGGACATCACCGGGGAGAAGAGAGTAGTGTGAGCTGACCCAGCAGCGTTGTGACTTCATGACAGACGACGCGGCGCTTGCAGGGATGAGCCCCTTAGCCCTTCCGCTGGCCGACTCACAATGACACTTCATCGCGACAGTCATGTCCACATTGACTTGCATTTCGGCTGCCAGGTCATGGTCAACTCCAAACGTAGCGATGGGATGCCCGTAGAGATACGTGTGGAACTCGCTCCATGTAAGCCATGACAGGACAAGGGCAATGAGGAGGGTGAAGAGGCCTCCTCGCGAGGACCTCGTCTGGTATATCGGCTGCGTCTTTGGGAAAGCATCGAAGGCTCGCACCTGTGGGATGGAGTCGAGCTTCTCCAGAAGGGACTGACCATCTGACATGGCGATCGTGAGGGCGAGGCGGTATCTGATCGCTTAGTAGCACAGAGGAGGGGAGCAGGGAAGGTCGGTAGGTGGCCTGGGCGGAACAGAGCAACATCGGAGAAGGGCAGCCTAAGACACGCAGGCACACGGAACGGAACGGAAGCCAGTGGTAAATCTCCGGCCGTCATTTCTTCTCCTCGCGATGGTGAGCATTCCGTTCCCCTTCAGCTGGGCGAAGTGGATGCGATCGCTGCCTCTGCATCCAGGGATCTTCTCACTGAACCTGACAAGGAGCACGCACACGTCACAATACTTTTGGTGGCAGACTCAGGGATATGCAAAGTCAGTGTGTATGAGAGAGGCGAGTAGGAAAATACACGAGGGTGGGACGCACAACGGCGACCACCCAACGACGAAGCCAAACCATTAGATGTATGTGTCGTATGGGATGGGAGCGAGGGTCTCGGGCAGGTTGTTCTTTGTCGAGATGGTGCGGGCCTCGCGAGGCTGAGCGGGCAGACGCTTGAGGAGGACCTTCTCGCCCTTCTCCTTGGCATCCCTCTTCTTAGCAGCGTTGTCCTTGACACGGGCGAGGAACTCGTCACGGCACTTAGAGTGCTTGACGTGCTCTACTCGGAGGTTGACACGCTTCTCCATCTTGCGGTTGCCGACAGTCTTGTAGACAATGACACCAACAGCTCGGGGAGCAACGTTGTAGACGACACCAGTTCGGCCGTGGTAGTACTATGGAACGTCAAATGATGGGGAGAATGAGTGAGAGGAGGTCAGCTGATGTAGGTGGCAGCGGCTTGGCACTCAGAATCCCATGCCCATAAGCGCCTGATGCTTCGCCTCCCGGCCCTCCCTGAGCTACCTTGCTCGCTTCGTCCGGGGAACGTCCTTCGAGTGGGGATGTCCCTCGTCGCCTCATTGCGAGCCTCCCGCTCCATTGTACGCCCCCCGCTGCCCTGCATTGTCTGACCCGACAACTCCAGACCCTTCATCCTCTGCCCGTTCAAAGCTTGGGCTCCCCTTCGCTCGCATACAATCCCTGCTACGATACTAACCTTGTGAGGCATACCCTTCTGCTCAGCGGCGTTGGCCTTGATGTCGACAATGTCTCCAACGTGGTAGGGTCGGAGGTAGGTCGACAGCCTGATGGGACCATGCTGGCGGAACTTCCTCGCGAAGAGGTGACGGGTTCGTGCCCTGAGACCGAAGGAGTGAGGCATTTTCGCTGTGGGGATGATCGGGATGAGCAGCGGTCAGCCAAATTTGATCGGCTGAGAGTGCAAGACTACTTCTAGTGGCCAAGTCTCCCTCTGACCATCCGTGTCTCCTCCATCATCTGAGGAACCCTTTCCTCTTGGTGTGACTTCGCTCCTCCCCAATCGTTACTCTCCACAACTTAGACGCAGGCGCTGCTGCTGTAAAGAGCAGCGTTGCGATGGTCCCGAGATCCCTTTCAGAACAGACTCTGACGAATGAAACGTTGAAAGGGTCGCCGTCCAGAGGAAGCGATCTCGACCCTCCGGAATGGTTGCCTTCCAGCCACATTTGCATCCCTCAAAGGGCCCTATTCGTCCTCGATCCCTCTCAGGCCGGCTGCGCCGCGGCTTCAGAAAGCATCCGAGTGTTTCCGGGTATCGTCTGCGAAAGAGGATGATGTCTGCAACGAAGCATGATACTCACGATGTGTTGAGGAGGTGTGGGGTGGGGTGGGGCGATGGTCAAGAGGAGGGCTCAGGCCAAAATTCCCTACATGGGCGGCAGAGCAGGGCGGGCGGGAGTGCCTGCTCGAACCGCGGCTACATTGCGCGGTGCAAAAGACGCTGCAGCCCGTCCGCCCGCCTGCCAGAATCTTACAGGCGCACGCCTTCACCCGCCTGTCCTCCCTCACTCATCATCATCACCCCACCCGATTGAGCAAAGTAGGTATCATCGGCTACAAGGCTACCTCATCATAGCAGAGACGTCATGGATGGGCTACTGTCTTGCGCAGACCGCTTCTGCGGCCTGCGTTTGCTGGAAGAGACAAGTTCGCGCCTGGCTGCGTGCGCTTAGGCGGGCAGCAGGAGGAGCGAATGTGCAGATGGAACGGCCAAAGGGAGGCACTGGTATCGAAGCGGTGGATTGAGGATGGACAGAAGGTCTAGATGGAGGCATCTGGATATGTTCGACGATTGGCGTGGTCGAATTTGTGACATTCTGGCGCTGGATTGCCTAGATCAGCTCAGTTCCAGCTGCGACGCATGCTGACCACTTTCTCATGGCCTTCTCGCTCCGTTCTCTTCAGAATGCAAATCTTCGTCAAGACCCTGACGGGTAAGACCATCACCCTCGAGGTTGAGTCCTCGGACACCATCGACAATGTCAAGGCCAAGATCCAGGACAAGGAGGGTATTCCCCCTGACCAGCAGCGATTGATCTTCGCCGGCAAGCAGCTCGAGGACGGCCGCACCCTTTCGGACTACAACATCCAGAAGGAGTCGACTCTCCACCTCGTCCTCCGGTGAGCATCATGTGCTAAGTTTGAAGCAGGAGATTTGGGCAGGGAGCTGGACGAAGGCTTAGGCAAAGAAGGCGTGAATGGGGTTGCAAGGGGTTAAGCGGGACAAGAGGATGGGCGTACGTCTCTCTCTGCGTCTCAAAGTCGTGACGATGGGATGTCTTGACGAGAAGGACAGGTCATGAGAAGCAGGATGTGCAAGGGACCTGTTCGACAGATTGAGGCAAGCTGCACCAGCGCATCCGTCAGACTGATGACTGACACTCGACTCCCCTCTCACTCCTCCCTGACAGTCTCCGTGGTGGTATCATTGAGCCCTCGCTCAAGGTTCTCGCCTCGAAGTACAACTGTGACAAGCAGATCTGCCGAAAGTGCTACGCCCGCCTGCCTCCTCGTGCCACCAACTGCCGAAAGAGGGGATGTGGTCACTCGAGCCAGCTGCGACCCAAGAAGAAGCTGAAGTAAAGGTCTCGCTCGTTTGCGCCCTGTTCATCGCTACTGCCTCGGTGGCAGCGAAGGAAGGGGCATGCTCGACTGTCACTTCTCGCCTTCGGACCGCGCTCCTTTGTACTCGATGTATACATTTCATCCGCCTTCTCAGCATCTTCACATAGTGTCTCCGTGTTGAGAATACATTCCCGTCCACGAAGCTTCGGATGTGAGCGTGTGCGTGAATCAGCACATCGATGTGGATATCTGTTGGGAGCAGGACCACTGGATGCGCCACGAGCAGGCAAGACCGGGCAGTCACAGAGTTCGCCGACGCCAGTTGAGTGGTCCTTGGAGCAGTGGAGATCAAACTAGGAGCATTCGTTTGAAACGATGTCAATGACCCATGGCGAGATTCGTTTGACCCCTTGTGAGAGTCTGACTCGACGCTGTGGCCCTAATGACAGTCACCAGCCGGTCTCACGCGCATGAGGAGCAGACGCAGCTACGACTGGCGACGAGTCTGCGAGTGATGGCGGTGTCTGCCTGTCGCCTTGGCCCGAGCTTGCGGTGCTAGTTGAGCGTGGATCACCACGTCTGCAGAGTCCTCAATACCCACTTTGTACCTGAGTAAGTGGTGGTGGCTCAGCGAAGTCTTAGGAGAGACGGGCAGGGGTGATCCTTAGGCATTTGCCCCTGTGCTCCTCCCCTGCCTAATAGCCACTTCGGAGGGAGAGCTCCTATTCGAATTCAGGGCGCAACTCGTAAGCTCCTGTGGTACCTGCGCTCCTGATCCCGTTGTCCTACTACGCCGCAAGTACGGGACGGGCTCCTCAACGCCGGTACCTGATCACGGCAAATCATGAACATGACCAATTTCCAGCCCTTGGCGCTGGGTCGCATTACATAGCTCGCCTTCTCATTCGCCTCATGACAGCACCCGTCGCTCTGGTACAAAAGGCCCCACAAACAAAGTGACACAGACGACCCAGGACACCAACCACCTTTCACCATCCACTCTCAGTAAAGATGCTCCGCTCCGTCGCTACCCTCCTGACTGTTGTCCTCGCCGCCACTATGGTGGTGGGTGAGCGCGACAAGAACTTCCCTCCATGCGATGCTCTCGATGGCACACCTCTCTCGAAAGACGGATCCGGTAAGGTCACGGGCACTGCCCACGCTTGGGCGCCCAACTACCAGGGCCCCAATGGCGTCAGCAGCCGCGGCTATTTCACCAAGCGCAACAACAAGTTTGTCACCACTGACCCCGTCTTCTACACCGCTCCCGGTACTGGTTCCTGTGGTGTCAAGTACACTGATCAGGACGTGGTTGCCTGCCTGAAGCCTGGCTGGGTCAACTCGGCCAACAAGAACGGATGCAACAAGTGGATCGAGGCTACCATCCAAGTGACGGGTAAACGCGTCACTGCTCAAGTTGTGGACTCTTGTGGAGCGTTGGCCGCCAGCGACACCACATTCGACTGTGGAGATCTCTACCTGTCTCTCGCTGCTTACTCTGTCCTCGCTGGCAACGATGAGAAAGTCATCAAGGCCGGCCGCCTCCCTCACCCCGTGCAATGGTCTTTCATCCAGGAGCCCTGCTGGGCCTGTGAACAAGGTAAGTGTTGGTGCATCAGTCCCGTCGTCAGGGGGCCGACACTAACATCACGCCATCATAAATCCACATCTGCTTTTTCTTTCTTCTTTTCTCACCTCAGGTCTCCCCGGTAAGCAGCCCGACGGCAGCCCAGACCACTGCACCAGCCTCGACAACAGGGGCGAGATGCGACACGGCCGCAAGCCCACCACCAAGCTGGTCGGCGCTCCCAAAGGCACGGAATGCAAGATCAAGTCTCCTGCCGAGTCTTTCAACATGCAGCCCTTCATCGACGCTGCAAATGAGAAGGCGGCCGCTCAGCAGAGTGCCAACCAGTAAGCTTGTCAACCTCATCCGAGCTTGGCGACAAGACCAGCGTCCCGCGAAAAGTCGTAAGCGACAACTAAGCCTTCCCAAATTTATGCCACCTATGTTATCGTCGCTTTCCTGCCCTGTCACCCCCTCCTTGTGATCGCTGGCGTCGTCGAACTTTTACACAAAGTCGACGACCTCCCTGAGCGCTCCATAAATCGAACAGTCCAATACAATGCTTTCCTCCCCGATATGAAGAAACATGTGAATGCCGCGCCTGATTCCTCACTTTCAGCGGCAGCCTAAGTGCAGTCCAGATTTTTGGCGGTGACAATGTCGTTATGAGATGAAAGGCGTAGAGGGCAAGGATAGAGTCGTACATCATGAGCTGGCAGAAACCAGATAGCTATTCACATTATAACACATTTACACCCTCCAGCAGGATTCTTCTCCCTCCTGGCATGCTTTTTGTCTCCAGAAGCGCCCGAACGTCCGTTGTTGGGCCTGGGCACGGCTAGTAGAGCGGCCCTTGTTGCTGCTTCGAACACATTCTGTCGTGGCGCAGCAAAACCCCGTCAGCCTCACGTACGATAGAGCTGCCTCGACCGAAAGGTGACTCACATCGACTCCTTCGTTTCTCAAAGCTGAGCACTCGTAGTACGCTCGAGCTCCTATCTGCTGCGCTACTTCCCGTCCCTGCATATGGGAAATGCTGGTGTCAGCTCTGCCACGCGTAAAGCACAGAATCTTTGTGACTATCGCCTACTGACCTGCGTATTGCTGATGTATTCGCCTGGTAGCAAGGGACCCCTGGCCTCGGCATCCTCTCTCAGATCGGTCTTGCAGCCGACAAGTATGACTGGTATTTGCGAGCCGCAAATATTCCTGACCTCTTCGATCCACTTCACTGTGACATTCTCCAATGAGTCTGGGGTATCTAAGCTGAAAGCAATGAGAATGACGTGTGCTTGCGAATACGACAGGGGCCGTAGCCGCTCGTACTCCTCCTGTCCTGCAGTGTCCCAGCACTGCAGACTGATCTCCTTGCCATCGAGGCGCACATCGGCAGCGTAGTTCTCAAAGATGGTGGGTTCATAGTCGCTTGGGAACGAACCAAGTGCAAAGACGTTTAGTAGCGACGTCTTTCCACAGGCGCCGTCGCCTACGATGACGAGCTTCCTCCGAATGGGCTCAGGGGCCATGGCTTGACTTAGTCACTGTTCAGCTGTAGTATAGCAGCAGTTCCACACGGGGCAGTCAAAGGTTGCCTCCTACAGTCCGGTCCGGGAGGGGACCGCTCGAGGTATAGCGAGGAGGCAGGGTCTCAGATCTTGCAAGGGGCGAGCAATACTGCTACCAGCCCTTGGCAGCTGTAGGTGCGTCCTGGTACGTGTGGGATCGCCTTGATGGGTTTGATCTCCTGTCTTGGGTCAAAGTCGAATCAAGCGATGATGCTCTGAACGTGGAGTGTGTATGCGCTAGGTGGGGTGATGCTGATTGCGTACAAAGCTACAGGGGTTGATCCTGTTGGGCTGAGCTCTGGAAGGACTGAATTGCCTCGCCCGATCACTTCTCCCCTCGCTGCCCCACTCGAGACGCCGTGGGGAGCGGGGGCCCGGGGCGGAACAAGGCCAGGCGAGGCGGGCAAGCGGCAACGAGGTCAGGCCAGGCAGGCAGGCAGAGGCAGGGCGTCTCGGACCCGCGTGAGAGATCTCTTCACTCCCCGAGGCCAGGCGAGCCACCCACTCGCCCCCCCCTCCGCCCTTGGTAAGGTATCCCATCCCCACCCTCAGCCGCAGACGCACCACTTTCGACTATCACTCGGCACCTATCACATCTCGACTACGCTTGGCAGGTGTATCCGAACCACCTCGTATTCACAACGTCTCCACTGCAGCGTACTGGACACCAGTATCGCGCGCATTGACATCGGAGACGCCCTCTGCCAACGAGAAACCCACCACCCATCTTCGGCCCAGCCGATACCACATCCTCTCATCACAACCATCCAATTCCGCGTCATCCCGTCTCAAGCGAAAGGCGACGACAGTAGCTCCACAACTTCTCCCTGGCGTGAGAGCGAGCGTGTGTGCGGTCCCGTGAAACAGACGAGGATCTTTTCCCCTCGCCAGTGGCCCGACGCTCTGACTTGCAATGGCCAAGTCGAAAGCTCCCGTAAGGGCACCTCCGCCATCCCAGAACAAGCAGCTGGCCCAAGACCAGAGTCAGAACCTCTCTCCGATGGGTTCATACGACTCATCCCCTCCGTTGGACGGCGCAGCAGCAGCTGCTGCCGCCGCCGCAAAGAAGAAGAAGAAGAAGGGCAAGGGCAAGAGAATCGAGGACGATTACGATGCCGTCCTGCCACCTTCGCCGAATGCTGCCGCCAACCAGAACCACATGCACCACCAGGGCTACCAAGCCGGCAATGGACCCGTTCACCTGTCGCAGGGAGCCTACACTGCCACTGCTCAGGCTCAGGCAGACCTTCTCGCTACTGCTAGCGATCTGTACCGGCGCATCGAGGCAGATCCCGGAGGGATACCAGACGACGACGCCTACTGGACATCGCTTCCGGCACATCTTCGCACGTTTATTCGGAATGCCCTCCCTCTGGGCCAATTTCCTACAACAGGCGCAGGCGGCGGTAACAATGATCCCAACGCTCGCCACGCCTCGACACAGGCGATGATTGCAGTTGCTCAACAACTCGCTCAGGCGGCGCACGCCTCCCAGCGTCACTTGCAGCAATATCCACCTGGATCGCAGCCTTATCCATCCCTCCCCTTTGACCCCGCAATCTTTGCCGACTTGGCGCTCCATTCCGACGGATCCCTACCGCATCCTCACTCTCACCCCAATGGCCTCGCAGCAGGTCAGTCCCCTTACGGCCATCTGCACTACTCCACTGGAGGCAACATGCCGTCCACACAGCCACCGGGAGAGCCCCTCCCTGCAGCACCTGTGGTCCTCGTCAATGAGTATGGGGAAGAAGAGGTCGTCGGAGAGTACGATGACGAGTACTACAGCGACGAGGATCTAGACGGACCAAATGGCGTGATGCATGACTCGATCCATGGTGACCGCGATGGAAGGTGGCTGGAAGAGCAAGGCAGAGGCACTGGTGGGGATGGCCAGACTGTGCAGGCTCCCGGCAGTGGCAAGAAGAATAAAAAGAAGAAGAAGAAGAAGGGCAACGCAGCGACAGAGCAAGCAGCTCTCCCGGCACAGATGGCGCCTCTGCCTCAAGTTCGAGCTACCCAGCAACAACAGCAGCAGCAGCCTGCAATGAATCATCATGCAGCACCTCCTGCCAATGCAACGCCAAGGGGACCACAACCGCCGCCAAGCTCAAGGGCGGCTGGAAAGCAGCCAATGACATTCGCCTCGAATCCTGCACCGAAGACACCAGCTGCGCCCAATGGTCACTCTCATCCACCGTCTGGAAAGCGTGGTACGGCCGGGTCAGCGACAGGCTCCCACGGCACAGCTCCAGGAGCCAACAACCAACCGCCAGCACAGCAGCAGCGCATTTGGTCTACGAGCACAGCTGAGGAGCGTGAGAGAATCAAGGAATTCTGGCTTGCCCTCGGAGAGCGTGACCGAAGAAGTCTAGTGCAGGTTGAAAAGGATGCCGTCTTGCGTAAGATGAAGGATCAGCAGAGGCATACCTGCAGCTGCGCCGTATGCGGTCGCAAGCGCTCTGCCATCGAGTCAGAGCTCGAGGTTCTCTACAATGCCTATTACGAGGAATTGCAGCAGTATGCGAATCATCAACAGCAGTATGTCAAGTCTGGTGGTGCGATCCCGCCCCCTCCCGGACCAGGACCCTTCCCAGGCAGCATCGCGCTCGATAGTACAGGCAATGTCATCGGAGGCAATGCCTTGACAAGGTCAGCTCCTCCTGCTCAGAAGACGCGAGTCACTGCTCCGCCGAAGAAAGCGCCCCCGCCTCCTCCTTTGGAAGACGATGATGGCTACGACGATGAGTTGGATGACGATGACTACGATGACGAGTACGACGATGAAGACGACGAAGAGGATGAAGATATTGCGCCAGAGCCACCCGCTCGCCGCAAGGGCACTGCCGGTGCTATCGGTAACGCCAACAGTGACGTCTTCCCTCTAGGCTCTTCCTTGACGGTCAAAGGTATGTGGCGTCACACGACTACATGTTCCCGCTTTCCTCAATCCTGACTAACCTGGCTCACCGGCCAATCATTCTTTCTCTCCACCTCTCTCACCACCTCACTCCCCAATCCTCACTCGCTCTTGTCTCCCCCCCGCTCTGCCGGCTTGCAACTAGGAGGCATCCTGACAGTCGCAGATGATCTGCTCAAGAACGATGGTCAAAAGTTCCTGGAGATGATGGAGCAGCTGGCCGATCGTAGGATGCAACGCGCTGAAGAGGCTGCTGCAGAGCTCGATGCCATCAGCGAAGATGGCGAAGGCGACGAAGATGATCTCGATGAGGAGGAAGATGAAGACGTGAGTACGATGGAGACAGCTGTTCTAGGTCGACCGAAATTGCACTTTGTGAGGCACATGCTGATCTTCCCGTGTCTTTATCACTCAGGACCACCTCACCGATGAACAGCGGATGGAAGAGGGTCGTCGCATGTTCCAGATCTTCGCGGCGCGCCTCTTCGAGCAGAGAGTTCTGTCTGCGTACCGGGAGAAGGTGGCCCAGGAGAGACAGCTTCAGTTGCTGCGAGAGCTGGAGGAGGAGGATCTTATCGAGAAAGAGCGAGAAGCCAAGAAGCAGAAGGAGAATCAGAAGAAGAAGGATAAGAAAAAGTGGGTTACGAATTGTGCTGCATGGAGCACTGGTATGTCCGCTGACAAAAATGGTGGGGTTTTGCACCTGTTTGGTTTCTTTTTACAGGCAAGCTCAGCAGAAGAAGGAAGAAGAGCGCCTCGAGCGCGAGAGGGTCAAGGCTGCCGAAGAAGCTGCCGCTCGCGAGAAGGTTGAGAAGCAAAGGGCTGCCGAAGCCAAGAAGCAGGAAGACCTTCGAGCAAAGCGTGAAGCCGAGAGGAAAGCGAAAGAGGACGAGCGCCTGAAGAAGGAAGAGGAGAAGCGCAAGCGAGCTGAAGAGGAGCGCCTCAAGGAGCAAGAGAAGGAGCGTAAGCGCAAAGAACGAGAAGAGAAGCTGCGCCTCGAGAAGGAAGCCCGAGAGGCCAAAGAGGCCGAGCGCAAGGCGAAAGAGGAAGAAGTGTTGCGACAGAAAGAGCTCAAGGAGAAGGAAGAACAGGAACAAAAAGCCAAAGAGGAGCGAGATCGCGCTGCTCAGGAGGCGGCCCAAAAGGAGAAGGAGGCTGCAGAGAAATCTGCAAACCAAGCGAAAGCCAAGGCTCGCGAAGAGCAGCAGAATGCCGCGAAAGCGGCTGCTACGGCTGCCTCAGCGGCAAGTGGGCGAAGCTCACCCACCACGCCTCGCAACGCTTCCGCAGCTTCCTCCTCTACCAGATCTCCTGCTCCGTCAGCCGCTGCGTCTGCAGCCGCTCCTCGCAGTGGTCGTCCACAGGGTACCTCGGTGCCACCTTCTCCAGCTACTGCTGCTCCAGTGATGTACGCCCGACCTCCGCCTCAAGCTCAGTCGTCTGGTGGTGTCATTCCCTCTCGACCTCACGGTGCTCCTCACCAACAGCAACAGCCGAGCTCCTCAGCGCCTCAGCGACCAGCAGCTAGCGGTGCTTCTATGCCTTCTTCAGCTCCGCAAGGATCCTCGTTGCCTGCGCCTCCTCAGGGCCTTCCTGCTCGGCCCTCGTCCAAGGTCTCGTCGCAACCCGGAACAATGGCATCTCAGCAGCCTCTAGCGCAGTCGTCTTTGCCCACAGGTTTCGGAGGCATCTCGGCTCCTCCTCACTCTACTCCGAGTGCTCCATCTTCGCTACCTCGTGCGCCTGGCAGCCAGCCCAGTTTCATGAACTTCAACGCGGCGCCTGGTCCCATTGGAGGTCCGAACTCCGGCAGGTCCTCTCAACCAGTATCAGCAGCTGGCCCAATGTCGCCTTCTGCGAGAGCGGGTGCCACCAGTGCGGCATCAGGCTCGGGTCCAGCTCAGGCCCCGGCCTTTGCCAGAAGCTTCGCCGCACCAACCTACCCTTCTGGTCTTGATGTCACCCGCTCGCCTCCTTCCAACAACAGCTTGCGCTCGCCTGCACATGCTGCACCTGATGGAGGTCACTCACCCATCAATGTGCATGGGGCAACCCACGGACTCGGATCTCTTCACCTGGGAGGCAGCTCATCACCGTACAACGCAGCGGGTCCTGGCACCTCTTCTGCGCCCGGAAAGAGTAGCAGTCCTCATGGCGTGCGTGCAGTGTCGGACGAGTTCACAGGTCTCAATTCCTCACCATTGCAGTCCTCGCGAGGCGGCAGCGTTCAGCGACCCGGCCCAATCGGTCCAATTGGTCGACCACGGCTGGCCAGCGAGCATCCAGAGGACACGTATCGAATGGAAAGCCCCAGGCTGCCAGAAGGTATCCTAGGGAGCTCCGCCCTTGGTGGAGACGACGAGCTGGTTGCTCCTATGCCAAGACGCACCAGCAGCACCGTAGCTCCCATTGGCGGCGGGTCATCGCTGTTCGGCTTCAGCAGTGGACCTTCGGGAGGAAGCTCATCGAATGCCTTTGGCGCCGCTTCACCGTGGGGTACTCCGTCCTTCGCTAGCCCAACAGCCTCGGCTCCAGGTGCTCCCAGCCCTGGCTTTGGTCTCGGAGGGTCTCTTGCCGCCACGACTCCAGGTGCCATTGGTGGATCAAACTCAGTCAATGGTTCCGATCTCTGGGCAGCAGGCCGTCCGCCTTCACAAGCTCCACCTTCTGGCGGATGGGAACGAGCCAGATTCGCCTTTGAGCAACCGTCCTCCCAACCACAACAGTCGCAAGGTCTTGGCCATCATCTTCACCATCATCAGGGAAGTGGCGGACCAGGTGCCATCGGCAGTGGATTCGGCGGCCTGGGTACCGGGATAGGCAGCAGTGGTCAAAGTGCTCTAAGTCCCTTTGGCAACGGCATGGGCGGTATGATGGGCGGGGGTGCAAAGAGCATTTTCGATGCCCCTGGTCTCCTACCAGGCTCGCCCAACCAACGTCAAGCCAATCAGAGCAACTACAATGGCAACCACGACTCTGGCCACGATCGAGGGTACTAATGTTGGTTCCAAGCTCACATGCGAACATGCCTGCAGGACTCCCATGCCTGGTCTCACTGCGAATCTCGCTTGCTTCGTAGTATTTATCGAATCTCTCCTCCCCTAAATCCACACTGCAACAATTGCGCAAAGCCCCTTTCCATGACAGACTGATCGAGGTCGCCTCAAGTCGTAGCCTCTTCGTCTCGCCCCTCGAACTCGCTCTCTTGTATACTGTCTTCCCCCTCCGCTTGTTTCACTGACATCCAAGGAGTTCAGCCATCTTACCGCTTGGCGTGTGTGAATTCTGTCTAATGCACATGTGAAGTTTGGCGGGCCCTTAGTCGAACAAGGTAAGAGAGGGATCGATTTTCGTAACGCATGGGGGGGCGCAAATTCGCAAAGTCACCCCTTCCCTCCTGCTCACCACCCCTCCTTGTCCCTGCTGCTTCTACTACTAGCCCCTGCACCAATGACACTCCCCAATTTCGCCTCTCCCCACGCCACGACTGCACACCAAGTTCGCAAGAGGGAATACTGCGCCGCTGGGACTAGATCCTCGCGGGTGATCCTCCAAAGTCGCTCGTTGTACGCCTGGTGACGGGCTGCATTCGCCGAGAGCCACGCGGAGTAGAAGGGGGAGAGGAGGTCCTCGCTGGCTTTTGGAGGCTTAGTGGGAGTTTGAGTTTGAGTTTGTGATGAGAAGGAGGAGGAGGAAGAAGAGGGGTGGCTGGCTGACCCGCTCTGAGTGCCGTCTTGAAGAGACCGGCTCGCAGAGCCAGAGGAAGTCGCCGATATGCTGCTGCTGCTGCTACTACTTCTCTCTCCAACACCACTTCTACTCCTCCGATATTCCTCCAGCGCCTTGGTATATCGTCTATTGTTGTCTTCCCAAAAATCCTGCGAGAAGCGATCTGCCCTCGCTCTGCGCAGGTGGTGCGCTAGCTCGGCTGCCTCGAGACGACGCAGTAAGGAGGTCTGATACTCTGAGCGTGGCGGGAGTGAGCGAGACCAACTTGAGGAGGCAGAAGAGGCGGAGGGAAGTGAATTGAACTCCGAGGTGGAATAAGGATGTGAGAGAGCCGCACTGCTGCTGCTGCTAGCGCCGCTGGAGGAAGTGTCGATGCTGCTGTTACCAGTCTGATCATGCGAATCGAGAATGGTCTGGAACGCGCTACCGTAGACGACTGGTCTCAAGTTGCTAAGTGGGTCTGCCGGACCGACAAGATTGGCTCCAGGTCGGGCAGAGAGCCGTCTTGAGGAGGCTCGCCGAGGTGGACTGGACGCTGATGTGCCGGCGCTGGTGCTGCTGCTACTGGCGGTAGCAGTAGAGCTGCTGCGAGCCAACGGCGGGAGGTGGCGCGGCAGATGCGACTGTGCAGCCGCCAATACGATGCGAGAAGTGGAAGCGACTGGCTGAGAGGGTAGTAGGAACGCCATTGCAACAACAAGTTTCGGCTGAAGATGCTGACAACGTTAATAGTCGGAGGGCAGCTTGGGTACGGATCGACGAGCGAATGAGCGGACAGGGACAAAATGCGAAGGTTGGGAGCGGAGCAGAGCGGAACGGATCGGAAGATGTGTTGAGGCTCCCGCAAGGGCCACCCGCCTTTTGTGGACTTTCTACCGAGGTTCTGTCCCTTTCTGTGCGAGCTGATCGGTAGTGGCAAAGCGTCAAGATAGCATCACAGCCTTTGGAGAGACTCAGGTGCTAAGCGGAGTCATCTGCGAAGCATACTCTCATCTTGCGAAGATGAGCGCTACAGATCAATTCCCACCTCGATACCTTCTAGACGAGGACGAAGCACCAGTATCCTCTGCCGCGGCGGACATCCAAGCAGAGGGCAAGGCAGGAGAGGATGGGGAGCCTAATGGAGTGAAGCAGCAGCTTTACCTGCCTGCACCTGAGGCAGCGGGGGAGGGAGAGCAGAAGGGAGGAGGAGGCTCAGCTCGAACGCTCGATGTGTCCACCGGAGGCAAGGTAGCCTTGGACGAGCTGGGACCAATGGTGGTGAGTGTCTTCCCCAGTCTTCCCCGGCCCACCCTTCCCCCTCTTCGAACCCGCCTTCGCTGACTCACTTTCCTCTTCATCCACCAATACTCGAACCAGGTCAACAAGGACGGCACCCTCTCTCGCATACACAATTGGGCAGGCATGACAGAGGCAGAGCGGGCGCGGACTTTGCGGGTGCTCGGCGCTCGCAATCAGATTAGGATGGCCGAGATTCGGCGCGGAGAAGGAGGAGGAGAGGGAGGCCCACAAGGAGCGAAGGAAAAGGAGAAGGAGGAGGAGAAGTAGTGGACATTGCAAGGTGCAGGAGGATGAGGTGATGGTGCAGTCTTTCAGAACACAGTCAAGCGGGACAACATTCAATCATACGCACATCATATACCAAGAACAGCTACGTCTTTTGATTGCGTCGAGAAGGAACAAGGAACAAAGCAGTGTCCAGGTCGAAGAACACTGGTCAAAAGTAGTCTAATCCTGCAATGATGGCAGCCCTTTCCATGTCTTTGCGTGTTCTTCAGACCTCGACTGCGTCCCTCTCGCCCTCGCCTTCCGCCTCGACAACGGCGGGTGGAGGTGTGAGAGCATTCTCCGTCTGCGGCTCCTCTGCCTCCTTTACTGGCGCTGGTGCATCTCCGTCCCTGTCGTCAGCAGCAGTGGTGACTGCAGAGTCCGTAGCGGCGGCCCTGTCACCCGCAGTCTGTTCCTCTCGACTGTCTCGCCTGTCGGCAGGAGCGGCGGCTTCGTCCCTGCCATCCTTGCCCTGGGGCTCATCACGACGACGTTCGCGCTCTCCACGGTCGTAGCCTCCTCGTCCGCCTGATCGGGGCGGGCCACCCCTGTCACCTCCACGGCGGTAGTCCCTGTCCCTCTCGTCCCGACCACGGTATCGGTCTTCGCCTCCATCCCTAGGGGCACCTCGACGAGGCGAAGGAGATCGCTGACGGCGCGGGGGTCCTCCGCGAGGAGGCGGGCCATCTCGACCTGGTCCGTCGAATCGCCAGTTCGAAGAGGGGGCGTTCTGCAAGGCGATACAGCTATGGAGTCAGCAAAGAGACACGGGCGGTAGGGCCTCACTGCAGCGCCAGATCTCACCTTTGCGAATTGGATGGTGATAGCGTTGCCACCGAAGCGAACGCCGTGCATCTCATGATGAGCTGCCTAAAGGGACACAACATCACAGGAAGGCAAACGTCAGCGTCTCCTTTGGTACACCGTTGCTACCATCTCTTCAATACTCACTGCTGCATCCCTGGGATCTTCAAATTCGATGAAGGCATAACTGTCGTGCGTATGGGTGGCATGTTGATGAAGAGATCGGCCAATGAGCAATCGAATGTCGTCGTCGTCGTTGTCTTCGCGGATCGTCAATCGGTGCGGCTGGGCTTCAACAACCGTCTCTGGATGTACATCGAATACCGTCACGGCGTCCGAAGTCCGAGCCGCCGTCTACCCCATTCGGAAAATTCGATCTTTAGCCGAATTCCATCGCAGGGGATGAGTGGCCTTCCTAATCGAAGTACACCGACTTTCGGATCGAATTCGTGACCCCTTCATATGTCGGCCTTGGGTCGTATCGTATAGCGGGTGCTGGCGGAGAAGAGGCTACTCACGGCTTGCTCTGCATGCTCCTGAGGGCGGGAATGTCGCATCGAACCAAAGGGCCCAATCGCTCAAAGTAATAGGCGAGGTCACTGGGGATGGCGAACAGGAGGCAGAAGATCAGCCAAAGCCCCGGACGCCAGCATACCATACTGTGTCGCGGATTACTTGTACTCACGCTGCCCTCATCTCGGGTGGGAACCCAGCAACAAAGAGCGTCTGCAAGCGAACACGAGATAGAAGAGAGAGATAGTCAGCTTCCTGCTCGGGAGGAGGCTGGAAGGCTTCCGTTCGAGCTCACAGTCCTGGGAGGCTCCCTTCTGGGAGGAGGAGGTCCGTAACCTCGGTCCCGCGGGGGAGGGTAGTCCATGTCCCTTGGCGGAGGTCCTCCAGCGCCGCGTGGAGGAGGAGGGAGGTAGTCCCTGCCATCCCTGGCTGCAGGGGGAGGGTAATCCCTGACGTCTCTGCTGTCTCTGGGCGGATAGGACATGACTGGATAGTAGACGTGGCGGTGGTGGTGACGGGAAGGAGTGAATGTGTGGTGAGGCGGAGCAGATCAATGGCAGAGCTTCCTCCTCCCCAACGCGCAGTGGAGGCGACAGGCGTCTCACTCCGCTCCGCCGAGCACTGCTGCTTCCGTACGGCTTTGATTGTCAGGCCAGCATAGAGGTCAAGTAAGAGCAGCTACTTCGATCTATGGACACAAGTTGTGTAAGATGGGATGCATCGTGAGTCACCTTCGTCTGACTCTCCGTCTCTTCCTTGAGTCCACCTGTTGACTGTTGCGCCCTCACATCATCTACAGCACGCAATCCCTATGCCTCCCACCCTCCAGACTTCCAAGCCCTAGCGGCCTTCGATCCGGATAATTTCGGCAGACATGTTCGCACACGCAAGGATGGACGGTTTTACATAGATTTCAAGGACCTCCAAGCCTGCAAGGCACTCAATGAGGCGATTCTGCTCCACGACTTTGGCATCAAGGTCAATCAACCGGCAGATCGCCTCTGTCCACCGGTGCCGAATCGGCTCAACTACCTCTTATGGCTGCAGGACGTGCTACGCGAAAGCAAGCGGCCAGATGGTAGACCCGTAGTGGAATTTGGAGGGGATGAGGCTGCTAGATCCCTCAAGTCAGTCGCCTCTGACTCCGGAGCCCGGATGACGAAGCGAATGCGAGTGCAGTCCCCTGATGCTAGTACCATCAGAACGCTCGACATCGGTACCGGAGCCACAGCCATCTACCCTATCTTGGGGTGCGCGCTAAGCCCTCACTGGACATTCGATGCGACCGAGATCGATTCTGAGTCACTTGCGAATGCTCAAACAATGATCGACGACCCCTGCAACAATGGCGAGGCTCCTGCTCTTGCTTGCGCCCAAAGACGGACCGCTCAAGGACCGCTGCAGCTCAAGAGCCGGATCAGACTTATACTTCGTACCGCCGAAGATACATTGATCCCGACAGAGGATCAGAACCTTCAGGCGTCCTCTGAACTCCTCTACCATTGCACAATGTCCAACCCGCCCTTTTACTCCTCCTCGGAAGACCTCGCCGAGTCCGCGGCGGCTAAGCTCCTGCCCCCTCAGTCCGCCTGTACCGGTACAGATGGCGAGATGATCACGCCGGGGGGAGAGGTAGCCTTCGTCACTCGGCAGATTGAGGAGAGTATCGTGCTGGGTCAGCGAGTACTGTGGTACTCGAGCATGCTCGGCAAACTCTCCAGCGTATCGACGCTGCTGCAGACCCTCAAGGAAAAGCAGATCGACAATATCGCTGTGACGAAGTTTCAACAGGGTCAGACGGGCCGATGGGCAATTGCGTGGTCTCTCTCGCCTCACAGACTGCCAGATTGGGTAGGCAGATCGATGGGTGACACGGCTGCAAGCGGCTGGTCCACCCTGGTGTCCAGCACATCGATCTTCCGCACACTACCCACAGGACGTTTTGAGTCTCTGCAGCAAGCGGAAGAAGCATTGTTCAAGCTTCTCAATTCACTAGATGCAGCACAAGTGTCTCCGCAAGAGCCGGAAGATCCATCGTCAGGACGTACAGTCTTTGTCGGACTCGCCTATAATGTCTGGAATCGAGCTGCCCGTCGAGCAGCAAAAGCGTCCGCAGAAGCCACAGCTATCACTAAGGTCAAGCCAGACGTCGAGCCTGTCCTTTGTCTGCTGATCTCCCTCTCACAGCAACGACACAGACGCACCGAGGTCAGTGCGACACCTGCATCATCCTCATTCTCATCCTCGCCTCCAGTCGAGGTAAAGATGCAATGGACGTACGGTCGCTCCAGACTGCATTTTGAGTCCTTTGCTACCATGCTGATCCGCTCGCTGAGCAGTCGAGGCTAGAGATAGATGCGCACCTCATCGCAGCCCAAGGAACGATGGCACTAGGCGCGGGCACAAGGCTGCACGTAGGAAGGGGTAGATGTTTTGATACTTTAACAAGAATGATGTGGATCTCTGCGGTAGCATACTCTGTACGGAGCTTGAGATTGTGCATTGTGCACTGAACACAGCGAGCAATTACTGAATTCCAGGCCGGAGCCGCACTCGCCTCCGTGATGGGCACGATCTCACCTTCCCTCCAAATCCCGTCGGCTCTGCCGCCCTCCTCTAGCCATTGTCCCGCCATACGAGGCTTCGCCTCTCTTCCTCACCTAGTCTCCATTCATCAATCGAACGCTTCTTCTGCGCTCTGCCTGACCAGTCTGCGAACCTTCTTCTTGTACCCTGCAAAGTCCTCTCGCACCTGCTTTGCCGCGTCTACATTCGCCGGCGAATTAAGGTCCGGTACGTCCGCCGATAGGAGGGAAATGACGGACACCAGCTGCGGAATGAAGTTGCGATGCATCTTTTAGCGGGCGAATTCCCATCGACGTCACTGCATGTCGGGTGTGACTCACGATTGACTCTACACTGTGCACCGGCAGCCACCTCTCTCCAGGGTCCTCGTAGCCCCACTCGTCTGTTCCAGGAGCATGCTGAAGGGAGAGAGGGACGGGAGAGAAAGACCCGGTGTGAGATTGTAACCTTCAGGAGCGCCAGTGAAGAGGCCGTAACTCACCAGGATCGAAATACAGAGCCGGCCGTCTGAGTAGACTGATAAGGGACAAGGGGATATGCACTAGTCAATGTCAGTATCCTCTGCGACTGTTCAGCAGCTGGCATGGTAGAGCCTTGAGCGGCTCACCATTAGGATGCCACATCTGGGTGAGAAACTTGAGCGTGGGCGGCAGCAGTGGGTATTCGGGCGGGAAGACGAGCTCTGCCCGTAGGAAGCCTCCTTCGTAAAGACTATCTGCGGGGCCAATGATCATGATTTCCCACTGCGTAGGATCCAATACAGGTAGCGTATATGCTGAGTCAGTGATGAGGTCGAGGGGCGTCACCCTGATCAAAACAAACTCACATGGTATAGATTGGTCTCATCCTTGAGACCGGCGCTGAAGCCTTCCACAGGGTCTGAGGGAAGGACATGGGCGATGAGGGTAGCCCTCGATCAGTCTCTGATAGCTGCACACGGCTAGCTCCTGGGTTGAGGATACGCTATGCTCCACTCACGCTTTCTCAGCTCCTTCAGCTGCCGTTGGAGTAACAGGGTATTACCGCTCGGCGAAGAAGTCATGGTTTCTCGCCTCCCCCTATTGGTCAGGTAGAATGGTGCAGTGGTGTGGCAAGGGGCGCTTATGCCGAGGTCGAGCTTGCAGTGGCAACGATGGCGATGAACAGGCAATTGGGAAGGATCGACAGCTGAGCTAGCTTAGGGTACTCAGTGCTCGAGGTCTAGAGATCGAAGAGTCGATGAAGGAAGTGCAGATGCGAGGAGTGCGCCAAGGTGCGAGGATGCCTTGGTAGGTGCTGCTCCTCGTCTCTCGGAACGGGAAGGGCCCTCGCTGCAGCCTGGGCGTGGGGAGTGCGACTGAACCCTGGCCGTGGCCTGAGTGCGGGTGTCGACTCGACTCCGCGCCTCCACCACGCGCCTCGCCACTTTCCGAAGCACCTCGGCTTCCGCTCCGCTCACCTCACCACCTCTTGGCAGCACCACTGTACGACAAGCGTATTGCACACGGCATCCCACTGGCCCACGGGCGGCTGCAAACATGACAGCCAAGCGCAGCCTGGACAGCTTCTTCTCCTCGCAAGGTCAAGGCAGCTCCGATCACAGCGCAAAGGATGAGCGCTCGACGGATGCAAGGAAACGACCGGGGTCAGCGAAGGTGGTAGGCGCGAGGATTACGCAGCCAAACGCTGCTTCGTCAGTGCAGTCGCAGTGGATGCCAGCCGATGAGCGCAGGCAGCTTGAGCTGGCCTTGAAGCTGTCACTTGGCTCCGTAGAGGCGTCCGGTGTGATCAAGGAGGAGCTACCGCCCCCTTCGGCCAGTGTACGCGAACGACAAAGGATACCCGAAGAGCTGGTGAGCCTGAGCAAGCCTAGCGCAACAATAGCACCGTCCATTCTCACCAAAGCGTTGACCGCAGAGGAATCGCCATCTGGGAAACCTTCATCGGACGATTCCGAGAGCAAAGTGGCTGCACTACAAGACCCCCAGCCGCAAGCCCCACCCAAGCGGTCCCTAGCTCCCATGTTCAGCTCCTTACCCCACTCTTCCAAAGCTGCTCAAGGCCCGCAACCCACCTTCGACGACACCGACTTCGCTCCCACCGACAAGGTACAAGTACTGAATCGCTTCTCTGGCAGCCTCGACTGCCTCTTCTACCCCTCGTGGATCTCCTCTGTCCCAGCTCGCAAGGGACTGAGAGACTGGATGCTCTCCTCACTACAGTGGCATCGCGTCTGCTATACCCGCCCCGGCACTACCTTTAAGATCAACACGCCCCGCTTCACCACCACTTTTGGTATGCTCACAGGGCCACAGGCGCCCCCTCTGACCAGCTACAAGATTCGACCAAAGGAGATTCCTGGTCCGCTGCGGGAGTTAAAGGAGCGCATAGAGGCTATGCAGAGTACAGGCGGCGTCGACGTGACGTACAATGCTGCCATTGTCAATTTTTATGCTACGGGAGAGGACTCCATTTCTTACCATGCCGACGACGAGGCCTTCCTGGGCCCAGAACCCAACATTGCTTCCCTCTCTCTAGGAGCGACGCGTGACTTTTACCTACGCAGGAAACAGCCTGAAGGTGTGCCTGTCGCGCCAGCCACTTCTCCCTCTGGCTCCAAGGGAGTCGGTTCAGCAAAGGACCGACCAATGGAGAAGCTCCAGCTTAGCGAAGGAGCCCTCTTGATCATGCGAGGCAAGACGCAGGCGGAGTGGGAGCACTCTATACCAAAGCGAAAGGGCGTAAAGGAAGGTAGAATCAACATCACCTTTCGAAAGGCAATTGATAGGAAGGCCATTGATAATTTCACGCGGTACAATAGGGGAGACGGAGGTGGCTATCGCTGGAATGGGAGCAGGATGGTGGAGGGGACTGGTGGCATATGAGATGATTCGGCTTTCATTTCCATTTCGAATTCGTTATTTGTATCATACAGTGTCTAAGCTTGTACCATTGACATAAAAGAAAGGTCTAACCATGAAGAGCGCTTAAAGCATGCATGATCGACTGCCGGTCCTGTGACCACCTAGTAGTGCAGGAGAAAAGGGAGGAAGCTCGTCAGTCGATGATGCAAGTACGAAAACCGCAGGCCTACTTCTTGCACTCACATGATTCCCAATGCTCCCACACCAGTGCTGAGAGCGGCCAGTACGACAGGCCCATAAGCCTTGAGCGGCAGTACAGCCATTGGATCCTCACTGAAGGGCAGCCGTGACGCTACTGCCCGCAGTAGGCCAGCGGAGGCAGCAGTGGTGAGGACGGTCGCTCTGCTCGGGAGTAAGTCCGTGAGTGCCAGCTCCTGACTTCTTTTGAAGAAGCCCACAGCGTAGCGCCAGCCGAACAGTGCTCGTACGGCCATGGAAGCCGTCGAGGCGTACAAGAGTGCCTCCTCTGTACTCACACCTACCTCTCTCGCAACCCTCTCGCGCGTCAGAGTCCACAGGACAACTCCAAAGGTGGCCGAGCTGGACAGTATGACGCGATTGTACCTCTTGAGCTCGGTGGGACTCGCAGTGGACTGTAGAAACCCCTCGAGGATGCCGGACCAGCCTGCCACGGGGAGGAAGAGGGCGAAGGCGGAGAGGGTGCGAGGGGCGGATGTGCTTGCCCATTGGGAGCCTGAGAGGGCCTGGATGAACGGTCTTGAGAGGGGAGGGAGGTAGGAGAGGAGGAAGAGACCGAGAAAGAGGTGCAGGTGCAGGAGGGAGGTGAGGAGGTGCTTTGCTTTGGCGCGACTCTGGGTTGCAGGCTCTGAGGTGACCTTCCCGACCTGCGTCTCTTTTGTGCTCGCCGTTGTATTTGCGCCATCTGCTCTATCGTCGCTGAGACTTCCTAATGTCTGGCAAAATTGGAATCGAGACGACTCCTCCAGCGGCTGGAAGACAAGACGCAGAGGCAGGGAGGCGTAATTGGTACCAAGAGCATACCCACCTTGATCTTCCAGGGAGGCCAAGCGGGAGACAGCGATCTTGTCCGCCTCTGTAAGAAGATGTTTGAGTATCGATTGCAGAAAGAGTAGCACTGCCAGCCTATCTGTGCTAGTGCGACTTTCATCTTTTGGCTTTGCCGGACTGGACCAATTGGGCATATAGAGGTGGAGGGTTCTTCCGAGGCCAAAGCGAAGGGAGTAGCTACCCGTAAATGTAAGCAGGATAGCAGCTCCATACGCCGCCTGTCCCAGCCCAAACGCCAGAAGTCCAGCCTCTTCTCCCAGAGAGAATACTCCTGCTAGCGTGACAACACCCTTTGCAATTGCAGCGCTTCCCTCTGCCCGTACTCTAAGCGCTAGGTTCCTCCCTCCTCTGGCAGAGAGGGCGTGGAGGTAGAGTGGCTCGGAGAGGAGCTCCAAAAGGGCAGAGAGTAGGTAGAGGTGGATTACCGTGTCTTGGTAAGGCCGGGTCTCTTGGGATTCAGTGGAGGAGGATGTGAAGAGGGGCAGAGCTAGAAGAGCGAATAGGATACCAAGCGGGATGGGCAGTAGAGACAGGTTGCCCCCTTCACTGCCTGCCTCTTGATCAACTCCATGCTTGGACTTGCGGTCCTTTCCCTCTGCCTGAATCTCGCTCCGATCATCTTGCCTCAAAGTAGCAGCACGAATCCCCTCCCTCGAGAGGAAGAGAACGATGCCCAAGACTAGCTCGCACCTGATATGGGCAGCACCGTACAGAGCCGGACTGCTAAAGCGAATCAGCAGCTGGTTGAGCCCAAAGGTGAAGACTCGAGTGAGGATCTGCAAGGAGAGGAGCAGGATCGCGGGTGAGAGGCTACTGAAGCGCCCCATCTTGCCCCGGAGTACCACCGGTGTAGGAGCAATGGCGACTAGGCAGACAGACGGGCAGGACAAGGATTCCAAGGACGCGGGGTAAGGGAGCAGGAAGATGTGAGTAGCTTCGCGTTGACGGAAGGCGGAGCTTCGATTGCATGTGCTGACCCGCGAGGCAGGCTGATCACCATGCCAAAGAAGCTCGTGGTCAAGAGTCGAATGGTATTGCCAAGCGTAGACAAGGTAGACAAGGGAGGCACAATCATCCATACGAGCTCTCCATCTATGCCCTATTTGAAGGGACTATCCCTGCTCACATCCTCGCTTAGGTCTTGCTGTGTGTCTATCTCTGCTTTGCTTTCGTGCACGTCTACTTGGCTCTCGGGATGACAATTTCGGGACTTGCCACCTCCGGCGCATTTATCAGAATACTAGGAAGAGACAAAGGCAGGCAGAGTTTTGTGCGTCAGCGAAAGGGCACTTTTGATGACATATGGAGCTGCCTACTCACTCATAATGGCCGGGACGGAATAGTAGCGCTGAGGCAGAGAAAGCGGAGTCAAGATGGGCCACGGGTCAGTACAACAATTGAATCTCTAAGCTACTGCTAGCTGCCACTCTGCTAGACTCACTTCCGATGTCAATGTGCGCCACTGCGCCAGGAATCTCAAAGTGAACGATGTCACAATGCGTAGCATCGTCCTTGGCCCTCTGAGCCTCTGCCTCATGGCCAGGCACTTGCATCGCTTGCGTCTCATCGTATTCCTCAGCAAGGGGAGTCGCTGGCGGCGCACCACTACGCGAGAGGTAGGCTACATCTAGCGACACCTTCAGACAGCGCGACAGGGCTGCGATCTGTACGTGGTCGGCCTCCTTACCGATGGCTTCGACTTGGTTGGCGCAGAACTTCTCCATTGTGGGCGGTCCACCATCGAAGCTGCTCTGGTATTCGTCTTCAAGGGTGAAGAGGAAGGGCAGAAAGTCTTCCTCGTTGAGCTTGAGGTAAGCACTGGTCAGCAGTCGAAGGTATACGACGATGCTGTTGCTTGTCTCTGGGTCGTTGAAGGCCCTTTGAAGGTCGGCGTCTGTGAGCTCAGAAACCTGAGGGTCTGTTGTGTGCATGCGTAGGAGAAGGTCGTGGAATGGGTTGTAGAAGTCTACGTAGACAGACTCGTCGAAGCCTGCTTGCTTCAGAAGGCTCTTTGTGTCTTCAACATGCTTGAGAATGAAGTGGTGCATGGGACGATCGTTGAAGTGAAGCAGCCTTTGAATGAACGCAAAGGCAAATGATCTGTAGAAGCAATCTCCATCCCCCCTCGTCCTTCGCAGGGCAATGAAGTCGCCTACATCCCTGAGCCATCTGGCCTTTGCGACGAACTGCTCTACTCCCTCTCCCCCTGCGTACTCCTTTTCCAAGACCTCGATGGGCTCTGCTGGTCCAATGAGAGCCTGCGTGGCGTTGCTCTCATCTTTGATCTTCTGTGCCAGCTCTAGCCTTTGAAGATCATTCAGAGACGAGAGACTATAGCGGAAGCGGGGCGCAGGGGGAGGCAAAGTGGCGTGGTGAGCGATTTGCGCTCAAGGCTGTCTTGAGTGGCCTAGCAGTGGTACTCACTCTGTCTCGGGGCCGACTAGATGCGACATTTCAGCTGAAGAGTTGACAATTGCACCACTGAAGAGGATGTTAAAATACGAACTGGAGGGTAGGTGATGGGTCGAGCTGCTGCAATGGCCTCTGTGTGGGTGAGGGGACGTGGGTATGTGTGCGGATGAGCGTGTGTGAAACGGCGGCGAGGATGGAAAGTGACCCTGGCCATCTCTGATCAAAGCTCAGGCCAGGCAGCAGCGAGGCTCCCAGGCGGCCCGCCAATTCATCCGCGCGAGACCCAGGCAGGGCAGCCCACTCATCCAAGGCACGACAGATTTTGAGCCACTTCCTCGTCGTGCATTCTTCCTAGGGCCGAGGTGACTTGGTTGCCACTGTTACATCTCCATCCTCTCCTCGCACCTCCTCTCCTTTCATCCTCATCTCCTCCTCGTTCCTACGCCCCTCCTCCGCCGCTGCTGCCATCGACTGGGCTCAACATGCCTCCTCGAGGGAGCCGGGACAATAGGCGCAGTGCGAAGCCCATTGACGAACGGTCGGTCGCAGGTCCTTCTTCCTCGCGCCTCGTTGCCGATGTCGACCCGGGCAGAGACTACGAGGATGTCTCGATAGATGATCTCATGGCAGAGGCAGCAGCCATGGGCTCCAAGCCAGACCCTTCGGTTGCCTCGGGTCATCACTTCTCGTCATATGCAGACTCGATCGACCCTGGAGATCCACCGATGAAGCCAGGCAAGGGTGCTGCAGGCCGTATGCCCGGCAGCATCAAGGAGATGGCAGCAATGACTGGCGTAGAGCTACAAGGGGGAGAGGCAGAAGACGAGATAGCGACAATGATCAGAGCAGCCCAGCTGAATGGCAAGAATCTCTCCGATCCTATCAAGATGGTAGAGGACAAGTGGGAGCTGCTGCCTGCCTTCTTGAAAGTGAAAGGATTGGTGAAACAGCACATCGATTCTTTCAACTACTTCGTCGATGTGGATCTCAAGAATATCATCAAGGCCAATGAAAAAGTCACGTCAGACATCGACCCTAGATTCTTCCTTCGGTATACCGACATTCGGGTGGGCCATCCAGAGCGGGATGACGCGGATGCAAGCAACAAAACGATCTTCCCTCACGAATGCAGATTGAGGGATCTCACCTACTCGGCGGGAATCTTCATCAACATCGAATACTTCAGAGATGGAATGCTCGTGCGGCGAAGGAATGTGCCCATCGGCAAGATTCCCATCATGCTGCGATCCAACAAGTGTGTCTTGACTAACAAGTCTCATGCCGAATTGGCACGCATGAACGAATGTCCGTTGGACCCGGGAGGCTACTTCGTTGTCAAAGGAACCGAAAAGGTAATTCTGGTACAAGAGCAGCTCAGCAAGAACAGGATCATCGTAGAGGCAGATGCCAAGAAGGGTCTGGTACAGGCCTCAGTCACGAGTTCCACGCACGAGAGAAAGTCGAAGTCCTACGTCCTAACCAAGCATTCGAAGATATTTCTGAAGCACAACTCTTTCCACGAAGACATCCCGATCGTCGTGGCTTTCAAGGCCATGGGTATTCAATCCGATAAGGAAATCCTTCAACTCGTTGCTGGAAGCGATGAAGCATATCAAGAGCTCTTCGCAATCAACCTCGAAGAAGCGGCCCGTCTCAATGTCTACACCCGCCAGCAAGCACTCACGTACATCGGCCATAGAGTCAAGATGGCTAGGAGGCCAATGGCGGTTCGGAGACCCATAACCGAAGAGGCGATTGAGGCCTTGGCTCATCTCGTCATGGCCCACGTAGAGGTGAAGGATCTCAACTTCAGGCCAAAGGCTGTATACGTTGCTGTAATGGTCAGAAGGGTGTTGATGTGCATGCAGGACGAGAGCATGGTTGATGATCGTGACTACGTCGGAAACAAGCGTCTGGAATTAGCCGGCCAGCTTCTGTCTCTGCTCTTTGAGGATCAGTTCAAGAAGTTCAACACGGACTTGAAGATGAACATCGACAAGGTCCTGAAGAAGCCGAACAGAACAGTCAAATTCGACGCGTATAACTGCATAGCTTTCCACGGAGACTACATCACCTCTGGCTTTGTCCGAGCAATTTCGACAGGGAACTGGTCTCTGAAAAGGTTCAAGATGGAAAGGGCTGGTATCACCCACGTCTTGAGCAGACTTAGTTTCATTGCCGCTCTGGGAATGATGACTCGAATCAGCTCGCAGTTCGAGAAGACTCGTAAGGTGTCAGGACCCCGTGCCCTGCAACCTAGTCAATGGGGAATGCTTTGCCCTTCGGACACGCCGGAAGGAGAAGCTTGCGGTCTCGTCAAGAATCTCGCGCTGATGACGCACATCACTACTGATGTAGGTGAGGAAGCCATTAGAGACGCTGCGTTCATGCTCGGCATCGAGGACATCAACTTAATCACTGGAGCGGAGCTCTACCGACCTGACTCCTACATCGTGATGATCAACGGAAGCGTCTTGGGCCTCACGAGGTTCCCAGTCAAATTCGTCACCTCGTTCAGGAAGCTGAGGAGACGCGGCAAGATTTCTGAGTTCGTCTCGATCTATACCAACACCCATCACCAACACGTTCACATTGCCTCTGACGGAGGTCGAATCTGCCGACCAATGATCATTGTCGACGGCGGTCGATCCCGAGTGCAAACAGGACACATCGAGGATCTCAAGAAGGGTATCAAGACTTTCGACGACTTCCTTGCTGCTGGACTCATCGAGTATCTCGATGTCAACGAGGAAAACGATTCGCATATCGCTCTTTATGAGCGTGATATCTCGTTTGCGACTACACATCTGGAAATTGAGCCGTTTACTCTTCTCGGAGCAGTCGCAGGCCTGATTCCCTACCCTCACCACAATCAGTCGCCCCGTAACACGTACCAGTGTGCCATGGGTAAGCAAGCTATTGGCGCAATCGCCTACAACCAGCTCAACCGAATAGATACGCTCCTCTACCTCATGGTATACCCCCAGAAGCCCATGGTCAAGACGAAGACGATTGAGCTGATCGGCTATGAGAAGCTCCCCGCTGGCCAGAATGCAATGGTCGCCGTGATGAGTTACTCAGGGTACGATATTGAGGACGCCTTGGTGCTGAACAAGGCTTCCCTAGATCGAGGCTTCGGTCGTTGTCAAGTTATGAAGAAGTCCACGACTCAACTCCGCAAGTACCCCAACGGATCGCATGACCGTATCGGTGATCCGCCTCTGCAAGAGGACGGCAGTCGGGTCAAGGGCTACGATGTCCTGGAGTCCGACGGTATCGCCGGTGTGGGAGAGCGGGTCGATGCGGGCGACGTCTACGTCAATAAACAGACGCCAACCAATGCGATGGACAATTCTGCCATGTCGCAGAGCGTTACTGCGATGGGCTGGAAGAGTGCTGCTCTCAAATATAAGACGCCAGTGCCATCCTACGTCGATCAAATTCTGATGGCAGATACCGACTCTGATCAAACACTCATCAAGACGCTTCTCCGCCAGACTCGAAGACCGGAGCTGGGTGACAAGTTCTCCTCTCGTCACGGTCAGAAGGGAGTGTGCGGTCTTATTGTCCAGCAGGAGGACATGCCCTTCAACGACCAAGGTATCAACCCCGACATTATCATGAACCCTCACGGTTTCCCCTCTCGAATGACAGTGGGCAAGATGATCGAGCTTCTGGCAGGCAAGGCCGGTGTCATCTCCGGTAAGCTGCAATACGGCACTGCCTTTGGCGGTAGCAAAGTGGAGGACATGAGTCAGATCCTCATTGAGAATGGCTACTCCTATGCCGGAAAGGATTTCCTCACGAGCGGTATCACTGGTGAGCCAATGGAGTGTTACGTCTACTTTGGGCCGATCTACTACCAGAAACTCAAACACATGGTCATGGACAAGATGCACGCCCGAGCTCGCGGTCCTCGAGCTGTCCTCACCCGCCAGCCTACGGAAGGTCGATCGCGCGATGGTGGTCTGCGATTGGGAGAGATGGAACGAGACTGTCTGATTGGGTACGGAGCTACTCAGCTCCTCTTGGAGCGACTGATGATCTCCTCGGACGCCTTTGAAGTCAATGCTTGCCAGAAGTGCGGATTCTTGGGTTACAATGGCTTCTGCGTCTACTGCAAGAGCTCGAGAAACGTAGTCACATTGACCATTCCTTATGCCACCAAGCTCCTCTTCCAGGAATTGCTGGCGATGCAGATCTCACCTAGGCTGATCCTCGAGGATGCTGTTTGAGTTGATAATGGTCATCAGCTTTAGCTGACAGAGTAGTCTAGACTCTTCCCCTCCCAGTAATCTCATCCTGTATACACCTTAGACCCCTCCACCTCATTCCACGTTCTCGAAACGAACCGGACGTCTAGCTCGGACGTCTCTCAATGTACTTCATACCACAGTGTCCCTTTCGGAAAAAGGCCAATGTCTGAATTGAGTTGTGATGCCTACAAGGCGTTGATTGCTATTCCTTCCTTTGCTTGGCACTTGACAGCAGCATTTCCTCCACTATCGCATCGCCCCACCTCTCCTAGAGGTCCTGGGCGCAAGGTCCAGCTCCTTCACCTGCTCCTCTTTAATCCCTCCACCTCTACTGCTTCTTGTTACCACTCTCTCCATGCAGATCATTGATGGCCGTCTCTACATCATCGAGGTGCTTTCGCTGCTTTGCTAGCTGCTCACGCAACTTCTTGAGCTTGTCCTGCTCGGCACGGACAATGTACTCCTTCTCTTGACCCTGCAAGAGTGAGAGGGAGGGAGGGAGGGAGGGAGGGGGACAGAGGGTTGAGAGTCAGATCAACGTCGTTATGTACCTTCCGTACAAGATGTTGCACTCGGGGATCTCCCCAAATTCACTCACCTGCTCACGGTTCTTGAAACCAGTCGAGCTGGCAGTGGCACCTGTGTCCGACCCTCCTGGTCCACCAGCATAAGTGCGAACAGAGATGTTCATAATGGGTCGTGCCGATGCGAGGAGGGATCGGGGAGCAGAAGTACGTAGGAGCGACATGATTGGTGAGATATCTGGTGTTTAGAAATGGGCGAGGTGAGGTGTCGTGAGGTGATGAAGGAAGGATGAGTTGGGTGAGCGAGAGAAGCGAAGCACCTCTTGATGACGGCTGTGCGTCCAATCGTCCTCGCCTCCTCCCCTCCACGCAACGCCAGGCTTCAGATCGTCACTTCGAGGGCTTTGCAAAACCGTTGCCCTTTCCGTTGGCGCGCGCCGCCCGCCAAAGCAAAGGTGGTTCCTATTGTGGAAGTCACTTTTTGCCTCTCCGCATGCCATGCTACCACCCTATTCTATCTGCCACTCCGTCTTTTGCTCTCACGCCACTAGTATCGCCATTTCTGGCGGTAGTGCTCCTCCCCAGCTATCCGTTCCGACTTTCATCGCAGCAATCGACCCAATTTTGGCAGAGTAGAGCCGCTGCCCCCAAATACCACCTCTTCCTCCGCCTCCTCACCTCCCTCCGACGATAACCCGGTCAAATCAGCTCCTAGCACCCTGTAAAAGCCCTCGCTGACATGCCTGGACGCACTATATCACGTCAGCTGAAAATAGCGCTCATGCGGCTCGTAGATAGGGAGCAAATCACTCTAAATGACTGTGTCGAGATCGGCGCCTTTTCAAGGAGATCTGCCAGGCGTATCAGATCGCTCTGGCTCATTCACCAAGGATCGCTACCGCCTCAAAATCGCCACAGCAAGGGAGGGCGGCCTCGCAAGATGACTACTCTTGCAAGACACTATCTACGCTTGCTGGTTAGGCTGCAGAGTGACCTCTACCTGGCCGAGCTTGCTTATGAGCTGGTCAGGCTAGGGTTCGAGCAATTTCATGAAGCACTCATCTGTAGGGAGCTCAGGCGCATGGGTCTTACTCGCAAGGTCGCAAACTGCTTTGCTACCAGCCGAGACGACGCCAAGCGTATCGCGTTTCGCATCAGGATGAGCCAATATGAGGCGAGGCATCTGGTCTTCGTAGACGAGTCAGCCTTCGACTTCAGGGTCTGCAATCGCACTCGCGCAAGGTCTAGAAGGAATACTTTAGCATTTCTAAGGCAGCCATTCCAGCGTGGGCGCCGTCTCAGCTTCTTGCCAGCATGCTCACTGAAGAAGAGGTGCTTTGCTTACTACATGAAATCAGGTAGCATCAATGGCGACGTTTTCCTCTACTATCTGAAGCATGTGCTTCTGCCAAGGATGCGGCCCTATCCTGACGACAATAGTGTCATCGTCTGTGACAATGCTAGCATACACAAGGTGTCAGAGGTGCTAGAGCTAGTGGCTAGCAAGGGTGAGTGCTGCGAACGCCGCTATCGTACGGCACTTCGCGTCGCGTGAATCACGCGACGCGGAGTGCCGTACCAGTCTGGCAACGGCGTACTAACGCACTAAAGCACTACACACTGAGTCATACCCATACGCAGACTGTCGCATTGAGTATCTGCCACCCTACAGCCCAGACTTCAACCCTATAGAGAAATGCTTCAATAAGATCAAGACCAGAATGCGAGGCACTGGCTTTCTGCCACAGCAGGGCTTTGAGCAGCAGATTGTGCTCGCAGCAAGGTCTATCACTTCTGCAGACGTCCAAGGATGGTTCAGGTTTGCTGGCTATCTTCCAAGGGATGGTTTTGAGCCGCCGCAGCCGTAGGCGGGGTTGGCTCACGCAGCAAGCCCGCCATTCGCTGCATTTCCTTCTTGTCTGGCGCTATCATCCTCATGCGCTGCGCTTTGAGGGTCTGAGCCTCATTAGGAGCTGCGTCAGGGATTGCATGCCAAGCTCGCAGCATCTGTTCAATGCGAGAGCAATCGACGAGACCAAAGTGGAGTTGTGGCAGCTTGTCGCAGTGCCAGATGTCGGCTAGGGTGTGCATGTCAAAGATAGACACATTAGCTAATTTGATGAGTAGATCGTCGTCTTGCCACATATGGCCCTCCCTGGATAGGTCGAGACAGCTCATGTATGGACCTGTAAGGTTATCTTTGGTGGCTCTGGGCTGCATTGCAGCAGCAGCAGCCTGAGAGCCCAACGCGCCGTCGCTGACTATACGTCGACTATCTGCTAAATTGGTGATGTCTGCCAAGCTGCGCCTAGTATCAGAAGTAGAGTGGCTGCTTGTCATAGAAGATGGCCAGCTGCTCAGCTCTTCGTCGCACACAATGCTTGGCGTAGACTCTCTAGCACTTTGCGCACTGCTGGCAATACTAGGGCGTGAGCGATGGCGAGTGGCATCCTTCCTTGGAGGGACAAAGCGCGGTATGGGGAGGTCGTCGAGGACATGAGAAGGTGGATTGGTGGTTGTGTAGCGTGAGCCTGGCATCCTGATATCTAGAGCCCATCTCTCGATGACATAATCTGGCAGAGGGTAATGATGAGCATTCTCATCGATATAGCAATGGAGGCGCTTCCTCGCACCTCTGCACAAAGGGTGCGTACAGACTGGCCACTTGCGAGTGAGCTCATTGACCTCAGGGATCGTGTCGTCTAGGGGTAGACTGCGTTCTAGAGGTGTAACGGCAGGCTGCCTAGACTTCTTGGCTGCCTGCGGCTTAGTAGGAGAGCTGGGTCGACTCACTGACACTACTTCAACGTCACTATCATCTGCGCTCGGTGCAACCTCTGGCGCCCTCCAGACCTCCCACTGACCGCGGGCATTCACCCATTTACTACTCTTGAGAGCATCGAGGAAGTATTCGTAGTCCTGTTGCGAATTGATGGCAATATACTGGTCGAAACGTTTGGACCTTGGTATGCAGAAATGAGGCTGCGCCGTCTTATAGTCTTCCTCGGGTGTGCCGGTCGCTGGATCAATGCCCTTGGCAATAGCGATAGTGAAGTTCAGGTAGGACACCAGTGGCTTGAATCTGACAAAGTGTCTATAGTGTTTGAGCTTCTTGTCCTTGACTAAACCTTGGGGAGTTGTCTGCTTCACCATTGGTTGAATGGTCATGGCAATCTCGACTTCAAATGGTCTTCCTGTGATTGGATGGCGGCGGCATCAACGTCTGAAGCAAGGAGGGACCCTGTATGACACATACCAACTGCGTCTTCTGCCTCCCTAGCCACCCTGGTGGAGTTGCCGGTCCTACGGCCCAGTTCTTCTCTTGCGTCAAGCTGCAATGTACGAGAGAGCAAAGTTGCTCAGCATTGAACTTGCTCAAAATGCGTCTGTTTGGGCCCTTCTTTCACACACCTCATTAACAAGTTCTGAACTACGATTAGGAGCCTTCTTCTTGCCCTGGGCAGCCTTGGAAGAGTGGGAATTTCGGTGTGCTGCGTTTGGAGGGGATGAACAGGCTCATTTCAGTCGCTCAGTAGCTCGACCCTTGAAACTCGGTACAAAAGGGCAAATAAACCGCACCCATGGATAGAGGAGGCCCTTTTGCGCGTACTGATGAAGTTTCAATGCGTGTTAATCGAGCCAAATTTGACTTTCAAGAATGGTGAAGTATGGAGAGATGGGTAGGAGTGAGCAGTCGCCGGCGTCTGCGACGGAAGTGGATAAACCGATCTGCCGAGCGCGCAACGCGACGTGGGGGCAACGGTTTCGCAAAGCCCTCTCACCGTTTGGCGGGGGGCCACCACACACCCGGGCGGGCGGGCGGGTGCGAGAGAAGAGTGCGCGCGCGAAGGGGGGGGGGGGCCCGCCTGGAGGGAAGATGATGGCCATGTGGCCTCACACTGCCAGGCCACGGCCACGGCCAGAGCCAAAGCCCCGCCGTCCGTTCCCGTTGGAGGCCGAGGGCGGGCGGGCGAGGCCAAGGCCAAGCAAGGGCGTTGGATCCTTCCTCGTCTCAACCCAACGTCCGATCATCTACACCTTTCCGTACTACCCTCATCGCCAATACCCCCACGTTCATCAAGATGTCGCTCTCCCTCTTCGCAAAGACTGCTGTAAGTATGCGCGCTAGATACAGAGTGCATGGACAACAGGAAAGTTGGGATTCCATTCTGCGACATTGAGGGCATGGAACTGGCAGCCAAAGCCTGGAAGATCCAGGCCATGGATAGCAGGCTTGACATCGATGTGCCGCTTCCATACAGGACATGGCGCTGACGTTCTCACCCATTCATTAATTGTTCCCCTGTCAGACCCGCTCGTTCGCCTCCGCCCAGGCCTCTCGAGGATTCGCTACCTCGGCCATTGCCCGACGAGACTTGATCCAGGAGGCTTACCTGCGTGAACTCAAGGCTTACAAGCCCGCTGCCAAGGTGAGATGCAGCCCAGGGCAACGGGAGCAGGCGCAAAAGATGACAAGAGTGAAGAAGAGACACAGAGGTGAGAGTGATCTCATATTGACCTTTGCAACTTTGCCTGTCTCCCCCGTTCAATGCTTCCTGCCTCTCCAGTCCGCCGACTCTCACAAGGGTCAAGTCCGCGAATTCCACCAGCCAAGCCCACCCAAGGCCCCCGCTACCCCTTCTTCCTCTTCCCTCTCTTCCGAGCTCGACTCTTACGCCTCTTCAGAGCCCGACGTGGCCGAGGTCTCCAAGTCGTCTTCTACTGAGGAGGTCTCAGTGGGCGGTGGTGCCAAGGAGTTCCTCGAGGAGGCTAGGAGGGACTACCCCAAGGAGGAGGCTCACCACTAGATGGTTCGGGGAGTGATATGAGCGATGATGACGGCGACATACAGGCTGTGACCATTGTTGCCCTCGGGAAATAAAAGCATTCTTCACACTCTGCTGAAGTCGAGAAATGATCGAGGGTATATGATTGGACAACATGCAGGGAGAGCATGCGATGAAGTTCTTGCTATGGCGTCTCAGCGCCTTTCTTCAGCCCCGCATCTCAACAACACTGGCGCAAATGGTCATGAAAGCCTTCAGGTACTCTTTCGCGTACACCGCCTCCTCCTGACCACCGTTGCCGTCCTGCCCTCCGCTGACCTCCCGGGAGTGCATCATCTCTCCAATCACCACGGCCGTCTGACATGGGTGGAGGGAGATGCAGGGTAGAGAGGTAATGGGGTGATCTGAGAGACTGAGAGGTGGGAAATAGGCCGGTGCGACGCTCTCCTCGTCTGAGAGGGTTGATGTGCCGTCCTGCATCTGAGGCTCCGTCAGCACTACCGTATCCCCTGCTCCGTCGTCACCACCTCTATGTGCTGATGATGCCTGCGGGAGAAGAGGGTGAAGTGTGCTCCTTCTCCCTGCCTCTTGCAGAGTTTTATCAAACCCGAGCCCATTTTCACCCGGCAGGAATACTCCTAGATGAGGATCCATCATCTCCTCTAGCGACAAAGTCTGACCCGTATGGGTATCATGTGCTTGCAGATAGAGGACAGGAGTGGACCATGTGCTTGAGTAGAAGATCTGTTGCGTGCAACTGATGGTGCTGCTGTTGCAAGTCGGGACAGAAGTGCTGTCGATGCCGGTGCCGGTGCCGGTGCCGGTGCTATGGCTGTTGTCGGTGGGTGGAGGGTGGGTCGTTGAGGTGGGGTCTTGGGCTTCGTTAGGATGTGAGATGCCAGAGGAGAGGGTGGGGTCTGACTCAAGGTCCTCTTCCTCGCTGTGTTTCTGCGGTGCATGGATGGAGCTCCTCTCCAGGGTCAAAATCTCGAGTACTCGTTTGAGGTGCGAGAGCTGGGGTAGCTGTGCCACGGAGGTCGAAATGGCGTCAGCTCTTCAGTCCCTACCATTGTCCGACCAGACTGCATCTCCTATCTCACCATGGGATGCTGCATCCATTCCCAGCCGATGGTGTAGAGGTCTGGTCCAAGGTCTTGTCGATCCTCTTCTTCCTGCTGGGCGAAGCGGCCGTTCCCTCTCCGCACACGCCTGTGAGACTTGCAGCCTACATAGCTCGCACATCCCTCTCTGAACTGTTCCAAGGTAAGATGGCGCGGCCGAGGGGCAGGAGTGGCCATTGTCCCTCTTGCCCTTGCCCGCAATCTGACTCGACTTGACTTGCCTGCTTGCCAATGTCTTCTTGATCAGCAGACCATGCCCGGCTGGATTGGCTGGCTGGCCTCTGCGGGGTGATACGGCGGCGTTTGGGGGTCGGTCCCTTTCGCCCCTCCTTGGGCGGCGCGTGTAGCTTTGTTTGGTCTCCGCTTCTGTGATCAGCTCCACTTGCGAGGAGGACCCTAGTCCAGTCTGGTCTAGTCTAGTGTAGTCTACCCTGGCCTGGGAAAGTAAAGGTGGCCTGTCCAAGGGAGGTCCAAGCCCAAGTCTTGTCTTCTCGCACGACAACTCCATCACTTTTACTTCATCACCTACATCCGGGCCTCTCATATTGGCCACTCGTAGTCTACGCCAGCATAAGCCCATCTCAGACCTCGAAACAGCCTCCTATCGAGACAGATAACATTCCATCCAGTAGCCTTTGCATCCTGAACCAACCTCACCGCATCGTCCAACCATGGCTCTACCTTCACGCAATCACACCTTTCCAGTCTCGTCTACCTCGTCTCATCACTACCATCCGCCCCATCACTATCGGAAGAAGAGGGGAGGAGCTGGAACGGGCAATGCTGGTGCAGCTTCTGGTACAGCGGCGGGACCGTTGCGACAGCTTTTGGTTGATAGAGAGGAAGAGGCTGGTATCATGGGAGGGGGAAGCTCGAGAGATGCCAGTGAGGTGAGTAGACCAGTGGCGACCTCTTGCCTTGCACTACGCATCAAGCTCACCACTCACTGATACCTCCTCTGCATGCTATCATAACTTCACGACAACAGGAAGACAATGATGCCTTTTCAGAGCACAGCGATTCAGCATCCTCTGCACCTCGTCTTCTCTCCGAGACACTTGGCTCACCGACGCAACTCCCCCGCGGTATTCCCACTACAGCCAGAGATCGAGCACTGGTAGATTCCAAGGCTCATCGGCACAACTACAGTAATGCCTTCGCAGGCATCCTTGCCCCTGGAGGCCAGAAGGGGCGTGTGCCAAACACCGACTATACGCCCAGCGGCGCCTCTTCAGGGCTGCGAGCTTCTCAAAATCCGGGGATGTCTACAAGCGGGCCTATTGCCTCTTCCTCCGTTAGCGGACCATCACATCAGTCAGGCCGCAAGTCCTTCTCCACCACCGGTCGAGTCGACCCATCAGTCACGGCCACATTGTCGCAGGCAGCAGCTGCCCTTTCGTCCTCTTCCTCCAACGACCTCTCACGCTACGCTGCAGATGACGAGGACAAGTCTTCCGAGTCTTCCAAGACGGGCAGGGCCGCTTCGATTGACTCGAACTCGACGGATGACCAGATCCGACCTTTGGCACTCAAGAGGGCGGCAGGTGGGCCTTTGAGTCTACATTCGCTTCCAGAGCCAGCAGCCGCCCTGTCTATCGTGGATGCATCGACACCCCGTCCGCCTAATAGCGCGAACTCTCTGTTAGCCTCGGCGAATCTACAGAGGGAGGCTTCCACTTCCTCAGAGCTGGATGGCGATAGTGAGTCACAGAGTGTTGCCTCGTCCCTCTCTCATCGTGAGGGATTCAAGGCACCTCTGAACGTTCGGGATGGTGCCGGTGATGAAGGCGATGCTTCCGATGGTGGAACAGCTTCTCCCTACGATGGCGATGTCGAGTTTGCGGCACGGACGCCCGTTTCGCAGCAGATTGTGAACCAGCAAATCAGTCAGCTGCAGCAACAGGCCAGTCCTTCGAGGAATGCTGGCACGACATTTGCGTTCGACAACAGCCCAGCTAGCGTCCTAGCCGATCTTTCCCCTCCGGCCGACTCTCTCGGATCCTCCAATTCACTCGCGTCCGACGTGGGACAGAGCGTCAAGGATGTCCCATGCCGGGTCTATACGGCCACTGCGGGGCCCAGTGTCGCTACAGGAGCCCCAATTGGAGACGGTCAGACCTCTGACACGTCTTTGCCCAACGCTGCGTCTGCCTCTTCAACGCTGACCTCTCAAGGTACTCAACACCCCTCGGCAGCAGAGATTCACTCGCACCTCATCACACTCAACCCCCCACACCTAGTTTCTCGCCTCTTCGCCCATGCAGCAGGCGTTGAGAGCTCGGCTATTGCCTCTTCTTCCTCTGCACCTCCTGCCCTCTCCACCTCCTTCCTCGCGTCTGGATCAACTTCGGCGACCGCATCGGCGCAAGCGCCCACTGTGAGGATCTTTGTTCAGACGATCTTCGACGTGCCCACCCTGGCTACGTGCACCTCCCTCTTGCGCACAGCCAAGATGTGTCTCGGTCCCGGCCTGGCAAATCAGGTGCGCATCGTCGCAGGAGTAGTCGCTACTGCCCCTCCTCCTCCAGCTCCGCCTTTGGGTGAGACTGCTCCTGCGGACATGGCTGCTACTGGCAGCACACTGGCTCTGGAGCAGCGGGCAGGCTTGGCACGCAGCTGTCGCTGGGTGGACGAAGTGGTGGAAGGAGTGCCCTACTTTCGCGAGCTGGACAGTAGTGCCACCCTTGCTGATGCGGCCGGTCCATCTTCCTCATCCTCCTTGACCTCCACGGCGTCGTCCTTGCAGACGAGGGGTGACTTGAATAAGTTGCTCAAAGACGTAGGGGCAGTCTGGTGTGCAAGGTTCGTCAGAGGGATTGAGGTTGAAGTCACAGGCAGTGGCAGGGGCGGTGTGCCCACGACAGGAGATGAACAAGAGGGAGGCCTGATCCTTCTACCGAGAGTCGTATAAGTGGATCAGTCAGCCAAGGATCGCATGCAAGTTCGAAAGCGGTGGTATTATTGGGGATCGTCTATACTTTACATTACATCTCCATCTAAAGAGAAATGACAAAGTCGATTTCCTTGGCGCTGGCGCGGGGGAATTATTAGCAAGCACGGTATCGGGAGTGGTGAGACTCTGAGTCTGAGTCTGAGCTCGACCTCGAGCTGGAGCGGACTCATCGAAATCGCAAAAGCATAGCACAATGTACCAGTGATCTGATCGCTACCTCTACTTCTCTACCCCCTTCTCGTTCTTCCCTTTGTTCTTTGCTCCATCTCGCAGCTCGCGCTTGAGCACTTTTCCCGAAGCGTTCTTTGGCAGCTCGGTGATCCAGGTGACTGAAAGCGAGAGTAGTGTGCAGCAGTAGCAGCAGTAGCAGCAGCACAAGGAAGGATTTGGACGAATGGATGGATGGATGGAGGGTGCATATCAGTGTCAGATCCAACTCTCTCCGAGCCTTTCGTCCCACGACGAGGTCGATGTTGCCAAGTACTCACCTCCTTTTACGCGCTTGTACTTTGTCATCTTTGAATTAACGTACTCTATCACCTTTTTGCTCTCCTCTTCCTCTTTACCCTCGTCCTTGAGCGTTTCTCCATTCACATGAACGCAAAATGCCCAAGGTTGCTCTTCTCCTCCTGCTCCTCCTGCTCCTCCTGTTGACTCCTGTCCTTGCACGGGCACAGGTACTCCAACGACTGCCACGTCCTTTACGCTTTGTACACCCCGCAGGATCACTTCTTCCAATTCGGCGGGGCTGACTTGAAATCCACTGACCTTGATCACGTCCTTGGCGCGATCGTGGATACGCACGTACCCCTGAGAGGTGAGGGAGACGATATCCCCTGTGCGGAGCCAGCGCTCCTCCCCTTGCCCTGTATCACTGGAGAGGAAGGTGGAGTCATTGGCGGCTTCGTTGCGGAGATAGCCGCTCATCATTTGTGGACCGGAGAGGAGAAGCTCCCCTTGCGTTCCCTTTACCGTTTCTTCTTCTTCTTCTTCTTCAGGAGCAACTGCCTTCAAGTCCTCGCCGGTATTGACGTCTACCACCCTCGCCTTGGTACTAGCCGCTAGTCTTCCTACCCCTCCACCTCCCTTCTTACTCAAACTCCAATCCTCTACCATCTCCAAACAGATAATGGGACTCATCTCGCTCATTCCATAGCCATCCGTGACCCTTATTCCCCTCTTCTCCCACAATTCCTCTCGCAATTTAGGAGGAAGTGAGGCAGCTCCTGAGGCGACGCGACGCATAGAGGAGAGGTCTACCCAGGCTTGTTCTACTTCTGGGGAGCGGGAGAGAGCGAGGAGGATGGGGGGTACGAGGAAGGAGAAGGTGCAGCGCTCGCTTGTTGTGAGGTGGAGGAAGAGGGGGAGGGAGAAGCGTGGGAGGATGTAGCGTGGGGTGATCTAGGTGGGCGTAGGCAGGCAGAGCGTGAGAGAGGGTGAGTAAGGTCTTCTGTAGCAGGCGAGAAGGCTCAGCTTGACCTTGACACTCACGGTATGCATGGCGACGAAGGCTACCAAGAGGCCATAGCAGTGGAATTGAGGTAGGATGTCGATATGCAGCTCGCGCTTCGGCGACTTGTGCTCGTCCTCCTCATCACCGCCGTCGGATGTGAGATTGAGCTTTCCCAGCACCCTCTGCACAAGTCCAGTAGCAGGTGGACTCTCATCCCCTCTCCTACTACTCTTTGTCGCATCATACCAACCCTCCTTATCCCCCGCAATCCACCTATCAAAGAGGGGCTCGCAAAGTCGATCATGCATAAGTCCTGTAGCCTGAATCACATTAGCCACCAGACTGCCATGGGACAGTCGCACGGCTTTGGGCTTGCCGGAAGTGCCGGAGGAGAAACAGTACACGGCGTCTTGAGAGCCATGAGAGGTGGAGAGGTGGCGCTGCCAGAGGCTCTTGGAGGAAGAGGAGTCCAAGGAGGGAGGGAGGACAGAGTACCATGATCGGAGGGTAGCCGAGGAGGCGCAATCTGATCCCTTAGCCTCGGCCTCCGGACTCTTGCCGCCCTGTCCGTCTTGCTCTTCGTCAAAGCACCAAACGTCCACTTCTCCCAGCAGCTTCCCACCAGCCGAATCATCATCCCCTTCTTCCTCCCTCGCCAATCGCACCGCCTCGCGTACATTGTCCGCTCCTTTACGAGAGCAAAGCACAACATTGGTTCTGACCAGGCGGAACTGGTGCGCAAGCTCGTGAGCCGTATAGGAGGGGTTGTGCAGGGCTACTACTCCTCCTGGCGGACCTCGCGAGGGGGACGCTGAGCTTGAGCTCGGGCCGGAGCCGGAGGCCGAGCTGTGGTCATCGGCAGGATGGGCAAGATGCGCCCCTAATACAGCGGCGGTATAATCATGCTGATTCGAAGTCACCAACGACAGTACTGGCTGCTGCTGCTGCTCATGTTCATGTCCCTGTGATCCCCTGGTCCAAGTTGGCTCCGCTGCAAGAAAGGTAGCCCACCTCTCTGCAAGATCCTTGAGTCCGCGCAGGGAGAGCGCTTCTGCCTTTGGACGTACGGGGTTGGGATTGAACTTTTCGTGGAAAGGAGGCGGGATGACTAGAGGCTCATCAGAACGAGGGGAGCTAGAGGAGCCGGAGGAGCTGCAACCTGGAGGGGAGATCGAGTGCGCAGCAGAGGGGAGAAGATCTCGGAAGAGGAAGCTAGGCAGAGACGTCTCTGCGGGGGGTAAGCTCAAGTCGGGAAAGGGGGATCGATGGACGATCATATTTACTCTCTTCTCCCTTTTTTGGCTTGTAGCAAGGATGGAGGATAGGAAACAAAGGAATGCTGAGCAAGGGAAAAGGAGACTTTTCTTTTTAGCCGGCCGGAACTACCCTGATCCAAGTCTAGTCTACCTCGGCTGTACCACGAGAAAGTAGCAACCTGCCCCCACGCTCTTTCCGGGCGCAACAAGTGTCCGACGGCTGAGCCGAGGTGGGAACCTCGCTTGGAGCTCGTGAAAGCGGAGTTGACTTGTCCACCTTGCAGAGGGCAGCACAAGCATCGCCCATCGAAATAGACCAAAGACGACCAGAACCTCGGCGCAAGGGGGGGCGGCTGGCGGCACCATACCTAGTGGGGGTACTGAAACATATCACACTCAGGTATTCCTTCAGGGTGGATCAGGATAAATACGCTTCGTGGCAAGTGCAAGGGAATCAAGTGACAAAAACCAAATCTACAGCAGCGGCATCTCTGCTTCCTTGTTCGCTTGTCTGCCTGTCTGCCTGCCTGCCTGCCGGTCTACAAAAGTACAGGTGACCGAAAGGGGCGGCGCTGCTAGTGCTCTCAGTGAGTACTACAGACGATCAAGGGTCTCAAGGGCAGACGAGGGAGGTGGATGGACAAGATCTACCTCGCAATCCTCCTTTCTATATGTTTGTCAGGGCTGGTCGACGTAGCAACACATGCACTTCTTCTCTTCAACAACTCTGTGCCGCATTCAGTTGTGTTGCACTCGACATGTTCCAAGAGTGTACCCAAGAGTACCTCTCGGCTCATTCCAAACAGACCCTCACTTGTCCCCACCACCCCCACCTCCACTTCGATTTCTGAACCTCAACAGTGGAGCCAATGCGCTCTGCGAGCAAGCCTTGCGCAAGAAGCCATGCTGCAGCAGCTCATCAGCCGTAGCCCTGCTCTTGACATCTGCACACAGGCAGACGGCAAGGAATCCCTTGAGCTCCACACTGAGCAGATTTGGCTTCTTCAGAGTCGGCGTCCCATTGGTGGCGATGAGATAGAGAGCCTTCAAAGGTTCCTCGTCCAGGTACGGAGGCTCATTCTCGATCATCTCGATGGCCATGATTCCTAGAGACCAAATGTCCACTTTGGCGCCGTACTCCTTTTGTTTTACCACTTCTGGCGCCATCCAGTATGGAGTGCCCACCATCGTTGCCCGCTTAGACTTCTGGTCCGTCAACTTGGCACAGAAACCAAAGTCGGTGATCTTCACATGTCCAGCCGAGTCGAGAAGGACATTGTCCGATTTAATGTCCCGGTGAATGATGGATTGGGCATGCAAATGTTGGAGACCTTTGCAAGTCTCTAGAGAAATGGCAGCAATCTGGTCCTCTTCCAGTGTGTTGTTGTCGATGATGTCTGTCAAAGCGCCTCCCTCCATGAACTCCATGATCAACCAGAGCTCATTGTTTCGAACCAGGTAGGATTCGAGAAAATTGACGATGTTCGGGTGTTGTGATTCTTTCATCACCAAGATCTCGTTGACGATGAGCTCCTTACGAGGTTGATGGCTCAGATCCATCGTCTTGATGGCCACTCTTTGTCCAGTAGCGAGCGTCTTCGCCACGTACACCGAGCCCGAGGCACCTTGACCAACCTTTTTGATCTTGCTGTAGAGCTGATTGGGGTCATCTGGATTTACGACACTGCGCAGCTTGTCCATTATCTGTGCTTCGCTCATCGTACTAATGCGACGTTCTTGCTCCTTGCGGGCGACCGAGGTGCCATCAGGCGCCTTCTTCACCGTCTGCAAAGGCTTGGTACCATTGGCAGTGCCAGCCGAGGCGGCTGGAGGAGGGTGTTTGGCAGCGGCAGCCTTTGTTTCCTCTCTCTGTGCCGATGGCTGTTGGCGAGCAGCGCTGATGCTCTTGCCGTCGTTGGAGGAACCAGCGGACTGCAGAGGTAGCTTCGTATTGACAGGAGAAGAAGACGAGGAATGTACGTCAGAGCCCGGTGCGCCAGTACCTAGCTTCAGCTCCTTGGTCTTGAGGTTCAGGGCGGTGACCTGCGAGTCCTGAGAGGAAGCAGGCGAAGTAGCTTTGAAGGATGACGGTGGGCCAGGAGCTGCACGATGTGCGCCCGGCGCTTGAGAAATCGTCGAGACGTCATGATTCACTATCGCAGGGGGCGCAGCTGTGGATCGAGGCTCCCTGGCGGCGGGGGGCGGGGCGTTGGTAGGGCGAGGGCCTGGCGATACTGATCGTGGCGCTTCAATACGGGGCGGCGCCAAGTCGCCATATGCGTCCTGAGAATGCCCCGTCATTTCGATCCCTGTCGACGCTTCCAGCGTTCCCTGCGGTCCCCGCTGTCCAGCTAAGCCGGTTCCAGCATTGAAGCGCGGAGCGGCTGGTGGCTTCCCTGCTTGCATGTTCATTGTAGGATTACCCAATCCGAAGTCATCTCGCTCCCTCTTCTGAATGTCAGTGTAAAATTCAAGGACATCGAGTACAGCTTGAGGGTTCTTGGCATAATCTTCCTTGGTGATGGCAGAAGTCGTCAGTAGGCGAGTCCATTGCTCAGGGAGACCAGTGAAGGCACCCGAGATTGGGTCGAAACCAACGTGCACTTGGTGTACAAAGTCGGTCGGCGATGAGACGCCCATAAGAGGTGACCGGCTGTAGATGTCGTCCATCCTAAAACAGTTGCAGAGGAGATTGTGTCGAATTTGTCAGGGGAGCCCGACTCACAAGACGCTCCGAATTTTCCTGCGACTACGACTTACCATCCGTAGAGCTCCTCATCGCTCTTTGTTTGCAAATAGTACGTTTTGTCCTTTGTCTCCACCTCGACACAGTAGGGCTTCAAGTCAGTCCGAGTGACGTTGGTGATGTCCTTGAGGAAGATGAGGGCAGCGGCCTGGTAGGTCGTCTCGTTCTTGTGAAAGGTCAAAGTCTGCTCCCTCAAAGCCAGCCACCTCTTGCTCCAGATCCAGCTCCTGATTCCATCCTCCTTGACAGATACATACCCTCTTCTCACCACACCAGCATTGCTGTTGGTGGAAGGGCCTGCCCCGCCGGCGGAAGAGGAATTGTCGTTCCAGCCGCCTCCTGCGACTGCACCGGGTCCGGCGGGTCGCAAAGGTCCGGTATAGGAACCCCCGCCGACGCCAGGTCCTTGACCCAAACCGTGGGTACCGGCTGAAGAGCCGTTGGAGGCGTACTGTGAGAGGGGAGGTACGAACGAGGTGCCGGAAGAAGTGCTGCCGTTACTGCTGCCCGATGCTTGCATTGGCTGAGAGGGTCGAGGCACTGGTGGCGCCCGTCTGGAGGGCATCAAGGAGCCAGGCAGATTCGAGGCGCCGCCGCCGCCGCCGCCGCCGCCACCACCACCAGCGCCACCACTGGCACCATTGGCAGAGTAGCCTGACATTCTTTGGCTAAGTTGCGGAGAAGGCGAAGATGGTCTGACCGGCTGTAGTTGCTAGCGTAAGCGATGGACTGGACCTCGTGGGCAGGCGTGCTCTTGAGATGCAGGCGCTTCGAGGATGGGTAGAGTGGGTGTGCAGAGGCCGACAGAGGACGTGGAAGTGGTGGGCAATTGCAGAGGGTCTGGACAGGCAGCACAGAAGAGTGGCGCTTGGTCGAGTGCAGGGGTGGGAGGAGGGTGGGAGGAAGGCAGTGGTGAAAGAAGGGCGGGCGAGGGGAACAAGGGTCAAAGGGTACCAGCAATGCGGGGCGAGGCGGCGGGCGTCTTTGTCCCCGCGTGGTGCGCGTTTCCACGGCCAGCAGCAGATCAGGGGGCGCACCAGCCGGAGGATTGCAGCAGAGCAACACTCCAGCCAGGCCAGCGCGACCGCACGGAGCGGAACATCGCCGGCGCGGATCACACGAAGAAACCCGTGCGACAATCCGGCCGAGTTGGGGCCGTGGGCTCTGAAACGCGACCTTTATATATGATAGAACAGCGGGATGGGTGAGAAGATGAAAAGCTCAAGATAAACAGGACGAGACCCCGCATGATTCGACAAGGCCGCCGTCCGACGGGCAGCCATATAGAGGGTGTTGTCGATGTCCACAGTGGCAGCAAAAGATCACCGCAAGACTCGCTGGCCCTGCTTGCCCAGCTGCGAATTGCGAATGACATGTCCCTACAAGCGCCCTCTTCACGTCCCGCATGTTCGTGCTGGTGACCGTCCCTGTGCGATGCCTTGCCTTATTTCTGCTCCTCGCCAGCGACAGGGGGCACTGCACCCTCACTCTGCTCTCCATTCTCGATGTTGTGGAAATCAAGAATCTCAGAATACATCATCACCTTCCACGTATCCACGGGAAGATCCGCGTCGTTGAAGCTCCAGTCGAAAGCCTCCTCTGCCTCTGGCTCATCCGTCTCATCGTGATAAGGAGCCAGGTAAGGATGGGCCAGGGCTTCTGTGGCTGTGATCCTGGTGCGAGGATCAAAGACAAGCATCTTCTCCAGCAGGTCAAGAGCGAGTGGATCCTGATTTTTGAACTTCTGGCTGAATGGTACCCTCTCACGCTTGGGCAACGACTGAACAAATCGAAGCGTGTTTTCAGAGCAGATAGTCTTGATGACATCGTCAGGCGGCGTGCCGAGCAGCTCCGTGATAATCGAGAACTGGTTGACGTGATCCTTTCCTGGGAAGAGGGGCTTGCCTTCCAGCATTTCGGCGAAGATGCAGCCCGTAGACCAGACGTCTACGGCAACATCGTACTTTTGCCATGTCAGCATGATCTCTGGAGCTCGGTAATATCTCGTGGACACATATCCAGTCATTTGTGGATCTTGGATACGAGCGAGGCCGAAATCACAGATCTTGAGGTCACAATTCTCGTTGACCAGAATGTTGCTTGGTTTCTGACAGTATTTCGATGAAAATGAATTTCAGCTTCGGCTGTACGGCGTCATGGATATACTCGGATCGCGTGCACTCACCAGATCTCTGTGCACTACACCTGCAGAGTGGACGTACTTCAAGCCGCGGAGAATCTGATAAAGGAAGTACTGGATGAATTGCTTCTCCAGAGGTCGACTGGTGAGCAGCCGATGCAGATCGGTACCGAGGAGTTCGGTGACAAAGTAACTGCGGGAAATAGAGCACAGGCGGCAGCGGTCAGCAAAGCAATCGCTGACGGACCTCGAGTGTGGTACTAAGAAGACTCACATGTCCTCCAGGGGAGAGATGAAGATATCGGACAAGCTGATGATCTGTCAAGATAGAGACGGGCGGTGCAATGTCGGGTGTTCAGCACAAGTACGAAAGCAACATGCCAAGTGTCTGCCTGAAACGACGAGGGCCGTTTCTTTCCGATCTGCGAACTCATGACATACTCACGTTCTCGTGCCTGATGTGCTTCAGGAGCTTCAACTCCCTGTATGTACGCTTGCTCAACACTGGTGTGCTGAATGGCTTCATGATCTTCTTGACAGCCACGCTGGTGCTGGTCAATTGATCCTTTGCGGAGCACACCAGTCCAAAGGCTCCCATGCCCACGGGCTGTAAGTCCACATATCGGGTGGTGACCTCGAATACGGTACCAAAGATGGAGAGGCGGACGAAGTCGGCCATGGCAAAGCGCTGTAGAAGCTCAAAGGACGGAAAGGTGAAGCAGTGGTTGGGACGAGGGCGATGATACGTCTGTTGTAAGAAACGACGACAAGAGGTGTAGAGCACAGCTGTTGCCGTAGAAGAGCGCAGTCAGGATTTGAATGGATCTGCTTGACTTGCAGGCGCTAGAATATCTTGCAATACCAAGGGCGAGGTGGGGAGTTCGTGTATGGATTCTGTGCAGACTTGAGATCCGCAAAGTATGCTTGGAAGCTGTGATGAAAGCTTGATCTACTTTCTGTGCTTTGAAGCGCAATTTCTTTCCTTGAGAAGTGGGGTCGATGCAAGATATTGAGAGGGAGGGCGGGTGCAAATGCGTACGGGGAGAGACGAGGCAGAGAGAGAAGGGAGCCAGAGGTGCAGAGTGAGAGCGGTGGCGAGTAATGGCCGGGGCAGGGCTTAGACAGCAGTCTCTAGGAGGAGCGCAAAGGTCGGAAGCAGGTCAGTGTTCCTGTCGACGATGAGCGCTGGACAGACGATGGAACAGCGAAGTGAAGGGAGGCGATGAGAGGAGTGTGGGTGAGTGGGCAGTGTAAGGTGGCAGAAGGGAGGGCGGGCAAGTGGATGTGTGTTGAGCCTGGCCGGGAGGCGTGAGGGGAACAACGCGCACACTTCAGGGTCGCTCGCATGCGTAGCCCAGAGTGCGCCATCATCTCCGCCCGCCACGCCGAGAGAAGCACGGGTTGCCTCGCCCGACGCATGAGGTTCACACTTGCGAAGAAGCCCTCGCAGACACGTCCGCTACCGGAACTGACACACGACGCACCCAACCTCAAGGGACGACGGTGCTGATAGGTCCTTGGCCAGACGCTTAAAAGGACGTTTAAAAGGTCAATCGACAGGAAATAGATGCACGCGGAAAGTAATGTACAAAAAGATTAGTGATTCACCCTGCAACCACTGTGAGACTAAAGGCGAGACAGAGCGAGCACCCTTCGAATTCCTCATTGTTTGTTCGACCCCGTCCTCTTCCTTACTCTTCCCAATCCACCAAAGCTTTCCCTCATCATGAGATGCAGAGCGCTGACACAGATCACGTCCTTGATTTCTTCCCTCGTCAGTCCAGCTCCATCAGCGCAGAGGCCCGTGTGACTGAGGTCTGGCAATGGGAAGGGGACGGCGAGTTGAGCAACAATTTTGGGATGGTGAGGTGCAGGGGAGAGGGTCCCGATGGGGATTCGAGTGCTACCTGAAAGAACAAGGTGGCAGGACCAAGGCTCTTCCGAGTCCTCGGGATCGGAGAAATCTTCGTCGTCTTCGTCGGGAGCGCTGCTCCCCCTCAGCGACTTTGCGTCTGAAGATGGGCGAGGCGAGGCAGGATTGGATCGCGAAGCATCTCGCGACAGGCTACGGGAGGCACTATGGGGACGAGTGCGCGAGTCGACGGCTGGCAGACGTAAAGAGTCACCCGTAGGGGCAGCCGCTTCTGCCTCATGTCTCCCAATTATTTCGGGACCAAAGTCGCCTGATTGGACGCTCATTCGCTTTGCCACTGCTGCCGAAACACCGTCGGGGCCAGGGCGACGACGGTCCGGTGACACGGTAGACTTGGCAGGGCTGAAGCTCCCATGTCTGCCCTCTCTGGTCCACTCGAAGCGGACTGGTATACGTTGAGGGTGTGGATGCCTTTCGTCGCCACCCAGCTTGTTGGCGCTGTTGAAGTGACGCCATACGCTCTTCAGCACCTGATTTTGGCCTTCCACATCAAGAGGTGCTTCCGATAAGTTTCCCTCGTCGTCGGCTACTCGACGTGTTAGCTTCGCAATGGTCCACACATAGCCCTGGCTTCTTCTTGCACCATGCTCGCTTAGGCCTGCACCAGGCACGAGTGGCAACACCTCCACTCCTGGCTTGAAGCCGCTACTTTTCGCCGCTGCTGCTGCAGAGAGACCGCTGACGAGGGAAAGTCCGGCGACCGAGACGGGACGGGTAGAGTCAGCAGTCGACTGCCTAGTAGACTTGGAGGTCGAAACGCCCAATCCATTGAGGAAAGCTCCTACACCCTGGGTGGTAGTACTCGCGCTGCTACTGCCAGCCCCTACACTGCCGCTACCACTACCGGTAGACTTGGAACCAAATTGCAGGCCCTTGAAGCGCTTCATCAGCTTAGCACCTGGACTCACAAGTTCCGGTGAACGAGCTTCTGGAGTCATCGCCTCGAAGCTGGTGGGAGGCTGAACATCCGCGGAGGCGACGGTACCTGTGTCATCTGCTTCGCGATCGTGGCGATTTGCGGACACTTCACCGTCCGGGCCTGCCATAGCTCTGGGTCCATCGGTCCCTTCCAGCGTAGCTATGTCGTTGAGACCAAAGATCAGCTCGCGAGGCTCCAAGATGCCAAAATCATCAATTTCGACTGCGCCCTTCTTGGTGAACTTCGCTACCCTTTGATCAGTTCCAGCGTCAGATACGGTAGTCGGCATAATTGAGTGTACGGCCAGGTTGTAGAGGGGCGTCACTTTCCTCGAAGCCGACGTGCCGCCTGAGGCAGAAGAGGCAGTCGTCATTTCTGACCGAGCCGAATGAGAGGAGGCTGAAGATCCGCGGCGCTGCAGAGGCTCGCGGGGACTGCCAGACGAAGCGGATGCAGTCGGCAGACTGATAGGAAAGGAAGAATCTCTGACTGACTCGCCAGAGGTACGTGAAGGGGGGCAGGTGGTAGGTACCACTAGCTGAATCTGGAGATTGAGGGGGTTGCGGTCTTTACTCGGAGGAGGACGAACCTGTTCGCAAAAAGCAGTCATCAGCGTCCTTTCGCATTACACATCCACAAAATGCATCCACTCACGATGATCAGCAGCTCGGGCGGAGCTGGCCTTCTCCTCTTCCTTGGCCCCTTGGGACCCGTACTGAATGCGCTCGTTGCTCCGATACTCTTAGTCCCCGCGCCGCTGTCTGGCGCCGACACGTCATACTCCCCGAAGGACGACGCCTGGCTGTGGGTCTGGAACGCCATTGTTCTGGAGCTCGAAGGGTCGTCGCTGGCCGGCAGCGCATGCGAGCGAGATCCTGGAGACAGTTCTTCAAGGCTCAGCAGGTTAGGGTCACGAGGCGCTCTTAAAGCAGCGCCTCGACTGAATTCCGCTACGTTGGCCTCGTGCGTGGGTGGTATAGATACGCCTGCTGTGGCATCTGAGCTATCACGTCTGAGGGAGGGCATGAAACCTGGAGGATGAGGTGTGACGGTCCGACTCGGTGCGTCGAAAGTCACGGCGCGCTTGGAAAGAGGCGGCGCTGCCGATGCAAGTTTAGGTGGAGAGTGTGCGGCAGGGCGAGGGTTGCTAATGGAACGGCCTGAAAGAGCTGGCCGTCTGGAGCTCTTCTCCTCGTGCTTTGTGGCGTGCGAGGTGGCCTTTTGGAAAGATGGTCTTACAGGTAAGGGCGAGGAGAATGTGAGGGCGGGGAGCGCGGGGGCGGTGAACGCTGGAACTGTGGAGTTGAGGGCGGCGGTGCTTGCCGAATCCGAGGATGACGGCGGGGCGCAGCCTTCCGCTGTGGCCCGTGGACCCTGATGCATCAGCGAAGTAGGTTTCGCTACAATGAGCATAGCCGCCCGCGTAGAGAGGTTAGGCTGCGATTGAGCCCGTCGAAATCGTAGGCGAGATGAGCTTCGGAGAGGTGGGGAAGTTGGTCTGAGTGAAGACGAGCGTGGTGGACCCTTGCTCACGTCTGGATTTTCAGCCCGGCGGCGACGGAAAGGTGAGGAGGTGGAGTAGGTGTAGGTCGATGACCATGGAGAGTGCGTCGACGACGGCGAGTAAGGCGCTGAAGAAGGTTGGAGTCGGCCGTCTTGAGTGAGAGGCGAAGGTATGCCATGCAGCTTCCTTTTCACCTGGTCGTGTCGTGTGGGCAAGCGCTGCTCAGTCCTTTGTCTCGGAGCACACCAAGGTGCAACGGATCCCTCCGGCCCCTTCGGCCCGTGCTGCCGCGGAAGGACGCTGCCGCCGGGCCCCATCCACGGCGCATCGAAGCGGGTGGGTTGCCCCTGCGCTTCGCAAGCAGTGGTCACTGGCTGCACACCTCCTCCCTCACCTTCATGGTCCTCAATGGTCTGGGGCCCTCTGATCTCTCCCTCGCTTAGCATCGCGTGCGAGCCAGAACTCCGCTCGGTACCTAGGCATGTGCGGGCGTCTGAAAGTTCCCTCGCGGCTGAGCACTTCTGAGCAGTCCGACCCCGAAGTTGCTCTTGACGAGGCGAGCTTCCAGTGTCGTTTTCGCCGCCGGAACTGCTATGCGAGTCATGTCCTGAGCTTTCAGCAGAGGCAGCCATTCTACAGTGGTCGGACTGGCTGCCGTGTCCGTAGCACGATTGCAGATTCAGCTGTAACAGCTCGCGAGGATGCTAAAAGGCGCGCAGGAGCATCTGTGCCGATGGGCTCTGCGAGTAGAGGCACAGTGTATCGAGGACAATGTAGCAGAGACGGAAAAGGTCGATGTAGAGAGGAGAACAGCAGATGGCCAAAGGACGCAATGCTCATCTCCTTTTCACTTGAGCAAGAAAAAGGCTGCTTGCCATCTGCGCCCAAACAGCGCCGAGACTGGCTACTGCTCACCCGACATTTTCTTCCGGTCCGATGCGTTATGAGGGCGTGGAGAAGTAGCGAGCTCCTGCCTTCCGCCGGTCGTAAGCGCTCCGCGGGACCTCCTTGCCGCTCACTGGTCTCCGGTCTTTCCGGGACACCATACCGCCTGGGCCTACAGCACCGACCGCTCAGCCCTGATTGCTGACGGCTCAGAAGATCGTCTGAACATCGAAGACACCGAGCCGAGGTAGGCGCCAAGTCCTTCAAAGATGCCTGCATATGTGCACGCATGCGCGACAGGACGGATCGGACATAAAGTCAAAGCCTTGGGCTGCATAGCCAGATGGGCAGCAGCTTTGATCGGTCGTGAGAGCGGTATAGCGGTGCAAAGGATGTCGAAGCAAGAGGAGTCAACTAGAATACTCGATGCAGCGTCGTTGCGAAGTTCTATTGCTTTGACTGATCATACAAGGAAACGAAATTTGCGACACTGTCCTCTTACTAAGCTACATTGTCGATGCTACACTCCACTTGCCTCTCGCTCTGATCTTTGGTCCAAAGATGAAAAAGAGGTACGGTATCGGAATCATCCCGACCGAAACAAAGGCGAAGAGACTGACTCCCCACTGAAAGCCAAGGGCTTCGATCTCTGGCCGTATGAAGAGGGGAAAGGAGGCTGCGAAGATGGAACGCAGAAAGGTATTAGCTGCAATGGCACTGGCTCCCCAGGTCTGTAGGTAGCGCAAAGAAGAGCAGAGGGTCCGAAGCAGAAAGGTAAGCAATCACAGATATATGTCGCTAGCTTTGTCAGTCAAGCTTACCTGGAATGTATCGATGAGATAATTGAGAGCTGCTTGGAAAATGGCAAAGAAGCCACATCCAAAGAGGGCACAAGCAATGATCTGCGCACTAGGATGCACCGGTGCAGGAGTCCAAGCAAAGATCCACAGGCCTGCGCTCAGACAGACACTGCCAATCATCATGGGCGGCAATCTGGCCTCGGGCACTGCCTTCCCTGCATTGTCTTCGAGCCGTCGAATGTAGTACACCTGGTTGGCCATGTTGATCCCTGCCGCGACGATAATGCCAACTAGCACTGCAACGAACGGCAATGAACCCAGGACAGGGGACCAACCACGGAGGTCCTGAAAGGCGATGGGAATAGACTCCAGAAGGGAGTACAGCAGCCCATAGACGAAGGAGGCGTAAAGAGCGACCAAGAAGCAGATTGGTGTGGCCAGCAGCTGAAATGGTCTGACGAGGTACTTGACAGCAAGCTCACTGAAGGTGATATCCCACTCCTCATGCTGGGCATGAAGTGCCCAGTTGCCAGTGGTGGTGCGGAGCTTGCGCGCTTTGTACTTCAGCAACACCGGTGAGTAGCTCTCGTCCAGCAGAGTAACGTCAGCCAGCAGGATGGCTGCCTTCATGATGCCCGTCAAATATTCTGTCCATCTCCAACTGAGCCCACCCTCGACCAGAGCCGAACCCACGAGCGGGCCGAGAGTTGGACCCCCCACAACAGCCATGGCGTATAAGACTAGTGCCTGACCCCTCTGTGCCGGAGCGAAGAGGTCTCCGAGCACGCCTCCTGTGTTTGTAATGGGCGCAGAGCCAAAGAATCCAGAGAAGAAGCGGGTGATGAGAATTGATTGAATGTCCTTGGAAGCTCCCGTCGCAAAAGTGAAGCACATCGAAATGAAGAAGGGTATCAGCACCGCTGGCTTTCTTCCGTAAATCTCACCTACACGTGAAGAAGAGTGGAAATAGTGAGTCTACCTGCATCCGTCTCGATTGCATTCTGCGGAACGAAACTCACTCAGTGGCGCCCATATCAGGGGCCCCAGCCCAAAGCCAAGTAACATCATTGTCAAGCCGAGTGTCGCGACGTATGTGCTCACGCCGAAGTCCGCCTCAATAGGCTGCAAAGCTGCCGAGAAGACAGACGAGTCGAACGTCACTGTGCCCGTGGTGATGCCAAACAGTGCGACTGCTACCCACTTCTTTCTAGGGTCCCAATTGATGGCTCTGTACGGGTCCTCGAGACCGTCAAAGTCTACAATGCAGTCGGCTCCGGTTGCGTCAAGTTCTAACTGGTGCTTGAAGTGCCTGTCATCGCGAGGGTGTCTTCCACGGAGCCTAGAGACGCTCCTTTGAAGCACCGATCTGGCGGCCGAAGCTTCGCGATGAAGGTTCGGCGAAACACTATGCGAGCGTTGCTTTCCGCTTTCTTGAGTGACCTTGGTCTGATCAGTGGTCAGCTGGTTGGACGCGCCGGTGGGGGAGGATTTGCTCGACGGCGACTGGCCTGCGCCCAGACTATCGTCTCGTGAGCCGACCACCTCGTCGTCGTCCGGCATTACAGGCGAGGGCTCCCTTGTCGTTGCCACAGCGGTTGTCACTGTACTTGTCGGCCCAGAAGGAGGGCTCCTGTGTGTCGTGGAATCGTCAGTGACAGCTAAGTAATCTGGGCTCTGATGTGGGCCGTGGTCCGGCATAGCCGTGTCTCAAAAGAGTAGCAAGAGGAGGGGATAGGAGTAATGATGCAAAGGAAGAAGGGACAGAGGGGATACATTAAGGGTCGTCCATGACAAGGAGAGCTCCAAGGAGGGCGAGCCCGGCGAACATAACGCTGGGAGAAAGACCTGGGTTGGGGTCAAGCGGAGCGCTTGTGGATGCGGGTGGACCAGGTCGGCCGAAACGCTCGGCATCTCCACTCGGCGTCTGCAGTCGGCGGCGCAATCGGCGCCGGTGCACTCGACCTTGGAGGGGCGCGAGACGGTGAGGGCGAGTGAGCCATTGCCCACGCTTACTCCATGCAAGCAGGACTTGATGAGTTGTCGGAGCACTCTTGTGAATACAAGTGGGACAAGATAAGCATTATCGAGAATCGAGAAGGCGAAGACGTTTGCTGCTTATTTGCTCAATCTCTGAGAGCGTGCTGAAAAAAAGATCCAGGCGCCAAGACAAGGCAAGTCGGTCTGGAAATGTCCGTGAAAAGGACCACGAAGCGCTGAAATGAATCGTCGAAGCAGGCTGTCGACTCGGAAGCAAAGACTCGTGAGATCGCACTTGATCGGTGGAAAATTGTGAGACTAACCAGACAGCCTTCTTCCCGCTGCTCCCGCCGCCAAGACCCAGAGGTCGGTGAAATTTGCCGAGAGAAAAGATCTGGGTACAACAGCCGCACAAGAGCTCCTTGCGCAACTTACAGGGCCACTCGGCTACGCAAGACCTGGCCTTTCAATACCAATTCCCTCGCCACGGAAGATGTTGACCTTGCAGTCCTCACCTCCGGCTAGCACGACCTGTCCTCCGCAATCCCACGCACTGGCCAACAGCTTCTCCTTGGAGCTCCCGGTGACTGCACCTGCGGGAGCAGCTGCTTGGGGACGAGCGAGTGAGAAGAGCGCTCTGCGCGGCGACCGGGTGTCAAACAACTTCACTACACCGTCTCCACTGGCCGAGCAGAGGAGATTTGGGGATTGTGGATGAGAGCTGACCGTGTATACGGGAGCACCATGGGCGTTGGGAAGGAGAAGCGAGATGTTTGCCGATGCTGCCAACAGGGGGAAGAAGGCAAGGCTTCTTCAGTGTCTCGCGACGAAAGAATGTAGCGCATTTCTCGTCACTCCTATCGCACTTACCCGACCTCATATCCCAGATACCAATACTCCTATCCATGTGTCCGGTCACGCAGACAGCTGAGCTTGAACTACCTCTAGCCGATGCGCTCATACTGTCCAAACAGAGGATGACTTTGTCAGACGTCTTCTGGCTCAGCTTCGGGTTGCCACCCTGAATCGCGCCGAAGAGATCCCACTCGACCACCTTGCCATCATAGCCAGCGGAATAAGCAACCTCGGACGAGGTCTTGGAAAAGACAGCTTGCGAAACACGGGCGTTGTTGGAAGGAGCATAAACATCGTTGTTGAGGAGTGCTGGTGGAGAGTGCCACAACAGGGCGGAAGGCTTCTTAGCTTGAAGCGCTGAGGAAGCCTTGCCATTGACTCCCTTCCGCCGCTTGCGCTTCGCATCTTCGTCTGCCTGGTCATCCACACCTGTTGCCTCCGAGGGAGAGATCTCAACATCTCCAACTTTCCAGTATCCCACACTACCGTCTCGAGAAGCGCTCAAGACGGCCTCTCCATCTGGTGAAACGGAAAGAGAGGTCAATGCCGACGGTCCCATGGCTGTTCTTCCCGCTCCCGGTCTGTCATCAGCTGCAAGGCCGTGCAGACCGTACCAAAGCTGTCTCGGAGGGGTAGTGTACATCTGTCCTGGTGTTTCAGAAGTGAAATTGGCCTCGGGAACCGTAAAGATCCGCACAGTGCCATCCACAGCGGCTGTGACTATGCGGGAAGAGGAGCCGAGCCATTTAGCGTCGACTAACGACTGGGCCGATGAGCCCGTTGAGACTACTTTGTGAGTGAGTACAGCCTCTTGCGGTGAGGCGTAGGAAAAGAGGCGAATGCAGGAGTCGTAGGAGGCAGTCAGGAAAGTCCTAAGACGGAAATGGAGCTTTGCGAGTCAGTCTGCAAGTTTCGCTCTGTGTCATTGGCAACACTCTACTCACCCCTCCCTACTAGCATCAATACTGGCTACCCAATCGTCGTGCTCGAAGGAGCCTGCCCACTTGGGAGGTAATGTAGACTTGATATACTCCAGCTCGATGCCCTCTTCGACCGTCTTGCCATTCTTATCCAGCCACGACTCAAGAGACTCTCTGAGAAGCTGGCCATCAGCGATGAAGTCGAATGGTACGGTGGTTGTGAGATTGGCGGTCTGCGCTAGAAGGCGGTTGACGAGGGTAGAGAGATGGGCGCGAGAGAAATTAGTTGGCACGAGATAGGAAGTAGGCGGCAGAGAGAGATCTGGGATCGACGTCTTGAGCGTGAGTGGGACTTGCTGCTGCTGCTGGACGGCAGTGACTCTCGAGGAGGAAGCCTCTGCCGATTCGGCGAGGGAAGCCATGCTGAAGGCGAAGTCAGAGGTAAACCCGTGGGCTGCTGCTACCGGATATTTGCAGAGGAAGAAGTGCTTCCCGGGCGAGGCAAAAGTCCAGGGAGGGAAGCATCAAATTTGTCTCATTCCGTTCCGACATCGGCGCCTGGTCTAGTCGGCCCGACCGGCCTGGAGCAGCGTGGCGTACGGCGTTGACACCAGACACTTCCCCGCATCTCGCATCATCATCCCGTACTCTCAAGCCGCACGGGTGCCCCTGGATAGATGCCCATCGCTCGTGCAAGACTTCGATTACGCCCCCATCTCTCCTCTCATCTCCCATCACGTGTCGTCCTTGCTCACAAGCACGCGCATAGCTTCCCAGAAAGCAAAACCACTACCTCTCCTCACGAATATCCTCAGTTCCCCGCTCTTCTACCTACATCGACATCTGCCTCTGTGATCACAGCCTCGTCACACACCCTCTTTGCCCATCTCATGTCTTCCTTCCAGCTCGAGGATCCTGTCAGGGAGGCATTTCAATCAGCAACCGCCTCCAAAAATCCTCCAGACGTTCGAACACTCTTGGTACAGGTACAGACTACCGCATCAGGCAATTTCCTTGGCTTGAGCGGCACACTGTCCGCCTCGCAGACCGACAAAGAAGATTTCCAGCCCCAGCTCACCACAGTCTTTGGTCAAGAGCCCAACCGTAGCGGTTACGCCCTCTACCGGCTTGACTCACAGGCAGCCAATGGCGACTGGGAGTGGCTCTGTATCGCTTACCAGCCGGAGGGCGCTAAAGTTAAGGAGAAGATGCAGTATGTCAAGACTCGTACTGCTCTCTTAGCTGTTCTCAACGAACAGCACTTCATCGAGACCTTATACGCCACCTCGTCCTCAGATTTCCGTTTCCCCGCAAAGCTGAGAAATGCACGAAAGCACGATTACCAGAACCCTCAGCTCAAAACGGCGGGCAAGCCTGCCTCGGAGGCGGCTGGCACTGACGCTGGTGGAGCCAAAAGGAACTTCGGCCAATTTGTTAGCAAGTCAGCCGCATCTAATTCGGCTACAGAGACCTACCACTCGCTTGGGCAAACGGCGCCGTCTGCTACACCGGCTCCTGCGCCTGTGAACGCCCGGGTCGCAGATCCTCCAGCCAAGACCTCGAATAGCAATCCAGAAGCAGCAGATAGCGTTCCTGTGCCACAAAGCACTGCAGTCACGGCACAGGACCAACAACAGCAGCCTATTCCCACTCACAGCTCGTTGGGACCAGGACATGATTCGGCAGCCGTCGAATTGATATCCGCCGCAGCGACGAGGGAGGGAGCTCCCCTAGGACAAGTCGCTAATACAGCAGCGTCGTCCTCGAAATTGATAGAAACAGAGCAGGAAAAGGTCATGGCACAGCAAAAGCAGGACGACGAAGAAGCGGGCCCAATCGCTCCCTCCGCACAAGCTCATCTACCAGCTGTAAATGCCTCCTCAGAAGTCCTCACACAGGCAAGGAGTGAGGGCGACAGTGAGATGATTCCGGTAGCCCCGAAGGATCAAGACCAAGGTGTGTCCCACATAGATCCATGTCACTTCATCACCGCAAATGTTGATGAGCAAGCTCAGACCGAGAGCAAAGCTCCTGAAGAGCCGCCTTCTCGCGCCACACTAGACTCAGAAGCGGCCCAGGACTTGTCTCAGCCTCAGGTCCCTTCGTCAGAGCTTGCCAAGCAGCAACTTCATGATGATACAATTCCTGTATCCAAGGCCAAGTCACAGGCAGAGCTCGAAGAGCTGGCTTGCCAGTCCAAAACATCGGCGTCATTACCCTCAGCAGGTGCTTCGCCGTCACCAATTGTCTCTTCCCCACTGTTGCAGGCCGAGTCTCAGGGCTCTCAAGGTTATCGAACCGGTCAGAGCGATCACGGCGGTCAGAGCGGTATCGATGGGAGTGGTGGCAAAGGGAGTGGTGGCAAAGGGAGCGGTGGCAAAGGGAGCGGAGCGCCATCCAATCACAAATCGCCCAAGCCTTATGAATGGACCAACGAAGCAGAAACCGCGCTCTCTGGCCTCGCGGACCTTGCTTCTGGTTCTTCCGGCCACAACTTTGTGGCCCTCTCCCTTGCGGAACCAGCTGCTTCTTCCCATCATCAAGTGAAGCTAGCCTCGCCGCCCCACTTTCTTCCACCTCGAGATCTTCAGGCAGAGCTCAAGAGCGTAGTCAGTGAGTGTGCTGATAGCACATTTGCATTCTATCGCTATCCTTCGGAGGCTGAGGACAAGCAGATTGTCTTTATGTACGCCGCGGCCCCTCGTGGGGCTTCTTCGGCTCAACAGACCGTCTACGCCAACAGTCTCGAGCCTGTCCGCCTCAAAGCAGCCGACTTGACCAGCCTGCACGTCGAGCGGGAAGACGTAGATGCCTTGTATGGCCCGTATCCTCGTCCACTGCCAGGACAAGCTGAAGACGTATCTTCGCGCATCGAATCCGTGAAGTACAGGGTGGAGGAAGCATCGAAAGCTGCTGGCCGCTCCCAGATACCACGACTGGTTGCAGTCTCCAAGCTTCATCCGCCGTCCTCAATCCTTGCCGCCTACATTCATGCGAAACAGACGCACTTTGGAGAGAATTATGTGCAGGAGATGGTAGACAAAGCCAAAGTACTGCCGCGGGATATCCGGTGGCACTTTGTGGGTGGCATGCAGAGCAACAAGGGCAAGATGCTGGCTTCCGTCCCCAACCTATACCTTCTCGAAACGCTGGATTCCATTAAAGCTGCCAATGTGCTGGAAAAGGCCCTTGCTTCACCCGATGCTATCGAGCGTGACGAGCCCCTGAGAGTCTATCTACAAGTCAACACAAGTGGAGAGGATGTCAAGAGCGGTCTCCCGCCCCTGACGCAGGAGGCAGGAGGGACCGAGGACGGCGAAGGACATTCCCTCTTGGAGTTGGCGAAACACGTCGTGATCAGCTGTCCCAATTTGGTCTTTTCTGGGTTGATGACGATCGGGTCAGCTGCTAACTCATCGGCAAGAGCGGCAGCGACTAATCGCGACGAAGCTCTGAGGGCTAATCCGGACTTTGCCAAGCTGCATGAGTCGCGCCGGCGTCTAGTCCAGATGTTGCGCTCCATCGACCTCGACAAGTCGTCTTATTCTGAATTGTTGGCGGAAAACGGGGCAGAAGATGGCGGACTGGAGCTCAGTATGGGCATGACAGCTGACTTCCCCGTTGCCATTGCTGCTGGGAGCGATAATGTGCGCATCGGTACGGACTGCTTTGGTGTCCGACCTAGCACGAGAGAAGAAGCGAAGAAGGCTATGGAAGGGGAAATCAACATGGATATCGGGGCTGCAAATCCCCTACTCGGCGAGAAAGGCTTCGCGAAGCCGAAGAGACCAGGCGGTCGGAAGTGAGCAAGTCTATGGAGGAGACGTGCAGCGGTCAATGCCATGAGGTTGGGTGATTCTACAGCAATGGTCCAAAAGTACAATTACAACAAAACAGAGTATTCGTTGCTCAGCCTGCTTCGATACTTGGTCAGCATGTCATCAACCGTTACGCCCTCTCCTAGGTCTGCCGTTCCATCACAGCTCTACGCTTTCTCCGAAGATCCTCCACGAAGTTTGATCCGCTTCTCGGATGGTGCAGCTCATGTGCACTGACTACTGAAGGGGCCCTCTCTACCGTCTTCCGCCGCGATGATGTTGGATGGGCTCTTTGCTCTCGCAATGTACGCGCAAAGGGCGCGACAGGTGTGTAGGCTGACAAGGCGAGACTGGCGGGACGTTGAGTGAGCGCGTCTGTCTGCCGCATCGCTTGCCCCGCTGCTTCTCCATCGCTCGCGGCAACAGACAAGGATGGCAACGAGCGCGCTGCTGCGCCTGTCCCCACCCCTCGGCTTCCGCGTTGCGAAGCTATTCCGTGATGTGCATCGTGCGATGTGAGGCTGACAGTGCTCTTTCTGTTGTCAGTACCTCCGTCTGAAGTGACGGACGAGAACGTCGGCGTGGTGCGGCGATACACTGCGAGCCGATGCAATTGCTCATCGGCCTGTCGGACCGGGGTGCGCGACGAAGATATTTGGAGTGACGTCGGTTGACGAGAGACGACTGCAGCTACCTTGCCCATTGTGCCATCGATCTCTGCCATCACTGGAAGACCTGCTCCGCCTGACGTTGATAGTATATCATCCGAGCCCTGAAGAGCCGCTGAAGCACCGCCCGAGGCAGAGCTGACTTCCGATCGGGGTCTGATCGTACCTGTAAGTGCCGATGGTCGCTCGGACTCCAGCGCCTCACTGCGAGCCCTGCGCACAGAAGCAAAGCTCCTGTATCCCTCATCTGATTCCCCTCTCGCAACTGGACTAGAACTGCGCTGATGACCGTTACCGCTGCTTCTTCGAGCTTTGGTGATAAACGGACTCTGAGTCCGGGAGGAGTGTCGGCGCAAGCGCGCCATCGACTGTCCCCCAAAGCGAGCGGCCGCCCTGGCCGCACGTTGAGCTTTGCTACTATCGATCCAGTGCCAAAATGCCTTCCGGGAAAGCGAATGGTTGTCTTGTTGCACGGCTAGCCTTCTTGACATGGCGCCTGGCACTCCCTTCCGCCACGTTCTGAGAGCGAGCCTTTTCAGCCGCGAATGGTCCAGGCGTATTGCAGGAAAGGATGCCGTCCTGTACATCCACACATTCAGCACGCGTGACTTCGCGTCTTCTTGTCGCTGCAGGGCTACTTCGTACTCGAGGGCGCGCAAACCCATTTGTCTCCAATTGTCATACCACACTGCAAAGGCTTGCGTTCGCATCGATTCTTCTTTCGAAGTGACAAAGCGAGCTGCTCGGTCGCGCAAGGAGAGTGCTTTGCGATACCGGAGCGACCAGCTCAGGAATTTACGCCGTATTGCTTCTTCGATCTTGACATCTCGAAAGCTCTGGCCCAGCCGCTGCAGATCTTCGACTCGCCTCCTCGTGAGGCACCATGAATGGAAGGCCTTCAGCGCGACCCTGATATTGTGGGCTTCTCCCACCTCGATCAGGAGGGAACGTCGCTCGATGACGCGCTGTGTCCAGTGTTGCAATATCTGTTTCTCAGTACGCAGGCTTATCGCGGACTGTATGTGAGCTACGCCAAGTCTGTCTATACTTTGCTGCGTGGCTCGTCCACGCCAAAAGGAGGAAGCGCGCTTGAGCAGACGAGCGTCTCGTTTGTCGCTGAAACAGTGCACCTTGGTGGCTCTGACCTTTGCTCTCATGAAACTGAAATTTCGCTTCAACAAAGAACATTCTTCGATTGCAGCAGCTTTCTCTGTCCTCCTTAAGAGCTGATCCTTGGCGGATCTCCACGTTTGGAAGACTTTAGCCTGTACGGCACGGGCATCTATGGCAGTCGCCATAGCGGTGAGTTCTCGTTGAGTGCGCACCATTGTCCGCCAGTGCGATAGGTATGCAGAGACAGCCCTGCGGCTGTTTGAGAAGGAAAGCTTTTGAGCATGTTCCGACAGTTCAGCCACTTTCCGTGTGTAGGTGGTCCGCCATTGCGCAAGATAGATCTTTCTGAGGCCTTCACATCGGACTTTCCGGAAGAGTTGAGCTCGTCCCTCTGTGCGCCAGATCGTCAGAGCGTCTTTCAAAGTCTTATAGTCGGAAGCCTGCTTGAATTGAACGGCTTGAAGTCTGCGCCTCCTCGCCTGTTGCATCGCAAGATTCCATCGGCATATAGCCCTACTCTGTATTGACTTGTTGAGCCGACAATCGGCTTGCTTCTGGCGCCTCTTCCTCGGTCCCATCTCTGCCAGACGCTGCAACCACGTCTGAAGTCCGGTTCTCCGGAGGCGGTGAGCGGAATACGCTCGCTCCATCATCGTAAGAGATGCTGTCTTCTTCCATATCGTCAATGGCTCCCTCAACGTTTGCACGGCGTGCTCGTCCTGCCATCTGTCTAGCAGTACCAGCAGTCGCATTTGTATCACCCACATGTCAAAGACCTTCTTCGCCAGAGCGAATTGTTTGCTTGCGAGTGCCTTTCGCTCCTGTCGTCCTAGTCTTTGAGCAACGTCGAGCTTGAGGCGCCAAAGATAGAAGGCGCCTCCGAGCAAATGTCCACTGCGGAAGTTCGCTGAGCGCTTCCCGAGGAGCCTCAATCGCCATCGATGCCACCTTTCATCTTGCTCACGGAGCTGACGCTTCTCCTTGATGACAGTATAGCTCTCGCGCATCTCTGTCTTTCTGCCCTCCCATCGTTGCGTTCTTGTCGTCCTTGCCAGTCGTCGCCATTTTCTCCAGGCGGAAAGCTGGCATCGCACAGCATCAGCTCTGGCAGTCATGTGCTCTCTATCTCTGTCGATCAAAGCAGAGCGCTTCCAATGACCGAGCACTCTCAATAGCAGACCATGTAGGCCGAAGCGCTTCGCCTTGTGCTCACGCGCAGTCTGCCTGTCATGGAGCTCACACCACCATCCAAAACAGGCGGCAAGAAGGTGAAGTTCGTAATGCCTTTGAGCATAGTTCGCACTTCCTTCCCAGGCCACTTCTTCGCTCTCCTCTGCTCTGCGATAGACTGCATCGCGAAGGGATCCTGGAGTCGATCTGATCACTGAGAGGACATCCCTCCTCGGACCAAGAGGAAACTGCTGAGGCGCCTGCTGCAATTGAAGCGGCAGAACATCAGACAAGGCAGAGGGCGACGTTTCAGTGGCGCCTCGGTCGCGCTGCTCTCGAGGTGGGAGAAGTACGTTGCCCTGTCGTCGATGCAGGCCAGACTGCAAGGGTGGGCTTGACCTTGCTGACAGTCCTCCCATCCCGTCCGATGCTGGAGCCCTTCCTGTTGCTCTCGGCGTCTGGGCGATCGATTGCCCACCTGCTTGTAGAACCAAGTTTCCTGCTTGGCGCGTCAGATTGACGATGCGAGCCTGCAGATCGGAGAATTCGCTTTTACGAGCATTGGATGAAGAAGGTGTAGAAGAGACTGTACGGCTTGAAGGTGGGGTTGATTGACCAGCCTCAGCACCTACAGTTGTCAAGCTGGAGGTTGCGCTGCTTTGCTTGTGTTGCTCCCAATAATCGTCTTTATCTTCGTCCGATGCGCTTGAACGATCAGCGTTGCTGCCTTCGCTCTGACTCGTGTCTTGAGACCATTCTTGCTGAGTAGTCTGGATCGGAATGTCGCGCCGGGTGAGACCGGACCCAACAGCGAGCGAGAGAGCGTGAGGAAAGCTCTCCCGCTCCGCTGTTGCCTCGCTGACAATCGATGACGCTGTCATGTCTGCCTCACGGAGATCAAATCCTATCTCGATTCTCACGGCATCCCATCTTTCGCTCCAGTCCCTGCCCCTGACCTTGACTAAGCTCAGGAGACAGTTCCAGAGATGTGCGTCCCGGCCGTCACTGATACCAGGCCATCTGCCACGAATTCTCTCATAGACTGCCTTGAGCGAGGCAAAGGAGGCGTCACCGGGAGACAATGATGCAACGACTTCGTCAAAGAAGGCTACGTCATCTGCGGCTAGCGTTGAGAAGGTGGTAGCTAGGGAGCGGGAAGAGGAGTTTGACACGACCGAGTGTGCAGTGAGGCTTCGGCAGGGCCTGAAAGAGGAAGGGTCGCGAGCTGCAGAGGAAGCAGGGGAAGCGGCGTCATCGTCTTCTGATGTAGCACCATCGCTATCAGACGCTCGCATAGCCGGAGAGGGCGGGCATGGAGGTCAAGGGAAAGGGGAGAGGAGCTGTAGTCGTCGAGGTGATGCCGGACTGGCGAAGTGTTGGTCGTGAGGCAGACGCGTGCCGGCATTGTCCACCGCGCACAGACGAAGGCAGTCCTCGTCGCCTGTGCCAGCTTCCCGGCCTGGCCACGGCTACCACCTGTCCCCTCGCAGGTCATCCATCCCCTTCCATCACCCACGCCCATCCTCATCATGTTGGGACTTATGAAGAGGTGCAGCATACCTACTCTAGCCGCAATGGCGCTCCTTGCCGCCTCACTGACGTCGGCCTCACCCTCAAGATCCCTGCTGGCCGTAGCCGAAGAAAACAATGGCATCATGCCCTTCGACACTGCCACTTACAACAAGATCGTCAATTCTGGAGCGCAAGAAATACGATCAGACCATTCACTCATCGTTCTATTGACCGCCAACAGGACTCCAGGGGTAGACTGCGGGCCTTGCAGACAGTTCCAGCCCGGCTACGAGGATGTAGCTACCGCATGGCGAAAGAAAGCAAAGGGATGGTCACAAGGACATGCTGGTCACTACTTTGCTCAGGTCGAATTCAACGAGGGGAGAGAGATTTTTCAACAGGTGGTTACCAATTCTCTCATGACCGCAACATGATCCTTGCTAGCAGTATTGACGCCCTCTTCCCTCCCGGATCCTCTCAGCTCGAGCTGAACTACGCCCCTGTGGTCATGTTCATCCCGAAGGGAGCCCCAGCCTCGAAGGCTGTCAAATACCAGTTCGAGCGGCATGGCTTCACAGTCGACGCCTTCTCCAATTGGGCCTCTGAACTCATGGGGACTCCAACCGGCTACCGCAAACCCTTTCCCTGGAGATCTGTCCTGACCTTCTCCGCCGCCGCACTGGTTACCACCGGCGCCGCTCTGTTTGCCATCGCAAAGCTCAGTACCTTCCTCGAGGCGCGCAGTTCTGAAGGACAGAAGACCAACCTTTGGAAACTCATATGCTCCTCACTCATTCAGGCCGGCAGTCTGGGCTTGATTGTCGTCTGCTGCGCGGGCTACATGTGGAATATCATTCGAGGATCGCCCTTCGTGCAGGTGCAGGGAGATGGTAAGATTGAGTACTTTTCGAGGCAATTTCAACATCAGTTGGCTGTGGAGACTCTGATCGTTGCCGCCCTCTGTGAGTTCAATGGTGGCGAAGGGAGTAAGCTGGCGCCCATATCGTGCCAAACTGAACACTGGATGTCTTCCCTTGTGGACTGGGCTGCCTCTTTTCACATTCACAGACAGCCTTCTAGCATTCTCAATTGTGGCTCTCATTCTCTTGGTCCCCAGGCAAAGAGACCCAACAAAGCAGCGAGCAGGGGTGTATGTGTGGAGTGTTATTCTCCTCGCGGGTATCAGCGTCCTCTTTGCTGTGTTTAGGATCAAGAATCCTTCGTACCCCTTCCGGCTTTTCTTGTAAGGCTGCTGGAGAGCGGCTAGGGGTGCCAGAGAATCGTCAGGATAGAGCCAGCGAAGTGGCTGGATGAGACAAGGGCCAGCCGTACTGTACATAAAGCCAGCGAGCAGCGCTGAATAGATTGTAGTCAATGCATGACGCTGCGTGGTCACCTTCTACACGCTTCCACGCATGTCTGACGCGATGCGAGGAATACTTTGAAGATCTCAAAATCGCCTCAAGGGACATGCCACAGGCAGATGCCGACGGCGGCCTTGACAGGGACATGCGCCCGAGGGATCGCTGGAGGCAAGAAGGAAAGAGGTCGTGAATGAATGCGAGTACATATTTCAGGTTGTGCTCCTAGTTCCTCAAGTTCTAAAGGCAAGGCATGCCAGTGCTGTCGATGGGCATGAGTGAAAGCGGGAGAGGACAATGACGGAGCGCAGTCGTAGGGTCGTTTGCGGAAGATGCTGGAGGGGGTAAATACAATGGTTGTGTGTAGCAGAGAAGCAAGCCAGCGTCCACATTATTTTGTTGCAATTGAATTGACTAGCCTGGCGGGGTGTAAGAGGTCCATTGACAGGACGAGGGGCGCTGTTGGCGTCAGATGCTGCACCCCTCCTCCTCCTCCTCGATGAAGGGACTCAAACGTACTCACCAGTCCATCCCTTCGTCGAGGCCCTCGCCCTTGGTTGCCACACTCTTTACGATGGTCCACTCCCTATCCTTGAGATCCGTCAGCCCGAGCTTCTCACTGATTTCCGCTGCGCTCGCTGCCCCCGGCACGTCTTGCTTGTTGGCAAAGATGAGGAGCTTGGAGGTTTTGAGCTCATCTTCATTCAGTAAGGAGTGGAGCTCAGACCGCGAGAGTGCCAGACGAGCGTGATCCGACGAGTCGATGACATAGATGACGGCTGATGATGGCAAAAGGGTTTTCAAGGGGCATTAGAATGATGCGAAGTTGGTGGACCGGCGTACACGTCGCTCTGGTCGAGGGTAAGCTCACCCTTGGTTCCCCCGTAATAACACCTCCAATAGGGCCTTATACTCGTCTGTCCCCCTAGGTCCCAGACCTGAAACTTGATATTCTTGTAATCCAGCGTCTCCACGTTGAAGCCAATGGTGGGAATCGTGGATACGACGTCTCCAATCTGCAAGCGGTAGAGGATGGTAGTCTTGCCTGCCGAATCTAGGCCGAGCATGAGGATCCTGATGTCCTCCTCTTTGGACCAGAAGGCGAGACGGTTGAAGAGGGAGGAGAATGTCAGACCCATGGCAGCGTTGGTGAGTTGTGCAGAGGGGTCAAGGAAGTGCAGGCGGGAGAAGGCGGCGTGGGTGAGACTGGGTGGTGTAGAGTGCGGGTGTGTATGCAGAGGGACTGAGGTCGGCTGGTAGCGAAGTCTAAGCCGAGGACATGATCGGGTGAGTGAGTGAGTGTGTGTGTGTGTGTGTGTGTGTGTGGGAGAGAGAGGCGGAGCGGAAAGGGGTCGAGCACGGCACAAGGGCGAGGGAGCGTGCGCGATGCACTCCAGGTCTGTGTGCTTGTGTTCCTTTGAGGCAGACGGCGGCGATCCTTGCTGCTGCCCTGCCACCACACCTTTGTCACTTCATTGCCAGACAGATACCCTCTCACCCTCCCCACACCCACAATCTCGACCACGAACATACCTTCAACCCTACACTCACTCACACTGATATCCGCATGGCCCACCAGAACGCCCTCGGCGTGGGAATCGCCAATCTGCCCAACCAGGTGAGTGCAGAGAGCGAGCAAACCCCTGTTCGCCGCCTGCACTTTGCTCTTCGTCACTGACCTCGTCGACATTGCAGATCCATCGCATCGTCACCAAGAATGGAGGACACTTCACTCTCATGGTCGTAGGAGAGAGTGGACTCGGAAAGACGACTCGTGAGTAATTCAGAGGGGGACCACCTAGACCTCTCTCAAAAAGGGGCAACAAGGGCGTCCGTCACTCATACTTCATCTTGGCCTTCGTCCAACAGTCATCAACACTCTCTTCTCCACGGAGCTCTCTGCTGGCAAAGACATCGCTCGCAGACACGCCAAGCAGCTAGACAAGACGATCGAGATTGACATCATCAAAGCAGAGCTGGAGGAGAAGCAGTTCAAGTGCAAGTTGACCGTCATTGATTGCCCTGGCTTCGGAGACTACGTGAGTGACAAGAGTTGAGACTGACGTAGCCAGAGATGCCGACGTATTGATACCGACTCTGCTTACTACCTTCGCACAGGTCAACAACCGCGATTCTTGGGTTCCCATCGTCGACTTTATCGATGACCAGCACGAGGCCTACATGCGTCAGGAACAGCAACCTGAGCGAAAGGAAAAGACCGACCTCAGGGTTCACGCATGCCTCTACTTCATTCGAGCTACCGGCCATACTCTAAAACCTCTCGACATTGAAATGATGAAGAAGCTCGGTACTCGCTGCAATCTGATTCCCGTCATTGCCAAGGCCGACACGTTGAGCCCGAAGGACCTCGTCATCTTCAAGCAACGTATTCGTGAGGTCATCGCTGTACAGAATATCAAGGTGTATACGCCTCCCATTGAGACTGACGATGAGGCGTCTGCCGAGCACGCCAAGAGCCTCATGGCAGCCATGCCTTTCTCCATCATCGGTTCGACACAGGACGTCGTGACCAACGATGGTCGAACAGTAAAGGGCAGGCAGTACCTGTGGGGTGTTGCAGAGGTCGAGAACGAAGAGCATTGTGATTTCAAGAAGCTACGTTCCCTTCTCATCCGGACTCACATGCTCGACCTCATTTCCACGACGGAGGAAGGCCATTACGAGGCATACCGCCAGACACAGATGGAGACTCGCAAATTCGGAGAGCCAAAGGTCAAGAAGCTCGGCAATCCAAAGTTCAAGGAAGAAGAGGAGGCCTTGAGGAGGAGATTCACCGAACAAGTCAAGCTGGAGGAGGCACGCTTCAGGCAGTGGGAGCAACACCTCATCGCTGAGAGGGACAGGCTGAACAAAGACCTGGAGCAGGCACACGGCTCTATCAAGGCTCTAGAGGCTGAATTGGATGCCATGCAAGGAGGTTACGGCAGAGCCACTCAGAGACGATGAGGCTATGAGCCTGATAGGGATACGGGCCTAGCGCGAGGCTTCTCATTGCTTGAAGCCATTGCCAAAAAGCCTTCTTTTGTCTCTGGTCGAACGATACTATCATCATGTCCATAACTTGTCTTTTCTCACTCAAATCCTGATCGAGGACCTGACCATGACGCCTTCGCTCTGGCAGAAACACTTGTTGCGTCCCTTCTTAACAACGATCAATGTCGCGTCATGTGATTTCCGACAAACCCTTGTATTTGATGAACAACTATATCACTCTTTCTGCAGCGTCGGGAGGGTCAACATGATTAGGCGGATGTGATTTGTGGGAAGGCAGCGCAGCGCAATGAATGGACAGAGCGGTAGAGTTGTTGGGCAGAGGAGGGACTGTACTCAGGCAGAACGGACCACTTCACTCTGCAGCGTCGCAGTGAACAACACGTAGGCAAAGACCTGAGCGATGAGAGACAGGGCGAGGAAGGCGCGAAGCTCCGCTTCGCCTCTTTCTTCTCCAGTCCATCGTGGAACGGCAGCTACGTGTTCGGCACCAGCAACGTCTAGCACCACTGCCACTTGTTCCTGCAGGTCGCCTTGACTTGCGATCACGGCCGGCAGCAGGCTCGTCGCGTCGGAGTCTGCTAGGTCTGGAGGGTCATGTGAGGCGTACTGCCCCTTGAGGTGAGCGGCGCATCCTTCCGTGAACCTCAGTACTCCTTGATAGACCCTCTCGACATTCAGTTTAAATTTGCTATGCTTCGAGGCACCACAGAGAGTCCGGGCTACGATGAGGTCCCAAGCCAATAGTGGAAACGGCTCGTGCGTGGCATCGGCTTCAGTTGTTGATAGGGGAATGAGCGCCGCGAGGGCGACGAGATTCATTGGCTCCCAGATTTGGTTGCGTGCCTCTGCTGCGAGTTGGTCTTCCTCTTCCGCCTTAAGCAAGCTGCGCAGAAATCGGACAGTTGAGAGAAGTCTCTGGTGCACTGTGGGTGGCATACAAAGCGACAGATGCTTTGTGAGTCTGTCGGGCACTAGATTCCTCACCTCAGACACTGCCGGACATACCATGTGGGTAGCTTTCCTTGTCGAATGCCTCCAGATCCTCGATGATATCGACTAGGCAAACGCAGCGCAATCTCTTCTCAGGTGTGTCAACGGTAGCCGCGACATGCTCCCTAGATAAAAAATTGTATCTCATACTCAGGGCTATCAGCCCGTCGCGCAATGTGATGTCAGCATTACCAGCGGGTAAAGTAGGCCGTATCAGGCGTGCGGCCGAGTGCTCCGTCGTCCGAGCGGACGGCGCATCCCAAGTAGCAACCAAGTCTTGAAAAGCTCCGCCAACATCATCAATCGTCTTATCATCGCGACTCTTCTCCAGTCTCTCCTCTTGTCCTTCAGTGTGCTGTGAAGCTTTCGATGACGTCTCGTCTCGATTGAAAACGGTCTTCGGCCACAGGACAAGTATCAGGGCAGGTGCCAGTAGATACCACCACCTGCTCTGTAACTTGGTACGCACAGCAGCCGAGGCGCCATCCGCTTCCAGGGCTGTTACGGAACTGACTATCCTTGACAAGGATTGATTGAAGCCGGGTAGAGATCCGGCAAGGTCTCTCCGCCTCAGCATGTCGGCCTGGTCTCTTTCCACCGCATCCCCCGTGAAATAGCCAGGGCCAAGAGACTTGCGCTTTGGCGGCTTCTTATATATTCTCATCCAGCGGTCGGGATCGAACGACTCGGAGGCACTGCGTTTGGTCGAGTACATTCGCTGAGCTGACGGCGCAAGACGATTTCGAACGCTTGATGATCTCAGACGAGTCCCAAATAACGTCTCTCCGCAGGAAGTAGTGCACGCGCTGGCGTAGGGCAAAGAATTGCCGTCCAAGGCCAACAGACACGGCCAGAAGAGGGGCGCCTTCCCGGTCATCCAGAGCAATCGCTGACTCAATGAAGTGCACACACACACAGAAACGCTGGCCCCTTGACTCTGCATGTCGTATCGAGGACAGGGTCTTTTCCTAGCTGGTGTTCGTCGGGACGAGTATCAGTAGAACCTAGAACAGCGACGATGATGGGTACGGAGTGGGAAACTGTATGATGAAGAAGCATGGTCGAAAGTCAAGGACTGGGAGCCTGGAGTCAACGTACCGACGCAAGCATCTCCATACTGGAGGCCTGGGACCTGACAAAGCCACCACCGATTCGAAGACAAAGAATGGTGACCGTCCTCCACCCCATTGATACACGATCGGACGGTGGCTTCCGCTCCCGAAGAGGAAGGGATCCGAGCCCTCAGCCCTTCCTTTGTAGCATGCGACGCCAACATTCTGAGACGCGCAGTGCCGCGTGCGAGAGCTGACAGGTATCGTTGTTCCGACTCCAGGGTCGTCTCAGCTTCTACTGGCAGACACGGATCAGACAAGGCTGTCTTGTCAAACTGCGGACATAGGTGCGGTGGAGTGGGCGCGAGATCAATAGATCTTCACATGACCACATTCCCCGGCATCTATGAGCAAACAGAACTGGCATATGTCTCAATCAGCACTGCATCAATGCGATACTACTGTGAGCCTCCTCCGCAGCTTATAGGGACGAAATGATGGCAGCAACAGCAATGAGGTACGCAGATGTCCGGGGTCGTGTCTTCGGCGGATTGATCTGACGGCTTGATCCCGGCCGATGCGCGATCTGCCTCCACATGTCAGGGAGCTGCTTCCGCCATCACGCCACGACACTGCGTCCGGTGCGTCAGTGATTATGGCCAAATCACGACATCGACAACGTTCCCATTGTATCATCGCGTTAGCCAGCTGGACCCCATTTGAATAGCCCCTCGCCCAACACCCCACGCTTGTTGTAGTTGCTGCCCATTAATCCTGTATCCCTAGTCTACCAACACCATTGCCAGCGTACTGTCGTAGTTACCCTCTCTACCCCACAGGAACACCAGAGCAGCCGAGCAAAGACAGCTCCTCAACTTTGACAGCATTTTCTGGTGCGTCACGTACCTCTTGGCTACTATTGCTTCAATATCAGTCACTGAACGCCCACCTTCTCAACCGTACGCTCACCAGATCCCTACTAGCAATTTGCCTCTCTTCGAGCAACATGCCTGTCGTTCCTCCGGGCAGCAAGATCCTCGTCACCGGTGCTTCCGGCTTCATTGCCGTTCACGTCGTGCACGAGGCCCTCAAGGCAGGATTTCAAGTTGTCGGTACTGTCCGATCTAGTGACAAAGGCGACTACCTCACCGAACTGTTCTCGAAGCAATACCCCGGTAAATTCACCTACAAGATCGCAGAGGACCTCGAGGCTCCAGGCGCCTTTGATGATGCTGTTCGAGGTGTCCAGGGAGTCCTTCACACCGCCTCTCCTTTCCATTTTAACGCCGAGGGCAAAGCTCTGCAGGCTCTGGTCAATCCTGCCGTAAACGGTACCAAATCGGTGTTGAAGTCCATCAAGGACCACGGGACAGAGGTCCAGCGAGTCGTTATTACCTCGTCCTTTGCCGCCATCCTTGATCCTGCCCGCACACCTCCCGTCAACTATACCGAGGCCGATTGGAATGAGTCCTCGCCCGCTGAGTCCGAGAAGCTCGGGGACAAACAGGCGTCGCAGCCTGCTTACCGAGCGTCGAAGACGCTAGCCGAGCGTGCCGCCTGGAATTTCGTAGAGAAGGAGAAGCCACAGTGGGACCTAAGCACGATCAATCCTCCTTTGGTATTGGGTCCCATTCTGCACCAGGTCAATGCGCCAGAGAAGCTCAATACGTCTGTATCCTCCGTCTGGGGCGCGCTCCATGGCAGCAAGAGCGAAGACGATCTCCCTGGAGCTCTGGGTTGCGTTGTCGACGTACGAGACGTAGCAATCGCACACGTCAAGGCTCTCCAAGTTCCCGAGGCTGGGGGAGAGAGATTCGCCGTTACCATTGGACAATTCACCCAGCAGGGAGTCGTAGACGTCATTCACGACGCATCTTGGATTCCAGAAGAGCTTAAGAAGCAGGTGCCTATCGGAAAGAAGGGGAACTACAATGTTACCCAGAACAACCTCTCTGGCGCCAAGGCCGAAAAGGTTCTGGGTGTCAAGTATCACTCTTTCAAGAGTACTATTGAAGGTGAGTTGAACATGGCCATAGACTGTGAGCTCTCGTTCAGACTGTAGAAGCACCGTCGCTAAAGATGCACTTTGACACCTTTCCGGCCTCAGGGACTGTGGGCTCGACTCTCGAATACGAATCTCGAGGCTGGAGAGGTGCTCCAGCTCTCCCTGCTGTGTAAGGATCAAGAGGTCTCATGCATGACGAGAGATACAGGAGTAAGAAACTCGAGCGCGGGTCGCGATATCTGACCTTCCGACCTCCTTCACCTCCCATCTCCTTCCCGACCCATTCCTTTCCAACTACCTTTCCCCTTTGCTTCTCATGCACTGATGAATGACACATGCCCGTCCTTCTTGACTTGCCTGTGGTCTGTTTGCTGCCACGCGCACTGCCACCCAACTTGCTGGATTGCTTGCCCGCTGGTCCCGCACCTTTTCCACACCATCACCAATCCTTGCACAGCGACATCGATGTTCCCGCGTGGCTGCCGCCGAAGCAGACGAATGCAGACGACTTGGAGTGGGCTCCCTTGCACACCTTGGACCTGTCCCGAATTACAGGTGAAGACTTCACAGAGGTTCCCGAGGACGTGGTGAAAGATGTTGGCCAAGCCTTCAGCCGAGTTGGGTTCATCTACTGCGAGGGCCACGGCCTGAGCTATGGCGAACTGTTGAGGCAGTGAGTACGTAGGCTGGCGAGAAAAGGGGCGGAAGGGGAGGTAGGGACACGAAGCAAGAGGGGCCACTTTGTCGATCAGCTGACGTTGTTCGTTGGTGCCCCGTGCATCGCCTCGTGGCAGATTTGCCATCGGGCAGTACGCCTTCAGGAACATCTCCGAAGGCGACAAGGCAAAGTACAAGGCAAAGATTCTGGAGACTGGGTCCTTCGTCGGATACAAGGAGGCTGGCCACTGGAAGATCGGCCAAGTCAAGGACAGGATCGAGGTGTGTAGAGCAGTCAAATGCTGGCTCCCACTGAGGCACAAGAGCAGCCCCACCTGACCCCCATGTTACCCATCTCCCCGACTCCCAGCAATGTAACTTCGGGTCCACCTCCTTCAAGCCAGACGTTGCGGCTCGAACCTTTCCCGCAGATCTACAGCCTCTGATCCCCGAAATCTTGGCCTTTGCGCGCTTCAATCATGCCAACATCTACCGCAAGATCCTCGCGGTTCTTTCGCGGGTGCTCAAGCTACCCGCCGATTTCCTATGGAATCTGTCATTGAATCCAGAGGAGAAGGGTGTAGATCTGCTGAGGTATGCGATGTACCACACGCCGGACAAGCGGGACGACGAGAAGCTCGGGGGCGTCAGATTGCAAGGTGAGTAAGCATGCGAGGGCTTCGATGCTCGGATCGTCATGCGCTGACAATGTTTCCGCATTGAACACTTCTTGCCCAGGCCACTCGGATTTCAACAGTGTATCCATTCTCTGGTCGCAGCCCATCACTTCCCTCGAGGTGCTGATGCCAGACGATACGTGGCGCCTAGTGAAGCACAAGGACAATGCGCTCGTCATCAACCTCGGCGATGCAATGCACTTCCTCTCTGGATCCTTCTTCAAACCCACTATCCATCGCGTTGTGGCTCCACCGAAGGATCAGGCCCATTACACCCGTCTTGGCGTCTTTTACTTTGCCCTCTTTAATCGTGATGTCAGCTTAAAGCCTCTCATCGAGCAGTCATCTGTGGTCAGAGAGGCGTACAAGGACAAGTCTTTCTGGGAGCAGCAGATCAAGGAGGGCAAGCCCATCCCTACTGCTGGGGAGTGGGAACAGATGCGTGTCAAGGCCTATGGACAGGGTGCAGCCACAAAGGGGGAAGATGGGCATGAGCACGAGACAATCGCCGGACACAAGGTCACACACTACAATGGCCTCTCGGTCGATCAGCGCAAGGCTGCTGAACAGCAGCGGAAGTCGGTGGATCAGCGCAGGCCCATTGCAGCTAATTAGACGGATTGGCGGGAAGACGTGTCGCAGTGGGGGATACGTTGGCGATGTTCGACCTATAGAATGTAGATTGTAGCAGACATTTGACCGCTGTGCTCAGCCCATTTCTGGCAGCGATCTCACAATTGCATGACCCTCACTGATGTGCGTCTATGCGGCTCTGCCTCAATCAAAGGACATTTTGCAGTGATGTGTTGATTGCAAATCCGAGAAAGCGACACGAGCTTAGTTGCTTCTCGGCAGTGTCAGGTCTTCAGATCTCGCTTCCAGAGCGACCCCAACGCATGTCTCTTCTTCTAAAAGCTACCAGTTCTTTCAAAGCCTCAAGAACACCGCCGTCTTCCTGCTGCTCTCCTTTCGCAGTATCTCCATCGGACGCAGCAGCATCAGCCTTGTTCGGATCCCCCCCACCCAAGCAACCTACCGGGAGGCAGAATCCAGCTTCACTCCCCCGCAGATCGATATTGGCCGTTGTCACAGTCAGAGGAGCAAAGGGAAGGTCCAGACTGGCGACGTAGGCGATCAGGCGCTCATCCGCGCCGATGTAAAGGGCAAAGTCGAAGTTGCCTGTTGGGCCCAGGGAGTGAAAGAAGGACTGATGCTGCGCCGACGCAGCGCGTGATAGAGAAGCGGCCATACTTTCCTGACGCGAGAAAGGACCCGCTGAAGCGCAAGGAGGAGTGGCTGCTCCCAATTCTGTGACCCCATCGTGTCCCACTCTTCCGCTCCACAGAGCGTCTCGCGGAGCATGCTCCGAGGGAGGAGCAGGTGGTAGCGACTGGTCATCTTCATCGCGGCCCATTCCGGCCATTGAGCCAGGGACGCTTTCGTCCTTGACTGGCTGGCGTGAAAGTACACCCATGGCCTGCAATTGCACGATATGTTGCACAGCAGAGGCTCTCGACACGTTCTTGGGTGAAACAGTCAAGGTAGTCCCGCGAGGGACGATACGCAAAGAAAAGCGCTCTCCGAGAGAGTCAAAGACCAAATTGTTGATTTCGGCTAGCTGACGGCGAGCCCATTGAGACTCTTGCGATCGAGACCGAGAAGCCACTGATGGATTAGACGTCGAGTCATGAGTTGGGTGGTAGTGTGAGGCGTCGCAAGCCTGGTCAGGTCGATCTCCTCCCTCTTCAGCTTGCCCGGCCGAAAAGAAGAGAGTAGCACCCCGATCATGAAGAAATGAGCCTGGCGTCCGATCCTGGAAATACCGCACTGTGAGCGGGGCAATGGACAAGGTAGGAATGATAGTTGATTCAGATAGTCGCTCGGAGTACCCACACTATGGAAGACAGCAAGCCTGTAGACTTACGAATTTCTATTACCGACACTTTCCAGGCGTTGTTGAGCCCCGCGATCAGACTGGTCCACTCAGCTCTTCCAGGATGCTTGACCGCGCATCCATCCTCTGCTACGATTCCTAATCCTGGCAGCTTCTCCGCCAGTCTATCAAGGAAGTCGGTGCTCAAGGCGCTCATGACGTAAGTCGCATTTCTGGAGTCTTCGCTCAATTCCTTAAGTGTAGACAGGAGCGTATCAGGGAAGTTCAGATCCTCTGGATTGCGCAGAAGCAGAACTGATTCGGGTAGCAGTGACCCCTCCAAATCGAGCAGAATCAAGCGAGTCTTGGAAGCTCTCCATTCTGACACAAGCTGTCCAATTTCGAGCTTCGGAATGAAAGCATTGTCTCTTCTCTGCTGCTCAATGTGAGCCCTCTCGAGCCGAGAAAGGAGTGAGGTGATCCATTGGAGTGCAGTCTGAGTTACCACGGTACGATGAAGATCCGCCCACCTAGCTTCTTGCTCGTCCTTTGGCATGATCAAAGCTTTATGAATGGCGTGAGCAACTTGCTTACTACACCATGGGTTGATGCTGATGCAGGCCCGCAAGGCAGAGTAGGTGCCCGTAAACTCGGACAAGATCAAAGGGGACTGCTTCTGTTCTTGACAAATGATATACTCGTGAGTAGTGAGATTCATACCTTCTCGGAGAGAGTTGGCCATGAAAGCATCAGCCACCGAGAGCAGAGCAAGGTATTGAGAAAACGTAATGTCTTGAACGTGGAGAAAGACGACCGGCTGGTAGGTCAGACTGGCATAGCGCGAGTTGATTCTAGAAACAACGTCGCTAGCTTCCCCAGCCTCGTTGTTCTCTTCGTTGGTTGCAAGTGCTACTTGTATGAGGACGACCTTGCCAACCCACTCGGGATGGTCCTTGAGGAAAATCTCAAAGGCGAGCAGCTTCTGTCGAACGCCTCTAATCCAGTCCAATTTGTCTCTACCGACTATGACCTTCTTGCCCTCGTAGCGTTCTGTGAGCTTGGCTACCCACTCCGCAACCTCCGGGTCACAGCGCTTTGCATTGAGGTTGCGCGGGTCGATGCCGATTGGGAAAGGAGAGACGGTAGTAAAGGAGGACTCCGTTTGAACTCCTTTGGGTGTCGCTTCCAGCTGCAAGATGCGCGAGACTGTCTGTCGAAAGTGTCGACAAAAGTTATGCGTTTGAAATCCGACGAGGTCCGCTCCCAGCATACCGCGCAGGAGAGTCTCTCTCATTGCCAGACATCTGAACAGCTCCGAGGAAGGGAAGGCTATGTGAATGAAGAGACCAATGGTGGCTGAAGGCACTAGCTCGCGGAGCAATTGAGGCACGAGGAGGAGGTGGCTGGGAAGGCGACAGAAGAGCAGCGTGAGCACGCAACGTACCTTTTAGGACAGCAGCCAATGTCTCAATGAGAACTCACTAGTCGTTGATGAGAACGATGTCACCCTCTTTCCACTCTTGGGCGATCCTTTTCGCAAAGATCATGTTTAGCTCCTTGTAGCATTCGAAGGACTCGTGTTCAGCCTCGAGAGCCTTGTCCGTCGGCAAAGTGTAATGGAAGGTAGGCCACAGGATTCCCTTGCAAAATCTATGATAGGCACCTCGAAAGACTTCCTCATTCAACCACACAGGAACAGATGATCTCTCATCTCGAAATTCCTGCTGCAGAGCACGTCGGTGATGAGGTCGTAGCCACTCTTCATCGGCATGAAATCCTGGAGTCCCGATGAACAGTCTTCCCCCACTGCGCACTTTGCGTTGCTCTGCAAGACAGGCCACAGCATTGACCAGACCCCCATTCGAAGACGGATTGGATATGAAGCCATGTGGTGGCAGCTCTTCGTATGTCGCATACTCATACTCCCCGAAATCAGTGTCAGCTTCTGCAAAAGTCGGAAGGTCTTGGGAAGGCCGCCGTAACTTTCGGCCGATGATACTGGCCGTGCGACGACGTCGCGAAGCTGAGCGAGCGATCCACGGAGATGACGACTTGTTGGAGGCAGTACCACCGGCGGCGAAGCGGCTGTGTCTTGTACTGTGATTGCACTGTCTCTCTGTAGGCGAAGCCGTACCGCTCTCGCCGCCGCTGCCTCTGTCGGGGTCACTAACATAGCTGACACGCTTACTCGAGTGAAGCGTCCCAGACGGCGCTCCTATGCTAGACTTTCCAGGAAGAGAAGGGACGTCGGTGCTCTCCCCGCCACGACCATGGTCATTGTACGACCCGCTGGCAACTGCGCTCAACCTGCTTGAACTCAAACGGTGATGCAGAGAGGGGCGAGGCGCCAGGCCACCGTTGCCGCCCCTGTCAGGAGTCCTTGTAGAAAGTGAGCCTGGAGAAGGGTTTTGGCTACTGACATCACTGATTAGGCCGCCCGATTTCAATTTCTTGTCCATTGTACCAGATCCCGGCGCAGACGTGGACTCTGTCGCTTTTGTCATCGTCAACCCAGGTATAGGGCGATTGTTGGAAGCTAGCGCGCTGTGAAAGCCTCTGTTCAAATTGGAAGGTGTTTGCGCTCCGGGAGGTAGACCCGGTGTGCGGGGAGCGTGGCCGGGCGTCTGACCGCCTCTATATGGTGTGACCGCACCACCCCCGAATGGGTGATGTCGCTCGGCGTCACCTGGGGTAGGAGCTGGGGCTGTGGTCAAGGCGGCTTGTCGAGCCTGCAGATGTCGAGAAAGGAAGGAATGTCGGATGCCGTGCAGCTGGAAGGCACTGGTATGACGGTGGAACTCACTTGTAAATCGCCAATGATACTTAGCGGCTGCATAGTACCGGCCTTCCCTGCAGCGGCAGCTCCGGGTGTTCTGCTGCCGGCCGGATCGTTCAACTTCTTGTTCGGACTCGAGCCCGACCGCTCGTGAACACTCAGAAGGCCGGCACTAACGGCTGCGGGACCTTTGTCGTCCTCTGCTATCGAAGAGCTACCCCTACGTCGCGATAGCGGTGTACCGAGTGAGCTCTTTCCGCCACCAGAGTGGCTCGTTGTGCCACGAATAAGCCCTGGTCTGACGCTGGAAGCAGATGCCACACCCCCAGCCCCGGCCCCCACAGTGGCATCGCCACCACCCCGACCATGGTCTGCTACAGAACTGGACGGGGTTGGCTTTTCTTCCCTCGACCCAGATGGCCTGCCGGGGCCTGAAGTGAAGTCCGGACGCCTCGTGGCACTTTGACTACCCGAAATCTCAAAAGAAGATGACTGTTGCGGATTGGCGGGACGCCGAGTCGCTTCAGCCATCAGCTTGGTCATGTTGATCTGTGACTTGGATGCGGAGCTGGTGGCACTGCCAGCATGTGAGGAAGAGGTGCCATCGGTCTGCGAAGAGAATCGAGGTGGTTGCGATGTCGTTGCAGCAGAGCCTCGGCGAGGTGGCAATGGAATAGGACTGGTTACAAGAGGAGGCGGGTCGACACCATCAGTGCGGCCTGTGGGAGAATCACAGTCCTTTTCATTGTCTCTGAAAGCAGCACTGACTCCTGCCAATCTGGTACCTAGCTCATGCACGGAGAAGCCGTTCTGTTGATCTGCTGGTGGCGAAGGAGGTGCAGCCGATTGGCCCCGAGGGGAATCGATGACTGATGCGTCTACCTCATGGAACGTGATTGTATCCGGCAGAAAGAGGGAAGCAATGAGCACCCTGTGACCATAGTACCTACTGCCTTGACCGAGGGGAGCAGGAGGTGGGCCGGAGGGCATTGAAGTCATGCGGGTAGCCTGCTTCGTCCGCAGATGCTGAGTGGATAGCCAAGGGCTGGTCTCACTATTGCGGGCGGTCGAGCGATTGAGGGAATCGAGCTGGGACTTGTTCTGATGCAGCAGAGGCTGTACGAGGCGGTCAAGAGACAGGCGAAGCGAATGGAGGAAGACGCAGGACAGAAGAACCGCAGGAAGGTGTGAGACTAGGTGATGCTGTGTGGAACAGAGATGGAGACGAGCAAGGATGGCGGCGTTGGTAGCCGTCCAGGCTAGGATGTTGGGCTGGTCTCCTCGGCAATCAGTGGTTCCTGTCCCGCCGCTCGGGGACTTCGAATCGCGTTCCCCACTCCACTTTGCCTGCGCACCTCTGCTTTCCCCCTTTGCACCCTCGGAGCAGCCACATCCCAACGCTACCGACAAGCGCTCTCATCAGCCGGCATCGACCCATCTGCGGCAGCAAATGTCTCCGACTTCTTGGTAGTGCCACGACCATCACTGCCTCACAGATACCCAGGTTGAGACGCGGCATGATCCCACCAGGCCGCCGTGCCACCACCGCCACAGCCCGTGCTACCTCAGAGGGCTGGAGTTAGGGAAGCGGTGCCATGCAGAGCACACTGCAGTGGCAAGTAGGCAGACAAGGCCTCTGAAGCAGAAACAAGGAAGTCTTCACCGGAGCCAACTGCTTCAGCGACTTCGCATATCAGCCGACACCTCACGCCGTTCCTCGGGGCAACGCTGGCGCTGCACGGCCTCACATACCTGCAGTACTTTCTACGGAGCTGTACTCATCGCCGCTGGCTCATAAGCAGGCTCCGCCTCGAGAGGGTTCGGAAGCTGCATCCAGGATTTGCAGCCTGAGCTTTGAGACGTGAGCGAGCGAGACACAGAAGCACAGCTTCCGATCGTCTCTCCATCTGAGCAGACCGGTCTGATTGGCTTCAAGCCAGGGCGCTCGCTGACACTGAGCTATTTGAGATCAATCTATCCCGCACTGACAGTACGGAAAGCGAACTTAGCATCGATATCGATGTTGTCTGTAGTGGGAAAGCCATTTTGGCTTAGCGGCAAGCTCCTCACAGGGTTAGAGCGAAGCGGAGGGATGAAACGATTTGAACAAGGCTATAGATTCATTTGCTCGTTGAACCACCTTGGCCTCGCTCTGTGGATGCTTATTTCTGGCCTTGAAGGCAGGTGAGCGTCCTCACAGTCAACGCGCACCTCGAACAGCCTCTTCCCTGCGCCAGGCTACGGCTTTGCAAGCATAGAGTCAGTGGCGGGAGCCAGCAAATCAATGTACGAGTGGGCGTGGTGAAGATTTGGCACACTGTGCGACATCAGACAGAGGACCGTATGTGTCGGTCGTGTTACTTCTTGCCCTGAAGTTGCGTAAGCGTGCCTCCGGTGAGTTGTCACCGCCGCCGCCGCCAGCCGTGGACCGAGACGCGTGGGCGGATGAGTGCTGCCGCTTACTCGCACGTCAAACGTCCACCGTGCTGGCTGGCGCACCCATCTGGACCCTGATCTGTCACGGCTACTTGCTTTCTTCGTCTCCGCCTTCTCATCCTCCCACCATCCTGTTCCCTTGCCTCCTCACTGTAGTTTTCTTCCCCTCAGACTCCTCTAGAGGACCAGCTCTTCTACTTTGCCCTTCACTTCTCTCTGCTATACGCAAATTCTTTCTTTCCTTTGGTTTGCGCTATCTTGCTCGGCCCCGGGGTGGTCTTGCCAACATCCAGCGACGAGCTCATATCACGTTGGCACGCTGAGCTCTCGCTTGACGATAACCTTCACTGCTTTCTCGCCCTGCCACTTTCACCGCAACGCAACGACACGTATCACGTATCAAGGCCTGGACCCGAACAGTCACCCCACCCGGAATCGTACGCACAAAGGTCTCCACGCTCAACGTCTTACTCAAGCTCCACTGAATCTTACGAGCGAAGTGAGAACATTCCGTCTTCTTTCCGCTGTCCTGTCCAGACCCTTCTGCATTCTCTGCTGTCTGCTGTCCTCCAAGCGTTCGATATACTTCTGCCCTCGGCCTAAGCAAACGCCGCGTCAAGCCGAGCTGTCTTACACCATCTTCGAGAAAGCCCTCCGAACTCTGTGCCTGCCACGAGCACAGACTAAGGCCAGGGCCCACGGTAGGCTTGCGAAAGCCAAGTGACTGCAAACAAACGCCGGGGACTGGTCTTGCAATACAAAGCACCCGGCGAGCAGGCTTTCATTGCTTGATTCGCATACGGAAGATCACGCGGAAAGACCGAGCTCTACTGGTGCTTACTGACTACGCTCCCAACGACGACGGTCTGGTGAATCTGCCAGTAGCGGAAACGGAGTAGAGCGTCGTGTCGCAAAGCTGCTGGTGATCTGACAGGAGGCTTGTCCTTATTGCGGTGCGCCGGTCACCCTGTTTCGGCGGCTGGATCGTCGATCTCAGCCGGTGTGCTTCGTGTATCTCCGACAAGTGGTGGCGTGCCCTTGTAAGTGCAGACGCTCCTAGGCCAAAGGTAGGAAGGAGTGCTAGCGTGGGGTGATTGGTGCGGCCAAGGTGTCAGAGATTGAGATCTGGCCACTCTCCTCTCGCCATCGCATCTGGCAGAGACAGTGGTGCAGAAAAGACTCTTGGCTTCAGTCTCCGCCCTTGCAAGCCACGGAGCTTTTCTCAAGCGAGGTGCGTCCGCATCCGGGCAAAGCAGCAGGTGAGTGGCAGACGCAGGCACCAGAGCAGTGCAGACAATGTGGAGGCGACGGAGATTCTCCCTCAACGTCAACGACGACGACGACGACGACGAGGAAAGGGCGCGTACACTGGTGAGATGGCGGCCACCCGATGCGACCGACGACGTCGCAGCATCCAGCCAAGATTCAAGCCTCCACCGTCATTTGCACGCCTACTGCCTGCCAGTGGCCACAATGATGCGCCCCCGCCTGTGCGGCATGATACCTTGTGCCCGGAGACACCGGTCCAAAAGCGTCTGTTCCTGAGACGCAGACGTTGCTTTATGCTTGACCCCACCCACTGGCGAGGTGCATGCCTCTGCGCTCGTTTCAACAAGCAGCCTTGTCCCACGCTGCATACGGCCATTGGCTGGCGAACACTTCCGGTGAAGCATACCCCACCATCGGCCCCTTACCGACTAAGCTAGCGGTGTGGGACTACCTTTTTCCTCAGGCCCACCTTGCGGGGATCCATCACGACAACGGAGACTAAACAATCGACGTTTAAGCTCCGTTTACTCATCGGTATCGCATTGTCTCAATGGCTGGCGGCGTATGCTATCGTCAAGTCAGCTAGTATATAGTGCCCCATGGATCTCTTCCTCGTCGTCGTCACTCTTCACTCGCGCTACTTCCATCTACTTCCTCACAGGCTAATTGCTCACCGTGTTCCCCTGTTGATACACAACCCACACCAGAAGGGCTCACTACCGAATCTCCTGTCGACCGACTTCGGCACCGCCATACGACAGGCTAGACTGCAGCACTCTTACTGCTACCTCGCACTTCCATCAAGCTACACTTTGCCTCACAATGGCTCCTGCACCAAACGCACCTGGACCTCACAAGAATCTCCTCGGCCACCGTATCGCAGACGGCCGCCTTGAGCTCGTCTCTGTTCTAGGCCTAGGCGCTTACGGGGTCGTCTACTTGGCGCGAGATTTGAAGCATCCCAATCATCAGGCGCAGCCTTCCTTTGCGACTTCCTCCGCCTCGGGACTTCCTCGCTCCCTTGCTTCCGGAGCCGGTAGCGCCGCTACAGGCTATTACGCCGTCAAGTGCCTGAGCAAAGTCGGGCTCGATGCGCGACAACGGGCATTTCAGAGGCGGGAGATCATGCTTCACACCATTGCATCCAACCACTCCAACGTCGTCACGCTTCATCGCGTCATTGACAGTCCCGAAGACCCTTGTGTCTACGTCATCCTCGATTATTGCCCAGATGGTGACCTCTTCAGCATGATCACTGAGCACCAACGCTACATGGTCACTCAGCCCGAGTCGCTGGCGAGCCTGGAGGACGCTGCCATGGATGCCGCAGAGGCTGCAGGTCTCGACCCCAACCAGTACATCGTCGATCACGCCGGAGCCATCGACGCGAGACTGGCTCAAGACAAAGCACGGTACAAGACAGAGAGGGCCAGCATGGATGCTATGATTAAAAAAGTCTTCTGCCAGATCATCGATGCCGTTGAATTCTGCCACTCGTACGGCATCTACCACCGCGATCTGAAGCCAGAGAACATCCTTTGCCTCTCGGGCGGCTCGAAGGTTGTGCTCGCTGACTTTGGTCTGGCGACTGGAGAGAAGGCGAGCACGGACTTTGGCTGTGGCTCAACTTTCTACATGGGACCTGAGTGTCAGGGTGGCATCACCACTCGACTGACCGAGTACAGCACTGCTGCCAATGACATCTGGTCCTTGGGTGTCATTCTGGTCAACTTGACCTGCGGGCGGAACCCATGGAAGCAAGCCTGCACCGGTGACGAGACGTTCCGGGAATACCTTCGCCGACCCGACTTCCTCTTGGACATCCTGCCCATTTCAGACGAGGCCAACGAGATCCTCAAGCGAATCTTCACTGTCAGACCAGAGTGGAGGATCAGTACGGCCGATCTGCGAAAGATGATCCTCAACGTGCGACACTTCACCGTGACAGATGAGCAGATGAAGATTAGGGAGCACCAGGCACGCGTTGCGGCATCTCAAGCTCGTGCTGTCCAAAGAGCTGCTGCCGCTGCCAAGCAGCAGAAGGCTGCTGCTGCCGAGCAGTTTGCTGCACAGCAACAGCTGCAACATGCTCAACAGCGATATTATGCACGCCAGCAACAATCCTTGGCCACCCAGCAGCTGTCTCTTCAGAAACAGCAGCAAGAACAACAGCCGCAACAGGAGCTTGCCAGAGTCGCCAACACCGACAGCGGTCACTGGTCTGGTGGCAGCAACGACTCGTCCTCGTCGGGCGGGTACGGAGTCGGCTTCGACTCCACCTCCAGTGTTGACACCCCTGCTTCCAGTGCTCCTACCTCCCCTGACGTACCCAATGCAGCTTCGGGAGAGACGGAGGACGTCAATTGGGCTAAGCACCCGATCTCGAACGCTCAAAAGGACGGCCGTGTTGCTCGTCGTGGTCTCATTGAGCCGTCGACACCCCAGAAGAAGAACAAGCAATGTGCCCAAGAGCCCGACTCGCCTTCTTCCTCCTTTGACTGCGAGCCCAGTCTGAGCGGCGATAGTGCTAGCAGTCGCCGCTCCTCCTTTTCGTACACCGGCCTTCCACCTACTCCCCGATCGGCACCTCATCCCGCTTTTGGCTCGCCAGTATCTCGCACCGGTGTGATCAGTGGATCTGGTCACAGTCATCAAAAGGCCATGGACGTCAACAGCCGTTTGGATGCGATGATTCTCAAGGACAAGCACAACGCTTCGCCTTCTCCCAAGCTGAGCATCCGAGAAGTCCTTGCTCAGGAGGCGCCTGTCACTCTGCGAGCGGCGCCAATCTCTCGTCGTCACTGAGTTTGCCATCATACACCAAATCCGCTATTCTCTCTGTTACTTTGTCTTTGGAATCGTCACGCAAATCATACCCTCGCCACGGAAGCGGTCTCTCTCTTTCCCGGCATTCTCATTGTACCCAATTCTTACCCTCAACACACATTATGTAGATCTTCAATCTTGCCCTTTCCATCTCATCCCCTGTTTCTTTCAGTCACGCACCGTTCAAGATCATGTATTATTAAGTCTCATTATCTTCTGGTCTCTTTAGCCATCACAAATTTGGCCTTGCAATCCGAGTGACTTGCACCTTTGTTTTGTCCGGCTTGTGACCTGATACAGGAATCTAGCGCAGCACCCTCGACGTGGAGTTTCTTTCGTCCGTCGCCAACGGCTCCTTGCACCGAAACATCGGGCTGCTAGCAGGAAATGTGCGACGCTGATGAGCATTTGACTGCGGTAGCAGGCACTATAGTGCCAGGCAGTAGTCTGAAAGCAGTGAGAAGTTTTATACCCTTGCGTCTCTCTGCCCTCAATCCTCGCTGCGGTGCTTGACTGCCCATCACTCATCAAAGAGTACCGAAGCAGGCAGCCTGAAAGAGAGACAGTACATGTCCTTGTTCGGTGCGACCTTCCGTACCCAATGTAGGGACACCTCAGGCGTCGCAGACTCCTCTGACCTGAGCGCCTCTATTGGTACGCCAGTGTGACAAGAGTGTGCGGCAGAAGGGGGAAAGGAAGGTGCGATGAGTCTGTCTGGATGAGTCGAAGACAGACCCAGAGCCGTGTTCGCTCTCTATTCGAGCGGGAGGCAAATGGTGACGCGTGGAGATGAGTGGCCAGCAGAGGGAGACGAACGTGGTTTGCTGCATTGAATACAACTCACCTGGCAAATATCCTCGTACGGGCGGTTGAGCTCCTTTGTGAAACAGTGAACATGCACCATAGGCCATTCCCTTGCTTGGACACTGCGACTTGTACTCTGCCTTTTCTGCTGTATTGCCTCATCGAGAGCCTGGCGCCCTATCTCCTGTGCTAGTGACCGATACGCCCCGCGAAAAGCATCCAGAAATTGGAGGGCAGAAGCGGGAAGATTCATGATGAAGTGGTCGACGAGGCGACTGGGAGGAGGTGGAGCAGTATCAACTAATATCGGCTTTGTTGCTGGCTCACCGCTGGATTGCGCTACCATCTCTCCATCTTGCAAGCCCATCCTCCGAGCGCGCCCCAACTTGTTGAGCTGTTTCGAGCTCTTGGGTCCTGCCCAGGAAGCGGTCTCCCTCCTCCACGCCCTCTTGACACTTTCCCTTATAAAGGTCCTTCCATCTTCGCAATAGCACTTGCAGCCTCCCTCAACTTTGTTCTTCTTTGCATTATTGACGAGGCTCTCATAGCTGGCTGGATTGAGATCATTGGCATAGACGACACATCCCATCTTGGCTGCTGGGAGGGCAAAGGGGCCTACTCCGGCCATGACATCGCTCACCACCTCACCCGGCCGCATGAGAGAGACGATACGATTGTGTTCTGTGTGAAGGCGGGAGTTGAAGTAGACCTTGCGAAAGTCAAAGGTAAAGGTGCAATTGGACTCCGAGGCAGTGGTGACGTAGTCCTCTTCGCCTGCCAGAAGCTCCATTTGGAAAAATCGAAATTCAGTATCGATGGAATCTAACTTGTTGACCACTGTGCGGATTGTGGAAGGATTCTTCTCCAATATGACCTGTCCAATAAGAAATCGGAAGGGGAGATACTCATCACGCAAGTTGAGGTGGGCGATGTGGCCCACGATGGTGTACCCCGTTGGTGTGCCTTTGGAATCGTCCTCGGGCAGGATCGCAGATAGAACTTCATCTGCTGAATACCAGTCGTAGCCGATAGCTATGTCGTGTGGTACGAGCTGTAGCCCTCTCTCCAGAGCAAGGGAGGTGATGTCTTGTGGTACCTCTCCTGCGGAAGCGTGCTTCAGTAAAATCAAGCGTGACTGGGCATTGCCAATAGAGCCATCACGAACTACGCTCGAGAGCTTTGGTACGACCAGGGTCGATGCAGCTACTGCCGATTGTGACTTGATTGTGCCCACTTCCTTGGCCGGTACGCGAAGAGCAATGACTCGCACCTTCTTGTCGAACAAAGGTTTCAGCTTCGCTAGACTGGCCTCTACTGGCTTGCGCTGATGTGCGCCCCTTGCAGGTGGAACGGGATGCGACGTCGAGCCCTCAGAGCTTGCCGTTGCGGCGTAAGAGAGACGAGGTATGCTTTGTGAAGGCGCGAAGGAGAGGGGGGAGGCAGAGGTAGCGGAAGATGAGGCAGAACAAGCCATCCTGAAGCCGCGTGGTGCTGCACGGCGGCTCAGCGATGGAGTCGAGGAGCTGAAAAGGCGTGACTGTGCTCTCAGGTGCGTAGAAGTAAGATCAAAAGCTCTTCTCATGCGTCGGTAGCGTCCCTCGAGAAGGCAAGCAAGAGGACGAGGCGTGGTGCAAGGCAAAAGCGACAGTGGAGAGTAATCTCTCCGACCTGGACTGCACAGCGGAAAGGAAAAAGTGAGATGAACCGCGGCAGCGCAAGGCGTCTGTTGCTTGGCTGTCGTGTGGAGAAGTAGACCTCTGAAGAGACGCGCCAGTGGTACTGCGCTGTGGACTGACTCACAGCATCGTGGGTCAAGTCGTGTGCAAGGGATGAGTCTCTCCATGCTAGGTTTGGTAGGACACCGCGGTGGGATCACATTCACACGTTCAAGTCTGACCTTCTGACATTGTCTCGGTGGACGACTACCGTCTCCTTCCTGAGGCACCACAGCGAGCAGAGTACAGGGCACCGAGCTGAAGTCAGTGAAAGTTCGTCTGTGGATGCAAGGCGCTGATCCTCCCTTGTACTGCCCAGCAGCATTACAATGCTCTAAGCACCATCGCAACAGAAGATACAGCCCTCTGCTGCAGGCCCCATACTGCTTCGCCGCCTGACCACCCTGTGACGCAGCGTGGAACGTTCTGTCTCAAGATTGTGTATAGTCAGGATCCATGATGTCCTCGAGAGAAGGCACAATCGTTGCAAGCGCTAGGTGAGCATCGCGTACGCACCTTCTGTACGACGGGCAGAGCACGCAGCTTCGCAGATACTGCGATTGGAAAGCCAAGTGGCGAGCAACCTTGCAAGGCCCTTCATTTCATCTTCACGTGATCGTGTCGGCCTCACAATCAGCGGCATGCTGTTCCTCACTGTCACCGATGACCACTGCTTCAATTGGAAGCGCTGTTGCGCGCATTCCATCAGCTCCTTCTCCGTTGGTGGACGGATCCACAGAGCATCGATCCGCAAGCTCCCACCTTTGCAGCGACCGTGCTCTAGGTATGCGACTGTGGCTCAGCGCTCGAGCGACAGCGAGCGATGGCATTGTATCTTCAGTAGCATAGTCATTCGGAGGGCTTGCCATTGCTTGTGTGGCTGCAGTGGCGACCCCTTGTGCCTGTGTACTGCCACTTCCCACACGCTGATAGAACAGCAGGAATGCATTCTGGCTCAGGGCCTCACGAAGAGAGACATGCGTGACCGAGTCGTCGGATATACGCAGCCAGCCGTCGTCCTCCTCATCTTCTGACAATGCGATGCCCTTTGTCTCTTGTTGTTGCGGAAGAGGTCTTCGCCGCGGTCTCCGGCGGAAGGAGACGTAGTGGCCAAAGGAATGGCCGCCATAGTGGACCACCAATGAGTCTAGTCTGTAGACCGTTCGCGATGTCGTCAGACGCTCGTCGAGCTGGACGACGTCCTCCTGCTCTCCCCCGAACTGAGCATCAGCCGCGTCATCGTTCATCCAGATAGGCTTCTTGGCTCGCGCCACAGAGGCTGTGCCATTTGTACCTACATGAGTCCAATCCTCTTCTTGAGTACCGCTCTTGGCTGGTCTCTGGCTTGTCTCATTCATGCCCTTGATGGCATCTGACTCAACTCCCGACGTGATGCACCACTTCGCGAGGTCCAGGTACTCTTGGAAAAAGACTCGTGTATTGTTCTTGCCTGCTCCCATGCCCTGATATATCGAACGATTCAGATGGACAACCAGTGTCTGTGGCGGACGAGAGAAGACAGTTTGCTTTGTAGCAGTGATGATCGACCCCGCGGGGCTGGGTGGTGGCAGGGGAGGAGATGAGAGCCGTATGGAGGGATGGAGGGCTCGAAACTCTTCCTCTGTGATCGACCTTGACAATGCCTGTGTGAGCGCCGAATGGGCTTTCCGCACCTCCTTGAGACGTTTCTTCGCCGACGGTGTGATCTTTCCATTTGATGACGTGCCGTTGCCTTTGGCAACTTTGATAGTATGGGTAGCCCCACTGCCATCCTCTACGTTAGCGTCCACAGCGACTTTGTCTTTTCCCTCGGTCGCATTCGATCCGCCATTCGAAAGGCGGTGTGCTTCGGCCTCCGTTCTGTTGAGATTAACGACCAGAGTGCAGCGCCAACACCTCCATTCGACGCCTTCCAAGCCAGCCCAGGAGTCGAGACAATCTTCCAACCCGAGAGCGCTTCCGACTCGCCGCTGCAGTGGAACATTGACACTGACTTCCTCTTGCACAAAGTTCCTGATCACATCGTAGTACCCACATCGCAGACATGCGGTCCGTTGGGCTACGAGAGCTTCGAACGGATTGTAGAGGTGTCTCCGAGCTACTGGAAGTGGATGTGAGCGTGCCTTGATGCTCTTGGCAAGGATAGAGGCGAGTCCCGAGCCTTGAGCTTCACTCTCGACGTAGGATGTTTCCGCCCACACAGCTGCTCGTTCCTTGGAGATGGCTTCGAGAAGCAAGACCAGAAGCTCTTGAGCGTCCTGCTGCTGATGAGCGGTCAATAACGTTCGGATTGAAGAGGACTGAGTCGCAATGGACAGGGTGTCGGTAAGGACCGACGGTCTGATCGCGGACCGTCGAGTAGCTGGAGTATTCAGTGCGCTTATGAGGTCCAGTAGTGCGTCTACTACTGGCGTAGGAATATCCAGCTGCTCAGCGGACCGCTGCAGTCTGGTCAAATGCTCCGTAAACAGAGTGACGCTGGCTAAGCTCTGTAACACCGAATTGAGGAAGCATGTGTTGCCCGTGTTTACCAGCCCGGTGTAATGGCTACCTGCTGGACAACCTTGACAAGAGAGAGAGGTCGCGGATTTGGGAGGTTTGCGTCTGAGTCTGCCTTTGGCCAAGGGTTTCGAAGAGGACGAGGTGGCGTATGGAGACGGTGACGTTTCCAAGCTGTAGCGAGTGGCGAAGGAAGAGGAGGGGGCGAGGCCAGGCAGCACTATCATGTGAGCGAATTCTACGATGAACCCGATTATGGAGTGGCGAAGGACAGAGACTACAAGGATGGAAAGCAGAAGTCCTGTTACGAAGAGGACTTGGTGCAGAATTGATGCTGGGTATGGAAAGATGCCGAAGAGGGGATAGAGCTGGCTGCTCGGCAGGTCTATGAGAAGAAACGGCGGGTCAGTGGCTGCCACTAGCCGAGCTGTGAGTGTGTGTACGAAGAGCACCGATGAGAGCTTGGTGCAGAAAGATGCTTGGCCACGGTGGCGCATCCTTGAGGAGGGGGCGCAATACCAGAAGGAGATAGACCTCCGAGTGTGACACGGCGCCGTAATGGCAATTGTCCCTCTTGACAAGAGACCGTCAGCATATCATTGCCAAGGCCGAGTGTGGCTGTGTCGATGGCAGGCGTGGGAGAGCGGGGGTGGGAACTATCTGCGTGCGAGGGGTGATGGTGGTGAAGTGACTTTAGGCCGGTCCTTTGGAAAACTCCCCTTCCGCCCTTCCGCTTGTGCTCTTGGCCCGGGAGCGAGAGGATGAGCCGAGGCGCCGTCCGGCCCCCCAAGATCCAACACGTAGCAGAGCGACTGCCTCTGCCGAGGGTCTCACCATCTCTCTCCACCGTCCCAGGCTACCCTGGTGTCACTGATCATGGTCAATCTGTCATTCGCAGCAACCAGGAGGATGCCGGCAGCAAGCGCACTAGCGACGTCGGGATCGATGTGGCGCCTGACCCTGGAGGCACAGCACTACTCCACCATCCTCACAAGTGCACATCTTGCCTCCGCCAGACCCTTGATAGCACATCCCCACGTGGGTTCTCGGTCCTCGCACTCGCACGCTCAGACAAAGAAAGCTGCGACGTCCACTTCATCGCTGCGGAAGTCTCCCCCGGCTTCTTCTCCGGTGCAGTACTTCTCCCAAATGAAGTCCCCACCCTCGAATCGCCTCACCTTTCGGCTGATGCCGCCTCGCCAGCTCGTATCTCATCTGGATGCCCACGTAGTCGGGCAGGAGAGGGCTAAGCGATACTTAGCGGTCACAGTCTACAATCACTTTCTGCGGCTGCTACTGAACGATGCCACACCCGACCTGCGTAGGCCATCTGAGATTACGCGTCTACAAGAGGAAGAGAGCAGCGACAGGCCTTACAGAGATCAGGATGGCTGCGAGAGGGAGGAGGGGCAAGATGAGATGAGGAAACAGAGGACCTCTGCCGATGACGAACCTGCGTCTAGACGGCCACTACGCCTGGGCAGGTCCCAGCAGGTCCTGACGGCTTCGGATACGGGCGGAGACAAGGCATGGCGTCATGTCGTGGGTCAAGGTGAGCAACATCGAAGCGGTGTAGAGCTGAGCAGTCAGGAACTGAACTTTAGAGCATCCGGCAGGAGAGAAAATACCATCCACATACTTCTCCCATGCTCAGCCACATTTGGTTTCGGAGAGCAAAGCAGAAGCTGGGCGGTCGACTCAGAGCGAGTCCCTTCATTTTAGAGCCCCACACGCTTTGCGTGCACGGCGCCCTCTCAGCCTGTCGCAGCATGAAGAAGACCCGTCACCTTTGCGATTACTCCACGCAACATCGTCTGCCCCACGTCACGCCAAGTCCAATCTCATCCTGATCGGACCCTCAGGTTCCGGTAAAACCCTCCTCATCTCCACCGTAGCCGAAGCTCTCGACGTACCCTTCGTCTCGATTGATGCCACTACTCTTACAAGCAGCGGCTACGTAGGCGAAGACGTCGATGTAGTCGGTCGCCGACTACTGTCAGAAGCTCGTCGGCTGTGCGGTGAGGTTGCCACGGAGGACGACATCAAGCGCAAAGCTGAGCAGGGTATCGTCTTCATCGACGAGGTCGATAAGCTTGCCAAGAGGACCAATTCGACCGGTAACAGGGACATCGGTGGGGAAGGGGTACAGCAGGCTCTGTTGAGGTTGCTGGAAGGGTGCGTTATGCACGTCCAGGGGCCGCCTCCAACGACAAAGTCATCCCGGTCCACCAGGTCGAGCAGACCCAAGAGCGTAGCCGAAGCTTCTTCGCAGCAATCGCAGCAAGAAGTGGGCGATATGGCTGGAACTGTCCCAGTGGCAGGCAGTAGCAGCACCCAGCACACGTATCAGATCGACACTACCTCTGTCCTCTTCGTGACGTCGGGCGCTTTCGTTGGACTGGAGAGCATCATGAAGCGTAGGTATGCAGTGGCAAGTGGGGACAAGGGAAGCGAAGGGGCAGGGCTGCGTCGTGTGAACGAAGAAGACTTGATTCAGTACGGTCTCATCCCTGAATGTAAGTCCGTATGTGACTTTGAATTCGCACTCAATGTCATTCTTGAGATGCTGATAATCGTACATTCACCGTTACATTCCTCCTGCAGTCATCGGCAGGATACCAGCAATATCAGTGATGGCTTCCCTCACCCAGGCGGAGCTAGTGCGTGTGATGACGGAGCCTCGCGACTCGCTTCTGGCACAATATACCTCTCTTTTGTCCTCCTCTAATGTCGCCTTTAAGATAACTTCGGCAGCACTTGAGTCAATTGCTCGTCAAGCCTCTGCTTCGAAAGTACAGACCGGGGCAAGGAGCTTGAAGAGGATTCTCGAGGACAAGTTGCTCGACACACTCTATGCTGCCCCAGGCGGAAGCATCCGCTTTGCCCTGTTGGACGAAGAAGCTGCCGAGGGCCGAGGCGACGTCAAGGTCTGGAGTCGTGGAGGGAAGCAGGCCTTTGCGAACGCTTACGATGACGAGGAGCGGTCTTTTGTTGCAGCCAGGAGAGAAAGCAGAAAGTTGGGAAGAGGTGAAGCAGAGGCAAGTACAGATACTACCAGGGCCTCATTCGCGGCCTCGGGGTCTTTGGCGAAACAGCTAGCCAAGGCGGATGCGAGCAAGGAGACAAAGCGCATCCCTTCTACACAAGCATCGGGACCACAGCAAGGTCAAAGGCGACCTCTCATCACGGCCCAGCGGTACATCGATCCTGAGACCCAGCAACTCATCGACGAGGCGGAAGCGGCAGATTGGGAGGGGGGCGAGAGCGATACTATTGGTGATGTCGTAGTTGTCAGCGCTAAGTCCAGCCGATCCCCGCGGCCCCTGACCGCTTCCCAGCTCACGGGATTGAGCGAGTCGGAGCTTTCGACAATTGCCAGGCGCAAGAGTAGGGCAAGGTTAAATCGGCCCAGTCGAGTGGGCAATCTCAGAGTAGTGGTGGGCGTATGAGCTGTTACCTTTCCTTGAGTGAGACAGGCCGTAATACTAGGCGCAGCATTCCAGCGAGGCAGCGATGAGGCAAAGAATGTGTCGGGAAGGAATGTAATTTGATAGGTGTTGTACAATGTGCAAAGTCGTAGCTGCGATGAGTCTGAAATTGGAGTATGGGCAGGGTCTGGCGCTACCCTGCAATCGGGCTTGATCGACAGGGGAATGAAGATGCACTGTAAGGCCTAGGCAATTAGAGGAGCTGGAGGATGACGCTCAGACTCACCTTGCCTTGCCGCGAGACTATCTAACCGGCTCTAGCCACCACCTCGCCACCTCTGACTCCTCTCCTGACAGCCTCTCTCGCCTCGAACCACCCCTCTCTCCCGCAGTCCACCACTCCAATCTCTCCCATGGCCAACGGGGGCACGAATTTGCTCCTCCTATAGCTGACAAATCTCAGCAGATCTTCTCGGTCCATGAAGATCTTCTTTGACGGCTTGCTCACCAGCTCACACTTGCTCAAGACTGGCCTATCCTGACTGGAGTACTTGAGATGTACCCAGAGTCTTTTCGAAGGGATGGAGGCTTGCTGGAATGCTATTGGTGAGGCTGGGTTGGATACTGTGCCTTTTGTAATGGAGTGGATCAGGCCTTGTTGGAGGAGAATGGACAGGATAGAAAGGTTTCCATTGGAATAGGGGATCGGCACTTGGCGTAGACGGGCAGAGGAGGCATTGCGTAGGCGGACTAGGAGGTCGGCATGGAGCGGCATGACAAAGCGTGGGTAGGCGAAGGAGCGGGTGGGAGCAGTCTTGGCTTTGAGATGGAGCGAAGTTGAGGAGGAGGAGGATGCTAATGAGGATGATGCCACGATGCTACCAAGGATGGTGGGCGACTGAGTGGACGTCGGTTGATTGTTTGCAAAAGCGGAGCGGAGGCAGACGAGGGGCCAATGGGTGGTGCGCGCAAAGTGTGCCTTTGCCTCTGCACGTCCGTCGTCGGAGCTCAAGCCAGACGCACACATACGCGCTCGCTCATCCACTCACTCACCCGCTCACTCACCCGCACCTCACTCCACACCCACACCCTCCTCTCGCTGGCATCAAGCTGGGGTGGCAATGGCCTACGGCATGACACTCAACGGTATTCTGGTCGGTCCAGTCTCAGCTGTCCTCCTAGGCCTCTGCGCCGCCCTCACCTTCAGCTCAGGGGCGACAGTTCAAGGCGCAGCATTGACAACGGTGGTGAAGGCAGGAGACGTGAGTCAAGCCTTCTCGAGTCCATTCACTGCTGCCTGCTCATCGTCATCCCCTTACTTGCCCTCCGCCATCATGTCCCCTCGCAGCGATCGTGCTTCTACTCCTGGGTGGATCAAGCGGGCGAAAAGATCGGCTGGTACTTTGCCGTTCAATCTGGAGGTAATTTCGAGATTGACTGGTCTGTCACCTCCCCGTCCCAAAAGATCATTACAGAAGGCCGCAACGAACGTCAGATGGACATCATCTTCACAGGTCAAGAGGTGGGCGAATATCAATTCTGCTTCGAGGATCCGACCTTTGCGGCTGAAAAAGTCGTCGACTTCGACATTACCGTCGAGAGCGAGCCAAGGTTGTCGGTGCCGCTCAGCCAGGCGCAGATGCTCAAGGAGCATTCCGCGCCCCTGGAGGAGAGTATTGGAGAGGTACAGCAGCAGCTCACCTCCATTGGAAGGACGCAGAGGTATTTCCGAACTTGGGAAAACAGAGGCTTTGATACAGTCAAGAGCACACAGTGCGTTCAGACGATGTGCCAAGGGCTTTCGAAAGAGGCAGATGAGACTGACGCTTTACTCTTTTGCCCACAATCAGGTCAAAGCTCTTTTACTTTTCCGTCATCGAGTCCGCCCTCATCATCGCCATCAGCTTCGGGCAAGTCAGCCTGATACGTTACCTCTTCGATGCAAGAGGGACGAAGCGGTCGAGGGTGTGAGCAAGAGCGATTCACGATTCGCACGGTCTTCGGTAGTATTACAGCTCATCGGGCCGTGATAGAGCCAACACATCAGCAATGACAATGACGAGGGAACAGCGAAATGCGTGGGATGAGGTACTAATCGACATGACCGACTTAGTATCACCTTCAGAGCGGAAGAACCACTTCATCTCCTTTTATCTCACCCGAACTACCAAACGAATCTTTCCCATGGACGCTTGCGAGATGGGGGTTCAAAGTCCGGCAAAAGGTTGATGTACAGTCGGCATCGATGGGATGTGGCTGCTTGTTCCGAACATGGTCAAGAGGCGAGGCCAGATACCTCGCAAGGAGAGTCTCTAATCCGAGTCTGAGACAGCGCCGGGACGGCAGAGGATGAGAAGGCAGGTAAGGAAGCAGAGAGTTCAGTGATCTGACTTTGCCCTCTTTCCAGGGACTTCCGAGGCACGTCTCGTACTGACAGTATCGCGAGTAGCGCCATGGCAACGGCAGAGACTACTGTCCGTCCTGCACTCAGCAGGGCATAACTGCACGTATCGCCATCGCTAAGCAGATTCTCCAACACAGCGATTGCGATCCTTGTCAGTTTCTCATACCATGTCGCGCCTTCTCCACCGTGGCGTGTCATCCTCCCCGTTGCGTCACGCATATGGACAATTGACTGTGTCCTGCTTGAAGACCAAGAATCCAGCTGTGACTGGAAGGCCTCCGAAGCGAGAAGCAGGGCACAGGATCCCTCTCGCACTGGATCGATGGTCAGCAGGAGCAGCAAGAGGAAGCTGAGGCATACCGAAGAGTACAGAGTGAGGCTCGCGTGGGCGTGTAAGATCCGTAGGAGACGAGGGGAAGGCTAGCGGACGGAGTGCACGGGGAGGCGTGTTATAAGTCTCGTCGGTCTGCAGTCTCATACGCCCTCCGTCTGATCCTCTCCCTTCAATGGGCAGACTTTTCACCCGCTGGAACTCACCCACCAGATGCCTACCACCCCCAATCCCCACATTCCAGTCGCTACTAGCTCCGCCGCACGCAGATACCACATTGTCCTCCTCAATCCGGCCCAGAAGCGTCGCGCCTCACGCTCGCGCTCTTCCTCGAAAAAGGAGTCTGCGGGGGTGGTGACGACTCCCCCTTGGAAGGCAAAGACACTCTCCTTGAGGAAGCCTCCGGAGGTGCGGTGTTGCAAGGCAGGAAGAGAGGTCCAGAAGCTGGACAAGGAGCTGAAAGGAGCTGGTGAGACCGATGATTTCGCGGCTGTATCGGCCAGGTTTGACGCACTGCCAGCTGTCTCGGATGTAGGAGCGGTACTAGTGGCGTGTAGAATGCTTGATACGAGCTGATAACGAGCGTGCAGCCATCGATACAATCCATAGTGCACCAGCATTAGTGCAAGACACAAGAGCAACATGCGTCGTGGGCGCATATAGGAAGCCAGTAAGCGGCGCAACGAGGTACGCGTGCGACGTGCTACTGATGGAAGGATGCGCATGGCGACGGTCGATGGGAGTGACACACTATCCAAGATAGGGGTTGGTAGGATGATGGCATGTACAGACATCACGACAGCATTGCTACATTGTAGGTGGGCGGATGATCGAAGTCAGGGCCGCGCCCGTAGGGCAATGAGTATCCGCCTTGCTCGAGGAAGCGCAATTCTGCGGGCCGCTTCCGCAAGTATGTGGCCTCATCCTAGTCCTTGGCTCCTCAGGATTCCGATCCAGCCCCTCCCTCCCCACTCCATCCATTGTGTTGCGCTCGAGGTGCCTGCTTGCAGGTCCGACACAAGGGTGGGTCCTTCATTGCTGCTCAGGCTGTGTAGAAGGGCGGCGGAGGCGGGGAGAGATTGATTGGCGAGCAAGTGAAGCTCTGTGAAGGCGGCCGCAAGAGAAGCAAGGGGGCATTGTCTCAGTCGGCCACGTCTTGGGCGGCTGAGCACAACGTGATGAGCAACACTTTCTCGTCTGCTATTACTCACCACTGAGCAGGTACGCTATAGCAAGACGACCCCGAGAGGTATACCAGCGAGGCTAAGAAAGCAGTGGAGCAGTTGGCACAATCAGCTCCGCCACCTTCGCCTCATGAATCATGAAAGGACCACTGCTCACCCCGAATCCTTCGTCGTGGTTAGCAATTGTACAACTTTCATCTGCGATCTGCCCTGCTCTGGCAAGGAGAGGCAGGGGATTTGGGATCGAATCTGGCAGAGCAAGAGCGATGGGAAAAGGTAGAAGGCGAGGAAGGAGTGATAGGACCGGCGAAGGAAGAGGGTTGGCAGATGCGTAAGAGAAGGCCTGGCGGATAATTGGGGTGGACGGTTGGTATGCGATGAGCATCTGAAGACCTTTGGACGAGCAGAAGGCAGGACGACCCACCTCGAGAAGATGACATTTCACCCGATCACTCTCTGCCAATCTACCTTGCAAGAGGGTAAGAGCATCGCCAAAGGTTCTTTTGCTCCCCTCCCCAGCCTTGCTTCCTAGTCCTCCCCCGCCGGATCTCTCCTTTATGGCGTGGAAATGAGATCTCATTGCTTGGAGCTGCATAGCATCCCACCTCTTCAACAGACGAAGAGGGATAGCTGTTTGACTTGTGGGCCCGCCGGGGAAGAGCCTGTCAATGGTGAGAGCGTCTAGGGGCGCCTTGAGTCGAAACTCTGACGCCCGAGCCCCTGCTAGGACGGCAGAAGGTGTGAAGCCATGGTTTGGGATATGCGGTAGAGCAGAGGCAATCAGACGCGAGGTGAGAGATGCACCAGGAGCTAGCCGTGGCCCAGTTGTGGCGAGCATGACTAGGTGCTGTGTAGGGCAGAGGTGTGGGTGCGGGTGCCATGGATGGTCCGAGCGAAGAATGGCGCAGCAGTGCCAAGACGTGGAGCAGCCTCACCGCCACGCCGTGAGCCCGGCCGACGGAAGCCGAAGGGCCCTCCGGCTGTTGCACTCGCTCCCGGTCCGCGCCTCTGCCTCGGAACGGGAGAGACTAGCGCCCTCCGCTTCTCACTCCACTTCGAGGCTTACAGACTAGTCTACTCGTCGCCCCTCAGCACCACCCTCATCTTTTCCACTTGCGTCCCCACCTTCAAACCCACACTATTCATACCACCCATCCTATTCTCTGCGCGAGGTTCAGAAGCCATTCATACAACGCATGACTAGACCTCGCCAACCGGCTCCTCAAATCACGCCCTTGTATGCTCACCAATCATCCTCTCACCACCGCCACTCGCCCACTCTCGAGCAGCACCACTGCCTTTTCGCGCCAGTCAGTCAGTCCTCGGTCTACACTAGAAGCGCTTCATCTTCCTCGTCAACGTCGCGATCCTTGCTCTTCCCCCGTCTACCACACTTCTGGTTTCTCCTCGCCCTCGTTCTCCTCTTGAGGAGCCCCTTTATACCTTCCGCCAGCGGCTCAGCTCTCCCATCTGCTAGTATTGACCAGATCCAACGCGCCTCTGATGCCACCTATTCACAAGCGCCACTTTCTGATCTTGCTCGAGATGGCGCTGTCCACGTCCGATCAGAAGCAGAGGAACCACACTTGAAAGCGACCTTGGTATGGCACGATTCCACACCACCACTTCCCTCGGACTCCTCGCCGCGACCGAACAAGCGCAAGACAGATGCACTTGACCTTGCCGAGCAGCTCCTCTCACTTCAGCGCAGATCCGACTCAATACAAGACGATCAACTCTCGCCTTCGGCCACTCTCCAGAGATCTCTGCTCTCAAGAAGACAGAATAATCCTGCCGCCTCGTCTGCTGCAAATACATGCGCATGCAATACCGACGAACCTCTCTCATCGGGCGCGAAAGCCGGCTACGCCATTGTCGTACCTATCCTCGTGATTCTCTCCGGTATATTCGCTGGTCTGACGCTGGGGTACATGTCTCTCGATGAGACCCAGCTTCACGTCCTAGCTACGACAGGCTCTGAGAAGCAAAAAGCGTACGCTAAGAAGATCATACCTATCCGCAAGGACGGACATCTTCTGTTGACCACGCTCCTGATCGCTAACATGGTAAGTAAGATAGCAGCTCTGTCCGTTCAAGTCTCACTGCGTTGCGTAGACTGAGCCTTTCGCCTCTTGACATCAGATCACAAATGAAACGCTACCGATCGTGTCCGACCCGCTCTTTCCCAGTCCCGTACTGGCAGTCGTAGTGTCAACCATACTCGTCATCATCTTTGCCGAACTGGTGCCACAGAGTGTCTGCTCCCGTTATGGACTTGAGATAGGCGCGTACATGGCTGTGCCTACTCGCTGCATCATTCTTGTACTGTGGCCGATAGGCTACCCGGTTTCTCGGATACTGCACTGGACGCTTGGCCCTCATCACGGCATCGTGTACCGTCGAGCCGAGCTGAAGGAGCTGGTGACCATGCACGCGCTGTCGGGCGGTCGCGGTGGGGATCTGAACGGAGACACAGTGATGATGGTTGGAGGTGCTCTGGATCTCCAAGAAAAGGTTGCGCAGCAGGCGATGACTTCTATCGACAACGTTTTTATGCTTCCCTATGAAGCGCAGCTCGATTATGCCACTCTTGAGCGCGTGGTTCAGTCTGGTCACTCAAGGATTCCGATCTATCAGGAAGTTGATGTGTCACTCAACGCTCCCGCCCGCAGTGGTAGCGGTACTCCTAGCAAAAGAATGATGCCTGCTTTTCTGAGCTCGCTGGGGAGAAAGCCGACAGCCAGCAGTACGAGACGTTTCAATTCTGGCGATGATGACGAGACCATCAGCTCTTCCGAGAGGAATGAGCAGGGGGTGCCGCTGTCCGAAAAGGAGGGAAAGGAAAGCTCTGCTCACACCGCGGCGCACGGGAACATCTCCGTGAAACGCAAGAAGATCATTGGTACTCTCCTCGTCAAGTCTTGTGTTCTACTCGATCCAGAAGATGCCATACCTGTCAGCGAGATGACAATCAACGCACTGCCTTCAGTACCTCACGACGAACCCCTCCTGAATGTTCTGAACGCTTTTCAGGACGGGCGATCACACATGGCCATCGTTACTTCTGCATCTCGTTTGGGGGACTCGCTAGCGCCGTCAAAGCTGCCTGGAAATTCTTCTTTCGCCCGTCGCGGCACAAATCTTCGCGAAATCGACGAAGAGTGCATTGGGGATGATTCATTCAACAACGGTGCCCGAAATAGCTCTTCGTCTTCCACATCCTCTAGCACAGGCGGTGATTACCGCCACAAATTCCGAGGCTTTTTCAAACGGCGGGGCGCACAGGATGATATCGAACTTGCACATCGGGCACAGTCCAATACAATGCTTGCGGAGAACACGGTGAGCAACGACAAAGCAAGCGGCGTCATGCCAGACATCATTGGCGTCATCACGTTGGAAGACGTTTTGGAAGAGCTGATCGGGGAGGAGATCTACGATGAGTACGACCCTCGAGAGGAAGGTGAGCAGGGGTGGAACAAAATTACACCGCCCTCATCACCAGAAGAAGTCGCGGGCGCCAAGAGGCTACTGGCGACAGCCAGTGGTGGACCAGCAGCCGAGCCGCAGGCCAGCGTGACCGTCAAAGCAAGTGAAAGTGCTACCACCAACCTGGGTACTGCGCAAGCGCCTGCGCAAAGAGAGCTTTCAGACGCAGTCACAGCCGCGCCGCGTACGCTCCTGGGGCGCCTGGGACTGCTTCCGGGTCAGCAGAGGGCCAACAGTATGACTGCACCGCAGAAGACCGCAGGAGACGCTATGGTATCTCCTTCTGCAATGACCGCAGGCGCTCTGCAATCTAGTCCCGATGCCTTGAACGTGGACCCCTCAACTGGCAAGTCTCAGCTCCACGCCGAGCCTTCACCCGACAACCGTGCCCAGATGGGTGACGACTATTTCAATGTCAGAGCACTCAGCCCGCCTTCCACTGCGGCATTGCAAGACACTCCACGGGAGGCATCTGCCAGGAGTGCCCCTAATACTGCTCAGGGATCAGCAAAAGGTGTCGCACTCTCGTCAATTGGCGCCAGCACCGCTCGTCCGTCATCGTCGCCGCCTGTTCCTCTTTCGACAACTAGAGATGGTCGGGATGGTCAGAAGCAGCCTGCTGCAGGTCGCGCAATCATTGTGCGTACTCAATTGCCGGGCGGGAGCACCCAAACCGGTATTATCGGGGAAAACCTCTTGCTGCGTGGAAGGGGTCTTTCACGAGGTGGAGGCTCGGCATCCGCTGCAGGAGGAGGCAATGGTAGCAGCAGTGGCGGTCTGCTCGTCAATGCAGCTGCTCTGAATGCTGATAGTACTTCGAGGAGCTCGACGCCGAAACCTAGTCGGTTCAAGAGCACCCCTGTCCAGGTTCCAGTAGCCAATGCTAGTACAGCTGTCGGCTCTGCAGGCTCTCTCGCCACGAACAGTGTTCATAGGCAGGAAGTAGTGGGCGAAGATTGCACAGACTGAGAGATGGACACAGCAGTCAGAGGGGAGCAAAAAGTGTGAAGGTACATTACGATCAGAGCCGTGGGAGGAGCTCGTCTCTGTAGATCAATTTGGTTCAGCTATGCATCATTCCCTCAACCTTGTACATCTGTCTTTGTGAAGTCAGAACATGTGCCTTCGACCCGTGCCACAGAAGGGAAGCAGTCGCTGTTTGCATTCCTATCGTCGTTCGCTTTTTCAGTCAAAGATAGAACCGCAGCGATGGGATGCCCAGAGACAGAGAATGTGTATGAAAGAAGAGAAGTCTTATTGAAGTCAAGAGAATAGGGAACACTTATCGAACATGACAGCAGCTACCAGCTGACAGCTTTCACTCCCCTGCCTGATCTCCCAGCTAGACCTTAGGTCCAGCCGCAAGGACCTCCTTGCTGACATCGGATTCATACTTGGCGAATGCGTCCTTGAACTTCGCAGCGAGAGCCTTGACCTCCTTGCCAAACGCTTCATCATTGTTCCAAGCCTTTCGAGGCTGGAGCAATTCGCCAGGCACGTTGGGCACTGCTTTGGGCACCTGCAGTCCAAAGACTTCAAACTCTTCGAAGTCGGCCTTTGCCAGCTCTCCAGAGTGGATGGAACTGATAATGGCTCGAGTGTACTTGAGAGGGCATCGCTTTCCCCTGCCAAACTTTCCACCCACCCAACCAGTATTAATAAGCCAGCAGTTGGCCTTGTGCTGCGTCATCCTCTTTGCCAGCATCTCGGCGTATCTACGAGGATGGCAGACGATGAATGGCTGACCGTAGCAGGTGGAAAAGGTGGGTGACGGCTCCATGACTCCTTCCTCGGTTCCAGGCGTCTTGGAGGTGTAGCCGGCAATGAAGTGGTACTGGGCCTGCTCTTGCGATAGCCTCGAGACGGGCGGCAGCACACCGTAGGCGTCACAGGTGAGGAAGATGATGTTGTGAGGGTGGCCACCAATGCAGGGAATTTTGGCGTTGGGAATCTTTTCGATGGGGTAGGCGCAACGTGTGTTTTCCGTCAGCTTCGAGTCCTCGTAGTCAGGGACACGAGTGTGCTTGTCGTAGGAGACGTTCTCCAAGATGGAACCGAACTGGATAGCGTTGAAGATTTCTGGCTCCTTCTCGGCGGAGAGGCCGATGCACTTGGCATAGCATCCACCCTCGATGTTGAACACTCCATTGTCTGACCAGACATGCTCGTCGTCTCCGATGAGACGTCGGACAGGGTCAGCAGACAGAGTGGTCTTTCCGGTACCGGAAAGGCCAAAGAAAAGGGTCACATCTCCGTCTGGGCCTTCGTTGGCTGAAGAGTGGAGCGAGAGTTGGCCGAATTTGACGGGCTGCAGGTAGTGCATGACGGAGAAGACTCCCTTCTTCATCTCACCGGCGTACTCGGTACCCAGGATCACCATTTCGCGACGCTTGAAGTTGATCTCCACAGAGGTCGTCGACGTCATACCAGCAGTGAATCGGTTGGCAGGGAACTGACCAGCATTGTAGATGATGAAGTCAGGCTCGCCGAAGTTCTCCAGCTCCTCGCGGGTGGGCCTGATCAGCATGTTGTGCATGAAAAGGGCATGATAGGCACGAGCACAAATGACACGGACCTTGATGCGGTAGCGTGGCTCCCAACCGGCGAATCCATCAAAGACGTAAATATCCTCACGGGTGTTGAGGTAGTCAATGGCTCGCTCACGATTGATCTCGAAGGTGTGCTCGTCCATCTTGATGTTGACGGGGCCCCACCAAACGTCGTCCTTCGACGTCTCTTCATAGACGATTCGCTTGTCTTTTGGCGATCGACCGGTCTTCTTGCCCGAGAAGTTGATCAGCGCACCGTTCGAAGCAATGACGGCACCTTCCTTCGAAATGGCGTCCTCGTAGAGGGCTGCAACAGAAGCGTTGCGCTTCAAGTGGCTGAAAAAGATGTCGCAGCAGCACGTGTTAGCATGATCAGTCGGATTTCTCAACTCGTAGCATGTGTCGTGTCATAATTTCATGATGCTCACATCTTGTCCATGTCGAAACCGGCATCTGAGAAGAGGTGGAGGGAGTCCTTGCCGAGCAGGGAGTACTCTGGGTTGGTCGAGTCGGGGAGCTCATCGTGGTGGTTTCCTGGCGATGTCATGTCGAGTGATCAGAGGGTAGTGCTGTGGATGAGTGCAGTGGTACAGTGGCAGGAATCTGTAGGTCTTGCCTGAAACGACGGACGTGGACATAGGGAGGAAGGAGTAGGAGGGTTCAGCCCGAGGCGCGGGGGACGGCAGGAATAGGCGGGTAGCAATGATGGCCGGACCCTGGCAATGCTTCGTAGTGTGCTGCCCCTGCGCACTACAGCAGACGCCGGCTGGGTGGATTGGGTAGCCCATCACTGTCTTGCCAAAGCCAAGGCATGACTTGAGCGCCACATAGGCTAGGCTTGCCGTCATCGCCTGAAAGGGCCAAGCGGCTCCTTGCGGATGTGCGGACTGATCGGCTCGGAGCGGGGCGGGGCAGATGCGCCCGCCTCCACCGGTGGGCCGGTGCTGAAAACCACACGGGGCAGACGTACACCAGCAGGAAGCTGCAACACTGCCCACGCACAGCTAGCAAAGGTCGAGATGAGCATCGTAGTCGGGAGATGCTAGACCACTGCTAGCGAGTCACTACGGACTCTTGCTTTGCGCTGGTGAGGACGAGCTTCTTCGCGCTGCTGCTCGCGCTGCCGCTCATGCTTCGGCATTGACCCAGCTACTACGCCGACGTTGGCTGGCAGACAAGTACCACTTCCCACTGCTACTCACGGTGATATTGGGCTATGACACGAGGAGTGGATGAGTGGTGGTGTTGGTCGTCAAGGGTGACTCGGTACGAAGGAGAAGTGAAGAAGGGGAAGGCGGGCAAGCTTTGCAATCCTGGGCTACTTAAGAAGGCTTCAGGCGGAAGTGGGTCCTGCCAATGCGGGGGTCTCGGGCGGTTTCGGGTCGAAGGCATTGGCGTGCCCGACGCGCGCTCTTGCCAGGTGGGCCTGCCCTGGCGCGCTGCCACCCGGTTCCTGACGAAGGGCCAGGTGCAGTGGGATGCGAGCAATCGAGAAAGGGTCGATTAGAGTGCGGGGCATCACGGTGCCCCGCAAGCAGTGCCACAGGACCCAGGACCCGACTTTTTGCTGCCCCTCTTACAGCCGCGACACCCGGCACTCGGCATAGCACCCGACGCCATCCACTTGTCCCGGCCAGACAGTGTACAAGGACAATGCGGCAGTACGTCTTGCCGAAGATCCTCCCAGGACAATGGTTGCAGCTCGCGTCGGCCTGCGTTGTGCCGCCAGATACATGACTAAGATGATCACCCCTGTCGTTGACCTCCTCGTCCGCCTGATCTGTGCGTCTGAACAGCTGCATTGATCTTTCTTCACCAGGCGAGAGCCACTTTCTTCCTCATAAGCAAGCTATCAGTATGTCGAGCAATGTAGAGCAGCGACTGTCGCAAGAGGCGTCTGGCAGGGAGTGGAAGACTAATCGAACCTCTCTGCGTGCCCTAGATGGTGAGTCGCGGCGCAGAAGCTGAGGCTGGACAAGCCTGACGTCTGGCCTTTGCATGGGAGATGCGTCCTCTGACTCTCCAGACTCTTGGTCCTTTGGCAGTACTTACCTCGGACGTCCCGCACCTGCTTATCCGCACACCACCCTCGAGCGCGATCTTTGGCAGGCACGTTCCACGCCAGGACATCGCAAAATCCGTAAATGGCTACGATGACGGCGTAGGTACCAATGCTGCTGACCTTGCTTCGCAAGTCTGCCTCTTCTCCTTCCAACAAAGCCGAGACGAGCAGACGATCATCCTTCCCTGCCAACACGAAGGCGGGTACGACAGGCTGAAGCAGGAGATCGAGGCTCTCATTGCAGACGAACAGCAGTGCATGTCGAGCTCAGTACCTCCCGACCGTTGGCAGCTGAGTGGACCTTGGCGTGTCATGCGCCTTAGGGGCCCTTTGGAGCACCACTTCATCGGAATCATGCAGTCTCTCACTACTTCCTTCGTCCAAAGTGGGTGCTCCATCCTTGCACTCTCCACTTGGGATACCGACTATCTCCTGCTTCAGGAGGGACAGTACGAGAGGGCTGTAGAGGGCTTGAAGAGAGATGGATGGGTGGTCGCGTCATAGAGTCAGGTAGAAGATGAAAATACAGCATTCGGCCATGGATTTCATCCTTTACATACGACTGTCTGCTAAAAGAATATGGGCCACTGCTCACACGTCACTCGTGCTGTCTTCTTCGAGCCCCTGCTACCTAGTCTCACGCGCAGGGCGCGGGCGCCAGTGCATTCCGTATCCGTGGCTGCACTTGCTCTCTTTCCGCTTCTCTATTCTACTCAGCCAACCAACTGACCAAGGCTACGCTACCTGCTTCCTTGTGTATCTGATCGATGTGATGACTTCGTCTTCTAGGCCGACAACCTCCTCCATTCCTCACCAAACGACCTCTCCTTCCGAAAGAACGCCCCTGCTGGCCCGCACTACCTCCACTGCGACCTCTTTCGCAACTGTGACCTTAGACGACATCGACTCCCGCTTCAAGCGATGGAAAGAGGTAGTGGCTACGAAAATTGGCAAAGGCAAGGGAAAAGCGCCAGAGACTGCATCATTGCTGATCAGCGTCTTTGAGCCCGGATCACCGTCCTCTTCTCGCGAAAAGAGCTCTCGCGGCAGGCGAGGTCCGGAAGCCTTGGTGGAGAGTGAATTGGACATATCTGACGATGTCGCTGCTGTTCGCGAGGCCATCGAGGAGGGCATCTTGCCAAAAATGATTCAGACCGGCTCTTCGGGATCTTACTTCGCCAGAAGCAAGGATGGCATGTACAAGGGTGTGTTCAAGCCAAGCGATGAAGAGCCATATGGCAATTTGAAGTGAGTCAGCCTCCGCAAAGGTAAGCTGGGCGAATCGTATCCTGATCTGTAAACAACCTCGTAGTCCCAAGCGAGCCTTCCTCAGACGCTACTTCTGGTGGGCAATGGGTAGGCCTTGCCTCCTCGCGGGTTTCAGTGCCATGTCAGAAGCAGGCGCGTCCCTCCTTGACGACCGGCTTGCCTTGGGCATGGTACCGAAGACGAAGCTGGTCAAGCTCAGTAGTCCTAGCTTCCACTACCATTACAAGGACAGAATGGCTTTCGAGCACCATGGGCAGAAGCTTCCGGACAAGATCGGCTCATTCCAGTCTTTTCTGCAGGGCTATGTTATGGCATCGTCCTTTCTTCGGCAACATCCACTCCCTAGTAGACCTCGCTCTGTGCTCGAGAGGGATCTAGCAGCGGAACAACGAGCTCATCGAAAGACACGCAAGCTGTACAAGGCTCGGCTACGGAAGTGTGGCGTGCGGCTGAAATACCTCCTGCTATGCCGGGAAGGACTTGAAGACATACAATACAACCCGCAAACGGAGGTAACAGAGGAAGAGATCGCGCAAGCAGAAGAGGGAGCTCTGGAGGAAGATGATTTCCTCTGGACTCCTGAGTCGCTCATGGCCTTCAGACTGGAGTTGGAGAAGCTCGTCGTCTTTGATTATCTATGTCGCAATACTGACCGAGGTCTGGACAACTTCATGATTTATCACGCCCGCGGTGCCGGATCGAATGATATCAGACTGGGCGCGATCGACAACTCGCTCGCCTGGCCCATCAAACACCCGGACGGCATTCGCGACTATCCGTATGGCTGGCTTTACCTACCTTCGGATCTCATCGGGGGGCCATTCTCCCAGGCCACGAAAGATATTTTCCTTCCCCTGCTATCGTCTCCAAAGTGGTGGTATGAGACAGAACAGGCTCTTCTTGATCTATTCAGGCAAGACGAACACTTCAGCATCAAGCTCTTCGAGAGTCAAATGGCAATCTTCAAGGGTCAGGGCTGGAACATCTTGCAGTGCCTCCGTCAGGACGACGAGGGTCCCATCGAGCTCTGCGCTCGGCCGAAGAAGGTGGTGCGCAGGTCTGAGCAGATCATTCCGGAGTCAATGGTCCGCACCATTCGGGGCGTGAAGTTGTCTCTTACACCGTCACCGGAGGAGTCGTCTGGCGATTTCCGTAAGCAGACTGGCGCAATGTGCGATATCTCCGCATCTTCCAGCGGGCCAGTGCCTGCTCAGGCAGTCACGATCAAGACTGGCAAAGGAACCATTGACACTCCAAACCGTGCATCGTCAGCAACACAATCCGCACATCCTCGATCACTACCAGAGACGTCTGCCATTGTTGCATGCTCCACGCCGGTTCCTAGCGATGGTCCCAAAGCTCAAAACAATCCAGCTTACCAGAGTTCGCTAGGTATTGAGGTACTGGAGAACCTCAACAAGGCAGCCAAGAGCTCGCAGCGACCGGCCCTTGCCAAAGCTGTGTCCGGGCCAGACATCTTCACGACACGTGCGCAGAAGCAAAGGCAGTCAACCGACGACCGGAAGTACCGTCAAACCCAGACGAGGAGACAGAGGGGTGACTTGGACCCGGATAGACGGGAAGTTTCCAAGCTCAGAGAATCCGATGGGGAGGAAGATGACGAGGCATCATCGTTGGCACAGGTCGGGATGTCCTCTTCTGACTACTTTACTTATGGCGTCGGTCGGCACCGTGGCACTGAAGAGACCGACATGCCTTCCATTGACGGGGCCCTTGCCGCCATTGGCACTACCCCGACGATACGCAGTAGCTTCGCGGACGCTGGTATGCTGCAGCAGAAGCTTCAACGGCCTTCGAGGAGACGCGCGCGTAACTGGTCTGTTACAAGCTTTGGCACGAGGTATCGCGACGATGGTCTTGACCGCGCAGAGGTCGATTGCGAGCCTCTGCTGGCACCTGCAAGCGAGGAACGGCTGATCAAGGTGATTGTGGAGAAGCTGGTAGATGACAAAAGCTTGGCCTGGCAAGCTTGGCTAAGGGCATGAGGATCTCTGAGCAGTAGGTGTGCGGTTCCAATACAAGGATACAATGCGATTCATTTGCCCATGGCTGTCGGCCTCTCATGGGGCTGGGAAGTGGTGATTGATGCCATGTGGTGTTGCCGGTGTGCGGGGTGCAGCCACTGCATTCCCTGCTGGAGATCGGACTTTCAACTCTGTCTGCTGGAGTATGGGTCCCCTACGACCTCGGCCTTGGAGCGGCTGGGTAGGTTCAGACCCCTCCTTTGTCCTGTCAGAGGGATTTGTCCGTTTGTGCCTGCCGTATGATTGGCGCTTGAGTGGTATACCTTGTCCCTTAGTTCCGAGATGCCGTGACAAAGGAGCAGAGGGAGGCGCGTCTAATGGGCGAGGTATGTCCGGGCCACGGCCTGAGCTTCTCTGTCAGGATGCGCACTGAAGTGTAGAGTAGCGAGACTAGGTTTGGGGGTTATCCTGATGGTTGCGAAGCGTATGGTGTCGTTGGTTCCTGGGAAAAGGATCGGGGAAGGGCGCGTGGCGGCTACGATGGTCTGTATGGTGCTGGTGCTGGTGCTGGGCCTTGGCGTGAGTGGATCGCGTGTTGTTCTGTTGGACTTTTCTGCACAATGGCGTCGCGGGCAGCGATGTTTCCCCGGGGCACTTTTCCCCTGTGCCGCTGCCTCCCACCTCCCTTTCCGCCTCGACGCGGTCCGCCGCCGCCGCCCGCTCGCTCGCACCCCCTGTCCATCCTCACCCGGTGAGCCGCCTTAGCCCCAGCCTGGGGTACGTACACACCCTGACAACCTCGACGTACAATACCCCCTACCGTTGCCGATGTTTCCGCTTCCACCTCGCCACCTCCGACCACTTTCCTGGTAGCTGCTCTGCGCCAGAGTTACACACGTCTGCCTCACCCGCCAAGCAAGGCACTAGCCCCTGCTGCACTGACTGCATAGGTCATACATTGCTCACACAGCCCCTCGGCGCTTGTCCCCAATCACTGTGAAAGCAGCTGCAGATACTGCCTCCGATACCTCACATACCTTTTCCTCCCATCTCCCTCCTCCCCTTCATCCTCGTTGCCTCGTCATCCTCATCCCTTCATGAGCTCGTAGTCCACACTCATCGCGTCGCTAAGGGGGTCAGCAAATCGCAGGTGCAGTCCCTCTTCCTTCCCTGGTGCGCCACTTCCTCCTCTCTTTATGCCCCTGTGCATCCTCCCACGGAAAATGGATGTTCCTACCTCGCCAATGCACTCTCCCAATACCCCATCCACGCCGGCACTGTCCGAGTCAACCTCACCCTCGTCTAGCGGACACGCCCTCCTCGAGCAGGACGGCCCCTCCATCGTCGACGTTGGCCGGCGTGCATCCTCCTCTGCTGTGCTAGGTGGTACAAGCAAGCGCCACTCCATCCACTGGGATGTCCTCGACGCATCCGCAGCAACCACATCACCCTCGTCTAGAGAGCACACACCCATCTTGGGAAGTAAGCTGCCGCCCCTGCAGAGATGCTCGTCCGATAGGGAAACCTACAGACCATCCCGTCCCCGTGGTTCTTCGCATACCTCGTCGAGGTCTATGACACGTGTCCAACATCATCCCAATCCCTCCTCTTCCAGACCCTCCAGCATGGCATCCAGCTCCAGTGCAGGCGAATGTTCCTCTCATCAAGCCAGATTCGGCGTGAATGCCTCTCTCCTCAGCCCCTCTCTGGCCTCGGCACTGGGCATTGGCGTTGAGGGTAGAAAGCCGGCGAGCAGTCTCTACAGTTCAAGTAGAAGCTCCAGCACCACCTCTCTGGTGGGTCTAGCCACTTGCAGCCCCTCTGCCCTCCCCCGCGGCCCTCGACGGTCTATCATCTCAGCAAAAGCATCGAGCTCTGCACTCGGAACTGCTTTGGCCTCTGTGCCAAGCAGTGGCAGCGGCACGACGTCCAACAACTTCCGTCGACCTAGTCTTCCCAATGTAGCGGTCGCTCAAAATCGGTCAAGCACAATTTCTGTGTCCTCCTTCGAAAGTCTGCCCGAGGGACAGCCAGTACCTGCCTCTACCGCCCCATCCTTCGCCGGCGCCACCACCGATCCTCTGCAGAGGAGTGCGACATTCAGCGACCTCCCTTCACGCGGACCAGTGATGGACTCGCTGGAGTTTCCCTCCTTGATGCTACCTCCATCGGCATTGCCAGCACATCCAAAGAGCAGCACTTCACCGACGTCTTCATCGACTTCGAATAGTGTTACTTGTGCATCGGTGCCTAGCTCACCGGTGGGAAGAGAGGCCACATTCGCTTCTACAATGCCGTTCCCATGCCAGAACATAGCTGGCCCAATTTCATCGGCCTCATCTTCGGCTTCTCGTCGGCGGGCTCTGCATCGATCGCAAACAGAGCCCACTGCGGGCTTTCCAACAGCTAGGCACGAAGAGAATATGAGGAAGAGGGGTCTTGTTGCACGAGAGCTGCTCACGACGGAGCAGGCCTTCGTCAGTTCCTTGCTGATTCTGCACGAGGCCTTCTATCAGCCGCTCCTCGCCAGATGTGCGGGCAATCGCTCATCGCCGAGCTTGGAGGCAGGACCGATGATCTTGTCCAAGAAGGCCATCAACGATATTTTTTCAAACTTCGTCGACATCCTGCAATTGAACAAAGAGCTGCTGGGCCAGCTGGAGGAGAGGATTGGAGGCAAAGTAAGATTGGATCGCGCCCATACGATGGCTTCGATGAGGAGGGCAGTATCTCCTGTCGTCGATGGTACGGTGAAACCAGCCGACCCCAATCTTGAGGAGGATGGGAGAAGTGCATTGTCTTCTACAAGCAACACCAAGGAGGAGAGCAATTCTTCAACATCCCCTTCCTCTGCTCGATGCTCTTGGAATCCAGAAACCGATACCGTGGGCGATATTCTCGTGCCCATCGCGCCTTTCCTCAAGATGTACTCCCTGTATGTCAAGAACTTTTCCTCAGCCATCGCGCACATTGAGTCGGAAAGAAGAGACAACGAGGCATTTGCAAGATTTCTCAAGGAGACAGAGCGGAGTACTTGGGGTAGAGGCAAGGCGTTCTTCGGGCTCGGTCTACAATCACATCTGCTGACTATCGTGCAGAGAATACCCAGATACAAGCTGCTGGTCGGCGACCTACTGAAGCACACTCCTTCCAATCACAGGGACTATGCAGACTTGAAGAAAGCCTTCCAGGTGATCGAGCAGGTGGCGAGCACCATCAATGAGAATGTGCGGCAGCATGAGATGGTCATGCTCATGCTGGCTCTTCAACGGTCCTTGACGGGTCTGACCTCGCCGCTAGTGGTCCCCGGTCGATCTCTGCTGAGACGAGGGACACTTCGAAAGGCTTGCCGCAAGGACATTCAACATCGGGCGTTCTTTCTTTTCACTGATTGCATCATCTACGCTCGACCTCTCACCGGAGGATCGGCGAGCATCGAGGCAGCCTGGAACAGCATTGCTCGAGCGGGCGGCTTCTCCGCAGCTGGACTAGCCGCCGGCATTGGAGGGCCATGGTCGACGCCGTCTGCTGCTGGTTCGCCTCGTCATGCCCTTGCATCCGTCGAGAATTCTAGCGATGGCCACGGAGGCCGTGCTCGTGTATCGTCTGGAAACCTCTTTTCAGGAAACGGCATCTTCGAAGCCCTACAGGCTCAACAGCACCAGCAGCTACAATTTAGGGAAAAGTACGCGCTGCAAGACTGTACTGTGGTCGGAGTGGAAGACGGCCACAACTCGATGTCGAACGCCTCTCCGTTCCTTGAGTCCGGTGGAACGCCCTTTTCCTTTGAAATTCGCACACCAGACAAGTCTTTCGCAGTTTATGCTGAGACGGCTGATTCACGAGAGGCATGGATGACGGCTATCCGCGATGCTCGGAATGAATGGCTGAAAGCGCGAAGGACATTGCGTGCAGAGGAGGATTCCATTGAGGCCAAGAGAGATAGGAGGCGAAGTGTCACGGCTGCAGCTTCTGCTAAAGCCAGGCAGAGCGTCTACTCCCTGAACATGCCTGCCAATAGCTTCCACGCCACCATACCAGAGGGCACAGAGATACTCGAAAGTTCTTTCGGCGGAGACGTATCACAAACGTCTATAAACGACGACATTGCACAAACCTCGCTTGTGCCCTTTCCACTGGTCTGCGCGAAGCCTCTGCAGTCAGCACCTGCTCTTGGTCTCCCCTCAAGTGCCTCATTTGCTGCTCTGCTTGGCGGAACAGGGGTCCCAAATCTCTCCGCTCCTCTGCCTCTCCTAGAGGAATACAACGCCCCAGCTTGGGTGCCTGACTCGAGAGCAGACCGTTGCATGTCGTGCTCAGAGACATTTGGAGTCTGGAGGAGAAAGCATCACTGTCGGCTTTGCGGCAGAGTTGTCTGCTGGAGTTGCTCCACGAAGAAATTCCTCATCGCCAGCTACGAAGAAGGCAAGGATGACATCGTGGCACGAGCGTGCGATGGCTGTTACGAGTCGACGTTCCCTTCGGACAGTCCTGACCTGGACTCTCTGCGAGAGGTAGGCCTCGAAGGTGTTCGACCCGCTGCGCCTGCAGGTGCATCCACACAGCGACCTGACTCCTGGACCGAGACACAGACTTTGATACCTGAAAGTCATCACAGGGACTTAGATTCTGACTTGTCTAGCTCTATGGGCGATGAGACTTTGACTTCGGGCGGTCCCGGAGTCAGAAGAAGCAGTGAGAAGCTACCAGCGGAGGGGGAGGAACAAGGCGGGGAAATTCCAACCTCCTTGCTGCTAGCCCCCTTGCGAGCACTTGCAGTCGGCCAAGGCCTCATCAGCCCTTCGGACGACATTGGACCGTACCAAGCCGGAAGCTCGAGCACGCGCAAATTGAGCGCAGGTCTCGACTCAAGCGCGGCACATCAGGACGACCATTCGATAGTTCAGAGACTTCCGGTGTCGATCGCCGCGCAAGGAGCACAGATGCTCACTGCTGGTCGTCTGCTCATGATGTCAAAGTCTGATACTTGCCTTTCAACGTCTACAGCTTTGTCGGACGGAATGGTTCCGCAAATTCATGCAGCCACAACAGGATCAGGTACATTCCGACTGGCTACCCCTCAGATCACCACGCCAACTGATGGCAGTTTGCCCTCGGCCAATCGCCTTCGGGACAGCGGCGAGCCTGTTGCGCGTCGCGCACTAGACCAACTCCCTTCGACAAGTCCGTCGTCACCCGAAGCAGCAAGGCCCCTGCCTTCAGATACCAAGAGAATGCTCATCGGTCAGAGTGACAGCTATTTTGCCGGTGCACTCCTGGCCCACGAAGACTCAGAGAGCGAAAGTCTGACTGTATTGCCGGCTGGACAAGACAACGAAGGCGAGTTGGAAAGGCCCCCTTCTCTGTCTCCTTCTTCTCTCTCGTCTCCCGTGAGCCGAGAATGCCGTGAAACGGCCGGTCCCCTTTCCTCAACCGCCGAAGCGGAGACTCGCTCGGCTGTTTTCGCCCCGAATTCTTCGTCAGGGGCCGGAACCGGCACGAAGAGACCGCTGAGCGCTGCGGCGAGGCTGAGCTCTTACTATAACGATCATCTGGCTCTGCGTCACCTCAAGCAGCAGAGCAAAGATCATTCCGGGTCGGGGAGGGGCAAACAGGCGCACGAGGCTACACAATCTACTTTGCCCTGAGCCTCGAGGGATACCTCCAGCAGTAAAGGATCGCCGTTCTCCTTCACATCGGGGACCATTCTGATGCAGGAGGTTGGTCCTTGGAAGACTTTTGTCCTTACTACCTCCGTTCTGTTTCGTCGCAGTTGACGCCTATTACTCTTACTACCCGCTGTCTTCGTCTTCGTCCCCTAATCCCCAGTCCTTTCCGCTGCCCTTTCCGACGACATTAGTCGATGTATCTCTGCTGGCGCAGTCTGTGTGTGCGTGTATTGCTCTCTTCCAAATTTGATACCTGTGCTTCGTGTGCTTCCTCGACAGAGCAACTCTTTCCTATATCCGTTCGTATGGCGCATTGATACACTGAAGCACCCTTGTCATCATCTACTGCAATCGTAATGGCCAGTCTTGGGAGGTGGTCTCCTTTGAAATTTGCAACCGATCTTGCTTTGAGACTGACGATGGACCGCACAAGATCAATGACAGACCCTTTGGCTCTGCTCATCGTAGTCCTCGCTACTCGCCTTCCCCCTTTCCCCCCTTTAGCTTCCTCCTTCCCTTCTCCCCCGCTTCCTTCATCCTTGCTGCGATCCGACTGGCAACGCCAGTGCCACCAGCACCAAGAGCGACGTTCCGATAGCCCGCTCCACCCACAAAGTAGCCCCAGCCAGAGTAGATAGTTGTACCAGCTGTGAGGATCCAAAGCGTCAGGAGCGGATAGTGCAGGATAGATGCCCAATCTATTGCACCAAGGGTGTGAGGGGCAATGACAGCAACGGGGGCGCCGCCATTGCGATCCTCGACAGTTACCCCTTGCGAGCTGTCCCTCGGAGAGGACTGATGCTGTGCGAGTACAGCCACAAGAAGTGCCCCCCCAACCGACAGGAGCTGAAGAAATGTGTTGTACTTGCTCACCTGTGTCGGCTGAACTTGCGCCGATGGCAACTTCGGATTAAAGTACCTTTGCAGAGTCATTGGTCTAGGCAGTGTCACATAGCGTATCCTGAAAGCCAGCAGGACGAGTCCTACATCCCTTGCGAGGATGAGCACAGCAAGCGAGGGCGGCAACAGTCCTTTCCAGCCAAGCGTAGCGACCATGACGGTCATCAGCAATTTATCCGCCGCTGGGTCAGCGATTGATCCAAAAACGGTATAGGCGTTCCATTTGCGAGCGAGCCATCCGTCAATTAAGTCTGTGCAGCCTGCGACAAAGAGGAGGGCAGTGGCCTCGAGGAGACGATCTGTCAAGATCAAGTGCCCGAGGAACGGGACGGAGAGGATGCGGGAGAGGGTAAGGAGGTTGGGGAGGTTGACGATCTCTTCAGAGGGCTCGGCAGGGGAGGATCCCTTCGTCTTGACAGATGCAGCTACAGAGGACGAGGGTGACTGCGCGCTTGGAGGAGAGCTTGTAGTCGAAGTGTCATTGCTGAGGACTTCTTTAGAGCTTGGGAAGCCACGTCTCTCCTTTGCGGCAGGGGGCTGGCCCGATACATGGAGCTCAGACGGCTTGGCCGAGGTGGCAAGGTACCGAGAAAGAGTCTTGACTGCATGTGAAGAGGTTCCCAATGGTGCTTCCACGCCGGATCTCCAACCCGCACCTCGCGTCCAAGTACCAGCCCAGTTCCGGAATAATACTCCCTCACCTCGGAGGAACGGTGAAGTGCCTCTCGAGCCCCTGCTGGTGCTGCTAGCAGTCGAGGACTTTGACAGCAGCCACTTTGGTACCACTACCCCAGCAGTGCGTCCAGCAAATTCCCTGTGCGCCCCTGTAGCTGACCGTATGATGCATTGGGCACTACCCAAGCAGCACGAAGCTCCCTGCTCGCCAAGGAGGAGGCGCAGCATTGAAGCTCAGCTGGAGCAAGAGGGGCTCTGAGGTCAGACGTTACGGCGACGAGGGACACAGAGAATGGTCGAGGATGAGTTGTATGGTCACGGCGTGCACCATACGGGCAAGAAGTCGCACTGTCCTCGCTTCCCTTGTCCTCCACCTTGCCTCTCCATGCCGCCTGTCCGCGCCTGACACCCGCCGCCTTGTCCTCCTCTCCCTCACAGAGCGCGAGCGCTAGCACCCAGGAAGCAGCGGCCTCGCCTCGATTCCGACGCATCACAATCACTCTCAGGAGGCAAAAGGATTTGATATTGTAGGAAGCACAAGCAGGCCAGAAGAGGCCGAACATGGGAGAAGGGGGAGGGGGGAAGGGGGAGGGGGCGGGGGGAGGAGAAGGGACAACTCGCACGCTTGGCTTGGCAGTTGTGACTCAAAGCTCCTCGTGCACGAGGTGTGGGTCACTCGAGCCAGTGTCGTTGGTCGTATCCTTGGCCACGACCTTGTTCTTGGCATTCAAGCCGAGGAAGTCCACGAAGCTGTCCAGGCTTCGGTCACCAGAGAAGTCCATAAACTCCTTCGACCCGGCTGGCTTGAATTTGATGGTAGGGAACGATTGCACCTGGAAGCCGGCACTGGGGGGTACGTCGTTGGCAGTAGCGTCCATCTTGGCAATCACTAGCTTGTCCTTGCTTTCAGCGTACTTCTCACCCAGCTGGTCGTAAATGGGGGCCAGGTTCTTGCAGTGACCGCACCAGGGAGCGTAGAATTCTACGAGAACGTCCTTGCTGTCGTCGAATACGACCTTGTCGAACTCATCTGCCACTAAGACGTGCACGGGACCATCCTGCGTCTTGGGAACTGGCTCACTTTTGATACTGGGCTTCAGCTTGCCATCAACGTATTGCTTCAACCAGTCGCCGACAGTCTTTGCCGGGTCCTTGCCTAGATTGTCGAGGGGGAATTTGGTACCTCCTTGAATGTCCTGGATAACAAAGGATGGCCACTCTTCACCCCGCAGGTTCAGGCCTTTGGCGTGATTGACAAATTTGACAGCATCGATCCACACGAGGTTAATTTTGCCCTTGTACTCCTTGGCGAGAGGCTTGAGCGCCTCGATGGTGGCCTCTCGGCTGGCGTCTTCAGGCTCGGTGAAGTAGTATGCCAATGGCAATCCAGCCTCGGCGTACATCATGAAATTTTCAGGACCGACCTCATCGATGAGCGGAATGCTTTCGGCGGTCAAGAACGCAGACAGCTCAGCCTCATCGAACTTGCCAGTGTACTTGACTTCGGGATCGTCGAACTGTCGGTACAGAACCAGAGCGGGAGCGACGACGCCGGCTGCCTTTGCGGCTTCGGCGTCACTTGCTAGTCCAAAGACGAAAGAGTCTCGACGAGACTCGGCGAAGTCGGAGAAGACCTGTTGGTCCTTAGCATCAGCTGCAGTGAGGTATGCCACGGCCACTACCCGGTCTTTGCTTTTGAACTCTGTCAGATTAGATGCCGAGACTGACGAGACCGCCGGCAAAGCTTGCCTGATGTGAGGAGGAAGGGAGCGGAGAGGGACGTAGCGAAGGTTCAAGAGGGGAGCACGACGTCAATATATAGCGGAATGACGGTGACTCAGAATCAACTGCCCTTGTTGTACGCACTTGAGCATGTACGAGATGATTCCGTCAGCCTTCCTCGTACCGCCGTATTCGGAAGCAGAACCTTTGCGGAAAACCTTGAGCGTCCTGATGAAAGGAACCGGGAAGCGGAGCAATACTGATCAGGCCCAGCGACGAGGGCGAAAACGAGAGCATCGCGACTTACGGGTAGCCTCCCACTTCTTGCTGACTGCAGACTGCTTCCTCCACTGTGCAGTCGACCTTTGCAAGCTTAATACCTTCGGCCTTGAGAGTAGTAGCGGCTGTCTCATACTGGTAGCGATTTCGGGGGGCGGGGCGTCTGAGCTGCTTGTGACTGCACGCAGATCGAGAAGGCTGTATCGTCATGTAGGACTCACGTGAGGTGCTAGCGCTTGGCAGTGTCCACACCATCTGTGACGAAGAAAGGAAAGGAAAGCAGTGTGAGGGATTCGGACAGTACGAGGTCCAATGAGCAGACAGGCATCGAGGCCACTCACGGGGCGTAGAACTCAACGAGCATCAGAGGCTTTAAGAGAGAATCACATCAGAGAAATTGTACTGTCAGCCTGTGTCGTTTGACATAAAAGTTGCTTCGGCCAGGGACACCAACCTCTGAGTCGACGATCGAGGAAAAGGAGTCGGTGGAAAGAACCAGGACATCAGAAGGTGCGTCAGCGGCACTAACGAGGGATGCCAGTGTAGCACCACCGACTATGGCTGCGGATAGGAGCGTCGAGGGCGACAGCTTCATGACGGCAGGTGGAAGGAAAAAGTGGGTGATTGCAATGGTTGGAAGAAGGTAAGAGCGAGAATATAAAGAGACTGAGGCCACTGATCGACACGCCCCCAGGGGCTTCCACGTCGCCAGCGGGGTTGAGATTGGCCCCTGTTCCTTCGACTGCTTCCGTTCCGCTCAACCGGAGATCTACGCCTGCCTGCCAGAACCTGGTCCTCCTTTGCTTCACGTCGGCTTGTAATGATTCTGGATCGCTTGGGCCGAATGAGAGGAACTCCAGTGATGAATCTGTGACTGTGTTGACTTATAAAGCGCCCGCTTCTAGTCAAGAGCCGGGCCTGCGTTGTCACGGACCGTTCGTCTCCGAATGCCGTCGGTGTTGAGGGGCAGCTCGTGTCGTACCGAGGACGGGCTACATACCGGGCAATGATGAGGAGAGGCGCCCAAGCGGTTGGAGAGTGCATTGATCGGGCTCAGATATTACCCTCACACCGGCGCCTGATCCCCTGACGACATTTGTCGTCGTTCACCGGAGGCTGCTGACCCCCCTTGGCTCGCCTTCCTTTACCAGTCTCCGGAGTGGCCAGCACTTATTCCACCCACTGTGCTACCTGACTATCTTGTCACCGAGCATTGTGCTGTACCTGCAGATTCTAGATAATAATCCACAAGGCAAGGCAAAGTGGGGAGGTCTGCATGCTACGCTGTGGTCGCGACTCCACTTTCCGACGGTAATGTCGAGCGAAGTGGCTACAAGAGCCAAAGCCAAATTGTGGCTGCAAATGCTTCGTCGTCCAGCGGTTGCAGACGAGGTGAGGTCAGTCATCGACATGGAGTCTGTGCGACGGGGAGAATGCGCTTCGATGGCAGGTCCACCCTGATCTTCCTCTCACCGACTCGACGGGTGCAGAATCTCGAGCCCAGGTCAGCAGGCGATCGAGGGCAGATGGGTGGGACCGGCTTCTGCATCTGTGCACGTCGGAGGCTTTTCTCGTTAGGGTTCAGCTGCCAAAATCGCGTGGCGCTTGATCCTTGTTTTTCCCAGAGGTCCCTCGCTCCACTGCCAATCAGAGACTCCCCTTTCGGAGCCTCTCGATGTCCCTTGGGCAGCGACTGATGTATGTGACGCTGGGAGGAGCAAAGGCCTCGCAGGTGTAGGGGTCTAGGCACAGCAAACCTGGCTGAAACGGACTGCCCCATCCTACTTGGAGATGTCTGCCCAGCCGGATCAGATTTCTTTGGGCTGCGCCTGCCGAGATGAGGACGAGACAGGGGCCAGAGACAGAGGGTCAAAAGAAAGCATGGGGGCCTTATACGACGCCAGCACTTCTCCGAGGGCACTGATCCCTATGAGAGGGATATGATTAGGGGCATGTCATTGACTTCTTTGCAAAGGCTGGACACGAGGACTCTGCCTGGGAGGACCGAGTGGCCCACCAAGACGCCACCGAGCACCTCGAGGGAGCACAAGTGTGCGACTTCTGTGACTCGCTTTGGCCGCTGCCTGTACGAGGTTGTACCTGTGCCAGTGGTGGTCTTTGCCGACGTCGATGGTGGGACGAGGCGGGCGGAGTTGGCCGCTGCTTCTTATTTTGTCCCGGATGCGCGCCTTTTCGCGGAAGAGCAATCGGGGGCCAGCGGGTTCCTCTGGCCTGGTGCCGGCCCGGCCAGAAAACAAGGGGCGAGGTGAGGCGCCAAAGGGGCGGGGGCCACTCCCTTCGCTCACTCACACGCACCCAGGCCAACAACCCTAGGATCAACCAAGGACGCCCGAGCATTGATTGTCCATTTACTCCCACCTCGTATCCTGCCCCACTCCCCCACCTCACTCGTCACCATCACCATCACCATCGCCAGCAAGCACATCCCCCCTTGCCCTTGATCTCATCCTCCGACCCTACCCACTCCCCTCGTGTCCTCTGCCAGTGCTGATCCCAACCACCAACCCCCCCCCCGGCCATCCCTCCAATCACCACCCTTCGCATCTGCTTGCTAGCACCCCGGCGGGCAGCAGCAAACCTCTTCTCACATCACACCTCGCTGCGCAACAGGCCGACTCTCGTCGTCCTTGACACCCGTACACACCTCTTGTCGCCATCCCCTTCGAGGCACAATCGATTCACCCTGACGACACGGGACATCCAGCAGACGGCTCTGCCCGCTCTGTACCAGGCACCATAGCCGCCATTTCTGTGCGCAAGTCAAGCTTCGCATCTCGAAACCCATCACTGGGTAGCGTGGTCAGAGCTTTGCCCTTGCCAACAGTCCCTTCCGCCTCGAAAAGACCAACCTCATGGCGGCGACCGCGTCCTCTTTTCGGCCTAGGGGACCCTCACGCAAGCTATCCTTCTCCACTCTTGCTGCTGCCACTCAATACGATCCTTCCTCTTCGGCATCTACCTCGACAGCGTCACTGACCGCAATGTCGCCTCCTCCATTGCCTTCGCACCTCGTACGCACTCCCTCTTCGAGCGCAGATGGGGGCATTGGCTCCACCGCATTGCAAGCCGGGCCAGGGGGCGCCCTCCTGCAGAACGGAGCGCCCATGGCCGCAAACACAATGACCAACAAGCCCGCCGTGGCCGGTGCCGGCTTGTACGGGTCTTGCATCGTCCTACGAGAGCGCCTGTGTTGTGTGCCTGGCTTTCGTGACAGATACCTATCAGACGAGGCGACGAGCAGATTACAGCAGTCAGGAGCCCTTGCGAATGCTTCCAACGCCGACTCGGCAGCCGCAAACGATCCCGTCACACAGCTTCTCTCCGTCTTCAGGCTGGGCATACCCCTTTGCGAGCTCTACAACCTCACCAATCCGGCAAATCCCTTGCCAGTAGACCTACCAGAGGCCTCCACCACCGCCAACGTCTGTAAAAAATACGTCGCCAAATTCATTATGGCTTTGCAGCATGAAATGGGATTCGACGCAGACGACGTTTTCACAGTGATGCAGGTGTACCGGGAGAGTACCAACGACTGGGTACAAGTGAGTTTGACGCTGCGAAGCATGAGCGCCCTGGCGACAATCATACTGAAAATTTCGAAATCACGCACCCTCATCACCTTGCCCATCAACAGGTGGTTCGCGTCGTTAGTAGATTAGTGGATTGCTTAGAAGAAGCGGGAGTTTTGATGAAGCCTGAGCGAGCAGCACAAATAGAAGTGAATCAAAAGCCCTCTGATGACCGGGCATTCATCGTCAGAGAGCTTCTCGAGTCAGAAAGGAAGTATGTACAAGACTTGGAGGTCCTGCAGACCTGCTCTAAAGCTTTACAGCAGTACGACATTCTCTCGCCGGATCGCCTGCACGATCTCTTCAGCAACCTGAACAATTTGGTAGACTTTCAGCGAAGGTGTCTCATACATCTGGAAGACAATGCGAGAAAACCCCCAGAGGAGCAGAGATTTGGCAGGGCTTTCATAATACTTGTGAGTACGGCATCAGTTGTGAGTGTGAGAGGCTATTGGGAGGGTTGAGCTGAGATTGTTCGCGTACCCCTTGTGCGCCACAGGAGAGCAACTTCGACGTGTACTGGCCATTCTGCTCAAATTACGCGCGTGCTATCGAAGTGGTTACACAAGAGGCAGCCAACATTCAGCGACTGAAGGGCCTACCCGGCTCAGAAGGATGCTATCTAGACCCTGCCTACGAGCTTCCGGCTTTCCTCATCAAGCCTGTCCAGCGAATCTGCAAGTACCCTCTTCTTCTCGAGCAGCTGCTGAAGAAGTCGGATCCTAATGGGCCATATTACGAAGAACTTCGCCAGGGACTAGCCATTGTCCAAAGAGGTGCCGTGCAGGTCAACGAGGTCAGTCGAGAACAGGAAAACATTCAACTCGTCAAAGACCTCGATGCTCGAGTCGAGGACTGGAAGACCCACAATCCTGAGCTTTTCGGGCCCCTCCACCTATCGGAGAATTTCGTCGTGGCCAAGGGTGACACTGAAAAGGAGTACGTGGTTTATCTCTTCCAGAAGATCCTGCTCTGTTGCAAGGAAGTCTTGCCCGCACCTGTCAAGAAGTCTTCCAAGAGCAACTCTCTTCTCAAGCAAAAGACAAATTCGCTTTCGCAGAAGAAGCCAAGGACAACACTGCAGCTCAAGGGACGGATCTTCGTCTACAACATCACCAATTGTGCTGCCGGACCCGCTCAATTTCCTTCCGGTGTTGTCCCACACTCGCTCACTGTGCAGTGGGACGGTGACTCTGGTGTAGAGTCGTTCACGCTAAGGTGCAAGAACGAGGAACAGATGAAGCAATGGCATGTCATCACCTCGAAACTGATTGAGGAAGCAGCTCAGCTGAAGGAGCGCGAGCTGCAAGGGTATGCACCGATCAACATGACGGGAGCAGGGGCCAATGGCATGGGCCGAAGGAATACCGGGCCAGGCAGCATGTTCCCCCAAACGCCTCTCAGCGAGACCGGTCAGGTGTATCCCTTCTCCCGAACGGACAGCCAGATGAGTCGATACGGCGAAGAAGGACAAAATGGCGGTGAGGTGGCCAACGGGGGGAGGGCAACGCCCAACGGTCTCACCCGATTCTCGACACCAGCAGAGCAGAGGGAGAGACAAATGTCGCTGACTTCGGACGCGGCCAAACCGCGAGCGAGGACGGAAGACCAGGATTCCTCCGTGCTTCAGCAATGGCGCACAAATTCACCCGCAGGCCCTCCCCTTCCGCGTCAATCATCGAATAGCAGTGGTACGGGCGCTGAGCATACGGTGCGCAAGACAACGAGCGGGCGCAATCTTCGAGGGAATGGTGAACGATCCGCATCCTCCTCCACGGCAGCAGCACCGTATCCGCGTCTCGTCAGGCAAGGGCTAAGCGAGTTCTCTCCCACTAGCACACCGAATGATAGTTCTGATCATTTGCCAGATCAGCTTGAGCGGATGCAGGTGGGACGCAGTCGCGGCGAGTCGAATGCTGCCTTTCCACCTCGTCGAATGATGAGGACAGGCTCTTCAGAGAGCGCGACGTCGCGTAACCGTTCTGCGAGTGCTTCGCAAGCAAGTCCAGGAGGTCAGCAGCATCATGCGAACGCACCACCGTTGCCGAGGACACAACAGCAGATCCTCCAACAACATGGTGGATCATCGAGCGACCTGCACATCAATACCGGCTATCCATCACGACAAGTCGCTGCATTGAGCTCCGCGAACAACAGTTCTGCTACAGCTCGGGAGCAATACAAGCGTAATAGTGCCCAACGGTATAGCACCTCCAGCACTGCTACGTCTGATTCGAATCAGTCTGGTACCTCGCGCCCTGGTTCGACGGCAGCTTCCTCGCCACTCACAATCAGTGGTAGCTCAGGTGGCGGCTCGCTGCCCAAGACCGGAGCGTCCGGAACGGCGCCTGTGCCTAGCATCCCTCAGCGCTCTGGTTCGCATGGACACTCTTACACCCGCAGCTCGGGTGGTGCGCCAGCAAGAGATGGGTCCCCTATCACGAATGGCAATGCAGTTCGGATTCAGCTGCACTACAATGATGACATCTATGTCCTCATTGTGCTTGTCAATGTGACGTTTGCCTCTCTTCTGGAAAAGGTGACTACCAAAATCCGCTTCTGCAGTGGCAATCAGTCGATCAGCGAAGCTTCGCTTCGGATGCGCTATATCGATGAAGACGGCGACAAAGTCAACATGAAGGATAATGATGACGTCCAGATGGCCATCGAGAACAGCAAGATGACCGGCGAAGACATCGAGGTCTATGTCTCGTAGCACATGCACCAGGCGGTCTCTATCATACATGGCTTTTGCTCTCTACCATTGCACACCTGGGGCGATGGCGAAGTCCATGATTCAGGTTCTCCAAGCAAGGACTATGCCGATTCTCCTAATTGTCCACATTCTCTGTATTCTAGTTTACCGGTTCCCTGAAGCCTCACAATTATTCCCAGCGTTCGACGTCTATCTTCAATGGTGAACTCCTTTCTTCCTTCGTTCTTGGACTGACAGTTGCGAGCGTCATCTAGGGCCACCTCTTTGGACTGCAGTCATCGACTGCGGTCGTCCTCTCATTGCGTCTTTCTCCGAACACTCCGTCTCCAAGTGCAGTACATCCCTCTAGCTATATATTCGCATTCCTCATCAGTAAGCATTGCTCTCGTCTTGCCCGCCTTCGATCCTCTCTCATGGACATCACGAGGCGCAACGTGCGATCCTTGCCCTCTTGTCTGGCCCTTCGGTTGTCTATCTGCCTTTGTGGCTTTCTCCTCTTGCCTTGATAACTCACCACACTTGTCGTTCTATACTCTTGCACGCGACACATATCCTTAGCTTCATCCCCACCCACTCTCGCCTCGGATGTCCTGTCGGTTTCCTCTTCTTCTTCTTCTTCTTCGGCTTCTTCTTCTCCTTCTTCACCCCTCGAGATCCACGCCGTTACATGTCTGGCTCCTCTTCCTCACGAAAGAACGAAGGATGTGGGACTTAGTCAGACCAAGAGAGGGAGCCTTTGCCCGCGCTTGCCCGCGCTCCCGGAATTGTCGGCACGCCAATCACGCCAGTTCGGCCAGGCCGGCTGCACTCCTTTCCGTCTGGGGTAAGTCCACAGCATCAACTCGGGCCAAACGTCCCTTCATGTACTAACGTCGTCGGCCTCGCATTCGCCCTCTTCGTTGACGATGCCTCAAAGACAGCCAACGCACATTCTCGTGGTCGGTGCTGGGGCAGTTGGGTGCTTCTATGCTAGCAAACTCCATCATGTGAGTCGGTGCTGCTTGGCAGGCGTCCCTTAGCAGTTCAGACTGACACGCCCTCTCTGTGATCGTCTCGTCCCTGGCCATCCACCAGCCCGACGTCGGGATCTTCGTTTCCCTCGTCTGTCGCTCCAATTATCAGACGATCGCTGCAGAAGGAGTTCAGCTCAAGACCCGCGATTTTGGTGAATACCACTTCACACCTCACCGAGTCTTTGCCTCTATCTCTGACGCTGGCAGAGGAGCTCCCACAGCTGGTCCTGACGGCCACGGAGGCTGGGACTACGTGATAGTGACCACAAAAGCTCTGCCGGATCGTGTAGATGATGCGGCCTCTGTCGAACATGTGGTGCGCCAAGGCTCGTCTCCCGGCACAGGCACTACCATTGTTCTGATCCAGAATGGGGTGGGCATCGAGGCGCCTCATCGGTTGCGCTTTCCGAACAATCCAATCATCAGCTGCGTGACGGTTATCTCTGCTGAGCAAGTCTCGCATGGAATTGTGGTCCAAAATCGTTGGACGAGGATCAGCCTAGGACCTTACTCCGATGGAGTGGGCAACGAGGCGCAATCTGCTTCTTCGTCCCCTTCTTCTACTACAACGACCCTCTCAAATGCCAGCACAGAGAGCATGCATCTCCTGCAGTCCTGGTGGGCCAGAGGCGGCATCAAGGATGCCGAGCCTCACTCAGAAAAGGAGCTGCAGCTGATTCGATGGCACAAGCTCACCATCAACGCCTCTATGAATCCATCAGCAGTCCTCTCTGGCGGCACAGGAAATGCAGATATGGTCCTCCTGCCGGAGCTCCGCATGCACATCAGGGGAGTCATGGACGAGATTTTCTACCTCGCCCCTCGTATCTTACAAGTACGCGAGGGCAGCTTCCCAGAACACCTAGGCTTGGCTAGTGCGGAGAAGATCATCAAGAGCACAGAAAGGAACAAAGGTGCAAAACCTTCTATGCTGCTCGATTGGGAGGCGGGGAGGCCCATGGAATTGGAGGTGATCTTGGGAAATCCTGTACGGATGGCGAGGGAGAGGGGACTGGAATGCCCGAGGTTGCAGAGCATGTATGCTCTACTTAAGGCTGCTCAAGACCGGAGAGAAGAGAAGGGCAAGGATGCAAAGGTGGGAGAGGGCAGCAAGCTGTGAGCTCACTCAGGGCCAGTGAGGAGAGGAGTTGTAGGTATGAAAGCTCTTTTTTCTGCCCATGCTGTAGCGCCCCATCATCTGAACATGTACAGGAGCAAGATGACCGTCCCACACCCGATTAGCAGTCCCATGATAATACTGTCCCTCCGCCGCCGCCGACCGATCATGGTCATTATACCATTTAGGGCGGGAATCTGGGAAGCTGTTGTGGTCATTCTGTTTGCGACATTCGTCAGCGTCTGTCGTTGAGAGCGGAAGTCTGTCAGGGTAGCATAGGCTTGTCTAGACAGGGAGAAGCAGCAAAATCGGGGTCCCGGGGGGTTGGGGAGAGAGGGGAGATGAGCATGTGCGATCGAGAAGCTTTGACGATACGATCGCTGCTTTGGGACATGGAGCTTTACTTACTCTAGTGTTCCGTCAATCATGCTGTGAGAATTGTCCAGTCGGCCTCTTTCGGCCAGCAAGGCCTCTTGATCGGAGGCGTGAGCTACTTTGTACGCACTGTCGCAGAATTCAAAGATCGTAAGGCAAAGACTGGCCCCAAGACAAAACCGGAGATGCGTGGAAGATGGCGTCGTCACTCACTCAATATCTCCCCTCACTTTACCAACGAGCTCTCTCCTATCAATTGCATGTCTGATGTTGTCTTTGCTTCTCCTGAAGTCGCGCTCAAAGTCCGTCAAGACCTCGCGGTGACGTTGCACCGCGTGCAGCTGTACAGCCGATGGAGGGACTTCCGGATCGTCCAACAGAGCTGTGAGGGCAGCAATTGAAGATTGCAGCTGATAGGGGGCCATTGAAGAAGCAATGTCAGTTACGTACTGCCAAAGCATGGTCTCTTTGTTGCTGTTCCCTTGCCCACCTTCTGCAATAGGGAGCTGATGTCGTGGTCGAGCGCAGCATGTTCTGCTCTAGATGTACCTCCGTTTGTGTTGCCTTCTTCCATGTCTGCGGCCGAGTCTCCTCTCCCAGACCAGGCACTGCTGCTGCCGTTGCCGACGATTGCGCCGCCTTCCTGACCCCGTGCGATGGAGGAGGCCAAGGTGGAATACTTTGTGAGCTTCTCATCCAATTGCGACTCGAGAGAGCGCGTCGCTTTTCGGTGCGCTTCCCACGCAGTAGGAGGAAGCCGGGATGTCGAAGCCATGACTGTGCGAGGAAGTGGGGAGGGTTGCCTACGTTTATGGTTGGTGTTGGTGTTGGTGTTGGTTGGCTGGGTGAGTAGGACGGTGGCCGGAAAGGACTTGGCGGATCGCGTGGCTGCACCTTGCGGGGCGCAGGCGGAGGCGCACGACGGCCGCCTCTAGGGCTCACTTGCGTACCATCATCGCATCCTCGGCCCCGCACAGAGGCAGAGGATGCACACCCTTCCTTTGACTGACAGCATAGACACCATCGTCTGCCTTTTCTGCCACCCACACACTCATCATTGAGGCAGCTACTGCCAGCAGGCAGGCCCATCAGCCCTCTCATATCGCCCATCTTCATGCCGCCAGGCACCTCTCAATCTGCCCACGAAGCATACCCTCTCCAGCCCTTGTCCACCGATAGCCAACATCCCTCCCAGCTACACGGCAGGCATCCTCGTCCGGCCAGTCTCAGCATGTATGGCACAGGCAGGCACCTTCCCACCGCATCTTCCTCCTCCGAAGCGGGCTCCAGCTCTAGACACCGCAACACCACCAAGAAGAGCTTCAGCGATAGATATCACGATGAAGCCGAGGCTTCGCCGGGGGACGAAGAATCTCAGGGCCTTTTGGGCGGAAATCAGGATGACGCAATTTGGGAACGACAGCTGCCCGTCGAGCTTCCGGCAGAGGCGAGCAAGAAGCCCAAATCGTCAAAGGGCAGAAGATGGTATTGGCCTGGTCCCCGGCGGGGAGATGGGAATCAGCCCGGGCGGACAATAGCAGTCGGACAAGGCGGTGAGCCAAAGCTCGTGAGACATGGCATTGACGATGAAGTTCGCAGCTGCTGAAATATTCCACATTCTTCCTTCGCCGCAGATACTTCGGGTAAGAAGCACCCAGCCAACATTGTGCGGAATCAAAAGTACTCGTTGCTCCTGTTTCTTCCAATGATCTTATACGAGCAATTCAAGTTCTTCTTCAACCTCTACTTCCTTCTTGTGGCCCTCTCGCAATTTATACCTCCACTCAAGATAGGTTTCTTGGCCACGTACATAGCGCCCTTGAGCTTTGTTCTACTTGTCACCATCGGCAAAGAGGCAATCGACGATTTCGAACGCTTCAAGAGGGATAACGAAAGCAATTCGGCTCCTTATGAGGTGCTCCTCAAAGGGCCCGAAACCTCCCTTTCTGCTGCTAGGGGAGGTTACGATGAGGAAAGAGCTTGGCAAACGTCGTCTTCACATCGCGTCACTACGCCGTCGAGCAAGATCAGAGTCGGCGATCTAGTCGTTTTGCACAAGAATCAGAGGGTTCCGGCCGACCTCGTGCTTCTGAAAACGTGGGCTGGCGAACAATTACCGCATCGGCAGACGGAAACATCTGACGGGTCGAATGCTGATACTTCTTGCGATGACAGGTTCGTCCTGGATGATGGCGAGGACGAGGAGGAGGACAACATGACTGGTGTCAAGCAACCAAGTCTCGATGCTGTGGAGAAAAGTGAGGACCCCTCCGAGAGTGGCACCTGCTTCGTACGTACCGACCAACTTGACGGAGAGACGGACTGGAAGCTGCGTGTTGCTATCGACTCGACTCAACGAATGTCGGTGGCCAACTTAGCAGCATTGACTCAGGAGCGGGAGCGGGCAACAATATATGCGGGACCTCCCATCAAGGACATCCATACATTCGTTGGCACGTTCACTTTGAATCCTTCAACGGATGCTATCCGTTCTCTGACACCGCCTGGCGACGCTGCCGTCGGCAATCTCTTGGGCAACGATTTCGCAATCGCAGCGCGCGACAGTGAAGGGACACAAGAGCATATTGGTATGCTTCCACAGCCTCAGACCACCCCCATCACTGCTGAAAATTTGCTTTGGGCGAACACGGTCCTCGCAGCGGGTAGCGCCATCGGCATGGCCGTATACACCGGTACTGAGACTCGTGCGGTCATGAATACCTCGCATCCCTCCACCAAAGTTGGACTCCTGGACCTGGAGATTAATCGGCTTAGTAAGATTCTTTGTGGGGTCACATTCACGCTTTCGGTTGGCCTCGTGGCTCTCAATGGCTTCAGAGGAACGTGGTACGTCTATATCTTTCGCTTTCTCATCTTGTTCTCCTCGATCATCCCGATTTCTCTTCGAGTCAATCTGGACATGGGAAAGACTGTCTATGCTCGCCAAATCCAATCCGATGACGAGATTCCCGGGACGATAGTAAGGACATCGACCCTGCCTGAAGAATTAGGTCGTATTGAGTATCTGCTCTCTGACAAGACCGGTACCCTCACTCAGAATGAGATGGAATTGAAGAAGCTACATCTGGGTACAATGAGCTATGGCTGGGACTCAATGGACGAAGTAAGCCACCAGCTCCGTACGGCTCTTGCCGATCGCCCCTCGAACGGAGAATCTATGAGTCTGAACTCTCCTAGCAGTCAGAAGGGCACTTCTGCAAGCTTCACGTCCACCTGGGGCGGAAGGAGGGACATGTCGTCTCGCGTAAAGGACGTCGTTTTTGCCCTTGCGCTCTGTCACAATGTGACACCGGTCATCAACGACGACGGCTCGACGACCTATCAAGCCTCTTCCCCTGACGAGGTTGCCATCGTCCAGTGGACTGAGAGCGTCGGACTAAGCCTTGTCGACAGGACCAGGACTGCAATGACTGTCCGCATGACGGGCGCAGTCCGCAGTACTTTCACCTTTGATATCTTAGAGATCTTCCCCTTCACCTCGGACTCGAAGCGCATGGGCATTGTACTACGAGACCGGACTACGGGCGACGTCACCTTCTACCAGAAAGGAGCCGATGTCGTCATGGCCAAGATCGTTGCACAGAACGATTGGCTCGAGGAAGAGTGTGGCAACATGGCTCGAGAGGGCCTGCGTACGCTCGTCGTTGGCCGCAAGCGTCTTACTGAGCAATCGTGGACGGCCTTTCAGACTGCTTACAAGGCGGCAAGGGTCAAGATCTCAGAGGACCGCAATGCCTACATACAGAGCGTTGTTGAGGCGCATCTCGAGCGCGATCTTGAGCTACTGGGTGTGACAGGGGTCGAGGACAAGCTGCAGGACGATGTGAAGCCCACGTTGGAGCTGCTACGCAATGCAGGCATCAAGGTGTGGATGTTGACTGGCGACAAGATCGAGACCGCCACATGTATTGCCATCTCATCGAAGCTGGTTTCAAGGGGACAATATATCCACCAAGTCGCCAAAGTCAAGAAGGGCGAGGGCGTGAGAGACCTGCTGGACTTTCTCAAAAGCAAATTAGACTGTTGTCTGGTCATCGATGGCGAGAGTCTGAGTACGTGCATGGAGCTCTACCGCGATGAATTCATTGGATTGGCCACTCAGCTCAGCGCTGTGGCTGCTTGTCGATGCTCGCCTACGCAGAAGGCAGACGTAGCGAGATTGATCAGAAGCTACACTAAGAAGAGAGTCTGTTGCATCGGTGATGGAGGTAACGACGTTTCCATGATTCTGGTGAGGAGGGAAAGCAGCGTAAGACAGCATCATGATGGTGCGCTCTCTGACCAAACATTCCGCTTCCCATCTCCTTGTCTACAGGCAGCCGACGTCGGGTTAGGCATTGTGGGCAAGGAAGGCATGCAAGCCTCCCTCGCTGCCGACTTCAGTGTCACCCAGTTCTCTCATCTGACCAAACTACTTGTTTGGCACGGTCGCAACTCTTACAAACGCTCTGCAAAGTTGGCGCAGTTCGTCATCCATCGAGGTCTGATCATCTCCATCATCCAGGCTGTGTTCTCTTCAATCTTCTACTTTGCTCCCATTGCTCTATATCAAGGTTGGCTCATGGTAGGTTATGCCACCCTATATACTATGGCGCCTGTCTTCTCCCTTGTGCTGGACAAGGATGTGAGCGAGGATCTGGCCTTATTATACCCAGAACTCTATCGAGACTTGACCAAAGGTCGCTCTCTGACTGCCAAGACGTTTGCGGAGTGGTTTGCCATCTCTATCTATCAAGGGGGAGCAATCATGATTCTCTCTCTCCTCCTCTTCGAAAACGAATTCCTCAACATCATCGCCATTTCCTTCACGGCGCTAGTGCTGAATGAACTGATCATGGTTGCTCTGGAGATCACGACTTGGCATGTATACATGGTATTGAGCGAGGTCGTAACCTTGTTGCTCTACTGCATCAGTATGGCGTTCCTGCCAGAATACTTTGGTATGTGGATAGGACGAGGACGTCCTCTTACGATAGGTCGAGAAAGAATCACAATAGCTGACCTCTCACCCCATGCTCCTCCACGTCATCTCTCTCGCTCAGATCTCTCTTTTGTCCTCACGACTCGCTTCCTCTGGAAGCTTGCAGTCATCGTTGCCGTCTCCTCTTTCCCGCTATACGTCATCAAGATTCTCAAGCGCCTGCTCGCGCCTCCGAGCTACTCAAAGCTGGCTGTCTCGTAAAGCTCTGGGCCGACTCTAGTTCGTGGCCGGGCAGACGATCAGGAAGTGGCTTCCTTGCCACAACAGATAGATGTTCTGCCTCTCCTTGTGACACGCCGCAATCTGAAATTGGCCTCTAATCCCAATCGAACAAATCATCATCCCCATCCGCCTGCTCCGTCGCTTCCCAGTCCTCGTCAGTTCCCTGTCCATGGTCTTCTTCATCGCCCGACCTGTATCCTCCGTCGGCCCCACGCTCCGCCTCGTAAGCTCCTCTCAAGTCCTCGACCCTCTCCAGCAATTCCTTCAATCCATCTCTCCCTCCAATGCGTCCTTCTCCTTCCTCGTTAGCAGCTTGGCCCGCCCCACCTGTCCCACCAGGAGCAGTCAGACCATATGCAGAAAGTGGCGCGTGGGAGCGAAGTGCAATCATGAGGACGTGATGGGCGTGATGGATATGCGAAAGGGAGGAAGGGGTGGTGCTAAGTGTGCTGAGCTGGGGTAGAGAGCGTGGCCGGAGTCGTTGTATCTCTGCTGACGCGGAGGGAGGCAAGGGACGACCGTCTGCGCTGAGGCCCTGCAGGACTCGTGGAAAGGAGGGAGGAAGCGGCTGTGAGAGGGGAGCAAACAGGCTGTGGAACGATCGAGGGAGGAAGGAGAGCAATCGTAGGGTCAGTCGCCTGCTCAGCTTCGGTCTGAGGCCGTGGCGTCTTGCGATACTCGCCTGCGACCCCAAGGCTCCTCCATGCCCAACTTGCCCTGCCCATTGCCCGTGAGGTACTCTTGCATACAAGCTTCCGTGACAGCCTTTGCTCCCTCCTGTCCATCTCTGGCCACGCTATGCACAGCGTAGGGCTTGGTGAATGAGTCGCCCTTACTCCTACTGGTGCCAGTGAGTCTGCTCTTCCTGGTCTCGACGCCCTGCAGCTTCACGGGTCTTGCGCTCGAGTAGCTAGCCCAGTGCTTGGCAATTGCCTGTGCTCCAGTACTGGCCACTTCTACTGGGTCAAAGCGCGCAATGTGACGCTTGCGATCTTGATTCGGTCTAGGATTGTATCCTCTCGCAGCTAGGAGCGCCTCAATGGGATCGAAAGGCTGCGCACCGAGTGAGCTTTGCAGAGGGGCTAGGAGTGGGGTGGGGAGACAGCCACCCAAGCAGGCTATGGGTGTGTCGCCTCGCCAAGTGAGATGAGAAACAAGGGAGGAGGCGGATGTTGGAGCGTCTCGTAACCTGTGGGAGGAAGTTGAGGATGAGTGGGAAGGCGTTGTGACTCAACAGGAGCAAAGGCGGATTCCTTCGGTGTCTATCGCAACTTACCGCATACCCAGCGTCGCAGTCTCGAATTGGCTAGCAAGCAAGGCGCTTGCGTAGCCTTCGTCACTCAAAATTCGACTTCGCCTATCCTGACGAAGATGCTGAGCCCAGATGGGGACTTCCTCTTTCCCAGACCATTGCGGAAGAGCCAAAGGCGTGTACAAAGAAGATGCTTCGGTAGTGAGCAAAAGAGAGAGAGATTCGTTCATCGCTCTTGTTCTGGCGAGTCGCTGAGAGAGGAACTCAACCGATTCATGACGCACAGTCAGCGAAACAAGTAGTTCTCTTGAATATCTCAGAGCTACCACTTACCAGTTCAGCTTCGTCCAGACTATCATCCTCTCCAGGCGCGACATCGCCGATTCCCTTGCCCCACCTCATGGCCCATGTCAATCTATCCAACTTGGGGTACTCATCCGCCAGCTCCTCGAGGTGCCACGCTGAAAATCCACTCCACGCATCTGAAGTTTGCAAGGCAAAATTGAAACCCTGAGGGTGATCAGAGGCCTCTAGCATCGAACGGAAGGATGTGTCCAGAGTATCATTGTCCTGCGAGATGATACAGGCAAAACAGAGCATCTTAGCTTTTCCGAGTAATAAAGGATGCGAGATGACCAAGAATAATCAGCGACTCACCCGATCCCACGCTTTCGCTCTCGCCCAGCCCTGCTCGAAGCTCTCAAAGACTTCCACTCCTTCGTCCGAACGTGATTCGCCATTCGATGCCATGCTAGCCAGGGGCAGTCCGCCTGCCGCCGTCACTGGGACCAATGAGCGCGGGTGGGAGTCGAAGAGGAGCCTGCTTGACCATGGCTTGGCCTGGGCTTGAGCAGAGTGACGCGAAGAAGAGGTGAGTTGACCTTGACGATTGGAGACTGCTGTAGTGGCAGAGGTGGGGAGATCTCGTCTGGAGGTGTCATGCTCCTCTTCTTGCGTGTCTTCGTCTTGGTCAGAAGCCATTAGTGCCTCCATCTCATGTTCCCAATCCAGATCCTCGCCGTTGCTTTCCCTTTGGGCAATGCGCCGAAAGGGAGTGTGTGGGACCCTGTTCTGCGTCCGTACGACTTGAGGAGCAGATAGCCAGCTGCTGTGGTGCCCCACAGCAAGCTTCGCTGCTGCATTGTCGTCGTCGTATTCGTCTCCTTGTTGATCCGCCTGCGCCTCTGAGACCTCCTGCCTCCTCAAGCCCTGGAAGCCGCTCCTGACATCAAAGACGAGCCACCTGGGGGTATACCTCTGTACGCCCCTGCCATCCAGTCCCTCTTCCCAGGAGACGTCGTGATCCACCAGAGGCTGTGGAGCCGAGGGAGAATAGTCAAAGTAGCCCGTCTGGGCATTGAAGTGATGGGTGGAGAAGTGTGCGGAGAAGGAGCCGAAGGAGAGGTGGATCAGCTCTCGTGTGGGCATGGTGCATGGGTGGCCGTGTGGGGAAGAGCTGTGGTGGTATGGCGGGAGGGGAGACGAGGACGAGGACGATGAGGACGACGAGGTGAAAACACCCAACCACGAACGTCAATACTCAACGACGAGGATCACACTCTACGATGCCGCAAACTTTTACCGCTGCTGCTTCGAAAAATTCCCCCACACAGGCTCACGCTCGGAGCACAGACCACCCACGCGGCAGGACATCATCCAGGCAACGACGACGACGACGACGACGACGATGGTGATGACAATGACGATGATGACGACGACATTAACGATAGCAATGACGACAACAAGGTCAGTGTAGCGCTCAACAAGACTTCAGTCCTGATGCGACGCCTTGTCCGAGTGGCTACTGGCGCTATGAGCGTGCAAGGCGCCGCGCTCCTCCAGCGGGTGGCCCGCGCCCTCGGCAGCCCGCACCTCCCACGCACCCTTCAAGTGCAAGCTGCTCCTCTGCCCACGCTCTTCTTCGACCTCTGCCTCCAACACCTCTTCGTTCCCAGAGCCAGAGGCTCCAGTATTGTCATGAACCCTAGTCAGCCCTCCTCCTCCTCCCATCTCAACGTCCTCCACATCGTCCGCCAGGAAATCTTGGTCTTCTTCGTTGCTCAACAGCAGGCTCGAAAGGGGGCCGAAGCGGTCTTGTCGCTTTCTACGCCTTTGCCGTACGATCTGTCGATGTCTGACTGCAAAGCCCTCTTCGGGAATGTCATACAAGGATTCGTAGGTGATCCCGAGCTCGCGACCACGCGACCAGAAGTCTGGGGGACATCGTGCGTGGCAAACATCAGCTCCCAAGCACGTACCGGAATTCGGTACAGAACGTTTCACCATACCGTGCCACTCACCTAAGCAATTGGTCCGGACACCCAAATCAAAGGGATTGCCTGCCTTGTTTGCCCTACGCAATCCCTCCCCAGCCTTGCCCTTTGTGTAGAGATCTAGCCCGACGATGCTCAGAAGCCAATTGCCTGCCTTCTTTGCCGCAACCACTGGAGATCCATGCGGATGGCCATGATGAGAACCCACCTCGCTCTTCGGCCCTTCCTCGCCTGCCCCGACAATTCCCTCGCCTCGAGGTATTGAGCCATTGGCTAATGCGTCCGCTTCGCCTGCTCCCGCGCTGGTCTCGCCAGACATTATCGCCTCTCTTTGTCTCATAAAGTTCTCTTGACTGGCCATACTGCTCCCGCCTCGGCCCCCCATGAAGCCGTATCTGCCCAAGTTGCTGACCTCTAGAGTTGTCATTTGCCTAGTCACCTGCCAGATGTGAGCGATCAACAGGATGCTCACCCATGTCAGCTGAAGGGAAGCCCAGAGAGAGTTGCTGAGGGTGAAGGAGTCGTAAGCCGTCGCAGCGGAGATAGGGGTAGGAAAGAGGGGCTCCAGTGCCGGGGGCATCAGGACCGGGGCATTGAGATCAAAGTAATGGTATGTCAAGAGGTCGAAGCTGATGATGCCCGAGGTAAGACTTGCGAGGAAAAGCAGGAAGTAGCCGTGGTTTCTGACTCCGACGCAATTGGCTATCCAAGGGCAGTGGTGGTCGAAGCGGGCTACGCAGCGCTTGCATTGCCTGCAATGCCTGCTTCTCAGGGGCCTGCGTGCGAGGCAATCGACACAGAAGTTGATGCCGTTCAACCTGCCTTCATCTGCTAATTGATGAATGAGAGACCGGCGAGCTGTCTCTGATTTGGGTAAGACTGAGTAGCCAGGAGAGAGTGTGGCGGAGAGGTAGAGTGTAGAGAGACATATGGCCCAGGAGATGAAAAAGATGAGGTTTGCAAGCCCATGACCAGGAGTGTCTAGAGAGGACAGACTTGGGTAAGATCAGTCTGATGAACGGCTCACTCTGCACTCCGCGGTGTCTCCTTTACTCACAAGAGATCAGGCATCTTGCCCAATTGTACCCAACTAATAACACGCTGCTAGCCACGACGCCCAGGGCATACTTACTCGATTTGACTGCATCGGCCTGCAGCGGGTCCAGAATGATTTTGGCTATCACATGATGCATCGCCGCAAATGCTGCTAGCGACAGTGGCACGGCAGAGTACCATGGAAAGAGGCCGTATATTGTGAAGGTGATGTAGAGGGTAGGAAGAGGCAGAACGAGTATCGCTTTGTCGCTATTTCGCTGTGATGAGGGGGATGGCGTATGGTCAGCCTCTTCTAAGGCGTTGTATTGCGTCTCTGAGAGTGTACTCCTCACCTCGCTCAGTGGACTCTTCTTTTTCCGGCCATCCTCTTCAAGGCCGCAGTCCATACAAGCTTTCGCATAGCTGGGATGGCTTTTCAATTCTATGCTCATGTCTCTCGGCGTCTTGCCATTAGCCTCTTTCGCTTCGCAGTCAGCTCCTGCTTCCAGCAATTTGCGAATGCAGAGTCTGTTGCCTTTGACCACTGCCCAGTGCAAAGGACTCAAGCCTGCCTCGTCTGCTGCATGGATGTCAGACCCATAGGCAAGTAGGAGTGAGAGAGAAATGGCATCACCCTGATATGCTGCCCACATCAGTGGCGTGTGGCCCTGAGCGTCGGAACTGTTGAGTTGCCGTTGGCTGCCCGTACAGAAGGCTGGCTGGCTCAGGACGAGCAACAAGGGCATGACGGCGCTAGAGTGTACGGTGAGGTGGAGTGTATTGAAGCCCTGTGAGTCACAAAGCGTCGGGTCTGCGCCTCGTTGCAGAAGGAGATGCATCACTGCCAGGTGGCCATTTCGAGCTGCCCACTGCAGGGGCGTTGCATTGAGGTCCCCGCCCCGAGCGTCTACCTCTGCTCCTCTTTCCAGGAGTAGAGCGCATATTGATGTATGGGCATTGATAGCTGCCCAATGCAACGGGGTCACATCGTCTTCATCGCGATCGCGAGGGGAGGCAGTAGCAGCAGTATCGAGGAGATCGAGGACCGTTGCGACGTCGCCTCGCTGTGCTGCCGAGTGAATGGTGAGCGGAGCAGATGTGAGAGGAGTCTGGGGTCGCGAGGGACACGGAGACGGATCTTTACCGCCATCTTGATGCTTGCATCCATTGCCATCAACTGAGTAGACGGTGTACAGGGGCTCATCGGGTGTGAAAGTCTCACCGCCATTGTGAGGATGGAGGCCGGAGGCAGAGGCAGGGTTCACTGGCTGCATGATCCTGTAGAGGCGTTGTAGTCTGGACCCAGGCAACAGAGGCAGCGACACGTGTCTATCTGTCTGTCTGTCTGTCTGTCTGTCTGTCTGTGTATCTCAGTGAGGTGCTGCCATCCAGTACGAGGGGTTGGGTGTGATGGTGATGGTATTGGTGGGGAGGAGCGGACAGGCGATGCATACGAGGAACACCAACACTTCGCTTCCTGCCCGGCCGGGCGCCCGCTGCTGCACTCCGCCGCCCACGCGGCAAAACTTCGGCCGAGGTGGTGCTCCTCCTCGCCTTCCGTTCCTTGCGGTACAGAAGGATCCTCTACCCAATCTCATCTCAGCATGGCAAAGGCAAAGTCGACGAAGGCCAAGGGCCTCAAAGACACTCGTCTACCGTCGTCGCCTCCTCTTCCTCCCGCCACGCCTCTCCGCTCCCACAGGCAGGCAGATTTGGCCGCCCTCGAAGCTCCCTTTCTTGCCTCCTTTGCAGGGGCCGACTTCGAGCAGCAGCGCAAGCAAGAAATAAAGAATGGTAAGAGGAGGGACACAGATGTGAGCGTCGAGGAAGTCCTTCAGAGGCCTAGAAAGAGTCTGTCGCGCCAGCAAGGAGGCAGAGCAGCTACAACGCCCCCCGCTCAGCCGCCTCGTCGCCAGCCCGTAACCGTCATCTTCGACGAAGGTGGCTCGGCAGGACGCCAGCAAGGGCAAGAATCTCCATCGTTGGAGGCGAAGAAGAATTGGAGGGAGTTCATGGTGAGTCGCAAGGTGCTGTTGCGGCAAAGGAACTTGCGGCTAACTCCCTCGTCGAGTTCGATGTTCACAGGATTCAAAGACGGGGAATACCGGTCCGGATACCTTCAGCAGTGCTTCCGAATTCATTCGCGAACGGAATGCTGCAAAGCAACAGAAGAAGCGAGATGTAGAAGCTACAGCGGAAGAAGCTTCGGAGGACGAGGCAGCACAGGCAACAAATGATCGACAATTGAGCCACCTCCTCAATACTACTCTCTTCGCACGAGGTGGGCCCCGAGGAACGGGAGCCTCGAGCAGCAAAGACAAGCCAGACCTCTCCTCGCACGACACACTCGCTCGTATTCTCGAACTATCTTCTTCTTCGCAAGCGCGCAAAGGCCAAGTCTTTGGTAGAGGCCAAGGGGCAAAATCGCTGAAAGCTTCGCAACTGAAGACTATGCCCGTGAAGATCAGAGAGGGCATCCGAAGCGCGGCAGGAGGCAGAGCTGAGAAGGAGGTGGAGCGCAACAAGGAGATGGGTTTGCTAAGTGACGCCTACTCGCGCAAGCTGATGGGTAGACAGTACGAGGATGAGACGATGACGGGCAAGAGGCGTGAGAAAAGGGACAGGGTCAGAGGTCTGGGTATGGGTGTGGGCAAGTTCAGGGGTGGCATTTTGAAGTTGAGCGAGGAGGAAGTGAGCAGGATCACCGGCGAGGGAAGGGAGGGGTCCAGAGGAGGGTCGTCTGGCCGCGGCAGAGGCGTGGGTAGGGCAAGTGGACCAGACAAGAGGGGGAGGATGAAGTGAAGCGAACGTCGAATGTACCATGCTCCTGTCATCTGCATCATGGCAGTCACCACCGCAGTCCTTGCCCAACGACCACTTCACCCTCACCACCGACCGAGATGCACCTCGCTCCTTCTCGCATCCACACAGCTCAGAAGAGCCGAGGCGCGTCGGCGAGCTCGGCAGCGAAGGAGACCAACACCAGCTCCTGTTCCGCCTGTCTCCTCCTCGACTAGACCTTCCCCTCCCCCCCCCCTTTCCCGCATTGTCCATCGTCCTCGCAATGACGTCTGCTTCCCCACCGCCTCCCTTGCCTCCCCACGCGGGTCCTTCGACGTCCACACGGCGTGACCCCGACCTGCTACCCGTACACGATGCCTCGCCTGACTACGCGCGTCGTTCCCTCGTGTCAGCTGCACGCCAATTGAAGATGAGAGGACTGGACAATGCCGCTATCTGGGCGCTGGAGCTGGTGAGCTGCCTCTCAGGTGATGGCAACACGCTCGTGGGATCCTCTTCGACCCGCAATGGCGACTTTTTCGAGGAGCAAGCCAGACTCAACAGGGGCAGACCGGCCCCGACTAATCAAGGCGCGGACAGTTCCCTCTCATGGCAAGGACCTTTCGCTCCTACGAGTACGCCTGCTCGCCCATCCTCTTCGAGACGGGAAAGCCTTCCAACGAGCCCTCCCATTGCTTATCCGATGCAGTCAACCCCCTTTCTAGGTGCAGCAGGTGGCTTAGCCAGCAACTCCATTATGATCTCCGGCCCCTCCTCGAGCCCTCTGCCAGTCTCCTCTCCTCGGCGAAATGGAGACGGCAAAGTGCGAATGCTAGGAGGTCACATGAGTCCATCGCCTTTGGGCGAGTCCATGGGAAGGGAGGATGCTTCTACTTCGGCTTCCGGGCGATTTCCACCGCCCTTTCGGCAACCGCCTAGCCCACTCGCCACGATGAGCTTAAGTGCGAGTACCGATCGGCCGAGCAAGAGCAAAGACATACTGCCACCTGATGAAGATCAAAGTATGCTTGATGGTGTTCTAGGACCAATCAACCATGAGAAAGTGAGTCGTTCTGCTCACGTGCACTTTGCAGAGGGCGAAGCGGACAACAGCAATGTCTCCAAGATGGACATCTTCGAAGCGTACAGTGATCCGGCTCAGGATAGCGAGCCGATGGATGATGCAGAGTTTCAATTGGCCATGGAATACTTCCGAACGGGCCAGCTGGATCGGTGTAAATGGGCACTCGAGAAAAGGCGGGAAGCTTCGAGGAGAGCGCATGGGGCCGATGAAGGTGACAAGGCGAGGTTTCTGAGAGGCTACGTTGCCATGCTAGTGAGTTCGAGGCGGGTCTCTGGAAAGAGAGCTCAACCCTTCTGGCTCTGACGCAACTCGCGTATCTGTCCGCCAGATTGTCGAGCGTAATTCCCAGGCGACCCATTCACTGCATGTTGGATCGAAGATTGGATCGGTTCTGCGTCAGTCACTGGTACCCCTCCTGAAAGACTTGGTCGATCCTTCAGACGCCTTCCTCCTCTTGCTGAAGGGTATCATCTTGCGCAAGCTACGCAAGCGTCTCGAAGCTATGGATTGCTTCATCCGCTCTCTGTTACTCTTTCCGTACAACTGGACTGCCTGGCTTGAGCTGAACGGTGTCATCGAAACCTCGACAGGGGAATTGGAGGTGATCCTACCTTTGCTGCCAGAAAGCTTCATGAGGTTGTTCTTTGTCGAATATCATTACCGACAGGCGGAAGCGAGCAAGGAACCAGAAAGAAATGCACTGAGAGTCGAGAGATTGTTGGAGATATTCCCCTCGAATGCTGGACTGTGGATCTCCCTCGCGGTCGGGAGATACATGCAGCAAGGTGAGTCATTGAGCAAGTGCTACTGTCCGAGGTTCAGCCAAGTAGGCGGCCGTCATGGCGGAATCTATCGACTGACTCCCCTCGTATGCGCACTGCTGCAGAGTTCGACCTGTCTATCGAAGCATTCCAGCAAGCTTTTGATCTGGATCCGTTCCGCCTGGAAGGCCTAGCTGACTACTCCAATGCCCTCTTCCTTCTGGACAAGGGCGACCAATTAGCTCATCTAGCCCACACGACCAGCGAATGGGGTGCCGAGACGGCCGAAGTGTGCTGCGTGGTAGGCAACCACTTCTACTACCAATCTGACCATACGAGAGCCATCGAGGCCTTCAAACGCGCCATCCGTCTTGACCCTACATGTATAGCAGCCTGGATCCTCCTCGGTCACACCTTCCTCGAAATCAAAAATTCTGGAGCGGCAGGTGAGATGTACCGACGGGCTATCGACCTCAATCCGCGCGACTACCGCCCGTGGCACGGTCTAGGCAAAGTCTACGAGTTGCTCGACTCCCATACGTTCGCTACGCACTATTATCTCAAAGCGGCAGGCATCGCTCCATTCACGGGGACTATTTGGCAGAGCTTGGCTATGACGTATGGGAAGCTGAACAGACACAGAGAGGCGGTCAGTGCCTATCGGCGATACCTCTCTTGCGAACAGGATTTAGGGGCGCAATTGGCGACGATGAAGGACATTCTACTGCATCTGCAGGCTTTGAAAGACTCGAGAATCGGCAGCTGCCACACAGCCGAGCAAGAGGCAGAAGACATCGACGCCGGTCTTACTGCTGATTCAGATTGCGCTAGCAGAAGAGCAGCTGGAGACGAGCCTGACATTCTAGCCTGGCACCAACGCGCAGTCCGTCTCCTTTTTCACGAGCATCAACGCTCCCTGGCCCAGGATGACAACGGCCTCGAGGAAGAGAGACTCGACGCCTCAGCCTCGCAAGGGCAAGCAGATGTAGGCAATCTTGACGTGCAAACCTGGGGCGAATCCATCCTCCTCACTGCCAAAGTCGAAGCAGGTCTTGATGCGCATTTCGACCCTGTCCCTCAGCCTCCCACAGACGAGTCTGACTCTTCATATCCGCCCCGACGGATGCAGGTACAGGCGCAACCCACCGGGAACGTAGACCTCTCGCTTCGTTACCTAGAGTGGCTATTGAGCGCTGCGGACAGGTCTCCCGAGGTAGGAAATGATTGGCCCGCTTGGAGAAGACAGGCTGCCGTGCTGAGAGATCGGTTGATGCCGTTGGCTCGGGCAGGTGATGGAAGTGAAAGTTAGCAGACTCGAGTGTGGGGGCCAAATGACGAGCGCGAAGTTGAGATGTGAAGAGTTTCCTTCTATGACGATACTCTAGATGTCAAAAGCCAACGCAAGGCAATCGCACCTTGTCCTCCCTCTTCCCGGGTTCTTCCCTTCCATAACTGTGCCTCCTCTTGTTCTAGATCACTTTGAATGTACAGCAAAGACGAAGACCGCTGGAAGGTTCGGAGAGGCATGTGCAGCGAGTGAGTCAGAGCTGTGTAACACACAATGGTAGATTCGATGGCGTGAATTGGCCGGTGACAGATGATGAGCGCCGTGCAGACAGCGGGGGCGATTATGGAAGGGTCTGCACTGCAGGTCACATTGTATACATGATGTTTAAGGTGACGGGTGAGCAAGAGCCAGCCAGCTCTAGCTACCTCCCTATCTTGTGAAGCTGAAGGCAAATGCGGTCTCTCTCTGCAGCGACAGCTCATAGCAGTGGCGCACGGGAGTCGTATTCGTCCGCCTCCTCGAGGTTTGTCCGACCAGCCGTGGGGTCGTGGGGGCGAGGAGCGTTTGAAGGGCGATGCGAGCCGTCCCTCTGAATGTGCGGGCGACGGGCTTGAGTGTGGTGAGAGGTGATATCATCAGGTGAGGCAAAGGGGTCGAGGGAGATCGCCGAGGTCGAGGAGCTGACATCCGGGGCGGCCGCCGCTGATCCCCCTCTATCGGACCTCGATGTATTACGACGGGCTACGTTATTCATCGTGACCGACGATGCCACCTCGGCTGCGGGAGCCCTAGCTGGCAGGTGGATATTGACGAGATCCAGAGTCGAATAAGGCCGTGAAGGACCAGAGGGAAAGTAATGCAGGACCGTTGCAGGGCTTTGTACCGCAGAATCCGGTTCTTCTTGCTCTCTGATTGCTGTGAGACGATGTTCTTCGTGATAGCTGTCGTCTGCGTCATCTCTATACCTCTCCTGGGTCATTTCTTGGTACTGACGGTGCCCATTTGCTGTGGCAGACAGATTGCGCAAGCCCATCCCCGGCTCATAGCTCGGCAAGCCCTTGATTTCCTCTTCGCTCTTACCATAGGTGGGTAGGTCTTCCTCTCCTTCCTCTCTCCTGCGACTCGTCGGCCCCGCCCTTCTCCGTCCCCTAAACATCGAAAAGGCGCCGTCGATGGGGCTCGGACCTGGCGAATTGAAGCCCGGTGGCTCTCCCATGCTCAAACCGGGAACGAGTGAGGTCATGTAGCTCCATCCACCGCGAGGACTGTTTCGGTATTGCCCGTCCCAGGTTGCGATAGGAACTGATCTGCGGTCTCCGATCCTTCCACCATGGGTATGGTCCAAGGAATTGGCACCGCCTTCGCCCTGTAAGCATCGCCTACGATTCTCTTTGCGTCGGTGCCAGGCCAATGCAGCTAGTATGGCAACGAAGAGGCCGACCAGACCGCCGAGGAAACCCGCCACGATGGTAACGGCATGACTTGGACCCGACGATGAAGGTGCTATATTTCCATGATGAGTGGACGAATTCGAGCCATCGTCATCGGAATCCGTGCCTACAGGAAGACAAGAGGTGTTGTTGAGTACGCCTGCAATGACGTTTGATCTAGCAAGGGAGTGGGCGAGAATGGTGTCATCTGCGCCCTCGGCATCGGCATCGTCGGCGGAAGCTCCCCTCTTCTTGTTGCTAATGATGGTGGTGCTGATAGACGTGTTTGGGCTGGTCAAAGTAGACGATGCATTTGTCGGACCTTCTTCCACCTGCTCCATGGTTTGATTGGTCATTGAGCTGACCATGAGAGTAAAGCTGGTTCCGGCAGGCAGGTCCACGTAGGGCCATGTCCAGCTGCTGGTGTCACTGGGCAGGTCTAGGTCGACGTGGGCCCTCTTCTTATTTGAGACGCGGATGCGGAGGTTGAGCCAGGATGCGTCTTGCACCTTGTCGCTGGTATTGCCCAGGAGTGAGGCATCTCTGGATCCGATGACGGAGTCGATGCCGATGTTTGCTGATCCACATTGGACAAAGGAGTCGGGGAGGGTTAATTTGATCGAGGAAGATGAAGAAGTGTTCTTGCTACTGCTTGCAGTGACAGCGGGCCTGGCGGAGGAGGAGGAGGAAGAGGAGGATGTTCTGGAGGTGCTGTGCCCTTTTCTGGCCTCTAGGGCTACGGATGCTTGGCCGTCATGCTGCCTTCTAGCATAGACGAGATGGTGGGGGGGAGGTGATGCGTCTGCGCGGGCGACGTTGATGGGACAAATGAATGCGAAGAAGAGGGATGCGAGGAAGGCCAGGGTGCAGAGTGCTCCACTGCCACTCTGCCGTCGTGGATATGGTGGTGACGTGGTGCCGGGTGTACCTGCCATGAAGGCGCGAGGTGGTGGGGGGTATTGCTCAGATGTGCAATGGCTGTTGTGGGATTGCGGTGAGGGCGGCGTAGGAGTGTGACGATGAAGGGGATGTCGGGGAGTAGGCAGGAGCAAATGCTTGGCAAGGGAGGTTAGAGATGGCGACGACGACGACGACAGATGATGATGATGATGATGGAGGCGGATATAGATTCAAGGGACACTTTGTGCCTGGACCGTCAGCGGCTGCTACCAGCGACGACGATGCCACACCCACGCGCCCGACCCAGCCAAGTCCTAAGTCTACTACCCTCGGCCGCGCGGGGCTTCACCCACCCACACAACGTCGTCGCAACCCCGCGCCCAAGGACAAAAGGGGGGCAGCGGAGCTCGGCCAGAGGTGCAGCAGCGGAGCAACGCTACCGGGCGTCGACGCTGATCCCCAGCCCGGCATAGGCAGGCAGATGATCACGAGGCGCATCCTTGCAGCAACAAATACCCGACGCCAAGCAGAAGCGCCACGCGTAGCCCAACACCCCCGTCACCACTGACGCCAGTAGACACACACTCACAGCCGCGTCAGAGCCCATTGAAGGTGCAACAGATCATCGCATCTCCCTCACCTGCAAAGCCCGGAGCCTCGTCGCCACTCATCATCCACGCCTCTCGCCACGAAAGATGCTCACAATTGAAACTTGACCGCCTATGCCCCAATGCCATCGTACAGCCTGCGCAACTCCAGTCCCAATTCCACCCTCCGCTTGCCCTCGATCCAGGCCATAGACTCTTGATAGCTCACCGGTGACACCCTCTGTGTCACTTGTCCACCCCCTAGATCAAAGGAGAAGTGAAAGGTATTCGTACGCCTCCTCGTGCCCACCTCGATGTCCACGACCTCGGCCAAGACAGCAATCGCACCGACGCAGCGCTCGCCCCCGTCGCATCGCACTTGAGGTGCCGAGGTATAGTCGATTTGAGCCGTCAGAGACAGCATCGCCCCCACGGGTACCGGAGCGTGGAAGCTGAGGGCGTCTAAAGCCAGAAATTTCACGGGCTGACGCGAAAAGGTGGCACCAACCATCCAGGCCAGCTCATAGGCTTGCCGCATCAGGAAGCCGCCAAAGACCTTCATGTGGACATTTCTAGACTGAGGGTGTACGTGCTGCGTTGAAATCAGGCGCGTTTCGCTAGGGCCGACTGGGATCACTGCATGAGTGGAAGTTGGAGCATGGACAGTATCCCTTGATTGGGCAGTCAGGAGGTCGTGATCATTGAGCCACTGCTCGTGGAGCTCCCTTGCTTCTTGCTGCGTCGGCGGTACTCTGCTCAAGGCCATCTCAAATTCTCGCCTCTTCTTCTGCTTGTGACCCTCGCCGAATGCAAAGAGCTTCGATTCGTCTTCAGCTTGGAGCTCCAGTGGTGGGATACTTTGACTCTTTGCAGTCAGAGCGTTGCGTGTGACCATGGTGAATCGACCGGTCAAGCAGGTCTTTGTTTGAGCCTGTCCATCAGATCCTTTACCAGGCAGAATCTGATCGATGGCAACCAGTACCTCCATCGACGAAGAACCGACAAAGATGGGCAGTCCGCTCAGGCGGTAGTCACAAGTTGCTTCCAAGCTATCCACCACCAAGTCCAGTCGGTCCACACTCGCCGTCACGATGAAGATGGGGACTTTGCGGTCGCCTGCCTTGGGACGTCCACCTAGAACATGGGAGTAGGCGACTGCAGGTGCAGAGGGAAGGCGTCAGCGAGGGGGAGCGCAGAGTCCTCAAGAGCCGGGCCTCACTCACTATCTCCTGCGAGGTTGTCAAGATCTTCAAAAATCTTTCCCAATCTGATGCTACCGCTGGTAGCGATGTACCTATCCGCCAGTTGAGGGTCTTTCGAGAAGGGTAGCTGCAGCTCTACATAGCTACAAGTATCATGGATGCCGATGTCAGACCGTAAGGAAGTCACCTGGGAAACGTCTCTCTGAATCTTTGCAACGTGCGCGACGTTGCTTCGACTCCCACGCTCGCTCACCTGTCGTGCATCCTCTTGGGTCTCCTGAGCATCTCTTCTACTTGCTGCAACATTTCCTCTCGTCCGCTCCCTCCAGCCGAGGCCTTTTCAGTGGCCGTCTGAGACTTTGCATACTCGATCCACGTCTGCGTGTTGATCCTGGTGGGCAACCTCGAGGTCAACAGATCCTCGGAGGAAGAGGAAGAAGGTCGATTGCGAGCTCTGACCTGCGAAAGAAGCTTGTTGATCGTCTTGACCGTCTCGGTCTCCTCGAGGGGTGAAGCGCGTAAGGTGCTCGAGCAGCGGCAAGGTTGCTCAGCCGCCGGGGCAGTCCTGGATTGCGTAGAGTGTATAGGGGGCCCGATCGACCTGTTCAACCTCAGGCGAGGGAGACGGCGGGTGAGTAGCATGGTTCGCTGCAGTGGAGTACCCAGACGGAAGCCCAACAGCAGCCGGTGGCCCGGACGCCTTTCCCCCCTTTGCCATGTGGAGTCGAGTGGAGAGCAGCCAACACACGGACCGGACATGCGCTCGCTCCAGCTCGAAGACCGTCAGCGGCAGACTTCCTCGAAGTCCGGCGAATCTTGAGAATCAAGGAGAGTCACACATTCGAGCACAGCATGAACATTACACGAACACCAGATGGGCAGCTTCATGACAATAGTGATTCCGAAACTCGAGCCTCTTGGGTTGCCCGCTTGCTTCGTCTCTGCTTCTGTCATGGTCATGTGCCTAACAACACGAACCAGGGGAACGGCGAAGAGAAGGAATTGTATCGAAGCATCCCCGATTCACGCGCGGGAGCCAGCCTCGCGGCTCTTTTGGAGCATCTCCGTAAAGGCTTCGATCAGTGTCGACGTAACGTCCTCGCTTCCCGCTGGCGTTGCTCGCAAGGGTGACAAAGACGTTGCAATCTCCTCAGTCTCGGGAGTGTAGCACTTGCAAAGAGCCCCTTCCTTTTCGCATGTGCTGGGCCCGTCGTAGCTAGTGCGAGACGTGGATCGCGACAGCTGCTCTCCTCTGGCACCATCCTCGCACTCGAAGGGAGTGGTGATAGTCGTTGCAGAAGATGTGCGGAGAACGTCGCTGGTATGTTCTTGCAAGGAGGTCGGCTGGCTCGCTAGTTGGCCTGACGTGTCGCGGAGAGACTCGGCAGGCGGAGCATCTTCGTTGGTTTCATTCTCCCTCGGATAAGGGCTACGGAAAGAGCCAGGAAGGCGGACTTCGCTCCTCAGGTGGTCGAGGAGGCTCGCCACGAGCGAAGCAGCGGTTCCTCCAGCGCCAAGACGGGCATTGTCGGTCTCCCTGCCGGCGAGAAGTCTAGAGGCGAGAGCCGCTCCTGGGGCGGCAGCATCGCTGCACTCGGGACTGGGCTCGTTGACAGACCAAGCCGCTGTAGATCGTGTCTCACATGACGGCCTCTCTAACCTACAGCCACCGTGGGCAGTCACCGATGAATCCCTGGGAGATTCTGGTTGACTCTTAGTCAGAGGAACGTTCATGGTTGTGGGTGCGGCGGGAGTCTTTGCTTCAGCCGCCTGCTTGAAGAGGGGGATCAGGGCTTCCGTCACAGTCGGTGTGAGGGAAAAGACAGCTCTAGTGATGATGGCAACGATGGCCGTCTCAACGGGGTGAAGGTTAGGATGCGGTCTTTGAGCCCCTTCTTCTTCCTTCTGTCCCACCGCAATAGCCGCATCGTCTTCGCAACCTGCAGTCGACTGTATAAGAGGCTGATGTGATGGCTGATGTGATGGCTGATGTGCCACTTGTAGATCCGCAAGAATACTGAGATTGAGCCGCGGCGAGATGCCTTTCCTTGGTCAGCGGCCTCACTAACTGTGCCTCCAGTGACTTTGTAACCACTCACCTCGTATGTGTGTCACGTGGGATGCGGGCATCGAGGTAATATACGTCAGACAATACCGGACGCAGAGCGATCTCAAAGAAGTGAGCCTCGATGTCTGCTTCGTAGCCGAGTCTCTTCTTCGACAGTAGGGTCCACAATGTCGTCCACTCTGCCTGGCAAGTAATGATGCACTTGGGGATAGAGCCATGAGCAAGATGATAAAAGCAGAGGTCATCTGGACTCCTACTGATGCCCCACCGACGACAGTGCTCCCTGAGTGTGAGGTCATACGTCTGTGTGTCAGCCTTGGGAGGGGGCTGGTGATGTCCTGCGGAGAATGCGCTCCAGGAGCAGTCGGGAGAGGCGCAGAGAGCGTGCAGCTGGTACGTCGAGAGACGATGTAGCTCGAGGCCTTGGATGGTGGTGTAGACTTGTACCTCTGATGTGAACGACATCGGGTGCGAGTGGTGGACGGGGTGGCTGTCGATGGATTGTACGACCCTTGTTCAAGGGCAGGAACCATTCATTGCTAGCCTCTGCACACGATCACCGCTTCGCCTCGCCCCGTGCACGAGCCAGCCTTGCGCCCACTGCCCCATGCCTAAAGGCCCGCACGGCATCCGATCACCACCTAAAGCGGGACAGAGAGCATCAAGAAGTCGTGTGGCTCGGCAGAAGTCAAGGATAAGATACAAGCACGTACAAGCGACGGTGAACGTGCGGCAGTCCTGAGGCTAAAGGCCGCTGTTCATGACAGCGAACGAGGGACGTTGAGCTGCCCTTGCTCAAAGGAAAAGGGCAGTTGTATGTCAGCGCAAAGGGCAATGGAAGCGCTTTGCCGCGCTACTCAAGTCGCTTGCACACTGGTACACTCTGGCCATCGCGAGTAGATGAAAAGTATTTCACATACCTCCATGACCTCATACGACTATGCGAAGAGGAGGAGCTTGACCTACACCAAAGCACAGATCAGCAAGGTCAGCCGTGTGTCCATATCACGGTCGCTCCAATGAGGTCCAAGCAGTCTGGGGCGTCCTCAACTCATTCACGCCACCATGAGTATACGACTGCAACATGAGAACATGTCGCCAAACTCCAGAGACTCATCTAGTCAATGACTTTGCAGGTATGACAAAGGGGTCATCGCGCTCCACCCCCACCGCTGCCAGCGTTCTTCATTGGCCCACCCCCACCCTGCTGCTGCTGATTGGGAGCCTGTGGCGCAGGTCGAGCCATGTTCATCTGCGGACGAGGCGCAGGCCTGCCCTGATTTGACCCTGGGGGCTGCCCCTGTCCTTGCCCTGGACCAGACTGCCCGCCAGGTCTCTGACCCGGTGGCATACCATTGAAATTGCCTGCCTGCTGCTGCTGTTGAGCATTTCTGAAGAGCTGCAAAGCGAGCGCCTGTACCTGCTCCTGTGTAAGGTTCTGGGCAAGATTGGCGGTCAAAGCCTGCTGGATCTGCTGCAGGTTCATCGTCGAGAGGCCGCCGATGCCATTGGGCTGCTGAGGCAGAGGCCCAGCAGGAGGTCGAGGAGCCGTTTTACCGTTGAGAGCACCGCCGTTAGCAGCCAGAGCAGTAGCCAGATTGTACTGCTGCTGCTGGGCAGTTGAGCCTGGCGGCCGAATTTGCGCGGCGAACTGAGCTTGTTGCTGAGGCGTCAACCGCTGCGTCGCTGCGGTGAGACCGAGGCCGGCTGACGTAGGCGTGCCGGGCTGTTGACCAGGAGTTGCCGGGCGACCAGCAGACGTGGGTCTAGGCATTGCCATCGGCGAGGGTCGTCCTTGGTTCATTGGCATGCCACGCTGAGGAGCATTGGGCTGCGCTCCAGGTCCGCTTTGCTGCTGCTGACCGGTGTGGTTGGCAGTAGCCTGCTGCTGGCTGGCTGATGTGTGGACGGTGCCCTGCGGTTGTGCCTGAGGTTGCCCTTGGGCTTGCCCCTGACCCTGGATTGCCTGCTGCTGCTGCTGCTGCTGCGCTTGTGCCTGCGCCGCCTGAGCAGCGGCAATCTTCTGTTGCTCCTCGAGTCGACGATTGTAGATCATCTGGTACTGCCTCTGCTGAGCTTCGTCCCTCTCAGCTTTGATCTGACTTAGCTGCTGAGCGGTAGGAGCAGGCCCGCCTTTGACAGTGTTGTGTGTCTCGTGTGAGGCCAAGTTCACCTTACGGGGTTCACCAACGCCTGAGACGGCAGGCTTGCCACTATCGCGACGCTTCGCAGTCTTGCGCATGACCTCCATGATATTGCTATGCCTCATCCTCTTTCTCGACCCATCAAATCTTGTTGTTAGCTTTCTAGTCAGCTTTTCCCGCTTCGCAGCAAGAGAAGCGGCGGGCGGGGCAGGATGGGTTGGGGTGCCGACTGTTGCCGTCCCCGAATCGCTGGCGCCATCTTGCTTCTCAGGAGCGGCAGTAGGGTGGACCGGAGGAAGCTGTGGAGGTGGCGGCGGAGGTTGACCCTGAGCTGCTGCCTTGGTGATTCTGTCCCACCGGTCGAAGCAGTCCCAGGCTTCCTTTGTATCGGTCGGAACCGAGAGACGAGTCGAATTGAATACGTCGGCCACGAGGGGCCAATTGGCACCATACTGCTGGAACAACTTCATCAAGAAATTGTCTTCCTCTGTAGACCATAGCAGTTGGGCTGATCTGAGTTCGGGGTTCTGAGGCTGTACCACGAAGCTCGGCGTTGATGACAGGGCGTCTCGCGTAGGCTTGTTGGATCGTCGACTGAAGATCGTCGTAGCAGGTAGTGACGTAGCTTCGAGTTCTTGTCTAGTGACTCCCTTTGTGGGATCGGCTAGCTTTGCTGCCAAGGCCCATTCGCCATCCTCTCTCCAGCGCCCCTGACATCGATTTTTGCTTGGTTCTAAGGTAGAGACGAGAAGAGGCTTGGCGTCGAGCAAGCGACTAACTTGCGTCAATCGAGGCATCTGATTGAGGCTCCCTTCATCCCAGCGTCTATCCGGCTTGCTGATATCAGGCTCACTCGGAGGGCCGTACTCTGGCAGCTCTGGGAAGAGTGAAGAGATGGTCAAGTCTGGATTGACCTCGAGGACATCTTGGAGTTCCTTCGCATCAGCTCCGAGCATCTCTGCAGTAGCATCAGCGTCGAAAGAATCCAGCAAGGTCGAGGGAGTGATCAAGGTAGCTGTGATATCCATGGAGAATATAGGGGCTCGTAAGGTGGTGACAAGGCCCATCGGCAGTCCATCGGCAGGGTCGAGGGCGAGCGTCTCATCACGCGCAGCACCAGTAGGTCGCATCGCAGCGTTGACAGCATCTTTGTCTGCTCCTTGCGAGTCTGCTGTCCGTTTGAAAGGGGAATGAGCGATGTCTTCATCGATGACGCCACTGAGTTGCGGCGTATGCTGCTGCGCTGACAGAGGTTCGCGGACCAACTCTACACGCGCTTTGCTGGCCTCTTCGACCGAGGTCTGTGCAGCTGGGCCTGTCAGAGCAGCAGCAAGCGTGCCCTCCTCGGCATCGGCATCAATTTCACCATCTGCATCATCGTCGTCTCCATCAGCATCAGCATCAGCATCAGCATCAGCGTCTGCATCAGCATCAGCGTCTGCGTCTGCGTCTGCATCAGCATCAGCATCAGCATCAGCATCAGCATCAGCATCAGCATCAGCATCAGCATCAGCATCAGCATCAGCATCAGCATCAGCATCAGCATC